GACAATCTCAACATCAGAAACGCAGAACTACAAGCTACTGTGGCCAACCAACAGGCTCAAATTGAAGCCCTCACCGTNAAGAGAAGGAAGAAGGTATATACAGATCCTAACGATAAATTTGCGAGTATTGACAATATAATGGTTGCTGTACGAGCTGTTGAACTCATAGAGGCAAGGGACGCGACTGACGCGCTAATTGTAATCGACAATTAGCTACAACGAATCAGACTATCTAGAGCTGTGATCAGCTCAATTTTTAGAGCCATACATTAGCGTTGTAGTCGTATACAGCAGTTCAACGACGAGGTGATCAATTCGGCTTGTGCGGCGCTTCCAGGGGTGCGGCGCTTCAGGGTACTTCAGCTTAAAGCAGCGTTGCCCTCACATACCTTCCACCATGATCGTTGCCAACGCAGACGGGGTATGGATGGCCACGTATGTCAACCGTAGTGCTTCGCCATCTCCTGGATGCTTCCATCCTCGATGTCCCGACCGCATGCCAACGCTGGAGTCTTTGCAGAGGAGGACCGCAAGTCTCCTAGGGTCCCTCACTAAGAGTAGTTCTATGCCTATGAGTCATGATCTCGGAAGATACTTGCCGGACAATTGTTTTCGATGTTGGTGTCGTTTTGGCCACCACACAAAAGCTATCACCCCGTCTAGGCGCCCGCTAACTCACAATCGATCGTTCAGAAGCTAGTCCTTGAAATTTGAGCTCCAGTGATTCACCTCCAACTGATGTTCCTCCAAGTCCTCACGAGCCTTCACGTACGCTTGGTAGCGAAAAACTCCCGATACGTTCCCACCGCGCATGGGTTAACGATCAAAAATGTTTTACCTTTACATGCATAAACTGTCGAAGCCCGTCTGAGAGCGATAGGGGAGCGCAGTCGCCTGTTCAAGATCTGATCTCACGCTGTAGCAACCAGTGCTGATTTGACCTAATCGTGTTTTCCTCTCATCAGACGCATGCAACGGGGTAGTCAAAAACAGGACAAGACAGTCAGCAGGATCTCCGATCAGCACCATTTCGACTTTACCGCGCCATATAATGCCTCAACATAGCAAGCAGAACACCACAAGGCTTGCATCTACAAGATGAATCTACAGCATATCTTGCTCGAAGGGCAGAGTCCTAGTCTAATCAGCGCCTGACCTTCGATTAACCAACTCGACCGACAAGGCTGACATTCTATCTCTGAACAAAAGCTTTCATCCACTTCTCCACATGCATCATGCTCTTAACGCCCCGAGCCGTACTTGGCGCTGCAAGTCAGTATTTGACCTCAACCCATCACCATCCAAGTTTAGGGTTTAGTAGACGTGTCCAGGGTTATTGCAGGTGTTATCGCTCCATTTCGTCGAAGACCTGACCTTTGGGTCGTTAACTCTGATGCCGTGAGCGTCCTCATGTCCATCTAGTGCTGAAACATTTCATCGATAGCAAGCTAGATGGAAGCGAATCTGAATATTATCGTGAGCCGAACTCGTCTTACTAGACAAGCTGCGTTTAAGTCACACAACCACTTGTTACTAACGAGCCATATACACCGAGTATGGGCAATCGAGCTTAGAGCTACGCACCCCTCCCTTGCGTCGGTCAGTATCTTTCGTGGAGCAATAATCTAGTTCGCGACAGATTTGTGCCTCGCCTACTGGTCATCATATGAGGTTCCCTATGACCCACCCTCCGTTCACCCTTACGAATAGTTGTGCTGTGGCTGGCATGATCAAGTATCTAAAGAGCGAGGCCTTGGCCGTCACAATATTTGAGGCATTCCAAGCTGATAGCGTCCTCTATAAGCGGGCGGTCAGCGGTGAACAGTCTGCATTTCACAATCCATCTTGTCCTGTCAAACTGCACGCTATGGACAAAGGCACGATTTCTATGTTCAAAGGATCATTGAAAGGCACTAACAAGGGATTGGTTCCAGCTTCTAGGCGACGATGTCACAGCTCTCCCTTCAGTTTTATGCCTCTACGCTGCTCAAGCCTTCGACCCGAACTTGCTGCAAGTTTGTGTCCATCGCTACTTCAAGTCTTGTACGAACACTCAGAACTCGTGCGTGGCTTATTCGGCTCGTTCGAGCCTCTGCAAAATGTTCAGTTGTCTCCTCGGAGCTTTCTAGACTCCTTTCTCGGCCGACTACTACGTCGTATGAGCTCAAGCTCATTTTCGTCTTCCGACTTAATTGTCACGGAGCGACTCTCACGACCAGAGGGCTTCGAGGAGCGAGCTGACTTCACGGCAGCCTTGAGATTGGACGAGCCTGCTGTTGGAGCCCTGCTGCTCCGATGTGATCGAGTCTCCGTTTTTCTGGCGGCAGATCTTGTCGTTGTGGGTTCTCTGTGCGAGGGTTCCTCCAGCGGGATGAATTTCATTCTTTTTGGCGATGCGCTTTCTGACTTGACTGAAGGAGATCTCGGTCTCTTTGTCCGCATCCGTTTTGTAGGGCGCTCGTCTTCACTATCGTCGTCCTCATTGACCTCGGCGTAGGAGGCATCATTGGTCACTCTCCGAGGTACTTCTATTACCACCCGGGGTTCAGCCTGATACGTCTTCCGGGAGGGCCGAATCTGGGTCATCACAGCTTTGCCTTTGCCCTTGCCTTTATCCTTGGCCTTCGTGTTCCTGTTGCGGCTTTCCTCTTCCTCGCCATACAGCTTGTCGTGGTAACTGCCCCCGTAGTTGAAAAATAGCTCTTCGCCGGTCTCAATGTCCCTGGAAGCATACATCCCAATCCTGTGAGCAAGATTACAGAGCTTGATTTTGGGATAAACGTTTCGAAGGCCAGGTCTTGTGGCGTGGTTGATGAAGCGAATCTTGTTGCCCATTCGCTGAGAGTCTATGGTCTGATCTGGTGCGCTGTCAGTACCAGTCCCATGTTCGAGTGTCATCATGGCTACTTGCCTCTGTTCAGGTCAAAGATATAGCTCAATTTCTGAAACTCGTAGATTGTACCTCTTCTTTCCGTCTCGTCCCGAGTGATGACCTCTCCTTGGTACTCCCCAATAAATTCGTCCTTAGCAATAGGCTCCCCAGCGTAGAGTCCAAAGCCATGGACAACGCTCTGGCCTAGCAGTGTCCTTTTCGGGACACCTCGCTGCATAGCGACGTTTCGACATCTGCGATGGAGGCAATCATCATCGTACCTCCACTCTTGGTCTAGGACGACGAGTGCTTCACACGACTCACAGAGGTCCGGATCGCACTCTCTGTTCATCCTGTAGCAATCGCAGGAATCATCCTGTGCACAAGACTTTGCTCGCCTGGCGCATGAACAACCTTTGAACCGGCGGCTGCATTTGAGCTGGCACCCGCAGGTTTTCTCGCAACAAATCTTAGCTTCGAAGCACGTACAACGTGCATCCTCACACGTGATGCCAACATGACTGCAAGGGAAGAACGGACCTCGTCGACTATGATCCCAGGTGACGCTGTTAGCTTCATTCATCCACCAAGCTAATGACTTCTTTGGCTGTGTTCGATAAATCTCCTCTGAGGATTCTCGGTCGAAGGGGTACGTAGCAAGTTGTTTGAAGTTGACTCTCGGAGGGAAGTCAACGTCCAGGGCATCGACCGAGTCGGCGTCATCCTCGCTATCTTCTCGTCCGTTTGGTCTTTCATGTATAGTGCCGTGATTAGGACAGTCATGGATGTGACAGATACTGCAGGCGATACTGTCATATGACTTTCCTGTCTCGATGCTAACAAGGCCTTCGATCATGTCGTTGTCAGGAAATTCGGCGTATTTTCGTGCGATCTGCCAAGGGCTGAAGTCTGTCATGGTCCAGAATGTGTGGCAGGCTAGGGCAGCTCTCCACAGTATCTCGTCGTCGATTTCCGGAATGATCGATGCTACAGAGACCCACCTAGCGCTTTTGCGGTTGAAATCGTCCTTGCAGAATTCATCTTTTGCGCTCAATACATCATGTATGAGTTCGAGCTCGTCTGAGAAGCTTGTCAATCTCGAGAACAGGCCGTCGGGGCCTTCGGTCGCTTCGAGCAGATACTTGAGGACGCAGTCCATTGGACATTCGATTTCTTCGAGAAATGCCTCGAAGTAAGGGCCATAAGAGCTGGCTTGTTGGGATATGAGGACCTTACGTGGCCGATCCTCGACGATAACGTCGTACCTCTCGCGGATGGTTCCGTCGTCATCGATGTCTTCTCCGAAGTACGGCCACACTTGCAGTTGACGTGTATTGGTACCTAGTACGTTGTTCCTGATCCTAGTGTAGTGCGAATAAGTCGGAACTTCGATCTTGGGGGCCTTCCATGATGTGACGCGAGCTTGCACGGTTATCGACTCGCTTTTCACTTTGGGTATCGTGTCTCCGTGAGAGTGTGATATTGAGAATGACTTTCCTGTGAGAGTAGTAGCGCGAGCACCAGCCTGGGGTTTGACGTTGGCAAACGGGTTCTGTCTACGCTTCTTGTCCTTCGCTTCGCTTGGTCTTGGGTTGAGGTAGTCTCGATAATCTTCGGGACGCTCATATATCCTTGCCCTGCCAAGCCAGGATTCAGTCAACGATTCATGATCTTCGTCCATGTCGTCCAGGTGTCCATCGAGAACAAGCATATAGTATTCCAGGTCGTCTGCATTTCCGAGCATAAATGTCAAATCGACCGAGGAGGATGGTTCTGCTTCGATGTTAGTCAAGACCGAGAGAATAACAGTGGTCCTAGTATGTCACTTGCCAAAATCTCGTTCGGGAGAGTCGTCGTCGTCGTCGTCGTCGTCGTCGTTGTCGTCAGGGAGCCAATTTCTGCGAGGAGGTGACACGTCGGGCGAGTTCTCAATGGTTTCTGGATTCACTCACATTAGTACGGATTGTACAAGCGAAGGACTGTCAAGCATGTCTACCTCGTATGGGCTCGTCATCGCCGATCTCGAGGGCAACAGGCGACGAGGGAAGTTTGGTGGGTGCCGACATGTCGCTTGACGTCGAACGTGATCGCTCTGGTGGGCAAGGAGTAGCAGGCCTATCACGAGGCCCCTCTTCAGAATCACTCGTGAATTCAGACCATGGAAAGTAACTACGAGGTGTGACAGAGATCGAGCTAGAGTCGGAGACGGAGTCCGAGCCGGGGTCGGGGTCGGGGCCTGGGTCTGAGTTGGTGTCCGAGTTGGAATCTGAGTCGGAGTCAGAGCTGGTATCAGAACTAGAGTCCGAGCTAGAGCCTGTCTCCGGCGTGATAAAGTCGGAGGAGTGAATCCTCGGTCTAATGAAAACCATGATTGCTGGCAAAGCACTTCACAAGGAAGGCGCGCTGGAGCTTATGATTCAACCACAAAGCGACAATGGTTTTCACGAGACTCTACTTGGTACAGGTGACTGGATTGTCGCTTCCGAGACATGCAGACCTTACGCGACTACCACGCCGGCTAGAACTACGAGGAAGCAGGTCAATCGGTTGGATTTTACCGTCGGTCAACTCGTCTGCGAATGATACCACTGACAGAAAGGAGCACCAACGACGAAGCCGCAAACGCGTCCATGGTTTGTGTGTGCCAAGAGCCGACGCGTTCATCCTCCGCACGGCTCATAGTGTTGTGGTACCACCGACCCTGGTGCTGACTGGAACTCAATATCTTTCCCATCTACGACTCACTATCAACTGTTTCCAAGAGAGTCGTGAATTGGAACACTTCTTATTTGTTAGCATCTACTATGCAGTGTTAAACCGGCTTTGATCACGGCGATAACGCAGATGGTGACGAAGCTCGAAAAGTCAGGAAGGCTGATGTCCGGTCACTATGATCCAGCGTAGACATCATTTCCAGATACCACCGACGACACAACTCAAGTCTATCTGTTTACGATCTCCCAACTTGTTCCTTTAGTTTCGAGCGAGAAACATGGTATGCGGGACAGTAGACAGGGCACGAGCAAAAGTTTGTCGCAGCCGTGAATCGAACACGGGGCTCGTGCATGGCAAGCACGAATTTTACCACTAAACCACTGCGACGGTTACTGAAGCGTGCTACGTTAAGCAACAATATGAATCTCATTGTTGTGCCCCGCTTCGACCGCGTCGAGTTTCTGGCCCGTGCGTCGGTAGACGGTGTTCAAGGCACGCGCGGAAGCCGAAAGCAAAGCATGAGTGTACCGAGGGATTTTGTGCAGTCCGAGCAAGAAGCACGAGCGCCGACCCCGCACGTCAACACGCAAGTAACGCAGACAGATTGTTGAGAAACATTGAGTGGTAGTGAAAGAGCTCGAGGTATTCGACCGGTGTCAGTGGGGATGCGAGTCGTTTCGAATTGATTGAGCTGTGGAAAAAAAAAAAAAAGGAGTTCCGGTAGCGGTTACGTGATAATCGAGTGAAATGGTAAGGGTCGCATGCGATTGGAGCGGATGGGCGTGGCAGGCGGGTGGCCGGCGTGTTCGAGGAAGCGCGGACCTCCCGTCGCTGTTCGCGTGCTTTGACGTTTGATTTGAATCGGTGCATGACCGGCGACTGGCCTCTCTCCCATCTACATATACAGGCAGCACTCGACGACCAGTGCAGGCGCACGCCATCACTGCAAAGAGTGCCATCATCGCCTATCGTCTGCCTATCGCGAGATCGCCATTGCGAGCCTGTCCAGGCGCCCGTTCCCCGCACTCACGTCATCCAGCAGCTCTGCATCTGATAGGACGAGCATCACGCAAGAGGCAGTCGTCGAGCACGCCATCGTCCTCCCGTGCCATTCAGCAGCCGCCGGCGCAAGCATTATCTACACAGCAGCTACAAGACGCGCAACGGGAAGGAGGCCGCCATGAACTATATACTCGTCTACTCGCTGTCTCTGCTGCTGTACCAAGGCCTCTGCACTGCCGAACAACACCGTCTTCGATACTACCTCGACCTGCTCTCCAAGCCCGTCAACCGCCTCGACCTTTCCCAGAACACGGCTCGTCACGCTCGTCACGCCCGCCACGCCCGTCGCCATCCACGCCATGGCTCCCACCGCCGTCCAATCGCCGCTTGACGCCCTTTCGTCCACAAACTCCTACCACAACCCTTCGCCCAAGGTCTTCCCCGACGGCGTCAAGACTGCCGGCCAATTCGATCCTCTGTACGACCAGCTCGCTCCCTACTCGGCTTTCCCCAAGGAGATCACCGGTCCCACCGTATGGCAGGCCGAAGAATACAAGAACAACGCTGAGCGCTGGACACATCCCTTCAGCGAAGACGAGATTGCCGAAATCTCAAAGGCTGCCGACGACTTCATCGCCTCCAGCACCCCCTTGACGGGCATCACAAAGGACAAGTTCCCCTTGCCATCTGCCACGGGCCGCCTGCTGCACTCGCTGCGCCACGAGCTGCTCAATGGCAAAGGCTTCATCCTCTTCAAGGGCTTCCCTGTCGAGCAGTGGGGTCTACACAAGTCGGCCGTCGCCTACATGGGCCTCGGCACATACCTTGGCTACTTTGTCAGCCAGAACAGCCGCGGCCACGTCCTCGGCCACGTCAAAGATGTCGGCGAGGACAGCACCCAGATCGACAAGGTCCGCATCTACCGCACAAACGCCCGCCAGTTCTTCCATGCCGACGACAGCGACATTGTCGGCCTTCTCTGCATCGCCCGTGCTCTCGAAGGCGGCGAGTCGGATCTAGTCTCCAGCCACGCCGTGTGGAACGCTCTGCAGAAGGAGAACCCCGATGTGGCCGAGCTGCTCACCCAACCCATCTGGTACTTCGACCGCAAGGGCGAGAAGTCGGTCGGCCAGCAGGACTGGATCCGCACCTCCGTCTTCTACCTTGAGCCCAAGCCCAATGGCCGCGTTTACTCAAAGTGGGACCCCTACTACGTCAAGTCTCTCACTCGCTTCAGCGACGCAGGCGCCATCCCCCCTCTCTCGGCCGAACAGCTTCGCGCCGCTCAGATCCTTGAAGACACCTGTGTGCGTCTGTCGCTTCACATGATCCTCGAGATTGGCGACATCCAGTTCCTGAGCAACGAACACGTCCTGCACGCCCGTACTGCCTACAAGGACCATGCTCCTCCATTGCCCAGACGACACCTGATGAGACTCTGGCTCGCTACTCCGGATACAGAGGGCGGCTGGACCTTGCCTTTCGAGGATTCCTCCCACAGAAAGCGTGGCGGCATCCAGGTCAACGACAATCCTCCTGTCGCTCCCCTTGATGCCGAGTAATGCCCTTGATGACCAAATCGCGCAAATTGTATATATCCTCTGTCTTACAGATCAAAATTTAATCGCTTCACCATCTCTGTTTCTAAACAGACATGCTCTTGACACTTCGAATTCTATGTTTACATTCTTCGCTTGTAGCGGGACGTCTGGCCATGTGGGAGCCGAGGAATGCGAATCACCTTCTGTCCGAACACATTCCCCAGAGTTCCCCATGTTTTGATGGTCATTTGATGCAGGAATGCCAACTAGCTCGTAAGAAAAGACAAGATGTGGCTTGCTCCAGCTTCCGTCGACTTGCTTCACTTTGACCACCCTCCTTGTCGCTATGATTGCCGGACGTTCATTCGCGTGTTGCTTCTTACCACTGTCGGCCGTCTTGGGTCAAGCAGCTGCAGCTCTCCAGCCCTTTCGCCATGAGGCTATCGAGGTGCGCCGCAGACAGGCTAATGGCAGTCAAGATACTTCGCTTTCGACCAGCGCCGCGGGCTCGGTGTTGACTTATGTTACTCCATCTCCTGGTGCATCGCCGATCGCAGTTACTCAACAGAGCCAACTGGTCTCGTCGAATGTGCCTTTGTTTACTCTATGTGCACTACCGCCAGAAGCCTTCTTTCCTGTCACGGCTACACCTACGCAAACGACCGCTCCATACCGGAACTATTCTATATCAATACCGCCTGGCCCTGGCACTTGTACCACGATATATAGCCCGACTGTGACGATGGTTTGCGCTACTGTTCTTACCGGAATTGATCGCATGTACTCCGTGACTGCATGCGGTCAAGATATCACCTTCTCGAGCGACTTTGGCTACGTGCTGGCCACGCCTAGTCCAACCTTGGACACTGCTACGAGCTCAAGTGGCACAGCTGGACTCATTACTCCTCCGCCCACAGTGCAGCCACTCACTACGTACTATGTAGCTCCGTGGACTGAGCTCACCAGTGCAGGTCCTCCCACAGATGTGGACAAAAAGATCTGTGCAACGTACACAAATGGCACTGAGGAGTGCATTGTTGAATACTACGTGTGGCGGACTAGTCTCGTCACCATTCCGACAACTATCACTACGTCAATCAATCTGACCACAACTGTTGCTGGACCCTCGCAAATCGTCGTCGAGACTTTCGTCGCCAATGTGACGGAAATGCTCACTACCTTTTCCATGTCTACAACCATGGAGCTTACTTACTCCGTCGAGACTGAGACAACAAACATCGCTACAAGACCCACAGTCTCCACTGGGCCGACCGTTACCCAGACGTACACAGTGAATCAGAACTCGTTGCCCACCGTGTAAGTTCATCTTCGTGTGCTGCTTCTTGTGTAGCATCTGTTTGACACTCTTAATCAGTCGCACCACGAGCACCTCTACCAGACGTGTCACGTGGACTATTTATGTATCTGGTGGAACCCTCACAACCACTGTACCGAGAGCGCAGCCCACGATCGATGAAGATACTACGTAAGTCAAGCTCCTTGTGTAACCAGTCGCATCTACTAACCCCTGGTAAAGATCTACAGACCCAGCAGTCAACCTTCCTTCTCTTGATGTGGCAAGCATTCTAGGTGTTGGTACCTGAGGAAGCAGCACACATAAGTCTGCAAAGCGCTTTGGCCCTTTCGTTGCTCGCTCGATGAATTCTGATTCTTATGATCAGTTCTGCGTCCATGTACTATTGACGATGAGTTCTCTGTTTGGTTCTCTTGTGTAAGCATTCAAGCCATGTCTGGTTGAGTGCCTTTGTAGTCCCCTCCGATAACCACGAAAGCACAACAGAATATAAGATCAGGTATACAGAGGCTTCGCACCTCCCATGTTTGACCATTGCCAAGCGAGACGTTTATCAACATCGATACATATCACTGGCACGTGCTGTGAGCGATTGCGCGGATGCATCCGCCTCATGGGCAAAATGAACATGATCGACCCAAGAAGGAAGATGGCGAACACTTTCCCGAACGCTCCGATGACCTTGGTCTCCACCCTTCACTTCCGACAGATATTCGATCTGAATCGCCAACCATCTAAAGCTGAAGTAGACGGGAGGCTTGGCCCTCGTCTAGACCATTCAAACCCAAAGGAAGTTCTCCGAAGAGAAGCGACACGAGATCAACTCACGTCAGGAGCACTGCCTCCCAGGTCTCTGTTGCCACATATCTCATGCCGTAGCTCACAGAAGCGTCTTGATGATGTAGGAGGAGATCATCGGTCCAAGAGAATTAGCAAAGTAGCGGATCATCCAGGGGGTTGCAGGTGTCCGTGAACCTAGTCGAGAAGATCTTCAAGTCAATTCCATATCATTGAACAATGCGAGGTCTTCGGAATTTCCTGCTCGTGTGCACAATGCATTGTCTCAGACAACACAACGAAAAGCTCAAAGCGCGGACTAGACAACGTACTCAGATGGTCTTTGTTCTAAGCTGGTAGACCATGAGTTCAATGCAACACAAAGCGCTTGCAAGACAACTCCTTGTTCGTTCTTTGTCCTTCTTGTCTACATCAAAGCACTCGGGAGCGGTCTCGCTGATAGTATAAGTATCGCTGTCTTCGTTGCTTCCTCGCCGTTCCTATATTCAGAATAAACAACACTACATACACCTTCATCGGCTGGACCAACTTGTAGCGATCATGTCTACCAACTTCAACTCTGCGGGCCGTCAGGAACAGCCAGGCACGAGTGCTCCAACATACAACAGATTGCTTGACAGTCGGGAACCAATCAACCTAGCTGCACGACGTCGCAAGTTCACTGCTCCTCGTGTCCCGTTCAGTCTCGAGACCGTTCCTTTACATGAAACACAGGTATATATATCACCTGAGCAAGTTGACGAATATCTGCGAAAGCAAGAAGAGTTTAACAAAGCTCTTCTTCAGCGACAGGGTAAGAGGCCCTCTTCTTCTCGCTCGGGCAGCAGACCTCAGAGCCCCATGGACCGAGCTGCTCACTGGGTAAAGGACAAGGTCGTGACTCCAGTGAAGGAGTTTTTCACTGGTCCAGACGCAACCGAGATGGTTGATACTCAAAGACCACAGGACAAGGGTGACTACATTTCTCACAGGATCCGCGTCATGGCGGCTAGGTCTCCCCGTCGTACCGACGATGACTACGAGATGATTTCGGAGCTCCATCCCGTGAACCAACGCATTCCAGAGAGGAGAGGCAGGCCGAGCGTTGATCGTGAGGTCTCTTCAAGACGATCCGGAAGCATTTCTTCGCCCAACCCATTCATGTCCCATGGTACTCCGTCACCACGTAGCACTTTCTCGTCTCGGGGAACGCCTCAGGCCCCCCAGGCCCCTTTGGCCCCTCGCAAGTCCCACAAATCAAACGCCTCAGTGTCAAGTAGCGTTCGAAGTGCTTTTGACAACGTTCATTCTGGTCTAAATCCCAAAGCTGGCAGACTAGTGTTTTCGGATCAAGCACCAGCAGGGATGATGGACCCGTGCAGTGTCTGCCACAAAGAGCCTAGAGGAGCTTTATATCGCGGACGTTGTCAAGACTGTAGGTGAATTGCCAGCTCGCACGCCCCTATCCCTCTTGTTTTACCTGTAATCCCACCAATCAAGCTCTATAACTTTTGCTCTTATCTGACCGAGTACCGTATCCCCATGCTAACTTTTTCTGTTTGCCAGCTAGTGACTTGTAAGAATCATATATCTTCCCAGAACTGAATGCCACTTTCCAATCCAAATCAATGTCCAAATGTTTCTCTTGAGATCTCTTTGTCGTGTGCCAGGGAGTACGAGTCTTCTCTCTCGATGGAGGAGCACAAAGGTGTTACTGGCGCCCGCGCAGAAGCAGATATCCAAATACTTTCCGGTATCGTAATACGCTGCATCCTGCGACTATCCTCGTACTGGCTATGGAATCTCAGCAACGTTCAATATCTCGTTGCTGCGAGGCGTACACGTCTCAACACATTCTCGTTGGTCATGACTTGTTTCTTTGTTGGGATATTGTGTTTCGCCACATCGACTTTCGAACGCCACGATTGCCTATTTAGCCGTCTATCACTCGTAATCTCGAGACACCGGTTATTCCCATAGACCCAAACCCACAACAAACCAAAATAGCAGACCGACATGTCTTGGCAATTCTGGTAACACTGTCCAAGCATCCCACTTCTCAAGCTTTTGTTCAGGTCTTGGTCTCCAGACCTCGAATGTGGAGATGTCGGGTTCGTCTTCCAGATGCAGCTGAAGATGATCCTCGTTCTGTTTGGTCTCTAGTCTTGAGCGGGCAATATCCCGATACATCAGGTCCCTTCGCTCTGGCATGGTCGGAGGTGAGACAGCATATGAGATTGGTCTGAGCGAGGCGAAGTGGCTGCTCCATGCAGCTCCTGGAACCAATAGATGCGTCAAAATGTATTCGAGGCTTGCATGATTGCCTGACCTCACGAGGCCAATTGCGAAAACTGCCATAGCAATGAATAGTATGGCGACGTGATACCATAGATCTTGGTAAAGAAACATCACACGCAAGCGTCGCAAGAAGGCAGGACGACGGTCAGGATGACGCTCTTGAATTTTAGATTCTGCGAGTGCGGTGGGTATGAAGCCGATACGTGGCCCGGAGAGCTTCTTCGGGAACAGATCCTTGGCGAGCGCAAAGAATAGATGAGTGTGTAGCCAATGCGTTCCCTCAACTCTGCGGCGCAATGCCAGGTAGCCACAACTTGTACTTGCGAGCAGTTCTTCGACGTGAGCTGTGATCTTGGTAAGAAGATATGTAAGCAGAATGGCTCGCAGTCCGTCCGAGCTCGCAGTGATGAGCGGTTTGCCAGAGGCGATGAGCATAAGAATGATCCAAGAGCAGAGTGGTCTGTTCATCATGGATGTGATGGGTGAAGCACAATGACAGATCGCGGATACACGTTGCTTCCAGGTCATACCTTTGACAAGAGGTGATGCTATAGCGCAGTCTAGCTTGCGAGAGTTACGAAGTCTTCCAACGAACTGCAGGTCGATTAGCATTCGTGGTGTCCTGAAGTGTTGCGGCATCGCTTACCCATTTCATTCGCTGAGTAACATGAGCTTTGAAAGTGTCTGGTACGAGACCGAACTGTAGCTCTTCGCGACAATAAACGACTTTCCATCCTCGCCCTTGGAGAGTGAAACCAGTAATGATGTCTTCAGCTAGGGCATTTTCCGGAAAGCCTCCGATGTCTCTAACCGCAGTATAGCGGAAGACGACTCCAGGACCCGTCACCCACGCACAATTCATACTGTCGCGCTGAATTTCATCAAACTTGCCGTCGACATTGAGACTTTGATAGAGCGGGTCATTTGTCGGCACATTGTAGAATCTCTGGAGGGGCAAGTGTGTTAGCATGTGCTGAGCAAGGATACCTCCACCGTCTCGTACGTACCTGGGGAACTACAGCTACTCCAACTTGTCCGTCGACGACAAGAAGCGGAAGCGTAGCGCGGAGGAATTCGGGTTCAAAAACCATGTCAACGTCGCAGAAGGTGCAATATTCGGCTGCTCCAAGACTTTGCAGGTAGTTAAGAGCAGAATTCATGTTACCCGCCTTCATGCCACCTCTGACAGGTCTCGCATAGTACAAGAGAGTGACGGGTATCTTACTCGCCAAGGCAGCTATTTGAATCTCCAGGTCCTGATTTGCGGCATCATCGGCAATCAAGATTCTGAAGCTGTCTGCAGGATAGTCGAGATCGCAAGCTGCTCTGACAGTATCCATGACAACATCAATGTCTTCGCCACACGTTGTAATGATAACATCGGCTCGGGGAACCATTGGGCCGGTTAGACGAAGTCGAGGACGCAATCGAGGGTTTGTGCAAAGAAGCCTCCAGCCGTCATCGGCCACCCTTGCGACTGTGTTCATATGAGCATCGGTTCCAATGCAACGGTGTGTTGTCCATTCTTACTGAGAAGTGAGACCTGCGTTGCAAAGTAGCATGAGGCAACGATTCCTGGCTTCTCAATCCCATCCCATAGAGATCGCCAGAGCAGTAGTAGAAAGCGGATGGAGAAGACCCATGACAAGACCGACAGGGGTGTGCCAATCAGATGCGGTAGACTTGTCTTGCACCAGTGCCATGTAAGACTGGAGTGTTTGACTTCAGAGAGCTCAACGATCTCGTAGACGTGAGATGCCTCTCGAGAAGTAAGCTGCGATTTATCCTCGGATATCATGCTGGGATCTGCTTTTCCAGCTCTACCATTGGGATCTGGTCAGAGACAGAACTGTATGCGATGTTCAGACTTATAGTTAGACAAACTCACAACAGACAATTGGTTTGGGTCAAAGCAGTATAGGCGAATATGAGGTTACACACAGGCGCAAGTGGAAAACAAGAATTACAAGCTCAACGTGTGGAAGCCACTCACGCGAATATATGGAAAGCTGATTCGAACCAAAGAAGGCGGGAGGAACAGGGTACTCCATGATTTCCAAATATAATAGAGCCAATGTTTGCCGGAATTGACATACGTGCACTGGCAATAGGAGAATTGAGTAATTTGGTCGAGACCCTTTGATGTGGATCTTTGAACTTGGGGAAAAAGGAGCGGATGCTCGGGAAGGTTCAGCCGAAGGTCGCCAAGATTTGCCTTCTTTGGCATCTGGCCAAGGGTTGCGAGAACGTCTGGAGTCCACGCCGCCACGCGTTTGCTCTCCAGCAGTCAGCATATGTCGCGGATACCATTGAATGCGGCCATCCGTCCTCACAGCTTCTGGCAAAGCATTCGATTTGGAACAAATGTCGAGGTCAGTGGTAGGGCAGAATTGGACCACGGGAAATAAATAGGCTTCGACCTGCGGCGTCGAATTCACAAGTTGGTCTATTTTTACTCATGAAATTGGACGACGAATTTCTTTTCAGCCACAAGCTCACATGGACGCTTTTGTCGCTCGTTTCTGAGTTGGCCGAAGTTTCTGAGCTTGTACTAAACCTCAAGCAAGGGCCTTCCAGGACATGTTTCAGCACATGGTCGCTTTAGGCACGTTCACGCCCCTTGTACATCGTCCCTATACTGGAGACGCGAAAGCCGACCGGGATAAATATGAGGGCGACCAGTCGTAGTTGGTGCGCTTGACGCGTCCCTAAGCTCCTCTTTTCACGTCTCTGCCTACGTCTAGATGCTCGCTTCCAGGTATCGACAGATGCGTCGTGGAAGTATGATTGAAAAAAGCACTAAGCGATCAGAGACGGGCACCTGTTCGATAGCCTGCTTGACATGCTTGCTGGGTGGCGGCGTGTGCTCCCTGGAGTTGTGCGCTTTGTATCCTCCTGTTTTACGTTCGCCATCTTGATTCTACAGTAGTTTGTGAACAGAGCGGGATGTTTTGGTGTGGCATCTGGTCGTGACACGGCGGTGGTGGTAAAGGGTCGCGGGAGTCGTAGGGCCTGCGTCCTTGAGGGATGGTGAGCAATCGTTGGGATAGATAAGCAACTCTCAGTCTTGTCGTGAACACCCTCTGAGTTGTCGTTTTGCTATACAGTTCGGCACTGGGCGGACGTAAACATGCGGGAATTCGACAAATAATGACGAGGACCCAACGATGGCCAAGCGAAGCTTCCGTGACGTATCAGGGGTTTGATGAGGCCTGCGCTCTAATGCGCTAACATATAAGCTACGACGTGGCGGTAAGTCCCGGAAATTCTTCACCATGGGACTTTGAGCATTACTTGAAAGGTACTGTGAGGGCTTAGATGCTCGGCGCGGCACTGGAAACACCGTGCAAGTAGCTGAGTGGAGGGATGAACAAAAGTCATGGTTTCAGGAACAGACGGGTGCAGCCGTCATGTCGCGTGTCAAGATGCCCAGACTGGCATGAGCGGAGAAAGATCGGCACTGTTTGCTGTCACCGCTGGCGCCTTCTTCGTTCTTCAGGGGCCTCTCTGATGAGCTTTTCCTTCTTGTTGCATTGCACAGCCTCAAACGAGGTGATGCAGACGCTTGCGTTAGCTCGACTGATGTGTCGTCCTTTTGCGCACCATTCGTATTTTAGAGAGCCTTGATCTGGTGGCGCCGTGGTTATTGCTGCATGCCGGCCATCATGAAACACGACCGTCTTCTTTGTTCTCGACCAGATCGACTACGCTTTTCGCTCTTTCATCAATTGCGTCTGCTCACTCGCTCCATCTCGCCTACATTCCTTTCTTGCCTGTTCCTTTGTTCACCTGCTTGACATCCTTTGCTTCAACCTACACAAAGTCGACCTGCCAAACCCTCACACTGCAGCCAACGAAACAATCAAGCGCCATGTCTTCGTCTGATTTTGCAGGAAGCACGACGGCCACCATGTCTACCGGTTCACCATCAGTTAACGTCTCTCGTGAGGCAACATGGAAGGCCCAGGGCTTCCATGCCTCGTCCCGCAAGCCGCAACCACACCACCTCGAGATGGAAGACTACTTCGCCGGCCCTCGCGACATGGCCCGTCACTCGAAGCTGCCCTTCTTCATGCGCCTTCATGGCAGTGTCTTGCCCAAGATGCTGCTTCCTCTGCTATTTATCGGCGGTTGGGCTACCGCTGTCACGCTGATCTCAAAGTGCACAAAGGTTCACCTCGGCATCAATTCTCTTTTGCTCACCGTACTGGGTTTCGTCGTCGGTCTGGCGCTGTCCTTCCGCTCGTCAACAGCCTATGAGCGCTACAACGACGGGCGCAAGTACTGGTCGCAGCTGATGCTGACTTCCCGCAATCTGGCTCGCCTGATCTGGGTGCACGTCGAAGAAAGACACAGCGTGTCGGAAGAGCTGGGGAAACAAGACCTGCTGGCCAAGCTGAGCGCCCTCAACCTCCTCAATGCCTTTGCCGTCGCCCTCAAGCACCGCCTGCGCTTCGAACCCGCCATCGAGTACCCCGATCTGGAGCCGTTGGTCGCCCACCTTGACCTCATGGCTGGTACCGCCGACCAAGCCGCCCTACGCAGGAGAAAGCCTACACCGTGGAAGTCTGCTGGCGAGTATCTCGGTGTGTCTTTTGCAGAGTCCAATCCCCGTAAGCTCATCAAGCGCGCCAACGACAACCTGGGCAATCCGCCGCTCGAAATATTGACCTATCTGTCGTCATACATGGAGCATGTCTTCCAGGAGAAGATCATGACGGGCCCGATCCATCAGACTTGGGCCATGAACAACATTGGCTCGCTGGCCGACGTCCTCACCGGCTCGGAACGGGTGCTCAACACTCCTCTGCCCATTGCCTACACAATCTCAATCTCGCAGATCACCTGGGCTTACGTTCTTGTCCTGCCTTTCCAGCTGCTCAACTACCTCGACTGGGTCACTATTCCTGGCACCATGCTTGCCGCCTACATCATTCTCGGTCTTTCCAAAATGTGCGTCTCCAATCAATCCAAGCTTCCCCGTCTTGTAACAGAACTAACATATCTCTAGTGGCACCGAAATTGAGAACCCCTTTGGCAACGATGTCAACGATCTTCCGCTTGACGACTACTGCCGCGAGCTGGCCGCTGATATCGACGTTATGACCAGCACTCCTCCCCCTCGTGTCCAAGACTGGGCTCACACCCCTAATAACCGTGTGCTTCATCCTCTCAGCGCCACCGGCTTCGAGGGCTGGGAAAACAGGAGTCTCGAGGACATTCGCGAGGCTCTCAGAGCAAAGGCCACTACTACAGTCAGATCCATTCATGCTGAGAGGCCAGACACTCCATTCGCTGAGCCAAAGGTTTCTACAGTCTGAGCAAAAGCAATGTAAGGTACCCTCGCAACTCCTAGCAATGATCAAAAAGTTTTCTTCTTTTCACCTGTCTTCCATTTTGACTCCCCTATGCGTGCTTTCTTCTCTGCTTGTAACGGTGATCGTGGTGCACCGTGTTTCTGATTGACGAGCTATCTATGTCGTGAATCTGTTGATAATACTTCATCAGGGAAGCACACGTGCCTCTGCCATTATCACTACTCCAGATAGTCGTCTGTGCTACTCGTACGCTGCTCTACATCGGAGCAATCGGCTGTAGAAAGGCATGATGATTTCTGGAAACCGTGGAGCCATCAAGAAATCCAGGTATACAGCGTATCTCGATCGGCCTCAATACGAATAGAAGAAAGTATTATGCCTTAGGATAGCTACTACCAACAGGAGCTTCAGCACCTGGAGACGAATTATGGGGTCCTGGTGTGTAGACCCTCGCGAATTACCTGTGGTGGGTATCAACGAGGATCCTGCGGCGAATACTTTCCCAAATGGTCTATGGAAAGTAAACAGTATTCTGCATTTCTACAGCCGCGGATTTGACATCCCAGGACACCCGGAGTTAACGTGCTTTTTCCACTGCCTGGCTTCGAGATTCAGGCCCGCTCTCCATGCAGTTGTGGATATGCGCTACGTCTCCCCATTGGTCTATGGTAAGTAATTGGCTGTAGAAATGCAAGATGGTTTTCTATCTGCTGTCCCGTTCACTGGAGTATCAATGAATCTCGAGCGATTCAGAGACCCGGACAACCACGCTGCTCCGGAGTTGCGCTCGCATTTCTGGGTTGTGTGAAGTCGATAAGCGTGGCTTCAATTCGCCGTGGAGGCACAGAATAATTGAATCGAACCGCAACCTAAAGAATAAGCGTCGACGTTGGGTTGATTTGACTTCTTTTGCGTACAAGAGACAGACCGATTAAGGTCCCGATATGCTCGCCTGGCGTTTCTCCCACATCCTCGCGTCATAGTGACCAAGATGTCTCACGATCACGCGGAGAAAAAAAGGTAGTAATCGAAAGAAGGGGCGATCTGGGGTGCCGGTGGACGAGGTCCGCCGCGGTTGCGGAGTGAGATGGAGGCCTCAGGACCAACTCGGTCATCTCGTATACCTTGAAATCACACGACCCCCGTCGGTCAAAGCAAAACTATGCTTCTTCAATGTGCCGGAATTGTTGTTTAGAAGAACAAGCACCGGCTTGTCAAGGTCATGGCCATCGGTGATGTCGTTAGTTGTAATGTTCCGGATCACCTTGCAGATTCTCAATTTGGTCTTTGATCAGAGTACAGAGCGAAGTAATGATCTATCAAAGTTGCGAGAATTTCCCGTGGTACTACCGACATTTACAGTCAACCGTTCTCGGCAGAAGTGAAGTGAGCGAGTCATGGTGATCGATCCCGCACTATAAGTTGAGTACTCGTGAGTCGGTAGATGCCAAGAATCATCACATTGCGGCGCCACATCCATGAACAAATGCGATACCATATGCCCCTGAGTACCCGCTCTCTCAGGTCCGTACTTCTCAGTGACTCTCGACTCCTCTCTTGTCTCTTCGGAGATGTCTGCTCGCCCGACAAGTCTCTCCGGTTCTTCCGCCCCTGATGACAAGTGTAGCCACAATCACCCCTGTCCAAAGATCTCCAACAGTCGCCGTATCGGCTTTTCTGCCTGGGGAACCTGGCGTGCGGGGCACAGCCTCTCAGACGGCTTGCTTTGACAATTGTCAGGTCTAGCATACCGACACGTGGTCGGAGCCGACCATGGTCAAGGCACTCTCGTATGGTGCTGAAGTCGCTGTGGCATAGACAACAGGACCTGTCGAAAGGCTGGAGAAGCGGCAGGAGACCGCTTGCATCTCGACATCGCTTTGTAAGGCGGTTGGCGCATCTTTCTCTAGGCTCTTGTCTGTACACATATCTCACCGACTCTTGATTGGATTTTCAATATGGGCGACTCGTCGGCTCCGCTGAGAAATTCTCCATTCCCGAGTTGCTGCAGTGAGCTGTGATGTAACTTTAGCGAGTGGTCGAAACTGCCAGCATGGCGACAGGATTTATAAACGGCCCAATTTTCTGGTTGAGAGATAGTCCACTCGAAGAAGTTGTCAAGCGATTGGACCGAAGCAATCGAAGAAGAAGAGCGGGAATGAGATGTTCGCGAGGTGGAACTGCCACATGAATAGTCAGTTTCTATTCCGTACGAAGCAGAAAACCTCGACTGACCGATTGCGCTAGGTACCATGGGACGCGCGATTCTACAGCTTGATTGGCATGTTCAATGCGCTCCAATTGACTTGCGTGAGCTTTTCCACACATATTATCGAAGTACCGTGAGTCTACAGTCACGCGCCCTTTGGGCTGTAGGATAATTATGATGTGTAAGTAGGTCTAACAAACGGTTTAACGGGTAAGTGGTTGAACCTCGCCAAATTTGGATGAACTTTGGCAGAAAGGGAAGTGGCCATCCACGCTCCTGCTATTTCAATGGGCAGACAGCGCGAATGCGTCCCCCAGTCTTTCAGCTGAGATCCTGAGCCTGTCTTCATTCTACCATCCCGTCCACGATTGATATCGTTCATAATCAACTGGCGAGCTTTACTTTTACTTAACCGTGACGCAGTATCCTTCTGCGTACACTCTTTTTTTCTCCGGTGCTGCAGTATCCTTCTGCAGTCACTCTCTCTCTCTCTCCTCTCGTGCTGCAGTACCCTTCTGCAGTCACTCTTTCTCATTTAGACATGCCCAAGCGTAGTTCTAAAGCTCCAGGGCTCAGCGCAGACTTCAATGTCGCGTATAGTTCCAGACAGGCAGACGACATGACCGATGTCAACTCGGCATCTCGCGACGTTCTCGAGGAGATCAAGATCAGTCTCAGTCAAAACCAAATGGATGTCTCCTCCATCCACGCTCAGAATTTCGATTGGCTCGCACCTGTCGAAGCAGTCTACCAAAACGCACAGTCTCTGGCCGCCTATCAATCAAAGACCTTGAGAGACAACGGAGTCAGTCGTGTCCTCCGTCGCTTCAGAGAGCACCCCATTACGGTAACGAATGAGGAGTTGAGTACAATTCTCAACCTGGAGATTTCTACCGAACAATCGCCAAGTATGCCACCGGGTGATCACTACTACATGCGATCTTGGGTTTTTACAGCAGATAAGTTGCTTGCAGTTATTGCTTACATGAAGGACGACATGAGCTTCTCAGAGGAAACAAGAAATTGGAAGCTCACAGTTGACCAGCACAGGCAGGACATTACGTTATTCACCATCAGGTATGTCGGTACTGTTGCCGGGCCCCTTCGCCCATTCGACAGATATCAGGACGATTTCTCAAAGCGTCCAACCGGGCTTCTCGCCGAGTTCTCCAGAGCAATCAAGGCCATTTCGCCCGAGATCGAGATAGCAGCGGAGATATTCCTCATCAGAGACGCGTCGGTCACGAACAAGGAACGTCAAATCTCCGAGGACATCGAGCGCGTGCTCATTGATTTTATGGGCTTTGATACGCTACTCAACAGGCAGCGCGGTGGATCGCTCGTTTCTTACGTCCCAAACATTGAGGACGGCGAGGCCTTCGCTAGTCTCGCAACAGATGTCGGAAACGCCTTCCGGCTTCGTTCTGTTCCCCCACCCAGCGGCCTCGAGAGCGAAATTAGTCAGCATTTTCAAAGGCTTCAAAAGTTCGTCAAGGAAAACCCTGAGGTCTGCGGGAAGCGTGCAATCTCTACCCAGCTTCGAGAGGTGCTACAAGAGCAAGCTACTCCACAACAGTACAAGGGCGTCACGCTTGTCACCTTCGTTGGTAAAGACATTCCGATCGAGAAGTTTCTGAAGCCGGCGCATTTCCTCGACGAAGATTCTCAGTCAGGAGACTTCATGCGTCAAATATTCCAGCGTATCGCACTCAGCGAAGCCCTATACCAGGGAAGACCCCCTCCATCGGATGACTCCATGATCTACCGGGATCTTTACTGTTGCTGCGACCTTTGGCCATGGCTCAAACACAACGAGCTGGAATTCGCGGTGAGATATCTCACGAATTATCTGCAGTTGGTGAAGCCACTCATTGCTCCTGTCTTCGGTCTTGTTACCAATGATCTGGTCATGAACAACTTCGACACTACTGCGGATGCCAAGCTGACTGCTATCACTCCTGCTGTCGCTCTACCAACCATCCAGTACTATGACTGTCCGGCAGCTGGAAAACGGCACGATGCAAACAGTGCTTTCATCTTGATTCCGTGCTTGGATCCCGGCAGGGAAAAGTATGGCAGCGAAGTTCAATTGCCTTTTCGGAGACTGGTAGACATCTCAATGAAGTATGTCGTCCACGTGCTCCAGGTCGCAATGAGAACTTGCGACGCCTTCGAAGAACTTCCCAACAGATTGGTTCTCTGCCAAGCGATCCTGACCAACTTGAAGACCTCAAACGAACAGGCATTCGAAGACATACTACAGCAAGCCAAGAAAGACCTCCAACGTTCCTTCCAGCAATTCAGGTCAAAGTCCGAGTCGGACAACGTTCGTTCAACTTTGAATGGTGAGGCCAGAGAGATACTCGCTAGCTTCGGCCTCGCACAAGGAGCCCCAGGATCAGACGAAAGAATGCTTCAACTTGAGCACATGTGGACGCATAATTTATCACCACTGCATCTGACTATACCACACCTCGAGCGCAACAAGAAGATCTGGATTGAACAATTTGTACAACTCAGGCCTCTTCAACCTCTGCTCTTTGCTGTCACGGCCGATCTTAGCAAGGATGAATACGAGATCGCGATCTTCAGAATTTTGAGACCAGAGTGGCTCACATATGGCTCTTGGATCAATTTACAGAAGCACACGTTACACTTTGGCTTGTGGGTCCACAGGAGAGTCGTCAACGATATTGAGCAGATCGAAGGCAAAGAGGCTAGAACGAAAGCCTTCTCGAATTGGTTTCCAGACGACTTTCCTGTGGCGTACGACGTCCAGTCCAGGAACCTCGGATATCGAAACAGCCACGCATTTGTTCGCTAGAAGCGAGCCAATGGAGATTTGGCTACGGTCAAGCTCGCCGTGCCCAAGACATCGGCGCCGACAGACATCTCGTCAACTCGTGCACTGTTTTTCACAGCGAGCGGGATAGACGTGATTGATGGCAAAGGCAATGTCTTTAACAAAGCGAACAACAGAGGAGGAGTTGGTTGTGCGACGGTCTCAAAACAGGAAGTCCTATCGAGCCCTGAGGTGAAGGAACTCTGGCTGGCCGTCCTCGAAGCTCATGGCATCGATCCTGAGCTCGAAATAGAGGATCCAGACCTGGAAATACAAGAGTGGCCAACGAAGGGAGTTGGCATGCTTTTCACGAACAGACGACCTCGCAGACGATTTCAATGAAGGTTTCCTCAACAGAGAAATCTATTCTATCTTCGGTAATTAATGTAAATGGGTAGTTGCCTGTCGAAGGTGTAGAGTTCACTCACTTGGAACGAAGGCGCAAACCGCTGGGCGACTTCTCATACATTCGTCTTGATTGGCAGGTATCTCACCAAAATTCCAAGATATCAGGACCTACTGCACGAAGAGCATTTCGCTCACCAGCAATGTGTACAAAGAAGAGTAAAGAGACGGTCCCTGCGGTCGGTGCGACACTGTTACAGCTATGGTAGCGCACATTTCGGGGTCAGATCATGGAGACTTGTATGCAAAGAGGCTAACGCTGCTCAATCATTGACTAAATATTATGCTCAGGCTTGTCGCTCCAGGATCTCGTCGTGGATGAGAGCTACGCGCGCATCGTGTGGCTCGTGCGGACGAGTCCGCCTTTTGCCAATTGCTTGTCAGATGCTGACTGACAGGGGGTACGAGCTCGCTTCAACATGCCGAGAAGTCGAGTACAACCTTTTCCTTTCGCGATCCCGTTTCTTGCTCCCTTCCTCGAAGCACATTCGGTTCAACTGAGTTTCTTGAGTATACGCCTCAAACATTCTCTGTTTCCCCATGGCTACTTATAAAACCCAAAGCTATTGTGCTCCGTAGTACATCACGTGATGCCGACGCTGTAAACAGCTCTTACGCTGTAAAAATCTATCCAATTGTGGTAATTTCTCGACGAAAGTGCGTTATGGGGTCTGATTTCTGGAAATATATATTTGTATCGAATGCTATGACATGTAATCAGGTTGCGTGGTCTAGTGGTAGGATTCTTGCTTCGGGTAACTCCGCCTGTTTCACAGGCACCAATGTGAGAGGTCACGAGTTCGAACCTCGTCGCGACCCTCTTTTTGCGCCCTCACAATCTTCTCGACGAATGATCACTTTTGGACGAAACACAAGTGGTCGGTTCAGAATCAAGGACCGTGGTTCTATTCGTTTTGCACTGTTTTTAATATCTGAATCTCTGTTTTGCTGCGCAAGTGAGAGTGTCAGACTTGAGCCCAAGACTCTGTGACTGTGATGAGGTTCACCCTATCGAACTGTCCTTTCTTTCCGACCCGCAGGGAGGAAAGAGAGGACATTGTGAGATGGTGAACCGAATCCAGTCACACAAAGACAATTTCGACCGACCCTGTCAACACCATCCCACGCCGCCTTGACCCCAAGTCCATCGACCAACGACCCTGTCCGTCGATCTTTTTCATGTCGCAGCGACCGCCAAGGAGTAATTCTTCATACCGCTTTTACGCTCTTTACGCCCGCTTGCTCGTAGCGATTTGGAATATCTGAGTAGATAAGAGCCACACGCTCTACCGATTGAGCTACCCCGGCAGGTCTTTGGATCAAGTTCACTGTGTGAACTGGCTGCTGACTGATGGAAACAGGATGTGTTGTCTAAGTATATATACTCTGACAAGCGAGGGCAAAGTCATGGCAATATGCAGAGAAGACAGAATCTGGATACATCTCGCATTATGGCATTGTGCTGAGAGAAACAACCTCGTAGCACATCTCAAATCATTGGCTTAAGGCCTCAGGTACATCTCTTGTCAAGTAACAGCTAGCATTGACATAACTGTCTTACATGTATCTTTACGTCGGTTACAAAGTAACAAGAGCAAGAAAGCCGTCTTCCAGATACTTAGCAAAAAGCATGTGATTTTGACCCCAGTAGTATATCACAATTAAGAGCTTCCACTTTGGCCGGGGCTATGCATCTTAGCAATCGTGATAGCTATGCGGCCAGTATGATAACGTCAAGTGAAGTTGCACGTCACAGGCAGTATCTCAGCAGCACAGATGGTCCCTAGATTACCAGCACAGCTCATGGACATATATTTATCGAGACTCCTAGAGATTATTGCGTAATCTAATCACGAAGGTTGTTGCTTTGTGATGCTGGGCAGCAGACAGCGTTCAGGATCAGAGGAAATGTATACTGTACCTGCTGATCAGAGTTGATATATTAATTTCTCAAGCACTCTCAGGAAACAAGATGTCAGGCATACAATATCATCTAAGCTGTTTATAAGTGAAGAGCCAACCATGTAGCCTCCCCACGTGCAGAATACTGTCACACTTTTGACGAGGCGGAAGACACTAGTCTTCTTTGTCTGACCCAGCCGATGCACGCGATCAACAGCCTGATCCTCGATGGCGGGAGCCCACCAGCTATCCGAGAGGATTACTTGATTTGCAGCAACGACATTTAGGCCAACACTGCACACGCCTAAACTTGCCAACATGAAGGTACAGTCAGAATCGTCAGCGAGAGCGTGAAGTGCTCTATCTCGAAGCCCGGCTGACATGGTTCCGTCGAGCCTGCAGTATTTGAAGCCTTCGCGGTCGAGGCGGGCCTGCACAATGTCCAGAAACTTGGTCTATCACGAGCGAAAGTTAGCGGCAGTCTGATGTTTATTGCACTCAAAATGACATACCCATTGCGAGAAGACGACAGTCTTGTTTCCTGTACCCCTGGAAGCTTTGAGAATGTCGATAAGCGCTTCAAGTTTGGTGCTGCTAGCATCAAAATCGATGGATTCATCATTGACCTCATCACCAAAGTCATTGGCTGGCTGAACAAGGATCGAGTTATCCTTGAGCTCCGCGCGACACATAGGACACTTCTTCTGGGTATCAATAACGCGCTCGATACACTCTCTACCGAAAGCATGAGCGCAAGGTGTAATGACAGGACTGTGTAGGCTATCAAGACAGATGGTGCATTCTTCTTGTGATTGAATGCTCAACGATAGCATGTCCTGTAACGCCTTCATGTTTTCAGGGGTTAGTTCGACGACCTTCTGCTTTTGGATTTGGTCCATCAGGTTGGTCACGCGCTCAGAGCACATTTGCCAATGGTTGCAGACTTGACGCAGCCGGAGCAGAGTCTATGGATAAAGTCAGCACAAACCGTTGGAAGTACAATCCGTACACAAAGGGCATTGATCTCACCTCGAGCAAGTATCGGTATGTTTCAGAGGCCTTCTGGCCCTCGACCTTGCGGTAGGAAGAAAGAGTACCCTGGGCTTCCTGGAACAGCGCCATGTATCTCTCATTCTCCTTGTCTGCGAATTGGATACGATGGACAAACTCGGAAAGTTCTGGCAGCTTCAGGTCGATAAACTTCATCTCCTTGCGACGGCGCAAGCAGAATGCTGACATGATCGCCCGAAGAAGAGCTGTCGCGCTTGAATCATTCGCCTTGACTGGACGAACTAGAACGCTGTTGAAGACTTCAAGCTTCTCCAAACCGCCAGTAACTCCGATAAAGCGAAGCAGAGAGTATAAATCCTTGAGAGAGTTGATGATAGGTGTACCAGTGAGTACCCAGCGCGAGCGAGCAAGCACAGCAGTAACAGCGCTTGCACCTTTACTGCTTGGGTTTCGAATGTGGTGTCCTTTGTCCAGAATAACACGTCGCCAGTGGACTGAATACAATCCTTTCGATTTTGGTGGTTGTCCACCTGAAGCCCAGGCACTTGCCAAGGTTTGATAGGTTGTAATAACAACATCGTACTGGGAGAAGTCTTGCGGACCCATCGACTTCTTTCCCACTCCGTGATAAGTGTACACACGCAAGGGCTGATCCTTACGTACATGCCTTGCAATCTAAATCAGGTCAGCTTTCTACACTCTTGTATAATCTGCGAGTGATCTACTTGATCGCTCCAATTCGACATCACAGACAGAGGTACAACAATCAACGTAGCACTTGATTCGCCTTGCTGACTTGGCGAAAAGTCTTCCAGATCCGACACCAGAAGTGAGATGATCTCGAGCGTTTTTCCAAGACCCATGTCGTCAGCAAGAATACCACCGCTTGCAAGGACAGGCTCCTTGACCTTTATGGAGAAGTTGGTTGCGATGTTTGTGAAAGCGTTGGGGTAACGTTCGTGTCTGCGCCAGAGTTGTACAAAACCCTTGGAACCTTTGGCAGGTACTTTGGGGTTCTCCTTATCAAGCAGCCATGCCAGTGCTTGAAGCTGGTACGGAAGCATAGTTGTAGCAAGACGCATGGGTTGCTTGGCCTTGACCATAGCTGCAAGGTCATCCTCAGATGTACCAAACTGCTCTGCAGCTCGGCCAATATCTCTCGGGTTGAAACGTTCGCTTCCACTGATGATGTCTTGCATCGTTTGCTCTTGTGAGCTGTCTCCAAGACCAGGAGGTTGCGAAGCTTTGAACTGGGAGCTGGCAGTCATCTGCCGTTCGACAGTCTGTCGCGCTTTCTTTTGATCCCGCTCAAACCTACTAATATCCTGCGTGGGAAGCCTGTCAACCATCATACGTTCGCGTACTTCCTCGCTCAATGGTGAGCTTAGAGGAGGCCCGAAGAGATTCAGTGCGATAGGACAGTCGTATTGACCGATATCTCCAGATAGTGATCCTTCTACAAGTAGCCACCCGTTGTCGATAAACCTGTATAGAACCTGACACCAACAATCTTAGTGTCTAAGAAGCCATACTTTTGGTATTGATCATGAGCAACAGGAGGTGTTTGCGACGATGCAACGTTTTCGAAGATTTCGTTGTCATCTTCTTGAGGCCAAGCATCACGTTCAGCCTGACTGTGTTGCTGAGGTGGAGTCCAGGGAGGCACATAAGCGATGCGACTTCTTTGTGACGAAGGGCTCTGTTGTGTCAGAGATGGGGTTCGTGCGAATCGTCTATTCCTAGAACTGGGACCTGCAGAGCTTTGTGAATGCGAGGGGGTGCGCGCCGAGGAAGTGCGCGGCGTTTCGGCACCGTCGCCGGTGAGGTCAATGACATCGCCGCTCGAACGCTTACGCTTTGAGCGATCAGAAGCCTGCCCTTGCTTCGCATTAGGGGTCATCCAAGGATTTGATCGAGACATCTTGCACAACTCTTTGTACTCGATTTCTGACGTGTCGCAAGTAGAAGAAGCTCTGTCGCGCAACTGACTCCGGTGGCTGCGCGTTCGCGGAAGCCAAGCCTTGGATCATGATGAAACCACACTAGCCTAATGATATGGCTTCTCCTGGCGCTCGCATCTTGCACATCTCTAGCTGTAGAAATGCACAGTACTTCTTGGAGCACAACCAAGCCAGCCGAGATTCCACCTCGCAACTCTTAAGCAAATGCATTCCCACAGGCCTCTTGATGTTGGGAAAGGGTTGGAGGGAGCAACATCGGCACGAAGTCCAGAATTCTGGCTAGCTCTATCACCCTGCATACCTCCGTCTGGTCTCCGCACATCAATGCGAATGATCCCTTATCCAGACCGCGGTTGAGGCCGGGGCTTTATTATATTGCACTGCTTTCGAAGTCTGAATATCCTCCGTTTCCTGACCATCCTACCGCATCTCCAGACATACGAATATGCTCGTAGGCTACTGAAGTCGAACGTAAGTGCTGAATTCTTACGTATCGCTTCGGAATATATCTCTAGTACCTCCAGCATGCCAGAGCAGTGTTCGTAGTCATATGCACATCCAAAGCCGGGGCAAAGTGACGCTAAAGTTGGTTATCAACACGAGGAAGGAGTTCTATATCACTTGTGGAGCGAGCAATATCCCAACAAGCACATACACATGGAGGAAACATAATGAACATTGAAATAAAGTATTAGAAATTCTGGTTAACTCTCTGAATACAAATGCTGTGCAGCGCTAATGCCGCATTCCAGAGGGTAGGTATCGTTGAAAGAAACAAATCAAAAACGTCATGAATACGCATCAGCCGAGCGCGTATATTCCAGACTCCATGCAGTGTTACTTCAGGGCAACTCAGATGTTTTGCACAGATGCGGCAGCAATCAGCGCCATCAACGCTGAACTGTGTGTTGATGCATCCGCCTTGTCGTAGGGTCCTGACCACTTGAGTCCAAGACGATTTTCCGAGTCGCGGTCGTTCTTCCATATGCTTTGAGCATTAACCTCCAAGAACTGCTTCAAGCCAGGGTCAGAGGTTGCAGTGTATAGAAGCGCCACGTTCCTGTTAAATATCCCTTTGAATTGAGACACATCACCTCCGCAGCCTTTCTCGCAAGTCTCGTGCAAGACACCCTTGCTATCAGTGAGTTCATGGATTGCTGCCCAAGCGATGTCCTTCGCGATATGGATGTAGGAACTGTCGAAGCTCGCTTTTGACAACTCCACCAGTGCACCGAGAATGACACCTTGATTGTAAGACCACACAGTGTAACCGTTGTTACTGCAAGAGCCATCCAATCCGTCATTGATAGTGTTATTCTTGTTGATCATCCCAGACTGCTCGAACCATTGCCATTCCTTGACTGCCCAGTTGAGATACTTGATGTCCCATGTTCGACGAGCAAGGTGAGCAGCGACACTCAAAAACAGCTCATTGGCGATGGCGTTGACATAAGTCTTGTCTTTGTCCCACCAGATGCCACCATTGCACTTGGTTGTCCAGCCTTTGGCCATGTCATCGAAAAGCTGTTCTGCAGCTTTGAGATATGTCTGGTTGCGTGTCAAGTCGTATGCTTTGATCCATGCCAGAGCCCACCAGCCTTCATCGTCGTAGAAGTCGCTTTTCGTCGTCCAGATATTCTTGTTGATCTCGAAGGTATTCTGGAGCACGTCGTCGAAGTTGGATTTTGAATCAATTCCTTGTATATCGGCAAGAGCAGTGATGCATTCTGCGCTGTTCCACCAGCCTGTTCCATTGAACACTCCAGTGTCCTGATTGTACCAATGCATCAATGCATCAGAAGAAGATCTGGCGTGTGAGAGATAGTCGTAAGCCTGGATACCCTGTGAGAAGACGAAGGTGCCGAGAAGTGATAGAACATAGTTCGATAACCGAGCCATGTTCAGTGAATATGATTATGATTAAGGAAGAAAATAACGAAAATATATGTCTGTCCTGGACGAGCCTGCGCCTGACAAGACCTTTATAACCTGTTTCGAAAAAGTAGCGGCATGGCCGTGTGCTGCGGTTGCAGGTCAATTTATAAAAATAAAGAAGCTATCGCAACATTAAGCGGTGCTTCACACAGATCGTTCGCCTTGGCTGTTACAGCATGCCTGGTTTACAAGAGGTTCGCGCATGTGAGACAGTGACAGCGAGCTAACAAGATTCGAAGGACGAGGCAGAGCTTAGGTTGTTCGAGGCGGCTCTTCAGTCGAACGTACATACTTCTCGTCAGCTGAGCGAAAGCGAGGCTTGAGGACTTGTTCCATTAACTATACTGGAAATGCAGTGAAAGATTGACGTTGTGTTCCCCTGTTTACCTACCTTTTGTGCTGTGTGTCGAGCAGTCAATACTAGGATCTGAGACTCGACCTTGTTACAGCTTGCCGAAAGGCCCGGTAGATCGTCCAAAAATTGAGAGCGGAGACTAGCGGGGCAGCCAGATTCGAAGCGATGTAAGTCAATGCACTCGTAGATGTCCGAATGTGTCCTGAGGCCGTCCCATTGCAATTTCGGCATGGAGATCCGTTGTCGCAGATACCGCAGTGTTGGCATCGCGAGGTGTTTGAAACACGCGCAGGAAGGATGAGGCGAAAATAAGACACAGCACGAGATTCTGACGGCAATGTTCAGCGGCTTACTGTCGGTCATCACTGCAGCGCGTCGTGGAGTCGAGTATCATATGTCCAACTTACATCTGGATCGTAGTTGATTTTTGTGATGAAGGGCTTCATCCCGCACACCTCCCCAAAGCATTCTGCGATGCAAAGTAGGCGTTCGAATTTTTGTTAAAAATAGGTCATGGTCAAAGGACTCGCTGGCAAGTTTTAGCTCAGGAAAATCAATTGGCAAGATGAAACGGCCAAGTCCCTGAGGGCTCGGGCAGAACGCAGAGATAAGCGGCAGGACCTCGGAGATAACTCCCTCTCAAATTCACTCCACTTCGACACGGCGAGCAAGTATCGCGTACGGTATACATGATGGCATAGGTCATGGACAGAGCACAGTGCCACAACAGCTTCCCTACCAATTCGCTTCGCCGCAGCGGACAAAGGCAGGAGGATCACATGGACGATGCACCAGCCCCCCTGCACGACTTGCATAAGGCAAGCAAGTTCTTCCATTGCCAGGTCCCGAGCATCGCCTGTACGTGAGCCTCTCGCTGATCGCATGCCGTACCCAAGGCTGATGGTGTTACAGTCCGTCTCTGCTGTTTCTCCATGGTCTCTGGTATCATCTGTGGAGACGCTTGATCTAATGTCCTCTGGCTGGATGTTGGTGTAATCTTCATTATTCATCCGGATGTCGAACCTACCATGATTCAGTAGCATCTGAGCAGGTCTCGTGGTCTAGCGGTATGATACTCGCTTAGGGAGTTGTTCTCTGGAGCAGCTTGAAAACTCTAAGCCAATTGCGAGTGGTCCCGGGTTCGATTCCCGGCGAGACCCTTTCTTTTGCGAGACAGCCCATCAATCTGGTTACCAAAAGTAAGTGGTGAAGGACGAAAGTTGAGATGGAAATTGGGATATATTCTGGCGCGTGCGTGGGCCGAGGCTTCGCGTATGGGTAAAAGCTTTCATCGAAACTTTGGTCTTCGGAACTCATCCACAAACGGCCAGGCTTCGGGTCCCAGGCATGTTATTGTAGCTTGCGGCATCGTTGGTATCCTTGCTTTTGGATCATGACAGCTTGCGGATGTAATATCCCCAGTGTCCAACAGCTGCGTCATCCAGATTGACCATCTGTTTTGTCTACCGTAAGACAGTAACAATTAAGCAACCAGAAGAGGCTTTGCTTTTTGCAAGTCTACAAGTAATGTAGCTCAATTGAAGAAGACTTGGAATCATCAATCAGACGACGCAATCATCATCTCGGTGGTGCTCAGAGGCGACCTTTGATCACGCGAGTGGTTGTTTGAGCGAAGACGCTGGTTGGTATTGGCCGGCGGCGTACGAGTGCCTTTTGGATGAAAGTAGATTGACAAGTTCAACATTAACATAAAGTGTTAGAAAATACAATATATACAAGGGAAAAGGCCATAGAGTAAGTCATCCCAACAGGACGTTGGCTGGGACAAAAGAGAGTAAGAAGAAGAAATAAAACACAGCAATGACAGGTAGGACGACTGGGAGCGTTATCTGACATCGCGGGTTGGAGAAAGAAGAGGAAGAACAGAAATCACCGTCGTCTCATCGGCCAAGAAAGGCTAACATATATTAACAGTCGACAGACATGGCGCGAAACGCAATCTGAAGAGCGATAGCAATAATTGGTAGGACCGGTTGGGGACGAGTTCATCAAGAGCTTCCGGAGATGGCGAAGACAGATCTGGACGGCAACCCTATGCGACAGGCACAGCTTGCAAGAGCACGGCTCAGCAATCGAAAGTGCAAAGATTCAATGTCGGAAGAACGTGAAGGATTCCTCCCCACCACATATAAGATAAAGCCAAGTCCTTAGTTGGAGAATACAAAGTAAGCGGTGCCAGAAGACACAGAGACCTGATGAAATGTTAGCTTGGAAGCAAGGTGTGTGCGGATTAGACAAGACTTACTGTGCAACCGGTGGTGGAGCTGCATGAATCATAGTTCTGACCACTGCAGTACTGTCCGTTCTTGTATCTGCAGTGACCGTTCATGTTATCACCCTCAATGGTAATGGTAAAGTCGAGCTTCTCGTTGGTGGTGGGAGCATTCTGAAAGATTGCGAGCCATGCAGCACCGTTGGAGTAACCAACACCAAGGTTGAGAGGAGCGTAGTTGCCCCAGGGGTTTGCAGAGGAGCCCCATTGGCAGCCGTCCTCGGCGGAGACACCAGCAGGGTTGACGTAGTACTGAGCAGAGGTAGTCTTGCCAGTCCACTCATAGTAGGTGGCATCAGGGCAAGTCAAGTTGGCGACGCTACCGGGGTTGGCAGTGACAGGGACAGTCTCGCTCTCAGTGCCGGGGTAATCAGTGCGGCAGACAGCAGCGCTGGAGGACATCTCGTTGCGGACAAGGACGGTGACCTCGGAAGAGCCAGTAATGCAGAGGGTGTTGTAGTTGGGATTGGTCTTGTAGAGCTTGCCGTTCTTGCAGAGAAGGCCACCAACAGACTGACCGGTCAAGCCCTGGGTAGTGGGCCAGTGGGCCTTTTGATAACCGGCAGGGCAGGCGTAGGAGCAGTAACTGCCCTCGGCACAGCAGTTGCTGCCTCCACACTTGGACTTGGTGACGGTCTCAATGTTGGTCATTCCCAGACGAGAACTACCGAAGCCAGGAGATTGAATGCCAGTCCAGCCGCCGAGACCGAGGTAGCCAAGGGCGAGAGCACCGTAATCCGAAGGGAAGTCAGAGCAGTCAATCTCTCCATCAGGGAAGGAAGAGTCGATGCCAGAGGACGAGGAGGATGAAGCAGAGGGAGTTGCGCTCTGCTGTGCTGAGGATGCGCTGGTGCTAGATGCTGCGACGCTGCTGGAGCTGAAAGATGCTGAAGAGCTGGAAGAAGCCGATGTAAGGAAGGTGGTGCTGACTGCGGCGACAGCAGAGGAGGTGGAAGACACAATCGAGGACGAGGGGTCGGCGAGGGAGGGAGCACCGTTGGCCCAAACCAGAGTGCCGTTCTTGATGCCTTCGAGGACATCAGACTCGGAGATGATGTTGCCATTGAGCGAGTACATGACGACAGTGGGGCCAGCGACGAAGACGTCGACGTTCTCTGTTGCTGTAGCATCACGCTTCATTTCCTGGTGGTGGGCGTGGTGAGCATGGTGGTTGTGACGAGGCACGGCGGCGGCCAAGCCAAAGGCGGCTGAAAGAATGACGAGCGAAGACTTCATGGTTGATCGAGGTAAGAATGTAAGAGTAATCCGGAATTGCTGGTTGAGGGCGACTTTTCGAGGAAGGAATGCGATGATCGAGGCGGTACAAGCGAGTGACTTTCGTGAGGTTCCAAAAGAGTGGATAGAAGCAAGTGCTTCAGCTGGGCGTTAGTAGGGACCGGGGAAGGAAATGTCGAATGCTACAGCATGTAGGTGGGCGGCGCAAAGGTCGGAAGGAGGGAGGAGGGAGAAATGGAAAGGACGCCCCGAACTATTAAAATGATCCTGCCCGTTGCGCTCTGGAGGCTTGTCGTAAAGGAGACTGGTTCGCGTGCCTGCCAAGGCAATCTCGTACCAGTGAGCCTATTTCGATACTACTCCGCGCCGTCCTCGCCCATGGCGTGTGTTGTAAACTGTTGCCGAAAGTCTAGAATGTTGCTGCCGTATGCGTCTTGCCAGTCTCCTTAATGCAGCGCGTGGTTAACCAAGCCATCGCCGTCCACTGCGACTCGACATTCGTAGATACACCACTTCAGCAGACGTTGGATATCTATCCACTCTCATCTGCCATCCAATTGCACCAACAACAGTGTGTCGACCAGGAAATGGCAACAGACGGCCAAAATCATCAAATTTCCCCATGCAAGCTCGTTGGCCCGCCCGTCAAGCCAATGATCAACCGTCAACACACAGACCATCTGTGATTTGCACAAGGCCTCACCGATTCTAGTAATCTGCCCTGAGCTCGTGCAGCTCTCATGCGAACTGGCCCTTGACACTCGCTGCTCTGCCGAGCTTGCCGCCATTCAAGCCAGAAAAGCATTCATACGTGTTGAGAAACATCCGACCGGCCAAGGTCTTCTACGCCGGTGACTTGGCCTCTTCCTCCCCTGAGTTTGTTGAGAAAGTGACAAGGAATGCATGCCACTTGGCAGTGAGGTATGTACGTGGACGACAACAGCACAACAAGTCTGTTGTCGGCGTCGAGGCGGCTCTCTGGTCGATTTGTGAGGGGAACCAACCCTCCATGAAGGCGTTGCAATCTCCTAATTTCGCACCATCATCCCCTCAATCTGATGTTACCGCCCGGATAAGATTAGGGTTCCCTACACAAGCATCAATGATCATCTGTCGTCGTGTTACGGGGGAAAACGTGCTCATTCGGACCATGACTTGTTCGATCGATCATTATAATCGTTGTGAGCATGTTTCGGAAGCTCTAGCATGTCAACAGGAGAGGCGCACGGCATACAAGCAGAGCCTTACTTGTTTACATATCACCACCCGCTTTACAAACTCCAAATGGAGAGTCGATTATGACGCAGAGACGACTCCGACGGCATAAAGTTATGCACTAGAACCATAGTCGTCCACAATGGTGGGCTTCACGGCATGGTAAGCATGTCTTCATTTGCTGTGAGATATGGATCCATGCTTGGCCGCTGCGCTCGTCACCCTGGTCTGCCTCTATCCGCGATACAATGGCATAAACACGCGACTAATTCGAGTGTTAAACATCTGGAACTGATCCTGAGATATGGAGAAGTATATTTGGCATACTCTTGCGGCGATTGTCATGCTCGTCGTCGCCATAGCTACATATCTGGTTGCCGTCAGATTTTCTCATGACTTTCGTAAGTGTTGAGGAAACAGTCTAGAATATCTAGTTCGCAAATTGCATTTTCCAACATCGTAGTCGCATACGAGTGGCTTTAGGTCCGTGTATTGACAAGTATGTCAATGAAAGAGCTCTTGATACTCTGCCAAAGTCTTGTACCGTGAAAACCACTGCACGCGGTGGTATTCGTTATTTTATAATCCATAGTCGCAGTTTTCCTTGCAACGAGTATCACCCTGTCATGCCAAGAACATGCCATAAGCGGCCGCAATTTCCTCCAGTTCCATGTCAGCCAAGAGGGCAAAAGACAAAAGCGCCTTCCAGGCAAGACAGAGCACCAGAGAACAACACAAGACAAAACAGGATCTGCGTCACGCCAAAGATCGAGACGGCTGGGTCAAGCAAAACATGCAAAAGGAGCATTCGCCCAACCAGAGGCTCGAACTCTGAACCTTGAGATCTCTAGGTAATCCATGGATAATTAAAAGTCTCACGCGCTAACCAATTGTGCCAGCCGGGCAAGGGTGCAGTAAAGACTTGAGCACAAACTATATCGAGCGCTTGGGCCTCAGCAAACGCCACAGAAGGATCCATGCCACATGGCCATCATAAAAAGTTAGGAATTGATTCGTGTATGTACGTGTTCGAACGGCTATAGAGCAGGCCTGCTGCCATGTCAAGAAGTGTTTCACGTGTAACGCGTCAAATCCTGGAAGTGCTTCTCGCAGTCTTCCCAATGCTGCTCTCTTTGAACAGTCAAACGGTCGACACAAACCCAAGAGCAAGCTCGGCGCAAGAATGGTCGTAGCAACTCGCTCGGAGAGCACATCTCACCGCCAGGACCAACATAGTAATACTCGACCCACTGTGCACGGGGTACGAGGAACTGTTTGTTGCAGACAGAACAGTGCTGCATGCCCACCTCTTTACTTTCCAGAACTTTGCCAATTGCTGTGTTGACTGGTGGGGAAACATCCTCCGGTAGGAGTGTAGATAGCTGTCCGACGTACTGTGAGCGAGCACACGCGCGTGCACTCAACTCGAAAAGAGAGGGCGCGGCAGATCGTGTCGAAGAAGGCGGCGAAGGGCGACTAAATGAGGCCGAATAATTTGGCCCAGAGTATGCGGTATATGAGCGGAAGGGCGAACGGACTATCGCTCCATCGATCTCAAAGTAAGCAATGGAAGAGGAAGCAACGTAGGTCGATGTCGATTTGATGCCCTGAGAAGCCATGTACAGTCGGGAGGCATACAAGCGATGAAGCAGAGCCTCGTGTGATGGTTCGCTGGCGTCGATATCAGGACAGCGTGAGCGTAAGCGGCGGAGCTCACGCAAACAGTCGTCCACTTTGGAGGGCACGCTCCTGAGCATGTTCGAGGTGGGTAGAGGTAGAGGGTGTACGAAGGGGTTGGGGCTCAGAGATAGCTGTACGAGCTTGTTCTGGATCAGAGAGAGTAGCTCGAAGGGAAGGTAGGGAAGCTGGTTGCCAGCGACATTGAGTTCATGAAGGTTGCGGAGGCGGCCAATGGAAGGCGAGATGTCGATCAAAGCATTGGAGCGTAGACTGAGGACAGCCATATTACCCAGATTCCACAACTCGGGCGGAAGCTGTTGCAGTTCGTTCCTGGACAGGAACAGCTTGATGCTAGGTGTGAGGGGCGCAAAGTGGTCGTCGGTGATCTTTTGCGAATCATTGATGGGGACGGGGAGGCGGATGAGCTGATGTAGTGGTTTGAGCGTTTCGTTGTCGAGCCGGCCAAGATGCATGTCACTGCGAGGCTATCGTTAGCGCGTCGTGCAAGAGGAGAAGCCAGCAATGAAGCTACTCACGAGAGATCAATTGAGTCCTTGCAGTTGTCGACCGAGTTGAAGACGATGCTGGCGGCGCGTTCCTGGACCGAGTCTTTGGGCTTCGTCGGCGTCTGGCGCTGCGTGAGAGGCGCACCCTTCTGCATGTACTCGTTGAAGGTCAGACTCTGCACGCGACGGCTGCTACTTCCAATGCTGTCGGTCGAGCTGTCGGAGCCCAACCAGACGCCGCTGTCGCCCTTGCGCCCTCCAGCTCGAACACGCGACATGGCCGGAGAATGCGCATGCTGGTACCACGGGCCGCGTACGAATCGCTTGCGCTTGGTACCTGTGACTTCCGACTCTTCTGACGCGTCCTCACTGAAGATTGGGTCGCTAGACATGCTGCTGTCGTACTCCCATCCCGCGTGCCTCTTGCGTGACGGAAACTCGGCTGGTGCTAACGGAGGAGAACTCGGTGGCTCGTTGAAAACATCATCCGGGAGAGCCGGCGGCGACGACGGTATGTTCATTGCTGTCGACGGTAACAATCTCCACAGAGTGTTCAGAAAGAATAAGAGATAAGAAGAACGAGTCGCGTCTAAAATCGAGAGACGCGCAGGCCAGCCCCCGCACTACTCGGCACCTGGCTTATCCGTCGTTATGTCATACACATCTCGCCAAGCTGCTGCACCTGCTGCAGTCAGGCGATGCAACGGCAGCCACTTCTTATCACAACCTCACTTCATGTGCGAACATCGTCCCAGCTTCTCCCGCTACTACTGCTCTATATACAGAGGTGCACCCAATCTCTAGTTTCAATCCTGCCAATGGCAACACTCAATCCAACATGTCATGTTCGTGCGTGTAACAGCGTACTGCCTCCTTACCCAACATCGCTTGAAGGTAATGATATCTCGGATAGAGCTCTCCTTCAATGTTGAAGACCCATGGCGCCCCCTGATGCCTATTTTCTGGTGCTTCGGTAAATATCATGTGCATCAATGTCTCGTCATCCGGTTTTACATATTCCGATGCACTGGGTATGTTCCACCAGTCCTTCCACCACTTGTTCCACCTTTCCTCTGTGAAAATAGGCCATCCTTGCTCATCAAACTGTCCAGAATCCTTGTCTTGGAAGTGTCCGATTACCCATTCGTAGAGCTTCGCGTTATGGCACTCGCATACCAGCTGTCTCTGTTGGGCATTTCGCTTCTCCTTTCTTGTGATTCGCTCAAGCAGTGCCTATGGAAATTCGGCTCAGACAAGATCACGGGAACTGACCAAACACGACGTCTATTACCTTGCCATCGGACTTCGGGAACTTCTTCTTGCCGCGCTTGACAGGCAGCTCGACACGTGGCTCTACTGACCGCTTCACGTCTCGGATGTCGACAGATTGGTTGACAGAACGCTTGGCTTCAGGCCTCCCTTTCTTCGTCGTCTTGGATCCGGCCTTGGATCTGGAGCTATCACCGAGTCGTGTTTTCAATTCTGACTGATTCATGATCGCTTGCTTTGCCAGGCAGGATGAATCGCCGAGCCGGAAATCATGGGCGCATCGGCAAACATATAGGTTCATCCGGGTCTAGTGTCAGCGTTCAATGGGACAGCAGTGACCACGTCAACACGGAGCCTCATGGGCATCACACCGCTATCACCAGCGTCATTCGAAGTTCACAGTCACTTGGCACTGGACATCATGTACATCGATCTATCTTACCTCGCATGAGTAGCTGAAACTCTGGGTGACAAACCGCGAGAACAAGCACGAGAGCCCAGCGTCGATACCAGCCCTTCACCGATCTTGTACGAAGATCCACTTCCAAGATTCAGGTACTGGATGACGACGAACACGGGTATCGGACCCTTATCCCAGCCTTCAGCGAACTGCCGGAAGGACCCTTGATCGCGGTCGTTGACCGCGTGTTCGCGCGGACGGCACTTCGTGCTCAAATACGTACACTGAAAGTGTGTCTCATACGACACAAACCAAGCCGTACATCTGAGGCAGCAACATGCTCTCGCTAGACTCGTCCAATGACTTTTCGATCGTGGGCTGCCATCTCATCCACATCGTAAATGCCGCAGTCCGTATGCGACGGTCCTTAAGCACTGCGGGAAGTGCGCTACGAGAAAATCCTGCTGCAGATTAATATATCCCCGGGGAGAAACGGCATCGGTGTGCGCCGACGCTCAAGCACCGCTTCACACAAATCACAGGCGAGAAAGCAGCATAGAGAAGGGTATCTCCACGCAAGGCTCTGCGGAGCATCTTCACTGAGGTATCGATGTCTTTTGACTATCTGCTGTCCAATTTATATTGGGGATTGTTGTCCAGTGCAGTGTGGTATGTGGTTGGCCGATAGGACATACCCATCTGGCTTTATTTTCCAGGCCCAGGCGGCAGGAGCACAGAAAAGCACCGAAAGGAATTATACGGTGATGCAACCCTGAGACAAGTCACGTTGGTATGGATCTGGATACCGCCGCCAATTCGCTACTGGATTCTTCCGCAAGCGTTTGATGTGGATGGACGTCCTTTTGAGAACATCAAAGTCTCCATGCTAAAGAAATGGGAGGCATCTGAGTGGAAGGCCGAAGTGGAAAACGCGATACCCACGACAGAACTGGTCATCCGAACTGCGACTATCACGCGGACCCCGATGGCAGGCTCAGACGCCAGACAAGCTGGGGTTTCCACTCAGGTCTCTCAACCTAGAGCTGTTCTCCGAGGCGTGAATGCACTTCGAGCTGCCATCGGTTCGACTCCGGACTCCACTTCTTCTCCGGCCTTGACTACTGGGTCCTCGGGCACAATGTCACGGAAGCGTGAGGTAGCTGAGACAGCTGACCAGTGGCTCGAGAAAAGACAGAAGCAGTGTCACACATTGATACGTTATCCTCGACAGTCGAAGTCGTCTTCTCAATCGTCTAGAGGATACCCGGACTCTCAATCATCTTACCAACCATCGCAATCCAGAGGCACTACCCGGGCGTTTTCAGAGTGGTCAGGTATAGATTCGCCTATGGATATGTCTTCACCGAGTGGCTACTCGACAGATGTGACGTTGTATTCGCAGAGCCCGGAGGCGTCGTCAATGGTATTTCAGAAGAGTGGGCGCGAGCAACAGATGAGTGGGCAGTATCAGCAGAGTCAGGCAAGAGAGGTGGCAGCAGAAGCTCAGGGAAGACAAGGCGAGGCGCGATCAATAGCATTGATCATGGATCGATTGCCCATCGGTGTGTTGAACATGATGGAGCGGCTTCCAACATGGCAGTGGGACCCGATAGTGATAGCCATACTCTTCGAAGCAGTGGATACTCCATATTGTCCAGACCAGGAGCGCATGCGGCGTCTCTTGCAGAGGTTGGGAGAAGTCGAGGAGGAGGAGGGCTATGGGGGGTACGAGCAGTACGAGCAGTAGGAGCAGTACGAGCAGTACAAGGACTGCAGGGTGGACGGGGTGGACGGGTTGGACGAGGACGAAGAGGGCGACGAGACGGACAGTGAGGACGAAGAATGCGACGACACGGTCAGCAACGACGACGATGAGTCTGCAAACGATGACTCTGGAGACGACGAGGACATGAAAAGCGACTTCGAGTATAGCTATAGACAGACAGCATAGGGTTAGCAGGTATATCAAAAGTTTTTTCTTTTCCAGTTGTTTTGCGTGACAATGTTTTCTGTTGCTTTGCTCTTTTGATCTCCCTCTCTCTCTTCCTCTGTGTTTTGCATTTCGAGTCATCTTGTTGATGCTTGTGCGGAAGAGACAGCATGGCGGCTTGGCAGATTGTGGGGGCGGAGGGGCAGTCGGTTGGTAAGCATCGCCCATCAGACTATGTCATTTCTATCTTTCCCTCTGTTTGCCAACACCATCATCCACACCTAATGGAGGCACGTGTAGATTCCAGGGCCGCCTCGGTCGAGGGCAACGACAGTGCAGACATCAACGCTCCCCTGAAGGCGGCGCCTAAGCTTGTGGCACCCGAGCCAGGTACCAAAGACTCCCGCTGCTTCCACGATGATCGCTGACATTATTGCAGAACACTGCCCCGGCCCAGAAAGTCAGAGCGCTGGCAAGGGCGATGCCTGCGCCGGCTGTCCCAACCAGCAGATTTGCGCCACCGCTCCCAAAGGTCCCGATCCCGACATCCCTCTGATCACCGCCCGCCTCGCCTCCGTAAAGCACAAGATCCTCGTTCTTAGCGGAAAGGGCGGAGTCGGCAAATCCACCTTCACAACCATGCTGGGCCATGCCTTTGCCGCAAATCCCGACGCTCAAGTCGGTATCATGGACACGGATATTTGTGGGCCAAGCATCCCGAAGATGATGGGCGTGGAGCAAGAGACAATACATGTCAGCAATGCTGGCTGGAGCCCGGTATGGGTTTCGGAGAACCTCGGTGTCATGAGTGTCCAATTCATGCTACCCAATCGCGATGACGCCGTCATTTGGCGTGGCCCAAAGAAGAATGGCCTCATCAAGCAGTTCCTCAAGGACGTCGAGTGGGGCGAATTGGACTATCTTGTCGTCGATACTCCCCCTGGCACTAGCGACGAACATCTTAGTGTCAACAGCTTCCTCAAAGAGTCTGGCGTGGACGGTGCCGTCGTTGTCACAACCCCTCAGGAAGTCAGTCTGCTTGACGTGCGCAAGGAGATTGACTTTTGTCGCAAGGCAGGCATCAAGATCCTCGGCATTGTCGAAAACATGTCAGGCTTCGTCTGTCCCAAATGCACTCACGAAAGCCAGATCTTCAAAGCCACTACCGGCGGCGCCAGGCGTTTGGCTCAAGACATGTCTATCCCTTTCCTCGGCGCTGTTCCGCTGGATCCTCGCATCGGTATGGCTTGTGATTTTGGTGAGAGTTTCTTCGACAACTTCCCCGACAGCCCAGCATGCAAGGCTCTACGTCATGTCGTTCGCAGGGTCGGTGAAGAGATGGGTGTTGACACCTCTTATCAAGAAGATTGAACATGTTGAGCAAAGACACAGCATACCACTCCCATCTCCGAGATCACTACGAGCGAGAGCATACCGCCCCTCCACAATCCTTCCAGAACACCAGAGCTTCTGTCCGCCAAGCAGATGCAGTTGCAGACCACGGCCTTGTGGCTACAACGCCAGCCGTGTTTGAAGGCTTGGTGCTGAAGTCAAGCTTATAGCTGTGCTCCTTCAAGTTCGCGAGGGAAGATAACTCGCGGCTCGTCCATACTAGATCGAGACCGAGGTCGAAGTGTGTTCGTGAAGATCAGAGTCGGGTGCGAAGCTGACAACAAAGCATGGACGCCAGAGAGCTTCTATGCAGCGCGACACAAGGCCAGAACGTGGCTCTAGACAGTTTGTACAATTCCTCGCGCCATTGAGAAGTAACGAGGATGCGAATGTAGCCATTGCCTTCCATTTATGAGAACGCGAGCAACCGACGCCGTCCTGTGTGAGCACGAGTGCAAGTCCGAAGAAGGTGAATGTCGCTCCAGTCTCTGAAGGCCAGAAAAAATCTCCCTCGTCATAGTAATTGTTGCTACAATTGTAGATTGAAAGCCTGCATAGCGAGAGGTGTCTTGATGACTGTTGAATTTTATATTAAGCTATGTCATTGGCAGTCCTGACATTTTGTATCTTGGCTTGTTGGCAGCAACTAATTCTCGTGATCGATACTATGGAAGAGCAAATGCTAATTGCAACGAGACACTGTAGCAAGAGCGGCTCTGCAAAGGATCCTTGGCCGCATACTTGGTCCGTGGCGTATCGGCGCAGCCGCCTTTGTCGACAACATTACTTCTCGTTGACGCCTGCCCTGCTCAATCGATTGCCATGGGATCACCAGCGGTGCCCTCGCCTGTGTACTTGCGCGACTTCTTCTTAGGCTGGTCATCAAGGTCAGGACTTCTGGATGGATCTCCTGTCTTGACTTCCTTGTGCACCACTTTGCGCTTGTTCTCCGCTGCTCTTTCTTCCACAAAATCTTTGCACTTCTCTTCCCGGTGGCATTTGTTGCACTTGCTGCATTTTTGTGGTGGGGGAAGATCAGGTCTGTGAAAATGGCATCTGCCGCACTCGCATCGAGTGTGGTTCCATGAGTGTTGCCTGTGACAATAAGCGCAAGAGATGATATCCTTGGACAAGTTTTCGATAGGCTTGGAGCTAGCTGTGGCCTCGGGAACTGGAATTGTCTTTGCGTTGGTGTAATTCTGCCTCATAGGCTTTTCCTCTGGCTCTGCTTCAGTATCGAATGACGGACTCGACTTCTTCTTGGCCTTGAGAGTATCTCTCAAGCGCAGCACGTCTGCTTCTCCAAGACGACTGCTGAAGATTGGCCTCTTTGGCGGCGCTCTGTAGAATACGCACTCGCCTCTATGTTTCTTCTCGCAAGTTTCGCAAGCGCATGGACCTACATGCCATGTATTGCACTCTTCGCACGCTCTGCACTCTGCTACATGCCACTCTTTGCATTTCTCACAAAGGTGACACACGCCAACGTGTCGTTTGAAGCACGATTCGCAGAAATGACATGTTCCCATGTGTCTTGTACAGTCTTTGCAAACAGGTCTGCAGTCTCCAGGGTGAGACATGGAACATGTCTGGCAATATCCGCTTACTCTCGAACTCTGAACAGGCTGTTTAGAAGGTGGGTTTGGCGTGTCTGACTGTTTCGGGTTCTGATCATGATACTGCAGCCCTGGGATACGAAGCATTGGACTGTACGAGGAGGGAGTGGCCGTAGGATGTCCATTTGTAGTAGACGGAAGGCTCCTGGATGAAGATCGTAGTGAGGATGTCGCAGTCTCCACCTTTGACTTCCTTTTGAGCCTCTGCAGCACCTCTGTACAAATGTTTGGGGGTAGACCTGGATTCCAGATCAATATGATGGCCAAGTGAAGCTGATGCGGACGAGCATGAGTTGGTAGTGGCCGTCTGTCTAGCCCGCTGGGGAGTCGAAGCTGGAGTACTACGCAAGAGTACCGAATTAGCACTTGAGATCCTCGAGACCGAGAAAGTTGGAGGTCGAGAGACTGACGGTCGGAGAGGAGGATGTGTTGTTTGTGTCTGAGATGGACCGCCATCTTCACTCATTCGAAATGGGAGGTCATCAGGAGTACGGATGGAGTTGTGGTGAGATCCGGGACTGTGCGCAGGAGCTCTAGCGATGTTTGGACGATGCGAGTGGTCAGATCTTTGCGATGATTGTAGTGCCCAAGGTGAGGGCAAGCCTGGCAATAGGACATGTCGGAGACGGAAGTGAGGGTAGGTTGGCATTTCGCGATATTAGTCCCCAAAAATGTGGAGGCGGAGGCGGGGGAAACGGGAAGTGGCCGGTCCAAGTTGGCGGAGCCCAAGATGGTGGTGGGTGTGTTGACAAAGTCGCGGATGTTTTGCAATACTCATAAGCTCTCTAGATTGCGGAAGAGTGCAGTGAGTCTGTTGTAAGGATGGATCATCCTTCATAACTTGCGGTGCATTAAATGTAGACGTATCCCCGAGACTAGATTCGATATCAGAGTCTGACGAAGGGGATGAGACGGTGTCAGCTGTGGCCTCAGAGCCGAGTCGTCTGAGCTGACGGCGAGCAAGTTGAGGAGAAGATGAGCTACGGCTGGCCCTGCGAGCAGAGCGCGGCTCAACAAATAACCGTGTACAATTCATCTATATTGTTGCGGTCCAAAAGAGTATGTCTTATGTTGATGTGAATCTGAATGGGTCTGCAATGATGATGAGTATGAATCCATCCTCGATTTGTTTTGATATTGTTCTTGAAAGTATCGTTATGCCTACTCTACTTTCCTCAACTTCTTCCTTGGCCTCTCCTGCTGATGCGATTCGCTTCTCGCGGAATCACAGTTGACTGAATGACTTTTGGGCTTCTTCAATCTTCCTTCCTTTGACTTCTTCTTTCTGCCTTCCGCTTCGGAGATGGGAGTGTAACATGCTTCTCGGCCATCCATCTTCCGCTTCTTTGTCTTCACTGTCTTTGAATCCTCGAGAGAGCTAGGCTTTGACTTGGTCGACTTGCCCTCTGACCTTCCTTCAACATCGTCGTGAGCATGAGTTTGCAGCTTCCTCTACTTTTTCCTTCATATTCGTCTGGTGGACCCGGACTTGGCAGATTATCGCTCTCGATGTTGGAAGTTCCATCAGACCTTGGGATAGAGTTGCGTGTCTTGTAGCCGCTCTTCTTCTGCTTGGACATACCCTCGACTCCCTTTCGAGCCACATAATCAGGGTTGCCAGAGTAGTTTCCGCGGTTCACCGAAACGTTCTTATGCTTCTGCCTCCGTATCATCTCGTCTGGATAAGTAGAGGTGTGAGGCACGGTGTCAGACTTCCAGTTGGGATGCCCTGATAATTCGGTGTTCGACTTAACTGCCGATGGACCTTCGCAATTTGAACGAGGCTGTCTCTCATCTGGGTGACGACGCTTGTTCTTGACCGGCTGGACTCGAGAATTGATGTGATTATTGACAGGCAGACCTGTATAAACCTCCGAGGTCATGTTGCTGTTGGAAGCAGTTCCATATCCATGGGAGTTGTCCGCTTCAAATCGTACCAAGACTTCCTGATGAGCGAGAACAGGTGTTAGTTCGGTGCGAGCATGGTAGGATCGAGAGTGGCTGAAGGCGTTCGGCGCTGTTTTGTGGTAGGAAAATTGCTGAGGGTCAAGGTCCGATGGTGGGAATGGAAGTGCTGTCCAGCCAAACGCATCTTTGTGTTTGTTCCACGACCGATTGGCCGAATGCGCAGACGCAGACGAGCTTTTTGATTGGAGGGCTCGAAGACGGTCATTCTCAATTCGTTGCAGGGCGTCAAGCGCGTTGAGTTTGCCCAACAAGTCATAATAGTGGTGAACAGAGATACCTAGTTGGGCCATGATCGTCTGTCTTGAGTTTGAAAGAGTATCGTTGGCATACTCTGGCACGCTCTGAGGATGCACAGCAAGCGGATCTTCAGGAGGCTGGTCGCGACTCAGTCTTCGTTCGTCGACCTGTGTGTCTAGGTTACGACTGGGAGCCTCGATCTCTCGCTTCACATCAACCTCTTCGTCTTTTATGATAAAAGCAGATTGGCTTGACTTGCCAGGCCCAGCAGACTCATTTCTGAGTTGCTTCAATCCGTCAGACACTGGTACTACTCGAATGTGTGTGTGATCACGTACCAGTTGAGGATGTAGTACCCATTCGTAGTCACTGTAAGGCATTTTGCTGCTGGTAAAAGCATATGGCGCAAGCTTGTGACATGCATGTTTACGATACCACCAGATCCAAAGAATCAGATTGTTCGCATGTCTGGAATGCTTGGGCCAGATTCTATTGCGAACTCAATCGTACTTGACAATGCTTCGTGTTCCATCGGAAGTCCTGACACTGGCTTTCAGCTCCGGATTGTCGATTTTCCATCGTGCTGCCGTGATTGCTGGGGGTGGCTCTGTAAACGACTTGGAGGAAAATCAGCTCTGCAGTGTCGTGCTCACGTTAGGATTCGAGGTCATACCTGTTCGTTCAACCCGTCGTAAACGTGGAACCAATCCGGAAGACCACGCGATCTCTTCATCACGAGGTTCAAGGCGCTTTGACAAGGCTCCAGATATCGTTAGCGGTCAATTGACAGGTCGAAAATCAGAAGGCTCATCAGAGAATGCAAACAACGAGAAGCAAGAGAACATCGTTTGCAAAGGGCTCACAATGTAAACAGAAGATCGAGGTGTTCGTCTCCAGAGCAACGTTCAGCCCTGCTTCGGAACGTGTGTTTCCCGATAGTCAGTCATCATCGATGGTTCTGACTCAACCTTCTGGTGCATGCGAGCTAACAGACGACCAGGGTGAGTCTAGTGAAGATCCTGTGGGCCAGAATTTATCCCAAGCCGTCCGTGCGTTTCACCCGCAGGCATCGATGTACAGGCTCGAACACACCAGTTGTGATGTCTGCAGAGGTCGAGTAGTGTAAGATATGTGGGGATTCTGCTTCAAAACGCTATACAGAAGTGCGCGGTAGGTTGAAACTGAAAGGAAGCGGATGATAAGGGACGAAGATGACGATAATGAACGCGAAGCCGACATAGTCCTCGTGCCGATCATACAAGTTCATGGACCGTGTGCCGTTTAATCTACTTAGCTCGACACATGAGCAGTCAGCGATCGAACAGCTAGTAAGGAAAGTGATGTTCGTCCGACCGACGCGTGGCGTCTTCTCACCTCTGCAACGCGAGGTTGCCTACCTTCCACGGCATGCGAGCTCGAACGGTTTCACCTTACGCCTGTATCCTCCACGAAACAGGCGTCGCGCGCCTAGTCAAGACTGTCGAGGGAAGGCGACGATGTGATCTGAAAGGGCCGACACGATTTCCAATTTCACAATGGGCGATTCGTTTACAGGAAGAGTTCAAAAGAAAAGGAAAGAACCGACGCAAAGAAGTACCTCCGCACATCAGGTCCTCGCTGCCTCCTTCAAAGAGATCTCCCTGCCGCGATGAGGTCGAGGGAGCGAGACTCCAGTTCCAAGGTCGCGGAAAATGTCGTCGTGCTCCACAGGCGAAAGACGGCCAAGCTCTCGGACACCATATGAGACCACCAGTATTTCTGAGCACGATCAACGGTGTCGATGCTGGATCTAGCTCTCGTGGTCAACAAAGGACCAAAAATTTGGAACAGAGGCCGAGTCGAGGCGCGACATCTAGACAACGGGCCCAAGCACCAGTCTTGAGGCAGAGTTCACGGCCACAAGAAATGTCGCGAGAGAAGGTCCAACAAGGGAGAAGCACGAGATACCACGGCCCTTCTAACAGACCGCCGAGACAGAACGAAGTCGCCAGCTCAACGAGGCAGGTATCGAACAGCCACTCTTCCAGGAACACCATCCAGCAAAGACAAGTCCACCCACCTCAGCTGGTTGAACGGGATAGGCGAAGCAGCACGCGGAACCGGACTTCGAAAGGGCCGGGAATTCGAAGCAGGCGCGGACAACCACCACTCAGCAATCGCGTGCTGGACAAATTCGACCATGTAATAGAGGTCATGAAGCGCACGGATAGAGGAAACTCACAATCTCCTATATGAGTGAACCAAAGCGGGCGGTGATGGTTTCAGAATTACGGAATGTGCAGAGTTGTGCAGGGATGTGAAGGATTGTGCAGAGTTGTAAAGGATTGTGGCAGGCTTGCGTGTAATGCTATTGTTGTTGTGTATTTACAGGTTCCAGACGACAACACGGCCATCGACGCCACTGGTACTGATTTGACTGACTGAGTCAAGAGAACCAGCATATGCGCGGACAGTGCTGATAGAGTTTTGGTGTACAGTCTTCAGTTGAGTATCGTCGATAACCTTGCCACGAAGGTCCATCTGGCGGAACATGTTCAAAGCGGATTCATCACGTTGATTAGCAGCGCCAGACTTTGAGGTGCTGTCAAGCGAACCAACGAGTGACCATCCAGACGAGGAACCCGAGAAGCGGAAGGGCTCGCAGTCCTGGCAGCAAATCAGTCATTTGAATACCAATAATCGAATGTATCTCTGCTTACGTAGCCAGCACAAACAATCTCGCCTTCGGCAATCCATAGAAGATCTGCAAAGGGAAGAACTTGAGTGCTAATGTTGATGACAGCGTGAGGAGGTTGGCCCTCGCCAGCGGGATAGGCGACTGTCATTGTGGAGTCATGGCTGACAAAGGCCACGGCATCTCCAGAAGGACTGAAGGCAACGCTCTTGACCCAGCCTGAGTGTATAATAGGTTAGCAAGTTGTGCAGAGGGGAGCATAAGTAGGGACAAACGTACCGGCCGTCTGATTCAAGAACTCGCCGCAAATGGTGTTGAAAGGAAGACGCTCGCCCCAGACAGAGGGAGAGGGTCTTTCATCGACGCCTTTGATGAAGGCACTGAGGACACGAGCGTGGCCATCGGTGCTGCCCAAGGCGACCAAGACACTGTTGGGGTGCCATGCGACGCTGGTGACGGTGCTGCGAAGGGGCTTCTTGAGGTGTTTGGAGACCCACCAATCGTTCTCTTCTTCAAAGTAGCAGACAGCGGCAACCCTAGCGCCACTACCGACAGCAAACTTGGCCTCGTTGGGAGACCATCGCACGCAGGTGGCAGCTCTGTTGATGCGGAGGAGGACGAGAGTGGGGCGCCAGGAGCCGTTCGAAGGTTCCCAGACGTAGGCGTTGCGGTCCTGAGAGCAAGTCACGATCTTGCCCGAGTTGGGAGCAATGTCGACACCGGTGATGAGCTTGTCGTGACCGCGAAGCTCATCGTTGAGGGCAAAGCGGGAGCCGCTGGACGAGTAGAGCTCGACGGTGTTGTCTCTGGCGACAGCGAGCGTCTTGCGATCGGCCGAGAAGGAGTGGTCGGCGATTGGGTTGTTGAAGAGATGGTGGACTTGAGGAGCGGCCATGGCGAAAGGTGAGACAGGAGTATCTCTCTACTGTCGTTGTGTATGATGCAAGGTGGGCAGATTGCGTGTCTGCGAGCTGAGGGGAGAGCAGGCCGAGCTGCGGGCAGTGACGACGCCGGGGAAGTTGCCGATCGACGCCGCAGCCAAAGTCGCTTTGCGCCCGCCGCCCTGACGCTGTCGTTAAAACTACCTATACCATCCACCACTCGCCATATTCGCTCCGACCTCCCTGTCACGCTATCATAAATGGCTTCCAAGGCTGCACCGCCGACCGGCGCCCGCCCCAATCACACGCTATACTGCTCCAACTTGCCCGACAAGCTCCAGAAGGATGACCTCAAACGCGCATTGTACATGCTCTTCTCCGTCTATGGCTCCATCCTCGACATTGTCGCCATGAAGACCAACAAGATGCGCGGTCAAGCTCACGTCTTGTTTCGCGATGTCTCGTCCAGCACTCAAGCTATGCGATCCCTCCAAGGCTTCGAATTCTTCGGCAAAGAAATGGTACGACCATTATCTGCCTTCTCCAACCTCAATGTCTCGCTAACACTGTTGAAGAAAATCACTTATTCGTCAACCAAGTCCGACACGCTTGCGAAACTCGATGGTACCTACAAACAACCTCCTCCTGCCGAGACCCCTGCTGCCGCGCAGCCAAACAGTCTGCAGCAGTCCATCTTTTCCGGCGCTCCAGGCGCATCTACTGCGCCTGGCGCGACGGCCCCATTGGCTCCGCCGCCTGCGCTTGACTCGACTGTCAGCGCACCAGGCCAGACTGCTGGTGTGAAGCGCCCCAGAGATGAAAGTGATGACGACAAAGAGGAAGAGGCTCCTATGGACATGGACGATGAAGCCATGGAGGAAAGTGACGACGAGTAGAGACATGCGATCATGCACGGCGCAAATCTGTGCTCGACACATTCAAGCCTACACTTGCTCCGACAACACCCAGCCAGAGAAGCATGTAATCCTGGACCCGAACATCCTCAGCCCCTGCGGCGCTCATTGTGTCTGCGGTGCGGCAAGGATGCACGAAATATGCAGGCATTCCCGTCTCAGGATGGTCCTGCGGTGAGATGGTCAGCAGGATTCGTTGATCCAGGAATCCACAATTACCGTCATGGACAGAGCACCTATAACACCTACACCGCGCACCGCATCTTGGAAGTGCAGCGGTACAACAAGGTTGAAGAATTGGGAGGCAGGAAGCGGAGGGCTAGTGGTCATGTATACCACGGGTACTCTATAGCTTGGAGAGAGCAAGATATCATAATATACAGTGACCAGTGTTTCGTCCTGGGGCTGTTTGATTATGGCTTCCTCATCAACATCGTCTTCGTGTGATTCGCGATTCGGAACATCAACAGGTTCATGATCATCCTCGGCCTCAATAACAAGAAGAGCAGCAGCCAAGCGTCGAGTGATGCGCAAACCTGGCAAATCACCCACAAGCAGGGTGCTGTCAGGCAGAATTCTCCGAACGTGTTCGCAAGCTTCGATGAACTCGTCAGGTGCGAGCGAGGGGAAAGCAGAAAGCTTTTCCATTGCAGTGCTGGATAACTTATGCTGTTCTCATCAAAACAGGTGGATGGCACGGGGGTTTGACGTACGGCGGAGCTGTCGGCGGTGTTCTGGATCTCGATAAAGTTACCCGGGGCTTCCTTGGCGATTCGATCATACCTGGTTGCTGTATCAGCTTCCTCCTCGACACTTCGCAAGAGTACCTATCTACACGCTGTATTGATCCATCTCCCCTTCTGTATTCCAGTTCGTCTGTCCTACTCGTTCTAGCTCTGTCGAACTGCACAGTCTATTCTCGACCATGGCCCCTACTGGCGAGAGCCACACTCCGCTCAAGCGAGCCAGAGTGCGCTTGATCTGTTCCACCACCACAAGTCGCCATTGCTGACCACACACTACTTGACTAGGCTTCGACCGATGAACTCGACAATGACTCGCAGAAGAAGCCTCGCACTGTACAGCCCACCCATCTACCATCGCCAGACACGCGCAAAGCCTCGAACTCGACCGAAGGAAACTCGAATGCCGCTTCCCAGTTATCCGAGAAGCGTGATTCATCTCCTCCCTTTGCTGCAGGTCTGCATTCGCCTCCATCCGACACCCAGCCATACAGTCAATTCCTACCACCGCCACCCATCAGCTATGAAGTCGAGGACGAAGAAGCCGAGGGTGTCTGGGGCTACCTCGTGCCACTAGACGGTGTCTCGGAGCCTTTAGTCTTGAGACGTCGTGCAGCATGTCCTGTTCCTCAGACAAAGATCGGCCGCACCGACGGCAAGACCGCCGTACCGCGAGATGAATATCTAAATCAAGAAGATTCGTACGAGAAGGAAAAGGCGGAGAAGGGTATCCCGGCTGGCGGCTACCTGATTGGACGACATCCCGAGTGTGGTAAGTGCCGACCGCCGCATGTACAAGCTACTGGATCTAACTCTCCGGCCAGACCGTATCATCAAGACCCCTACAGTCAGCAACCGCCATTGCCTGCTTTTCTGCGAAAACAAGGACAGCGACCAGATTGCTGTCGTCGAGGATCTTTCAGGCAACGGCACCTACGTTAACAATGCCATTGTGGGTCGTAACAAGCGACGTGATCTCTACGACGGTGACGAACTCTCCATCCTGGATGTGGCTCGCTTCATCTTCCGATACCCGAGCATCCGCGACACTAATGGTTTCCGCCAGCAATACTCGATCCAAGGACAGCTCGGAAAAGGTCATTTTGCTACAGTCTACCTATGTACAGAGAAATGTAGTGGTGCCCGCTACGCCGTCAAGAAGTTTGAGAAGCGCCGAACGACCACCAACTCTCAAGCCGCCGAAGAGAAGAGCAGAGTCGATGGCCTGCAACAAGAGATTGGTGTGCTAATGGGGGTCTCGCATCCCAATGTTCTATGTCTCAAGGATACATTTGACGAAAGCGACGGCGTGTACCTGGTCCTCGAACTTGCCGCGGAAGGCGAATTGTTCAACTGGATCGTCGCGAAGCACAAGCTGAGTGAAGCAGAGACCAGGAAGATATTCGTGCAACTTTTCCAGGGTATAAAGTACCTGGTACGTTTGAAATTACTGCTTTTGAGTCTTGACAACTTGACTAATTCGCTGCAGCATGAACGCAACATCGTCCATCGCGATATTAAACCCGAAAACATTCTTCTCCTCGATCGTGAACTGAATATCAAGATCGCCGACTTCGGACTTGCTAAGATCATTGGAGAGGAGTCATTCACATCCACTCTTTGCGGCACGCCTTCGTATGTTGCACCTGAAATCTTGGAGCAGGGTAACCGCCGTAGATACACACGTGCTGTTGACGTGTGGTCACTGGGTGTTGTGCTATACATTTGCTTGTGCGGCTTCCCACCGTTCAGCGACGAGCTCTACTCTCCTGAGAATCCATACACGTTAAGCCAGCAGATCAGAATGGGACGTTTCGACTACCCTAGTCCCTACTGGGACAGCGTTGGAGACTCTGCGCTCGATCTGATTGACAAGATGCTCACAGTCGATGTTGAGAAGAGAATTACGATAGATGAGTGTCTCGAGCATCCATGGACGACAGGACGTACAGACGGCCAGGGCAAAATGAGCTTCGGAGCAAGCATGGAAAGCACAGACGGTTTGACAGGAGCGCTGAACAATCTGGATTTCTCGAAGCGAAAGCCAGTGAGAGAGAGGACGCTGTTGAGCTCGATCAACGATGCGACTTTCTTCAAGACGCAGGCTACCGAAAAAGACGACCGGGATATCAAGGTATGGGAGCAAAACAAAGACCATGATAAGCGAACGAACGTCAAAGACGAGGTCGTACCTGCACATGCAAGAAATCCTGATGAATTCGTCAAAATGGGCGGCAAGGGAGATGAAACGCTATACGGTGATGAAGAGGTTGCGAAGAGAAAGGCAAAAGCAGAGGAGGCAAAGGCATAGGACAGACGATAGTACGATAATTATGGTAGTACGACAGACACTTTGATGGCATCAATTGACCCCTTTTGTCTCCCCGTGTTCGAACTGAGAGTGAAAGCAGGCTGTAGAAATGCACAATGATGTTATACGATACGGCTGAACTGCTCGCGGGAGGCTCTGTTTTGTTGTTCGCTCTCCCGCAGATGCCACGGGGATTCGAATGTCATCATGCATTTCTACAGCCTCGAAGCGAACGATTGTCTGGCTGGAGGAGAGTGGACACTTGGAATGTAAGATTCTGAGGCCATGATTTTGAGCGTACAAGATTATGAGGCCATGTTTCTGGGGAAATGGCATGATGACTGACCATGGCAGGGTCATCATACGTTGTTTGAGTGGCTTTTGCTGGGCAGGGGCGGCGTTCGGGAGATGATCAGACCATAATTTCAGGGACAATAATAATAATTATCCGCGCGGGCGCCTCTCAACACGCCGCGTTGGACTTCTCTCTACTACTGGACCTCCGCAACGACAATGGGTGTGTTGGCTACTGTTACTGACGCCGTTTCGGTGCACCTGGGCGACAAGCCTCTTTGGCTCGCCGTCTCGATCGTCGCCGGCGCAACTCTCACTCTCGCCATCGTCCTCAATGTGCTCTCACAGCTGCTGCCCGTCCGCCGCAAGGGCTCCGACCCACCACTCGTCTTCCACTGGGTGCCCTTCATTGGCAGCACCGTGACCTACGGCATTGATCCCTACAAGTTCTTCTTCAAGTGTCGCGAACAGGTTTGTTGTCGCTCGGCAACTCTCGATCTACACCACACTAACTCTTTGTTTGCAGTACGGCGACACCTTCACCTTCATCCTACTCGGCAAGAAGACCACTGTCTGTCTCGGCACAAAGGGCACCGACTTCATCTTGAACGGCAAGCTCAAGGATGTCAACGCCGAAGAAATCTACAGCCCCCTGACCACTCCCGTCTTCGGCACCGATGTTGTCTACGATTGCCCCAACTCGAAGCTCATGGAACAAAAGAAGTTTGTCAAGTTCGGTCTGACCACAGAAGCCCTCCGCTCCTACGTATCGGTCATTGCCGCAGAAACAAAGGACTTTGTCGCAAACTCAAACTGGTTCAAGGGCAGCGCTGGCGACCTCAACGTGCCCAAGGCCATGGCCGAATTGACCATCTACACTGCCAGTCGCTCGCTCCAGGGCAAGGAAGTCCGCGCAAAGTTCGACAGCACCTTCGCCGACCTGTACCACGACCTCGATATGGGCTTCACTCCCATCAACTTCATGCTTCCCTGGGCCCCTCTGCCCCAAAACCGCAAGCGTGACGCTGCTCAGCGCAAGATGACGGAGACATACATGGAGATCATCAAGGCTAGACGTGACAGTGGCAAGACGGAGCCCGAAGATGGTGAGACGGACATGATCTGGAACCTGATGAACTGCGAATACAAGTCTGGCCAGACCATTCCTGACAAGGAGATTGCTCACATGATGATTGCGCTGCTCATGGCTGGCCAACACAGCTCTTCCGCTTCCATCTCATGGATTATGCTCCGTCTGGCTTCTCGCCCAGATATCGTTGAGGAACTGCTTGCCGAACAGAAGGCCGTCCTTGGTGCCGACCTGCCAGAGTTGACCTTTGAAGACCTCTCCCGCTTGCCTCTCCACTCTCAAGTCGTCAAGGAGACTCTGCGCCTGCACAGTCCTATCCACAGCATCATGCGTGCTGTCAAATCGCCCATGCCCATCGAAGGCACTCCCTACGTCATTCCTACTACCCACGTCCTGCTGGCTGCTCCCGGTGTTGCATCCAAGTGCCCTGAGTATTTCCCTGAGCCCATGCTTTGGGAGCCTCACCGATGGGACGCCGAGGATAGCAGCAAGTACTCAAAGCTCAAGCCTATCATTGCTGCCAATGCAGACGATGATGAGAAGACTGACTACGGCTATGGTCTGGTCTCCAAGGGTGCCAGCTCGCCGTACCTTCCCTTCGGTGCTGGCAGACATCGCTGCATTGGTGAGCAGTTTGCCTACGTGCAGCTGCAAACCATCCTAGTGACCATGGTTCAGACCTTCAAGCTCCGCAACCTTGATGGTCGCAAGGGTGTTGTTGACACTGACTACTCGGTAAGTTTGGACCCATGATGCATGTTCTGAAAGGACTTTACTAACTTATCCATGTCTGCAGTCATTATTTTCACGCCCCCTTACACCAGCCTCAATACACTACGAGAGAAGAGTCAACGAGAAGGCATAGACAAGACTTACGGTTTCAGATTTGTACAGCTTTGTAATACTCAGCATGGTAATAGAGGTCAACGTTTCGCGGATAAGCATTGTGTTATCTTGGTGTGCGCACATCTGGTCGCGGCGCCCAACTCATTGTTAATTTCACTCACGATTTTTCATCCAGCTTTTATAGTTCTCACCACATGTGCTCGGTTATGCCACCGGTGTCAATATGGACAGTATCTATGTCATGAGGAGTGTCGTCACTCGTTTACTGGTACGTTCGTTGGCTGTGAAAAAAAGGTTTGCTTGTTGAAGCAGCGCTCGGATGTAGGCGAGTAGCAAAATCTTTTGTAAAATTTGCAACAATTTCATTTTCTCTTTCTTCTCCCACACTCCTTTCTTCGGCGGCTATGATATCTTTTGGAAAGCGCTTTCGGTCCGCGCATGTTTCTGACGAGGAATCGCAGACCTCTCCCCGACAAGAAAATCATTGCCGTCACATTGGCCAGCCTGTTGAATTCCATCAAAGACTGCAAGCCTCGGACCTCGAGAATATAAACAGATAAGTTTTTATAGTTGATATTAATCCCTGTGACGCAGCGGCTAGCGTGTCGTTCTTATAATTGTTCCAGCGGAACAGATTATGCAATGCGAAAGTCGCGAGTTCGAATCTCGCTAGGGATACTTTTTGCCCGTGTGCGGTCATTGCACACGGTGCAATCGTTTTGGCATCTACATCACCGTCTCGAACTTACGAACAAGACAGTCGAAGCAGGAATTTATCAGTATCATCAAGGGTTGTGTGACGGCCTAGGTCGGGCAGAGCGATCGTCTGCTGCACCTCGGCTGACAGGCTTCAGAGTCTGTACGTGAAGTCTACCATGCTTCATCATTACGTAGGCATGAGACTACGCCAGCAGTTGCCAGACTGGTCTATCAAAGGATACACGTGCTCGTGTGTAATCCTAAACATCATGTATGACGGGTATCCGCGTGAGACCGGCAGGCTGCAATGCCATAGCAGGTCTCGGAGGGATGTACGGAGGCAGCAGCGACTCTGGAGATGTTCCCCTTTGTGACACCAAAGCATTTGATACAGCTGCACTCCTGCCTAGATTTGACTCGGGCAACAAACTACACATGCATCAAAAGACACCCTAAGTGCATTGCAGGCTGCAATGACAATCTCTCCTTCTCGCCTCTAGCAGCGAAGCCGGAGTTAAAAGCAAACGTGCTCCACGTGATTTTCCAGCAAAAGATACGGACGGGTCCAAGCAGCCCCTCATTCCCGAGTCTCGATCCATTCACCCAGAGCCCAGTCATTTCCCACCCACAGACCGCGACCAATCTGTGCATTCTGACTCTTTGCTTTCCATCCTTCAATAATCCCAATTCTAGCACAACGGCCTCTTCTAGACAAACGATTCTCGCCCTCGTCGCCAAACACTCGCCCACCACGTCACCACCCCGCTGTCTGTCCGGCGCAAAGCCGCATCTGTCGCAACGAACGCTTTTCAGACCCAACTCGATTCTGCCCACCTTGTTCAGTCGACCCAACCAGCCACCCCTGAAGACTTTCTCTACTCCGGCTCTCCAACTTCGATCACTCCGAATCTTCCGTGAGCGCCGCCAATACCACACGCTCTCCAATCTCGTCGCCATGTCATCGGCACCCACCGGAACCCTGGCCATGAACAACTACACATTCCCCACCGAGCGTCTGCAGTCACAACTCAAGGATCCGTCAAGGACACCGCTGGTCCTTGTAGCGTGTGGTTCCTTCAGTCCCATCACCTTCCTCCACCTGAGAATGTTCGAAATGGCGGCTGATTACGCCCGCTTCAACACGAATTTTGAAGTTGTCGGTGCCTACATCAGTGCTGTTGGTGACGCGTACAAGAAGAGTGGTCTCGTCAAGGCCGAACACAGAATAAACATGTGCAGCTTGGCTGTCGAGCAAAGCAGTTGGATCAGCGGTATGACTAATCGTGTGTGAAATGTTTTGACTATCGGATTCTAATTGTGTCACTGCAGTCGACCCGTGGGAGGCTCTCCACGAAGACTACCTTGAGACGGCAAAAGTACTCGACCACTTCGAGCACGAAATAAATACAGTCCGCGGACCCTTCAACACTCCCCAAGGTCCTAAGATGGCCAAGATTGCCTTGCTCGCTGGTGCAGACCTGATCCAAACCATGTCTGCTCCAGGCGTGTGGGCACCCAAGGATATCGACTACATCCTGAGCAACTTTGGCGCCTTCATCATCGAGGTATGCTCCCACCTGCTCCAACCCTCCCTCGATCAGATGCTAACAGAACAAACAGAGAGGCGGTACGGATATCGACGAAGCCTTGTCAACGTTGCAACAGTGGAAAGACAACATCCACGTGGTACAGCAGTTGGTGCAAAACGACATTTCTAGCACAAAGATCCGCTTGTTCCGCAAGCGTGACATGAGCATCCGCTACCTGGTACCCGAACCCGTCGTCAAGTACATTGAGGAGCAGGGACTGTACGACGAAGACGGAGCCAGCAGCACGCACGAGGCGCAAAACTCGAAGAAACCCGGCGAGAGCGCAGGCGCTCCCTCGCAGAACATGTAATACCGTCATGATCAACACTCCACCCTTTCAGCGCTTGCGTTCCCTGACCTTGAACTTGACACCTTCCTTGTTGACGCCTCCGACGGTGTTGTTCATGCGTGCCCGTTGCTCCTGGAGCTGCGTCAGAGCACTGGACAGGTCACGCTCGCGGTCTTTGAGCGCTTCGAGATGATTCTGCAGCACTTCCTGCGCACGCCTCTTCTTCCGTCGCTGTCTGATCTCCTCGTTCGACAAGCCTTTGGTGTCGCTCTTGTCATCCTCGCTCTTTCCATCCTCACTACCGCTACCATCTCCATCGGGACCGTCGAGATCGTCGAGTCCAGAGAGGTCACCCAGGTCTGATAGGTCGTCGAGATCCAGGTCCATGTCGTCGTCGTCGTCAAAGTCGAGTGGCTCTTCCTCTTCCACGACCAGCTCGCCGTCTTCATCAAATACCATCCTCTTGCTCTTGCTCGACGCATCAACACCAGTGGTCATCAAGACAACCCTCTTCTCAATCTTTTCCCTAGCACGTCGCGTCTGTTGCAAGACGGTCTGTAAGTAACCTGCATCCTGCGTCTTGAGCAACTTGACGACATCCATGCTCATTGGCGTTTGGGAGCCATTTTCCTTTCCTCTTGTCGATTGTTGAACACCCTTTTTTGTAGTTCTAGAAATCATGCCGAATGCGAATTCGTCGGGGTTACGCTGGGCACCCTTTTCACGTAGGACTTTGAGGCGGCGCTTCTTTTCATTGTGATCTTTTGCACGTAGGGAGTAGTCCTGTTTTGTTTGCGTGTTAGACTTGTGTACTACTTCTTCTTCTTTGTCTCATGTAGATATTGTTATGTACACAAGTCCTGAAGACGTCTAATTTGTGTAGATGGAAAAAGGGTGTGAACGAACCTTGTGTTTTTCGAGAAGACCCCATTTTTGACGTTCGAGCGGTTGAGCGCGCTCTTTGTGATTGCGCCTCTGGACGGCATTGCGCATGGACGACATGGCGGCGGTTTGCTTTTTGCGTAGTCAAGAGCTCTGTGTTGTCGATCTGAGTACTGAGGTATGGGGCTTTTGTTGTGACAGTTGAGATGTGATTCAGATGATCAATCGGGCGAGAGAGAGAGAGAAGGAAAAAAGATTGTATGATCGCGGACGAGAAAGTTTGGCGGAATTACAATAATGAAAGGAAAGCGCGCGCGGGCTGCGGAAGAGAAGAGCGGAGAAGAAAGTCGGGGCTTGGCGGTTCTCTTTTGGAAGCATGTTTTTTGGTGACCCTGTCCCTGATGGATTATTTGTTCCTTTTCGAGTATACGTCTTTAATAGTCTACTACTCAAATACGATAACAGAGAATCTCGAGGGATATTGTATTGACACGAGAGAAGTCAGTTCCTGCTATATCTACATGATATTTACATTGATTCGCCATGATTGTGTATTTCCGCTCTTTGACCGCTTGCTGGTCTTTTACAGCAAGTTGACGCTGTAGCTCGCAGGAACACGAAAGCCTTAGTAAGAGCTAGCCCGTGCCTCTCAGAGTGCTCATGTATTGTGCCTAGCTATTCCTGTCGTCACTAGTAGTAGCGGAGCCATAGCAAAGGCACTGACAGTCTTACTTGAAGCTGTCGCCGGACTCAGTCGGGCTGCGCCTACTCTCTTGCTTCAAAGGCCCTTCGTAGTCCTAGCTGTTGGTCGAGAGAAGAGGTTTTCGGGTGCCTGGTCAGCCATCCTAGCCTGTCTCGGGACAGCCTGGTGTGGTGCTGTCTGCTGGGGAGAAGTGTGCAGCTCTCCTGTTTGTGCCGGTGGCTTGCAGACCAGGTGTACAGCGTATATTTACCGATAGTCTGTGATGCGAAGAAGGTGTGTGTTGTGATTGTTGTTGTTGTTATTGTCAACGAAGAAGTCGGATTGTGTTCACAAGTCTGGATCAATGTGCTGCTTGAACTTTCTGTTTGCACGGTCTGCCGGTCTGTTCTCGAACTGAGAACCGTGGAGTTCGAAAATAAAGGGTTTGCGTGGTTCCGCCATTTGGCTGTCACCGTCGTCGTCTTGTTCGGCAAAGGGTACTTCGAATCTGAAGATGGTGTGTTCCTTGGGTATGGCTATCGCACAATCAGCAAGACAGCAAATAGATGGGAAGAAGACAGAAGACATACTCTTGAGCTCGTTGTTTTGAGTAACGACTTCCAATGTGAACTTTGTATCCTTGACGACGATGCCTCTGATTCCAACTCTTCCGACGCAGCGACATCTGACAACATCGACCATGGCGCCGTGATAGTCTGCACTCGCAAGTAGAGGACCAACACCCATAGCATTCACATGGCGAGACTTGTCCATGTTCAGTATGTCCCGCATGTATGAAGACCACAACTTCCAAATGGGCACGTAGATGTCGTACTTTTGCTGCTCCTTCGGAATGTCATAGACAGCAAGCTCCCTCTTTTGCTTTGCGGTCAAGGGCCGAGGCTTCTTTGATTTCCGGTTGGCTTTCGCTTTCTCGAGTCGTAGCTTTTGTCGTTTTGAACGGGCATCTTCGCGAGGATCGGGGGAAGAGGGACGGAGGAGAAGAGGCCGGGTTTGGACCTTTTCGCGGAAGATTTGGTTGCTGATCGATGGGTCGTGAGCGCGGGTGAGGAGACCAAGAGCAGGGTGCTCTTTTTCTGCTGCTGCCATGACTGGTTGGGCAAGGAGTGTTGGCGCAAGACGGCCTGTTGATGGTTTGTAAAAAGATTGGGAAGCGTCATGCGCTTGGCATCATCAAGGTGATTGCGACTTTCTGTTTTCGTCTGCATCATCCCTTCAGGCAGTCATGGCTGCAGCTACGCCCGACCTGACGGCCAAATGTAGGCTCCTTGAATTGAGTGTCATCTCCTCGACGAGCATCTCCAATCGCACGACAGCCCTGATCGCACACATCAAGTCCACACCAGCCGACGAGAAACCCGCCGTTGTTGCATTGAAGGCCAAAGCACCCGTCGCCAACAAGCTCATCAGTATCGTCGAGATTGCAAAGAGAGAGTTGAAAGAGGCTGGCACCAACATCTACCAATACAATGCTCTCGGCTCGGAATTGATCGAATCAAAGCCTGCCACCAAGGACACGACCGACGATGCTGCTCTGCCCGACGAAGAGCCCGCCTTTCAACATGTTGAGCAGAAGACAACTGTCAGAAACGTCCCTGTCATGACTGCATATCTGAGTCTAGTGCCCATCAAGGAACTACGTGATGCTCATGGGTAAGCTCAAACGACTTCTTTCCTTTTTGGCTGAGCTCACAGACCTACCTATAGTGAACAAGTCGGATGACTCTTTCGCCCTCGTCACCTCGCACTACCAATTCCCCTCCTCCAACGCTGCAACATGCCTTCTACCTTTCGTCGCATATACCACGCGAGCTACCAGGCTAAGCACCATCAGCCCAGCCCGTGGACCCATCTCACTTGTGCGCAAGATAGAGAATGCATCGAGCATAGCGTTTCAAGGCAAAGGCACTGTGCCTCATTCTGCTGTGTATACGAAGTCAGGACGCTTCTGCACTGTTTCACCATCTCAGATGACTGTTCTTTATGCGTCGTAAAGAAGCTGGTATTGTGCCATTGCTGGCTAGATAAATGTTTTATTATTTGAAAGAGAAAGGTGTAGAAGCAGGGCATAATTTGATGCCTATGACCACTCCGCCGTGGATCGTGGCTTCCTAGATCGTCAAGAAATCAAGGCTCGACCCCTTTCTCCTTTGCTGAGGCCGCCTGTCTCTTGCCTCAATCGTAATTCAAGCCTCCGACCGGCCATCCGTCCGCGTCCCTTTCTGCTTCACACTCGCTCTCAGGTTCGGCACCAGCCTTGGTCTCGCTTTCAACTTCAGTCTTCATCTCCGAGTCGATCTTCTCACTGTCTCCAGACAATTCATCGCCATGTGCGTCCTCTGTGTCTTTCTCTGCGTCTTCGATGCCGGGAACTCCGCGATCACATGGATCTCTTCCACACTCAATTCTGCTGAAGAGGCCGAAGAGTTCCTCCTTGAGCTTGTACCTACCTGCAAATGCTGCCTCCACCGATGTAAATTCGAGGTGGCAGACTCCTTGTTCATCTCTGCTGGCGCTGATGATACCATCATGCTTGTGTTCTTCTGGACAGATGGCATTACAGAGATCTTCCTTGGTGATGTATCTGTGAAGCCCGTAGATGTCCAAGCAACGTGTGATGCCATTGTACATGACGTCGTCGTAGAGATGTGTATGCATGGGGTAGGTTGGAGTCTGAAGGATGCTGAACTTGGGCTCTTTGACGTCCCTCACCGACTTCAAGAATCTGCGGGCGTCCTCGGCGAGCAAGAATGTAATCATCATCGCTCTGCTGCCTGTGATGGGGGTTGTATTCATCATGTGAATCTTGATGATGATGCCACCAGACACCATGCCCATTACCTCTCCTCCTGACATGTTCTTGGGGATGTTGGTGACGACTATGGTTCGGAGGACGTCTTCGCTAGGGGACGGGTCGAAGGCCACCAAGGCTTGGTTCTTGCGGAGCTTTGCTGCATGCTCACGCTTCTCCTTCTCAGTCATTGGTGTTTTGGCTTCTTCGGCTTTGTTGGCAATTGGCTCTTCATCCACGTCATAAGTTTCGGAAAACTGCACCAGGAGTTGTGGTACATCTGGCTTCTCAGTTCTGTCCTTTCTTCCAGCCCATTGGGATGAGTAGAGGCCGTCGATCATAGGCTTGCGGTCCTTGTAGCGCTGTGATAGACTGTCGAGAGATAGCGGTTGCTGTCTCACCCCTGCCGGCCGCATTCCAGCCACTGTAACATGGTGTACCTCTTCGTCAGTGCTTGGAAGTTGAGCCTCGCTGCAGACTTCTCCACTGTTTTTGAACGTGAGGAGTGTGCCTTCCGTGCCATTGCTCGTGTCGACTGTTTCGTTGCTTCCTCCCTCACGCCCGAGAAAAGTAAGGCACCTTGATCGGAACGTCTGCTCAGGAGCAGGAGTGACTGGGCCAGGTAGAATCGGAGACTGTAAAGATGAGCTCTGCTCATCATCGCAAGTGAGGACATCTTCTGGCTCCGGTTTTCGCTTTTCCTCCTCGACAATTCTTGGTCGTGCTCCCAGCTCATCCTCTTCCCTGCATTCGGATTCGTCTTCACGCTCGGGTCGCTCGAGTCTTCTGCCACGAGGCTGTCTTCGTTCTGTCTGTCTGGTTGCAGCGTACGTCTGGCGTTGACTGCCGAGTTGTCGTGCCATGTAGGCGATGCACTGTTGTGCCAAGGCATGCTGTTCTCTTTCGATCCTCAGCTCTACCTCAAGTGTGGCAAGCTTTCTGACCATCTCCATCGTGTCGGCCATGCTGTTGTGCTCTTGTGGCACGTGGGCCATGCTGATAGACGGAACTTGATGGTGAAACAACAAGAGGATGCTCAAGTGGAGTAAGGTGCTGAATAGAGGAAGAAGTCCAAGAGAAGGAGGAAGTGGAGGGAGTGGAGGACCCGCAGAAGGAAGTGGTTGAAGAGAGGAAGGAAGAGGATGAAGAAGGGAAGGTGACTTATCTAGCGAGGCAGAGTGAGGAGTTGATAGAGTGCGTGTGAAGGAACGAGATGGTATAGATGGAGACTAGATCATCTCGGAAGATTGAGAGGTGAGTGTCAATATGTCTTTACATGATGATCGAGGGATCCAACAAGGGCTGGAAGTGACAGCAACATAGTGAACCTAGTCAAGAGGATGATGTACCTTTGCTCAAACTTCAAGTAGATCAAGGAGTGATGATGGGCTCGAGATGATCTCCATTTTGGCATCCCAACTACAGAGTAACTCAGATAGTATCCTGGCATCAGATCAACAAAACTATCCAAGTTCATGATGCTGACTCGGTATGGCTCTACATAAGTCTGGAATATACAATCTTGGAACCAACACGGATGTGCATACATAGCGACCTGGCCTTGAAGCGGCGTGTGTCTTCGAGTGTGGTAAAGCTGTTCATCAGGAGCATGCTCTGTAGCCGGCCTAAGCGTGAGATTCGTCGCGCCGGCCGAGTGTGCAAGAAATCGATGGAATTATGATCAACCAATGCAGGCAATCCTTTCCAATATCACACAGCTTACGTGCGCAGAAGCTAGTCTAAAACATCACAAGTTGTCCAGGTATTGTCCAGTTTGTCGAAGTGATGGTTCTACTCGTACGGCGAAGCTCCGCCGAGACTTCGAGCCTCCATCGGACTTTGCGGACTTTGCATTGGAGCCTCCAGCGTCAGGATCCAAAATTTCTTGAAGAGGTCGACGAAGAAAGCACCAAACACAACAGCACAAGAATTAAGAATGGCGACACAATTACCACCCCCGTCAAAACGACAGAAGACTGCGGCCGCTGCAAAGGCTCGCGAGCAGTTCGAGCCTGAGCAGATGCCCGATGGCATCCAGCGCATTCAGTTCATCGATGCCGATTCGGGCGAGTCTCAAGGGCCCGTCGTGACGGTACCGCTGTCAGAGTTGTCGCCCAAGAATCTGTCCCTATTGCTCAACACCCTCCTCGGTCGCGAAGATGCCGGCGAGCGCCTCCCTTATCGCTTCTACAACCCTCTCGGCACAGGCGACTTTGACCAACAAGCCATCATCTCAGCCTTCCTGTCCGGCGACTCGACGACCGAAGTCCAGCTCAACATCCCTTGTCGCGCAGAAGCCGTGTTCCGTATAAAAGCCGTGACGAGATGCTCGGCAGCAATCAGTGGTCACGGCGAGGCTATTCTCGCAGCACAATTCTCGCCCTCGACATCCTCGCGATTGGCTACTGGTAGCGGCGACAAGACTGCCCGTGTTTGGGATTGCGATACTGGTACACCTATGCATACTCTCACTGGACACACAGGATGGGTCTTGACCGTCAGCTATTCACCCAACGGTGCAATGCTGGCCACAGGAAGCATGGATAACACAGTCCGCTTGTGGGACGCTCAGACTGGTAAGCCTCTGGGTGGACCCATGAAGGGTCACACCAAGTGGGTAACATCTCTATCATGGGAGCCATACCACATGCAGCAAGCTGGAAGACCTCGCATCGCATCTGCCTCAAAAGACGCTACTGTTCGTATCTGGGACGCTACCAGCAAGCGCGCCGATCTGGCTTTGACTGGCCACAAGAGCAATGTTTCATGCGTGCGCTGGGGAGGTGCTGGTCTCATCTATACCGCCTCGCACGACAAGACTATCAAGGTCTGGTCTGCCGAAACTGGCTCGCTCGTTCACACCCTCAACTCGCACGCCCATTGGGTCAACCACCTTGCCCTCTCCACCGACTTCGCACTCCGCACCGCTTTCTACGATCATACTGGCAAGAAGGGCGTCCCGGTCACAGAGGAAGAGAAGCGCACGAAAGCGAAAGAACGTTACGAGGCTGCTGCCGGCGTCAACAACCATAAGAATGGCGGACAAGCGGTTGAGAGACTGGTGTCGGCCAGTGATGATTGCACAATCTATCTCTGGACGCCCATGACTTCAACAAAACCTGTGACTCGTCTACTGGGTCATCAAAAACAAGTCAACCATGTCACATTTTCTCCTGATGGTACCCTTCTCGCCTCTGCTGGATTCGACAACCTTATCAAGCTCTGGAATGCCGCTGATGGTACTTTCCTCTTCACACTCAAGGGCCACGTTGGACCTGTATACCAAGTCGCTTTCAGTGCCGACAGCAGATTGCTTGTTAGCGGTAGCAAGGATACAACCCTCAAGGTCTGGGACGTCAAGACTGGCAAGCTCAAGGAGGATTTGCCCGGTCATAAAGACCAGGTCTTTGCTGTAGACTGGAGTCCTGATGGTGACAGAGTTGGCAGTGGAGGTCAGGACAAGCAAGTCCGTGTCTGGAGAAATTAATCGAGATTTTGATACCCCCTTTATACGAATTTCACTTCTTCCGCATACAAGTGCGTTCTACCAAAATTTGATTTCGAAGGTACCGATGAAGCTTCATGTTTTGTGACCGCTCTGCTTACGTGACGTAGAGGAAGTCCGGTCTCTTGTCTCCCATCATTCTGATCTCGGCCTCGTCCTTGCCTTCGACCCAGTGGTCGCGCTTGCCAGCCCGTCTCTTTTTGTTCTCGGCTTCCAGTAAGAAGTGTGTTGCTACACTGCCGCAGAACAAGAACAATGTCAAGTAAGCAAGGACCACACCATGGCCGAGGTAATACTTCGGCTTGTCCTTTGCTCTGTAGATGTTTGAGCTCACCTGGAATTGCATTAGTTCTGTCATTGATCTGAGGTTTTCTCATTTGAACTTACCACGCCCTGAAGGTTACCCCATCCAATGACAACACCGATGGTCACACCTCTCTTGTAAGCGCCCTCAACGTTGTTGCTGCACCATGTGATCGAGTTACTGATCAGACTATAAATAAGTTAGCCGACATCGCCACCTACCAAGCACCGTCTTCTAAACTTACGGATAGATACCCAAAGCACCGAGGAAAGTGCCTGCGTACTTGACTCCCGAATTCTGGCTTCCGATGAGCATGCAGAAACCCGTGATGCCGATAAGTGAAACGAAGATGTTGCAGAGTCCTCTCTGCTGGGTTCGATCGGCCACATAACCGATGACGATTGTGAAGACGGCAGCAGCAGCGTATGGCGGCACAGAGAGCAAGTTTGCCGTGGTACCACTGTATCCGAGGGCGTTTATGATGGTGGGCAAAAACAGCGAGAAGGCGTACAATGCACCATCTGCTCCCATGTAAATGACTGCAAAGCACCACGTCTTCCAGTCCGTCACACTCTGCCAGAAATACGACATCTTGAACTCCTGCAGATATTCTAAGTCAGCACAGGACGATACTACGGCCAAAGAGTCTTGCATTCCCAACTTACCTCATGCTCAGCACTTGCTTGCTGATCTTCCTTGAGTCTTCTGATCACTCTGGCACGGTCGTCGACGGACAAGAATTTGGCCTCATCCGGGAAGTCGTGGACCATCCAATAGGATGCACCACCCACTATCACTGTCACCAGACCCTCCAAGATGAAGATCCATGCCTGCTCACAATTTCAGCGTCGGTCACGATCATCAAAGGCTCACTGTTCTTACCCAACCAGCCTTTCCACCAACGCCACGCATCTGAGCAATGCCTGCTGCCAGAAGACCACCGAATGAACCTGCCAAGGCAGCTGCTGAGAAGAAGACGGCTGCACGTATGCCCAATTCCTTGCGCTTGTACCAACAAGACAGATAGTAGTTGACACCCGGGAAAAGACCAGCCTCAGCAAAGCCTAACCACCATCTTGCGGTTGCAAGGCCAGCAAAGTTGTGGCAAAGCCCCATGGTGACCATACAGATTCCCCAAAGAACCATGATGATAGGTAAGAAGACTGATGGTCTCCATTTCTTGAGCAAGACGTTTGTCAGGGGCTCAAATACCGAGTACGAGACGAAAAAGATGGAGAGCGTAGCATTATATTGACCTGGTGTGAGGTTCAAGTCGGTGGTCAAGCCGTCAACTTTGGCATTGCCAATGTTTGTTCGATCGAGGAAGGATATGAGATATAGAAACGAGAGCTATTGCATTGGTGAGCGACGGCAAGGTACGTGCGGCGTCGATGAGGCTCACCCAAGGAATAAGTTTGAAATCAAGCTTTCGGACAAGCTTCTTGTCCTGTCACAGAGTCGTCAGCCAACGCGCCGAATTGCTTGTATGAAACGGAGAAAGGTTACAATTGCTGCTCGTTCTTCGTCGCTGAGTCCAGCATCTGGATCGTACAATCCGGTATCTATTTGTTCGAGCTTGGAGATTCCAGCCTTCTCTTCCATTCGGCTAGGGCTGTCTGTGCTGGTTGGTGAATGCGACATTGTCGAATGGCTCCTTCAGCAGCTATAAAAGAGACACAGGCAAGGGTGACACAAAGGCAGAAACCAAACGAAAGACAGAACAGCAGATGGTCGCAGATATGTACTGCGACGATCGGCTACTCATGCGGGAACAATCCTTCCAAATACCGTCCTTTCATGTGATCCTTTATATACGTTCTCTTATTTGCTTATCCACCATATTTTCCCTTGCTCTGCCTCCCTGCCCAATCGGACATGCCGCTATCGAGTACTGAACGAGCCAACAGCTGGAGAGAAACGACATGACGTTTTCTTGCTTATCAATGCACTCCGCCATAACTTCTCCACGGCTTGTAGACGGCTTGGGTGCTAGTCGGACAGATGGTTCTGACAAAACGCGGGTTTGCCGAGATGGGGTGGAGAAATGCTGATCAGCGGGGTTGTGGGGGAAGAAATGGGTGTGACCGAAGTCGGGGTTCTTCCCGTTCATGCATGAGTTGTTTGAGATCCTTCGTTCCTGCTTCAACTTTGGACAATGGAAGTCTACTATCGGCCGGTATGCTTCCACTATATTCATGTATTGTGAAAGAAAGGTCTCTGGTTCCCTGACTATCCGAAGCACACAGATCATCCCGGAAAATCTTCAAGATATATCGATTGGAGAAATTTGGACACAACGACACATGATTCGAGCATGAAGCCACCGACATCATATCAGGGACAACATTTCCGAGGAAAATACGGCGCTTATGGCGCTTCTGCAAGCTGAATAATACATTGACAAATGGAAGCCGCATGCGAGTCTTGAACACATGGCGAGTTCAAACAAGTCAAAGTTGAGGCCGACTGAAGGATGTGCGTCTGATAGATGAAGAGCTCGAATTGATGTCAATCGTTGTAGTACGATGACCCTCAATCAATCCTGCGTACAAACTCTGGTTGCAGTCCGGGCTCGCATATCACGTTGTGATGTCAATCGTTGCTAGCACGTAGTTCGGCCAGATCCTGTGCTTGCATATTGTAAGATCTATCTAGATTATTGTAGGTTCGCTGTCTTCAGTAGAGTGCCTCACTATTGACATGTGAGAGACGAAGATGCTGTCAACTTGTGGTTCGAGTACAAAAATTAGCATTACTTGCAAACGCAGATGCTGCAGCTATCAAATGTTCCTATGTACGATTCATGCCCCCTGAGCTATACACGCTAAGATAAAGAAGAGAATCAAGTACTTTTGTTCCCTGCACTGTGCAGTGCCGTCGCCATTATTGTTCGTAAAGCAAATGCTCGATATATGTTTCTCAAACTCGTGCTCATGCGCACGTCGCCTTCCATCAGCTTCACTCCTACGATTCCGAGATGGGTTCAGAGATGGGCTCCGAGGCGGGTTCCGAGATGGGATCTGAGACGGGTGCCGAGATAGTACCCTCGTTGTCCTCGTCGTCTTCGCCGAAGCTGCCTCCGTACATGCCGGCGAACAGAGGATTGGCGATGCTACTACCTATGCCGTATCCAAAGTGGTCCCATGTGGGCAGGGGAGACGGTTCGTAGGTGAAAGGGTTGTTGTGTCCAGCTGGGAATTGGTAGTAGCTCTGACCCGCCATGTTGATGTTCATGTTCATGTTCATGTATGTGGGTTCGGCAATTCTGAAACCCATAGGTGCCGCTGCGACGTACATGGGAGCCTGTTGGTATCCGGATGTGAGGTGTGTCATGACAGCCGGCTGTTCGAATGTTGCCTCCTGCACGCCAGCCTTGGCCTGACCTGCTTCATCAGTGTCAAAGGTGCGTGGCCTCTTGCGCTTGTTGCGTCCAGTTCTGCGAGGCACATTCTCCTCGCTTGGTTCAACTTCTTGTGTCTCGGCGCCGATGATAGCAACAATTTTCTGCTTACGACCTCTCTTCTTGGGCTTTGCGCGGACAACAGACTTCAGCATGGTATCAGGATTCTTATTCTTGAGTGGCTTCTTGTCTTCGATGGGGCTTCCGTCTTCGAAAGGCTTTGTCTTGATGGCTTTCTTGCCCTTGGGTGGGCGTGGCGGCTGCTCTTCGCCGGGAAGCACGTCGTCCTCGGCTTGTGGTTGACCGGAAATGGTCCTGACCTTGCACAGCCTGCCAGAAGGACTGAAGATCATCTCGTTTTGTTGGACTATCTCGGACATGGCAGCAAGACGGTCATTGACAGAGACGTCCTTCTTCTGGTTACGCTTCTTCTTCAACTCCGGGGTTGCAGCGTCGAACAGACCCATGCCTGGCCACACGATTCCCTTGAGCTTGCTGGTATCGTCTTCCTCGGCATCTCCAACGTGAGGAATTTGAGACTTGGCCGGGCGCTTGGATGCAGTGAGTGCTTGATCATGGTGGATCTGCTGGCCGTCCTCGTCGAATGAAGCCTCTTCCTGTTTGGCATGATGATACAGATACGGATGAGTAGCCCAGCTGTACATCGGTGCGTAAGCAGCGTATGGGTGTGGGTACACAGACGAGACATCATCGTAGGAGGACGACAAAGGAGTGATGGTTGGAGAGTCAGACTCTTTCTTGATGACTCGGCCGCTGGCCTGAGGTTCTGAGAAAAGGTAATTCAGTAAAAGCAATTCAATTGACGTCGCTTAGACGGCTAGATACCAGTCTTGATCCTCTTGCGTTCATCCTTCTGCTTCATGCGGTCCGACATGAAAGACTCGATGTCGTTCTCGGCATACCAGATGTCGTAGTCCTCGACAGATTGGCGATCAGCATCATCAGAGCCAGAGCGAACCTTGAGCTTGTAGTAAGTCGATAGATGAGCTTTGCTGCTGATGTGGGTGAGGAGATGAGATAGGTCACTAAATTTGGGCTTGCGTGCACAAATGTTGCAGACCAAAGGGATGGTGGTCTTCTTGTGCACCTGGCTGGATGCAGGAGCCAGCAAATCCATCGATGCCATTCCAATGGGTGGGTAATAGAGTGAAGACACGAAATGAAAGGAAGGAGTGAACTGATGCTGTACACCAGTGTTGATTCTGGGACGAGATGCCGCCTGCATTCAAGTGGAAGGTGGTCCTTTTATCGCACGGAAAGAACCACTTTCACCGCCCGGGCCTCCTGGACACTCGGATGACTGCCGGTGACAACGCCCGCTCACCGATGACAGCAGCGTATCTCCGGCGTAGTTAAGAGCCTCGCATGTGATCGAGTGCCTTGACCGTGATAGTGCTGGAGCATAGGTAACTAATGCTTGGGTAAGAGAGAACTCTTAAGGCACCATATGATGAGCTATCGATTAGCCACACACGGGTTACAGGTGACCCCTTTGAACAACACTTACCCAGGGCGAGGTTACCTGTAAAGATCACATAAACGTACGTTGAACGAAGCGACAAACGATGTCGTCTACTTGCGAGGGCCCTCGCCTGCAGCTTGGTCGTGGGCGCTTCTCCCAACGAGAGCCGGGCCATCACGTTAAGCTCAAGGCCATGATCTGGACGAAAGGACTCGGGCGTGGAGTCTACGCTCGAGATCGCGCCAACCGCACTTCCCCTAGAGGAGTGTCCACGCAGTTGCAGAATTGAGCGAGCTTCATATCGACTCTTCAATCGCGCGTCTAGACGATGCTTGGTCGTCTCAAACGAGCCGCGATTTAGCCTTCGCTGCAATGCCAGAAGTCACGAGGGAAAGGCTTCAATTTAGTTACTTTATCATTCCGGCGTTAAAGCCTCTATCACCGCGATGCACCCCTCCCCGCATGACCATGACGTAGCGCTCTCCAATATTTGGAGCATCCGAGGAACCCATTGATACAATGACACGCTCTTTCGCTCCTCGACAGCACGTTTAAGACATCAAGAGTCACACAGTCAATCAGACACGATGCCAAACATGGATCTCAAGGACATTCCCGAAGATATGCAGGCCATTCAGGTCGTGGAGGTATTATCCAATTCGTCATGGACTTGTTTACTTGTGAAGCAGAGAGACTAAGAAGTCATTCTAGTTTGACAAACCATACAAGATCAATACCGTCCCTGTACCTAAGGACCTTGCTCCTGAGGATATCCTGGTCAAGATTGGTGTCGCCTCAAATTGTCACACGGACAGCATGGTTCAGCATGGCACGTTTGGCACCAAACTTCCCGTAACAGCTTCACACGAAGGTGCGGGTACTGTAGTCGCAGTAGGCTCCTCTGTCTCAAACCTCAAGGTTGGCGATCGTGTCATGTGCGGTCTTCCTTACCATCCTTGTGGTCACTGCCAGGATTGTAATGGCCCAGAGACATGGCGGCAATACTGCACAAACATTGTCGGACACTCTGGTGTGCATAGAGACGGCTTCTTTGCCGAGTATGCCCTCGTGGATTCCAGGAACTCGACTCCAATTCCTGACGAAGTGACTCTCGAGAGTGCAGCACCACTGGCGTGCGCAGGAAGAACGATCTGGCGAGGAGTCATTGAGGCTGGCTTGAAGAGTGGTGAATGGATAGCTCTTGTCGGCAGTGGTGGAGGTCTCGGCCACCTTGGAATTCAGTTTGCAAAGGCACTCGGTCTCAATGTGGTTGGAATTGATGCTAGAGACGAAGGACTGTCTATGTCCAAAGAGAACGGGGCAGACGTGGTCGTTGATGCACGTAAAGGTAAAGACAGTGTGGTTGCAGAAGTACAAAAGGTGAGATCGAGCCCTTCATTGCATTTGCAGCTTGAAGCTTATACTGACGGTATATTTGAATAGGTCACTGGCGGAGCTGGAGTGGACGCATCAATCACGCTTAGTGATGCCGACGATGCTGCCGGACTGGCTTGCGCCCTGACGAAGATGCATGGTACAATGGTGCAGATCGCACAACCGGACAATGTCACCATTCCTTTTGCAGAATTCGTCTTCCGCGACATCAGGATTAAGGGCTCTTTGCTCTGCTCACCTGAGCAAAGCGTAAGCATGCTCAAGTTTGTTGCAGAGCACGGGATCAAGGTGAAGACCAACCCATTCTACGGTCTAGAGAAGATTGAGGATCTGGTCGAGTTGGTCCATGGAGGAAAGATCCAAGGCAAAGCGATCATTGTGGTTGACGAGGAACAGATCAAGAAAGAGAAGGAGTTGGGTGCCAAGTTCTGAGGTCGGTAAGGATCTATTGGACTGTTTGAACTTTTGGATAGTTGGATTGCACAACATGCCATGTACCAAGCCTTAGTACAGCTCACGAACAGAAACGCATGTGAATGTAAATGTCGATATGCATTCGCTAATTAGCTCATGCTCCCTGCGCTGAACAGATGGTGGTGATACAGGTTTTGGTGTGTAAGGTGTAGATCTGGCTTGCTTAGAGCAGGTTCTTGTTCTTCTTTCTTGTAAAGGCTCTCTGATCCTTCAGCCATCGCCTGTAGTCGGCGACACTGCTGATCTTCTCTCCGTAGTAGTCGGGGACGGGGTTGTTGACAGATGAGCTTGCAGGATCGGCACGGAATCTCTTGATGTGTGAGTAGAAATCCTTGTCTTTCTGCAGTCGAGGACGCGGTTAGCATTCGCACATGGTGTAAGTAGGCTGTGTAGAGGTGTGATGATGGCGTACCCTGGCAAACTCTTTCCTCACGCTTCCCTTCCAGATGTTGAAAAAGGCAGTTCCCAAGAAGGGACCTAGCAACCAACCAACAGCACCGACACCCATCAAGCTACCACCGATGATGAACATGGGATCCAGACCAGTCATCTGAGCGCCAATGTTCTCGATTTCAAATTCGGCGAAAACCGGGACGGCAATACCGACAGTCGTAGCACCGCTCAGGGCAGAGGAGCCAAGGTTGATGAAGCGACGAGTACGGCGAAGCTTGAGGAACTCATCCCATGAGAGCTGTGGTGTTTGCGCAGGTGTGGAAGTGGTCGAGGTCGAAGCGGCTGATGACGCATGGCGCGAAAGGACGAGGGCCGAGGATCGTTGTGCGGCGTGGAAGACGGAGGCGTGGAGGGAGCGATTGAGAGGGGCGGAACCTCTGAGAAGACTCAGAGGCGATTGCATTTTCGTCGTAGCCATGGTGGTGTGTGTGGTGGATGAGAGGGAAACGGACTGGCGGACGGGCTGGCAGCAAGCACGAGAGCTTCCAACTTCTTCGGCGATGGATGCGGAGAAGGCAGTTGCGACTCTTGGCACAGACCTGCAGGCCACAGAACAGGCAAGCGCAAGCTGCGTAGAGCGAGACCGCCCGACTCTGGAATTCTTGCCGTCCCATCCATCAATTCACAACAAGCCGTCGCATATCTCCGCTGCTTCTCGCGTCACCTCTGCAGCACTCGCGCATCCCTCCAGGACCACTCACCCTCTTTCTCGCACCAGCCGCGTCCGCGCGCATCGACCTTCAGCATGGCCGCCAACAAGCAGGGCAAGATGCAGGGCCTGATCAACTACCGCCTGCGCGTTACTATGATGGACGGTCGTCAAATGGCTGGCCAGATGCTCGCCTTTGACAAGCACATGAATCTCGTCCTCGCAGACACTGAGGAGTTCCGCAGAGTGAAGCGCAAGCCCGCAAAGTCGGCCGCTCCTGGCCAAGCAGAGCCTCAATTCGTCGAGACGGAGGAGAAGCGCACTCTTGGTCTTACCATTGTCCGTGGCGCCCACATTGTCGCATCTACCGTCGAAGGTCCTCCTCCCGCAGATCCCTCGGCAAGATTGGCCAAGGACGGTCCTTCTGGCCCCGGTGCTGCAACTATGACCGCAGGCCCTGGTATCTCTCGCCCGGCAGGCAGAGGTATGCCTCCCACCGGTCTTACTGGTCCTGCTGCAGGTGTCGGTGGTCCCGCTCCTGGATTTGGCTTCCCTGGTGCACCTGGCGGTTTCCCTGGCGGTCCTCCACCAGGCTTTGGTGGCAGAGGTGGTCCCCGTAAGTATTGATGCTGCTTGACCAGAGACCTCCGTACTGATTCGTTTCGTAGCTGGCGGTTTCCAGGGGCCTCCTCCCGGTTTCCCTGGCGCTCCTGGCGGTGCTCCTCGTAAGTCATTTCTCGACACTCCATTCACAATGTGCAACCTTGCTAACTTCGGTATAGCTGGCTTCGGTGCTCCTCCCGGTTTCCAGCCTCCTCCAGGACAAGGACGAGGTTACCCCCCACCAGGCTTCGGCGGTCGCTGAAACTTGGCATGATGATATCCGAACGATACGCAAATACAACAAAAACAATTCGATTGTTCCTGCCAACTGAAACACGAGACGATACAAACTTCGAGCACCAAAGCGCAGAGCATGGCGGCGCTTGAATACAGGCAGGGGATGGTGACAATGGCATGAGCAGCAAGGCAGCCACCCCCATCAAGTGGCCAGGGCAGTTTCATTACTCCCAGAGAGAGCGCGAGGCGCAAAAGTCACATCTGTGTAAAGAAGTCTTCTTGTTCTATCAAAATTTCCAATTTTCATCAGTTTCATCTGCGCTTATTCGTTTTGGCGAAGCATGCAATATCTTGCTGACCTATAACTAAACAGCTTGATATGTTCCTCTCTTGTTGCTTCTGCTTTTCCCCTTTGCTATCGGCCTGGAGCAGACCGCTGTTGACTTGCGGATTCAAATGTTGTTCTGACAGTATGTTTTTATAATTGAGCTCATGCAAACAATAGACGATGTATTGTCCCATCGGCGTTTGTTCTCTCCAGAAATTGGTCCCAGGAACATCGTGAGATAGCTCCACCGCGCGTCGGTCGATGAAAGTTACATGCTATAATTTAGGTAGCTAGAGTCATAATTGATCCGCTGAGAGATCTGGTCTTCTGTCTATGCGATGTCGATGCGTGGATGATGGTATATAAATCGAGTCAGGGTGTTACCATCAACCACCCAGCGCCTTGGCCATACCACATATAAAATAGTTGTACTAACAAGGAAGTCAAGACATAAGTGGATCTGGTGTGACGAAGGCTTTCCACACCTCATATTGCATGGAAAAACTAGTCACTACTCAGAAACGCCGCTACAAGGCATTCCCTAGAATCCGTGATCGTACAGAATAATTCTCTCTTCTCCAAGACTCGGCTATCATTAATCTTTTGTCCACTGCTTTCAACTCAACCTCTACCTACTCTCCCAATCGCCCCTTTCATATTGCCGGCCCAAAGAAAAAACGCCCGAGTGCAAAGAAAGAAAAAAGAGTAAAAGCACAGAAAACATTGAGGGGGTATATCAACTCGTACATACAAAAATCGAAAAAGGCAAGAGAGGGAGGTAAAAACCGGACGGGCGATGGTGGAAAGGGTGCAGGGAAACGGAACCATCGATCCGGATACAGAATAAAAGGTCCAGCCTGTTGTATTACTCGTCTCGTGACGACAGGGCCGTGATACCTGCACACACGAGCACTCTTAAAAGATGAACAGCAACGTGGTAACGATATGTGGCCAGCCTCAAGGGTCCGAGGTAGGTCCGCGGTGAAGAGGGCTGGCGTTGAAGCGCATAGGTGACAGACCAGTGACATCCGAAGAGCTGCGCTTGTTCTTCTTGACCGGAGTGATGAAGGGCTCGTCGCTGTCGCTAGACTGCGAGAGAAGGGTGTACGATGTTGCAGGCCGTTGAGCTTCTGGATTGAAAGCCCCGTTGGTAGGAGGGGCGCTGCTCTCGGAGGAAGATATGGCGCGCTCGTTGGCAGCCAAGCTATCCTGGATGAATTGAGGATAAGGGTGCTTTAGATAGTCGTATTCTTTGACAAGGTAGTCGTTCTCGGTGACGCAGCCAGCCCAGCACAACCTCCAATTTCCAACGAGTGTGTAGAAGATACGACCGTCAAGCTTCAGCGATTGATTGAAGCAACGATACAGATTGTCTAGAGTCATCTTGTTTTTGTGCTGGTATTCGAGCAACAAACTCAGATGACAAGTGATGGCGAACAGAAGGTAGTAGTTGAATGGTGGCAGGTGCTGGAGCTCATGGCGCAGAATCTCTGGGACCAAACCCTTGTCCGGTACCTCGCTCGGAAGCTGCGATGTGATGCGCTGTTGAGAATCCTTGGGGAAGACATCTTCAGGCAGTTCGCGGATCCACTCTTTGAATAGGGAAGCAATAATGCTAGCATCGTACAGTTCTGATTCGTCCAATAGGTTGATGTCGAGTTCTGTACTTGAATCAGTGCATGTTCATACTGACCTATTAGTATAAGCATTACCTGTGTCAAAGCGTCTTCTCCATTTCCTGACATTAGCGACGCCGCCAGAAACTCTGTAAAGACCCTCTTCTTCACACTTGCCGTTCAAGTAGCTGGACGTGGTTAGCAAGTACGGTGACAGAGAGGCATCAGACTTACTCGATTGCGCGCCATGGTAGAGCAGGCATCCAGAATTCTGTCTTGTCCTTGCAGTCATCGTACGATTGCGCAATCCGCGTGAGACGAGTCTGCTCAACGAGACCTTTGTTGAGAACCTGTACAACATAATCACCGTCGTCAGTGGTCGGTTGAGATTTCCCATGATTGCTGCCTCCGCGAGTAATCTTGCTCAGCAATCCCTTGCTAGCCTTGGTGAAGCCGTCTGTTGCGCGCGATGAGCTCTGGCGGAAATCAAAGAAAGCCGATGTATTATTGTTCTTGTAGACATGGTCCTGACCCTTCTCCTTCTTTGCTTTTGCCTTGGCTCCATCGGCATCGGCTCTGTCCTGCGAGCGATCGCGCATAATACCCATAAACTTGCGGTTGTTGTCAGGCGGCGGCTTTTGCATGGGCGGCATTTCGATGGCTGGTGTGGACTTGCTATGTACACCGTGCTTCGATTGTTTGACGACGGGAGATTTTGTTTTTGATTTGGTGTCGATCAAGTCATTCAACTGGTCTTCGGCGCGTAGAGACTTTGATCTGCCTAGATTGGGCATGCGTTTCTTGCTTGGTTTGGGCTTTGAACTGTTCGAGGCGAGATTCGATGGCGAAGTAGAAGGAGCGACAGTGGAGGGGTGTGGACCTGCGGCAGTGAAGGGCCGATGACTTTGATCTAAAGGAGGGACGACCGGTAGGGGCGCTGCTGATAGGTGTCAGCTGCAGGAAGGGGGCACAATCACAGGCAATAGGCAGCAAGCCAACTTACTCGGAGCGTCGTCGCAGTCTTTGGCACGAATAGATAGGGCAGGAGAGGAACCAGGAGGTTTACGGTAAGGGTAGATCCATGTAGAGACGGAGCGAGAACGAGAGTCTGGCGGCGGATCAAAGTGGGAGACGGTCGCGTCGTCGGTGATGCGGCCAGCAGAAAGCGAAGGACTGTGAGCGGAACGGAAGCTCTGGAGGTCGCCGTCTTCGCGGGCACGAGAGAGATCCGGCGAGGGCGAGGGCAGAGCGGTCAAGCCACTGTCCATGCCTAGACCAAAGACATCGCGAGCGTCCAGAGAGGAAATGTCGATTCCGTGGAGAGAGATGGGGCTGCTCATGTGTTTGGGACGAGCGTCGGGGGCTTTGTACGCCATTGTCGCTTGGGCGCAGACGGACAAGCTGTTTGGAGGCGTGTCGCGGTACGTGCAGGTGCTGCTACTGCTACTGCTGCTGCTGCTGCTGCTGCTCCTGCTTGCTGGCTCCAAGTCGTTTACCCATCAACGAGGGCGGGTGTAGGAACAGGGTGGGCTTCTCGTTCTTGTCGGACGACGCTTTCAACAGGGGGGGCTTCGGCTGCAGTGGCCCCAGTAGCGAGACGCGCCTTTGTTCGGCGATGCACCTCAAAGCACCGGCCTTTGCGCGTCGGCAATAACTGCTGCTGGAGTGAGAGAGGACGGAAGAGACAGACTGTGCGAGGCAGGGCAGAAACAGAGTTGGTAGAGTGTAGCGGTTGAGTGGAGGGCGTGAGTTTGTCTTGCAATGACTCGAGCGTCCAAGGGGGTTTCGCTTCTCGAGGAATGCATCGACACCCCGCGCCAACTGCCAACTGCCAACTGCCAACCGCCGACCGCCAACTGCCTTCCGCGCCTGCCTTGACAGCGCCGCACCCTACCCCGTGTCCGCCGTATCGCATCCACTCAAATCGCATCCACTCAAATCGCCTTCAACCCATATCGCAACAGCTCATCTCGCATCGTTCCCTCATCCCGCCGGCTTCTACCAACATCATGTCCCTTGTCGCGGGCCCCGGACGTGGAGGCTTCTCCGACCTGCCTACCGGACTCCAGCTCTACGCTCAGAAACACGTCGACTACATTCGATCTCTTGACACGGTCCGCCGCCCTCTAGCCCCCGACCACCTCCGCTCGTGACTGACGCCCCAGGCAGCGAAAGGATGAACTCGAATACTGGCTCACGGAGCACTTGCGCATGAGTGGTATATACTGGGGCCTGACTCCGCTGTATCTACTTGGCCAACCAGATGCCCTGCCCAGATCTGGCTTGCTTGACTTTGTCGTGTCCTGCCTGCACGAGAATGGAGGCTTCGGCGCCGCCCCTGGCCATGATCCTCACATCTTGTACACCGTCAGTGCCGTCCAAATTCTCGCCATCATGGATGCCTTCGCAGATCTGGAGCAGAGAGTGCCAGGCGCCAAGGATCGCATAGGACGTTGTCAGTATACTCAAATGATTGCTTTGTTGCTGTTACTGACCATCTCTAGTCATCGCTAGCCTACAACAGCCCGAAAACGGTACCTTCGCTGGTGACGAGTGGGGTGAGACCGACACTCGATTCCTCTACGGTGCGTTCAATGCCCTCTCCCTGCTTGGTCTGATGCATCTGGTCGATGTGGAAAAGGCCATCGATCACGTACAGTCTTGCGCAAACTTTGATGGTGGCTACGGAACCGGTCCAGGCGCCGAATCACACTCTGGCCAGGTCTTTACCTGCGTCGGAACCCTCGCTATCGCCAACCGTCTAGATCTTGTCGACATCGACAAGCTTGGTGGTTGGCTCAGTGAGAGACAACTTCCCAATGGCGGCCTCAATGGCAGACCGGAGAAGCTTGAAGACGTGTGCTACAGCTGGTGGGTCGTGAGTAGCTTGGCCATGATCGACCGGATACACTGGATCGACCAGACCAAGCTCGCAGAGTTCATACTGAAGTGCCAGGATCCAAATTTGGGCGGCATCTCAGATAGAGCTGGCGACATGGTCGACGTCTTCCACACGCACTTTGGCATTGCAGGTCTCAGCTTGCTGCAATATCCAGGCCTGCAGAAGATTGATCCTGTGTACTGTATGCCTAAAGACGTGACTGACCGAGTCCTTGGCCGGACAAGTAAGTAGTGTATCATGATCTCACGAGTAACGTAGGTGGCCTTCAACGCGGGAACCAGAGCCAAACGTCTTTGGTACAGACAGTGCGTCCTCTAGAGTAATGAACAGTTGGTCAAGGCTTCTAGCGGGTCAGGACTGCTCGGAGGCTAAGGAGAAACGGTCGGACCTTATTTGATTCAGATACTGTACATGTGCAAATACACTTCATCTTCCAATTCAGATACTATGCGGGTCGGCTGATGCGTTACTCATGCGTGGTGTGATGTGTGAGTTGATCGGACTGTTTAGCATCTCGCGTAGTCGACAGCATATTGAGATTCTCAGTAGTAAAGAGAGTTTCACCTCAATAATGAACTCAAACCGTAACGCGCCTTCCTACAAGCTACTACTCCGACTCTACGTACCTGCTGTACATGTCTGAATCAGTGCGACGAAGGCAAAGTGACTAACAGCAGCTTTCTGTGCTGAAACGTATCCCGCTGGTCGTCCTCGCCTCGGAGTGAAGAAGGACAATCTTTTGAACGGGCTCGGACCACTCAACGCGTCTCTCCACAAGAAAGTCGCGTGCGCGTCACTCAATCAGATACCGTCACTCTTTCCACTTCGACATCTCTATACAACCTCACGACCAATTTCGATTTATCCTTCCAAACATCTATCGCCATGCGTCCTCCAAAGATGCGCATCACGGCTCGCGTGCTTAAACCTCCGGACTTACATCCCGAGCCACCCACGTCGTTCATTATCCCCGTCGATCAGGATGCCACTTTTGCGAGCGTATGGGAGCTCATTCAGCAACGCTACAGCGAGAACTATCGCGCCGGTCGCAGGAAGTGAGTTGGGTCCCACACATGATTCGTCCGCACCCCGACTGACTTTCCTTATCAGTGACTGCTATTTCAAGAAGCTCCAGGACAGCAGCGGCGCCGACATAGACATGCGAGATATTGTCGTCGACATCTTCGGAGCAATCGCAGACCCTTTCCAGCGCATAGTTCAGATCCAGCAGCTCCGTCTTGATAGAGATGACACAGTCCCATTCGACTCGCACTTACACCCCCCCATCTCAGCCTTTGCAGCGGAAGAGAACGAAGAGACCAAAAGAAAACGTCTTGAACTTAGTCGCTATGGAGCCACTCTCGACAACCTCGATCCGGACCATCCGGTCGAATCTGGCGAAGGCCCTGTTGAGAAGCGCATAGACCATGACGGCTTTGCTATCCCAGCAAGAATCAACCGGCCATCCACTGCCCACTTCCCGCCCAGCAGCCAGACCATTCCAAGCTCGCAACCACTTTCGCAGAATTCATACGAGGACCACCTTGTCCGCTCTCCCGAACTCGGCTCGCCTCACGAAGAATGTACAACCCGTCCACATCTTGAGACTCCCCCCAAAGCAGCGAATACGGCGTCCCAATACACCACTCTCGATGCCGTTCCCAGCGCTCAGAAGCCGCCCAACATGATTGCAGCTCACAATCAGACTACCGTTGCCGTATCTGCAGACAGAGACACTGCGCATGATCTCGCCGATCCTATATCGGAGGATTCACAACCCCGGCTCAGTAGTTCCATCATTCGGACCCCAGCTGGCTCATCAAAGTCCAAAAAGAGAAAAAGTCTGGACAGCAGCGAGCCTCTTGGAACCAGCACACAAAATCTTTCCAATCTCTGGTCAGAGGAAGAGAAGGACATATTGATGCAAGGAATTGCCAAGGGTCTCAGTCATACGGAGATCAAACAACAAAGCTTTCCGACCAGAAGTGTGGACAGTGTCAGGAAGAAGGCAGCTGCATTGAACAAGACCACTCAATCGGCTCTCAAAAAACGAAGAGTCAGCCGAGCCGCTGCCTGGACGGACGACGAGGACGCACACTTCGTCCACGCTATCCGCAACAACCAAACATGGAAAACACTCCGCGATCATCGCTTTCGACATCGATCCGACGACTCGGTCAAGTTTCACTACGCCGAAGTTCGCCAGCGACTGCAGGCTGAAGATGAGGCAGCATCTACACACGCTCGTGTTCAGAGCCAGTCAAAAAACGGACAATACTCGACCGGACCCGATGAAAAGTTCACTCAGACAGAGGACGACTTCCTTATAGCCTGTCGCCTTGAGAATGTCGAAATGAAGCGTGCTGCCAAAGAATTCTTCCCCCTTCGCCCACTTGGACAAGTTACCAGTAGAGCTGGCAGTCTGCTCAACAACGCAAAGAGAGAAGCAGCCAAAGCAAACCCTGTGGAACCCGGAATATCGCCCTCCGTCGAGTTCCTGTTCGAGCACAATCTCGAAGCTCGCGACAGAATTGAAGTGCAGCGGGAGAAAGCTAGGAACTTCAAGAAGAGATCAGACCATAACAGGGCAAGAGAGTTTGAGGAGAAGATGCATCAACAGTCAAAGCTCAGCAATGACAGGCAGAGGACAGAGGAGCGACGAGAACGAGAAGACCAACAGAGAAAGTCGCTTGAAGCTCTGGACAAAGCCAAGAAGCAAGACGAGCAAGTCAAACGACGCCGCCTCAACGACGATATCAAGCGTACTAGCGACTATAACCAGCAGATGGCTGCCTGGGAGCAACAAGCTGCAATCAATAAACAAGCCGGGCGACCAAGCCCATCGCGCCCCAATCGTCCGCTGGGTAGCAGTATTGGAACCGAAGTCTTGACTACAGCTCATACTCCCCGCACTTCCAGTAGCAAGACCACTCCCAAGGATACAAACTCTGGATCAAGCAGTACACCGGCCACAGAACATAGTACGAAGAGGAGAAGATCTTCCAACGTTGAAGTACAAGTGATCATTACCTCGTCCAAGAAGCAGAAGACTGATACTCCACTGGGAGTGACTCCTCAAACCAAGTTTGGCAATGCAAGAGCAGCTAGTGCTTCGAAGGTTCCGGTCATCTCGACACCCAAAAGGACTGCACCTATGGCGCCGCGATCTGCTATGGCCAAGCTTGGTAGCATACGGGCTCGACCTAGCGCACGTGGTCAAAAGGTTGATCTACTGTCGGTAGCTGTCGACGAAGAAGTAACCCCTGCAATTGCTTCTGTTCCTGCCACACAACCTGTGAGGCCGGGTTCTGCAAGACAGGTTGTTCAGCACGATGTGATCCGCAATGCATCCTCACCAGACTTGCCCACAGCTAAGAGCTTACGGCAGTCAAAATTGCCTTTCAAAAAGAATGGTCAGCTGGCGACAAAGTCTTCTTCCACAAAGCCAACACCTATTCCTCCAAGACCACGCAATAGTAAATCCATCGATGACAGTGTGTTCATCTCCTCCGATGAAGAATCGTCATATGATGACAATGAAATTACCGATGAAGAGCTCAATGCAATTGTCGAACGCTCCGAGGCCATGTATAGCAGCAGTCCTAACAAAGATCCCCAGAACAAAGATGACCAAGGCAGTGTGCACAACCCGCAAAACTTGCTTTCCCCTCGTGCAAGTGCTATGAGAAGCAGCCCGCCCGTCGCCCAAGTGTCGACCCAGAAGACCAACATCCTTCACGGCAGCGCAGCTCTCAAGGTTGCAGCAAGAGCTGAGGTGCTTCGTCCATCGTCAGCACCTCGTACCATCACAATCCCTGAAGCGCTCCCCAAATTGAGTGGCCAGCCCACAAGCAATACTATTGTCGTTGCAGATCCGGACACTCCAGTCCTATCTCAAGAGGAGGAGATGCCTGGACTTGAGATAAGCACAGCAGAAGATGGTATTATGCTAGAAGAGGACCAGATCGAGCACGCCACGCACTCCACTCCTGTGTTTCCAAGTTCGAGCCCGGAAGTTGGCGCTGAGGACGAAGCGAGCATGACCTCGCTAAAGCCAGACGCCGATCTTGACTTGTCACCTGCCAAAGAAGTCCCTGGGTCATCAGCGATGGAAGAGTCCGGGGAGGCAATACCTTCCAACCCAATTCCTGGCGAGTCACGCAAAGACATCTCTAAGGACAGGAAAATCCAAGACAAACGAATGGATCCAGACACGGATGACGTCGAGGAGATGGAACCTTGGAGGAGCGACTCCCGAGATCCTCCGCTAGACAAGGCTTCGAGCAGCAAGAAGTCTGATGGAAAGATGCCATTTCCAAAGCGCCGCCAAAGCTCATTCGGCCCGTTCAAGGTGCCGACAGTCCCACGCACAACCCATCTGAATGCTTCTGTTCAGCCAAGGACCAACCCTCGACCAGATATCGGGAAGCCTGCTGCTACGCTAGAGGAGAAGAGTGTTGCTACACAAGCAATGGACGTTCTTCTTAGCCCCTCGAATTCTAAGAAGACGCCTGCGAAGGTGTTCATGTCATCGATTCCTGTACAAAAGAAGGATTACGACAGTGGACCATTTACCTTACCTTCGGCATATCCCTCTGAACAGTCACCACATGCTGATACTGGCAACAAAAAGGCGCGTAGAAGTCGCCGGTCGAAGAACAAGGGAAGTCGTATCCTCGGAGATGCAGATCTCTTCAAGCCACCACCATCAACTGCGCCTCCATACACGCATGCTGGCCCGTACCTAAGGCAGACCCCTGCGAAGAAGGTCAATGGCAGCAGCGTTCTGGAAGATGGGCAAACTTCGAAGCCACCTTCAAGCTCTTCTAAAGAAGACCCCGCAAAACAGTCAGCTCAGCAGTCGGAGACTAGAAGGCGCTCTCTAGGTCTAGAAGAGTCTTTGAAGAATATGATGGAAAAAGGTCAAGCACTCGGAGCTCTATCTCAACCCACGCCCATCTCTGACAAGCCGACCAAAGGCAATAGACTGACATCGACTCAGCCTCTCTTCGCAGCCGATTCGAGTGACAGGATCAGTGATGTAGTCTCCAGCCACTCAGCTAGTATCTCGAATGCAGGCCGCACCATCAACCCGCACGCATTTGATTGGGACAATGCGCAGGATACACGTGAACTCATACGTCAGGCAGATCAGCGGTTGCATGACGCCGCGAACATGGCGCCTGAAGATTTCTGGCAGCCGGAGAATCTGGTCAAAATGAACGAAGAGCAGGTCTTGAGCCATATGATTGAGCAAGGTGTCCAACGTTCAATGGGCAGGATCCAAGCTGCCAAGTTCGCCTCCACACAGCCAGTTCAGGGCTCGATCACCAACACTGGCGCAGCACCCAGACCAGCAACACAACCGATCATGCAAGTTGACGATGATAGCTCGTCGAGCGAAGAGGAAGACGACAGTGACGAGGAGGATCCCGTACAGAGCATGGAAAATCTGGCTAGAAAGGCCGATGCTATTAGCAGACTCAATGAGGCCAGGAGAGTCGCCGCGCTGCCTAACTGGTGATGAAGCATGTAGATAATAGTAGTTGAGAGCGATGCGGAAGCCCTGTGTAGTAGTAAATAGTAGATAATGCATAACACTGATCAGGGGCATCACAGAGAAGCGCTAAACCATAGATCCTTCTCAAATTTGTATGTGTTCCGAATGACATTTGCTTGCATACACAAAAGTCTAGCCTCTTGCCCATTGGCAAAGGTCAGAGCAGAGCAACAACAAGCTGCAACAAGGCACAGTAGTGAGTACTATCTTGTATCGACAGATCTGACGCGGGGAGTCGCTGGGAAAGACTAGTCTCGATATAGTCGCTTTAGATACAGATATGTTCGTACCTTAAGACAGCTTCAAACATGGCAGGACTTCGCACACACGGGGAGGTCCGACAGTTCCAGGTTCAGCAATGGCTTTGTGTCTCGTTGTGGTTGATCCATGTTGGAGCACAAGTGACCAACGACAGCCCCAAATTTGTCGGAGGCCGTCAAACGCTCAGCCGCAGACCGTGCTCAGCAAGCCCCCGAAACCCAAATATTGGTCTCCCCACGCCTCGTTTGCGGAAATGTTGCTTGTCCACCCAAGTTTCGTAAGCTCTGGTGTTCGGAGGACAAGACCAACACGGCAAAGTCCACTGTAAGGAGTGAGGTTGCACATGCAACTCCGGTCCTCTGGCTAGATAGGGCGTCCCGATAATCCATATGCGTTGATCAAAATTCTCGAAAAATCTGCCATGTGTATGCACAGCTGACGAAGGTTCCGCTAGCTGCATGTCTTCATGCGCCGCCCGACCTCAAACACATGTAAGATTCTAGTGCACCATTCGCACACTGGCTTCCTTACTGTTGACTTTCGCAATAAGCACTACATGTCTTACTTCGCGGTCAACATATAGAAGTCACAGCTGCCCTCCCACAGATAATTGTAATCCTCGCGAAAGACACGAAGGAAGCACCAGAGCATGGATCAAAATTCACGAATGGAAATACTCCGAGTCGATCAGCGGAGTGGGGAGCCCTGTGCAACAACGCTCCCAAGAGTCTATTTTCGGGAGCAACAGCGGGGAGATCGGCCTCGGCCATCCTCTCAGCTTACTCTGCGTGTACTTCCAACACTCTGTTTTTCACCTCTGCGGACTCGCCCAAGGTCTAACAACCTAGTTGGTACTTGATTGCTCTGGGTGCCGGGTTGTTGCAGGATGTGGGAGCCTCGTGGATGTATTGGCGGGACAGCATTCCATTTTCCCACCCGTGTGTCCCATTATCTTGCCATACCCCCGAGTGTCACCTTATCTTCAGGCCTTGTCGCGACTCCGTCCTCTTTATGTCTCATTTTCGGAAACATAACACCAGCAGGACTTGACGACAGAAGCTTGGACTCGCCTGGGTGAGTGTCACTTTTCCAGTATACTTCTTTCCCATCAGGTCCCTCCTGTTAGCCTTACTATGGAGCATAGATTAGACTCTCGCTTCTCAAGTCAGATCGATAGTGAGTGTAGACGGAGTATTTCAATCTTTTCCAGGCGAGGGACAGAGCCCCCCAGACCGAAGACCTCGTCAATCTACGAAGCTATGGTTAACCCGACTTCGAGGATGAACAAAACAGTCTCTCCGAGCAGCCCGAAGAAAGCTTCTTGGATTAGCAAGCTGAGATTCCCCTCGAGAGAACAAGAAGGCACAGTCCTGCATGCAGTACCGCCGCGTGTAGCCACATACTCTATGTCGGCTTTGGATATTGCTATGGCCGTTTCTCCAAACGAAGAGGTTCTACACGCTATCGGAAAAAGGAACTCGACCAGCATGAGCCCTTCTGCCACCACTCTCAACAACCGCATCACAGCATCTGGCAATCATCTCTATGGAATCTTCGATAGCAGAATTGGAGTCTGGCGAGATGGAGTTGCACAATGGGACGACAGGAAACCTCAACAAAACCTAGGAGCGCCGCTCGAAAGAACAGCTGACATATCCCGTCCGCGAAAGCTAGATAAAACTCTTCGACCACAGCTTTCCGTGAGAATTCCCGGCAGCAAACTGCGTCAGGTGCTAGGCGAAGAAGCACCTATTACCCCGGAGCCTTCTAAGCCTGCTCGTGCACCAACGACCAGTATTTCACGACGATCGGTGTCGCCACAGAGTTTGAATATAAATCAACGCTCAATTCATCCAGCTTTCCGCACGACAGATTCTCTAGAAGAAAGTCAGGGCAGCGAAGCCAGATCCCTATCAAGCCGCGAAAATAGCAGATCCTCAGTCTCGAGCAACACCGTCTTCCACGACGAGATCTTCGACGTCATCTCGTGCTACAGCAAAAACTCGTCCATGACAAGTTTGGGAGCAGACTCGCCAGATGACGTTGTGCAGAACTCGCACTGGAACTTTCTAGACGTACCCAAGCGGTCTGCGAGCGCCGCCTTCTCTATCACAGATCCTGTGAAAGCAGGAATATTTGACGATGTTATAGAGGATGGACAGGCTGCGCGCACTGCCTGTCTGTCTCAACATCTTCAGGTTCCTGGTCCAACTCACAGAAAGCAACTGGAGGAAAAAGCATCAAATTATCGCTCACCGAGTCCCACCTTGAGCGAGGCCGTTCACGATCTACAAATGCATCTCAGCACGATCACCGAGAGGCTTTCGCCCACAACCGCTGACGAGGGTGTCGTCTATGAGACATCGAATCACGACCTCGTTCTGAATAGTGTATCTCGAGCGCCAACGCTGCCTAGAAAGTCACGTAAACGAGAGTGGCTCCAGACTAAAAGACCCAGTCTTGCTATAGCTATACCCGAGGCGGCAGAAGGTCTAGTGCGTCACCAGTCCGTACCCTCTCGCAATCAATTGTCAAAGGATCAGCAAGACGATGTTCGCAGGGTTTCGAGCGTGCGCTGCTCTGCTTTGAACGACGCCGAATCAACATGGTTGTCTTGGGACGTATCCACTGTCAAGAAGCTCCCTGCCCTAGCATTCGAGCAAGAGACAGTGTATCATCAAATTTTGGCTTCTGCGTTGTCTTTTGAAGATCTAAAGTCCTTGTCGATGCTCACGAAAAATACAAGAAGGTACTATGAGGACAACAAATTACGCCTCCTCAAGTCCGTATTGTTCAATGTGTCACCGCCGGCATGGGAATTGAGAGAGCTTTCGCCTTTTCCTTTTGGCAACTTCATGGCAACAGACTTCTTCGAACACACTGAAATCACGCCTTCGGCTTACATGTCATGCGTGTATCACGATCAGCGCATCATGCAAGAGTTGAAAGCAATGCTAGCGACGAAGTGTCAGTCGTTCCTACGTCCAGAGACTGTGTCCTCTCTTACCACGCAAGGCTGTGCAAGGGTTGATAACGCGATATATCGTATTTGGTCCTTCTGCAAGATGTTTGGTTGCGACAGAGAACGTGAGCATGATCTTAGAGGTCAGATCGACTGGCTGAAAGGCGGGGTTTTGGCGCATCAGAAGGGCTGTGCTGCTACTTTGAGCTTCAGCCCGGAGATCGAGATGGAGGGCATCTTGTTGAATGCGCCAGACCATTTCGCTGCTGGCAATATGTCTGGTCTTTCTGCGGAGCAACTCTATGACATGTTGGAGATCTGGGAATGCCTTTACTCATTGATGCAGCACTACGAAGGAGAGACAACCAAAGCACAAAACTGTGGCATCTTTCGTCACACTGGCGGGCAAATTGCAGATCCTTTGGCACAGGGCCGTGTTATCGAGGAATGGATTGCATACATCCTATCACTCGGACCCTCTGTTGTGCTGGAGCTTGCGAGATTCCAAGATGCCTGTGCTGGTTTTGGCTTTGCGCATCTAAACGAATGGACTGACTGGACACCACCACAATCTGGCATGACCCGTCGCAGATTCTTTCGAGAGCCTGTCTCCCAGCTTTACGAAGAACGACTACTTGCTTCCACAGCTAGCGTGCATATCAAAGATGCAACCAAAGCATTGCTTCGCAAGCGTCAGAATGCGGAGATCAACTTGGCTTACCGTCAGATGTCTCTGAGGAACGCGAACCAAGTACAGTCGTCGTGTCTGCTGAGTCGACGTGATAGTGCAGTCGCTCCGGAGGTGCTCAAGAGGCCGACTCCAAAGAGGCACTCAACACCCACCTCTCCTAGGTCTCCTTCCACCAGCACTCGAAGCGCTGAAAGAGTGCAGTCTCCAACATGGTCACCAAGGAAGGTGAGCCCGATCATCGAGCATAGAGTTGACACGTTCAACAGATTGAGTATGCTGAGCTTCGAGGGAATGACCGAGGATACAAGTGGCATGGCTATAGGCAAGATCATGGAAATTGGGTTTTCGAATGCGCAAGCAAAGGAAGCATTGCGTGTCACAGATATGGGCAGCGGTCTAAGGGTGGACCGCGCAGTAGACTGGCTGTTCAGGAAGAATTGGTTCTAGTTTTGCATTATGAGAGTATCGCGGAGGCCGTTGAATAGACATTACCCCAAATCGAATGAAGAACACCGTCACATGCAAGACAGTGCTCGGTAGACCCCACTTCGCCTTCGTGTTCTGAAACGATCCTCTCAAAATACCACCAATCAATCTGAGAAGCGTCCTTCTTGGTGACGAGCATGGAGATCGCGCTTCCGAGGCCAAGCAGATATGCGAAAAAAAAGCTTTACATCCTCACAACATTCCTATAGAACTCAGTGACCACGACCGCATATTTCTGGTTGCACAGTGGCACTGTCAAGTCGATACAAAACGACAACGTACGGGAATGTGAGCAAATGCTCGATGGCGCGTGTATGAATGACAATCTCTCAATCTGTTGAAATCCTGTATGTACCACATCTTACGGTTAGCGATAGAGCATGATGAAAAATGCATCAATTTACCTGTACAGACAAAGGAACAAGATCGCAAAAGAGTAGTAGTGCTTGATTTGGGGCCTGATTTGGCTCTTGTGCTATGATGTGTCTTCAAGTAGAATTCCTCTTAACGAAATCTACCAGTCATTCCAAGTCAGATGGATCAGTGGCTCGCCATTGATCGTAGATGTCTCTGATCTTGAGACAGTTCTCCAAACTTTCAAGTGATTCGGCGGATATGCCGCGATCACCGTTGTCTACAGGACTTTCCTCCAGGAGATAAGCCTTGTCAACAATTGACACGATGGATTGAACACACTCGGTAGATGAAGCAACTGCATACCCATAAGTCTGTGATTCAGGAGCCGGATTTGTTGGATGAGATCTTCAACAGGAATGCCATCGACCAGACCTTTGACGGGCTTTGGCCAGCCCTTCTCGATTCGCTTCCGGAACCCATTCAGAAGATATTCGTCTCTTTGTAGTGCCTTTCTCTCTTTGCGGGCGCGCTTGCCTTCGGCGTTAGACTCTCCATCTGCGCGTCGCGCGAAATGAGGCCATGGTCGACGCGCAAGGGTTTCAGAGACGCACATCAATAGCGATTTGAGATGGTTGACATACTCACGCTCTACTGGAGTATGTCGGAGAGCGTTCTGCGGCACAATTCTGCTCTCTTCCCCTTGCGAGTCTTCTTCGTGTGTGGGTTGTTGATAAGATACTCTTGTCTTTTGATTGTTGCTTCCAACCTTGAACGCCAAACATTGTCCAGCTGAAGAAGCGCCCATTCGTAGAACTGGGTGCGGGTCTCTTTGTCTTTGTACTTTCTCTCCTTACACATCGTCCCCTAGTCGTAGATGCCAGTGCGAAAAGAATGCTCTTTGAGTAGAGCCGATGATTTCGACGTACCAGATGGCTTATCTTCAAGCTGTTGTGCTGTCTTCAGCAGGCCTTCCTCGTGAGAGAAGGAGTAAGGTAGGATTTATAGTCTGCTAAGCCTGGGGTAGTGAAATGAGCGGCTGCCCATTTGAGATGTTCGATCTTGAATTTCTGGTTTTCTTCAGGGTCGGCTTTGTGAGATTCAAAGAAGCGCGCCTCTCTTGCAATGCGAGACTTTTCTTTGGCGCTTTCTGACAGCTTCTGGCCATTTGAGTTTCTTGGACCTCTTCTTAGCCTGTCTCGAATTCTTCGACTTCTTGGACGTTGTTCTGGGCTTCCCCACTCTCATAGCAGTGTCGAGCTCGGCGAGGGAAACGCCGCTGTAGGGAGGTTCGTCATCATATGACATGTCGCCATCAATGTCCTCGTAGAACCCGCGGGGAGGAGATGGGTCAGGATATGGGGAGTCACAGAAGCCGAAGCCAACATCGCTGTCAATTCCAGAGGGAGCACCATAGCCACTGGCAGCTATACCAGCGAGGAAGTCGGCCCTGTCAGACACGACCGACGATGTTAGCGATTTCAGGGGATAATATGGAGTTTGACGGTAATCGAGAAGAGAAGAAGTCTCCCAGGATGAGAACAAGGGCTGATTCGAGTTTGGCGCCGATGTTGCGTTTGGTTCAAACAATGCACGGATTTCTTGTTGTGAAGTGCGGCGCGAAAGCTACCTAGGCCAAACAACCGAATTTCCGGATCGTCTCAACAGTGCACACCCCCTCCAGAGATCGGAAGGTACTGAAAAGACCGGCCGGTGTTAAAGGTTGCTCCTCAGTAGATACATCGCTGGATACCAAGCAGGCGGGTTGTGCCTCGTACTCACGACAAACCTCCACTAGACATGACATATGAACCGCACGCTGACCTAAATGGCAATCGCACGCAAGGAGTAAGATGTAGCCTCGGTGACTTGGACATGGGGAAGATATCTGTATCACGCTCTCTAGCAAATAAAATACTTCCATTAAGCATGTGATTGATGCACTGATATTTACTGATCATGACTTGCTCCATACGGCGACGAAAGCAATGTTCGTTCCTTTCGAAGCAAAGTGTGCATGTGACCGATACTGTACGAGGAGAAGATCTCTTTCTCCATGAATCTCTCGTGTCGTCCTGTTGTTTCATGATCTGTGGCATCATCATTAGTAGGGTGTTGCAGAAAGGAAAGAAGATGCCCACAATATACAGGGCTGGCAACTCTGTTGTAGCCATACGCTTGATCAGCTGTGGCTGGTGGTTCCCTCTCAGCATCGTCAGACATAGACTTAGAAACCCCGTCCTCCTGGCTGTATGCTTTTCGCGAACATCTCCGACTGCTGTCGTGGTCTCTCTTGCGTTCCCTTGGGTCTTGTCGGGGCCATGAGGTGGTAACAACTCTTTTCGTGGATCGATGGACCTTTTTCCTGTCATGCCATAGAGCTGACCTATGTGGTCTTGCTGGACTGCTTTCCCTTCCTGAAATGATTGCCAGGCTTCTTCTTGTCTCGACCAGATCCAAGGTCAACTCTAGCGTACTCGGGGAGCGTGCTTGGATCTTCCTCGCGTTCCAGATGGCTCAGCTGTTGTTGCATGCACCTGTCGACACCAAGGATATGGATGTAGTGTCTGTAGGCCACGGCGCTGAGGGTCTCTACTGCCCACTCGAGATGCTTGAGCTTCTTTTCCTCCGAGTCACCGTACTCAGCGCGCGCCTCTCTGGAGATGCGAGCGAGATTATCTCTTGCTTCTTGTGCGAGGGGAACAAAGGCTTTTCTCATGTCTCTGTCGAGGTGGCGATTGGTGATAGGAAGAACAAGATCTCCGCTTTGCTTGAGTCTCTTCTTCTCGGCGCGCTCGTCGGCTTTCTTGGTTCTCTCTTCTAGTTTCAACGCGTCGTGTGCCTCACGAGCGCTCGACGAGCCAGGATTGCCTTGGAAGGGGTTTTGGCCAGCGAATGGACGGTATGCATATGACATGGTGTTGTTGAATCCATTGTTATATCCATTGCTGTATCCATTGCTGTGTACATTGTTGTGTCCATTGCTGAATCCGTTGTTGTGTCCATTGATGAATCCGTTGTTGTGTCCATTGATGAATCCGTTGTTGAATCCATTAGAAGAATGGCGAGGAGGATATGGCTCAGGATTTCTGTCGTTGATGGGTTGGAAACCACTGCTACCACCATTCCCCCGGTTAACACCATAGCCATCTGTGGAGTAACCAGGGCGAAAGTTGCCTCTGTGTGACATGATTAATAGCGACCAGAGTGCGACAGAAGATAAGTAGGGTAGGTGCTGGTGATTGTGAGATGAAGAGGATGTTCTAGAAGGGCTGCGCGCTCGCGTTGATGTTGCGTCTGGTCCAGGCGATGAAGAGGTTTGTTCTTGTGTTGATGCGCAGAGCAACAGTCTCACCGATATTCGATGTCAGAAGTGGCCGAAAACTGTGAGAGTGCACAAAACTGTTCAGAGATGAATGACGCTTTTGAGATATTTCCGACGCCGAGAGTTAGCAAACGCAAAGACTGCACAAATCATTGGGTATGGATGTAGCGAGCATACTGATGCAGAATGGAAGCTGTGATTGCTGTCACTTGGTACTTCGAGATCGCATCACTTGTTCTGCAGGAGCCTTCCAGATCGGACAAACCCATTTGGTTGTCACCGACCGCATGATAACAGCAATCTATACCGACTACATAACAAATCAAGGGGCTCTCTTTCTCAATGCCCCTCTCTGCAGATTTGCGATGCTGTCCGTAGCGAGATTACATGAGGACAGTTGTTGACGACGCGACCAGAGTCCAATAGTGGTGACTATCCGACTGACAAGTACTGTTTCGCGATATTGTCGAGGAGAATGTGTTACGAAGGGCCAGGCTAATCACCTATCTTAATGGTATAAGCAGTGTATGGGACAAGAGCAAGTCGCAAGCAAAAGGCATATGATGAAATGGCCAGTGCGCAACAGCCCCCCTCTTTGCGCCCCTCGCTGTCCAAAGACCCTGATCGAGGTCGTAAAGCTGAGGGATCGCTGTACCCCTGAATCGCAGCAAAAAGCAGCGCTTTTGTTGCTCACCACTCTTTGTACATCTCTTGCAATCCACTCAGACACAATGGCAGCCGTAGCAGCATCAGTAATTCCGGCGCTTGACCAGCGCCCGGTCAAGAACACCATCTGCCTCTTCGATGTTGACGGCACTCTTACCCCTGCCCGCAGAGTGTGTATCGACGCAGAAGAAGATTGACGCAGATCAGAGGGCTAATGAATGTATAGACGGTCTCGCCCGAGATGCTCGCCCTCCTCTCGCAACTTCGTCACAAGGTCGCGATTGGCTTCGTTGGCGGTAGCGATCTCGTCAAGCAGCAGGAACAGCTCGGCACTGCTTCAGTCCCTGTCACCAGCCTCTTCGACTTCTGCTTCGCCGAGAACGGTCTGACCGCATACCGCATGGGTGTCCCACTCGCATCATCCTCCTTCATCAAGTGGATCGGCGAGGAGTCGTACCAGAAGCTTGTCAAGTTCATCCTCCACTACATCGCCGACCTCGAGATCCCCAAGAAGCGCGGTACCTTCATCGAGTTCCGCAATGGCATGATCAACGTCAGCCCCATCGGCCGTAACGCCAGCATTGAGGAGCGCAACGAGTACGAGAAGCACGACCTTGAGCACGGCATTCGCAAGAAGTTTGTCGAGGAAATCAAGGCTGCCTTCCCCGACCTTGGTTTGACGTGAGCCCTCTCCCGAAACATGCTTGTTAGACGAGACTGAAAGCTGACAATATACGCAGATACTCGATCGGTGGACAGATCTCATTCGACGTTTTCCCCAGAGGCTGGGACAAGACATACTGCTTGCAGCACGTCGAGGCCGAGAAGCAGCACGGTACCGACTACACCACCATCCACTTCTTCGGCGACAAGACATACCAGGGCGGCAACGACTACGAGATCTACGAGGACTCTCGCACTATTGGTCACACTGTCAAGACTCCCGAGGACACTGCTGCCGAGCTCAAGAAGCTGTTTGACCTTTAAAAGCTACCATGCATTATTCGAAGAGCTCGATTATGATGGTGCAAGAGGCACAGTCTTGGTTATACAATATGGAGTAGGCAAAGGTATACCACAAAACATACAGGGAGCATGGAGTATTTCGGAATACGGGAAGAGCGTATTGGGTCATAAAAATACCTCTACAAATTTCATCACGAATTGCAAAGTCGATTGACATTCTATCGCGCCAAATTGCTTGTCTATCTGCGGAGGTGTCCTGATGCATGAGATAATGCGGGGATAAGTAGTCTATATCCGAGCGTTGCATTGCGCCAAGGCCGAGAGTCCATGAATTTCCGGCAGTCCAAGAACTTCTCGATAGCAAAAAACACTATCGCCGTGCATTACACACATACAACCGCGAAGATGCCCTCGACACATAACGTAGACAAGCCGTGGGATACGGAAGATATCGACAAATGGCAGGTGAGTTTGCGCCGCGCTGACTCGTTCGGTGTCTCCTCTCACAGGAAAACCCAAAGCTGATTTGATTTGTCCCATGCAGATAGACGAGTTTAAACCCGAAGACAACCTCGGCGGAACATTCAGTGAGGAGAGTTCCTTCTCCGTTCTCTTCCCCAAATACCGCGAAACATACCTCAAGGCATCATGGCCGCTGATCACCCGATCGCTGGAAAAGATGGGAGTCGCCTGTACGCTGGACTTGGTGGAGGGTAGCATGACTGTGAAGACGACACGAAAGACATACGACCCGGCTGCTGTTCTGAAAGCGCGCGATCTCATCAAACTACTGGCACGTAGTGTACCGGCACCCCAAGCAGTCAAGATCCTGCAAGACGACATGGCTTGCGACGTCATCAAGATCAGAGGAATGGTGCGCAACAAGGAGCGCTTCGTAAAGCGAAGACAACGTATCCTCGGACCCAACGGCAGCACCCTCAAGGCCCTCGAACTCCTCACATCCTGCTACATCCTGGTCCAAGGTAACACGGTCTCCGCAATGGGCGGCTACAAAGGCCTGAAGGAACTCCGTCGTATCATCATGGACTGCATGAACAACATCCACCCAATCTACCACATCAAAGAACTCATGATCAAGCGCGAATTGGCAAAAGATCCGGAACTCGTAAACGAAAACTGGGACCGCTTCCTCCCTCACTTCAAGAAGCGCAACTTGAGCAAGAGACGTGTGCCTCACGTCGTCACAGACAAGACGAAGAAAACCTACACACCTTTCCCTCCCGCCCAGGAAAAGAGCAAGGTCGATTTGCAAATCGAGAGTGGAGAGTACTTCTTGTCCAAGCAAGCAAAGGAGAGACAAGAGAAGCAGAGAAGAGAGGACGCCATGCGCGAGAAGATGGAGGGAAAGAAGCTGGCCAGACAACAAGATTACGTTGCTCCCGACGAGCCTGGCGAGGAAAAGAAGGAGAAGAAGGAGAAGAAGGAAAAGAAGAAGAGAAAGCACAGCGACGAGGATGGCGAGGAGGTGTCGGAGAAGAAGAAGAAAAAGTCAAAGAAGGTCAAGGAGGAGGTGGCCGAGGACAGCGAGTGATTTCGTTCTTCCTGAGGACCATCTCTTCTTATACCATGTTGCTCATGTTCTGTTTTCCATCTGCACGGCATTGGATTGCTACTTCTTTTCTGGCATCGTTCTAGGGGTTTGCTGCGTTCAGCGTTGAGACTTTGTGTCTTCGAAAATCGTATTCTGATTATCTTTTGAGAAACTACAAATTGATCTATCCGTGTATCGATCTCCACCAGCGGCATGTGATTGAACATGTTCAATTCGACTCATACGACATCATGCGTGCATCGCAGTCATGAAATGCTTATAGTTCAGCAGCGCTCGTACATCGTTCCAGCACTATGTGTGCTTTTTGACCTGATTTTGACCAGTGTCTTGCTTTCTCAGTCCTGCTGCATCCATTCAAACAAGTCATCAACCATTTAGATGGTTCTCGAGTTCTCGATCTTGGTAACAAGGATATCAGTGGCGCCAATGGCAGTCAGCTCGTCCATGGCGTTGGAAATCTTCTTGCGCTCAACCATGGCCGAAACAGCGACCCAGCCATCCTCTTCCAGGCTGTTGACGGTAGGTGCTCTCTTGCCGGGTGTGATCTTGGCGGCTTGGTCGAGGTTGCTACGCTCGACGTTGTATGTGCAAAGGACGTATTTTTGGGCAGCTGTTTGTCATTGTTAGCCTTCCGGGATCTAGCTTAAGTCGGATTGCGATACGTACTGATGACACCGCGGATTCTAGTTGCGATCAAGTTGACGAGATCGGGGTTGGAGGGCTTCTTTGAGCGGATGAGGATGGCGGTGGTCTCGAGAACAGTTGAGATGGCCTTGAGGCCTGCTGCGCGCATAGTCTCGCCGGACTCGACAAGATCGACAATGCCGTCTGCGACACCCAGTGCGCAAGCAGCCTCAACACTGCCACCGACATACTTGATGTGGGTGCTCAGCTTCTCTCCTGCCTTCTTACCCTCGAGCTCTCTGAAGTAGACTTCTGCGAGGTTTGTGAAACTGGTAACGATGTTCTTGCCAATCAGGGACTTGGGATCCTCGTTCTCGCCCTTTTCCGGAACCTGGATCTGCAGCTTGCAGCGACCAAAGTCAAGGTCGAGGACCTCCTCAACACCGGTGGACTCGGTTGGGGGTTCGGTAACCTCGTACTCGGCGACCTGATCGCGACCAGTGATACCGAGGTCGACACGGCCCTCAGAGACGAAGGTGGGAATATCAGCGGCGGGCAGGAAGACGAGGGCGATGGGGAAGTTCTTGACGAGAGCAATGTCGAGACGCGAGTGTCTGTGGAACTGAATGTCCGAACCGTGGAGAAGCTCGATACATGCTTGGTGAAGACGGCCCTCTGGGAGAAAGCGTTAGGATGATTTGCGACGAGTATGGAGTGGTCATGAGGGGCCAATTACTCTTGGGCACGGCAAACAAGAGACGGTCGGTGAGGCTGAGAAAGTCGCGTCAGGATGGCGTTGAAAGCAGAAGCAGAGTCGAATTGACATACTGGTTGACGAGATCCATGGCGAACGAGAGACTGTGCTATTGAGATAGGTAGAGGTCACAAAGGATTGTATGATTATGAGGGAAGGCGCAATTGAGGGCTTCTCGGTATTATGACTGATGGAAAACGGAAACTGCGTACACACGTGGGGCAGTCGATGCTTTACACTCGATCTTTTGTTTGCTGTCGCTGTAACGCAGACTTTCTCTTATTTCTGTTGAGAGTGGATAATTAGGTTCACAAGTACTATGACTGGCTCTACAATATCTCGGCGGCCGCATATGAAATGTGATTGAATGGTTAATCGCAATGGCATGCAAACAGTCAACCAAATTTTAGCCATGTTTTGCATCTGCGATGACGGATGGCGGGATGCGGCGGTCGGAGGTCTTGGCATTGCCGGTGGACTGAGGCCGCCAACGACAGCGTCACTCCAAGCTCCGGAGGTGAACGAAGCATACAGCTAGCTCGACAAAGACATCTGCGAAACATCACCTTCTTCTCCAACTCAACACATCAACAATCATGGCATCTTCAGTGACAGTCGCTATTCCCAACGGCCAACCTGGCTACTCTTTCTCGCATGCGCCCCAAGTCACAGTCAACTCAGGCCCACGCCAACATGCTGGTTTCTACCCGTACGCCTGCTATTCATCATGCGCCATCTAGATCTCTCCTAACCCATGTCGCAGATACACCGACAACGGTGGTAGTACTCTAGGTATCTCGGGTGCCGACTTCACCATCATGGCTGGTGACACCCGCCACACCTCCGGCTACAACATCAACACCCGTTACGCCCCCAAGCTCTTCCGCATCGGCGGCGAAGGTCCCGAGAAGCAGGGCGCCCGCATCGTTCTCTCAGTTGTCGGTTTCGCCGCTGATGGCCACGCCCTTGCCGAGCAACTCGACACCATCGTCAAGATGTACCACTACCGCCACAACAAGCCCATGACCGTCTCTGCCTGCGCCCAGCGCCTCTCTCACATCCTCTACAACAAGCGTTTCTTCCCTTACTACGTTCACGCCATTCTCGGTGGAATCGATGAGGAAGGAAAGGGTGCCCTCTACTCATACGACCCTGTAGGCAGTTACGAAAGAGAGCAGTGCCGCGCCGCCGGTGCTGCCTCAAGTTTGATCATGCCTTTCCTCGACAACCAGGTCAACTTCAGAAACCAGTACATCCCCGGTTCTGGCGAGGGTCACGCTCTGCAACCTCGTGTTCCTGAGCCTCTGCCTCAAAAGGATGTCGAGGAGATTGTCATGGATGCCTTCACCAGTGCCGTCGAGAGACACATTGAGGTCGGTGACGGCCTGCAGATGATGATCATTACAAAGAACGGTATCGAAGAGAGATATACCCCTCTGAAGCAAGATTAGATGGATCTTTCTGTTTCATGCTGTTTTACATGTGTTCACGACGAAGGATTATCTCCTGCCCTTCAGTGTAGATGGGAAAGAAGATGGTTGTATTTTAATCATATCAGGCACGACTTTTGATGCATGGCGCGCGGCGTTGGCTTACAACAAGCAAGGGTAAATGGAGAAAACAAAACACCATCCCACCAATACGAGATCTTGTGCTCTCATCGTGAATTCGAGTTCAACATCCCAAGATTGACTACAGCTTACTTGACCAGCAATCGTAGACCTCTTCAATATCCCTTTCGAATGCGGACAACGTTACTTTGCGATCCACGCTTCCTTTCGCCGTTCTCGTCATCCTCTTCTCAAAACCAACTATGATCATCAATTCTCTTTGTAGTCTTGCAGATTCATGATGCTTTTCATTCTCTGCTTCCACCGTGGGCCAGATGTCATTCACAAAGTCCTCTTCCTGTTCGGCAGTGCTGATCGGTGCGGATGGCTCAACTAACAAGAATGGCCTGCTACGGTATTGGCCACCCACAAGTACGGCTACTACTGCCGGATGCGCTGAGATGGCTTCTTCAATAGCACCGGCGTACATCTTGACTTCACCGCTAAGAAGCACCAAGTCATCTTTTCGACATCTGTATCTCCAGAGCCCAGGCTTGCTGGGATGCGGTGAGAATAGATCCTTCGTCCTAAACTCTGTAATATTGTCCTTGCCGTTCAAGTCGAAATGTGCTGCCAGATGTAATGGCGTGCTGTCGATGCATCGGAAGAAGTTTGTGTATGCTTCAGATTGAGGTGTACGTTTTATGACAAGCTCATAGAGATCTGCGTCTGTGTGCTGGAATTCAGGAGCCATGAATGGATGGAACATGAAGTAGCCTTGATCTGCAGGATCAGGCGAGGCTCCTGTCAGCCAGAGACCTCCTTCTGTGCTACCGAGTGCTGATGAGACTGTGCCGTTGAACTCGGTGGCTACGATACGATTTGCCCAGGCGGCCAGTGGTGCTCCTCCAAACACAATCTTCTTGAGATCCTTTAGTGCTTTTCGACATGTGGCATCTGCGATGAGTTCTTCCAAGAGGGAGGGTGGAAATGATGCCGCGCTGACTGGCGCATTTCGTAGCACCCCGAGTACAGTCTTCTTGTCTGGTCGGACTCCAGCAGGTCCCAGGATGATGATTGTGCTGAGGTATACAGGCGAAAGCAGACTGGCAGTCATGCCAGAAGTGTGAAACACAGGCAGTGCACAGTAAATACTTTGACCTGCTATCTGTGTTGCAACACTACCTGGAAGAGTGTGTAATCTATCCACAGACGCTAGCATATCGTGAGTCCAAATGACGGGCTTTGGCATTCCTGTGGTTCCGGATGTGTGCACTATCATGACAGGATCCGAGTGTGCTTTTGAGTATGGTTTCAGATACTCGTAGCGTTTAGGTCTGTACGAGTACCCAGGTCCAGTCAGAAAGCTAACCAGAGATTCTGCGCTGATGTACTTGGCACTCTTGAATTTGGCCTGCAATGACTGAGCTAACTCGTTCATCTCAGAGGCACATACCACAGCAGTGCATTCCAACGACTCCAGAAGGAATAAATGGGCATCTGGCGATGCGAGATGAGAAGCCAACAGCACTTGTCTGCCGGTTTTTGCTGCTGCTACTACCACCATAGTGTATCCAAGATCTCTGGGTCCAAAGTATGCAAAGGTCGGAAATGTACCATCGGCTTTACCAAGTACCTCGTCCAGCCACCATGCGAGTGAGTCGATTGCTTGGGCAAACTCGGCGTATGTGACATTCCCGAACCCTCTTGATAAGTCTGCATCATCTTTTGGTATCGACGCGTAGACACGATCAGGTGCAGTCGTGGCAATGTCATCAATCAGGGTTGGTAGAAGCCTTGTGCCAAAGGCAGGGGTCTCTCGCGTCATGTTTGGCAGGATGTTGGCTTGCTTTGACGTAGATTGAGGGACTCGTGGCAGTCTAGTTGCTGGTAGTTGAGATAGGGTACTCATATGGGCGTTGTGGGCTTTTGTATGATAGTGGAGCAAACGGTTACAGAAGGAAGGAAGAAGTACGGTGATCGAGGAAGGCGCGACCAGCCTTCGTATATAGCACCTTACCTCCACGGGCAGCGACACGACTCACCACATACAAGAGACGAGCTGAGAGTAATCATCCGACAGCACCATCGTAAACTCTGCTCGTCCTACGTACGAAAGCACGCCCCGTCTCGGGACAACTAAGCGTTCTCCTACCAGCCAGCGCATCGCAATAATGCTACGGTGCCGTCCGTCAGTTTTTCGTACGAGAGAGCCATGATGAGCCGACCAGCAATTTAAACGGTTGCAGGATGAAGGCTCTAATCGGCGCCTTATACAGGGCAAGGGTGTGTTGTCGCGGGATGTTTCTTGTTGAGGCTTAGGGCCTTGGCCAAATGCGCGCCATCGCGGAAGTTGCTAGCAAACGTATCAGGTCTTCCTTGTAGCGGCTCTCCACTTTCATACATGATCTGTGCTATGTAACAAGCTCCATGTGTTCTATAGCGGTCTCGGTGACATTCTTTTCCTGGGAGAATGCACGCGGAACCCGAAACCGAAGCATCCGCTCCTTCGCGCCATGAATCCTTCTCACGCCCACGATCTCATCAATGCAAGCATCGAGAAAAGTACTGCGAGAGAAGGTTGAACAAGAGGCCGACTACTTGCGTTGCCTCATCGGCCATGGAGTTGCCTCTTTCCCCCCATCAAGACACATTCCGCGAGGACTGCACTACAGAGTTCATGCGAAACCCCGCTGGACAGTTCCATGTAAAGTCCAATGCAGGGTCCGTTGTTCACCGTCAATCCTATGCTCTAATCTATCCGTCTTTAGGTCTCATCGTGTCATCAAGGCCTGACACGAAACGGAGATAGGTCGCTGGCGAATTTTACCTTGCGCATGCTCAGCCTCAGGAAAAACAGTACCGGTATAGACACTTTTGCTAATCGCATCATCATCTGATGTGTAGGTTATATGCAGCACGTTCGACTTTGAAACCTCGATCTTTTAGGACGACATTTTCACTCGATTGAAGCTGTGTAAAGCAGCATGACTTTGTAGTAATTGTCACCGCAACAGCACAAATCGCTTCTACCTGCAAGGCAATTCGAAGACTTCAGAAGTTGTAGTCTTCGTAGAGCACTTCTTGGCCACTCAGCCACTCCAATATGATCCTTCTCTGACTTGCGCCTGTGCAAACATACCATCTTCCGACTGCAGGTATCAGCCCCTCCAGATCACTTTTATCAATACGACGGCGCTCGATCCGCACTCCTATGTCATTTAGCTTACCCAACGCTGAATGAGGCTCTTCAGAGTCTGTGGTAATGCCAGTCACAAACATAGTAACACTAGGAGCCAGGCCCGGCGTGCTTTCGATCATGTCGACAGCAAGTCCGATATCAGCTGCCCGTACTGTCCAGAGAAGTCGAAGAGACTCCGATTTGAGTTGTTGCAGACAAGGCATCAATGGAGTGATGCCTACGCCCGCCGCGACGAACGCGACATCCTTCTGCACACCAGTCTGCTCAACTGCAAATGAACCCCCGAACCCTTTGATCTTCAACTCTAGATCGGAGGATTTCAGCCCATGCTCGAAGAGAAAGTCGGTCACGATACCGACTTTGCGTATTGTTATCTCGAACTCGTCGTCGGCGAGCCTCTTCGTGGGACGAGGCGGCAGACCAGGAGGTGACGACACGGTAAAGGTACGAACAAAATCGTCGTTGATCGATCGAGGGTCATCGTCTCTCATATGACTGTAACCAAGATCCAGGTGTTCCGATGCATCGATAGTGACATACTGGCCTGCTGTATAGGTGGCTGCATTGGACAAGCCGAACCGGAAGCGCGAGATGGTCGGTGTGAGCGGTGTCTGAGAAAGCAGTTTCGCAGTGACCATGTTATGGCTCTGTTCTTCTGCCCTTGTGCTTGCTTTTTCACTTGCCAGATACCTTACAACTGGATTGTAAGGAGAAAACTCGCCAGTGTTGCCACGAAATGGAAGCACCGCTGCTACCAGACGAGCTTCGTGGACTGTCACCCGGACGGCCAGATTCGAGCGAGGCATAATCTCTGCCGCTTCTTTTCCGAACAGGATTTCTGTTGTTCCTGTGACGAAAAGGCTGTCGCCAGTCTCGAAATCTGGAAAGCAGAAGCCAGCCTTTGGCTCGAGGACCATGTTTCCTAGGCTTTGGTATAATCGGTTACCAGAGTATTCGGGGTACACAAATTGCGTGCAAGAGTCTTCTCCAGGTATGCAACGTATAAAGCCTGGAGCGCCGCCTCTATGGTTGGTGTCCATACTGGTTCCACTACTCGTGCTAAGAAACATGAGGTCTACTTTGTGGATGAGATCGACGGCTCTTTGGTTCAGAGATGTAGAGCTCGAGACGAGCTCAGGATTGGTGTCCGCTGGTGATATTTCACGTCTGTTGAGATACTTCGGGCAGTTGCCTTGCTCTGTGTCAGCTTGTGATTTTCGGCGTCAGCTAGACTTTTGAACGCACCCAGACTTTCATCAACATGCGCGACGAGTTGCAGCACGCCCTGCTGTGAGCTGTTTTCCGAGCCTTTCTCGTCGTTAGTACCACCGAGAGTGCCAGCGACCATCCTTCCAGCGAGCTTCACCCTCTTCCTCGTTTCCAGGTCAATAGCTAGCCCACTGAGCAGTCTGCCTTCACCCTCTTCTTTGACGATCTCACCCTTGGCGTCTCGGCCTACCAATATCTCTACCACAGGATCTAGCTTCACTGCTACAGACGTATTGATGCCAATCATGTTATTCCCCAACGGTCGGGAGAAACCTGTGCGACCTCCCCAAACGGTTGTCCAAGGCCGGTTTCCAGCATCTAAGGTGCCAAATGCGAGTAGCGGAGCTCTTTGAAGCATATTGGATGCTTGAGGTGATAACATCGGGATAGTGGGGTTGTCCATCTCTGGCACGCCCAGCCTTGCCTGCACCGACTTCTCCCCTTCGTGGAAGTCTTGAGCTTGATAGAAAGTCATGACGGTGAGTATCGCGCTTAGGCAGGCAGGCGATTCAGGGGTTTAGTAGATGTCCAGGACGAGTGATCCTGTCTTGTTAAAGGGCGTGAACATATTATGAGTTCTGCCTACGTGATTCTAGCGAGCAGGCAACACAGGCCGAGGGAGGAAGGTGCTGACTGACCCCGCATTGCACCATCTCACCAATCCTTCGCCATTGAATCTCCAGTATTGATTGTGCTGTGACAACCATAATCTGACTGATTTGGGACGCCTGTTGTACGGCGTCTTTGTTGGTTGTCGAAAGGATATCGCGATATCATCTGATGGCATTGATCACAGAACTTGCATAACTTTGTGCATTGACGTCATCTACGGTCTTCCATCACACAGGGTGCTCCCCTCAGCGACTAACTGGAGGCCACCAGGGGCATAGCAGGTGCACAACGACAGTATGTACAAATCTAAGCATGTCGGTACATTCAGAAGACTTCCAGGAACGCCTATTGTGTTCAGATTGGAGATCGTACTTTGCGTTCGATCTGTATCGTTGATGGACGCAAATTCTGTCTACTGGGAATGAGTTTGGCTACCAACACTATGGTCCCGAGGTCAGACATCCAGGATTGCTGCACTTACTACACATTCTGTGCTTGGAAGCAGCATCAGAAGACAATCACCACCAGAACTCAGTCAAGGAAGAGCATGCTATGGTTTGGATCTGTCCAGAGACCGCTTCCTTGTTCTCGAACTTCTGGCAAGCTCAATGCTCTTGAAAATGTTCGGTGTTAGCCTCCTCCTATTTCCACAAGCCCGATTGCCCGGGTATCTTGATCTTTGACGTCGAATCTCATGGGAACCTTGCGGACTGTCACGCTTTGTAACAAGCGATGGATCATGCTGGACTCAATAATCAGCTACACATGTGATTCGAGGCTGGTTGTGTCCCGGATAGACAGTTTCCGAATTGAAATGCCCCGGCGTGGCTGGCCGTATATGGCATCTGATCGACACGCTGCAGTATCGATTTCAGCAAGTCGCCTCCAGCTTCCTTCTCCTGGTAGGGTTCGGCCGAACAGAACAGACATCAGGGAGCGAAGGATTTTGATCAATTCATATCCATAAATCATGGCAGCAGGTGATGCTGATCTCGACGAGGCACTGTAGAGCACACTGCCGAGAGAACCGACATTATTGAGACAGTAAAGACGCCACCGACGGCAAGCAATGGTTTGCCGCGAAGACTGACGCCTTGTCAACTACCAAGCAATGCCTACCGCACTTGCTAACGAATAGGAAAAGCGCGGGAAGCAGTTTGTGGCTTTCGGGCTGCATACAGCGTTGCCGCCGAAACCGAGGGTATCTTTTGCCAAGTTATCAATAATCCTCATCTTGTTCCGCAGGCTACGGCAACTTCGAACAGCAAACTTCACCCCCAGAGGAGGACTAGTATCGTGTGGGTCGTTGCTGTCTCCATGTCGCGCTCTCCGCCGGGAGACGTAGGTGGAGCCCCGGGGGTTCGGCACCTGGCTAAATCGGTGTTTGTGGCCTTTGAGAATTTACCCAGGCTCCTCGGAGCATGGAAGACGTACTGTACTGTCGGCCTCAGCCATTGCGCGGCGTGGTTACCATACCCATGTCGAAACACATGGTGTTGACTGTCAATCGCTTTCAGGCAAAATGCAAAAACGGTTCTGGTCACCCTTGAGACAGCATTCCTGATCGACCTTGACCGATCAGCCCCACTGTTGTCATGTATTAAAGAACTGACACTCCACTCCCCGTGGAGACGATTAACAAACCCATACCTCCTCCACAAGTCTTGCTCATCATGGTAGCAGCAGGAACAGGTGCACCTCTTGTCTCGGCCGCGAGGGCTCGGCTCTCTGGTCCCATGGGCATCAAAGGCATTATTGCATCTGGCAAGACCACTGGCATTGCGTTCTTCGCCTCACTTGGCGGTTTTGTATATGGCTACAACCAAGGCATGTTTGCTCAGGTTTTGACCATGAATTCTTTCATTAGGGCGGTAAGTGTTCTTGGTGTATAAGCATACTCCCAATCTGTACCTAACGTGTCACAGACAAATGGCTACGCTGATGGTACTGGTCTTGCACAAGGTCTGCTGACATCAATCCTCGAACTCGGTGCCTGGGTCGGCACGCTCATCAACGGTTATCTGGCTGACGCTGTTGGCCGACGTTGGTGTGCACTGATTGCCTGCGTTGTATTCACGATTGGTGTCATCGTCCAAGCCTGCACGGAAAACAAAGACTACGTACTCGGAGGTCGCTTTGTTACTGGTCTCGGTGTTGGATCTCTATCAATGGTTGTTCCGTTGTACAACGCTGAGTTGTCTCCTCCGGAGATTAGAGGTAGTCTGGTAGCCGTACAACAGCTTGCTATCACGTTCGGTATCATGATCTCTTTCTGGATCGGCTATGGTGAGTTTCTCATAAAGCTGGTAAGCAGAGGTCTGATGTTGACTTGGATCCAGGAACAAACTTCATCGGAGGCACCGGGGACAGTCAGTCATCTGCAGCTTGGCTTATCCCTATTTGTATCCAAATTCTCCCAGCCCTCGTCTTGGGAGCTGGCATGACGATGTTTATGCCCGAATCGCCTCGCCATCTGATGAATCAAGGTCGTGAAGAGGAGGCACTTGCAACATTGGCTCGTCTACGCAGCAAGAGCACCGAAGACCTGGGTGTGCGTGTTGAATACCTCGAGATCAAAGCCCTTCGTGACTTCGAGGTCGAGACCGCCCGCAGAAAGTATCCCAACTATCAAGACGGCAGCAGGAAGAGCAACTTCCTCATTGGCTTCTATGACTATGCATCATTGGTCACCAATCCATCATTGCGAAGACGAACCATGGCTGCTTGCCTTACCATGACATTTCAGCAGTGGAACGGCATCAACGCCATCAACTACTAGTAAGGCTTGTGTCTAATGCGTTGTCACAGTCCTCGCTGACCATCACACAGTGCACCCTTCATTTTCCAGAATTTCGGATTCAAAGGCAACACCCTATCACTATTGGCTACCGGAGTTGTCGGTGTCCTTGAATTCCTTCTGACCATTCCTGCCGTCCTCTACGTTGACAAGTTTGGCCGCAAGTCAATATTGCTTGCTGGTGCGATTGGTATGGCTACATGCCACTTTATCGTCGCCGGTCTGGTGGGATCTTACCAAAATGACTGGCAGAACCACGTCGCGGCTGGATGGGTGTGCATCGCTCTGGTCTGGCTGTTTGTCGGAAATTTCGCGTACAGCTGGGGTCCTGTGTCTTGGATTGTCGTGTCCGAAGTATTCCCTCTCAGCATGCGTGCAAAGGGTGTCTCGCTCGGCGGTAGCGCTAATTGGCTGAATAACTTCGCGGTCGGGATCTCAACCTCGCCTTTCATCAGTACCTCCCAGTTCGGAGCGTTCATCTTCTTCGGCTGCATGACTGTCCTCGCTGCCTTGTGGGTTTACTTTGTTCTCCCTGAAACTAAAGGCCTTACTCTGGAGGAGATGGATGAGTTGTTCGGTGACGCTGGCTTCGCCGAGGCCGACATGGCGCTGAAGCAGCAGATTGAAAAAGACATCGGTCTCACAGCTCTGTTGTATGGTGAAGATGAGCCTATGATGACAGAGAAGACCGATGCTAAGACCAAGGGCGAGGAGAGGGAGTTCAAGGAGGACACAAAGAGTATCAGCTTGTAAGACTTGCATCGAATAAAGCGACAAGTAACAGGCGTTATCGTTGGATTTCATCAACCACTTCGACAATTTTCAGTGGTTAAGAAAGCAACTGTGTACAGCAATGGGAGGAAAAAGAAAACGAAATCCGCACAATGTCCGCCGAAGGAGACCTAGTGTAGTCCGTCCTCAGCCGCCTAACCACCATGTCGGCTCGACAATTTGAACTGTCTTATATGCTCTGAAGGCAAGGCCGGGACGGCAGAGCCATGGGGGCAAGCTCTGCCGTTGTAAAGAAGGCGCAAAAAGAAACGGGTTTGTAGGATAAGATTGTTGTGAGACGGCGCGACAGAAGCAAGAGAAGCGGACTGCCTGTAGGATAAGTTACCGTAGTCAAAATGACGGCCTGTCGGATGCAACAAAATCGGCTCGCCGGCCAAAGGTGAAGAAACAAAGGCGGACCCAAAGGACATAGCGACGGAGTAGCAGAAGACGCGACTGGGGCATAGTACACCTGCTGTATCCAAGAATAAAGTTTACTTCATGTTGAGTTTTTGCATTCCTATCCTTCTTCTTCTTCTTCTTCTCTCTCAACAATACTATAAAAAAAGAAAAGACGAAAGGAGAATGCTAATATTATGACAGAAGCTGGGATTATATCTTCCGCACCTTCGGAACCCTTCAGAATGCCCCGGCCAGAAACCCAAACTGCAGAGATGATTCCTGGAAAGGCTTAATTCTTCGCTGTGTTTTGGCCAAGGAATTGATACTCGACAAGATTGGAAGACTGGAACAGATGAATCGCGATACTGGCTATAATGATGATGCTGGTATTGATTTTGGCGAGAAGATTGGAGCTAAAGCACTGAAATTGGATGAAAAGTTCTACGCAGAGGAGAGAGTCTTGATTGAGTTGTTGAGGACAAACATTCCTAGTGGGAAGATTATGGATGCATTGGGTTCATGATTGATGGAGCAAAGAAGAGAGGTAAGGAGGTATAGATCATGTCATTGTTCATTACTGCTATTTTGGCAATACACTATCATAAAGCCCACAAAAGGGTTCTACATCATTCATTGGCCTAAGTCTCTGGCTCGAGGACCTCAGTGGTTGCAATGACTGGGAACTCACCAGTACTTCCGTAACCACCGTAGAAGTACTCAGAAGGAGGAATAGTAGGACCACCTGATGGGGGTTGCGGCCACTCGTCAAGACAAGCAGGAGAGCCAGTCAGGGTGAAATTGACCATTGTCAACTCGGGCATAGTGTCGATCATCAGAGCATAGTCGCCAGGGTAGAGATAAGTGTTACCGTGGTCGTCAATACGAGACAGCGAACCAAGAGTCAGGTTCAAGGTAGCGGTCTGAGATGCACCGCCAGCAATGTCGTGGAGACGCTGGTAGCTAACGAGAGACTTTTTGGGGTAAGGAGAAGGTCCGAACTGACCGGCCAGGAAACCGAGGGCAACGTAGTCAGAGCTGACTTTACCAGTATTTTGAACATTCACAGAGATGCTCTCAAAGGCGCAACGATCCTTGTAGGTCTCGTTGCAGTTGGCAGTCAAGGCGGAGATGTCGTAGCTGGAAGCAGCCATAGGAGAAATGTTGGCCGAGAAATTGGTGTAGTGCATGCCGTAGCCAAACTCGAAAACGGCAGTACCGTTGTACCACTTGTAAGTTCTACCAGGAGAGCCAGTGGTCTCGTTGGGACGCAGAGTCATATCGGTCATGGGAATGTCAGAAACGTAGTGAGCAGGGTACTGGGTAACAGGAAGACGACCAGCAGGTGCGGTCTTTCCAGTGATAATGTTCAGAAGGGCAACACCACCATCCTGACCAGGGTATCCACCCCAGAGAAGAGCAGAGATGTTGGGGTTGTTGACGTGAGGAGCGTTGTCGAGCTGACCACCCATCTGGATGACAATTGTAGGTTTGCCGTATGAGGCGAGCTCACCAATGACATCAAGTTGAGCACCAGTCCAATTGATAGTCTCACGGTCCATGCCCTCAGCCTCAACACTGTCATCAACACCACCAGCATAAATGATGACATCGGCGTTGTCGGCAGCAGTCCACACGGGAAGCCAGTGGTCAGTGGTGGGATCACCTTGTCCGCCAGGTCCGCCAGCATAGAAGACTTGAGCACCAGATTGCTGAGCAGCATACAAAGGGCTGTGAAGGTATGGAGGAACACCGAAGTAGTTACCAATCATCTGCTGAGTAGCGTTGGCCCAGTCGCCAATGACCGCAATCTTAGTGCTGTTGGTGACAGTGAGAGGAAGAAGACCGTCGTTCTTAAGAAGGACAATACCTTCCTCAGCAGCAGTGAGGGCGAGTTGCTGAGCATAGGGAGTGCTGACATCAGAGAAGGTCAAGTTTCTGTACATAGCGTCGGGACCATCGAAGTAGCCAGTGCGGACTAGCGAGGTGTAGAGACGAAGAAGAGCCTGGTCGACAGTGGTCTGGTTGATCAAACCCTCGCTGTAAGCCTTGGGAAGATGGTGTTGGTAGTAGGTACCGCAATCAAGATCGGTACCAGCGTTGAGAGCAGCAGCAGCAGCACCTTGGCGAGTGTCGCTGAAGTTGTGGGGAAGGAAGATGTTTTGAATAGAGTCGCAGTCACTGGTGACCCACTGCTCTTCGTTGGTCCATCCCCAGTGCTCACGAAGAACATCATTCAGAAGCCAAGGGTCGGCACAAGTTGGGACACCGTTCAGAGCGCTGTATGTGCACATGAAAGCTCCAACATTGGAATCTCTGGCACATGAGCGGAAAGAAGGAAGGTAGTACTCTACAAGATCGCGCTGAGAGATCTGAACATCATTCTGGTAACGAAGGTTACCATTCCATGACTCGATGTCGTAACCAGCGAAATGCTTGCAAGTAGCAGTAATCTTCCTGATCTCGGGGTCCTCGCCGCCCTGGAGACCCAAAATGAGAGCGTGGACGTAGGAAGACAGATGGTAAGGATCTTCACCAGGAGTCTCCTGACCTCTGCCCCAGCGAGGGTCTCTGTAAGGGTTGATATTAGGAGTCCAGAAGTCGAGACCAGCACGTCCATAGTTGTTGAATGCTCTGGCTTCGGTACTGACGACCTCAGCAACAGCAGTGATGAGCTCGTCGTCGAAAGCGGCACCCATCAAGATGGGCTGCGGGAAGGACGTCGCATAGCGGAAGTCTCCGCTGGCATTGAAGGTGACACCAGGAGATTCGGCGACACCGTGGAGAGCCTCTTGCCACCATTGGTAGATTGGCAGACCAAGTCTGGGCACTCCAGGGCTGTTATTTCCAGTAAGATTGAGCTTCTCAGCAACAGTGAAGGCAGAGACCAAGGCTCTAGCTCTTGCGATTGGGTCTGGAAAGTGTTAGAAGATGGTAGGCGAGCATGTGTAGTAGAGTTGAGCATACCTGCAGACTTGTCACAGACTGTGTTGTTCGAGAGAGGGCCATTGACACAGTCAGGGAAACCACCTTGAGAGGTTCCTGTGAAGGTCTGGGCAGAAGCACCAGCTCCGAGCAATGCCAATGCAGAGAGAGAAAGTAGAGCGGCCATGATGAAGGTATATGGCCCGGTATGAGGAGAGATGCTTTAGGTCAAAGTCAATGAGTGGGAGAAGCAACTATATATGCCATGTCATGACGGACTAGCAAAACACATTCAGGTGGAATGATGGTCACGTCGGTGGCCGAGTATGGGGATCTGCCAACCTTGAGCTTGGATAAAGTCTCTAGCACAGTGGGGATCCCATTGCGGAGCATCATGTTCTAGCACTGGAAAAAGTATGCTGGTCACCGGTCTCCCAGCGGTGGATCATTGCCGATTGCTTGCAATAGACAAGATCAACACATAAGACCGGGCTGTGAAGACATTAGTTCGGCATCAATGCATTTAGCAGGTCCCCGCACTTTCTCCGCAGGTTAAATGGCAAGATGGTGCGTACTCCACACTTTCGACTCTGCGTGTGTTTGCAAACCATGTCCATCTCGTGCATACAGGTGCAGAAGGAATATTGATGGAGAAGACGTCATTCTTGAGGCTGCTGTGTATCGCTTTCGGCATGCCGTTCCGTGCCGAGGGGTATCAGGCGCAAGTACCTGCGTGAGCTAGCTGTGTCGAGAGCGAATTAGACAGGGTAGATTTAGCCACAACAGTAGCGTGGCTGGCATGTTTGCCACGGGGAGGGTAAAGTGTAAAGCCGACGACGGGGTTAAGGTCAAACGACGATGATCGATCGCGTGAAGGCATTTTAACCAGTTTAGCCAGCCATTGAGATGTGGAGTTTTCCGTCAGTCCACAGCATCGGAAGTCGATCGGCATTTTGCTTGGACTTGACAGCAACATGTCGGTCCAGAGATGCGGAAGGTCGAAGCAGGTCTGCTACGTCAAAAGAGCATGGGTGCCTGAGCGACAAGACCTTGAATTACCTGAGAGGCTGAGAACAGGCAAGGCATGATGTCCTCGGACGAAAGCACAATTGGAAGATCTGTCGGGTCGATGCATGTGTGAGATGTATGCCAAAGTCCGTATTATCTCATGCTGTGCGGTCACATCTCGTACGTCGTACGAACAAACGACACCGAGGCGACGACGACATGTCTTGCATCGACAAGCAATTGAGAAGAGTGCCAATTGTATAGAAACGAGGCTCTGCGGATTGTCGAGAAGCACGGACATATTCGACCCCAGATTTCTAGCATCTCTTCGTCATGATTCAAGTCGAGCGACAAGACTTTGGCTGAGCTCTTGACAATTGACAAACACACACAACTTCGCGACCTGATACATCACCCTCCACATCCTGAAGCAGTCGACTGGCCATCTGAAACACATCCATCCACCATGGGCTCATCAGCATCGAAACCGGCCTCTCGCGCCGCCAATGCTGCAACAAAAGCAACACGCCAATACCCATCTCGCCCGTCACCCGCAACATCCACACAGGCAGCAGCTCCCACACGAACCACAAATGCACCATCCCAACCTCCGCCGCCACCAGGTGCAGGCCACCGAGCAGGTCCCACAGTACACCCCCAGCCACGCGCAAGTGGCCAGCGCAACGAAGGTATGCTTCAACCTTTTCTCTCTCTTTCGCCTTCTACACAAAACTTCCCGGTCACAATGATGAAACTCAACGATTCCCCTTAATACACCACCTACATGGTGAATGATTCGAAATCGTCCAAATCAACAGTCTATATCTGATCTGTCTACCCACTCTCCGCTTCTTCCACCTCCCTCTATCGCTCTGCATCAAGCAACCAGAAATTAACAAAGCTTCCTCTCAGAAATCAACCTCGACGCCTCAGACCCAGATTTCGCCCGCTCCCTCCGTCAACTAGGCGCCGTACAACCAAACCCCACCCTCTCACCCTCTTCAACCTTTTCCGCGCATCCAAGCTCCCACTTCCCAAACCCTTACGGTCAACAAGGAAACAATACCACGGCACCTCCACAGCGATTAAATCCCGCATTGAGAGTGCTGCAAGCTCGTGCTGAGTTGGCTGGAGAGGCAGAGCGAGAGTTTTTGGAAGCTGGAAAGAGGGGGAGTGCTGGCAGGAGGTTTTTGGATGTGGGTACCTTGAGGAATGTGATTACTATGAGAGACCAACGGGGCATGAGTGATGCTGAGATCGAGAGGGGTTTGGGCCTGAGAAGTGGTACCGTAGCGAAGCTCGGTCCCAAGGGTGTCGTCGGTGTTGAGGGCATTCTGGAAGATTGAGCCGTCACGTTTGGACAAGCCACACCGTACATGAGACTGGATGTATATTACCATACGACGAGCAACAAGCATAGAACTGTATACCACTGTAACAATAGTCATGGCAATATTGCTTGCCCACGAGCATCCTCGACCCCGCCATCTCTATGGCTTCATCCATGAGATCAAATGAGTGACTCTGGCCCAGTCTCCAAGCAAGACAAGAAATACATGGGAGAAGGAGAGGGCTATAGGGTGGAACCCAGAAAAAACTGAACGCCGTTCCATGCATCTAAGACTCCCACTTACATAAATCTCTGGTGAAATAAACCTTTGGATCCCGGAAGCAAGAGGTTAAGAAGAAAGGAAGAAGAAAAGAGAGCATTGCTCAGACGGCAAGCAATAGCGCTGTGACAAGCGAAGAAAAGTCATCAACGCCAGAAGATATTGTGTCTAACGTGCTGAACAGGACGCAGTCCAGGAGGCAGTCCAAAGTTTGGCATTGGGACCCAGCTATCTGGCGGAAAGGAAGGTGGCATCATGTGTTGGTAGTTTGAATATTGAGGTTGCGCAAACATGGGCATCGTTGGCATAGGATGTCTACCAAAGCCTTGTGAAGCAAAAGCTGCTGGTCCAGGTCGTGCCTTGCCATTGAAATGAGGTGCGTTGGGTAAGAACATGCCGTGGCGGACAGGAAGTGTCAATGGTGGTGGCTGACCGTATAGTACCTGGCCGTATGGGGGCTGATTGAAGAACATAGGATGAGGCTGTGGAGGCGCGAGCTCATTACGGTGAGCTTGATGACCATATGGTGACCGGATTCTAAAACGCCTAGCCGCACCCGTATACTGATCTCTTTGCCGAGGAGGTGGTGCGATTGGAGTGCACATAGACTCTGGAGTCTGTCGTGAATGCTCACTTGCTTGAGAGACAGGATCCGAGCTAAGCGACTGAACACTGTCGTATCTAGAAGATTCGAGACTCTAACTCGAGACTGCCTGGCGAGACAAGAACTTATGAGGAACCGGGACATTGGCTGTTTTGCCCTTTTGAGGTACGTTTGAACGCTTGCATGAACGGCGCTGTTTTTTAATCACGCCACTCTCTACCTGTTGTAGTAGACGGAAGGTTCTGCTCAATACGATGTGAGGTGTTGTGACAAAGTGGGTCAGCTGCGAGTACAGACGCCAAAGCAAGTTCGCACGTTCGCTCGAGATTATGCAGCCAATGTCAGTCGCACCACCACGGAGCAACGATTGTAGTGCAGTCATGACCAGTTGTTCGGTATCAGTCTTCCATGGTCCATCTTCCGAGCCCTTGCCTTGGGAAGGTCGACCGTGCTGAAGTGCTGCTTGGGCTTTGAGTCTGCGAATGTTGGCAATGTGATGATGCAGTATCTCAATAGCTTTGTTGATCAGAAGCAAGATCTCCACGTCTGGCTCTCCGAAATGTACTCCATCACACCATCTATCTCCAGCGTCCTCGTATCGATCGGACCCGGTAGCAGCTGCCAATAGAGCGTCAACGCTGCTGTCTACGTTGTATTGTTGGTCAGCAAGGTCGACACCAATATCATGTACTGATTCGTGTGTTGAAGTACCTCTGAGGTCATCTCTGCTCGACGGCGGGCGGATCTGTTGTTGGACAGGTGGCATGCTAAGACGTCCCAAAGCCTGACATGCATTTTGTAGCTTTCTAATACTGACCTCAGGGCTGTCGGGTTGCTGGGGCAGTGAAGAGAGGGAACTTGACAGGACGACAGGACTCTGCATTTCGTTCCCGAAGTATGCTGGGGGCTCGCTGGCGAGATCAGCTGAAGTGTCGTACATCAAGCCGGCAGCTGCAGGCAGAGCATCCGACTCTGGTAAGAAATCGGAATCCGGCCTATAACTCTTGACCGAGCCGATAACAGAGTATAGAGCTGATAGAGAAGAACGAGGAGTATCGTCGATAAAGTTGCTCAAGAAGTCATCACCATAGCCGGCAGGCTCGACCTCGTAAGAGTCGACATAGTCACTTTTATCGGCAGGCTCCCGCGAGGTCAGCACCACGGGATCTGAAGAGTTGATTGGGGGTAGATTCGAGGCCGCATGGGGTGAGGTTGGTGCTTGTGGGGACATGTTCAGATCTGCTGTAAGTCTTCGCTTTTTGGTCAGAGGCTCAAAGACATTGTTCGAGTATCTGGCAGGTCTCGATATCTTTCTTTTAGGCCGAGCAGGAGGCAGTTCTGGTTCCGGCTCCGGTTGTCTAGGGCGGATGTTCAATTTTAGACGTATCGGGGGTCGAGACGGTCGCGGCATAGCGACGTTGATGGTGTCTTGCGGAGTAGGCATATCTCCGGAAGCAGCGTGCCTTCTCGGCATGAGGAATGTGTGGTGGACTTTGACCTGCGATTTGGCTGCTCACGGAGGTTCGAGGTTGTTTTTCGAAGAATCTGATGCGGGTCCGCAGAGAGCAAGAAGGTAGTCTGCTTGCGGAATCGTCAAGGTTTACAATGTCGGGGTCCGGCTTTGGGGTGTTATAAGTCTCGCAGATGGCCAAGGCTTGTCGCATCGACAGATATTGTATCAGGGCATGATGATTGTTCGATACTTGGTAGATGGCTTATTGGAGATGCAAAAAACCTTGGACGTTGGCTCTTGCTCTGACTCGCAGCAGAATAGCAGTCATTCAGCATAGGGAAGTAGCATCTGCCTTGAGCGTAAAGCGCTTTCCCAAAAGGGTAATCATGCTGCCAGGTCTAGCAAAGGCTGCTTCGACTTAGCAGGCACATAGTGCGAAGACTCAATGCAGCCAATGCCGTGTGATCTCTCATTTTCGTGCTCATAAAATCACGCACGCATACTGAATTGAAAAAGATATTAGAATATCATCATTATCATGTTCGGGTATCGCAGTCGCAAGTGGCAGGAGATGATGGCTAGCGGCGACGAATGAGGCAAGTGGGCCGAAGCTGGAGCAACTTGGCCTCTCGACGCTTCGTCACCAAACCCGCTCTTGTTCAAGGACAACACCACTGCACCGCGACAATGAAGTTCTCAAGTGCATTTGTCCTGCCATTGCTGTCAATCAGCCCGAGTCTTGCTGCTGCTTCGTCATGGAGTTTTGAAGATGCGACTCTTAGCATTTCCAGCAAAGGAGCTGGTGTCGGCGGTGCTCTGAAGGAGAAGTGAGTAGCTCCGGTAGAGAGACACTTGTATCGCAGCGCTGACGTTACTTGAACAGATTGTCGCCCGAGGCACACCTCAGCAAGCTGATCAAGCTTGGCCCTGCAGACACGCTCAAGATCCTCATGACAACCATCGAAGACCAAACCGCAAAGAGACCCCACCAGGCCTTCCTGACTCTGCACGAACCCACCACCGGTCTCGAGGAGTCTTTCGTCTTCAGCGTCAAGGAGAGCGGTAAGGCCAGAGTCGAGCTGGTATGCCACAATTTCTTCTAAGCACAATCGCTACCCTTCAGCTGACGCGCGTCACAGTCGCAAAAGGACCTCCCCTTCCAGTTCCTAGCCGCAACCGCCCCCATCCAGGCCAAGCTCTTGATTGCTTCGTTTGGCTCTTCTGAGGCCTACTACACCCACGCTTTTGACTTGGATGTCGCCCGCGACCCCAATGTGCCCCTAAGCACCCCCGAACCTCCTCTCCGCTACGGCAAGCTGGCCGAGATTCACCACATCTTCCGCAGCGACCCCAAGTCTTCTCCTACCATTCTCTCCCTCGTCTTCACTCTCGCCGTGGTGGCTTGTCTTCCGGCTCTCCTTGGAGGCTGGCTGCTCCTAGGCGCAAACTTCAGCCACCTCTCCAAGGCCATGAACGCTGCTCCCGTCTCTCACGCTCTGTTCTTCGGCAGCATCGTAGCCATGGAATTCCTCTTCTTCCTATACTACTCTTCTTGGACTCTCTTCCAAATTCTACCTCCCGCTGGTCTCATCGGCACTGTGACCTTCCTCAGTGGCAGCAAAGCCCTCTGTGAAGTACAGCAACGTAGACTCGCTGGCCTGAGATAGAATGAAACCTGCAAGGTTACAACTTTCGAAGGGTCAGGTACCTTCCGAACTTGTCACACATACATTTAGAGATCACACCAAATGTCAAAAGTACTCATTTGCCAACCAACTACACTCATAGTTCTCTGCCCAAGTTACGTACAACGTTAATCATTACAATAGCGAGCCACATGATCATTGAATCAGGTGAATACATCCTTCTCTTTCTGCAGTGCCAGGAACGTCTCTTCGTCGTGTCCAGGAATCACTCTGCCTCGAGTCGTTCTCTCCAAGCGCTTCAGCCGCTGCGTACTCTGGAACCATGCGGGATGGTCACGAGCAAGCCAACCTTGAGGGATACCATCCCGCCACTGTTTGATATTAGCCTTGGTCAGACATCAATCGGAGAAGTATACACTCACGTTCTCGATGACGTGGCAATGGTCAGAGATGAAGAAGAAAGTACCACTGTCTGGCAAGTTGATCTGCATGCCGATCAACCCATCGGTATGTCCAGGCAAGTGGTGCAGTGTGATTCCCTGACAAAAGTCGATAGTCCTGTCGTCGAAAGTCTTCCAGTTCCTGTGCCGCCCAATTAGCGTAGTCTGTCTACTGCCATGGCGTTTCCCACTCACAAATCCAGGTTGAGGTAGTGCTTGAGGTAGACGCCAGCGTCTGCACCGGTTGCCACGCTCCAGAAAGCGCTTTTCAGCTCCTTGTCATGCACCCACACCTCGACATCCTGACGACCGAAGAACTCGTCAAGACCACCAGCATGATCAAGATGAAGATGTCCAATGATGACCTTCTTGATATCCTCAATCTTGTTTCCGGTCGCCGCAATTGCATTTCTCAATTCATGCTTCTCATCATACTTGACTCTTGTAAAGACATCAGACACTTGCGGGCCCCAGACTTCCGGATAATCCTTTCCACATCCAGTCTCCCAGAGGATCAATCCTTCGTGAGGGTGTGAGATCAAGCAACAGTATACTGGGAGATTACGACGCTTGTTCTCGAACGACTGGCCAGCTGTGGAGCCGAGAGAGGTGTTTGCGCCGCGGATGACAAAGGCTTCATCGCAGGCTAGCCATCCACATTCTAAGAGCCAGAGTTTTGTTCCTCGAGGGCAGACGTTTGAAATGTGGCCGGGTACTGCTCCGGAGTCGAGCTGAGCTTGGATCGCTGCCATGATGTTTTCACAATACCTACGGAATGGAGATTCGAATATGCAAGAAGCATGTGAGTAGGGTATTGCGGCTTATACATCATTTTTGATGCGCTATAGTACCCCGCTGTTATGAGTGATGTGAGTCTGACCCCGCATCGGTAATGGAATGTGAGGCAAGATGGGGATGATGGAAAGTCAACTTCTCCATGTACCCGGCCTTGTGGAACCGAAGATCACTCAAATATCATTCGGTATCATTGTATACGCATCTAGAAAATCTCGAAAAGATCACGGAGTCATGATTATGCATATCGCAATGCTGGAACGGACACCTCATCATCGCCGAAAACTCGCCGAACTCCCCACCCTGCCATGACATCAGCTCCGCCAAAAAGAAGCATTAACAGACCTCACTGGAACACCATTCTCTTTTGCACATGCCTTCGCAGCTCTTTTCCTTTCCATCAGTTGTATCCGATAATGCCTTGTCTCAGCACTTGAGTCTGCCTGACGAGTCCAACTCTTCTTCCAATCACACCCTCACCACCGACGCCTAGGTCAAGCTTCCTCGGCAAGCTGAATGATTGCGATGTGCTCGTCGACAGCGGGAATACATGTAATATCGATGTCGTGGGTGCCGGAGCTCTAAGATCTCCGTCGCGGCTGTGATATTGTCAGCAATTACTCACCATGTATATGCATCAAGACTATAAGCTTACAATATGACAATCTGACAACTACTCAGATCTGCATCCGCCGTGACTGGCACAGACGACGATTGAAATGTTGCTGTCGTCGTAGAAGCCTCGTCTTGGTGAAATAGCAATGATAGGTCTGGTAGAGTCGATTCTCCGAGAGACTTCAGGATAGCGATTGTGCCGCCGAGGACTGGTCGTGATGTTTCGCTGCCACACATTGTTGTATTTTTAAACAATTGCTGCTCCCAAAGCTTCGGATTGCGTGCGAAAGTGGTTCAAAGACGAGTAGAATTGTTCAAGTACTGAATTGGACTCGAGCGAGAGAAAGGCAAAGAACACACCATCAAGGTGGAGAGCACCCGCATGTCTTATATCAATCTTTTTCACACACACACACACACACACACACACACACACACACACACACACACACACACACACTTGAAATAGTCTCATGATAATCACATTATCTACAAAACGTTGACCATTCCACTAGGGTGGAAAAAAACATGCTCAAAACATGCTCAATCTTGCGGGGAGGCGTGAAACGTGGCTCACGGACTTGAGTTTGTATGAGGGCGTTTCGTCTGCAAAGGACAACTTCCGATATTTCGGCTATTCTTCTACTGAGGAATAAGAACGGAGTCCGAAAAAGTATGTTTGGCATGATTTTTGTGATAGAGTAGTTGTGTCCGGACTCGATCTTGGTTTCCTTTGTGATGGATCGATTCGCAGGCGATAGATATGAAATTCTTCACAAGCTGGGGTGGGGAGGCTACTCGATCACTTGGATCGCACGAGACCGTTTGTGAGTCGAGTGTAGGTCTAACTTGATGCTTCTAGCTAAAGATGCTCACAGATCATGTCGAAATGTAGCTTTGAAGATTACGATCTCGGAAGCCTCGACTTCAAGGAATCGTGAGCGCCAAGTTCTTGAGGCTCTTTGGCAAACAGAACCTCCATCGGAAGTGCAACATCAGCACGTCGTACGGCTCTTTGATGCATTCAAGCATGTTGGGCCCAACGGTACGCATGACTGTCTGATTCTGGAATTACTCGGTCCCAGCATTCCTACCCTCATCGAAGCACGGTATTCAGACCGCAGGCTCCCAGGAAAGATTGCAACAAAGCTTTGCAAGGAGACAAGTCTTGCGCTTGATATTCTGCACAAGCAGGGAATTGGACATGGAGGTGGGTGGACATAATCTTGCATGCCAGAGTGGCATATGCGAAACACTGGTTTCTGATCTTGTCACGCTACAGATCTTCATACAGGCAATATCGCGTTTGCAGACCACGAATTAAGCTTACTCTCCGAATAAGAGCTATCGAAAAAGCTGGGACCGCCTAAAATAGGCCAAGTCACCAGATCCGACGGGAGTCTCTTAGGCCGCGAGGTACCAGACTACCTAGTCTGGTCTGCAAGATTACCAACCACTGATCTGGAAATTGCAAAAGCATCAATCAAGCTTATTGACTTTGGGGAATCGTTTTTCCTGAATAATAGAACGAAGACACTGCATACACCGCTGGCAATGCGAGCCCCTGAACTGCTATTCGACGATGATTATGATCTCTCAGTAGACAGCTGGGCTCTAGGTTGTACCGTAAGTCGACACCATAAGAACTTACGTCGGCACTCTTCTGACGTAGATCGTAGATGTTCGAGTTGATCGTCGGCCAACCTCCAATTTCTAGACTCTTGGCAAAGAAGGGAGATATTCTACAACAAATTGCTGATTTGATTGGCGAGCCGCCAGAAAGATGGCAGTCTAAATGGAAAGCACTGCCAAAATGGGGTAAGCAGATGATTCCTATCTTCACTAGGTAGAAACAAGTACTGACAGCAGAAAGAACTATCTGCCGAAGATGGTCCAGCATATACACTGGAAGAGTGGTTGGAGTTGTGCTACTTTGATGCCGAAAAGTCTCCCGATTTGAGTCGTCATGAAGTCGCGGAATTCGGAAGATTTGTCAAAAAGCTGATACAGTGGCAACCCTCCGCTCGCCCATCGTTGCCGAATGTCCTCTTGGACGACTGGCTCAAGAGCCAATAATCAGAGTCTATTCTGACATGCATGCAATGTATCCGATCCTACGATCTGACTGATCGGGCTGTAAGAATGCCTCGAGTCACATCAGTCGTCAAACCTCATATCCATGTTGTCGGATGACTGCACTTATTCATGGAAGGCTGTAATTAGAAACATCACTAAAAGTCACCACAGAAGGAAAACACAACTGTCAAGGAAGGCTCTAAGCAAGAGGCAAGTGTAGTGAGAAGATATGCAATTCATCTAAGCAAAAGAGCTACAACAAGACTTGTAATGCAAAATGACAATTTCATGTATTCTCCAAAAAAAAAAAACAGGCGATAGTTCTCATCTTGTGCTGTCCAAACCACATTCCTCCTCGTCAAGTTCTCGTCATCTCCTTAACCAATAATCTTGGTCTTGCCAAAGTTCTTCTTGGCTTCAACAGCAGCTTTACGTTGCGGTCTTTCACTTGAGACCGCTTCAGGTTCTGTGGCAGTCTTTTTGGTGGCAGCCTTGGGCTTGGTGACCTTAGCCGAGGTCTTCTTCGACTTGACAGCAGGCTTAGTAGCCTTTCTCACGGAACCTCCAATGGGAGTGGGTGGCTGTGAACTTTCAGGGGTCGGTGGCGCTGACTTGAAGGCAGGCTTGGGGTTGAAAGTGACCTTTCTGCTTGCCTCGGTCTTCTTTCCCTTCTTGTCAGCAGCCTTCAGCGCCTTCTTCTCCTTTCTCTTTTCCTTCTTGCGAGAAGCACGGTTGGCGGCTTTCTGGGCGGAGGTGCGCTTGGGTGTTGGAGGAGGGGAGGTGGGATCGTTGAGGGCGGAGCCAGGACGGTACAGAGGATCGTTGCTCTTGCGAGGTGCCTTGGGCAGTCTGGGCGATATCTCGTCCGAGTCGAAAGGTGAGGGGGTCCCGGGCTGGTACTCAGGGTCGTCATTGGCGGTGCTCTTGCGCTTGGGTTGGCTAGTAGGGGTAAGGAGCTGAGCTGAACGCTTACGCTTGAGGCTGTTGTCGCTACTTGACTCGCTCGACGACGAGGAGATGCTTATAGGGGCCTGACTTTCTTCAGTCTTTGTGAATCTTCCTGGTGAGTACTTAAGCATGAAAAGTCTGTCTTTCTCGAGCTCTTGGTCGACAAATTCATGGACCACTTCCAGGAACTTTCGCCTGGCAACTTCAGGGGCCTCGTAACCAGGTGCCGCGCGGTAAACCCTTACTAACGTGATAAACGTTCTCCAGGCCCTTTTGTAGATACTTCTGAGCTTTCTCAAAGCATGCCCCGACCCGAGTGCCGCTTTCAGTATATCAGTAATCTCCATATCGTCTTGATCGGCCATATCAAGGCCATCGTGTTTGACGGGAATGAAGTAATCAGCTGGGAAGCGCTTTGTATCATCATATCCACTGCAATAAGCTTTCCAAAGAACACCTGACACAACTTTTCGGATGTAGTATTTTCTCATCCAAAGACTCTCAGGCTGAGGGTGATCAGCCAACTCTTCGAAGGCGATCCGAGCTTTGTCCAAGATTCTCCATAGATCATATAGCTCAATTGGACCACAGAGAGTGTTGACGTGTGTACCCGAGAAGCTGTCGACATCCTTAACGGTCTTCTTCGAGCCGCGACGACCGAGGTTCTTGGTAATGTCACGAAGATGATCGAAAACTATGTCCTGAACCCACTGGCTGTGTGAAAGCCCGTTGGTGTCGGCGTCAGGGTCTTCAAGAAGTCCCTCGATCAGGTTGTGTGTCATAAGCAACGCATCGAACGCTTGCTGGAGGTTCAAGTTGAGCTTGCGAAGAACACCATGTGCTGAGCCATCGGCGAGGATGCGAGCCGCGTCGAGATGTTCTTTGCCACTTGACTTCTTGGAATGATCTCTCACCATGGCCTCGACATCGTTTACAAGAGGATTTTCAAGGACTCGCTTGATTAATTTGTCTGTAAAATCTCTAGCACTGGTTGGTTCTCTGATTGGCAGGTAAGAATCGTGAGTGGCTCGAGCGTGTATATCGTCAGCGTCGAGAGCATCGTCAACGCCTTCAGAATAGTCATCGACACCGATGTCAAAGTCTCCAGGAGCTTCCACTTCGTCCTCGCTTTCTCCGAGATCAATGTCGTCCAAAGCGGTCAGCTCACCAGATGTAGGACGAATGGCAAGCGCGGGGTCGTAGTCCGAGGCGACGGTGGCTTCCATCGATTCTCGCCACGAGGCCGGGAGACCAGCAGGTACAGCGTAAAGATCAGAGTCGTCATCTACTGGCGCGATGACGCGACGCTGGCCAGTTTTGGTTGGAAACCGTGCTTCAAGTTCTGTGATGGCCTGTCCAATATCATTAATGGAAACGTTAGACGGAGCGATTTTGGGCAAGGCTATCGGGGCACCAGCTTGTTCAAGAGAGATGCAAACAGCTGCGACAAACAAAGCTTCTTCATTAGTCTTGAATTGCTCCATGTTGCGGCTGTCCATAACAATCTTTTGGGCTCCAGGGACTGCTTTGCGGGGAATGTCAAGATTCAAGCAGTAAGTGTCGAATCTTTCTAGGACTTTCGCCAAGCTTGAAGGTTGATCATGGTTGGACAGAAAGTCGACATTGCCCTTGCCAGTCGTAGGGCTTTTGGACTTGGGCACCATTGGAGGCGAGAACGCTCTTCGAGCCGTACTTTCTCCAACGACATCAGAGTGAATCGGACCATCCTCAGTAAAGTCCATAGGGTCACTTGGCGAGGATTGAGGCCACTTTGGCGAGCCGAACAATTTTGTAGTTGGTGGTGATCGATGAGCGTGAGGAATGGTACCGGCCAGTGCCTTCCTTCTTGCTCTCTCTGCGTCATCACGTCGCAACAGATAGTGATCAGATTCGAGTCCTTTGTAGGAACGTGGAGGAGGGGAGTCCTCTGGGGTAACAAACTGAGTAGAGCCATCCGTGCCGACAACCAGCTTGGAGCCGACCACCGAGACTGTGAAAGACGGAACAGTACGCAGTCTATTGCGCTCGATTGCGTGCTCATTGTAGTGCTCCACAATACTGTACTCGCCAAAGTCGATATGGGCATCACAGACACGACAGGTCTGCTCACGCTCGAGGAGCTCATTTTCTAGATTGAGGAGAACCTCTTCCAGTCGTGCGAACCAGTTGAGACCAGGGACGTCCTTGATGAACTCGACCTTTGCTGGGTCTAGCTGATCAACAGTCATCTCAGGCTCGATGTGAAGATTTAGTTTTTGACAATGCGCAAAGTATAACCTACGCTCTTCACGGTGCAGGTTATAGTGCTCATATCTTGTCTTTGGGCACTTGCTCCACTTCAACCCACAAGCTAGACAACACTTGGAACGAGCGTCGATTTCTCTCTGGGCTCTGACCGCGCGAGCGTAATACTTGTCGTACAATTTCCTCGTAAGCACCGCTTTCTTGGGATCGACCTTTGCGCCGGGCGTGTTGCAGTACTTCTCGGTGAAGACAGGCTCGGGTCGGATACGTCTCTTTCTCACTCTAGAGGTTTTGTCGATTCTATCGTACAAAGCCTTCCATGCAGGATCATCGTGGGCGATTGGTCCTGGCTGCACCCAGGGCTTTGCTTTGGGAGTCTCAAAAGATTTCGAGGGAACAGACGCAGCGTTTACGGACGCCTTGGGTGGAGGAACGTCGAGAGAGTCGATCTCCATTTCAGTGTCCTCCACAGCCGCTACTGCAGCTGACTTGTTGGTCGCTTCCACGGTTTCGACTGCCTCTGACTCTTCGATGCGTTTGTGGTTGTGAGCAAGACAAGGACTGGTGTAGTTGACCCGATTTATATCCACTTCGCGTAGCATCATCTTGGCTGTTGGGTTGTTAGTGTTAGATCAGAAATGGGTTGTCGATTTTCACTCACCTCTATATCCGTGCCAGCCATTCAGAGGCGTGTTGTAATAGTCCAGAAAGCCGACGGGATCTTGCTCGAGCTGAGGGTAGAAGACTTCCCACACCGGCTCAACCTCCTTGGTCTTCTCCTTAGCCGCCTCGGCTGCCTTGTTTGTGTCAACCACGAGAGTTGCGGTATGTTCCTCGGGTGTTGGAGCACGGGATCTTCTGGTTCTAGAAGCTTGGATGGCGCTTCCAGGGGAGGATGCCTCAACTGGTGCCTCAACAGGTACCTCGGTTGTTGCTTCAGCTGATGCGTCTACAAGCGGCTCGGCTGATGATGCAGCAGCTTTTGCTGCTAGGTGAGCTTCTCCGCTGAGGGATGGCTTGTACTGCTCCTTACGTTTCCAGAAGACATAGCGAGGCATTTCGCCTGGCTGCATGACAACAAAAGAAGGCTTTGACTCGAAGTAGACAGTGTTCATCGCAAGTGGAGGTACCACAGCGGGCAGATAGTAGATGTGCTGCTTGGTAGGCTCGTTGGTGTCAATGACGGGTATGGCACCAGTCAGTTCTTCAGCTTCGGGAATGTTGATGATCTGCCCCCCCTCAAAGACACCCTTGAGTTGGCCCCAATTGATGAGACCGACCTGATCATCAGAGGCGGCTACCTTCACGTGCTGTGATGATGGAGCTGTACCCCTGCGACCAGTAAGTTGGTATCCCACCGCGGTTTTGCAGGGTTGAACGATTGCGTAAGTCGTTTGTTCATCTTCCCATTCCAAGATGGCATCGAGGACAGCTCCATGAGGTTCCTTTTGCACAATGGCGAGCGTTCCATATGAGTTGAGCCTGCCGGCCTCGTCCTGGTTCATGCGATCGTAATAGGAGCCTTCTGGATACTCGTTCGCAAAAGACCACCGGAAGCGCCTGTAGCGGGCCATGGCTGCGAGTAACGGTATGTGAAAATCACGGTCAAGTGTTTGAGACATGAAATGAGAGTACGAGAATGTAGAGCAAAGAGAGTAGGTTGGGAGTTATGGAGACAAAGATGATATACACAGCGGGTTGGAGATGTGCTGGACACGAAAACGGAAGCTTTACGCATCCGGGCATCTCAAAGACGGTGACTGACGGAGCGTGAGAAATCACATCATGAACAAAGAGAAATGCTTACTATGTATCGCTTCTTTGTCTTACCACTCGGGCAGAAGATCGACCTACCTGCTTGAGACTTGCACAGGTAGGAGTGAGAAGTTTGTGCATACGGCGCCTTAGACTAGGTACTGCAGGGTTGCTGTATAATGATTCCAAGGTGTGGTGTTCATGTATCTTCTTGGCATGCATCATCAACGTGAGAGAAATGAGGAATGTCGCATCGACGGTCTCGGCGTTGTCCATGAAGCGCGGAATGTATATATTCTCCTCACATGCCCGAAAGCGGCATATTTAGCGACAAAAGATGTGGAAAATCGTATCATTGCCTGTTGCAAGATTAGTTACTGTAGCGGGGGTAAATTTGCAGCGCACGAGCAAGGCTTACTCACAGCTCCGTCCTGTCCATTTCCGGCACAGGGGATCTCTTCTTGGGAGGTAAAAGGTACCCATCTAATTCCATCCACTCGGCAGTGAAAGCAGTGACAATCTTGGCCCAGTCCTTTACGGTAGGTATGTCGAGATGTTCGCCATCATCAGCCATGGTATGCCAGACATTGGGAAAAGGCGCGGGGATCATATGGAGGATATCAACACCTCTAGCCTGGAAAGGTAGGTGGTCGTCTTCGATAGCGCCGCCAAGCCACCTGTCAGACTCTTTCTTGTTGGCCTCTCGCAGAAAAGGGTTCTTGGACGAGGTTTCGAGTTGCTTGAGAGAGCGTAATCTTGACTCGACATTCGCCATGTTCGAGTAGGCCCAGTGAGTGGTCTTGAAAAAGGATGGTACGGTTGGATTGGCGGAACCCAGCAGGTCTAGTAAGACGAAGAGGTCAATGGCATCGAGCGGGGTGCGGTAGGTCGAGGTGGCAGGATGCATCGTCTGCTCCCACTCTTCGGCCAGAGATCTGTTGTGCGTGAGCTACAGAGATTGGACAAAGTGATTGTGTGTTTTGTACCTCGCGCCATAGATGGAGTCGTCATGTGTCCAGACCTTGAAGGCCTCCTCTCCGTCCAGCAGGATGATCTGCACACCACTTGCTTCCTCCAATTCACTCTCGCCCTCGTCCTCCATGTGTTTCCACTTTGCAGTCAAGGCGGCGTCCAGGCTTCTGGCAGCGTGCATCAACATGGCACACGGAGCAGCGCTGTCAATGGCTCCGATGAAGCCTGGCGGGTCAATTTTGCTGTCGTAGTGGGCAACTAGAGCCAGTCTTCCGACATGACCCTCATCTGTCCAGGGTGGATCTCTGGTCGCTATGAGATTGACAAAGGGCGTCTCCTGGTCGCCCGAGATGGGCGTCTTTGACGAAGAGTTCTGGAAGGTCAGCTCCCACTCTGGCAGCGACTTCTGGAAAAAGTCGACAAAGTGATTGAGGACGGCCGTTGAGCCAGGAGTTCCAGGGACGCGTGGCTGGAGGATGGGAGCTAGCAGGGCTCCGTGTTGAATGTCAAAGTCGTCGGCAGGGTCGGCAATGCTGCGGAGGCTGTCGTCGGAAAGAGCCTTGTACGCAGCAGCTCCAGCCAACAGGCCCAACAGACCAGCTAGTCGTGAGATAATCATCTTGACGCGCGCATTTAGCCGCGATCAAGTCGCATGGTCAGGGAGTCGCGACTCTGTGGGTCGTGGCAGATGTATGCTGTCATTCGCCGAGGCGCGCTGAGATGCGCTTTCCCCAGATGAAGCGGGAAGCGGCCCGCACCTGCCTGTATTCCGACCTCACGTCGACATTTGAGCCTTCCGTTTCTGCTCTCTTGTCCACGATGAGATGAGCCTCTTCTGCCGTCCGCCGTCAAGCCTTCTCTCCTGCCTCGCTACTGCAGGAAGTCACCCCTCTGTCGTAACCTCCTTCCAGCATCATGTCCCTGGTAATGCTCTGCTCAAGGCTCGGTTCGGCCTAAGGTCTGCCTCCCATGCTCCTGCCAAATTGCGTATGCCTTGTCTACATTGAACACGACTTCGTATGCTCAGACTGCTAGTGTACCCTCGCCGTCTGCAAATCTACCATTCGCCAACCGTCGAGACTGCCCTGCTCGGAACCATGAAGCTTAGTGGACTGGGCCTGTTCGCCATGACATGTCTCGTTGTCGCTCCCAATGTCTACTTTGAGGAATCGAACCCTCTCTGGTTGACCCCTGCAGGTATCTACCCTCCGCCTCTTCCTTATGCCTTCTTTCGCTGACACCCGTCTAGTGATCGCCGTGGGTGCTTCCGCACTCCCCCTTCTCCACCTGTTGACAAGGCCGGCCGTCGTCAACATCTTCATCGACACTCCTGTTTGGGCTCGCCGATCAAAAGAGAGCTTGATGATGTTTGCCAAGCGTCTACCTCCGGATACAGCCATGGAAATAGAGACTCTGGGTCTACTCCCCTTACCTAGGACGAAGGTCTTGCGCCTGTCGGAATTGAGGATCTGTCCCGCGGGCTGGGGTCGCCTGGCCAATCTCGAGCAAGTCACTGCCGTCGACCAGACGAGCAAAGTGCCCAAGCTTCTGAGATGGTCTCTCCAGCGCTTTTACGCTCGTCCGGCTGCTTCTCGCTGGAAGAACAGCAGGGCCCCTGATGTCTGGCCTTTGGTCTTTCAAACAATCAGCAGTAACACGATAGCTTCTCTCACCAAGAAGGGAACCTCGCCAAGTGCGAGCCCCGTGCGTCCAGCTCAAGCATTGCCGCGCGTGATGCGAAAGAAAGTGCCGACTCCTGTAGCCACGCCCGCAAACAAGCAACCCATGCGCAAAAAGTAGTGTCATCATCGTATGCAGTTGGTCCTGTAAGTAGCTCAATTTCATTGCTAGTCAAGAAACAACAACCATGGTCAAGAAAGAAAGAGATGGCGTTGTAAGATGGTGCTTAAGTTGAAGTGCCAAGGCTTTGCTGTGATGAGGGCATATAATGTGAATTGCTTGCTGTGGAAATGCACAAAGAAATGTGCGATAAACTGCTATGGTGATCGGGTGATGCGTGAGTAAGAAACTACGTGCAGCAGGCGGCGTGAAGGAAAACGTCCCAATGCGGAAAGAGTGTGTCGAAGCTTCGGACGGTGAAGTCCTCAATGGAGCTCACTTTGATCGAAGGATATATGTTAGATCACAGCTGGGAGAACAATAACCAGAAAAGAAGGGCTTATGGCGCAATCGGCAGACAGTAAGACCATAAGCAGGGGCACCAAGCCAGTTTGATTCTTCGACTGAGGGAAAATCTGTGCCCCTTCCCAAGAGCGCCGAGCCAATCCGAGTTACTGTGATTGAGTAGGAAGACTGGAGGGACTTCTTTTTTGCACCTCAAACAGGAGGGTATTGCTTTTGCTTGTGGAGAGAGGTGTTATGCTAATTACTCTCGCAAGCTCTGCGTATTGTATTGATTACGGAGGTGTTGTGATTTGGAAAGCTCATGGAGTGTGTTCGACTCCCTGCATGAGCTGTATGTTATCTGTTGACGCTAACTTTTCTCACGCAAATGGATCTCAATGCACTTCAAAAAGGATCTATTAGGACTGCACATTCCATACTTTGCAACAACCTCCGTTGTCTCCACAGGCTGTCATTGTCGCTTAAAAGTTATTGAACGGGGCGACAAAGAGAATTGTGACATCAATTGCACACACAAACTTTCCACTCTTTCCACCGAGTTATTATTCAATCTGCCGCAACACATCAAAACACGCGCACTACCATCTTCCCAAGCACAACAACAACAACATGGACCAGCGCCGACGTCTTCGAGCAGCCTACCTGGTACAAAGCCAATGTCTACGACAGATAAACTCCCGAGATCGGCCCTCACTTGACTGATCTGATCAATGTCTACAGTTATGGTAATTCCTTCTTCCTCCTCCCTTACCACAATGGCCCCTCGGATCAGAGCTGCGAAAATGCACAATAATTTCCGAACTAACATCGTTGCTACCAGGGCATGATCCCGAGGTCGTGAGACAGGTCAGAGACGTCCTCTACAAGCATGTCTTCGACCACGCCACCCGCCGCAAGCACTGGGTTGAGCGTCAAGCACAGGGTCGTGGTACTCCCGGTGACCTCGAGCCCCTGACAAAGCAGCAAAAGAGTCAGGAGAGGTATCAGAAGTACCTTGAGGACAAGAAGTGGGTGGCCGAAAACACCAATGGCAATCCTGAGAGGACCATTGACCCTGCTTTTACCGCTGAAGGAATTGGAGTGGGATCCGCCGAGTACGCTAGTCGCCTCCTTCTCGACCTTGAGGTCACCAAGGAGGGCGACCAGCGCAAGGCAGAAGAAGATGTGGACATGGAGTGATGGAAGCTGGAGCAGAGAAGATCGTGTCGACAAACCAGCATCTCCTTGGACGACGATGGGGATTGACAAAAGACTTTGCGTTTTTACAGCGCCTCGAAGAAGTGGTCTACTATAATTGATTTCGAATAATATCAACACCTAGTTTGTACAAGTCTCATCGACTACAACATCAGCTTGAATTCCGGCTCTCGATCGTCTCCACACCCGATGTATTTGTCGTATTTGCCAGCGGCCTTGTCTTGGTTGACCTTGCGACACCACAAGATGTTGGCAAGTACCCTATAATGTTCAGTGAAAGTCTCTGGTTGTCGCCAAGAGCATATACTTACATGAACCAAGCAAAGATTAGCAGGCCCAGTACGATAGTGTGAGACTTGTGGTATTGTGGTTTCTCAACTTTGCTATACGTGAAAGTTGATGATATTCTGATCAGTATGATGCTTTTTACAGAGGTGAAAATGACACATGCGACTCACCAGAAACAAATCCGCCACAATTGGCGATTGCGAGCTGAAGACCAGTAGCCGTAGCTCTTTTGTAATGACCGGCGGAGTTGTTGGAGATCCAGACCAGAACAGGGGGCACACTGGCATACAATCCTGTTGCCATCATGAAAGTCATACCAAACTTGACATGGGGATTAGTGACGTTTGCAATTACAGCGTATCCAATAATAGCTAGAGGGAGTGTGCACAGCATGATCGGCCCACGAAGACGGAGATGGTCGGACAAGAAGGCGGCAACGATAGTAAGGCCTGAGGCAACAGCGTATGGGATCACCGACCACAGCTGAGCTTCATTGGCAGTGTATCCAAGACCAGTGATGATGGTGGGAAGGAACAGACCAAAAGAATAGAGACCACAGAGAATTGCAAAGTAAGCAGATGCCGAAAACCAGAGCGAGGGGTCCAGTACTCCACGACGGACTTCGGACCAAGAAAAGCGTTCTGGCTCTGCTGCTCTCTGGGAAGGAAGACCTGTTGAATAGTCGCGCCTCAGGCGATACAAAGCAAATTCGCGCTCTTCCTCTGTGAGAAATTTTGCAGTGGAGACATCGTTAGGGAGAAGGAAGTACGCTGAAGCTCCGACTACAGCTGTCAGTAGCCCCTCCACAATCATGATCCATCTCCAGCCTGCGTCGATGCCAGCAGTAGCACCGATAGAGGAAAGACCTCGAGCGAGGAGGCCACCGAAGGCACCGCTCAAACTTGCAGTGGTGTAGAAAAGACCAATCCTGAGCGCCAGTTCTCCACGAGTGTACATGCTCGATAGATACAGCACCATTCCAGGAAGTAAGCCACCCTCAGTGACTCCAAGGAAGGCACGTACGACAAGAAATCCAGCATAATTTTGGACAAAGCCAAGGCACATGCCCACAATGCCCCATGCAAATGTTAGACATGGTAGCCATATGCGAGGCGATACTTTTTTAAGCACCAGGTTACTAGGTAGCTCACTGGCAATGTAGAAGGCGAAGAAAATGGCCAGTCCGCTAGCGTACTGATGGTCGTTGACGCCAATGCTCTTCTCCAGGCCCAGGATCTTGGCGTTGCCGACGTTGGTGCGATCGAGGAAAGAGCACAGGAAAAGAAGAGCGAGCACAGGTAAAATTCTGGTAGGAGTTTAGCTTCAGAGATCTGTTTATCTCGTGAAGAAGAGGCTCTGCAAACCTTGTGTCCAGCTTCCATAACACCTTCTTCGCCATGGCCTTCTGTGCGTCATCATCCAATAGCATACCTCGATCTGCTTTGATCGTGTCGATATCCTCGACCTGATCCGTATCGACCATTTTCTCCATCTTCTCGGTCGCTGCCATGGTGCTGGACTAACCACTCTGCCCTCAAAAACGGTGGATCGTTCAGTCTGGAGAATCGTGGAGAGGCTTGGAAGGTAAGTGTGGAGGTTTAAGGTGCGTGGGGTAACAAGCCTCTTAAGGACTGAACTTTCGTGGCGATCAAGCTTAGCAGGCGGGGTTTGTGCTGATAAGGTTTGTCGAATTTCCCTGAGAAGCTCTGTCCATTTTCGCTCTTCCCGGACCGTCAATTCTCTCACTCCGCGGATCCTAAGACATGATGCCGCTATGTGGAACGTTGTTAGCCAATTGGGCTCTCGGGAATAGAGCAGATCGTACCAAACAGAGAGTTGCACCCACAGCGGGACAGCATACTCCACACAAGGCGGGATCTTTGATTCGTCAAGAACGATCCTTCGGTTGACTCAACATGCGTCGGTGTGAAGTCCGATCCGTCTTTTGATCTTATTTCGTTACAGCGGGTTTGCAATTCTGCGTAGTTGAGAACGAAGCGCGTCTGTATTTCCTCGGCTCGGACCTCAAATATGGTAAGAAGAGTATTTCGCCTCGTTAGTCTGGCTTCGAGAATGGTCGTCCTCTTTTTTAATGCTTTAAAATCAATACCACCGAGTTTAGGGGATTCAGGCCCAACTCACGTCAAGACGTCTTCAGCCATGACCAGTATTCCTGGTGTCACAACAGCAACGAACAGATCGCAGCCTGGCTCGCCTCTCAAGAACATACCCACATCTATGATCCCTGCATTAACGATGCTAAGGCGGTCACGCATAGAAAGCTCGATAACAAAACTAGCGAACACGACAAGCATGTGCTCACATTCCTCGAGATTTATCCTATGACCGCCGAGAATATCGTCAGCGGACTCATGACATTGTGCCGACAAATCAGTATCTCCTTGGACAACGACGGGGATTGGAAAAGACTCTGCCTTTCTACAGGGCTTTGAAATGAAGCAGATGATCAGGAGATATCATAGACAATTCGTTTATCGTTACAAACTCAGACTTTACTCTCTTTCCCTTCCGCGATATAGTGTTGGGTGGAGACGTGATCCACTTCTTCCCCAACCAGTACACCAGTAATAGTGCCCACATTCTCATGATCGAAGAAGCCTTCATTTGCTGCAAGCTCCTCGAACATGAGCGTTCTATCCGATCCTGCTGGCAGGACCTGTATGGGCCAGATCAAGCAAAGGACGTAGTAGACCAGGCCTCCCATTGTGAATGACAAGATAAAGCCTAGCTTGTACATGTTTGAGCTTGCCATGCCTACCGAGCCTGGATTCAATGAGTTTGCTATGCCGTGAACGACGAAAGCTACACCGGCTACCCAAGCGAAAAGCATCCTTAAATTCCATCCCTTGTAGTATGTATATGGGTCTCCAGTTGAACAAACGTATAGGGATGGTACATGTATATTACCCTTCCTCACAAGCCAGTAGTCCACGACCATGCACGCGCAGATCGGCATGAGGAAGACAGTATATGAGCCCAAGAAGGTCAGGAAAGATGTCGCGGATGCAATGATCTTCCACGGTACGAGTAGAGGTGCCAGAACAGCGCAGATGACTTGTCCACGTACGGTTGTCAACCAGCGTGGGCAGATGCCTGTCAAGTCAGCGCCGACGGGCAGCGAATTACTTCCAGCGTTTGTGACCAGTACGGCTAGCATCATGCCGAAGCTAGCAAAGACCATGCCAGCTCGAGCACCAGGACTCCAGTATTGATCGAGGATGGCACCGTCTGTTAAGTGATGATTAGTACACCTTCGACGAGAAGAATGCGTAGATGAGGCTTACATAGATCCCAAACGTTCCAGAACGACTTTCCCAGTACGTTGGTAGCGGCGGCTGTTGTGGCTGTGCTAATGAACATGACCAAGACCTTGGAGATCAAGATGCCAACACCCTGGCTCCAAGTCACGTCGCTGTAAGAATGGCCATAGCGGGCAATATCAGGCTGGTTGATCAAGACAGGAGCTAGCGCTCCCATGACGGAGTTGATAGCAGAGATCATAGGCCAGATGAGATCATGTCCAGACAATTGGGTCTGTTTGGTAGTATACTCGAAGTCACCGAGCTTTCCTCCATTCGCGCTGATTGTCCAGCCGAGTACACCGAGCAGAGAGATGGTCGTATAAACTGCCTTAACAATGAAAAGGTGTCGAAGAACCTTGGGATGGATAAACATGACGGGCATTTGGATCTAAAACGGTCAGCTCTGGACTTGGAAGTGGAGTCTGGTTCCCTTACCATCCAGAAGATGAAAAAGCTGAGCAGGTCACGAGAAGTAATACCAGCACTCTCCGGCAGATGATTAGGTATATTGTGATAACCATTGCCGAATATGCCACGCATGAAGACAGACGTGATGCGTCCGCCATAGTATGTCTGAGTAGCAAAGTAGATGATTGCGACGACTGCTCTTACAAGAATGTAGAGCGAGGAGCCCCTGACACCAGCAGCGACACGAACATATACTGGGAAACCGACGAAATACTTGATCGCACCACGACTGTTGAGTACAACGAGGACGGTCAGGAAGACAGAGCCGATGACAGCTGCTATCATACCGTGCCACCAGAGTAATCCGATAGACACAAGCGAGGCTCCGAGGTTGTAGCTACTAGGGCTGAATGTCATGGTGAGGTAGTAGGCGAAGTAATGTTGCCATCGCCATTTTCTATCCTCTGCAAAATGTTAGTAATGATATCGAAGGCAGACGGTCATAGGTCTTACCTGGGGGACTTGGCAGTAAATCTTTGTTGTAACGGATTGGACCATCGCTATCTGAAGTTTGAAGTAACTGTTTGAGTGTTCTCGTCGGACGACCAGCATTTTTCATTTGCCGTATGGATTGTAGCATGTTTGCGGAGTCGCGTTGTATTGGCACAATTGAACATGCTGAGCAGAATGGGGGCGATCATCTGGGGGCATATATGCAACCTCGTCCTCCAAGAGATATTCCATCTTGGTACGCATGAGACAATCTAGGCCAGTAATTGGGATAAGTTGCTATCAACGAGCCAAAGACAGAATGTGGAGATTTTGTGAGAAGGAGAAGCTGATAAGGTGTCTGTCGGAGGTCCGAGCGGCTCAGATCCGAGAGGAAGTTGCGACCGAGCCCGCCTGCTTCTCCGTCTTGCCCGCTCGCCTCAAAATCGCTGATAGGACGTCCGAGAAGCTTGATAGCCCAGCACTAGAGTACAGTATGCCTGGAGTGTCCCTGCGATCGCCATCCACAATCCAGAATTAATCGGTGCTCCGAAGAAACTGCAAGCATGGCCGGACTCATCGGTTCTCGGTTACAACTCCAACCATGTCATGGCTACAGCATGGTCAGCTATGTTCAATCGAGCATCCATTGACCATCTCTACTTGCCCATCGCTCTGACACTATGAGAGACAAGCAGTCAGCAGCGGAGGCGTCGGTTGTTGACCAGACCAATTTGCTTCCAAAGGGAGAGTTACTCGTCGTCTTTGGAGTCCTAGCAGTATCGTTGTTCATTTGTTTTGTCGACCAGAATGGCATTGGAGTCATACTACCGACCATCTCAAGAGATCTGAACGCGGCAGACACCATTTCCTGGGCTGGAACATCCGCCCTTATTGCCAACACTGTTTTTCAAGTTCTATTCGGAAGACTGTCCGATCTCTTTGGTGAGTCGTCAGAATCACATTACGACATAGATCTAACAAGCAAAAGGCAGAAAGGTTGTATTTCTTTCAGCATTGGTGCTGCTTGCGACCTGCGACTTGCTCTGCGGATTTTCCCAAAATGCTACTATGCTTTACGTCTTCCGTGGTCTTGCTGGCGTCGCCAATGGCGGCATCACTAGTCTTTCCATGATGATTGTCAGTGATATCGTCACTCTCAAGGAACGAGGCAAGTATCAAGGGATCTTAGGCGCCTGTGTAGGTTTGGGCAATATGGTCGGCCCGTTCATCGCTGCAGCTTTTGCGCAACACTCTACTTGGAGGGGCCTATTCTGGCTCGTCAGCCCGCTTGCCGCTCTTTGCTGCGTCATCTGCTCCTTCACTCTGCCTGCATCTAAGGACAGTCTAAAACTGGACTACAGTACTGTGTCTAAGAAGATAGACTACTGGGGTGTCTTGTTTGGTTCGGCGGCAATCGTTCTCATCCTGATACCTGTCTCTGGTGGAGGTAGCTACTTCCAATGGGATTCGCCAATGGTCGTCTCAATGTTGGTTATTGGTGGCAGTTGTGCTTTGGCATTCTTCTTTGTGGAATATAAAGTCGCCTTACTTCCTATGATGCCTCGTAAGCCTACCTCATGCTGTGGTCAATGATTAAGAGCTGACTCCAATTAGTGTCCCTGTTCTGTAATGCACCAGTCTGCGTGTTGCTTTTACAGAACTTCTTCTTCGGCATTGTGTACTACTCGCAGCTTTACTATCTTCCGCTATTCTTCCAGAACGCGCGACGTATGTCGCCAATTATGTCGGCAGCTCTCGTTCTACCAATCACCGCTGCCCAGATGACCTTGTCGATTCTGTCTGGCCAGTACATCTCAAGACGTGAGCGTTACGGCGAAGTCATTTGGCTTGGGTTCTTCCTCTGGACGCTCGGAGTCGGCCTCACATGCATCTTTGACCTCACCACACCAATAGTTGCCATCGTGGTGATCTTGCTCATACAAGGAGCGGGTGTCGGGTTGATCTTCCAACCTACATTGGTTGCATTACAAGCTCACTGTACCAAGGGTCAACGTGCAGTCGTAATCTCCAATCGCAACTTCCTCCGCAGTCTCGGTGGTGCGGTCGGTCTTGCCATTTCTGCCGCTGCATTACAAAGCTCTCTCAAGAAAGCAATGCCTTCAGGGCTTGCTTCTACGTTTTCTTCATACGACCGTCCGGACTTCACCGCTTTTAATGCCTCAGAGGAGCAGACACAGGCTATACTACAGGCCTATGCTACGGCTAGTAGAACGGTCTTCATCATGAACGTGCCGTTTATGGCTCTTTGTCTGCTTGGATGCGTTCTGATCAGAGACCGTGGACTACAGCGCCCTGATGAGCCTCAATGGGGTGGTTCAGGTGACACTACGATGGGCGTCGAGGTGGAGAAGGGCGATGACAAGACAGATGGTATTCAGCATATCGTCCGTGATGCTTCTAAACTCGAACAGGTTGATGGTAGGGAGAAATTGACTAGCAAGGGAAGTACGTAGTGGTGAATTTACATTCAGACTTACACATAAGGCCTTCCCCGTATGTCTAGAAACAGTCCTACGAGTTCATAAGTTGTCGAATATGCTACTTCTCACGTCCGTACTCGATGACTTTCAAGTTTTGAGTTGATTATCTCATGATTGAAATTGCATGCATCACTAAGCTAAAGGCAAATGAAGTTAGTTACATCGTCTTCCAGTCGTTGGTTCTCTCCCAAGCGTATGCAGCTTCATACACTGCCATCTCATCCCACCACTTTCCGACGACCTGGATGCTGACAGGAAGCTTTACTCCAGCCTCTACACCTGGGCCCTCTAAAACTTCCAGCATGCCAATTGGCATTGCCAGTACAGGATGTCCGCTCTGATTGAACGGCGCAGTGTTCGTTGTCAGTCCGATCTGCTTGGTGATCTGCTCAATCGGAGTAGCATCAAGTGAGGCATGGCTCGTCGCCACATATGGAAGCGTGGGTGTAAGTAGAACATCGTAAGTCTCAAGTGCCGTATCGTATGCATCTCTCAGCTGTCGTGACAAGTTCGTTGCCTTTGCTAACAGAAGAGGGAAGTTCTGCACAGCATAAAGACCATTGAGAAAGATGTTCTTAGTCGACACATAAGCATTATCCCAGTTATCTTGACCCATGGGGTAAAGCTTCGAGTTCAAGGTCAGCATCTGATGACCTCTTCTGCCGAATGAACCAGAGGTCTTTGTAAGATATCCTCCCACTTTCGAGACACCAGTCCAAATAGCAGCACCCTTGGAATGAATCGGGATAGAGACTTCTTCAACAGTTGCACCAAGTTCTTCGTACCTGGAGATGGCTGCCTTGAAGGTGTCGATTACACGAGGATCCAGCGCAGGCAGCGACAAAGATTCTTTGATGTAAGCGAACTTCTTGCCTGCGAGAGGTTTGTCCAAAGGAAGATTTTGTATTGAGCTGTACGTTGGGATTTTCGAGGGATGCGGTGCCGCAAACGAGCGATCGTCGATATTGTCGTTTCCAGCGATGGCTTCCAAGAAGATTGCATTGTCGAGGACGGTACGAGTCATCGGACCCAGATGATCGTTGGTGGGCTCATTTGATCCGCTACCAGTGTACGGTACCAGTCCAAAGGTGGGTTTGAGTCCGACAATACCGCAGTTGGCCGCTGGTACACGGATACTACCACCTTGATCTGCCCCAATAGCGCCATCACATTCTCCCACAGCAACGAGAACGCCTGAGCCGCTCGAGCTGCCACCAGAACTATAGCCCTTCGCGAGTGGATTTTCAACTATGCCAGTGCCAGAGGAATGACTTGTGGCACTGTGGCACATGTTCTCACAGACAGCCTTTCCGAGGATCGTACCGCCAGCTTCGAGAATGCGGGTTGCAACTGTGGCATCGCAATCTGGTACATAGTCTTTGATGAAGTTGGTGCCGAGAAGCATCGGCACACCTTTCAACGCGACATTGTCTTTCAAAACAAACGTCTTCCCTTGAAGTCTACCGCCCTCTGCCTGCTTGTCGATGACTTTGCATTTCCAGGCCCAAGCACCGTACGGATTGTCAATTTTCTCTGGATAGTGAACATTCTCTCGAGAGAATCTTTCTTCGTCCACTCCGGGAATATAATCTGGCACACAATTAGTTTGACTGTTTGATTCATGCGTCCAGAATTACTGACCTTCCATTGCCATCAATTGTTCGCTAGCATCATGGAAGACAGCCAACAGGCGGCGATAGTCTTCCTTTTCATCTCCATCGATCTGAACTCCCAACTGAGAGCATAACTTGTCAAGTGTCTCTGTAGTTACAGGGTTACCCTGCTTAGCATCGAGGGAGAAGACAGACATTGGGTTCAGTGTATAAACGTAGCTGAGGCTCTCGATGCTAGTGGGTGACAGACGTGTAAGAATTTATGGCGGCTCCTAATGTCTGACAGTAGGTATCCACTAATCAGGTAGCCTTATACACAAGCGATAAAGGATGCTGGCCGTGGGCGCTCTTGAGGAGGATCATCTCGTGGGACGATGACAGCGCCAGCAGTACGTTTTGTTCAATCGCGCTCACTCTTCTGATACAGATACAGTGATAGCAGTCATCGGAGCTCCGAACTTTTTAGGTGGCAGTTTGAGGCGAGCGGCTGCGGAAGCAGGAACGATAAGCGAGGCGGGGCACGATAAGCGCCCGATAAGGTCATCACACCTGCCTCGGACGACTAACAAAAACACTACTCGATAGGCCAAAACGCAACCCGAATGAGCACGAGGCAGGCATGTTCGACGTGCCGCACCTTGGGAGGTCCGATAGTATGGTGATGTTGAGAGTGATCTATCGGCTCGGAATAGCCCAACGACTGGTATCTCTATAATTTGGAGATCAACTTGGACCTATTCATCAGCATCATATTGCTATTGCCCATACTAAATCGAACACGTCGTACGAGAGCCAGATTTCATCATGGTTCATGTTGAAGAGTCTTTACAGCTGCCCCGAGATTTCGAAGGTAAGAGATTCTCCTTCCGGGTCACGTACATGAAATCTGACGATAGACCAAGGCTTCGGTGAAGAAGGTCATGACCCCCAGTGGCCGAATGGCGCGCGAATCGCAGTGTCCTTTGTACTTAACTACGAAGAAGGTGGTGAGCGGAATGTTCTGGATGGCGATGGAACCAGTGAAGCATATCTTTGGGAGAAGGGACCCTCTGGAGGTGGCCGAGAGCATCGCCATCTCAATGGAGAACAAGACTTCGAATATGGAAGTCGTTGCGGCGCTTGGCGTATTCATCGGCTCATGAAGGAGTTCAACTGGAAAATGACTCTCTGGGCTGTCTCCAAGGCTATGGAAAGGAACCCTTCTTTTGCAAAGGCTTGTGTACGCGATGGCCACGAGATCGGTGCCCATGGTTACAGATGGCTGGACATCTGGGATTATTCTTTCGAAGACGACAAAGCCTACATCAAGAAGACTTGCGAGACACTTGAAGCTGCAACTGGCGTGTTTCCAGCAGGAGCTTACTTTGGCAGAGGGACCCCAAATACTGCGTCGTTACTGCCACTGATGTGGAAAGAAATGGGCCACAAGCTGCTCTACACCTCCGAAGTGTATAACGAGGATTCGCCATACTGGATCGACCTACCTTGGGAGAAAGAGCTTCCCGATGATAAGAAAGAGGGCATGTTGATGGTTCCGTACAACTACGATTGTAAGTCTCCTGCTTCTTGGCTTGTTCTTCATGCTGACTGCTGCTTTCTCAGGCAACGACGGAAAATTTCACATGAGCCCTGGGTTCGTCAGCTCTAGCGGCGCCACTTACGAACAGTACCTCAAGGATGCATTTGACTGCCTATATCGCGAAGGCGGTAAGATGATGACGATTCCGATGCATAGTAGGATTGTTGGTAAGCCTGGTCGATCAGAAAGTCTTAGGCGATTCATGAAGTACATCTCGGAGAAGGAAGGTGTGTGGGTGACCACTCGCACCGAGATAGCCAACCACTACCGAGAGAAGTTTCCGTACCGACCAGGTTCTAAGACTGGTGGCGCTTGATCAAGGAAGGTACGCGTGAGTAGGAAGTGGAAATCCAAATAAGCAGCAATGATGAAAATCTTTGTAGTGCTTTGGCGAGGTCAAATTGAATGTTGAACATCCATCCCAGGTACAAAATGACTTCCGAGTGATTTTCCGCGCCACTCTTACCGGTATGGAATGTATTTCTGCATTGCGGCAGCTCGTTGTTGCGCTGCTTCACTCATGGGTAGAGGAACTGACAGAATTTAGCACACGGGGAACGTCATGATGGTGCAGCCACATAGGCCAAAACTCGTGACGCCAAGTCAAGCTCATTGGCAACCTTCGGCGAGTCCTTATCGTTGCCGTATAACTTTCTCCCAAGGTACAGATAACAAACTAGCCGCGTGATTGGCACATATAATTCGACGAGCCTCCTCCACCGTACCAATGGCTCGAAGACCACATCGTTGCTGCCGTACCATATGGCTCATCATACCACATCCCTAAATCTTACTGCTCAAGAATCCATCTCATTTGATACCGACGATGGTAACAATCCTAGGAAAAGGCAGAGGACCGCTTGTGATAGATGCAAAGGCAGGAAACAGAAGGTGACTTCACGAACTATCCATTTTGCCTTTCGCATCTCACATCTTACCAATAGTGTGACAATGCGTTCCCGCAATGCACGAACTGTGCAAAGGCTGGAAGAGCGTGCAACAAGCCGCCAGACACAGAAGCCTTGGACAACCCCTACACACGAGCTCTCGAGGACCAGGTCGCGCACTTAGAGAAGCAACTGGCGGCCATGAGCAATTTGCAGCGACGTCGAAGTTCGACGATCCCCGGGGCTTCATTGTCATCTCCTATCAACCATGAGCGTTCGCCAGGACTGAACATGCAGTGTAAGGAAGTTGGAGGTGCCCAGAGACTCACGCCCTCGGGAAGTCATGGGGTCAACATTGCAGACGTCGTAGGTATGCTGTCTCTTGGAAGTGGCAATGCTGAGTATGTTGGGTCCTCGTCGGGCTATGCATTGGCAACCGACCTTGGCCGTATGGTACAAGCGACAGTGTGGAACAAAGCTATGTGGTTGCCTACATCACTTGATTCTGGGATGGAGAATCGTCCGACCAGCGCAGACACGAGGAAGATCACCTTGCAAGAACTGCAATCGAGACAAGCAAAGCCAATATCTGATGCTTTAGGTACAAGACTGATCGATGCATATCTTGTCCGTATACATCCCAGGTTCCCCTTCTTGTTCCCGGCCGACCTCCGAGAAACACATCGCCGCCAAAACGGTGGACTCGCCGGCGATGACCAGAGCGGCGTTTTTGCTTCCTCGGCGTATAACGACGAAGGATTCTCTCTGTTCATGCTAAACATGGTATACTCTATAGGCGCTTTGAATCTGCGTCTGACAGATCAGGGATACAGAGACACGCCACCAGAACAGTTCTATCTATCCGCAATGCAACACGTGGCAAGCGTAAGGGAAGCGTCATCAGTCGACAATCTTCAGGCCTTGGTTCTCCTCATTCTATACCACCTACGCTCGGAGTCCCGGAATGGACTTTGGCATTTAACGGGACTGGCCATGCGGACAGTGACCGACATTGGGTTGCATCGAGCGGCCTCTACACGCAATTTGCCTCCACTCAAGGTACAGCTCCGACGTCGTCTTTTTTGGTCTGTCTATGCTCTCGAAAGTATTCTTGCTGGCGCCTTGGGGAGACCGATAAGCTTATCTGATTACGACATAGACCAGCCTTTGCCAGTGAGCATCAGTGACGGCGATTGTATGCAAGGGCAGGATACGCACTCGACGGACTACCCTGTGATACCGGGGCGAGAAGCGTATCCGCAAACCAACATGAGCCAATTCATACTTCTATCACAACTTCGAAGGTTTGAGGCTCGCATACAGCGCACGATTTACCGTGTCGATCGACCAATAAGTGCTCTGCAGCCCAAGATGTACCGACTTATCACCGAGCTCGACGCCTGGCGGCAGAATATACCCTCGGATATGCCCTCGAGCGAACGCGAACGACTTATGCTACATTACCACCGAGATGTTCGCCTGCTCTTGCAGCCATTTCTATCTATGCTAGAGCCAGGCTCGGGTCTCTTTCGCAGATGTGTGGATGCAGCTGGACAAGTTTGTCAGATACACAAACGTCTGCACCAGACACCTGAATATGGACATAGCTTCGTTGCAGTGCATACTGTCTTCGTGTCTGGTATCACTCTTCTCTATGCACTTTGGAAGGGAAGCATTTGGTCGTTCAGCATTAGCAATGACATACGTGCAGCAAGCTGTGTGTTGGCGATCATGGGCGAACGCGCGCCTTGGATCAGGCGATTCCGTGATGAGTTTGACAACTTGACAGAAGCGACTATGACCGCTCTACAGAATGCAGAATCTGACCAAGTTGGTGATGACATGGACCGTCAAGTGCCAGCACCAGATTTTACCACTTTCGATGACCTTGACATAACGGATGTGGCAGCATTGGAAATGGTCAGGGAGTTGTCAGAATGGTTTCAGTCGTAGTAAGGACGACTACAGATGTACACACATATAGCATCCGAATAATTCGAAGAGCATAATTATAAATTAGCCATTCACGTGTATAATTGACTAATATTTCTTTTTATTGTCCGTTTCGAAAATAAATGCCCCGAGGCTGGCGTCTTGTCTTTACCGAGGCTGAACATTTTTGAACAATCCTGCCTGGGGCTGAAACCTCCTTTTATCAGCACACGACATCCATCAATTGTTATGACAAGCATCAATCAAACATGTCGACTCTCAAGGAAATTCTCGCACTCGAGCAAGTGCAGCCGAACCGTAAGTCAAGCAATTTCCGGGGACCCCATGGGTACAAACATTTGACTATGGGTTTTTGACCCGTGGGCTGGGCCGTCGAGCGTTGAGAATAAAAACTGATTGTCAAGATTAGGCTTCAAGGGCAAATTTAATCCACCGCGAATGGGCAATGTTTTGCCCATTGCTTTTGGAGGATATACTATTGGCGTCGCGACTCAGGCTGCTTGTTACGATATTCCTGAGAATCACAGGCTATACTCTGTGGATGGAAACTTTCTGGGTCCGGCATTGACAGATCGACCCGTCTTTGTGAACACGAAAACTTATCGTTCGACAAAGACGTTCACGACTAAGTTGGTCGAAGTACTGCAGAAGCAAGATGATGGCAAGGAGAGAGTCTGTCTGGTGGCTTTGGCAGATTTCCACGTCATCGAGCCAAAGTCGTTTATGGTATACTCTGCACCACCAACCAAGGAATACAGTTCTGTAGAAGACTCTTGGACACCTGCAGAACGCAAGAAGATGATGGTCGATGAAAAGATTCTCACACAGGCCGAGGTGGATAGACACGACAAGCTTTTCCAATTGATGGGGACATTGATCGATATGCGATTCACCAAGCAAAGCATCCACGGTCAGACGCTTCAAGGCTTTGCAAAGGGATTGAAGACTACACAGGAACATCTGCCTTTGACAGAACGCTCGTCAGCCGACTGGCTCAAAGTACGCGAAAAGGTAGCGACACATGCCGAAAACGTCACAAGTCTAGCCTTCCTCCTGGATGCGTCCATCTCCTTCCAACCACTTGTCCTGCAAAGTATGCCTTTGACGGAATCTGGTGCTTGCTCAACTTTGGAGTTTTCCCTCAGATTCTTGACACCGGAAATCAACATCAACGACTTCCACATCAGAGAGTGGAAGACATATGCCGGGGATGCAGCGAGGACTTTCTCGGAAGCGCGACTCTGGGATAGCAAGGGCAAAATGGTTGCATCAATGTCTCAGACATGCATCTTGAGGCCTCCCAAGAAGGCGACTGCAGCCGAGAAATCGAAGCTTTAGATGAGTTTATATTCTATAGGTACGTTCACTGCGAGGGACTGGTAGATTTTGGAAGAGTACTAGATGGATACAAATCCGAAGACTTTTCTCAACTACGACTGGTGTATGTTTCAGATCTGACTGGTCACCTCCTCCCTCGATATCAATACAGTCTGGTGGCTCTATAAGGAACCGCCGGTGCCCAACACCACTTTTTGCCCTCAATGAAGCCATTAGCTATGATCAGAACTTGACAGATCTTCGCGATTCTCGAGCATCGTTAAGAAGTTCTGTGCTGGTCTAATATACTGCGTCTAATCGTGTTACTGATGTCATGAAAACCGGGCGACCCTGTCACAAAATTGAGCATGGGCACAACTTTCAAACAACACTCGAACGGCTGGTTGTAATTGAAAGCTCATGGTCGTTCCTCATCCGATGTTTCAGTAAAACTTCTCTCACATCCATACAAATCATCAGAAGAACACACGAGAAAAGGTAAAGGATCCAGTTCGGGAAGGCACATCCAAAAGCATCATCCTGCCACTTTTGTCTTCCAGATCGCAACTCAAGCAATACTGAAGACCATCGACTTTTCTATTTCCCATCCAACAATAGCAGCGGTGGCTTAGTGGTTAGAGCGCCTCTCAACAACGTCTCTTGCAAACACAAGGATGTGACGTGTATCCGCGACCACTTCAGTGGCTCTTCAAAAACATGAAACAACGAGGAGATCGTAAGTTCGGTTCCTGCCCGCTGCATTTCTCGTTTTGCCCTCATCATACTCATACTGTTCTCTTTTGAGATGTAGACAAAGGTAGTTGAAGGGGTATAAAACAAGCTATCCGTGCTTTTCTGCTTTGGGCACACAAATATCTACCTGGGCTGGTTAACCTGCACCTTTTTGTCTTCACCACAGCTGACGATGCCCCATGCTTCGTCCCATTGTACACTAAAGACCTTGATACCTTCACCGCCGATGGGCTTCTTCTCGCCTTGACCGTCACGCTCAAGAAGAAAGATGCTTTCGCCGGTCATGCCTCCCTCGACACCGCCGTTTGCGGCCTTGGCGTTACGGACATCCCAAACACGGACACTGCCATCGTGACCTCCGGATGCAAAGACAAAGCCATTGTCAGGCGAGGGTGCGAGTGACACGACAGCGTTGTTGTGACCACGTAGTGTCATGGCGACGATTGCAGTAGCGGAAGCGCGAGGATCGATGAGAGAGATGTGACGAGCGGTGGTTCCTGCAGCGACCAGATTCAATTGTGGCAGAGCGGCTACCGAGACCAGCGGGTGCGAGGTAGCGCGTGTATCGACACAGGTGTGGGTAGCCAGATCCCAGGTCTTGAGTGTGTGGTCCCAAGAGGTGGAGTAGGCGACTGTGGCATCGTCGGGCTTGAAAGTGACGTCTGAGACGGGTGCGGTATGGCCGGCCAGGAGGGAGAGTGCGCCGCGCTGAGGTACGGTGACACTGGGTTTCCTTCGCTTGGACGAGGGGTTGGGGAGGAGATGTGCAGGTGCTGAGGGGTTGCTCTTGATGTCGCTGCTGAAGATTCCGACAGTATGATCTTGCGAGGCGGTCAAGATGCGCTGGGAGGGAGTGTGTACGGCCAGTCTGTCCACGGAAGCCGTGTGTCCCAGAAGCTCGACCTTGGGCGTGATTTCTCTGTCGTTGTAGTTCCAGATTCTGACGCTGCGGTCCACACTCGACGAGACCAGGCGCGAGTGATCCAGGAACTTGACGCTCTTGACGGGTCCGCTGTGTCCACCATCTCCACTTGTCGCGAGAACCTCCTTGCTCTGGTTCCACAGTCTCAAAAGTCCATCGTAACTCGCCGACACCATACGTTCATTTCCAGCACCTGCAAAGTTCTTGCCTGCCCACTTTCCAGCTGCTGATGTGCTCGAGAGAAGGTCGATTGCGCTGACCCAATCGTCGTGTTCGAAGGATGCGACGTGCGATGGCGGCACGAGAGCGCGTACGTATTCAACATTCAAGGTCGTTTCGGCAGAGATGCCGTTGGCGGTAAGGAATTCATCGATCGACGTTCGGAGGAATTGGCCGTTGATGAGGAACTCGAAAGGTACGGGTTGTTCGGTCTCGAGAAGACGGTTGACGAGGGTTGAGAGCTGATATCTGCGGAGCTCTGTACATCTTGTCAGCCACGTTCCTCGGTACAGTCGAACGCGATTGTGCTGTCGCAAAGTTGCGCTTCAGGGTGCTGCTTACCAGTCGACACAAGGATCGGGCCAGTGTCCTCGGGCAGCTCGATATCCGGGCTCCTTGTGCTAAGTTGAATTCTGACTTGCGACGTCGACATGTTGTGCTATATTATGAGTGTAATGTGTTTATGCGATTGTCCAAGTCCGAAAAAAGTTCAGGCATGTGAAGAAATTCTGCCATCATCAGCTTCACCGCCCTCCACACTTTGTGCCGCCTAGTGCACTGCACAAATCTCTATATAGGACTTTATGGTTACCCATCCGCTTTGTCCTACTTGCGTGTCGAATGAACTTTTGACAAGGCTTGGATGGCATGCATCTCTTGATGTACGATGGCCGTGGATTCACGGAGTTGAACCGACCTATAGGCTTTTTGTTTGTAAAAGCGCTGAGATACTTGTACATAGTGATCGAAGTCCATCGCAAACTTTCGTCAACTCGCAGTGATATCGTGTCGGCAGTGCAGCAGCTTCTACGCGGCTTTGTACTCGAGTGGCATGTTCCCGCGAGGCTCAACATCCCTGTTGATGCCTGAGGCTCCAAAGTGGCAATCTATGACCACTATATTCAAATCTGTAAGAGCCGCATCTCGTGGAGAACAAACGTCGTAGAGTTTTGGAGTTTATGGTCTAGGTAGAAACATGCAAGCATATCGAATTTTCCGGGCTCATAGTACAGACGACGACAAAGAAAAAAAACGTGAAGATAGAAAAAAGGAGGAGGTCCACCTTTGCGTCCTACTCTAAGACGCAAAGATGCTGTACAGGACCGGAATTTTCTCCCTCAACGGACAACCCTTTGTCTGGAAACTGGCATCTGACCTTTTAGCGTCATCCATCAGCTTTCCAGACAATCGCCTAGATTTTCCCTCTAAATATAATTACCAGATTCCTGTCGAAGGAGTCGTTTATCTGAGGTACTCCTTGCCGTCAATCTTGACCTCGGCACGAGGAGACGAAGGGTTGCGGACAGCCTTGGTGGTGGGAGGGTTGTACACGAGCTTTCTGGTCTTGACGACAGTCCACTTGTATCTGTAGCACAAAGTCAGCATCTGTTAATGATACGCCTTTCTGAGTATTGCGACTTGCCTCTTGACCCAAACGGAGAGAGCGAAGAGGGTACCGGCAACAGCCATAACCTTCCAGCCCATCTTCTTACGGTCGTCCATCTCGGGCTCGGCAGTCCAGTTCAAGAACTCGACAACATCCTTGGCCATCTGCGAGGTGGTGGCAGGGGTCTTGTCGTCGTACTCGACGAGACCGTCGTAGAGGACACGAGCCATGGCAATACCGGTACCGGGGAAGTAGGGGTTGAAGTTGAGACCCTCCTGGACGACGGCACCAGCTGGGGGCTCCTCGGGGTAACCAGTGAGAAGAGAGAAGATGTAGTTGCAGCCACCGTGACGGGCCTTGACCATGAGCGAAAGATCCGGGGGCAGGGCTCCGTTGTTGGCAGCACGGGCAGCCTCGTCGTTCTTGTAAGGGCTGGGAAGGTAGTCGGAAAGCTTTCCGGGACGCTTCTCGATTTCACCCTCGTTGTTGGGCTCGGTGTCGAACTCGTTCTCCTCGGCAAGGGCCTTAGCCTCGTCGACGGTCATGAAGTTACCGACAAGGTTGCGGTAGGCGATACGCTGGAGGGAGTGGCAAGAAGCGCAAACCTCCTGGTAGACTTGAAAACCTCTGCGGAGGGACTGGTGGTCGAAGGTCTTGTAGAGCTTCTCGTGCTCCCAAGGGTACTTGGTGGCGTGAAGACTGTCGGGCGCATGGTCAGCACTGAATGGTCGGGTGTACAGGGATGCGATGTTTGACGTACCCCTCTTCGGCGGGGGTCATGGCGTGTGCCTCACGACCGAATTGGTAGTAGTACCATGCGGCGGAACCGACGGCGAAGACGGTGGCAGCAGAGGCAGTGGCGGTGGTGGCCCATTGGGAAGACTCGGCACCGGAGGAGGAGGAAGCAGCGCGCTGTAGGAATTGAGACGTCAGTCAGGTGTATATCATCGGGCGATTGGGTGGTCGAGGCGGGTTGAATTGGATGTATAGACGTGTTTCTGGGTGGGCTGCGTACCGTAGACTGGCGGGTTGCGGTGCTGCGGGCAGCGGCGGCGATGCGCGCGGATCGCAGGCTGGATCTGGCCAACATGGTCTGCGATTGACTGTGTCGGGAGGAGGGTCAGAGGGTGGTTGGAGGTGCGTGTCGAACAACTGAGGTCGATGTCGCCGCAGGGCAGGAGCGAGAGAAGAAGCCGGAATTCGTGAGCTAAGACCAATCTCGGCCGTCTGATTGGTTCCAGCCTGCTCTTGCCGGCGAGAAGCACTTTGCCATTTTGGCTGGCCAGCTTCTTCTACTTCTGGCCACACAGTCTCTGCTCTTGCTCCCAGAATTTGAGAGTTTGTTCGCTTTGCACGTCACAGCGAAGGCCGAAAGACTCATAGCCAAATTCGCCCACGCCCGCCTTTGCGCACCCCAATAACACCACCCCGAGTCCAACCGCGCAACCACCGCAATCATGGCCTCGAACGGCGATTACCCCCAGGACGACTCACCACCCGCTTCCCCCACCCTGGACCCCCAGCAGGATCAGTCAGAGTCCGAGGATGAGCTCCCCGAGCAGAAGCCCAAGTCTGCCTTGAAGAAGTCTGCCCCTGCACCCGCCGTCCAGAAGCCCTTCATCGCCGAGCAGCCCGACCCGTCAACCATCGACGTCAAGGCCCTGAACCCTCTGTCACCCGAGATCATTTCGCGCCAGGCTACTATCAACATCGGTACCATTGGTCACGTCGCTCACGGAAAGTCAACCGTCGTCAAGGCCATCTCCGGTGTCCAGACTGTCCGTTTCAAGAACGAGTTGGAGAGAAACATTACCATCAAGCTCGGTTACGCAAACGCAAAGATCTACAAGTGCGACAACGACGAGTGCCCTCGCCCCACTTGCTACAGGAGTTACAAGAGTGACAAGGAGGTTGACCCTCCTTGCGAGAGAGATGGATGCGCTGGTACCTACCGTCTGTTGAGACATGTTTCGTGAGTTACAACTTACAGCTGCAACAACAAGTAGCTGTCATCTAACCATCGCCAGTTTCGTCGACTGCCCCGGTCACGACATTCTCATGAGCACCATGTTGTCTGGCGCCGCCGTCATGGACGCCGCCCTCTTACTTATTGCCGGAAACGAAACTTGCCCCCAGCCCCAGACCTCTGAGCATTTAGCCGCCATTGAGATCATGAAGCTGAACCACATCATCATTCTCCAAAACAAGGTCGATCTTATGCGCGAGGAGGCCGCTGGTCAACACCACGAGTCTATCTTGAAGTTCATCCGCGGTACCGTCGCCGACGGCAGCCCTATCATCCCCATCTCTGCTCAGCTGAAGTTCAACATCGACGCTATCAACGAGTACCTCGTCTCCAAGATTCCCGTTCCCCCAAGAGACTTCACCGCCGCCCCTCACATGATCGTCATCAGATCTTTCGATGTCAACAAGCCTGGTGCCGAGATCGAGGACCTGAAGGGTGGAGTTGCTGGCGGAAGTATCTTGACTGGTGTCTTGAAGCTTGGTGACGAGATTGAGATCAGACCTGGTATCGTCAGCAAGGACGAGCAAGGCAAGATTCAGTGCAAGCCCATCTTCTCAAGAGTCGTCACTCTGTTCGCCGAGAACAACGACTTGAAATTTGCCGTTCCCGGTGGTCTCATTGGTGTTGGTACCCGCGTCGATCCCACTCTGTGCCGTGCCGATCGTTTGGTCGGTTTCGTCCTTGGTCTCCGTGGCCAGCTCCCCGCCATTTACACTGAGATTGAGGTCAACTACTTCCTGCTCCGCCGTCTGCTCGGTGTCAAGACCGCCGATGGCAAGCAGGCCAAGGTTGCCAAGCTCGCAAAGAACGAAGTCCTCATGGTCAACATTGGTTCTACTGCCACTGGTGCCAAGGTCGTCGCCGTCAAGGCCGATGCCGCCAGACTCCAGCTTACCAGCCCTGCCTGTACCGAGATCGGTGAGAAGGTCGCCCTTTCTCGCAGAATCGAGAAGCATTGGCGTCTTATTGGATGGTAAGTCAAGTATCGTCTTAACTCGTGCACCCCATACTAACTTCAACCAGGGCCACCATCCTTGCCGGTTCTACCCTTGAGCCCACCATCGAGTGAACAACTACCGGTTGTTATATCACCAACGACTTACAGCGATACCCACACAAGCAAGATCGCCAATTCAGATCTTGTGGGGATGACACGTAGAGGATTCAATGTGGAGAGGACGATCAAAAGTTGGATTTGTATGAACGCATCACGCCTTTCTATATACGCGAGGAGTGTTTGTGCGGTATGCATGCTTGTCTGTGGGCATTAGATTGGGGGTGTTCCATGGCGCCGAGGACGAGAAGGGATGTGTGTTTCTTATTTTCCTTATCTTTTCATCCACGGATCTATCCTGGCTGCCTACATCACCCTCTATTGCAAGACACCAAGAAGAAAACTTCACAGTTTTATGACAGCACATACTCCTTGCCTCGCGTAGAATTGACGTGCTGAACAGACATGTCGGCTCCAGATGGATGATGAACAATCGCCACGACTCATAACTTTCCGGATCAATCTTGACCAAAACGACCAAAGCCAGAATTAGAATCTGTACTCACCAGAATTAGAATCTGAACTCACCAGAATTAGAATCTGAACTCACCAGAATCGAACACAGCATCTTGAAGCAAAAAGTAGAGGTTTACCGACGCTACTTCTCCCGGCTTCGCGCTGTCGTAATCTAACCAAACTCCTCCCAGGCGAGTAAGGAGGGTGGTTATTTACGGCTACCCGGTGGTCAGGGGATCTCCCACTACGCCAAACTCACGTTTGTGTCTTACTAGTGGGATGTTGAGAAGAAGGGATTTTTGGAGGTATGTATAGGGAGAGTGAAGTGAGGCTTTGTGGTTCTTGCTGGGATGGTGCTTGTGATGTTGTCTGTGGGAGGAGTACTATGGAGGTGGTATCGGGTGCTTGGTATAGTCGGTATAGAGGATGTGCAATGTACTACCAACGTCAACACCACGAGACCTTCGTACGCCTCAGTCTTACTAGCAAGAGACTTCGCTCGCTGTCCGCACGCTACGTCTTCCGCCGACTGTTCTTTCATTATGCCAACCGCGTCGCTTGTCTGTTAGACTCAAGAACTGCCTGATCATGTTGAACGATCTTGAAGTGCTCAATCTTGTCACGGGCATCGACATTGTCATGGCTAGCTTTTTGAACAAATCCTCATCAGCAGCAGGATGCACAAGCATTGTCGACTTTCTGAAGAACTTCCCGAACTTGACCCACTTCTCCCTCAGCAAGGGCTATCCAAACTTATCTCGAAACTTCACTGATGATGTGCAGAAGGTGCTGGGTGACCGTTGCGCTGCGGGCCATGCGCATGGCCAAAGATACTGCTATTGGTACGAGAAAGCAAAGTGAACCAGAGCGTGGAGTTTACTGCAGTGCGAAGTCACAGCAGCCATCAGCTTTGACACTCGGTCTAGAGGGAGACAAGATCATCGATAAGAAAAGTAAGGGCAAGACTGGAGAGATACAACGTCCCACGAGCAAGCAAAGGATAAACAGACAGCAGCATCAACCCTATCTGTTCCAGTTCAGTGGATTCTAACTGGCAATGGTAGTTTCCAGTCATCTGGCATGCTTCCGCATCTGTGAAGATGCGGGTTGTTCTTGCAAACTAAAGATAATCCGGTAATCGACGCTGCTTTCTCGGTCTCGTTGAGCCGAACAGTAATAGCCGTATACTTTAATTGCCAACGAAGGGTGGCTTTCGATAGTTCGGCATCAATGCGTGCCATGCTTCGACTCAAATCCCTCTACTCAGGCATACACATAACAGAATGGCCCACCAACCGTACTCATAACATCCCTCATCGTAACATTAATACCCCTCCCAGCCCATCCAATACTGATCCCTGTGTTCAGCGTCGTATTCTCGCTAGGTGGTTGGTTCAAAAACGTATTCGTCCCCGCAATAGCATTTTTACCATAAATCCTATTCTCAGGATCCAACATCTGCCACGCCGTCCACACCAAATCGATCATACCATGATGAAGGTAGAATGCAGGATCTCCCGGTGACACGAACACGTCACGACCAGGATCGCCACCCATAGAGTAGTGGCCACCTCCATGTACGCCGATATTCCCACTGCCGGGGATACCTTGCATTTGCATTTGGAAATTATATACGGTTTTTGGAGCGAGGATGTTATCGATTATGGCGGAAAAGTTTGCGAAACGCTGGTTTAATTCATCTGTGAGATCGCGTTTCAGACAGCGTGGATTATAGCTCAGAGGACCGTTTGGATTGACTTCTGTGATGTTGCCAGGGAGGGTAAGAGCAGCAGGACCGAGATTCACAGTCATGTTGACAAAAGGGCCGGAGGTTATACATCCGCCTCCAGTTCCAGTCGGGAGGTAGATTTCTGGGAGACCGTTGCCGCCTAGTACGACATCGAGGCCGGATTGATTGATGAAAGCCCCGTTGCCACTCATACTGGTCTTGCTGCCGTCCCAGACCGGCGACGCTTCCATTCCTGACGCGGCGGAGAGACCCCAGTTCAAATATGGCTGCGTACCCTTGTAGCCGCATTCGTTACGAAGAGCTTGTTCATACTCCCAGATAAAATAGCGATGCCAGCCGAGGAAGTTGCCAGTGTAGTGGATTTGAAGCGTTTGGTCAATGTGTGTGGCTACCCAATCATCGTATCGTGACTTTGCTCCAGGAGCCCAAGAGGCCGGAGATCTAGCAGTCTTTTTCTGAAGACAGAGAACGGCGTTGGTGTATGCAATGCGCTCTCTGGGAGATAGAGTGCCCCACTCTTTGCGAACTTGGACGTTTCCTGGTCTGCAGGTTGAGCTGAATGGCTTCTTGGCTGACTTTACAATGTAAGCGGCGTGAGAGACTAGGGTTTTGAGTTGTGCTTGAGCGACGCGAATGTCCGGCGAAGCTGATGTTGGTAGCTTTTCTCCAGGACCGGCATTGGTACTCGCCGAGAGGGCAACAAACGCGAGAATCAGAGCAGTCTTCATGATCACAACCAGCTAATGAGGGTAAGATAGAGGGAGTGTGATGCGAACTACGGATGACAGCAGAGACTCCGCATGTCTTTATACTTTCGTTGTTTTTGCGATATGCATGCTTCTCGTTCGCTAATTAGTGCTGACTTTGCGACTTTAGCCGTGCTATACCATACGATCTCGAGATTGTATTGTGGGATCAGGATGCTTAAACGATAGGTCGTCGATGAATCAGAGACGCGCGATGCTGCAGGTTGAAGCACGCGAAGGATTTCCGGGCTCTTCATAATTGATTAATACACCAGCCTCGACCGACCTCATCTTGCAACCGAGGCGAAGATGTGTGTTGATCAGCATGCCAAGTCGCTCTCGCTACTGGGGCCCCGGAATGGATCGACCGGTCAGATATGCGGTCAGATATGTTCCCACTGCATATCTGCCTGAGCGTTCGTCCTCCGGTTGTGGATTTTGATCGCCAGGCCTGGTAGGGGTACGAGATCGCGGCTCCATGCGTCCACCTTAGCGACTTACACAGACACTATCATTCAGCCGAGACCATATTTGGAGTGTGTACGGCATGGCCTCAAGGGCTACCTTGCCAGTGGTTGCAAATAATGTCATGTCGCTGGCGAGACTTGAAATTCTGACAGCATCGAGTAGGCTTCATCAAGCAAAAGTCGCTCAATCTGGGACGTCATGATTTTCCGTTTGGAGCCGTCATGCCGTTCGCTTTGACCACAGCCCCTCATCTTCTCTACTTTTTGACCCCATCACCGAACCATTCCCTGCCATGACCTACTTTGCATGCATCGTCATGCGTAATCGCGAAAAGATATCCAGGTGATTCAAGACCTATTATGACTCATGTCGGATTGATGCAACCGACCACTACCTCGACGCCTCAAGCAGCTCGACCAGGCTCGAAAAACAGAGTTGGTTTATAGTCTACAGGGAAGGCTGCTTAAAGGTCTGTATGGATCAATCTGTATGATCCTTTGCGAAAGGCAGGTACGATTTTTATCTTTCCATCATCGCCACTCTGTCTTTGGCATGAATCTGCTCCCTTCGCTGTCGAAAATGTACGTTCGGTGCGAGTCGGGCATCCTGAGATATAGTCAATACACAACACCTGGTTCTATCGTGTACAAGGCGCGGTTACCATAACGCCCACGTGGTATGAGCAATATCCCCCTGATCTTTTCCCAACTCGTTGTTGGCATACTAGTTTTTTCCTCAAGAAACTCACTCATATCTGCGACATTGCATACGCGAGCAGCTGAGATTTGGATCACTCACAATGAAGTTTGCAGTCTACGACATGTTCCTATTTTCTAGTCATCTTGAACTTCTTTCTGTTATCTTCCTGCTTTTTTTCAACTGCGGACTCTGCTCGACATGCCATCAAACAGTCCTCTCGACCCTAAGGCTGCTGTCTTCGTCGCAAAGCAATCAACCAAATCTTCAAAGCAGCTCAATCCCAAGGCTCCGGCATTCGTGTCATATCAGACTTACAACCGCCTAGCACAGGGGATCTATCAGCAACTCCAAGCATCCTACATCGGCTATCGTGCTGGCCCTTGGAATGGCTACCTACAGTCGAGTATGTCAGATCTACGACACGACCGAGCCTGAGAGTCCGACTGTCGGGATCTTCTCTATACCGCTCGAATTACGGTTGAGAATCTACGAGCAGATTCTTGATGAGGAATACGAAATCCATGAGACGGGAGTACCAGCACTTCTCCGGACACGCTTACAGATTACACGCGAATACTATCAGCTCTGTACTTTACGCATCGTCCTGGTCCGGGAGAGAAGGATCGACGCCACAAGACGTAGATTCCCAGCCTTGACGAATGGGTTGAAACTCGGCAAATCGCTGGTCAGGCGTGAGAGAGACAAAATCGAAAAACATCGCGTCTGGGAGCACTGGGAAAAGATCATGGACTTCGGCATGACGATCCCTAGACGCGACTTGTTCGTCCATATTCGCATCGAAGCTTGGTGTAAGCATGCGGCCATGTACCCGGAGAAAGCTTTGCGTTCACATGGACAATGTCGAGATTGCAAGGTCCGTCGGTTGGAAAGGTCACCATGGACTTGCCGTGGATGGCAATCCTTTTTGGCGGTCGCGGTGTTATATGTATTGATTACTGGTGTGTTGTTCGGGATGATCTACTTGCTCAAGAAGAAGATGCCACAAGGTGAAGATGCTCGTCGCTGGAGGTGTTTGGTACATTAGCTAGGGTGACGTGCTGGAGCCTTCAGTACCACGACCACGATCAGTGAATTGTCGAATCAAATAGATTAGATGTCGTTATGCTATACTGTATGAGTACAACAGCTTGCGTGCCAGGAATCCAACATTGACATGACTCTTGAGATTCCAAGCTGAATTCGCGCATTGTGATTGCATGTCGAGTGGGAAAATAGAGTTTCAAGACAGACGTCCGATGACGAAAGACGCTGATCGGAGCAAAGGCAGCCGAAAGCAACTCGGCCTTGGCACTTTGCATCTTCCCCTCCATGCTCCCGAGTCTCAAGACATTAAACTCCTCCTTGCTACCACTCTCTCTCTCTCTCTCTCTCTCTCTTTTTCAATTCTCAATCGCATGACCATGGCAGAAGTACGACAACGTGCCAAAGCGGCAGACGCTACAGTCGCACCAGAAGAAGCATTCACCCCAACAATTACAAAAGCTGGCAAGAAGAGCTCTGGATTCGGCTTGACAGATGTGCTTCGTGTGCTGGGAGGACTATTCTTGCTCAGCTCTGCATTGAGCTATTTCGTCACGTCGTCATCCATAACATGGGGATGGCGACCTTGGTACTCGAAGCCCGCTTTGGTAGCTTCATGGCTTGTATGTGCAGCTCCTCTAATATTACCCCTCCAACCAGGCACTAACATGACGATACAGAAAGGACCCGTCTACCTCACCGACGCGGAACTGACCGCCTACAGTGGCAGAGACGCTTCAAAACCAGTCTACATTGCTTTAAACGGCACAATCTACGACGTCAGCGCTGGCCGTCACGTCTATGGACCAGGAGGAAGTTACAACTTCTTCGCCGGTCGCGATGCCACTCGTGCCTTCATCACTGGCTGTTTCCAAGAGGACTTGACACCTGATATCAGGGGCGCCGAGCTGACCTATATCCCTGCGGACGATGATGTTGGTACTTCAAAGGCAGAGTTGAAGAAGAGGAGGGAGAGGGATACGAGATTGGCAAAAAAGAGGGTACACGAGACCATTGAGGGATGGAGTCGCATGTTCAGAGGTGAGGCTGGAAAGGACTACTTTGAAGTTGGCAAGGTGAAGCGGGCGCCAGGCTGGTTGGACAGGTTGCCAAAGAGGGAGCTGTGTGAGCAAGCACAGAAGCAGAGACCTAAGCGCAAGGATTGAGGAGACGTGGAAATGGAAGAGAAGTTGTGTAAATTCTGTACAGATATACGGAGTGTGTAATGGAAGAGGTAGTGGTGGGACAAGGATCAACGCTTGACCCAGGCAGGCATCTTGCGAGCCTTGAGCTTTCCGGGCTTCTTTCTCTCGACACGACGAGGATCTCTTGTGACAACACCAGCTGTGGATTAGAGTCAGCATTACCATGGAAAATTGCTTCGACCTCGATTTCAACATACCCCTTCTCAGAGCGGGCTTGAGCAACGGCTCGTGCACCATCAACGCCTTGGACACAGCCAATGCGATGGCATCAGCCTGACCGGTGGTACCACCTCCTCTAGTGACGCACCAGACATTGTACTTGTCCATGCGCTCGGTGACCTTGAGGGCCCAAAGAGCACTCTCGCGGTCGTGAAGACGACCAAATGCCTGAGTCAAGGGCTTGCCGTTGATCAGGACCTCGCCTTCGCCCTCGACCAAAAACGCCACGGCGTTACTGCTCTTTCTCCTGCCAACACCTCTAGCACGACCGTACTCGTCAACGACACCAGGCTTGGGCTGGTTGTGGAATGGCTGAACATCACGCATATAGCGCCTGAGAGCAGTCGAGACGTCTTCGGGCATGAGGTTGGGGTGGATGTAGTTCAATCGTTGCAAGACTTGAAGAATCTTTGTGTAGCGAGCGGCCTTGACGGGCTCGTTGCTGTTGACCTTGTACTGAGCCAGTGTCTTCCACGCGACGCGGGGAGCGTGTCCAGTAGGCAAGACGGGTAGTGTCTGGTACTTGCGCAACAGGTTTTCCAATTTGAGCAGATCGTCGGTGAAATCGGGCTTGCCGGTGAAGTACGAAGGCGAGGCGGGGATGATGCGCAGACGGTCCATCATGGCCGTGTAGGCAGCGATACTGCGGCCACCCTCCAAGTCGTCGTCCTCTGCAGCATTTTTCTTGGTGGTGGCCTTCTCTCGCTCGTTGTCAAAGTCGAATGGAGCAGCAGCGCGGATGTCGCCCAGCGGGTGGTCCGAAGATGTTGTCGATGCCAGACGGCGGAACTGTGCTTGTGAAACAGGAAACCTTCTCGACGCAGGTTGGCGGAATGAGGCGATTGCGGCGCGCAGGCCTGACCGCAGTGCACCGAGCTCCATGATTGTGAATCGCCGGTATGGATCACTGTCGCTACGGAGGCAGATGGACTTGTTCAGCAAAGAGCGGAAACAGCCGAGGATCCCCCGTCTAAAAATCCGACGCTCCTGCCCAAAGCTCAACGCCGCCGCTCTTCTTTTTCACCTCCTCATCCACCCCCTCTGTGTAGCTTCTCATCTTCAGTTGCACACACCCCTCACAATGTCTTCTTTCGGAAAGCTCTACACCTACCCGGTATGTCGCATTTCTGCATCTTCCGCGTGTTTTGGTCAATCTCGACTAACACATGCTCCAGGGTAACCCCCGTACCACCGCCCTGCTGGCCGTCGCAAAGGCCAACAGCCTCAACCTTGACATTGTTCACACCGAGCCTGCCAAGGGTGTCGAGACCGAGTACCTCAAGCTCAACAAGCTCGGCAAGGTCCCCACCTTCGAGGGTGCCGACGGCTACGTCCTCACCGAGTGCATCGCCATTGCCATCTACCGTACGTCGCAGACCCAATCTACACGCCTCCTTCGCCCACCGCGTCCTGCCCACTGCAATGATGAGACATATTATCAAACAGTTATCCCTGTCTGAAGACTATTGTTGAGAATTATTTTTGATCTGAAATGCACCCCATACCCCTCACTTTGCTGCGAAACATGCCGCCAATTCTCGCTGCAACCGCGTGCTGACCGCATTGGCCCACAGTCACCTCCCAGAACGAGAAGACCACTCTCCTCGGCAAGACCAAGCAGGACTACGCCTCCATCCTCAGATGGATGTCCTTCGCCAACACTGAGGTTCTTTCCGCCCTCGGTGGCTGGTTCCGCCCTCTGATTGGCCGCGACCCCTACAACAAGAAGGCCGTCGAGGACAGCCAGAAGGCCACCGCCAAGGCCGTCGGTGCTCTCGAGGACCACTTCCTTGTCAACACCTACCTCGTTGGTGAGCGCCTCACCCTTGCCGACATCTTCGCTGCCGGCATCATCTCCCGTGGCTTCCAGTTCTTCTTCGACAAGGAGTGGCGCAGCAGCAACCCCAACGTCACCCGTTGGTTCGAGACTGTTACCAACCAGTCCATTTACTCCGATGTTGCCGAGAAGCTCGAGTTCATCGAGAAGGCCATCCCCAACCAGCCCCCCAAGAAGGAGGCCGCTCCCAAGGCCGAGAAGCCCAAGGAGGCCCCCAAGCCCAAGGCCGCCGCCAAGGACGACGACGAGGAGGAGGCCGCTCCTGCCCCCAAGGCCAAGCACCCCATTGAGGCTCTCGGCCGCCCCACTTTCGCTCTTGACGACCTCAAGCGCAAGTACTCCAACGAGGAGACCCGCGAGGTTGCCCTTCCCTGGTTCTGGGAGAACGTCAACTTCGAGGAGTACTCTCTCTGGAGAATGGACTACAAGTACAACGATGAGCTCACCATGACCTTCATGACCTCCAACCTCATCGGTGGTTTCTTCACCCGTCTTGAGGGTTCCCGCAAGTACATCTTCGGTGCCGCTTCCGTTTACGGTACCACCAACGACTCGCTCGTTCGTGGTGCTTTCCTCGTCCGTGGCCAGGAGGCTCTCCCCGCCTTCGATGTCGCTCCTGATGTCGACTCTTACGAGTTCACCAAGCTCGACCCCAAGAGCCCCGAGGACAAGAAGTTCGTCGAGTCCATGTGGGCTTGGGACGAACCCGCTCAGCCTGAGGGCAAGGAGTGGGCCGACGGTAAGTTTTTACATGATCCTATATCACTACACAGATGCTAACAGCTAGCGCAGGCAAAGTTTTCAAGTAAGCGCGTCGTTGCTGCTGTCGCCGGGAGTGCATAATGATGCTCCATGGTGAAGAGATGACGAGTTGCTGAAGACTTAAGCCAAAAAGGAGGATAAGGAGAAAAGTCGACTACCCAGCTTCGGACCCCTAATACCACGGGGGGCAGCGAATGGATGACGACATTCTGTCGGTACTACAACACAGAGACCGAGTTTTATTTGACACGAGCGATGCTTTTAGACGAGTTCTGTTTAAAAAGATATTCAACGCAAGTGTGCTATGCCACGCTATGACCACCACAAGTATACCTTCACTTTTCTCTTCTCGCTTGCGACCACTGTGATTCCATGCGACGCTTTCCTCTCCTTTCTCATGCTATTACCCTGCAGTAGTATGTCTCATGTCTCATGTCTTATGGCTTGCTCACATCACTAGGCCCACCCATCCTCGTCCATGTCATCACGATCATCACATGCAGTTTCCACGTCCTCCAACCCTGGGTGAAGACGAATTTACTATTGGAAGATTCAACCTACGTTTTGGTTGGGAGCACGCATATCGGGATCAGCATGTCCTTTCATAAACATTACATCGGGTACCTTGTCTTCTTTCGAAAGTATCGACAGCCAGTTGGTGGTGGTCAATCTACCCAGAGGGAAGGCACTACCACCGCAAACGCCAAGCAAGTCCATCAATCGCGCCCTCTTTGTCTGTGGTCTCGCGGGTCTGTCCTGTTTCACTTTGTTTCCTTCACTCCGATGGGTTGATCACCAATTGTCGCGTCTTACTGCACAGTTGTTTCCTCCTTCGCGCCACCTCCTTCGGAGTGTCAACCACATTGCATTACAATTCTCGCACGCCCCAACATGGTACACTTACCCAACGAGCTGTGGCTCGAGATCGCCAGCTATCATGTCGTGCCCGAGATGGCATGTACACACGCTTCCCGCCAAACACTCATCGCCTTGTGCCTTGTGTCGAAACAGCTCTGTGCTGCCATCCAGCCGCTGCTATACCACGACTTCACCAAGTTCGCTCGACCGTCCGCTGCATATCGACTCGCTACCAAGGACTCGGAATGGCTGCACAAGTACTATCAGCGTGACATCCGCACTTTTCGCACGGTCAGCAAGACGACTCGGCTCGAAAAGTTTTTTCGCACCTTGATCAATCGACCCGATCTCGCTGCTGAGATCAGGTATCTTAGCATCGAAGAGTTCCATGACACCAACGCAATACCATACTGGTTCAATGGCCTGTACGATAAACTACCCTTGAATCGCACAATCTCAACCCTGTTCGCTCGTGCACTCAAAAATTCAGCGGCAATCGGCCTTCTGAGCCGTACACCTCAGATCACCTGGGATAAGCACCTTCGTGATGGCATCGAGGGTGTAGAGGTTGCTCTGCTGCTAATCCTTGTACCGCAACTGCGCTCGTTGTCTCTTCAGTCGATAGAGACTACAATTGACTCTCACGTACAAGAGCTTTGCGATACAGTCCTGGGGGCCGCTCCGCTATACAGTCCTCTCAAACAACCGTCAAAAATCCCGGTCGGAAATCGCTCGCAGTTGCAGAGACCCCTCGAGATCTTCCCTGTCCTGAGGTCTCTCAAGCTGCAATCACGCTGTAATAAAGATTACCGTGACTCCCTACAGCTCCGCCACTGCCAGAACCTGCTTTCACTGCCTAATTTCACACACTTCGTCGGATCGTGCCTTCAAGACAGTCTTGACCCTCTGGGACAGCTCTCTTACCACTCATTGGCCCATCTCCGCCATGTAGAGTTGAAGCACTGCAAAGCCATTGGTCCATGTCTGGAAGCATTTTTGAGCCAATGTACAGGACTCAGATCGCTCAAGATCGACTCTGACCACGCGTTCAGTCCATGGGGAAATATACCTTCCATCAGCACGAACTTCTTCACCAGTCTCCAGACAATGACAAACACCCTTGAGCGTTTAATTCTAATGCTCCCCGAGTACGAAAACACCAACGTTCTAGATCTAAGCGCCTTTGGACAACTCCAGTATGTCGAAGTCGACATGTCTTTGATGATTCGAGACGACTATTCATCTTGCATCGACGAGCTACTACCGCCAGGCATCCAGGAATTGTATGTTCGAAGAGCTGGGCATGAAATTGTCTCACATCTGGAGTCCTTACTACCCTTCAGTGCCGACAATCCACACTTGGCCGACCTCAACTCTGTGAGAATCGCTTTGTGGGATGAAGACGATGATGACCTCATGAGTGAGCTCTCTGAGATTGAAATAAAGGCAATGGACCATATGTTCAACTTCGATTTCGAAATCGAGGGTGTCTATTCTCACTGGTGGGCTCATCATTACGAAACTGATTCCGACCTTGAGTCGAAGCAAGACTCCGAGGACTTCGGTCCCGAACCATTCCAATCGGACTACGACGAAGAGGGCGACGGGAATTGATGCGACTCGAGGAAAGGACAAGATAAAAACAAAGGGATTCAAGCAGCGAGAGAATGGAAAGGTGATGAACAAGCTGAAGGGAGGATACTGGCAAGATGAGAGCGCTATTCAGAAACTCAGCACTCTATCTCTTTCAAATATCATACCTCCCAGTGTGCAGAATACCGTGACACCTCTCCTCCTGCTGATCGAAGCAGGCAACGACGAGCCATAGAGAGGCACAGTCATATCTAGTGTCGGTGAACCTAGCGCGGGGAGTCGTAAACACGAACTATCTCGACGACATCGTAGCAAGTTGAGAAAGGATGGTGCTTTGAGGCAACTCTAAGTGTGACCGTGTTTCGCGCGGGGGGAGGCAGCATAGACTAAAGACCACATCTGCTCCGAATATGCATGTTCTTTCCTACTAGCTAGATAGTCGGCCACCTATCTCCTCAATCAAGCAGGCGTTTTCAATTTTGCCGCAGCCCCACCTCTCGGACTGACTGCTCCGCGTTTGCTCAGCAAGCATCTCAATTCATCGTTTGCATCATATATCTCTCTGATCGCCTGATGGCAACATTTTGGGTTGCTCCGGTCTACTCCTCTTCGGCGGGAATTCGAGATGCTGCCAAACTTTCTCAAGGGCACTTATGCCGTCTACAAGGAGGATACTGACTTTGTAACTTCGTGATTAGCTTCTACTGCTCGAATATGTGGTTATCCCTTGGAACTTCTTAGTGCTGTCACTGAAGACACATCTGGAGGCTGGAGCATTTGCCGAGGATGAGCTTACCAGAGGTGTCCGAGAGATGGCTCCTGGCAAGAAGATCCCTCTCTGGCTCACTTTTGCTGTCCAGAACTTCATTGATGTCCAGCATGTTCTGGGTTCTCAGACTCCTTGTGCGGTCGTCGAACTGCAGACGGCTGCTGAGCATATTGAGGCCTCTCTTACACAAAACGCCGAGTTCCATGAGAGATTGACAATCAACACTCGGAACGCTCACAACGACAAAGTATTGAAGCAGATTCAAACCATCATCGATACTTGGATCAAGCAAGACAACGTCAGAAACGTCATTGTGGAGATCGCTTCGAAGCAACCCCTACTATCGGTCGTCAGATAGCTGGTGCGCCGTTCAAGTTGCTCAAACAGTACCCTGTACTTTGCGGTATCTGGCGATTACCTCTGAGATATATGATGCAAGATGCTGGCATTGCTTTTGCCAATGCTTGGGGCTCAATGTTGTACACCGCCCATCTGTACAACGCTGCTCGTCAGGAAAAGTTCGCCGCAAGCTTTTGGAAAGACATGGATCTTGCGTTGCTGTTACAAGGCGATGGACAAGATGTTTGTCGGCAATCGATCAAAGAATGCTGAAGACTACCTCAAGCGCTTCACCCTTTGCAGCTAACTACGTTGAGTATGAAACCTCACAAGGGTGGGCTTAGTGCATCCCCGAAGGGTCCTCGTGGCCTTGAAAAGCCATTTGCCCTTGTAGAGCTGTTTGCCAAACGCTACCCATACAATGGTCGATCATTGTCTACTGACCTAGATGCTGTCGAGAAACATGTCAAGGTCGAGTTCAGCGACCCTGAAAACTTCACCTTCTCGGATGTTTCGGACGACACGACCGTCGCAGAAGTCACCGCCCAGGTATGTACGTGACAGGTTTTCGATGACAGTTGTGCTGGTTATCATACAGACCGCTGCAAAGTACGCGATCAAGAACAAGCTCAGCGCAGGCACCTTCCTCGAAGGCCTGGCGAACGCGATTCAGTCTAAAGGCATGCACCTGACATTTGACCACTTCCGCCTCCACCGTTTCTGCTGGATGCTACTTCGCAGCGTCAAAGAAGCCTGTGCCGACTCACTGCGTCACATCTTTCCTGAGTACCTTAAGCGTGAGAATCAACTGCCTTTTGTAGTTGGTTACTTCTGCACATATCAGTTCTCTGCAGAGAGACTTGGTGATGATCTCGGTCAGGAGGCAAGAAGCAAGGTCTTCATAGAGGCTACAAATACAATGGAAGGAATGCTTCAATCGGGCGCTGGTGGTATATGTGCCAAGATCATAGAGGATTCTTTCAACTATGCTGTTGATTGGTATGATTTCGAAAGGCAGTAGATGATAAAAGACTTATAAATTCCGGTGTTTGTTTTCTGGACAAAGCCATGAGATAGGTATTGTAGATCGCGTGTTAGCCAACATACACTGACGAAAATATTGAAACAGTTTGCAGCAACTTCATAGATGGTTCCATGCAAGTACACCATCAATGGAGGAGCGTGCTGGATGGAAATCTTCCTTTACTCCTTTTGCTGCCATCGTTCTCGTCGACGACAGATCACACGCGTTCGGATGCACAATGGCAGTTTGCCCCCCCCCCCCCCCCCTTGTGAGACCTGAGAAATTTTGCTATTCACACATGCGTGCCTTTACTATCGAGGCCTTTCTCTCTCTTTTTTTTTCTCCACTCGTTCTTTCCCCTTTCCCTTCACAATCATCCTTTAGTGCTCATCCCAGGCCTATTGAGCGCAACACATCTGGCCGCTTTAGAGCATGAGGCCCTGGCATCGTTCACGAGGCGATGGAGAAAAAAAGAGTCCTCTCCCTTACCTCCATGACGGATGCACTAGGTCGATGACATTTGCAACAAGGCTGAATAACTTTAACACTGATGGTTGACCTCGAGTTGGGTAGCTGTGAGGTGATGCAAGGCCGCTGGCTTTTTACTTGATGAAACACGGTAGTTGATGCATTTCTACCGACTGCCACTGGCAAGCCACTCTGTCTCGAATTGTATAGAAGCAAACTGCCAAGATGCTCATCCTCTATAGGGGAAGGTGCAACCATATCTAAGTATGAGGTAGCGTTATGAACGGGCCCGTGCAATGCTTTCTTCATCTTCCTCCCATCAATGCTATCTGTGGTTTGTATCGAATCAGACTGTATTCTCGTCCTGCCAGGATAAAAGCAATTTGAAGTATTCTTTCCGTCAATAGCCATCTTCCTTCACCCTATCACCACTGTGACGCTTTCTTCCACATCCAGCTGTCTTCCTCGTTCTGTCGAAAGCGCGCCGAAAATCGACTACTAATGATCCTCATCACTATCAATTTCACACGGATAGAGCTCATACTCGACGGTCAGCTCAACATCTAATCTCTCCGCACGCTCAAACGAATCTATGTCCTCGTCTCCATACCCGTGGTATCGATCACACAACATCTCCTCCAGGCAGTCATCATACTCGTAATGTGACGAAGTCAATGTGTTCAGGTGCGGGAATGAAAATCGATTCAGTTCGAGAGCAGAAAACGACGAGTCCACATGCGTCAGGTAGTGTCCGTTCGCGCCTCGGATCTTGACATGCTCGATACTGCCTGGGAGAATTTCATGCAGGTACGGTGAGTTCTTGTGAAGCAGAAGACCTTGTTCAACCTCAAGGTAGCGAAGTTTTCGAAAGGAGCGCAGATCAAGTGGTTTGACAATGACGTCTCCGAAGAGCACCATTGTCAAACGTTCGAGTGTATTGGACATTGGCTCCAGCGTTTTCGTAAGATTGATGTTGGTAGAATCTGGGCCCAAAGCGTGTCGACCAAAAGCGTGAGGGCAGTCCACCTTCAGTGATAGAAGCTCGGAGCATGACTCCAGAAGGGCTTTCAGATGTCTCAAGTCAATTTTGCAGTGCTCAAGTTCAAGATTGCGTAGATGGGTCAGTGGAAGCTTGGAGTGAAGGTTTTTGTTGTAAGGTCCGAAGCTTCCTACTATGCCTCGTCCCTCAAACGACTTGAGTGTGGGTAATGTTAGAAGGCTGGAACTGTTCTCCAAGTGGAGTGCGCCGTTCCAGGACCGGTAAGAATCCACATCAATATCTCCAAGCACCTGAAGAAACGCAAGTTTGCTTGTACTCTGTGAATGGTAGTCGACTGGGTCGTTCCAGAATCTGCCTTGATCGGCCCTAACCATCCAGTGTTGAGGGCCGAGCATAGAGTCGCACAACTTCTGTACAAATGCCCCAAGGTATGTCTTCGATGGCTAGATATCTAGAGAGCGTAGGTTGGATGTCAGAGCCAATAGGAGTGCAACCTCTGCGCCTCCAACTCCATAGCTCAGGTGTTTTTCCCAAAACTTCTTGAAACGAGAGCCTAGGCGCTCGTACCCCTTGAAATGTTTTAGATCGTTGACGAAGAGTCTTGAGACTGTGGGGTCAAGTGGTAGCTCCGCGTAGTCCTCCATGTCCATGTAATATCTTGAGATGTTGTTGGTATCACATTATTTATCGATACGCAGGTGCCTGACCTCTTTTCCTAGATCGGGTCGTTCGGTCAGAGCTGAAATATCGCACGGAGTTGTCTAGAAGCGAGGCATAGTTGGCGCGGGACTCGGCGGGAGTTGTCATAGGTCGCAAGATCGTTGCTGTCGGATAGACGGATCGGGGCAGTGAGATAGGTCGCGACTTCTAGCCAGACCTCGTTTGGGAGGTAAGCCATCTTTGGGTGCGATGTGTAAAGAGCGAGCACTCAGAACAGGAGAGGTGTCGGAACGAAGAAGGTACAGGGGGCAAAGGAAAAGATCTGAGAGGTCATCATCAACGTGTTGGTGGGTGTTGGTGAACACGAATTGATGCAAAAAGAATCCGAGAGATCCGACGACTGCGTACAGGTAAATGTCGACCGAATTCAACCACATTGGCAAGATGGTAGAATTAGAAGGAACCGCCGTGAGCTCAAAGCATGAAAGACCATTGAATCTGTCTCATGTGACGTAAACAACTACTCCAGTCTAGCTTCCTCATTGGGCAAGATTTCTTTCCTTGCTGAAGGCTTATCTCGTCCATGAGATTACAAGTATTGCCAACAAGGGCAAGAGAGACAAAAATGCTCTCGTTACAGGTCAAAGTCTGCCATCGTGAACTCTTGTTTATTCATTTCAATCATTAAAAGATCCACTAAACTCGCTTGCTCCAATGCTACTTACTAATATGCTCTATTTCTTCTTGCCAAAGCCCATCATCTTCGCAAGCTTGGCTTCCCTCTCTGCCCTGGAAAGTGTAGACTTCTTCTTGGGTTCTTCGATTTGAGGAGCCGGTGCTTGCTTGACCTCTTCTGGTGCGGCTGGCTCCTTTACTTGCAACTCTTTTGCTTGACCTCTCAATGCCTGTTTCAGTAAAGGTCGATCACGAGTATCCTTATCTACACTGTCGTCCCAGACGAAAGTTATGAGGGAACGGTCTTTGATGCCAAGATCCTTGATCAATTTCTGTCGACTTGTTGGGTCGAAGATGAGCGCCTTCATCTGGAAACCTGCGATCTGCAACTTGAATTTGAGGGAAGAGTCGTCAAGCATCTCCTTGACCTTGGTGTAAAGAGACTCTGATGTATCGTTCGGCGTTGCGCGCCATTCCACCTGCATCATGTCTGGGAAGCGAATGCGAAGAGTTACAAACTCAATATCTCTGATTTCAGCTGCTTTAGCTGCCCTCTTCTCGGCTATTTCTCTGTCAGATGGAAGACGCGTGTTTCTACCCTTTCTCAAGAGGCTAGCTTGATGGGCATGAGCATGTTCGACCGAAGGGAGGTAATCGGCTTCGTTGTGTGCCTGTGTTGCAGCAAATGGGGTATCGCCAGATGGAGCAGCATAGACTGAGATTCCGGAGGCTAGAGAAGGGGATTGGCTCTCAGCTGGAGGCAACTGTGTGGCTGAAGATGATGCCATCACACCGTCTTCTTGTGCTGATTGTTCGACAGGAGCGAGCCCGGGTGCAGGAGACATGATGGAGTCTTCTGACAGGTCTTGGGCAGCCTCGTCCTCACGTGGTACATCAGAGGTGTCGGCGTCAGCATCTGGGACTGAGGACATCTGAACATCAGGAGCTGCATGGGCACCACTTGATGGAATATCTTGCACTTGGCCAGGTTCCTGAGGCGACAGAGCTTGTATATATGTTGTGATCTGGGCCTTGGCCTCTTCCATGCGCACGCCTTCGTTCTTGAAAGACAACCTGATCAGGACATTTCCGCGATTGTGGCCAAGCTGGGCGAGAGATTTCTGTAGGTCGAGAAAGGAAGATAGCTCTTTTGCGTTGCCTCCGATATTGAGACATGGTTGTAGATAGCAGAGGTAGCCACTACCAGTCTCTGAACTTGGAGCACTTCGCTCGGTGAGATTGAGCTTGCTTGTATTTCCAGCCACGCCATCTTCGAACTTGCGTAGAATGAGCCAGAGCGGAGTATTGCTGGCGAAGTGGTCTTCCAAACGTGGCAAGTTGTCTTCGGCTGGTAGCTGTAGGGCGACTTTGACAGCTGAGGGAGAGCGGGAGGACTGGACGAGCTGGAGCTTTGCGCCTGAGACGAGGCCGGAAAGGCGGAAAGGTAGGGAGAGATCTATAGACTTGTCCTTTGTGTTCTTGAGGATGTGTTGATCGGGGTCAAGTTGGAACTTGTCGCATGCTTGCTCGAGGACGGTGCGTAGAGAAGTGGCGGGCGTGACCTTGACCTGGACGCGCTTGAAGGCAGCATCTAGGACGACGACGTGGGACGCCATGATGATGAAAGATGTGTGGTTGGTGGATGTCGGAAGTGTCAGATGTTATAGCAATTACTGAGTTCGATTGCTGGAGCGTGAACGAGCCCAGGACCAGAAGCGCTGACCAAAGGATAGAAACAAAGGCAGGCACCAAGTATAGGAAAGAGCGACGACAAGGATGCGCTCGCTGCGGGAAAGAGCAAGACCGTACAGAGGTTGCGACAGGGCAGGTGCGATGGTGGAAGGCATGTTTGTAAACAGGAAGGCGCTCACAGTGAAGTCCAAGGGCTGTGACGTCTGTCTGCTTCGGCGGCCTTCTACAACGCCGGGCGTTTGCCCCGCTATACAAGTGCGAGAGGCAATCAACAAACGCCAACGACGCCGCCCTTTATTGTTGACCCGCCGACCACATAGCAAAGCACAGCAATTATGTCGTCCAAGATCGTCCACATCGAGTCCGCTCAGCAATTCAGCTCGCTGTTGTCGTCGTCGCGCATCGTCGTGACCGACTGTAAGTGCGCCGCATCTCCACACCCCACGATCTCTATACTGACCAGCACGATAGTCTACGCCGACTGGTGCGGCCCATGCAAGGCCATCGCTCCCTTCTATGAGCAGCTCGCCAGCTCGCTTACGCGCCCCGGTCAGATCACCTTCACCAAGGTCAACACCGACAACCACAAGGACATCACCCAGACATACAGCATCACTGCCATGCCCACTTTCATGGTCTTCAAGAATGGTCGCGAGACTCAGCGCATCAGAGGCGCCGACCCCAAAGCTCTTGATGCCGCCGTCAAGTCTCTGGCCTCTGAAGCCGAGTCTTCCTCGGCCGATGCCTCTTCATCCTCGTCTGGCTCCTGGATTGGCGCATCTCTGCCCCGCGGCTACTCCGACATCACCGACAGTGTTGACCAGCTCAACCTGGACTTCCTCAACGTCGATTCTGAAGCTGGCAACGCCCGTGCTGTCTTCAACACTGCTCAGCCCAGCGCTATCTCAAAATCAAAGTCGACCGGAGAGAAGGACTGGATCGAGTCCGACACCGATGACCAGCTTATGCTGTACATCCCCTTCAACGGGGCGCTGAAAGTCCACAGCCTGCACATCACCTCGTTTCCCACTGAGGGCGACGACGACATTGTCCGTCCTCGTACCTTGAAGCTCTACAGCAACAAGTCAAACGTCCTGTCGTTCGACGAAGCCGACTCGATCCCCGAGACCCAGGAGATCACTCTGCAAGACTCGGACTGGGATGCCAAGACTGGCACTGCCAAAGTTGACTTGCGCTTCGTCAAGTTCCAGAATGTCTCCAGTTTGGTCATCTTTGTCGTCGACGGAGACGGCGATGGCGAGAAGACGAGAATCGACCGTATCAAGATCATCGGTGAGACTGGCGAGAAGAGAGCCATGGGCAAACTCGAGAAGATCGGCGACGAGCAGGGAGAGTAGACGAGCTACGATCATCTTGATCATGTACAGCACTCTACAGCTCTCATCTGTAACTCCTGCCGTCCTCGCACAACTCCTCTTCTCCGCCTCTCCGTACAAGCTCCTCATCTCCGCAAACCTTCGTTGGTCATCAGAATTGCCGTCTTGCACATACTTCCAGCGCCTCCGTTCGTTATGGTCAAGAACCGATCACGCTCAGTGAAGGCGGAGCAGGACTCCAACTTACTCGATAGGCTGCCGGCGAAGTCCTGAAAATCTGCTCGAAGGTTGGGAGTTGCGTTATCTCAGGCAGACCACGAATTCTTTTTTTCTCTATTAAACCGACTCTACCGACTCCCATGGGGCAGAAAAGTATGCGCGGCAGGTCGAGATTGAAGATTTGCCGGCTCTGGTTGCTTGAATCGGAGGACCCGAGGAGTATAACCTCGCTGCATAATGAACAATGACAATTTTGCCCTTTTCACTCGTCCAGTTTAGTCTTTTGTGCCCGGCACTTCTTGAATGTCTCTGAGCTTCGCGGAGGGTCGAGTCGTGGCGCAGACTTCTGAATAGTGATCAGTGAAGCAACAATGCGCGTGCCATCTCTGGTTAGTAGCAGGGGTATAGGTGAATGTGAAGTGGCTGGTTCATTCTAGTCTCTATTGACTGTTCGATCACCGATCGCCTGTAGAAGTGGAGAGTTCCACTTCTATACAGGCCGTCCCATTGTTGAGTGATACACAATTCAATAGGACAGCTATCCACAATCCCATTACAAGGGCGAAGGCGTTTTGTGCGTTTTGCACATCGCAATCGTACGCGAACCTGTCTGTCTCAGCTGTGTTTCCCTAGTCAGGTACGGAAAAGACGTAAGTGTGATATGCATTGCGGGAACCATGCGGGGCGGTGGGAAAGGATTGGGATGGGCATAACGACACAAACGGGACATCAACTGTCGTCTCCCTCAGCCGCACAACGCACAAAACCGTCCACAGAACGCGTCTCAGATATGCTTGTATATTTGTTTATCTACGCCGTTTCATAACAATCACCGTTTCACAACATGCGGCATACCAGTACGGTATAGAGTTGCGGCTGTGTCTTATGCGGGATGCTTACGTCTTCACAACTGCTCTCTCTGCCAACCCGTTTGTGGTAGCAAAAGAGGCTGAAGTCTATCGAAGAGGCTACAAATCACGGGATATCGCGGACTCGTCGTGCGAGAAGAGGCAGGAATCGATCTCCGGTGCGTGCGGCGGTGCTTCTCTTGCTGGAGTGTCGATCTCGGACCACATGCGGTCGGTAGTTCTCAATGGACTGGGAAGAGGGCCATCCCTTCTAAGAAAGCTACACCAATGATGCCTTTCGCAAGCTTTGGTTCCAGAAGACAAGCATGGCTATCGCTAAATGGGACAGGGCACAAGAACAGGAGTTCGATCCTTTCACTAGACCAGCCCCTTCTCGCGCATTCTCTGTCTATCTCGCCTACCTCCACTCGAGGCCAAGCCCAAAATTCAACAATCGGTATGAGGCTTTGCTTCCTTCGATCTGACTGCATCCTCTGACAGCTCTTGGACAAGCGCTTGGTATAGACCAGGTACCGAAGTATCTGATGGACTCCACGGCCTCGGTTTCGCTTACCTTCCTAATTAGGTGCAATTCCAGCCTCAAGAGCAGCCACTGATATCACGTGTGATCTCCGAACTGGCCCGTCGTCGTCAAATTGAACCTCAAGGTATCTCCTGCCGAAGGTTCCGTAGAGAAATGCTTGACCTTTCCGTACACAGAAAGCATTTTTCCCTTAGGGCATGCAGGTTAGACGGCAGGAGTACACCTGAGGCACAAAGGGAGAAGATGTGCTAGACTATGGTCGGACTGGCCGCCTTGCATAACCTGGACCGAACAGGGTAATCCAAATCTTGGTCGCGGGATAAAGTCAATTATATTGAGTGAGAAAAGTCAGTTATCGAACTCCGCTCGGGAGTTCTCAATTCGAACGGGTTCAAGGGACATTTATGCAGGGTGCCCAGAAAGTCTATCGAGGTGTGCCTGCTGTTTCAAGTCGAGAACAAAGGGTACACAAACTCAATTCTATCTATACATCTGAATAAGGGGTCTGTATAAGGGTCGGAGACTTTGTACACCGGGTTGCATACCTTATTCATACCTTATTCATACCTTATCCATACCTTACTTATACCCTATCGTACTCATCCACGTGCTCCCCTAGTCACTTCCTAATCTCTGCATCTTCGTTTTCGTATCACTCCTATCATGCACGAGCGACTTCCTTCTGCGTACCTCGGTGGGATATGCCTCTATACAGTCGTACGTCGCAAAGTGGATTCGTAAGGGCTCGTGAAGGAAGTCCTTGCCGTGTGTATCGCGCATGTCGATCATGATCGACTGATCAATGCACAGCATCGGGACTAGACTTGCAGAGACTCTCCAAGACGTCGGCTAGAGCCCGTCTCTCCCTATCCATCATCCTTCATCCATTGACCAAGACTTATTTTGCATGCCAAATAGGTCTCCATACCACTACTGCACGAAGAGCACAACATATCCGCCAGTAAGATGCTGTGCCCAAATATGCGAAGGATCGTCCCGCACCTCTTAACTCTCCTTCCCCATGGGACCTGGGCCTTTTTGTCGCTGTTAGGGCGGTGCTTCTTTCTACGTCCGTACCCAACGATCCAAAAGTGGCTTCCACAAGAACGACAGTGACAAGCAAACCACAGCGCCGAGGAACTCCACAGATCGAATTGACATTCCAGCTACAGATCTCCACAGCTCGGATGACATGCTGTCATCCTAACCACGAGAAAAAAGAAAACCAAAAAGAGCAAATGCAAGCTAGACCCGTTTCGCGTGCCTGGAACCTCAGGTACAAGGAGCAAAGGCAAAACCTACACACAAGTCTTGGGAACTGCAACGAAATCCTTCGAGTCTTTTTTGTGTTCAGTGAGGAACCCGTTTGCAGTGTTCGACAGATGTCGGACCAAACATGCCGTCCGTTGACTTCGCGTGTAGGAATGATGTCTTATCTCCCCTACAAGGCACGTTCTGGGAATGACGATCACTTCGTGACGGGAAAGCCCACAATTCTTCACGATCCACATCCACCACTCCTCCTCGTGGGGTACCTGAATGGATCTAAGACACGATTCAACGTCTACTGCGGTTCGAGGATAAAATCACGCAAGCAACTAAAACACTGCTTCAAAGGAGTCCAAGCCCCGAGGGAAAACGCGTGAGGGCGAAGCCCACGGAGTGTAAACCCAAAAATACGACCTTAGCTTCTCCACACAAGAGAGCTTATATGGAGGAGACCATATTCGTGATTTAGTGGGATGTATGTATCACTCCACAAGAACTCCACCCTTGCACTATTGTCAACTGTACAGCTCAACCTATTCTCAAATGCTATTCTGCAACCCCCTGAATACTTTCAAGGCTTTTCTGATCTTTTCTCTCATGGTTCTCTAGTTGGGCCTTAACGTCCGTTAGAGAATTGAAGCCATTCCCGTGCGACGTGAGGTATTAGCAAAGGATAGCTCGAGAATCCAATGTAGTGTAGATACGTTTACGGGGCTTGACGGGTCGCTCTCGCCGAGTACCATCAACGACTGGGAGGATTCTGGTAGAGCGTGTAACCGCGATTCTTGGTGGACTTTCGCTTGCACGCCCAGCCACGCCCATACGAATCGACTAGATGAGTACTCTTCAATGGCCGACGGCCACACTGAAGAAGGATCGTGGTACATGAATAATGGGCAGGGTCAATTGACGACGTCCCCGCCGAGCAAAGCCGTCACTGATTCATCTTTGCCCACTCGGGGACAACGGAAGCAGCTCCTTAGGGCGATGCAACTCCAGTACGTGTCAGAAGGGTACGTACATCTCCAGCCAAGAGCCATCACAATTCCCAGAATGCTCAACCACACAATAATTCACCAATTTCTTGGTCCTCTTATTCGCTCGCTCATGAAAATCCTTCCTTCATCCCTTGGCCTGCAGAGATAAAGGGTCTCTGCAAAGGGTCATGAGACATTGTACAAATACACATGGCGAACAAGGGTCACAAGGGAATGGCGGGAGAAGAATTAGTCCAACGTTATACTTGCATATTTCTTGGAAGAGAAGAGACCGTTGCGTTTTATGCACCATGTCATGTGGTTTTGTCTTATCTTGCTACGAACACATCGCTTTCTTTCGTTATGACCAGGTGAGCAGAGGCCAGGGCAGCCAAGAGGGGCTGGTTAGCTGAAGAGTGGAGAGTCTGATAAGGGAGAATGGTCATGAGCAAGAAGATGAACGCGACACGTACCTGAAGGAATAGGTGGAGCGATGCATACACACGATCACGAAAGGGCAAGAGTCTCTCTAGATCTGGCAGCTGTCACAGATACAGTGACCTCGTCCTCGTGCATGACGTGCAGCCCACGTATCTCTTGTATCACCGTCCCCAAGTCCCAGGTTTCCATTTTCCTCACTACTCGTCCCTTGCATGGCAATGTATTTGCTATTTGTCGATTGGATCAATTTACCAAAAATCTTGACCACTGACGTAGCCCTATCATGCAAGTAATCATGACATGCAGGCGCAATCCTGCAATCACAGAGACTTCCACGCCAGCAGATCTTAGCCGCTAACTAGATACGCACCTAGAAAAGGTACATGCAGTAAAACCCACGGTTGGGTCTTGTAGCAGAGTAGCAGAGAACTTCATGGTATACAATCACGGGTGTAAAACTGCTCTGAAACCGTAGCTGAAAACATCACGACCAGAGATTGGTAAAAGGCCTACAAGCTCGAACTCCAAGATCGGTGATCGAAAGCGTGGGACGATGCGAGGGAGGAAAAAGAGGATTGCGTGCCCAGTGTACGAGCGGCGGGTCGTCGCGGGCCTCGGTGAAAATCATCCGTCTTCTAGCCCTGGCTGCTGCTTTTGCACTGCAGGGAAAGAAAAAGGGAAAAGAAATGGTGCGAAAACAGACGAGGAGGAGATGCGGCATGACGAGTCCTTGGGTCAGCAAGAAAGACGGGATGGTGACGAGTCAAGAGAGCGGACAAAATCCTGGCTCGCCAACAAGTCCGGGGTGTTTGAGAACATTGAAGCTCACCCAAAGAAACAGACGAGCAAGAAGACCAAGCAAGCACGCGACCTCTTGGAATCAAACTCCGGGCCGAGTTGGGAAAATACCAAGGCACAAGGATCGCTTCTCTTGTCCTGCAGGAAGCATCGTGAACCCCTTCAAAGATGCACCATCATGCCGTTTCGTCGGGTTCGTACGAAAAGAGGGGAAAGTAACGCATGCGCGACTCAAGGGAAAGGTGGATGTTATGCCTTTCTTGCAAGGGAAAAACCACCCCTGATTTGCGGGCTGTCCCTGTTTTCTTCTCATCGTGTCTCTCTTACGGAGTAGCATTCCCTAGGGGTCAAAAAGGACTCTAGCAGCGCAAGCAGCCTAGCAGCAAGAGTGGATAATTTATCTTTGCGGGCATCGCGAAAGAAACCCACTCACAAAAGAGATCTCGCTATCCATCTCGCTTGATGCATCCGAATATTGAGAAGCCGCCCGTCTCTCTTTCGTCTTTTTCAGCTGACCCCCGTTCTCTCATCGGAAGTTTCATTGACCCTTCTCAACGCGGCAGTCGCGGAGGATTTATTTTCGTCAAGATTACCTATTGTGCGTGCGTGCGCCGCCGGCCGCGAGAGTTGCTTTGCCGAGCAGGCGGTCGAGTGCGGCCAGGTATACTCACAGGAGGCCTCTGCGCTTTTACCCTCCCTCGGGACTTTGTGGCCAGGATTTGATGCGACATGGCGGATACCCACTTTGGTCTCCTGCGGGAAGAGGAAGCATTGATGGTAATAGATTAGTGAGACCGCTCTGGACTGGGTGATCTGTTCGCTTCTACAGAGTCATGATGCACCCTCAGTGCAACTGCCGTCCTCCTTGTGAGAGTCAGGATAGCAAATGAAGCTTTTGCCCTCTTCTAATCACAAAGCCATGAAAATGATGTAGGTGGGGCAGTATTCGGTGGAAGTGACGCTGCTTTTGGATCAAGAGGAGATTTGGAGAGTCGAAATCTTGGTAGAGTGCCAATCTTTCTCCGCAAATCGAGAAAGCTGAAACGTACCTGAGTAGAGGTGCAAAGGCCGACTTTGGAAAGCTTGCAAAGGTAAAAAGCATAATCAGAGTCAAGTCACAGGCACATGTAAAATACTTGAGATGGAGGCAGAAAGGCTTGTTCAGGAACTTGTCAGAGGCCACTGTTGGGCTTGATGTTGTGATTCGGAGATAGCTAAGATAGCAAAGGACCGTTTTCCCCAGAGCTCCCATCCATGCAAATGCAGATAATTCGCTGTACAGTACAGAAAGGCCCAAAGCAAAGGGGCAGTGAATAATAAAGAACCTCCTCCCAGGAAGGTGTAAAGATAGACATGAAGTGAAGAAAAGCAAGAACGATTTTGGCTCAGATGGCTCCTCTAGAAGCGGCAGCGAGCGAATATGAGAAGGTTGGCGTGAGGGTCGTAAGGCGTCAAACATCAGAAAGAGAAATGGAGCTAGGCGAGAGGAATCTACTCATCGCGCTTTCTCTTCTTCTGCTGGAAGCTGTTGTCCTCGGCGGATTCGTAACCAGACTGGCTACTGCTGCTTGAGCCAGCGACGGCGGCGGCGTGGTCGAAGAGCATGGCACCGAGCTCGCTGGCGTCAGGAGACTCGCTCTTGGGGCGCAGGATGCCAGAGCCGACATCAGCAACGTTGACGGCCATCTGGGAAGTCATGTCGTTGGTCATGACGCCCATGACGACAGTGCCGGCGCCGTGGGTGCGCTGGTGCTGGCTGAGGTTGTCGCTACGGCTGAACTTCTTGCCACAGTCGGTGCACTCGAAAGGCTTGTCGTGGGTGTGAAGGGAGCGGTAGTGGCGCTTGAGGTGCTCCTGGCGGCGGAAGCGACGCGAGCAGAGGGTGCAGACGAAGGTCTTGGAGGGGTCCTCGGTCAGGGACTGCTTGCGACCGCGACGGGTGGTCGAGGACCCGGGGCCGGAGTGGGCGTGGTCATCGCCAGATGCAGACGAGGACGAGGAGGTAGGGGCGTTGCTGGGGACCTGCTGGGGCTGGGTCGATGACGAGTGAGCGGCAGAGTATGACTGAGGGGCCTTGACCGATCTCTTGGAGACGGAGCGGCGGACGGGGGTCATGTCGATCGAGGAGTTGGCGGTAAAGGAGAACTCTGATTGACAAGGAGAGAAGGAGAGATCTTCGTCGCTGAAGCTGGCGTCGGTGAAGCAGAAGCTGTTCTCGGTAGTGAAGTGCGAGTCAACGCGCTGGCGCTTGGAAGAGCAGAAATCGTCCTCAACGTCGAGCTCGAAAAGAGGCTCGAATGTGGGGAAGCCGTGGTTGGTAGGCATCAGCTCAGACGCGTCAAAGGTCTTGGAGGGGGAGAAGTCGCCCTTGAGGATCAACTTGTGCTCCTCGTCATCGCCGGCGCACAGGGTAGGCAGGCACGGGAAGCCGTTGCTCGGCACGGTCAAAGTGCGGGGATCGCAGACGCTGGCGTCGTTGATGGCAGAGCGCGAGTTGTTTGGCGACGGCGACGACGACAACGATGGGCAGTTGGACGAGAGCATGTAACTGCTGTTCTCGGCAAATGCCGACGCGGGATGCAGGTACACTTCAGCTAGCGAGTCAGCCAACGCTCTCTAATTGGTTGTTTTTGAAAGTCAAAAGGGAGATTGCCCTTCTCAATGGAACACGTACCTGGAGTCAAAGGTGGAGATCCGGACTGAGTCCACTCACCGAACATGTCATCCTCGCAGTTCTGCTTGATTGCGTCGAAGGGGTTCATGTGCAGCTCGTTGGCAGGGGTAGGGAGCATGTGGTAGTTGGACTGAGGGCTGTCGGCAGAGTTGAAGCTGGTGGCAGACAGGGTGGGCGTGGCAGGGCCGTAGCAGTCCGAGTCAAAGGACATGTTCATGTTGGGCATGTCTTGCTGCAGCATGATGGTGGGCTTCTGGTGCTGGGGGCGAGGAGAGGCAGCAGGAGTGAGCATGGACTGCGAGATGTACTGGGGCTGTTGGTGGTAGAGGGGAGGGCTGCGCTGAGAGTACAAGACGTGGGAAGAGACGGGTTGAGAAAAGTAGTCCATGTTCTGGGGAGCCATGTGCGAGTTGTAGTGGATGTTCTGCTGCTTTTGAGGAGTGTAGTAGTACATGGGCGACTGCATGGGAGTCTGGGTCATATATTGGTGATCCATTGGGTCTGAACAATTTCGGTTAGCCTCGAGGGTCCAAGAGGCGGTGGTGGCTTCGACACGACGCTTACCCGATGTGATTGGTAGATGCCGTGTGTAGATTGGGATTTGCGTTTGATTGCAAGAGGCGAGTCGGTTTCAGAAGAGATATGACAAGACGAATTGGGAGTGGTGGTGTGCTGGGATATGTATAAAGATGCTATCGAGGCCAAGTGTGACGTCTGATGGGGCCTTGGTTGGAAAAAGAATGGTACGTCCAACGGGTAGATGGCAAAAGCAATGAGAGAATGGTCGGTCGAATTGTGTCTGAAACGAGGTGCTGATGACTGGGGGAGCAGAGGCATACAAGTACTGATCGTCTGGCTCTGTACTGGCCGCAGGACCGGTGCAATCATGGCGGATGGGGAAGCCTCGGACGGCTTTGTGGGTACCAACTGACAAAGACCACGCCCATCTGTACCCGTCGAGCAAGTGTGCAAGGTGCACATACCTACATCCTCCTCTGCCACAGAGGGACGCGTTACTTGTCCTGACGCCCCGTGCGAGAAGCTCCAAGGGCGCCTGTCTGTGCCTTGATCCCGACGCTAACGCGCCAGCTTGCCGCTCGACGCCGCGTCGAGTCTATTTCCATCTGCCTTCGACTCTTATTTTTCTGCTGGGAACGTTCGTCACGCCAGCTAACCTAAGCCTGTCAATGCTAACGATCAGACTACTGCACCTCGAGTTGTCCATCGTGAAGCCTGCTAGCCCACGTGCATTTGCTCGGCTGCCCTACAGTCCCAGTCTTTCGTCCAGAACCATGTCCAAATCTGGGCGTCGCATTTCGGGCTGCGATCGACATGAGAATCCATAACTGTTATGCATGGTCACTAGCCTTGCATCGTCAACAAACACGTCTTGCGAGGCTGTTCGCTTGCCGGCTGACCTTGCAAACCGTCCGTCCACTCGTATCAAAGTCGTGCTGCTGGTCCGTTGCCCGTTGGCCAGCCTGGGTAGATACATGTCCGCTCACCTGTTATCGCGTCGTCCTCGTTCACACTGCAAACGCTCGCACATACGGACGGCTAGACGGCGATATGCTCACTTGCATTGCTGGTGGCGAGCATGCCGTGTGCGTGTGATATTACCGTCATGCAAATGATCATCTCGCAATCTTCAATGACTCGGCCGTATACAGATATGAAATTACCCACAAGCCAGATGTACTGTACCTGCTGCAAGAGGTACTTGCTTGTCTCTGCCCTCGGATTAGTCGGAGCTGACAATGTGAGCGCTTCTACTCAAAATTCGGCTGTGATTGTGGTTAGCTTGTTACCCAATGACGCTGCCGTGCTGCGCACTTCTCGTCTGATTTACGAGGTCTTACTCGCCAATCAAAGTCGTTATAATTTTCATATACATCATATAGTAGTACATCGTATACAACTTACCTGTCATCTTGGCCGCAAATGATTCAAACGACCTCTCACGTGGTCGTGGTTACGTAGACGGCGACAATCAGAAGCCATCCTGAAACGCGACGATCAGGTGTGGTGATTTCTCTAATGCCGCTCATTGGCTGCAAGCTTCCCCGCCTTCGCCTTCCGACTCCGACCCAGTGTTTCATCCTTGTCTGAAGCCGGCCAGTCTCGAAAGCTTCCAGAGCACATCTCGATCTACATGGCAATTTACATCACAGTCAAAATGATAGCATGTGTATCTTAGGCTATTGGCTGAGCAAATGGAACATCTTCCTCTCGCACTTCTTCATCCTTACAGACCCTGCTGCGACCCTTCCTGCGCCGATCGTTAATTTCTGCAGACCCTTGTGCGTGTGTGTGTGCACAGCTCGGTTCTCTCTGCCCTGTGGAAATGATCCCACTCACGCCAACGGCATGCCAGGTACGAGTACGCTCGATAGACACTCGGGGGATTTCCCTCATAGACTTCTCAACAACACTCCGATCGCATTCCCAAAGGGTTACAACCGATCGGTGTCTCCTGCCATTGACTTTTTCCGTGGAACTCCTGCTGTCTCTTCCTCTCTCCAACTCGCGTGCACAAAAGCGGCCGGCCTCAGTTAGATCTGCGGCAAAAACTTCCGAATTCTGGCAGTGTACTTGCTCGAAACGGGCGAAACGTCTTCCGAGGGTCTATTCGCCATCGGCGATGAGGAGAAATAAGCTATAGGCGCTATGCCTGTTGTCGAGCTCTTTCGCTATCATGGTGTATTCTGCTTCAATTGTCAGCTCGCACACGATCTAGAGTGTAGCGAAAATTAGTGTGCTTCTCCTGCACAACTTTGCCCACCATGAAGCAGAGTGAGACGATCAACAGGCATAACTGTCCAAACGGGCACACAACTGGGGTTCGACTTACTCAGTGGGTTTAAGCAGAACTATGATCGGCGGTAGTAACCCGACTTGATCTTCACAATCTTATGCTTTCGCTGCGTCATAGCCCAGGCCTGTTGTAGTCTGAGATCTGTGTGGCTCATGCAGGTACGCGACGCAGGAACCATGGCCAGCCAAAAAGAACAGGGCTGCTCGTCTATTCTGCCAGGCTCGCTTCTTTCTCCAGGTTCTTCGACCAGATGCACAAAAACTTTCCCCCTACGAAGCCGAGTCTGTCAGCGGCAATTTTTGATTGGGAAATTCCCCGTGTACAAACCCGATACAGCTTTGTGGTGACTTTCATCACGTTTAGTGCCCTCTCTTCATAAATCGCCCCACCAAAGGCCGGGGAACTGGCTTAGTCTTCTTCTAGCTCGAGCTTGCCGTCGTCAAAGTCGCCAACCGCGTCCTGACGGACCTTCAGCCCGCATGGCATCGTTTCAAGCCACACGATGTCAATGCGAAAGCACGTGAAGGCGTGAAGGCGGCGTGCTCGTGCAGACTTCAAGTCAGATCGCCAAGCGAACCGATTTGTCTTATCCCTTATCGCGGGACAGCGGGCGCTGCCTCTTGCCGCACCACGCTTCCATACATTCACGCCCCCTTTGACATTGACAGTACGGCTCCGCTTCGACAGGAGACACTTCGTTAGCGTCATGTAGGTCACTCGCGCAAGGCCAACACTACCCAGATCCGGGCGCCTGTTTACACTTGCCTGCACTGAAAAAAGGATGTCTCCACTCGATACGCTTAACATTCTCAGGGAGCAAGTACCAGAATCTGGCTCTTCGGCTTATGCAGCCTTGTCCTCCTGCCCTGTAAGGCATGACAGGTCCTGCCACCAGGAGGCTTAGCAGAAGGACCTTTTGTCAAGTCGTTCACTGCCGTCCCCCAACCGATCTCTTGCTGCTTCTGTCAAGCCACAAGACGTTATACTCCATTTCCATATCACTCTCTCCTATACCAAGCAAGTCCTCTGTGCCGAGGGCTTGGACGTTCTTGCTATACCTGCCAAATTTCAATCCAGGGGCAAGAGTTCATCGTCGCCAACGCTCCTCATCTCGCTCGAACTGGTATTGCATGCCTCACAATCACGAGAGTATGTTTTCATCCTCCTCAACAAATGGCTCATGGATAGAGTAAACTATGCGAAGTGAGGGGTTGTGTTTACACAACTGATCCCAAATCTCAAAGTCTATGTGTCAATCAGTATTGCATACCTACAGAGATCTACATCTACTATCAACTCAAAGATAATATAATGATAACTAGACATGTCTACATGGTTTCGTCGATCCAATCCCAGATCTTGGCAAAATACTCCTCATCCACGGGACTGACGTCTCTGAGAACCGCAACCGCATGTTTGGTTCTCGCCATGTCAAAAGGTAAGACGGTCGGTGCCGGATCCGTGTCATCCGATTCGTGATGCTCAGGGGCATAAGCCCTCTTCCAATGGTCTAGAAGTTTATATGCGGGGTGATCGGCACCATCTCCTTCCTGCATGGCCTCAAGTCGCGCTACCCACTTGGACGGATCCACAATGTCAAAAGCACGTCGTCTCTTGAGCCATTGTAACATTGCGGGCCACGTAGGACGACGGTGCTCGTTTAGCACATGCAGGACATGCGCGCCGTCTCCGCTCCCGTCCACGCTTGCAATTCCTTGCATCAAGGCCACGGCAGCAATGTCCACGGGCAGCCAGTCCAGTGTTTCCTTATCGAGGTTCGGCAGTGCACCGGATAATTTGACACTGCTTAGCATCATCGGCCAGGCCTCGCTAGTATTCCAGATTCCGTTTTGAGTGTCTCCTGAAAGTTGGCCAACTCTGAATATGGCTATGCGACCCTTAAGTTGGGAGCGCTCGTTCGCCCTGCTGCATATTTGTTCGGCGACCCACTTACTGCGCGAATAGCCCAAGGTACTCGCAGCTTTTGGATCGCCGATGATTTGCTCAGGGATGGAGGCGCCATTGCTGTATGCCATGACACTTGCTACGCTCGAGCAATATGCGAATCTGGCAGGCTGAGATCTCCCGGACCTCAATGCAAGATTGATGAGATTTGTCACACCTGCATTGGAAACCACGGTCAGCAGATGGTCTGTTTTGCTATTCTTGTGGTGATGTAGCCCTGCAGCGAATTTCATCTATTCGCAAAATCCACAACCTGGTTTCTGGGAGCAGAGTGCAAGAATAGCAACTCATGCAACCTTGACCAGGTCTTCTGATATGGCGGTGAAAGCGTCAAACGGGCAGGTCACACTCATGCATGGCTGGGACTGGGGGGGTGACTTACTCGCAATGTTGTCCTTTGCAAAGCTGCGTAGTCGCATGCGGAAATTGACACTCCATGCCACGTGCATAACAATCGAAACATCTTGTGCAATCCTTTCGTAATCTCCACTGGAAAGTCCTAGGTGGTCATCTCCAAGTGACGTTTGGAGGACTTCGACTTTTTCGTCATCATTTTTCAGGCCGCCCAAATTTCGTTGTTCGAGAGCCTTGTGGACTCTCTCAGTAGAGGCCTGGACATCTGCTCCTCTGACGAGGCAGTAGACCTTTTTGACGGAATCGAGTTGGCGGTAGAGATTCAGGAGATGAGCCCCTAAAGCTCCCGTTGCACCGGTCAGGACAACAACATCTCCTTTGTCGTTTTCGCCACGACCCTGCCCGTTTGTGGACGACAATCTGCTTCTGTTATCAAAGTTGGAATACTGGTCGACCAGTCGAAGCATGAGTTTGAGCTCGTCCTCGTCGTCACTAAGCTCTTGACCATGACGCTGCTTGACGACATACTCTGCCAATCGCTTCACCGTTCCACAATCCTCGACCACGTTGAGCGGCAACTGTTTGGTCGATTGTGGGAGGAGTTGTCGAAGGCCATATCTTATCTGCATACCGGCGACCGAGTCAACGCCGTAGGAGAACAGGTCAGTGTCATCTGCCAGTTTCGCCTTCTTCGGGACGATGGATTCTATCATCTCTATGATGACATGAGAAACTTTCTCGTCAGGCACGTCACCGACGTTGAACGAGCCCATGTTGGTGTATGCCTTGTCGATATCCTGAGCGAAGCGGTTTTCCACAACGCTCCGTTGAAGTGTACCTTTGCTGCTCTTCTCTAGTGGTTGATCCAGCACGGGCATCGGCACCAACATCTTCTTGGGTATACGAGCGTGATCCTGGCTTCCCGAGTTGAGTTTCTCAATGGCTGGCCAGATCATCTGCACGAGTTCTTGGTCTGGAACATCTTGTGCCGTCTTCGAGCGGAATAGTAATACGCCAGGGAACGGTTGTGCGTTTCCAAAGATCAGGACATCGTCCAGAAGATCAGCAGTGGCAATGGCACCCTCCAGTGGAGCTGGGTCGAACTTCTTGCCGGTGACCAGTGTGAGCTGAGAGTCCGCGCGTGAATGGTACCTCCATGCATCTGGTACGTTGTCATGGAGAGCAAATAGATCAGCTGTGGCAAAGGATCCATCTTCCCGATTACTCTTGGCCTAGAGGTATCATATCAGTTGGTGTGTAGATCAGTCGATGGAGACGGCGTACCATGTGTGGCCAACCTGGCTTGATGACCAATTCAGCGAGACCATCTTCATTCTTCTCAAAGGTAAGGTATTCGGCACCAGCATTACTACGCAGATATTGCCACTCCTTGTCTTTTGCATAGTCGCGGTGGGATGACATGACGAAGCCACACTCTGCACTGCCAAATCTTGAAATCAAGTTGATCCCTTTGCTGACCATGCGGTCGCCTACTTCTGCTGGCAAAGCTGCGCCACCAACGCCAACGATATCCATGTTCTCAAGATACTTGAAACCTCGCTCATCTGCTTCCATCATTTGGAGGACGTACGGTACAGAAGCGAAATACTTGATAGGAGGATGTCCTTGCCCTGTGCTTCTGCTTGCCGCGTCTAAGCACTTGATGACGTTTGCGGCAGTGATTGGTACACCCTTGCCTGGGAACAGCCAGATGAGCGCTCCGCTAGTCCATGCTCGGAAAGCATCTGCTACGCCACCATGGTATAGCGGTGTGGTTGTGAATGTCGCGCAGTGCTTTCCGTCAGGGAGTGAAGGCAGAACGCCAGCACCAGCGCGATGAGTCTGCGGAATCGGCTTGGGTACACCGGAGGAAGTTCCAGAGGTGTGATGTAAATACGCGACATCCGTCTCTCTAACACTGGGGAAGTTCGCGGATTCAACTGCTTCCCGTTTCATGATATCCGATAGAGGGTGATCTTTAGAGAATGGCAACTCAACGGCATGGAGTTCTCCACCGTCGTCGCGAGAGAGCTGTGTAGCCTCTTCGGACTGGGCTGTGTAGCTTTCGTCGTGAAATATGACCGTGGTTTGACAGGCTTTGCATAGATGAGCAATCGCTGCCGGCTGACATTGTGGCGCGATCAGAAGGACAGGGTGACCTAACCTCATGAGGGCAAGCCATGTGAACAGAAACTCAGGAGTGCTTGGGCATATCAAAGCAACAGTGTCCGATTTGTTCAGAAGCTCTCCATTGATCTCTTGCAACAGGGTCGCGACCTTTTTCGAGCCATCTGCCAGATCCAGGAACGACCAGGTCTTGCCCTGCCATTCCGATTCAGACTTGGAGGGAACAGCAAAGCCAACAGCAGCCTGAGACGGTGTGGCTTCTGCCTGAGAATCGATGAAGTTATTGATATTCTTGAATGTCGAGTTTGTGAGGCCCAGCGATTGTGCTTGTCCCAGAGTACATGTGAAGTACGTGGCAGCCATGGCTGATTCTCGCGTCAATCGGGAATGGTCGCGTGCTGATTTCAACGAATCGAAGGATGTGCGACCGAACAATGGTACGAAGCAGATAGAAACAAGAAAAGATATCCTAGCATCACCAAACACACGCCATGATTTCACGACACGCAGGAAAGAACGCGTTGAGAAGATGTAATCCACTTGACTTGCCTAATCGGATGAGGTGCGCGTCATGAAGTCATCCGTTCAGAAATCACCAGCCAAGAGAATCATAGAGCCGCATTTTGGCTGGCATCTCGACTCTACACATCTTTATTTCCACACAAATACACGGACACATTCTTCTTTTCGGTCGTGCGACGCACACAGACATCGTTCGGGTCTTGGTAAATCTCTGGCGGCGCCGTAAGGTCACTGCAGAAGCCTTGCCGCCGCCACAAAGACGTGGGGAGAGGAGCCAAATGCGACGACAGGCAGCAACTTGTCTGGCTGCAAAGTAGCCCTGACAGTCTGTAATATTTGCTTGATACACGACATGAAAATGCTGAAAGATTTATAATGGACTATACGCATAGCGGACTACATGTTAAAGTCAATAATACCTTGATGTATGACGTAGCTGCAAATTATGGACAGGGTGGTACCCTTTGCAACACGATTCATCAACGACAACCATGTTGAGCAACGATCACAGACTCTATACTTGACACATCTATCTCACATGCGTCCTATAGCTAGTGAGATGTACTGAAGGTAGTGACGACTGCATGTAGGGGCTGTATGGTCTACAAAGTCATATTCAAGATCTCTAATACTCCAATCTGAATAGACCATCGATGATCACCTGAGGCTTCACTTGTCTGGCACGGGGAAGAACGCAAAAAGTGTGATACGGACCTAGCAGAGTAGTACGTATGCGCCGAAAGATACCGAGCCATTTGTCAGTTATTGCAAGTGTCCTATAGCTGGTGACACGATGGTTGGACTACCAATGCAACGACCTGTCGCCGTATGAGTGTGAACTACTAGTCTTTATATATATTGGTATTTAGTCCCTGAGTACATACGGCCACAGTCAGCTGAAAACTGGGCATCCCGTCCGCTCTGCCATACATAAGCAGTTGAACGGCAGATTAGTACTACGGTGGGTGATCACGTGGGAATCCCTGCTGCTGTATGTTTTGTATTTTTTTTTGTCTGATCATCCCACAACACCTCGATCATTGTTTGTTTCCGAAAGCTAAAGAATTTTGTTTGACCTTGTTGTTTGCATTCATGCTGGCTGCGTGGCAAGCCTAGCCAGCCAGGACGCGTTGTGCGTTGTAGCCGACTTTGAGGAGGTTGGGGATTTTGGCAGATGACTCAGCCACTCCCAGTCCCACCCACATCATGGTCTCAATCAACTTGCATCTCCTTCGTTGTGACAACTTGACCAGAGAAAATCCGTCAACAAATTCAATGCTGGCATCTGTTGACGTGGTAAAACCTTAGCTCAAGCATGGTGATAGAAATCACCTGACGCTAATCCTACAACATTGGAGCCTGGCAGTCGACTCAGACCACTATGTCGGCGAGGCACTGCATGGAGCCATATTTCGAAAAGACACAATCGCAGTGCGCATGATTCTCGACGCTGGTGGGGATCCAAAAGTACAGCAACAGTGTGATCCCGGGTTTACGCCACTCTTGGCCGCCTCTCAGCATGGAGATCTCGAGATTAGTTGTCTGTTCTGGCAGATAGTCGGTCTTGAGGGCCGCTTTTACCCTAGCAAACGATCCCATCTGAGCTGCCTTGAAGTTGCTGCACGAAGTGGTAATGTGGGTCCAGTGGCATACTTTCTTGAGGTTTGAGACGGCTGGACCGACAACGAAAAGTCCAGGGCGCTGAAAAGTGCAGCATCGTCATGGCGCGACGACGTGGTAACCTTTTTGCTGGCTAGAGTTGAGAATATCAATCCGACGTTTTGCAAGATGCTCTACAGAACATGCTGCTGCGAAGAATGATACTTCCAGAGAATCCCACAAAGAGGCCCCCGAAGACTGATGAATACATTTTTCAAGAGCGAATAATCCACCAGCTCATCGATGCTGGGGTGTGGCCTGACACAATTGGTAGCCACTCTACTAATCAGCCTCCGTTGCACACCGCCACACTTCCGAAATACGGCATTGGTGCTCTGAGGGCGTTACTTGAAAGAGGAGCAAATGTCAACCTCAAGGATTCCTATGGTCGAACTGCCATGGACCTCTTAGTGAGTAGCCCTGTGTTTTCGACCGATGCGCTAAGAATGTTGCTCCAACATGGCGCGTTATTTCGTTCTTCTGCTAGTTCATGACTTAGTCGTCGACTCTGCTTCTGAGCGCCTCAATTTTTGCTGTGTCCGATGTATTCAAAGCCGAACAAGTTACCGGTTCCAACGAGTCTGTCGCACTGTGGAGGCGTGTTCTAAAGAAATTTAAAGAAAGAAGATATGCTTGAGCCATCAAAGGTAGCCTCAGCATCATTGGAGCACTCACACACAAAGTTTCTTCAGACGAGTTGTAGGGTCAGTCTATTTAACACAAAGGTACTTCGGATAAGACGGCTTTGTGACCCGATCTTCTGACGCACTCCCCGAGATTGAATGTCCAGGATTGGACCTACTCGAATCTCTATGACCACAGGCCGCGTTGCAATGCTCGCACTTGACTCGATATGGCCAATACATCTCCAAGCATTGTCCCCAGCGTGTCGCCTTCGCCAACGGCAGAATGCTTGTCAAGTGCTTGTTGAGACTCACAAGCTGCGAAACTACAGACTGGAGACCTGTAATCGAGATCGTGCTTGATCACTCACAGCTTACCAGAAAGCCAGGCAAGGGAATAAATTTCACGCGACTGACTCTCTGGAATTATGGAGACGAAGAAGAGTTGTACGACTCGATGATCATTCGACAAGTTTGGGAGACGGAACAAATATTGATCCTACGCTGGTGAAGTATTTGGTACATAGAAAGTGGCGGCTGACCCCGCCTTACGGCAGATCGATCATCAGCCTACCTTGCGGCAATATAGGCAACACTTTCCTCGGGCGCGAGATGTGAGTCCCTCAGTCTGTTTCTCTGTGTCACTTCTCATACCGATATCACTTGTTCGTACGACTACAAAGGTCGAAGTTAGTATCACGAACAACAAGGGAAGAAAGGTACAGTAAATATTTTGCATTTGAGCATGCATACCAATTCGTACTCACGTCACTCAAATCAAGCTTCCACCGCCGAGCAAAGCTTCTTTCTGAGCCAAGTTCACCTTTCTTGCCTCACGTTCGCACTTCATCTCTGCGCCTTCAACCTTTCGAACAAGAACAATACCAGTCAACAACATGGGTACACCATCGTGGGCCATTCCCGTCGGAGTCCTCGCCGGTCTCTGCGTCGCGTGTCTAGCATTCATCTGGTGGTACATTCCTCGTTTGTACAACAAGGGAATCCGAGAGGACATGAGTCGTGTCGCTGTTGAAAAGGCAGAACGTGCACGTCAAGCTGCTGCGTTACGAGAGGCGAACGGAGAGACTGGCGACCTGGAGGCCGGGGCTGATGCAGAAGGCGTAATTGTGACACCGGTGCCGGCTAAATTCAAGTACACACCTCCAGCGTATACGGCTTACTAGGAGAGTTTGTTCTAGGATGATGTGGATGACGCGAGTTTTCAAGCGTTAGAGTGTTTGTGGCTGGTAATGAGAGATCTAGAGACAAACATATCGGGCTGGTGTCACGACTGGTGCTATCTTACAATACAGACGCTATCGATTCTGTTGACCACTATGCAAGCCTAGAAACACATGATATTGCCGAACATCCGAAATCAGGCTTGCCGAAAAAATCTCCTGGACCATCCTGCTGAAACAAAATTGTCGAGAGCTCCTTCTTTGTACGAATCAGCCAACTTTTTGATTTTCTCGTGGTGATCTGGTTTGTTGAGTTTGGCCTCCTCTTACTGACAGTAAGCATCGATCTCTCGGACGAATATCCTCGCCTTCGCAATGCATGACCATGCTTTCTTCCATGGTCTCTCACAAAAGCTTTCTGCCTGTTGGCATTGTGATCTTGGCGTCTGTGGTCGTCATGATCTCTCCTTGTTGACTTTCTCCTACATGAATTTAGCAACATCTTTACATGTCGATCCTTTCTCTCAAAGACACATCAAGAATGCCTTGATCGAAGGAGCAAAATGCTGCCAACCGTTGGTTCGAAGCGCAGCTTTCTTATAGTATATTATCACCTAAACATGCCCTTCGTCTTGTCAACGGCATCTCCGCTGATTAGCTCTCGACATGGTACCCTTTCCCGACGAATTATGGCTTCAAGTCGTTCCTTATCTCACTCCTTGTTCAGATCTCCAAGATCTGGAAGATAATTCGACCAAACAGAAAGCGCTCTCAGGCCTTTGCCAACTTTCGAAGTCGCTCCGTCGTATCTTTCAACCAGCCATGTATGCCAGATTTGTCAAGTTCGGCAGAGTTTCGCCCAAGCAAAGATATATTGCCGGTGAGCTCGAGTTTCAGATCAAGAAGATCGATCCGGCTAGGTTCAGACACAACACGCGCCTCGAATTGTTTCTTAGAACTTTGATCGAGCGACCGGACCTTGCACATGACATAAAAAGCTTACGAATTGACCGCTTCAATGAGACTGAAGATCTTCCAGCAAGCTATGCACCGATCCGACCACTTCCATTTGAGCCTGAACTTGCCGAGACTTTTGTCCGTAGGCTCGAGCTGTTCGTTGGACCGGTGATTGAGTCTACTGTTAATCTCCATGAGCAGATCCCAAGCAGCAGAGAGGCGTCTCCTTCAGATGTTGTGCTCTATTACTGGCAATACCAATGCTCTGGTCATTCAGAGGATACGGCATAGATCACACAGGTGATTTAGACGAGCACCCACATTTATCTCTACATCATCTACGTCATCTGGTCCTTGAAAGCTCCATCCTGGACGGGGAATCTATCATAGAACTGCTTAAAGGCTCGTGTACTGGACCCCAGGTTCTGGAAATCGATTCTCACGCAGTCTCAGATCCTAGATTCAAACTTGACGGTGATACTTATTGGCTCAACTGGCCATGGGGACTGCAAGAAGAAGCGCTTTTGAACATGGCAGAATCGCTTGAGCGCCTTGTTATTGCTTTGCCCGAGTATGATCTAGCATTGTTTGACCTGCATGAAATCTCGAACCTTCGTTACATTGAAGTAGAGATGAAGGACTTGACAGGCAATGAACACGTACCGAATCCTCCCTATATCACCACACGTCTTCCTCATAGCTTGGAGCACCTGTGTTTACGCAGATGTAGTGTAGCTGTCTTTATGCCATGTAGAGCACTACTCAAAGCTGCATCAATGGAGTTCCCACAGCTCGAGACTGTGGAGCTTAGATTTGCTTGGTCGAAGCAGACATCTACTCAGAAAGACAGCAGTGAGGAGGTAGAGTCGGTAAGAGAAGTGTCTCCCGAGGACAGATGGGTCAACGATAAATGTGATTATGTAAGCTTCCTACGCACGCTTGCAGATGGGGTGAAAGTAACCTTGGAGGTGTGCAATGATGAGATCCCTGCTCCGCATTGGTTCGATTACGACGAACATCGGATGGGGACAGACTCTATTAGAGAAATCAATGGTCCTATTGAAGACGATGATGAAGATGGGAGCGAAGATGACAGTGGAGAGGAGAGTGATGATGAGGGACAAGATGGCAACGAGGACGAGGAGGAAAGTGGCACAGAAGATGGGGAGGAAGATGGAAGTGAAGATGGAGAAAACTGAGAGTAGTAGGAGACTCACGCCAGCCATTAAGGTGTTTTCATATCACATAAATGAGGCTCATGTCTTCAACGTTTGACACCGGAGCGACAAGTTTATGGGACCCGTGTTGATCTGTACCGCAGCCATGACAAGTCTCTAACCAGCGTGTCTCACTGGGAGCAACATCTTCTTTGCGGTGTCGAGGGCGCAGAGCTTCCTTTGTTGCTAACAATGGTCCCAAGTGTTCGTTCTTTGGTCGTACAAACACGGGATCGTGATCTTGGAGCCTTCATCCAACCACTCTGTGAGAAGACAAGAGACAATGGGAAGGAGTGACGAAGAGAGCGAAAGGAACGAGAGAAGAGCAGGTGTTGTAAGAAAGAAGCGACCGCACATCAGAGGCCGACCAAGGGTGCAAGAAGGGCGGGAGTGACCTTGACCAATGGAAGAGGCGATCGAGCGGGAAGGCAGGGATGACTGCGACTGAAGAGACAGAGAGGAAGAAAACAACCTAGGCTGGCGAGGAGGACCATCGCAATGTAGACCAAGAGTGTTACCGAGCATGTACTCGTCCGTAGAATCAGGAAGGAGGGAACAAGTAGACAGACTTGGTGTAGTCTCCGAGTATCGAGTGTGTTTGGTGCGGTGTTTGAAGGTAGCGATGTTCGGTTGAATGTTGGCAATCATTGCTTATTGGCCCAAGGCTGAGGATGCAGGTGTGCAGGGTAGCGGGTATCTGATGGAAGCATTGATCCGAGGCGGTGAAGAGTAGTCAGATCAAAACTTAGCTAAATCAACAAATGATCAGTGGCAGCGAAAGAAGTGATCACCGAGAACACAAGTGGCCAGAAAGGGAATGTAAATCATGAACGGAGCGGGACCAATTTTCTCATTTTCATTTCGAGAAGATAGTCTTTCTTTCGTTTTTTCCTTCATCCACCCCAGCCAACGAGCAACGTGCGGGGCCACTGCCGTCAGGATTTCTTTGTGCAAGTGACTCCATTCGCAGTTGGGGTATTCGGAAAGTAAGGAACATGGTTTGCCCATTGCACATAGCATTGCGTGCCCGTCAAAAGTAAGAACTAAACTCCTCTTTCATTTTGAACTTTACAACCAGCGATCACCCAGGTTGACAAGTTTAGTGACCAGCGCGACGGGACTCGGCGATGTAGTTGGTCATCTCGTCGACCTTTCTCTTTGCGCGGCCGAAGGTACCAAGCTGTGTCTTGTGTTAGCAAGGGTGTTTCCAGGTTGTTGGTGGAGTGGTGGTGATGGCGTACTCTTCTCTTTGCGAGCTTGCGGGCACGCTTGTCCTTGGAGTTGCGGAGAAGTTCAACAACGCGGCGCTCGTAGGGGGCGAGACTTGTAAGATGTTAGTCTGACTGTACTGATGTCGGTTTGGAGGTCAAGCTTGAGGTGATTTCAAGCTCAACGTTGGTGTAGAACGTACCCGGCAACCTCCTTGACAACGTCACGGACGAAAGCGGTGCGCTTGCTGAGGTGACCCTTGGTGCGCGAGACACGGGGGGCGGGCTGGCGGGGGGTGACCTTCTGTAAAGAGGAAAGACACGTTAGTCGGTTGGTCTTGCAAGAATTGCTTGATCGGCTGTCGGAGTGGTGGGGTGTGCGTAAGTCGATGATGCGAAGTTGTCGTTGTTTGCGGATTGCAGTTGTGTCGGTTCGACTAGATCCAGCTGATGTCGGTAGAGTGTTGGTTGTCGATGCAGAAAATTCTTGTCGGTGTCGTGGTATCGCTCGCAAAGTTCGCATCATCGACGGCGGCGGTGATGGGTGCAGTGTCTCCAGTTCATGATGGATATAGGGATCAACGTACGTGGCCGGCGTTCAAGCCGCGGCTGAGGCCGCTCTTCTGCTTGACTTCCTTGGGCATGGTTGCTGTGGTGTTAGTCGACGACGTCCGCTACCAGGAAGGAGAGGGCAGAGATCGAGAACCAGGCGGAGGGAGCTTGCGAATTTCTTCGGCAAAACTCCGCGTGCGTTCTGTGCGTGTGCGCCGACGAGAGTGCCAAGCTTTTCGCTTTTCTGGCCGAGGCTGACTTTGCGACTGGTCCCTTGAATTCCTGAGCATCAAGTGAAGCTCACAGCACGACCTGTCTGAGGTGCAACTGCCATCTTTGCGTTCTTGCTGCCTCTCACGTGCGACTTTCTCGATTGCCCTGTCCATGGTTGTTTTTCATCTTGGTAGCTTACCAAAGACTCGAGACACTTTCCTTCTCCCCATGTTTCTCTGATTCCACTAGATCATCGAGTACAGCCTTTCAATAACACACATCTGTATAATCGACTGCATGCCCGGTTCATATACAATCCAATATATTCAAGTGCCGTTCCTCGCCCTGTCAGCCACAACCGTCTTACATTCAGCCCTCTGGCGGACTACAAGACCGACTGCATGTATTCTGCGTCCCATTTTATTTCTCTTGGAAGGTCTCTCTGTACATATCACGCCAACCTACTGTACCAGATTTCAAATCCCAACATGCAGCCCGTCGGCCGATGACTATTGTATTGCAATCTCCCCCAGATGGACGGATGACCACGAGCCGTGCGCTGCTCCGTGGGATGCCGCAACGAGGCTATGACGTCTTTGCTGTTGCTCATCAGTGTGGCTTTGGAACCTCTGACGATGCCTTTGCCTTTTTTCAACATTCGCATCATCTAAAACCAGGCCGTCCCATCCAACTTGAATCGTGCTCTGCCCTTCTCATCCCTGCCACTGCCAATTGCGACGACTCTCTCCCACTACTACACTAATAGTCGCTCTTCCTGCTCTCTGTAACATTTTCTGTACAGCAGATTCCTCGCGCAACGGTCCCAGCCACCAAATATCGTCTCTTCATTAAACTTCACGCGACCACTTCCAATCCTACACACATCTCCTTCAACCAAGATCGTGCAAAGATAGAATCTCGCAATCATGTTCGGCATCTCATACTGGATCTTGCCGCTCTTCGCGGCATGTTGTTGGCTAGGTATGTCAAGTAGCACATCTGATATTTGTGATTATCGAGACTGACTCGCGTTACAACAGGCACGCTCCTCGGCATGCTGGGCAGCTGGATCGCCGACGGTTCTCCAAGATATGTTAGCATGGAACCAGGACAAAAGATCGCATACATCTCAGACATTGGCGCACAACATCTCCAGCCTCTTTTCATTGCCGGCTCTGCCGTCACCGTCGTCGTGTTTGATTTGGTCTTCATTTCGGAGCGCTGGTTGAGACACAAGGGCCGTCTTGCCCACAACACGTCGAATGTCCAGAAAGGCTTGTCCATTGGCGCTGTCCTCTTCGCTCTTGCCGGTGCCGCTGGCTTGATCGTCTTGACCATCCTGGACACTGTCAACCACCCCACTGCCCACGACATTGGCCTGGGTATCTTCATGTACGTTCAAGCCGGTCCTTCTTCTTCAACATTTGCTGACCATCTTGTAGCATCGGCTACGTCATCTCTGCAATCTTCGCCTGCGCTGAATACCAACGTCTCGGTATTCACTTCCGCCAATACCGCATCCTCCGCGCTTCTTTCTGGATCAAGCTGACCTTCATCTTCGTCGAGATCGCTCTCGCTATCGGTACGTTGCATTCTCTGCATCCATGATGTTACTCCAGCTGACCTCTTCAAGCCTTTGTCGTTCTTGGCCGTCACAACAGCCAACGCGATTCAGCCGCCATCCTTGAATGGATCATCTCGCTCGTGTACATCATCTACGTCGGCCACTACGCCATGGACTTCTTCCCTGCCGTCCACAGCAAGGACCACCGCTTCCCCACCGTCGAAGAGATGATCGAGACACAGGGCGGTAATGGCCCCTCTTACTCTGGTGGCCCTACCTTCTCTGAGAGCGCTTCGTACGCCAGCGAGAACCCCATGCGCAACGGCCAGACCGTCGAGCCCAGCAGAAATTTCTAAGCCGGCAATGCGAGAACCAACGACGCGATACAACAACATAATAGTACTAATAAACTAAACTTCTGGATGTATTTTTCTTATTTGATTACGACGACCATGACTGAGCTGGCATTTTTGGAGATGTAATGGCCTTAGGGAAGGGGGAATCTAGGGATACGAATGGCATGGGAGTTGGGCATTGGGAGCTTGCTCGAGCTTTCCTCTTGCATGTACTCGTACGCATCTTCGTTTTTCCTCATGTTCTGTACTTGTACGAAGAGGCTTGCAGGTATATGAAAAGCCTATAGATGATATCAAAATCACACCTTTTACATTACTTATCCCCCTCTCGCTCGCCCCACAGTCGACTTCTCTTCGCCCTTTGAGCTTTGCCATCGCCGACCTTTCCAAATATACCTTGAACCAAATCTCCACAAAAGAAGACCATCGATGCGCTGAGCATGCATCTCCCAACTCAACTCTTCCGACACATTCCATGCCCCTTCAACTTTGATTAGAATCTGCTTTTCGGCCCGGCCCCAGGAGAAGGGAGCACCCAAGATTTTCCATCCCAGATTTGAGGGATGGTTTTGATTATACAAGTTTCACCTTGATTACCTGAGTCCCGCCATGACTGTTGGGTTCCGTATTGCGTAGCATGCTTACATGTTCCGGAGAGTCCAAACCCAATCGGCCAAGGCCATCAAATCTCTTTGTCGGTTTATAACATGGCTTTTCGAGGCATCAAGTGAACAGCACGGGAAGTATGTTCTTTCTGGTTTTTTTTTTTTCAAAACGTTGAATTTTGTTTGGGTAATTTGTTATTTCGTCTCGTCATAAAATATAAAAAGAGCCATAACTCTGTAAAGGGGATATACATGTCCTCCTGCTTTCTTCATTTTTCTTTTCCTTCCATCATATACACCATTCTAGAAAACCCAAAAACAGTTGTGTTGAAATTTTGATGGCCGCATAGTCTATTGTTTTTGTTCTTTCTTGCGCAGATGGTCATTCCTTTAGTGGTGGAACAGACGGGTGCTCTGCTCGACAAAGGTAATGTTTAACTTCTCAGCGGTGGAGAAGACGGCCTGGTCGTTCTGGCTACCGGTGGGGGCGGCAATGTACTTGACTCCTGAGCGAGCAGCACGGAAGACATTGTCGATGAAGGGGAAGAAGGCGTCGGAGCTGACGGCAACCTCGGAGAGCTTGTTCAACCAAGCCTGGCGCTCCTCGGCGGAGAAGGGGGTGGGTACCTCCTCGAACATCTTCTCGTATTCCTGCTTCTCCTCGTCAGAGGCGGGGAGAACACCACTGCAGAGCATGTCGATGGCGTTGCTCTTGTCGGGCCGCTTGGTGCCCTTCTTCCACTTGAGGCCGAGGGCGCGCTCGTGGAAACGCATGAACCAGTTATCGGCCTTGTCACCGGCAAGACGTGTGCAGTGGATACGGCTCTGCTGACCGGCACCAAGACCGATGACCTGACCGTTGAGTGCGTAGCAGACAGAGTTTGACTGGGTGTACTTGAGGGCGATGGTGGCGACAGTCAGATCGCGGAGAGCAGACTCGGGGAGGGCGGCAGAGTCCTTGGGGGTGATGACGTTACCGAAGCTGTCTGAGGGGGTGATGTGAGCGTCGTTGCGACCTTGGGTAAGGTTGATGCCGTAGACGGTACGATACTCCTGAGCGGCGGGCTCGAACTCGGGGTCCATCTGGAGGACGAGGTAGCGGCCACCCTTCTTCTTGCCGAGAATCTCGAGAGCCTCCTTGGTGTATGAAGGAGCAATGACACCGTCAGAAACCTCACGGGAGATGATCTTGGCAGTGGGAATGTCAACCTCGTGCGACAGAGCGATCATGTCACCGAACGAAGACATGCGGTCGGCACCACGGGCTCTGGCGTAAGCCTGGGCAAGACCCGAGCTCTCAATACCCTCAATGTCGTCGACCATGTAGACCTTACGCTCAACCTCGTTGAGGGGAACACCAATGGCGGCACCAGCGGGGGAGACGTGCTTGAAGCTGGCAGCAGCAGGGAACTTGAGAGCGGCGCTGAGCTCCTTGACCAGAGGCCATGCGTTCAGGGCGTCGAGCAGGTTGACGTAGCCGGGAGCACCGCACAGAACCTTGAAGGGCAGCTTCTGGTTCTTCATGAAGGCAGCAGCCGACTTTTGGTGGGGGTTGGTACCGTAACGCAGCGAGACGTGCTGGTTGCCGTTGCCGGCGTACTTCTTGCGGAAGAACTCTGAGATGGCAGTGTCGTAGTCGGCAGTGTGCTCGAAAGCCTTGAGGGCGAACGACTGGCGGGTGGCATCGGTGACATCGCCCTTCTCGAGCTCCGAGAGGAAGTCGTGGTAGTCGTTGGGGTCGGAGAGGATGGTGACACGCGAGTGGTTCTTTGCGGCGGCACGGATCAGAGTAACACCGCCAATGTCAATCTCCTCGACAGCCTCGGGGATGGTGACGTTGATCTTGGCGACCGTGTCCTTGAAGGGGTACAGGTTGCAGATAACGTAGTCGACCTTGTTGATGTTCTGCTCGGCCAGATCCTTTTCGTCGGATGCGAGGTCACGGGCAAGAATACCAGCGTGCACTGAGGGGTGGAGAGTCTTGACGCGGCCACCGAGCATCTCGGGAGCCTTGGTGATGGCCGAAACATCTCTGCCGTGCAATCAGCTTTAGTCCTCCTTCAATTGCATGTCTTAGTCTTCTGCTTACTCGACGGGGAAGTTTGCCTCACGGATCATCTTGGCGGTGCCGCCAGATGCGAGCAGACGGACATTGTTCTTGACGAGGCCCTTGGCCAGGTCGAGCAGACCGGTCTTGTCGTAGACGGACAAGATGGCTGAGTATTGCGTGAGCGCGTGCCTCTCGGCTAGACGAGAGCTTTCAATCCTGCTTCTTACCAATCTTTTGCGAGTTGTTGGAAGCCATTGTGAAGATGGAGGATACCAGAATCTGCCTGTGACAAAGAACCGGTTTAAGGAAAGCGAATGCAGAGTGATGTGCGATAGCTTTTTTCTTGTGTCCATCCCACGCCCGCAATCGGCGGGGCAGCTCGCATCAGCCTTCGTCATTTCATTGGCTAGCGTGCCTCGCTGCCCGGGGGATCCTCCTTGGTTTTGTCGTGACTTTTGGTCACCTCGCCGCCGACGTCCATTATCTGACTCGCTTCTTCTCAACCAATTCGTGCTGCGTCTTGAGCCTCTTGAAGCCTGTGTGTCCGTATCGATTTCTTGTTCAGTTTGGCTGTCAAGCTCTGTTCATGGAAGCGCATCTGACATGTCGGGAATAAAAGCATGCGACTTGAGCTTCATAACACGTGCCTTGCCACCACTAAAGAGATCCGCCTCCTAAATTCCTCGTCTTCCATCATAGGTGACTTGAGGATCGCATCGCGTTTCGACCGATTCCATGTGGTTGATACGGCTTTCAGATCAGGACTGAAGGATCCTAGCTTGATAATGTATTGTTATCAGACTGGTTGTTTGTTGCTCTTTGACTTGAGACCTGAATCTACGTAGTCTCCTGGTCGAAAAAAGCACACACTGTTTCCATGCGCAACCAATAAGAATTTTTAGGTTTTGAAACATGGTATAAAATCATCGAGTGCGTTCGAAACTGCTGCAGGCTACAAACACGCCTATGCGATGCACTAGGACTGGTGTATTTGATTCTCATCTGAAAAATGTTTGCTGCTCTGCTAACCCTGCTGAAGCTGTCAGGGTCCCGGTAAAAAAGTCGAGGGCCGGGACGGAGCGGCAGTCTTGACCCTAAAACGGTCATGGCTTTTAATCTAAACATGGAGGAATTGCGGTCACCAGCCTCTTCCTGCAATGACGAGGGGGGAGTGGTCAAGTATCTGGTCGGTGTACGAAAAGCCGTAATCATGTCAGGCACGTCTGCATGGATTGCGCTGGCGCGTCTAAAGTGACAAGGCCGCATTGTTAGCCGCCGCCAATTCTGCCCAACTTCAATATTGTCTCACACACAGCGGAGAGAGCTCAGTAGGGTAGCTGCCGGGTGCTGCTGAAGTTGACGCTCCCATCGCTCCTGCTGTTTGAGCCATAAAACTCCAACATGCCTCCCTCACGCGATGAAGAGCCACATCGGCGTAAGAGATCCTACGACCGCGATTCGCCAAAAGCCACGTCCAGGGACAAGGATAGCAAAGAGCGGCTCAAATCATCGGCTAGAAAGACATCCACACGCCGACGCAGTGACGCAAGCAGAGAGTACAGCCCATCACGCCAGGACAAATCGACCTTGTCGGAACGCTCATCGAAAAAGGTCACCATGTCGATACCAGAGATGGAGCGTCGCTCTTCCATTGGCGAGAAGCGGCCGCAATCCTATCCAAACTTCTCAAAGGCTCACAGCAGAGAGGCTGTCGCACCAGCCTCAACCGGTAGCACCGATGTGCACGACCAACGACCTCGCACTCCAGCAGACACGGCCCACGGTCCTTCACGAGTCCCACCAAGCCCTCCATTGACGGCAGAAGAGGCAGACCTCCGACGAGCAAAGAGCGGGAACAACGTGAGGAGTCATACGGACAGAGTCAAGTCGGAGGCCGCTCTCAACTCTAGAAGAAGCATGGACAACGGACTGCGGGTCAACATGACGGGCTCTGCAGCGAGCAGTCGCCGGCCATCACCATCGAGTGTGTCGGAAGCGTCTGCTCCAAGCACGGGCTCCACAAAGTACAAGGCTCCCTCTCAGCCTGCCTCCACCGTCAGCCAAACCACCATCGACTCACAAGCCACTTCGATCGCCCCGGAACGCAAACCTCCTTCTCGCCCTCCACCTGTATCCGTTGGTCAGCACTCTTCTCCTCAATCAAGGCCTGACTCGTCACCGCGGACCCCTACCTCGCAAGATGCAGCTTTACCTTCACATCCACATCGTCCCAAATCCACTCCTGGTATCGATGTCTTCCCAGCTGCCTTCTCTCCTCGCTCCGCCCACCTGGACGCTGTTGCTATGCCTCCTCCACCTCCTCCCCCGCCAATGGTCTTTTCTCACGATACTCCTCGCGTCGACTACCTGCTGCAGAATGGTGGGTTGCCCTATCTGATCTCGAAGTCTATCGTTCCACCTGCCAATGATCAACCTGTTCAATCCTACGCTCAGTACCAGTCGCCTCGCATACCTTCTGCAATCGATGTCCAGCATATATTTGCCCCTGTGAGTGGTCGTCTTGAGGACATCGGGAAAGTTCTAGGGAAGAGTGGTTCGCTGGCCGTGGCCACAGGATATCGCTCCGTCGCAAGAAGATTGCTGGACCGTCTTGAAGCCGTCTTTGCCCGCAGTATCTCGCACGAGCGATGTCAGTGCGTTCTGTGTCTGAAGACTGCCGAGACGACTCTTTCCGACGACGAGGACACGGGAATAAGCTGGGGTGAGATCCTAGAATATGTCGCCGGCCGGCGAGAACTTCCACAATGGCCACCGTTCTCTCTTTCTTCCGACACACCTGGCTTCAATCTTTCAGGGGTCGAACCTATGCAAAAACTTGATCCTGACGTCCCGGATGAATACCGCGCTCATTACATCAAGCAGAACGCAAAGACGAAGCGTTCGGTCCAGGATTGGCTTGTACGGCAGCCTGATGCTCCATCTAGCCCTCCACAGGAAGTTGACGATGAGACTCTGACCTTCGCTATACTCACGCACATTGAGCCCGAACGACGTCCTCTATTTGCTGCGCTTATGAAGGGGCTCTCGACCTTGCCTGCCTCAAGAACGCCGACACCTGCCAACGAACCCAAGAACGAAGTCTTGGCCAAGACTGCCGCTGCTCTGCAACGTCTATATCGCCTACCGCAACTACCGAGAGACCCAGAGTGTACGATATATCTACTGAACAATCCACAGCTGCATAGCATGCTGGCCACGCTCGCCGCAGTGAGTGCTGGCGAGTGGGACATCTTGGTATCTGGCAGATTCGACGGCTTCCTATGGAGTGGAGCAGAGGCAGTCCCGCCTTCCGCAGCTTACGGATCAACCATGGGGCCAATGTCTAGGACAACCACCCCATTCAGCGGAGGCGTGCCCTCCCGCAACACCACCCCCTTCTCGCCTCTTCGCAACGTCATGTCGCCAGATCATACGACCAACATGTTTCCTTCCCGCGGTACGACTCCAGCTCCTGGTATGCCTGGCGGTGCTCCAGCACCTGTCCAGATGGACGAAGAGACCGAAATTGCCGTGTTGGCTCAGATGGAGCGTGAGATATACCGTGGTATGGAGGCCTTGGAGGATCAGTTCGAAGAATTGCACAGGCAAGCTGAGGCTGTCAGACAGAGACTTCGCGAGCGTAGTGCAGGGCTTGCAATGGCCGCCAAAGCACGCAGAGGCTCTATGGCTTCAGATATTGGAGTGAGAATTGGCACGCCGGGGGGGCCATGGGATGATGAACAACAATCAATTTTTGACGACGGGAGATCAGAGCTAGCTCCCGACGACTCTGCCAGCAACATTGATTTCGGAAGAAAGAGGAGATCAAAGCGACACGAACGCAGGACTCCAGCAGTCCCAGAAGAGGACGAGGAAGTCGAGCGCGACTTTGGTAGGAGAAGACGTTGAGGTCGACTTGCTCAGACAGGGGCAATGCACCTGAGAGTGAGAGCCGATAACATAATGAAACAAAACACACCTCACGACATGTATTTATTGAGCGAAGTTAGAGATACCCTTACGACGACGACGATGTGCTGCTTATCTGGGGACATTACGCTTGCACAACTAGGAGCGTTTTGGAAGTACTGCTGCATTATCGTTTCGATGCACAGAATTTGGGATGAAGATTATCATGAATGTGCTTTATTTCTTCTGCTTTATTTTCCTTTTTCTTTCGGCACACTAGGAATGCATCAGCGGGAGATGGAGCCCAGCAAGGAAGGCGTTCGTACTTTCCGGCTCAATGTAATTCAATGATCAGTGTTCCTGCTGCTATACCTCAGACGCATCTGTCTCTATCGAACAAGTGATTGTGATACCCGGTAGAGAAAAAATGCACCTCTTTCACATGCGAGATGGGTTTCCAAGCGTTAAATCCGTATCTCTCAATCGCTATCGCCGAGAGAAGCTGTCGGCCATCTTTTCTTCCTTTCCCTCTTCTCCACAAAGCCCATCGTCACTGTTCAAGTTCTCACAACACCACCACACAACCACTCACAACAAGCCAAGAACCTCTGCGCAAACAATCACTACACTCTGAATTCCACGAACTCACACACGCGGATATACGAACAGAAACAGAACAAACGGCAGAAAGACAACAATGAAACTCCTAACCCTCAACTTCCTCACCTGCGCACGCAAAGCTTGTAAACAAGAACCTGCAGCATTCCCCCTACACCCCCGCGATGCAGAACTCGAGAGTGTGGAAATCGAAATGAATGCAGAGTTTTTGATCAATGTGTTGCCGAGACTTGAGTGGAAGGCTGTGAGGAGTTTGGGTGAAGAGGTGAGTTTTTGAGCATTTGCTTTTGCCCCCCTTGTCTACTTCTGCAAAGGTAGAACGGGGGGAGGAAACGAGTAAAAAAAGGAGATGTAAAAAGGATATAAAAAGCTAATAAAGGTTTGTCGCAACACAGCTCGGTCTCCCAACCCTCCCGGAACAAGCACCAGAAGCTTCAGATTTACTGGAAAAAGATACACGAGAACCTACACAAACACTTAGGGATTTACATGCATTGCTTGTGGAGACGAGTGTCGCGAATGGAAAATTGGTCTGTGGACATTGTGGGCATGAGTATGCTGTCAAGGAAGGGATTGCGAATTTTTTGCTGCCTAGTCATTTGGTTTGAGTGGTAGCAAGAGAAAGATAAAGATGGGGGAAGAAGGATAGAAAGAGGAAGAGGGGAAGGGAAGACACAACATGCATATACAGGGATGGCTATACGATCGGAGGAATAAGAAGCAGGAGAGGTCAGAGAAATACTGGCATTGCGAGGATGATGCTAGGTCATGGCTTGCACGATATCGCCCAGTCAGACAAGGCACAAGATCAGCATGGGTCTTGCTCTTGCTCAAGTCAGAGAGTGGCTTCAAGCGCATCGAACGGAAAAGAGAGCACGAAGGCCATAGCAGATGATTGCAGAAAGAGCTCCAATGACTTCTTAATTGGTACTATCAAAACTTCAAAAAACACAGCCCTCTCTCTTGGCCATCAGATCACGCCACGATTGCTCCTTCCCACCAAGACCTATACGCCATCGCTCAAAAGGAAAACAGAATACTAAAAGGGGTAAAAACCACCCAACGTTTAAGAAACAACCACCCTCATCACTTGATATGAACATCAATGCAATCCATGTCTGAAATGTCAGTATCCTTGACAAGACCTTCCGGCGGCTCCAGTCTTTCGCCGTCAAACTCGAGGAAGATTTTGCGTTCTGCATCGAGTTTGAAACTTCGCCTCGCTGCATTGATCATCTTGACAAAAGTCGTGCTCTGTAGGGCTGTTATTAGTAGATACTCCAAGGATTGGTAGATGGAGGACTAGACTTACCGGCCGTACTTTGATCTTGATGTCCGAGTGACCTTTTGCTTTGAGTGTGATTTTGATCAGAGGCTCTTCGACTGCGGCTTCGCCATCCACTGCAGGTGTACCCTCTGCACTGCCATGTCTTCCGTCTGTACCTGCAGCACTACTGAGGTACTTTTTCGGCTTTGATGCAGCTGCCTTTTTGTCCTTGAGTTCTTGCCATGCTTCCTCCGTCACGGCCTCGATGTGAATTTTCTCTGCATGCTCGTCGTCGGTATTTGCGAAAGGGCCATTGGTCATGATACGGCCGAACGAGTCGACTTTGATACCCAGACTGCGGACGGTAGTGACATCATAGACCCTCCGTAGCTTGAAGATGAAGAAGATTCGACTTGCTATTGATGACTCTAGTGACTGCTTGCTAAGCCAGGCTTCGCGTACGACTTGTAGATCTTGAGATAGTTTTCGGGAAACGATCAAAGGACCGGTACCGGGCAACGGCGATGTGATGAGGAGTTTGACGGTCGGATCATGAGCACCCATTTCACTTCGTTCTCGCTCCTCTCTCCGTCTCTTCTCACGTGCTTGTCGGGCGTATTCGCGCATCTCCGGGTCTGAGTAGTATACGGCGTCCAAGTCGGCATCTGGATCTTCTGCGGCGGGTGTAGGTTCGAGACTCGTAGTGTTGGACGGGAAGTTGTTGCCGGTGGCATTGCTGTGGCTGACAGGCTCGTCTTCGTCCGAATCGTCGAGTAGTTCTATAACAGCCTCCTGCCGCGGTCTTGGTTTTTGTGGTGTAGGAGCTATCGCAAAGCTTTCCGAGCCGGCAGACGCTTGTACTGATTCCTTTCTCCCTGACTCCTTGTTCTTGGTGCTTGTGGAGAGCTCTGCGCCATCCTCATCGCTTATGCGCCTGCGCTTGCCCGCTCGCGACTCTTCGTCCTTTGTCTCACTCGTTTGACTCCGCCTCAGAACATCCTTGTCGCTCTTCTTACGTTGACGTTGGCGCTGGCGGTCCTCGACGAGCTCGTTGAAAGTATTCGAATGACTGAAAAGATCGGTTGCTTCTTCCGGTTTGGCAGTCGGATCTGGGGATGCTGATGCGGCGGCTGGGGCAGCTGAAGCCCACGTTGGGCGTTTGAACAACGATCGCCTGGGTTTGCCGTCCGCCATGGGAACGAGTCGAGTCTCCGCTCGTGCTTGGTATAAGAATTGGTTGGTCTGCGCAGACAGCAGCAAGGACTCGAGCTTGTCTTGATCAAAAGTGACGGATGCGCTTTGTCTTTTGACTTTGCGGGGTTGTCACACATTGCCTGTTTGAGCTTGACATGTCTCACGCTCCTTCTTCTCTTTCAACTTTCTGTCTCTCTCTCTCTCCTCTCCACTACTGCGATAGGGTCGTTCCTTCATCCTCTGTCTTCTGAAAGTCATGCTCATTAATTCGTTCTAGTCATGTCCCAGATCTAAAGTCTATGGTCTAATCCTGTCTATGCAGTTCCCTTTTCTCCACCTTTGGCCTCCTGCTCCATTCTGCTGATAAACTTCGACTTGAGTCGAATCAGATGCCCGTACTTGTAAAACACAAACGGAATGGGAATGATGAGCACTTCCAACAAACCGAGAAGTGTACCTTGCCAGTGTGGTCCGAGGGCATTGTACATAGCCGGACCAGCCAATGGCAGTGTACCTCCGGCAATAGTACGGGTCAACACATTGCCAGCCATGGCTGATGCTGCGTACATGCCGTAACTACGTCCAATGTAGTTGGATCCGTAAATGAAGGTTGCTGTTGTTCCTGCTCCGAAAGGGATACCCGAGAGGATCGGCCAGATGTAGTGCACATTCGGCGTGCAAGTCCAAGCAAACATCAAGCCACCGATGGGCACCAAGATGGCACCGATACACACGATGAACACTGGTGATTCGGGAGTTGGCTTCCCGTTGACATCAAGCTTTCTTCGCTGCACCATCTTCCTGAGGAGTGGCTCGCACACAATCACCAATACATTGCCAACACCGATGCCGAGATATGCAAGTCCGGTATGACCAGTCGACCAGCCACGAAGTCCTTCAAATACTCTTGGGTAGATGACGAATGTCAAGTCTATGAAATGTCAGCAATATTCACGACATTGAGCGAAGTTGTACTTACAGTTCATCGAATACACGATCAAGATGTAAAGGTCCCAAAACCAGAGAATGGGCTCAGTAGCAGTGAGGTATATCGGTCGCCAGAGCGATGCTCCAAGCAATGGCAAGAATGCCCGCTTCTCATCATGCTTGCTCCACCACTGATCATCTCCGGTCTCCTTTCTCATCTTCTCCGCGCGACGCCTGAGGAGAGTAGGGCCATATGTCTCGGGGACAGTCGCCATCAAGACGAAAGAAACGCCAGCCAGGATCAATGTCAACCAGTGGATCCATCGCCAGCCCAGGTTGTCGAACACGAAGCCGCCGACCAATGGCCCGATCACGGGTCCATTCATTAATCCTAAACACCACATACTGAACGTGAACGCTCTGTGCTTGTCTGTCGAGACATCATTGATTGTACCAGGTGAGTTTGATACGACCGAGCATCCGACCATTGCTGCGAAGAAGCGACACACGAGCACGGCCGCGATGTCGTTGGCAATGGCACACGGGAAGATGAAGAACATGAATGCGAAAAGCGTCAAGATGTATACCGGTCGTCGTCCGAACATTTCCTGAGAGGCGTCAGCAATGTTCAAGCGAAGAGACTGTCGTCATGCTCACACTAAGCGGAGCCCAGATCATGCTTCCAGCAGCCATACCAAACAAGTATGTCGTCAGACCCAGGAGGGACACTGTTGAGTTGGGTACATCAAGATCGGCGGTCATGCTGTGTGCACCTGAGATGCCGGACGTATACGCAGACGAGTACAAGACACTATCCGACAAATCAGCACCGGTACCAGCAACAAGCATCGACGTCAAAAGACTTACACTGTACAACTCGCAAATGTGCAAGCGAAGATTGTGTGTGCCTTCTTCCACACCGACCAAGTCTTAGGGTTCTCAACATCGTGTTCTTCCCACTTTACCTCGTACTCTGGATCAAAGAAATCAGAGTGTGATCTTGGTGGAGGTTGAATGCTTCTAGACGCGGTAGGCTCGAGGTCTGCGAATGCAACGGTGTGGTCGTTTTGACTGTCTGGGCTTTCCTCACGCTTGATCGATCTCAGCGACGCGCTTGAAGAGCTCGCTGAACTCCAGGAGGTCTCGTGTTTCTCCTTGACCTCGGTCTCGTACGGTTCTGTCGCTGGTTGCGACTTCTCTGATGGATCCATGTCGAAGGTCGATAGTCAGATTGTGGATCGTTTCTCAGATGGTGTAGTACTGGCAGATGCCTGTAATTGTGAGATAAGATGAGGCTGATAACCTCGGGACTGGTTCAAGATAGATGTAATTCTATTGCAATGTATTGCTGTGAATATAGATTGTACATTCAATCTCTATATCTAATTTGAAGAAAGACAACTCGATATCTCATCATCGGAATAATAGCCGTGTTCAAGGGTTGGGATATTTTCCATATCCCCAATTCTGATACCATTTGATCCCACGGCGAATCACAGACGTCAAAACTTGACTTCTTCCCTGCCATCTCTGCCCTCATACGATAGAACTCGCGATAACACGAGCATCGAATACGGAAGCCGGCCCGGCTTTCAGCGCTTGAGCAAGGAAATCGCAAAGAAGAATTTATCTTGGCGTGGCATGTCCGGATAGACACGGACCGGGCAGCAGGCTTCTGCGACACCGGCCTGCCTCCCGTACACAGATTGACAGAGACACAAGGCCGGCACACCGGACCGCCCTGTCCCTCAACATCATCCAATAGGTATGGAGAGCAATGTGCAGCAAACGCCGGAGAGCGGGCGGCCTCCTAAGCGCGTCTCTCAAGCATGTGAAGCCTGCCGGTACGTAACGATTCGTCCCTGGAGCTACTCTAAGCATCCCTTGGTGTTGGCCTTTAAATTGACGCGTCGAATACAGTCGCAAGAAGTCGCGATGTCCCGGGGAGAAGCCTGCGTGCTCGCTATGCGCAAGGTTGAAACAGCATTGTGTATATGCGGATGATGGCTCTATACCTGAGGTTAGGTCGGCCGCCATCGAGCGACGAATGGTATGTTCATCTCCGCAGCCTAGATTACCATAAAAGCTTGTCGCGTCTTGCTATTGTTAACCCTCTACGACTTTGTACTGACGCATCTTGAAGAATGCTCGTTTCTCTGAGTTGGAAAATAGACTTGAGTCTTTGCTGAAAAACATGTTTGTGAACTCATGTCTTTGCTCGATGACGGCGTTGCTAATTTGGAAAAAGACCTGGCACGCCACCAACAATACTGCCACGGACTCCACTCGAGTCTCTCGCCGAGAGCTCGCGAGCATCCCCTAGAGTGCCGCCCTCGAGGAGGAGATCATTAGAGACATCTGATGGCACTACCCCTTCTGGCTTACAGATACCGCATGAGCCCACTCGTCTTGAGGTAGCAGTGCCCATCCTCTTGAGGAAATGGAACTGCCAACCTATTCCATTGTTTCATCCCAATCTGGAGAAGGACTATCCAACAAGAGGATCAGAACTTCAGTTCGCTATACTTGCAATGGCGGGTCGCCTCAACGCACGAGGTCAAGAAGTTGATGATTGGTGCGAGGCAAATGCCCACCGTGCGAGAGAACTAGCGCTGGGGAGAGTACTCGCTGGAGATGTTAGGTTGAGTACGATACAAGCATTTGTCTTGTTATCGTTCTTGGACTTTACAAGTATGTGAACTGCTATGCTCAGTTGGACCTGTGGCTAATTTTGACAGACGACAATGGGCAACGATCACATCTCTTCCTTGTCAACGCCATCTCTCTCGCTCAAACTTCTGGCCTTCTCGACCCGCAAGTAGTCATCAACAACTCTGTCGAACTCGAGGAGAGGCGGCGTTGCTTTTGGAGCATCGCCATCATGGAAAATATGTTCAACCTTCAGACTCTGACGTTAGGTGCCAAAAGCATCACTTACCATGCTTCCTTCAAACCTGTCAGCCCGAACGCGACATCCAGAGGAGAGCTCGTGTCGCCATCTTCGCAGAACATTGTAGCAGACGGTCCGGTCCCCGGTATCATCATCAACACACTGCCAATGTTCGACATCTTCAAGAAGGCTGCCAAGTACGTCACCGACACAAAGAACGGCTTGCTCCCACATCCGCCATGGCAGCAGCAATCAGATTATGCCGCAATCCAAGCAGAGCTTCTAGAGCTGGAGTCCAACTTCTATCCGGAGTATCGTTTTGACAGGACAAAGATGACACAGCATTCGAAAGAGGCAATTGAGCAGAACTGGGCCTTCTGGAGCTGTTGGCTGGTCAATCAATTCATGTACCACACGATTCACATGCTGCTGAATCATCCGTTTCTCATCTCGCTACGCATTGCAGCAGCAGGAAGATGCCCAAGAACCTTCAGTCAGTCGTCATCTGATCAAGTAGTGGTACATTCGAACTGGATCATTCGTCTATTGGACCTACTCGAGGAGAAAGAAGTCAATGTTTCCGACCCATTTCTGGCTTACTGCATCTCTGTCGCCAATACAGTGTTCATTCACTACCGCAATGCAGAAATACAGAGTTTGCGACAGAACGCAGAAAAGGGGTTGTTCAAGGGTCGTCAAGAACTTGGAGAACTCTCATCACTGCTGAAGAATGTTGAACGCATGGTAAGCTGCAAAAGCTCTGTAGGAAATGAGCGAAATGAAACTGACATGAGTTAAAGAGAAAAGCGCTGGACAGGCTGGAAGCAATGGATACATCACGCCGTTCAACAAGTCCTCAACCCTCAGCCTCGGGTGGTAGTAAACAAGATCTCCTCTGGGATATTCTAATCTTCCACTCGCCAAGCCGTGCCATAGCCATCGGACAAGGACTCTTCAGCAAAGACTTTGCCGCACCCGCCACCGAAGCTGTAACAAGAGACAACACTTCGATGATCCGACCAACTCCTTCGACAGTACAGAATATCACTCCCGCAGATGGCTTCCAGAGTTCTATCGGCCCCTCGTTTGCGAGACCTCTACCTACACCCGCTGCTCCTACTGCTATGGCCGCAACACCTGGTCAACAACCTACTTTCATGCCTGGAGTTGCACAATTTCCTACTCCTGCTGATCCAAACTACATGGCTTTTAACGACCAGAATCTTGCTGCCATTACTGAGTTCTTGGATCAAAATTCTGGTAGAATGTTCAATGAATGGTGGGACTTTGGAGATCTGTAGAGTTTGTGTGGGATGTTGAGATTATGTACATTCTAGTTCGTGGTATCTTAGTTCTTGATCTGTGCTTGTTGAATAGCCGTTATGTGTATGAAAGAAGGGGATGAGAAGAGCATGAAAAAGCTTCAATCCAAAACCCATGCGTTGATGCAATTTTCCAATTGATCCAAAGAGTGCTTTTCTCATGTGAAATGCGGAAAGAGAAGCGGAAAAGAAATATGGCAGACACCAGAAGCAGCTGTCTTAAGGCTGGCTGGGCCAAATCTGGTCAGCAATACCTCTGACGAGCTGCAACTTCTTGCGCATATCCTCGTACTCGAGAGAGTTGCCCTCAGCGTGAGAAGCGAAACCACACTGCGGCGACACACCAACACGCTGCAGAGCCTCCTCTCTGGACTGACCATTACCCTCGGCAATGAAATCAGCAGCCTGATACACACGCTGCACCATCTTCTCCTTGTCCTCGAGCTCAGGGAACTTGCTAGTAACGACACCAAGAATGACATTTTTGTTCTTGGGCAGATGCTTCAAGGGCTCAAAGCCACCAGCACGAGCAGTGTCGTACTCGAGGTAATAAGTATCGACATTGAGATCCTTGAACAGCTTTGAGGCAATGTTGTCGTAAGCACCCTCGCTGAAATGACGGCTTCCCATGTAGTTTCCACGGCAGAGATGGATGCCCAAATGCATACCGGCAGGGCGCTCGAAACAGGCATTGTAGAACTTCACATAGGCGTCGAACATTTCGTCGGCGGTCTTGACGTTTCCCTTGTCTGCTGCCCAGCCGGTGAGCATGGCTTCGGAGCAGAAGTAGGCGAGGTTAGGGTCGTCGATTTGGATGTTGCGGATGCCGGCTTCGTGCAACAGTTTCAACTCTGTCTGATATGCCTTTGCGACATCGGCAAAGTACTCCTCATCATTTGCGTAGACTTCCTTGGGGTAAGCACGACCAGCACGGTAGCGGAAATGGTACCATGAAGGAGAAATAACAGTAATCTTAATGTTCTTCCACTCGGCTTCGGGGACATTGGCCTTCATGACTTCGAGCTCGCGGGCATTGCTGGAGTGGCCGGGATGCTGGATCTTGGCTACACAGACGGTTACGGCGTTGGGGATCTCCTTGGCTTCCAGGAAGGACTTTACATCTGGTGCGTAGTCGCGGAACATGGAGGCGTCGTAGCCCTTGAGGACGCCGAGTTGGCGGTCCTCCATGCCGTGAAGCTCTTCGAAGAAAGTACCCCAGAACATGTGTCTTTTGTCATCATGTTAGAACAATGTCGCAACATTTTCCGCGTCATTTTTCGTGGGTTGATAGCAACGACAAGATTGGAGAGAAAGTTGAAATGTGATGAGATGACGTAGGACAGACTTGAGAAGGAGCGCAAGCCATGAAACAATTGAAGCAAGAAAAGCACCCATACCTGGTGTACTCTCCACTCGAGACAGCGTGGAAACCACAATCCCTCTGAAGCTTGACAACCTCAGTGACAGACTTGTCCTCAATTGGCTTCAACTCATCAGCATCAGCCTTGCCAGCGGCAACAGCATAACGCTTCTGCACAAGCTCATCAGGACGAAGCAGCGAGCCAACATGCTCAGCTCTGAAAGGTGGGCTTCTCTTAGCAGCAGACATTTTTGTGTATTGTTGTTGATCGATGGTATAATGTCTCAACAGCAACAGAAGGGCGATGAGAAAGGGAGAGGGGAAATTTGTTTCGCCCTTTGGTACACTGCCCCGCCGCAATATAACTCCAAAGAGGTTCGAGACGGGTTGAGAGGGTAGTGACCCCACCAAGCCCCACGGCCGGCCTCGGGCAAGATTGGCGCGCTCACCGCCTGGCAGACCGCTGCGCTTGCTATCATTCCAACAAATGCCAACTTGAGCACATACGGCCTATTGGACGTCGTCGCTAGTTGACGTGTCGTCGAAGACCTAAGTCAGGATGATTGTTCGACTTTTTGGTCGCTAAAATCCTAGATCACGAAGTTTCGCTTTCGACGATGTGTTCAAGAGATGAGACAGTGAAAACCATCGAGAGGTTCTACTGGCAGCTGCAGAGACATCCTTACCTCGACGAACATGCACTCAAGATATCTCCAGCGGATGGCTGGATCTGTATCGATGGGGACAAGTCCAGAGAACTCGGAAAGAGCGACGCAGTTGTTGATCTACTGCGTCGACATCAATATGAGCAGCGACCTGGCTGTCACCTGCGCGATGTAAGTTATCGAGTGAGTAGCTATGGCCATCGCCAAGCCATTACATCTATATCACGACTGGTGACTCCAGATTTGGATCTCAGGTTTCACCGCGGACTCAGTCTAAGCTATCTTAGTGTCGTGGAAAGTGCCCTCCATCTTGTCCTCTATGAAAGGATCAAGGAGATTTCGTAAGGCAGTATTAACACACCTCGAGAAGTCCTAGATCGCCAACTACCGTCAAAATATAGGCCATAGTACCATGTTCTATCCTACCTTGGGGTTAACGGCTCCGCTGGCGTTGCCAAACTCATTGCTAGGGTAATCGCATATCCTCACGAAGTCAGTACGCGCATATTGCTTTTACGAACACTGGCCGACTCACAGGTGTTTTTATGTCAAGCTCCACTCCCTAGTGGAGAGCTCAGATATACGTCGCTGATCCAGTGCACCCGAACGATCTAGAGAGAAGAAGGGATTCTAGCATTGTACGGAGGAATTACACCTCACATATTTCGCGCTGTGCCTTCGGCTGCAATAACGCTTAGTGTATATGAGGCGGTCCTCCACTATCTTCGATAAAGGTAGCATTTCAGGGGTTACTGTCAGGCGTAGATTTCGAGCGGCCTCGTAAAGAAGTCGAAGTCGATCTTGTGATAGGTTGAAGCTGTTGAAAGCCTCACCCACCAAACAGCGCGATATATTTGCACAATCTTATCGAACAAGCACATACGGCCACAGTCAGCTGAAAACTGGGCATCCCGTCCGCTCTGCCATACATAAGCAGTTGAACGGCAGATTAGTACTACGGTGGGTGACCACGTGGGAATCCCTGCTGCTGTATGTTTTGATTTGTTTTGCTCTCCACGAAAACAACAGTGTCTCTAAACTTGGTTGTTTTCGTCACTTTATCTTCCAATTAATCGGCGCTTGCTCAGTCCTTACCGTACGATCAGCCAAGAATCATGGTCTAGGAAGTGATAATGATTCTTCCGCTCTACTGTTTGGCTGGCGCTTTACTCCCACGCTATTGGCGACAATCTGCGGAATCCTCGTAGCATCTATGCTTAACGATGTTCGTAGGACAGAGGTCTTATTGGCATGGCTAATAGAGGGCCAAGATATAGTTACTACGTGTGCTGCGCGAGTGACAGGGATCCCGGTGACGCTGCAATCGGTTATTAGAGTAATCAAGAATGGGTGGAGAGTTCTTATGACGGCTATTATGGAGATATGCAGATGACGATGACGGCGAAATTCATTGTGGGACAACCACTTGCGGAACTATACCAGCCAAATCCACCCGGAAACAACAATGACCCGCCCTTATTTATTTGGCCAGAACCACCCGCATTTCAGAATGGTCAACTGTACGCCATTCGTAGAACATACAAATGCGTCTGTCAAAGCAGATTTGCAAACCGGCTTTGTTCATAGCTACGAGATACTCGGACCACCACAAAACACGACTCAAGCCTGGAATCTGGAGGTCATAGATTTGAATACGAATGAAGCGGACAATGGCGAACAAGAGCATCTCATTCGAGACAGTCGATACAACGAGCGGAGTTAAGACCGATCGAGTTAATGATCTTGCATGCCATGCTGACTTGCTTTGTCGAGCTCTTTCCTCACGGTTTCAGCCAGTCTCCATTGTGTCCTCTGTCTTTCTGCACAACTTCGATTCTGATTGTTCTGCTTTTTGTGCGATGCATATATCTAAGAGCGAAATGGCTCTTTTTTGTTCTTTCACAAAAGACAAGAGTGTATCGTTCCACTGGCTTAAGAATCATTGATTCGTCAAGTCTGCCTTCTATCTACACTTCTTGATCATATGCAGGGTACCACTTATGCTCATGCGGAGAAGCTGGTTGAAAATGTGATCAATGCTGAGAAGGATCAGGATGATTCGATGGTCTACATATTTGAGATGTGGTGAATGTGGGTTACATCGAGGGGAGAAGTTGTCATGTAAATGTATTGGTAAGGAGCCCTTTGTATTTAAGGGCCATGTCTACTGGCTAGTGCTCGAAGACAGATAGATCTTTGGTCTTCACTATGGAACCCTGCATCATAGAGAGCCCATTTGTTCCTATTTGATTACGTCTTCCTGTGCCCCGGTCAACTTGCTTCCTGCTGCGGTTCGTTCAACAAATATTCGGAATTTTCGCACTCGTGTTTCCATTTGCAGACTCTGCTTCAACACCCTCGTCGAAGCCTCAAATGATAGACATCGTTTTCGGCGAACTGGATGGCGTTAAGACCTGCTCGAATCTTGTCGAAACTCGTCGCTTCAGAGTCGCCGCTGAAGATTGGACCTGACTTGGAGCTTCTGACGTCGCTCAAGAAGCAAGAGTTGGGTCTACCTTCTTGCATCCACATGACCTCTTTGAATGCCAGTGTATGGCTACTCATCCAGAAGAATGCATGGTGAAAGGTACAATCCCTCGTTTCAAGTCACCATGGTGGTCTCTTGAGGCAAGCGAATATTTGTTTCAAACCCGCAATAGTGACTCTACATTCGACGAGTATCAACGTTCTCGTACCCAATTGATACCTCAAGGCTCTTGCAATATCGCAAAGGTGGACCACTTGTTCGATGCCCGTGCATCTGGAACACGTCCTATTCTCAGTGATGCTCACCTCCAAAGTTGGTGCATGTTCTCGAGTTCGATCGATACTGGGAAAGTCAAGACGTAAGCTGTACTTTATGCCAGAGATGTCGGCGCGGCGAAGAAGGGTCAGTGTGCCAACCACATACTCCAGAACCAAGGGACATCTGGGCGGCAATTGTCGAGCGTCGAAAGCGAAGCACCGAACGAGAGCTTACAGCGGTATTGCGTTCATCATCAGTGCAATATCTCGTTCACTTTGTGGTAAGACGTGTAGATGTTTAGTGCCGGATGGTAGCAGAGGATACTAAGGTCAAAGCAGTGTCCATGGAGGGAGAGCTTGGTAAAGACATGTGCCAGAAGCTTTTCACACTTGTCCTGGTGGACTAACGGACCTTCTTTTGTCGAAGCCATACATTTCTTGACGTACGGACCAAAAGTGGGATGTGAGACGATGTGAATGAGTCGCTGAATACCAGAAAGAGAAGCTTCGAAGTATGTTTCTGTGATAAATGCCGCGATGAAATGTTTGTGAGTGATCAAGACCGGGTGTTTGCAGGTGAGGCGTATAGCGGGCAAATCTCCATCCGGTAGGAAGTCGGCAGTGCGCACAAGGAGTTCATTCGGTAGTCTGAGCAACATGAATACGATTGATGACGGATGGTGAGAGGCGGCAGAAGATGCAGAAGAAGCAAGGTGTGGGTGTGTGATGCGTCTAGATGATTGGGGATCGTATGGATGGTGTTGGAGTGTTGCTTGAGGATAAATGCGTCGGAGTTGGGATGATGACTCGGAGTGATGAATCGAGGCAACGAAAAGCTATAAATTTGGCGCTCAACTGCTTGACGTGAAAGTTGTGTCGCAACTCAATCGCAGAGGAAGGCAGGCGTGCTTGATCGATAAGAGTCTGACGCGCGAAGTGGGAGTAGACGCTCACTGAGCTGCTTGTATTTTTTTTTGGTGCGTGCGCAATCAAAAAAGAGACAAATGACACTCAGCTTGACGCTCTGCGCCCGCGATTGACGCGAAGCAGCTGTCACTTACTCGAACTCAACAGGAAGGATTTCACTACTTTCATGCGTTCACTTGATCACGAGCAGAGAAGTGCAATGCTGATGGCTCCTACCTTACACACTTGCACGTCAATCTGACACCTTCATCTTGCTATCTATACAGGTGCTACACCTACCTCAATAGTTACCCGACTTCAAAGCTTCCCAATGACTATATGGCATTGGACTTCCGACTCGATCAGAAAGTGAACGAAGTGCTCGAGTGAAAATGGTATTGAGGAAGGTTGGAGAAGGGGCCAGGGAACATCTCTTGGCGCTTTGTTGCATGACCCTGACTCGGTGCAAACACATAAAACAAGATCTCCAGGGTAAGTTTCATGATTTGACTCGTCCAAGCAACAGGCAGAACCCAGATGAGGGTCTGAGTAATATTAGCTAGTCCGAATCAGAAGTCATCTTGACACTTGCAGACAGTGCTGTACCGAATCAAGTAGACAACAGCTCGTTCGCCTCTGCATCAAGGATACATACCAGAGTCTAGCCGGATCCGTCGAGCCTCTTACCCATAAGCGTATCTCTCTGTACACAAAGCAGGTGCGTCGTCATCGTTATATCGTGAATGAAAACCTTGGCCGACGCATGTTTCCAGTGAGGGCATTGCCAGTGTCAATAAGCCGAGACAGGCCCACGATCTGTAAGACCTGACTGTAGAGACGACTGTAGTTCTTGGTCACTACGATTTTTATGTGGCCGAGGACTCAAGGCCTCGTCCTCCACGGATGACTTCTCGCTTGGGATGCGAATAAGGCTTCTGCCCAAAAATCTACCAAACAACTATGCATTCGCAATCGTGTTTGGGGTCGAGTTTCAACTGTGACTAAAACATAGACGATCACGGGCCGGCCAAGGAGATTCCTGTGCTTACAAATCTTGGCCATGTACGAGATGATTCGAGGTAACATCATGACAAGGCAAATAAGGTCATGTTCCTCAGTTGCTGCAGTCTGTAGCCCCACGAACACAGTACCGATTCTTTGTCCAAGCGTCCTTGTCCGTAGGGAGTCATGAGTTCAGTGTAACTCGATGTATGGATCGCAATCAATTCTTGGTCTGGTGCAGAACGGCGTCAAAGAGTCGTCGCTAGGCTCAACATCCGAAGAGACCACTTTATGTGGTCGAAGCAACCAGTGAATCGCGCTGATGAACCCCTGCACAGCATGTCCTGTGGATGGCGTATTACGCACGACTCGACAATGCAGACGCGTCGCTTCCCGAGCCAGAACACAAGAGGCTGTCACAGTCATGTCGTTCGCGGCGCCAGGTTCCCGGAGTCCGTTGAATTCCACGTGGACACAGGTCCGGCTGTAAAACAGGGCGTCAGACAATGAACCCATCTTACGAGGCGCTGGACGTGTCAATCGCAAGGCCGAAACAGCGGATCCGAAGCCTGTACTCCTCTACGCTTGCCAAGCACGGAGCATATTCGAACAGTCAAATACCTCAAAGATTGCGCTCGAGTCCAGAAACATCAATAATTTGGTGTAGCTTGATTATTGGCGGGACAAACGGTTTGGGACCTCAAGACTCGTCCGAACTGACCCATGAGGCATGTTTCAATGGCCGGTAATCTGCGCGCTCCGGATTGCATAGAGAGTGTTTGAACGAGCTTTACAATGCATTCCATAGATCTGACTTTCGTTGTGAAATTCGACGCAGGGATCTATGCGTCGAGTCGTACATTGTCGGTCGTTTCTCTCCAATCGACAGACATGAATGAGATACTAAGATGAAAGATTTACCGCCCACACATGACTCGCGTCCTCCTCGACAGGATTACTCAGCTGCTGGCCCCACACAATGGAAACAGACATCGACCAATCATTTGTCTGACTCTCATTTGGTTTTTGTGTCCATGATTCATTCCAAACTTCGAGACATGCCCTGACGTTCAACTATAGAACCCTTTCCATGCTCATGTCGCCAAATTCGTCGAAACGAAGAAAGGACATCGCGCTTGCAGTAGGACAAGCAGTTTTGCTTGTGGTGCTGCAGCTGTTGAGTGTAGGGATGCTTCGCCGGCCCTTTTCGTCCAGCATTCCGGGCGTACCTTCCCCATGCCACGTGGTGACGCTGGCTTCATTTATCTTAATTTGTTTTACTTTGCCAACGTCCCGGCAGATGGGAAGAGATCTGTTGAATCTGTCTCTTCAGACGACATGCCTTCGCTCACCAGAAGACGTCACAACTGACATATCACCCTAAAACATTGAGCCATCCCCTGCAACACAATCGGGACTCTACTGTTTGTGTACCGTCTGACAATGTAGATCACAGCGGGGACATGCCGACGGCGTGCAGCAGCGAGGCTGGCGGCACACCAGCCATGATTGCTGTCACGACTCGACGACAAAGTCATGTATGCTTACGTGCGCTACAATCATGCAAATAAACGGCGTCCGGAAATGGAACAGAAGTCCATATCAGACCTCTTTCGCGAACCTCTCTCTCGCCGAAAATTGCTCGCTTCGAGTCTGCTTTCACACTTTTTCACTGCAAGGCACACCTAAGCTTTTCTTGGATGTTTCTCCCTGGCTGAACCGTTATTCATAGCATGCCCTGCAGATAATAGTCCAGTACTTGGTGTAACGAGCAGATCCCCCAAGCTGATGTCGCCCCACGGCAGGCCCTTGCTTCACGAAGTCGGGTCACGTCTGACTGCTGAGTGCCCGCGGTAACACATGCTTGCAGGCCAATCACGTCTCGGAACAAACGACCTTGTGGTGCTATGACCTTGCCTATATCCGTTCTCATCTCAACCCCACGATGGGATCACCCGTAGCTGGCTGGTGCTACGGGCCTGTGCGATAACCTTAACCAAAAACCTCGACACGGCACCTCGATAACCTCCCCGAAAGCCCTCGACTAATAAAATGTAAGGCCACCTCATCCTGCAGATCCTTGCTTTTCGATCATCTCCTTCCGCCAAAACTATACATTGTCAATCGTCCCTGCTTTTCTCTTCTGCTTCTTTCCTCTTCGCCGCCGAAAGGCTCTGGTACTCGACTATCTAATTACACATAACTACAAGGATGAAGTTGCCGCCGACCGATATACTGGTCAATTGGCCAATACCGAATTATGAGGATCCCGAGACTCAAGGACTACCACTTATAGTCGTCGATGTGATCTTCATGGCTCTCATAAGCTTGGCCGTTCCCCTTCGTCTCTATGGTCGATACACAAATAAAGGACGCTTAGGCTGGGACGACTTCAATATGGCCATTGCATATGTAAGACTTACCTTTATTCTGATTGATGTATACCAAAAACTAATCATCGGGTAGCTTCTAGCTCTCGCGCTTGGCATTGTCGTCATCCTCGCCAATGTGAGATACCAATGGGATCGCCATCTATGGGACGTCGAGTTTACAATGTTCCAAGACGCATCCATCGTCGCTCTACTGACGAAAGTGTTTTTCACGCTTGCTGGCTCGTTTGCACGCGCGTCTCTCATTTGTTTCTACTTCCGCCTCATCAAAGACACTGGATACAGCTTGTTCAAATACATTCTCTGGGCAGCATTTGTGTACAATCTTGCCATTGGCATTGCGTTCCTCATTCTTGCAATCTTTCTTTGCTCGTAAGTTTGCGCTTTGCACCAACTCGACATACTCTAACAATTTCATAGGCCCGTCGAGTCTTACTGGGTATTCCCAATGATGGACAATGCCAAATGCTTGGATGAAGGCCCTGTGACTTTGGTTGCTGGCGTGCTCAATTGCATCTCGGACTTGACGGTCACTCTACTACCGATTCCTATCATCATGGGACTTAATATGCCTTTCAAGCAAAGACTTGGAGTAGTGAGCTTGCTGTCTATGGGTCTTGTTGTTACCGTTGCAGGTGTCGTACGCACCTACTACATCTGGAGAACATTGATGGCCACTTATGACGAGACCTGGGATTCGATGCCGCTTTTCATCTGCGCAATAGTGGAAATTGACCTGGCAATTCTCTGTGGATGCGCTCCAGCACTGAAGCCTCTTTTTGCTCCCATGATCTCTCATGTCTCTGAGATGATCAGCACTGTGACCGGAAGTGGCAGCAACTCAACTCGTGGTACCAGACTCCAGGACACCACAATCACCCGATCTACTGTGATCTCCCAGCACAATCGCAAGAAGTCCAATAGAGAGGAAGAAGGCGACAAGATCCCAATGCACTTCGTCACCGTTGATGGCCGTGTAAGCGACGACAGCGATGAGTCAAGCGACCATTACCACGCCACCAGCATGCCTGCTTCACACTCTTCTACCCCGTCAAGAGGGCCACGACGATCTGGCTCGCGCGCATCAAGCCAACGTACCATGTTACCGCACCGTGAAGGCAGCACAACGAGCTGGGACGCCGAAGGAGGCGCCGAGAATGAAGATCACGTCCCTGAGATCCAGGTCTTACCTCGTAGACATGGAGCAGAGCCCGATGTGGAAAGAGGCAACTACAACACAGACTGGCGCGTAAGCAAAGGCGTCAAGGCCGGTTGGATCTGAGATTCGCTCGTCACATCGTAATTACATCTAATCACGGGTTGGGAAGATAGACCTGCTGGATGGGCTATCTTTTCTTCTCTCTCACGACTGTCACGAACTTGCATATATCCCTACCACAAGCATTTTGAGGAGCAACCAAAAGGAAAGCACGTCATCAGAAATCGCAACGGTACACCTAATGTAGATAAACAGCATGCATGCATCAAAAGATCTCGATTTTCATATTTTCCGTTCTCCCTCTGATCCTGAAATGCAATCGATGAACGATGTAAGACATTTGAAATACCTGTATTCAACACTCGCACGTAACAAGCCTCTGCGAGTGACGAAATCTCGCAGTCGGAGCGAGAAGAAGTCCACGTAGACGAGCCCACCTGTCAATTCATCACCACAACTCCCGTCCAAACCATACCACCGTTTCCACTTGCCTCTTTTTGCAAAGGAGAATACGTCGACGTTTGAGCCTTTCGCCGTTTGGGTTCCAGAATGAGTTCAATCCACTTTCTTCGGTTCATGAGAAAAGACTAATACCGTTAGAAGGCTACACATGACTCGAGGTGTAGGGGCTCGCTCCGCCGTGTACCGCGCTAGAGCTCAGCCAGGAGTGGTCCGGGTATAGGAAGATGGAAGACGGCAAATGATCGGTGTAGATGAAATAGGAAGGTGCGATCGCAATTACTCTGCTCTGTTGATTGTTGAAATCGGTATCGCGTTCCAGCCAAAGTGGAAGACGCACAATCAAGTGGCGGAGCTTGTATCATCGAAGCAACATTCTTGGTATCAAGTTCGTAGTAAAATCGCATGACAGACGACGCACTTTGACTATGAGAAGCTGGTTTTGACCGGCTGAAGTAGGGTTTGTTTCAATCAATCGATCTTCGCGGTGCCATTTTGCGTGATTCAGTACAGCTTGCGATCTTTCTGCTGCTTGGTGATGTTAAGAATATCCTGTTACAGCAACTACCAGAGCGGTCGCAAGAGCAGGTTCCGTAACCTTGTCGACTGTCGAATAATGTATTCTGTGCATGCAGGGATATTTGGTTTGAGGAGCATCTCCAAGAGTGGACGCGTTATGATCGAGGACGATGAAAAGGCCCTGCCCCTGGGCTTACCTGTCTAGAGTATATCAATACTGTACGTGATTCGTGCCATGTCGTGGCTTTGATGCATATCATCAATAATGATGCCAATGCATTTCAACAGCCTGATAGAGACTGTCGGTCGAGTCTGCAGACAAGTGTGCTGTTTTTCCCGGGCGCTTTCGTGAAGTTAGTGGAAGCGCCTCACGACTGCTGCAACTATGCCACCCGGATACGATATCACAATACAATATGCGGCGAATGCGGAGTATCGTGACATTGCACATCAAGAAAGACAAGTGCTGGCCAAACCTGCCAGCCTGATCTTGAACGACGCCCTTGGCATCATTATGATCACATCTCAGCTCAGCCAAGATGATGGCCATATATGTTGACCAACAACTGAGCTTCTCGACTGGCTTCTAGCCGTCCCAGCAACGCCTGAAAGAGCTCGACCCAGGATTCATCTGGCAGCTGCGTCGAGACAGAGATCGAATTGGCCATAGAGCAGTCCTCGTACGTCATGGAATGCGGTGGCCTGAAGAATGGCAGTCGCATTTGTGTTCATGCTCATTCGGAGGAGCCGCATAACATGACTCGTAATGAAGAAGCAGTACAGTACTACGTCAGTGACCCGCAGCTCCTTGCTAGGGCCGAGCCTCAACATAGATAATCGACGTCTTCTCCAAAACCTCCTCAAAAATCATCTTGCTGGCAAGACACGGAGCTCAAAATACGAACGACAAGACGCATATTAGATATGACTGACTCAATGACTCGCCTGCGAATTGGCATAATCGGTGCTGGAGAAGGTTAGTATGCAACGGATGTGCATGACATCAAGCATGCGTGCTAGTACTGAGCTGATATCAAACATCAGTAACTCAAATCATCCATCTACCTACCTTGTGCCAACTCTCGCACCTTTACAAGTTCACAGCGATCTGTGATTTATCCAGAAAGGTTTGCCAATTCCATGGCAAGACCATCCCGCATGTTGGCTGACCAGTATGATTGCAGAATGCAGAACATTGCGCAGCAAAGTATCACATCCCGAAGGTCACCACAGATCCTCAGGAGATCATCAACAGCCCGGATGTGGATATTGTCTTCATCTCAGTCTCGGACGAGTTCCACGAGCCATACGCTATTGCAGCACTCGAAGCACAGAAGAATGTGTTCATTGAGAAGCCAATCACCCTTTCGATGCAATCTGCTCAGCGCATCATTGATGCTGAGAAGAAGTCGAAGGGTCGCGTATGGGTAGGATATATGAGACGCCACAGTCGCACCTTCACAGACGCTTTCAAGCGTGAGCTCGAATCCATCCCGAAGATCCTTTATGCTAGATCTCGCGACTTCTCAGGACGTGAGTCTTGATGCTTTTGCTCTTGCCCTACCAAAAAGGCGATGCTGACAAATCTACAGCAAATGGCAAATTTACCTCGCAATCAGGCACTTTCCCTGTTAAGAACACAGATTTCCCACGCTCAGCAGGGGCTGAGCGAAACAAGAGAGTGGATGCCCTTCTCAAAGAAGCGTTTGGCGGCGAGCCGACTCCCGAACAGGTCAAATATGCCCGCTTCTTGGGTAGTCTAGGAAGCCACGACCTATCTCTCATGAGAGAAGCTCTTGGCTTCCCCGAAGACGTCACTGCCGTCACCGTCAACGAGCCTTTCTACACCGCAACATTCAAGTGCCGTAACAAGTCAGGCGACCCCTTCTTCGTAACCTATGAATCAGGCATCGACGGTGTGCCGGAGTTTGATGCTCATCTCGCTGTATATGGCGAAAACAAGCGTGTTACGATCTTCTACGATTCTCCATACATCAAGACACAAAAGCCCGTCATGGTTAGAGTGCAAGAAGTCAATGATGCTGGTGAGGTACAGACTAGAGAGATCATCAGCTCTTTTGAAGATGCGTTTGCTACCGAGTTTCAGGATATGCATGATTGCTTGGTCAATGGCAAGGAGATCAAGACGAGTGCGGAGGATGCCATCAATGAGCTCAAGTTGTATGATCTGATGTATGCCAAGTATGCTGAGACCAGCAAATAAGGATAGCATAATGTTCACTCTTCATTGTCCTTTTCCTTGACCTTCTCCTCGATCTTCTCCTTTCCCTTGCCCTTTGCAGAGAACACGAGCTCTTCATGCTTTTTTTCCCTCCACCTTGACTTCCTCATCAAACGAGAATGAAGGTAATTCCTTACTCATCTTTCTCATATTCTCCAATCCATCATCCTCTGCCTCTTCCTCTCTGTCTCCCCATCTTCTCTTCTTGCGTGCTTCTGTGCTTCTCTGATGCTTGTCACGGGCTCTTTGGATACCAGGGTGGGGACGCTGGAGAGGCTGGAGACCGGCATTGCGTTCGAGTTGCTTGCGGTGGGTTTCGCGGTCTCCGATGTTGAAGACTTTTTGGTAGAGGGTCGTTTGAGCGGCGGCATAGACTTTGTCGTCTGAAATAAGGGGTTAGTCGAGAGAAGATGACAGGGTCATGCTCCCCGTGCTTTTGGAGAGTGATTTCGGTGGTGGGAGGTGCTGTAGGACAGGGGCTGTGCAAATGCAGGATGATTTTGAGAGTTGATGAGGATGGTAAGGAAGAGAGCTCATTTGACGGTCTCTCGGTGAACAGCTTTGAGGATCTGAAAAATGATTCTGCCTTTTTACAGCCCCTTGATTGAGTAGACGCTGGTGCTGAGAGAAAAAGTCCGATGTGCCGCTATTTGAAGTGCATGAAGAAAGTGAAGAAAAATCGCTTACCCATGTCGCCATCCTTCAAATTCACAACACCCGTCTTTGTGACGCCGTCACGAAACTTGCCATCTGCGTAACCCTGCATGAGCTTGACAAGCTCAGCAGCATCGATGGGCCACTTCGACAAGCAGGTCCAGATTGCCCATCGCTCGGGTGTGGGATCGCCAGAGTCCTTTCTTCTCCAGTGATCGTGCAGGAGGTTGATGACTTTTACACACTCGTTTAGAAACGAGGGAAGGAAGGCTGATGGTTGTGATTTTAGCCACTCCTTGACGATGAGGGAGTCAGAGGGGTTGCACCAGAGTATCGAGTCGGTGAAGAGGTATGTAAAGGGCTGTTGTCGAGTTGATGAGGTTGATGCCATGATTGCGATTTTGTAATGATCAAGATTGGTTTTTTAATATTTGTGGTATATGAATGGGACTTGCGCGGCAATGAATAAGAAAACTTTTACTGCGATTTTTGGAAGGCGACGGACGCAATGAATTGGAAGCGAATATTGTTGATGAATGTCTATTGTTGTGTTGTCGACAAATCAATGGGTCCTATTCGCGATACCATCCTGTGCCTAGATCATATTCTTCGCACAGCATGAATGGAATATGGTCTGCTGTAGTGTGAGTTCTCTTTGTTAGCTAAATAGATGAATGGTAGTGTTGCCAGTGTCTATAACATGTCTCAGACATTCTCGACGCAGGCAATGCAAAAAGAGCAGCAGCAAGCCACGAATCGAATCCAGAATCTCCTACCCAGCACAACAACACCAGAACTCTTACCTTACCTCTCACAACAAAAGATACACCTCCACCTGCCAATTGATCTGTCTCTACAAGGTGCAAAAAGATTGTTTAGAAGACTCATTGGCGCCAGTAGTCCTAATCGGGTTATTGGCAGCTCCAAGAGCACTCCTGAGTGGTCTCCCTATCACCCGCCGCTGGCGCCAGTCGTCCTAATCGGGTCCTTGGCAGCTCCAGAGCGTGTAATATAAAGGTGGCTTGCCGCTTGCGCTAATCAACCATTTTTTCCTTACGATAAGCTGCCAATGAAGGTGGTATATAATCCTTGGGCTCAACTTCAAAAGTCTTGGCATTTACTCGCGCGAGTCTGTCAATGGCTGTGTTCGTCGCCCCTCTACCATCGCTGGTTGGAACTGTACAAGAGGCCAGCATACCTTTGCTTATCCTTTGTTGTTGCCGTGTCTTGTTGATCTTGAGATCCTCGTCTGAGCCGAAGCACTATGGCTATTCATGCCTCCAGGTCTTGTCGCAGGCTTGTCGAATTGGTATGGCATCTTCGATCGTCGAGCATTGATGGTTACGAGCAATTTCCCAGGCTCCCAGTGGTCTAGTTTGAGTTCTCAGTGTATCCTAGAGCTACAGTAAGTAGTAGACCAGTCTGACACTGCCATCTTTGCAGGGGCTATACCAGACTCCAGTGTCATGATCCAATCGCACATCCAAGAAGGGAATCCCACAATCACCGTTCGGCCAGAGTGTTCGTCCAGGAGTAAGATGACATGTCAGTCTCAGTCCAAGTAGAGTAGCAAAGGATATCCCTCCTTCCTGGTAAAATCAGTCTCCTATACCCTGGAAGCCACCAATCCAGCTCTGCTCCCCAAGACCCTATGCCGTCAGTCACAAACGTGAAGACCAGTCGTCAGTGCTTTGAGCCATCTTAGTCAACACAATCACCCCAGCCGTTCAATCCCCTGCATCTATCATCAAACTCGTAATCAAGTATGCCATCAACAAGGAATGAAAACGATTCAAGAAGTGTAGTCAAAAATATCCCCCTCCCAAACGCCTCCCCACATCCGTGCACCTCCGACATCCAAATAGAACTGCTAGCAGCAAAACAACCAATGGAAAAATAACAAAGCTTTTTTTTTTCTTCTTCCAGAAGAGAGCCTAAGGTAGGCGTATCGATCATACCGGAGGATCCAAGGTTCTTCCCCCCTGACCCAAGGTGCAAAAAAATTGATTACTTTACTCTTTACCCTTTTTTTTTCTTGACAGCTCTGGGATCACGCCTGGCTGGTCATCAGAATTGGAAAAGCAGACTAGTGAGGTTGGGAAGAATGCAACGTTCAATTACAGTCAAAGTGTGCTGCTTCTCGCAGTAGTCGATCAAATCACATGGTACATGCGGCTCACAAACACCCATCAAGGTCATTCCACTACGCAGAATCTTGGACCGGGAAGAAAGCGCATTCTATTCCTCGATCTGTGTGTAACTTTTGACTTGGGGCTTTGGCGGAGTATGAATCTTTTGGCAGTGAGGCTGCTGGTGTAAAGAAGAACGGACGGTACAAGAGAAATAAACACAATCGCTGCAGATTCCAGAGAAATGCCAGGGTCTACTTTCGTATCATCCGCCAGTACGGGTATGGTGTGTGTGTGATTTGTGTGGTGTGTCTGTTTTTTCATTGATGGAAGAAAGCAAAAAAACCATGTTCCTTCTCCCAAAGAGTCATTAAGTCAATGTCAGCCATGGACGCGCGCAGATGGCGGCTTGCCCCTATAATCCGCCGCGAATACATTTCCTCCGCGAGTTCATTTCTGATGACGAGAGGGCGCGCCGCTGGGTATTTGAAAACGATCTGGTAATTCGATTATTGATAAAGGCGAATCCCGTTTGCTTGATGGCGAAATCGCTTAGAGGTCGGCATCATCCTCATCGGGGAGGGGCATCTGGGCGGCGTTCTCCATCTCGAGCTGGTATTGCTTGAGAACGGCCTCGTCGACCTGGACCTCTGGGGGAGCAAGGGCGGGAGCGGCGACAAAGTCCTGGAAAATCAGTTAGCGACACGCGACAGGTGGAGAGTAGTCGAGACAAGACATACGAGACTCTGGTTGCCGACAAGCTTTCTTGCGAGCCACAGGAAGGGCTTCTCGAAGTTGTAGTTGGACTTGGCCGAGATGTCGTAGTACTGGAGGTTCTTCTTGCGGTGGAAGGTGATGGTCTTGGCCTTGACCTTGCGCTCCTTGACATCAACCTTGTTACCGGTGAGAACGATGGGAATGTTCTCGCAGACACGGACAAGGTCACCTACAGGCGGGGCGTGTTAGTGGGGCTGGCAAAGTCGCGCAAGCGCAAAAGGCGGGGCTGGGTGGTTGGGGAGAGCTTACGGTGCCAGTTGGGGACGTTCTTGTAGGTGATGCGCGAGGTGACATCGAACATGATGATACCGCACTGTCCGTTGATGTAGTAACCGTCACGGAGACCACCGAACTTCTCCTGACCTGCGGTGTCCCAAACATCGAACTGGATCTGGCCGAGGTTCTGCAATCACGGGCGTTAGTCGAGGGCGCTTCTCATCGAGCGGTGGGGGAGAGAGATCGTACGGTGGTGAAACCAAGAGGGTGAACTTCGACACCGAGAGTGGCGATGTACTTCTTCTCGAACTCTCCAGTCAAGTGACGCTTGACGAAAGTGGTCTGTTTCACGTTATCCAGTCAGTTGAGGCGCTCCTGAGAGAGTTGGAAGCTGCGAGACGATGCGCCAGTCCAAGGACAATGCGAGATCGTGACGAGGAGATGAACGTGCCTTGCCGGTACCGCCGTCGCCGACGAGGACGAGCTTGAAGGTGGGAACTTCAGCCATTGTTGTGAATGTCGGTTTATTGTGAAGTAAAGCGACAACTGCAGGATCAGAGTTAGATTTTGACAAAGACCAGATTGATGGAAGCTAGCGGCGAGACTGACAGGTTGGGTTGGTGCGGGAGATGGACAAGAGGATGTTGTTGGCGAAGGAGAGCGTCAAGAGTGTTTTTCGAGAAGGGCCGTGCACGGCCTTCCTGCCTTCTCACAAGTGAAGCTTGGCATCGGATTTCCTTCGTTGGGTCGCGGCTTCCCAGACAACACAACAAACACATCGATCACACTTCATCGACACGCACCGATTTAGCCCTTCTTTCACACCGGCTCGCTTGTCTTGCCTGCTTTGTGTCTATAACATCACCCAGCCCATACTTTCACCACCGCATGCTGTCTTGCTTACATATTCTCAAAATCCTGATAGGCAGATACTGCACTGTGATGCCAGTGTTGTGATGTTGTAGAAAAGTGTGCACGGTTCGATTTCTAAGCATTAGGCTGTAATGCCGGATTTATGCCAGCCTATACCGTTTTTCTTGAATCGAACTCAACGCTATGGAATGCTATTGTATGCTCCTGCTGCTCTATCGTCTTGCTGCCCAACTGCCGTCGCTGCTGCATGAGTTTGGTAAAGGCTGTCGGCAGCTGCTTTGTAACGATGCGACATGCCGCTGTCTTGGTGTGCTTGGGTATCATTGTTGTTAGTTTGCAGCACCATGTCTCCGAAGGTCTCTCGATTTTGAGCTGCAGCCTGTTGGTGCCTGTCGTGACTCACAGAGGCAAAAGATGGCAGCCCAACATGCCTCTGCCGCCCCAATTGTGTCGTGGCGTGAGCTGCATGTCCAGCCTTTGTTCAGCAGCACCTGTCGCAGCAGGTCTGATAACCTTGACCGTGACAGCAATGCCCTCGCTCCGCTGCACAGTCTGTGCCACTCTGCTCAACTTGTCATGGTTCATCCAATCCACATCTCCGAATCTTGTAATCTTATCACCGGGCTTAAGGCCAGCCGTTGCAGCTGGTGATGATGCGACTACGCTGTTGACTTTGGCAAAGGGTGCTTCTAGTGCGACGCGTGAGGCTCGTGCTGTCTCTGCTGATTGGACGGATGATGAAGTAGATGCGACTGGTGCTGGTGCTGGTGCTGGTGCTGGGGATGGAGCTGCGGCAGCATTCTCCCAGTGCTCGTGCATGGCCTTCTCGATGCGTGCCATCAAATCTTTGTAGTCGTTCTTCAGAGGGATGATGCGGGCGCGGGTTGTGCGGATTTGAGCAATGTCGAGGTCGGGACGAGGGTAGCCGTCAAAGGTGACGAGCGAGGTGCTCATGTTGACTCCATGCTGTAGGTGCAGACGTCAGTCCACATGCATGATTTGTGATGGCAAGGCAAGTCTTACGCTGTCCAGGACTGAGCCTAGGGCTGACAACTCGCTCCAGACGCGGTCCTTCTCAGCAATGAGCTGTTGTATCGATAGCTTCTCTCTTCCTGCTCCGTCTGCCCGAGCACTGGTCGGACCGGATGCCACTGTCGGCGCGTGTATATTGTCCATTCTGAGACCCATCGATGTTATGGTGATGGCTTCTGATGATATAGCACCGAAGTTTGTTTGTTCGGTGGTGGGGCAAAGTTGAGAGTGTGGAGAGAAGCATTTTGCCCCTCACTTGTCAAGAGCTTGGGCCAGTCTAGGTATTCTAACTCATGCCAAATATCCTGCCCAGTCCTCTCATAAATCTCACTTCATCGGCTTGACTCTGTAATGCTCGTCCAAGTGTCTCCCGGTACTGCTTCTCGGCGTCCCTTCTGGCCCTTTCCTCGGTCGTCTCGATCACAGCCTCATCTTCCTCTCTCGTGTACAGCGTGTCGTAACCAAATCCTAACACTCCTAGGCGGCCGTCGCCTGTCTTGAGCACTAAATCCGACTGGTTCGTATCGACCCTTTTGTTCGACCACGATCCTGCCGAGGCTTGGAGAGGTATGATCTTCTGCACAATGTCTCCTTGTGAAGACTCATCCTCTGGCCTTTGAGCTGTGCTTTGTGCCTGGTTGAATGATAGTGGTTCAACCGATTCGTTGATGTTATATGCCCGTATCGTCGTCATGCCGTCTCGCTCAATCCACTTCAAATTGCCATCTCCATCACTGAACACTGTAGAGTATCCATGTGCTGCCACTGACAGCAGTCGTGTCGAGGCAGCTGTCTGTCTGTTTCGATAGCTCTCCGTGACCACAGAGCCGGAGCTTGAGGGAGCAATTCCGTAGAACTCCAAACTCCCTTTACCTTTGTACTCGCCTGCCGCTAGTATGGTCGATCCAGGGGCAGTCCTCGCGGCCAATAGGTCCGAGACTGCTATCGTGGGATCCTGGAGTAGGTCCAGAGAACGTGGAACATATGGTCGAGCGACTTCAGTAATACAGCTTATGCGGCCTCCAGAATGTACTGTGCCGCGCACTTTCGGGAAGCAGCGACGATCGAAATTTAACATATGAGTAAACCTGCCAGCCACCCAGATAGACTCATCTTGCACTCGATCCAGAATGGACAGAGGTCCTGGTTGTGAAAGAGAAGCATGACTTGATGCAGGCCCGCCGATAATCTCACACTGTAAAGAGGGGTTGACAGCCGATCTCGACTTGTTCCGAGGATCGTGGATATGAATGGTCCAATTGGTGCCCACTACCAGGCCAGAAGCACGAGACTGAGATAATGCAGCAATAGGAAATGGGAAGGTCTCTTCTGACACGACTTGGAGCGTGGCAAGATCGACCTCGACAAGAGTGCTGTTCTGAGCAAAGTAACCTTTTCCTCGATCATTGTCAATGCTCACAGACTCTACTGTACCTGTCTCTGTCATTATTCTCTTGATCTCCTCGCGAGCCTGGTTTTTGCGAGGTCCGCCAGTAAGAAGGCCAGGTAAACTCCTACCAACAATCTTGCCTTGCGATGATCTTGAGTCTAAGTACCTGGGTCGTACATCCCATACACAGACACTTCCGTCGTCTAATGATGCAGCAAGGTGTTTGGGATTGTTGTCAGAATCTTGTACCAACCCAAGTCCAGTGGCTTCCAGAGATTCATCACCGGGTATAGTGAACCAGCCGATATTTATGGGAGCATGTCGATGGATATACTCGTCGTAGAATGTGACACTGTCATGCACGTAAGAAGGATCCCAGTTTGCTAGAGCACGCTGTGTTTCTGCAGCAGCGGATAACTTCGCTTCAGGGACCTGGCCAGAGGGCTGTGGCGGCTGTCCAGAGAGTTGATTGAATGCAGATCTCAGTGATTGGAGCTGAGTATTTGTGGGATCCACTCGTAGACGTCTACGCCTTGATTCTGCTCGTGAAGCATCGAAGCACTCTAATTTCCAAATGTTGTCGTCTCGAGACAAATCGAGGAAGCGTCGAGACAGGTACTGGCAATTGACAAGATCATGCACATCCAAGACTAGAAAGACATCAGTGACTTATCTTGAGAGCTATGGCGTCATTCATGATTACATGACAGGACTTGCAGTACTATTTCGTCCGGTATATTGTCCATAGCAGCGGATAGTTATGTATGACTTTTGATTTGACCTTCTAGTAATTGTCGAAACAAGACTGCGGCGGCGACTAGAAATAGATAGTCATGTCAACAATATGGTAAGAGTGGCTGCCGCAAGAGAGCGAGGCTGATACGCGTCAGCGGGGTGAAACAGAAGGCGGGCCGGGTCTTGTCGATCAGCGCAACGGGCCCGAGTCATAGGCAGACGGAGCACAAGAAAGTTGATAGCAACTCAAGACTTTGTTTCCACAACCAAGACACGAAATCCAAGCACAATGTCGGACCAAAAGAATCCTCTCGAGCCGCCGCCGGCCTACGACGCCGATTCAGAACACACGCCTCTCGTCGCCGGCGCACCCGCTCCTGTCCGCCAGCAGATCTCTCGCGCCCCTCTGCCCCTTGAGCTTCCCGCACTACAGGCCATTCGTGGCAAGAGAGTAATCCTAGCCTCGGCTTCGCCACGACGAAAGCAGCTCCTCAACCAGATCGGTCTGCGCGACATTGAGGTCATTCCGTGCACAGCTCCCGAGGACTTTAGCAAGACGCTCGCCCCCTTTGAATATGTCTTGCAGACAGCAGAGCAGAAATGCTCAATCATCTACCGTCAAGAGATTGACTCGGAAAAGGGCGAGCCTGCACTTGTCATTGCCGCCGACACGGTCGTCGTGAGCCCCATGGGCGACATCTTAGAGAAGCCAAGGAGCGAGAGAGAGCACATTTCAGTCCTGAAGGCATTAAGGAACAGCGGCTGGCACAAGGTCTACACAGCCGTCGTGTGTATGGCTCCATTGGAAAGCGCCATGGACCCGGGCTATGCTTTGAAGAGACACGTCGAGGAGACCAATGTCAGATTCGACCCTGCAGGTACGTCTAGACCCTTGAGCTCTCATGCACATGATACTGATTACGTCTACAGTGTCCGACGAACTCATCCTCGCATACGTCAAGACTCGCGAAGGCGCAGACAAGGCTGGTGGCTACGGAATTCAAGGTATGGGCGCCATCTTGGTCGAGAAGATCGATGGTTCATACGACAACGTCGTCGGCCTACCACTCAACGCAACAATGAAGCTCATCGGCCAAGTCTTGAACCCCGAGATTCAAGGCGAGGACGAGGACGAAGAAGAAGAGTAGATACAACAAGACTTCATACAAAACTTGCTCAATCGCCGCTTCCACTTCACACTCCGCGAGAAATTTTCATCCCATCTCAGAGTCATACACTGTAGCGTATAAATGCTGGAGTTCGGTCGAACTTGGATCTTTCTCTTCTGTTTCTACACTTCTCGCCAAAAGATTCAGGACAACGCATCGAGAATGAAACTCACTCCGGTCTTCCTCGCATCTCTCGCCAGTCTCAGCACTGTGCAGGCCACCAGCTTTGTCACTGTTAATAGAGTGACAACCAAAGACGTTGTTGTACCTCCGGCAATCGACCAACAACATACAACCTCTGTCGCCCACCTCGACGCGCGAAGTGAGTTCAGAGACGATCACTTCTTCGAGGAGCAAGACCTAAGAGACGAAACATACACCCTATGTAATGGTGGTCTTGACTGGTGTCTCGTCGGCGAAGAAACCCTCGCACCCGATACACCCGATGCATTTGATGCACCCGATACACGCCTTACCTCTTACTACATCACCTCGCCTTACACATCTCTCATCGTCTCCACCATAGGCGTCGACGGTCCGAACATTCATAATCAACCGGACAAAACTACCGTGGTCAGAGTCACAAGTTTCTTGAACGTAGCACCCACCGCTCCGTCTAGACCACCACCACCACCACCACCTGAACCTGAACCGATCCGACCGAGAAGAGGATGTCCGTCTCACATCTGTGATATCATGCCCTATCCTGACCACCTGTGCTTGAATGAGAAGTGGTCGAGGAATCATCCATTGGTGATCGAGGGCATCACCTATCCGAATGCTTACAGAACGGCTGGTTCTGATCAATGTGCCGGTTAGGGCGCTTAGGGCGCTTCAAAGAGATCTAAGGGAGGGGAAATGTTATGCAGCGATATTTGTAGTTTGTATACAAGACTTCGATCAAATTCCAGCTGCTCTTTGTATCTCTGCATCTATTGGCCTTCAACCTTTGGTGCTGCGAGTTTGTCTATCAATTCCTTGTTCTCTTCCCAGTCGGGGCGAGGGATCTCGAAGCCTTCTGTGATGCGCGAATATGTGATGCCTCCGAGTCTGGCGACAGGCTTGAGGATCTGTAAAAAAAAACATGGTTAGCTTCGAGTCATTCCTCCAAAAATAGAGCAGAGAAAAACTTACAGAAGGATCAATCAGATTCTTATCCTCGTTGATAGCGTCCTCTCTCGCCCAGAATCTGACACCCTCGACCACAGCCAAAACACCAGTCTTCTTTCCAGGAGTAGCCTTACTCTCAAACTCTTGCGTGTTCATCAGCTTGCACTCTGCAGAGAAGATGGCTTCTTTGACACGACTGGCCTTGACCTCTGAGCAAGGAGCCGGTGTCAATCCACTCAACGCCCACTCCGAAACACCATACGGAGCGTTGATAGAAGTACTATTCGCAGCCTCGATGAAATGCTCAGAAATCATGTTGATGACGCACTCCCCAGTCTCTCTCAAATTCTTCAATGAGTCCTTTGCATTATCATAGCCACCCGCATAACCAATGATGAAAACAGGAGGATCATGATTGACCACCTGAGTATAAGAGAACGGAGCCAAGTTTGTGCTACTCCCATCTTTACTTCTCGTGCTCACGAAACCCACGGGTCTGGGGATGATGGCGGAGATGAGGAGTTTGTAGTTTGACACTGCGGGACGACCTTCTGCGTATGGGTCGATTTCGACGTGCTCTTTCTTGAGGCATTCGCCGTTGTCGTTGGCGCCGTCGCCGAGCTTCCAGTCTGGGTTGCGGATCTTGGTGTAGTGCCATTTGTTGTCTTCGGGCCAGTCTGGACGGGAGGCTTCTACGGATTTGAAGTCGGGGTGGGGGTTGCGTTTGACGGCTTTTTCGTTGTCATAGCGGGAGTGTTGCATTTCTCCTGCCGTTGGGTTGTTTTGGTGCTGTTCCTTGTCTGAGCTCATCTTGGCGGTGAATTGTTGGTATATGTGTGAGAGGAAAAGGGAGTGGAGCTGTTGTTAGACGGTGCAATTGAGATGCTTCTGGGTGACCGGAGAGCCGTAATTGTATTGATTAGAAATGTTGCTTAACTTCTGTCGTCATGGAATCGCCCTCGGCTAGAAGAGCGGCAGCGGACCTCATGGCGGAAGCTTTCCGCTTTTGCTAACAACCACACCAAGAGCTGTCTCTCTCCAAGCCGTATACCACAGCAATCTCATCGAGTCATCGGCTTCTCAATAATACATCTGACGACAGCACATATCCACTGAAGCAGGATTGTTAGAGGAACCAACATTCCTTCTTCGTTCATCAATTCGAGTGCCCATGCCATGATGACCAGCTATGATTGCAGCGTGAGCGAATTGTGACGCGCGACCTCATCAAAGCTTCTGAGAGGTCCAAGTGTGAGCAATAGGTAGGTAGCTAAGATAGTCACAAGGGCGAAACAGAGCCTCCTTGTCAAACAATCATCTATTCGCTCAACTAGTATCTACGATCGGTATAGTCGAGAGCGGCAGTCGTCCAGATGATGAAGTCTTTCGCCAGCGAATGGGGTGAATACGGTATCCGTGTCAATGCCATCACCAGGTTATACCCAAACCGCTGCAAGCGAAGGTGAAGAAATGGAAGAGCTGAGCAAAGATTGGGTCAAAGATATTCCGTTGCACAGAATTGCCAAGCCTGAAGAGTTTAGAGGTACGGCTATGTACATGGCGAGTGATGCCAGTAGCTACTTGACAGGAAGTCAAATTGTCGTTGATGGCGGATATACTGTTTGGTAGACAGGGCCGAGACGCATGCGTAGCCTGAAACATTTATAGTGTATCTCACTGAACTCTTGGATATATTTTGACATGTGAACAGATTGATATGCCCATTTTACATGTTCTTGACAAGACCCCTAATCCTTCTCAGCGTCTCCAAGTGCTGAGCTTCGTCGCAAACATAGCTGTCAAGAAACAAAGACGGGTTCAAAATCAGATATTCCATTCTAGACAGTCAGTCAAGTGACCTGTCTCGGCAGATGTGACGGTCACCTCGAATCAGATTGTGCATGCTGACAGCTCGCAAACCCCTTCCTCACCATCACGGAGGCCGGACATGATTGGCGTTCCTCAGCCCGCGTTCGTTGCTTCCTCCCTTCACAATTTATCAAAGCGCGATGGATCACTGTCAGAATGCACAGTCAATTTCCTCAACCAAGCGTTCGGTCAAACAGAGCTTGACATGATATCCTGTCTAGGAAAAGTGGATGGCGAGAAAGGCAATTGCGGGGAAGGAGTTTGTTGCGGGAAAGAACGCGGAGGACGGCAGGTGCCGTGGACAATGATGACCAGAAAAAGTGCAGTTGTGAGAGGCGCCACGCCAAGCGGACATTTAGCTGTGAGGCATCCAGGACAAGATGAGGGTATACGGAGTCGCCAGAGCGCAGAGCAGCGCATTGCGATCGCTCGAGGTTGCATCGCGTAATGCTTGCCGCAGAAACTACTCTGTTTCACGCTGGGCCTCGCCTGCTCTTTTGCGCTCTCAGAATGCCGCCATCACAGAGAGGACGGATGCATGGCAAGCCAGGAGACTGCAGAGCGGCACTGCAGCTGCTGTGTATGTGTCATGGAGAGCATAGCAAGACGCAAGACTAACAACAATGCAGGCTCGACCACGCCATGCAGGACCCCAGCTCGCTCTCGCAGTCCGACATTGTCAACAACCTGAACCCCAAGGAGGCCGCCCGTCTGGACAAGCTGAGAAACATTGGTATCGCTGCTCATATCGACAGTGGAAAGACGACAGCCACCGAGCGTGTCCTATACTACACTGGTCGTATCAAGTCCATCCACGAAGTCCGTGGCAAGGACTCGGTCGGCGCAAAGATGGACAGCATGGACCTGGAACGTGAGAAGGGCATCACCATCCAGTCGGCTGCCACCTTCTGTGACTGGGTCAAGGTTGACCGCGAGACTGGCACCGAGGAGAAATACCACATCAACTTGATCGACACTCCCGGCCATATCGATTTCACCATCGAAGTCGAGCGTGCTCTCCGTGTTCTTGACGGTGCTGTTATGATTCTGTGCGCCGTTAGTGGTGTCCAGTCTCAGACCCAGACCGTCGACCGTCAAATGCGCCGCTACAACGTTCCCCGTATCTCCTTCATCAACAAGATGGACCGTATGGGTGCCAATCCCTTCCGTGTTTGCGACATGATCAACAAGAAGCTCCGTATCCCTGCCGCCATGATCCAGGTCCCCATTGGTGCCGAGGATGAATTCAAGGGTGTTGTCGACATTGTCCGTATGAAGGCCATCTACAACCAGGGTGAGAAGGGTGTGGATATCTTTGAGACTGACGAAATTCCCGCCGATGTCAAGGCCGTTGCCGAAGAGAGACGCAAGATGCTCATCGAGACTCTTGCCGATGTCGACGATGAGATTGCCGAGATGTTCCTTGACGAGCAGGAGCCATCCATTCCTCAGATCAAGGCCGCCATCAGACGTGCTACCATTTCGCTCAAATTCTCCCCCGTCATGATGGGCTCCGCTCTTGCCGACAAATCCGTCCAACCCATGCTCGACGGTGTCTGCGACTACCTACCTAACCCCTCCGAGGTCGAGAATATTGCCCTTGACAAGAGACGCAAGGAAGCCCCCGTCAAGATGGTCTCCTACCAGGAGCTGCCTTTTGTCGGTCTCGCCTTCAAGCTTGAAGAGAGCAACTTCGGTCAACTCACCTACATCCGTGTCTACCAAGGAACCATCAGAAAGGGTCAAACTGTCTACAACGCTCGTACCGACAAGAAGGTCAAGATTCCCAGAATCGTACGCATGCACTCCAACGAGATGGAGGAGGTCAACGAGATTCACGCTGGTGAAATCTGTGCCGTCTTCGGTGTTGAATGTGCCTCTGGTGATACCTTCACTGACGGTACCCTCGGCTACACCATGACTTCCATGTTCGTTCCTGATGCCGTCATTTCGCTCTCCATCAAGCCCAAGCAGACCAAGGATACCCCCAACTTCAGCAAGGCCATGTCTCGTTTCCAGCGTGAGGATCCTACTTTCCGTGTTCACGTCGACACCGAGTCTCAGGAGACCATCATTTCCGGTATGGGTGAGTTGCATCTCGACATTTATGTCGAGCGTATGCGTCGTGAGTACAACGTCGACTGCATTGTCGGTCAACCTCAAGTCGCCTACCGCGAGACTATCCAATCTCGCGTTCCCTTCGATCACATTCTCAAGAAGCAAACCGGTGGTGCTGGTGATTACGCCCGTGTCGTTGGATGGATGGAGCCCACCGGCCAAATCGCCGACAACCACTTTGAGCAGCAAATTACTGGTGGAACGATTAGTGAGAAATATCTTCTTGCTTGCGAAAAGGGTTTCTACGCCTCTTGCGACAAGGGACCTCTTCTCGGCCATCGTGTTCTCGGAGCTAGCATGGTCATCAACGACGGTGCCACCCATATGACCGATTCTTCCGAAATGTCCTTCCGTAACGCTACCCAACAAGCCTTCCGCAAAGCCTTCCTCGCCGCCCAACCCCAAGTCCTCGAACCTCTCATGAAGACCACAATCACCGCGCCCAACGAGTTCCAGGGCAACATTGTTGGTCTGCTGAACAAGCGCAACGCCGTCATTTCCGATACCGAGATTGGCCCTGAGGACTTTACTCTATATGCTGATTGCAGTTTGAACTCCATGTTTGGCTTCTCTACCCAGTTGAGAGCTGCTACACAGGGTAAGGGAGAGTTCTCGATGGAGTTTTCTCACTACTCTCCTGCTCCTATGCAATTGCAGAAGGAACTTATCGCCAAGCATGAGAAATACCAGGCCGAGAGAAACAAGAAGTAAACTGCGCAATGGATCAATCGAGAGAGGTGGGATTTGTTTGTAAGATATCTTTGGGTGGCTGGGCCATGTAACACAACAAAAGTCATGTCTTGGGTTTGATAGTGGCATAGTTGAGGCGTGAGAGGAGTGGATGTTTTATGATGTATATATATTAGTTCTTCATTGGAAGTTTTCACCTTTAGAAATAGAAGGGATAGAAACAACTCTCAACTTTTTACAAAAACTACCGCTGCTCCAGGAAAAGTCTTCAGACTGGAGATGTGGCCAGAGCCTCATCCCACCACAAAAAGGATCTTTTCCCCTTACCACATTTCCCTATCACAATCAGCATTCACCCTGTCTCTCTGTATGAGCAGACAGAGCAAAAAAAAAGTGTCTTCTATCCCCATGGTCAAGCAAAAGAAGTAGACGACGCCTAAGAGATTCGAACTCTTGCTCCCGAAGGAAATAGATTTCTAGTCTATCGCTATAACCACTCAGCCAAAGCGCCGGGTCTGTGTTGGAAAAATGAGCTAGACGATATATAATATATTCTAAATTTCTGAAAATTCGACGCGGAGAGTATATCAGGACATACTTGAGTGGAAGGAAAGCAATGTATGAATGGAAAGAAAGCGTCATATTGCTGTCCGGCTTATTTTTCCAAACACAGATCTGGCGCTTTGGCTGAGTGGGCGCTCTGCGCGGCTGGGGATCTGTGGTGTGGTGGACAGACAGATTATGGGGATTAGATGTGTGTCAAGGGAAAGAGTGGGATGGATGAAGATGTGGACTAGGCGATTGCTCGTAGCCTTTAGTCGGCAATTGATTTTGGTTTTTGGGTATCTTGTACAAAGACCAAGAGATATGCTCTTCTCGTCGTCTTTTCGTGATCTCGTTCGTCTTTTGATCATCTTGTCCATTAAGCCGTATTTTCTAGTCCAGGCCCTTGAAGGAACCCATGCTCTTTGCACCAGACTTGTCCTTGCCCTTTGAACGCTTTCTCTTCTTTCTGCGCTTGCGGGTGGTCTCTTCGTCGCTGCTGTCGTCGCTACCCATGTCGCTGTCATCGCTGTCGTCGCTGCCTGCATCACTGTCCTCTGCTTCTCTCTTAAGGTCACCATCCACGTAGGCGTGCTGGTCCTCTTCTAGCATCTCGTGCCAGACCTTGATGGTGCTGCCACCTGCTGTGATGAGTCTGCCTGCGACGTCAAAGTCCAGACTAACGACTCCTTCCACATCGTCGTGTGTGATCTCTGAGATGACCTTGTTGGGGCCGAGCTTGACGAAGCGGACTTTGCCATCGCCCATACCCACAGCGAGAACCTTGCCGCCAGGACCAACGTCTGGGGGCAGAACGCGGATGACATCCAGACTCTCACCACCACCAGCGCTGCGGTCGACGGTGATGCGCTCGTCTTGGTCGTCCCAGACGCCGCGTTCCCAGAGTGTGAGTACACCATCTCCACCACCAACGACTAGCTTTTCTCCCTTTGATGAACTGGTCTTGCGGGCAGGCAGGCCAGATACAAAGCAAGATGACAGCAGGATCTCTTCTTGGTCTTCACTGCGGACCAAGACGCCGCGACGCAGATCGGTGACACTGAGAGTAGTACCACCGGTTGTGACCCACTGTTTGCTGTAGCCAGATGTGCTGCTTTCAGAAGCGGGAAGTGGTGTCAAGGAGGAGATGTAGTCTTCGTGGGGGTGGTGGGTTTGAGAAGGGCGAGTGGAGGAGAAGGTGGAGAAGTTGGCCTCGCGGGTATCGTAGAGGTGGAGGGCGGAGCTGTCGGTCGCGAGGAGGAAGGTCTGAGGGCTGAGGATGTGGAGGATTGAAGGCTCGTCAATGTCGTCGGTTGAGCTGTGGTGCTTGTCAGATGGCTGTGCTTTCAAGCGACCGAGAAGACGAACTCACGGATCATGAGGAATGGCGATCTTGGTGACGACCTTGCCAGTCACGCTGTCAGCGCCCTTGACGATGCCGTCGGTACCAGCACTGAAGAGGGTGCTGCCGTCAAGACTGTAGCCCAGACTTCTGCAGCTGCCCTTGTGTCTGCGTGTACGCCATGCTGCCTCGACTTGTCCACGTCCAGTCGCGGCTGCTTCAGCTTCGGCCTCGTCCTCGCCGTCACCCTCGACTGGCGGCAGTCTGAGAGTCGCGACATGTCCGGAGCTAAGTCCTACAGCCACCAAAGGGGCCGTCGGGTGGAGAGCCTGCGCAAACAGCTCCGAGGATAGCGGTAGCGTACATATCGTATCGAACATGGCGATGAAGTCTTCTTGCCAATCCCGGCAATGTCGGTTTCGTCGTCGCAGATGCGCTTTTTTGGAAACTGTTATTTTTTCTCAGTTCGCTTTGGGTTAGCGTCGGGGTTTGCGTGGACTTTAAGTGTCTACCCCAGATTATGACATCGTCTCGGCCTTCCTTCCCCCCCCTCGTCTCGACAGTGAACCCTCTCCCAAGAGACTTTGTTCCTTCACTTGTCAAGATCCACTCTTTCTATTCAGCTAGCTTCATTTTAGACCCTCCTGTATGATGTCGACATATTCCTAGACCTGCCCTGTGACAACGACAATTCCTAGGTATCTTTCACTTTCTCTCAACCATCAATGTCTTTTGTCCGCTTTCCTACACACCTACACTACCTTTTAAGCACAACACTTTACACAATCATTACCATATCAATCAATCATGAAGAAAAAACAGAATCAGATCACCTTTGGCTTCTGCGACGTCAACACTGGCCAGAGAGTCTACCCTGCTCTTACTGACTTGCCTGAGAAGCTCCCTCCTGCGCAACAACTGTACACTACCCACGACAACATGTACGCTGCCATTACTTGCTCGCCACAGATCGGCCAGCCAACTGTCATCTCTAAAGACCAAGATACAGTACAAACACTTTAAAGCAGCAATTATCCTGTCCATACTGAGCTCCTTCCAGGTTCACTTCTGCGTGTTGTTGGAGACATCTGCTTCATCGCTAGGTACATCTCTTCAGCCCCTGCAGTCTGAAGATACACACTGACCGAGTTCGTCCAGTAAGCGAAGACCAGATCAAAGTCACTATCTGGCACAACCACAAAGGTCAACATGATTGGTCCGATCTCCTCCTGCAGCCATCTGCTGATCACGAGGATATTGTGAGTGATCTACGAAGATGCTCGTGTGACATTAGCTTACGTCTCAGCTTCTTGTGAACTCCAAGCCTGGTATTGCTCGCAGATGGTATACTGGAGGAATTTCCGGCAGACCCGATGATCTAAGACCAGTCTCTTTCACCGTCAAATTCCAGGTCGGTGGCGACTCGGGCTGGAAATGGATCAAAGATCAAAGCGGATTGGATGATGGACATCTACACTATCAACAGTCTCATGAAGGACTTGGCTTTCCTGAATACTTTGGCGGCACCGGCTCCGACCTCAACATTCGCAAGATGACCGCCGATACACCTGACACAAAACTGTATTCTATCACAGCTTCTGCCGCACCTGCCAAAGACGAAGACTCAGGCTACAGCAGACACGTTCTGGGTACACCAAAGGACTTCACACGCTTCTTCAGTCTGGTCCGACTCTGGTCTCCATGGCTCGCACCACGTCAGGGCAAGGACAAGTTCCATTTGGACAAGGACGCTGTTCTTGCAGCCTTCCTTCGTCACGATGGAGCACACGTTGTCTGTCTTGCTATCAGCGGTATTGAGGACGTCCTCACTATCTTCAAACATGATGACAACGGTAATGTCATCATACAGGGTCGTAACGATCGCGAAAAGGAAGGCACCAGTCATGTGGTCGTCGCAGTCGCCGACTCATTCGAAATTGCCAATGCTGCAGTCATGTATCATGCGCGCAAGATAGTCGGGGGCTATGAGTTAGCTTCAGGTCAGGTCGAGACCGAGACAAAGGCCCTGACGGAGAAGAATGTCAAAGCTGAATGGCTTGAGGAGTGGTACGATGGCTTCACGTACTGCACTTGGAACGGCCTAGGTCAGAGACTTACTGTCGACAAGATCAATGAGGCCTTGGAGTCCCTCAAGAAAGAGGATATCATTATCGAGAATCTGATCATTGACGACAACTGGCAATCGCTGTCAGAGGGTAAAGGTCAGATGGAAAGAGGCTGGACCGACTTTGACGCGAACAAGGAGGGCTTCCCCCACGGTCTCAAGCACGCTGTTACGGATATTCGCAAGAAGCATCCAAACATCAATCATATTGCTGTATGGCATGCTATCCTGGGCTACTGGGGTGGCGTAGCCAAGGACGGTAACATCGCAAAGAACTACAAGACCACAACAGTTCAGAAAGAGCCAGGAGTTGCCGAAGGAGAGATGCTGGTCGTCGATGCCTCCGATGCTCAACGCATGTACAACGACTTCTATGCTTTCTTGGACGACTGCGGTATCACTGGAGTCAAGACTGATGCTCAGTTCTTCTTGGACATGATTGTCGACGCCCCTGATCGCAGAAGCTTGACGACAGAGTACCAGGATGCTTGGACAATCGCTCATCTCCGCCACTTCGGATCAAGAGCCATCTCGTGCATGTCTCAGACGCCTCACATCCTCTTCCACTCTCAGCTCCCTACCAACAAGCCTCGTCTGCTTGTTCGCAATTCGGACGACTTCTTTCCAGAAGTTCCTGCCTCGCATCCCTGGCACATCTTTTGCAATGCACACAACTCTCTGTTGACTCAGCACCTCAACGTTCTGCCTGACTGGGACATGTTCCAGACATCGCATGAATGGGCATCATTCCACGGTGCAGCTCGCTGTGTCTCTGGCGGTCCGATCTACTTTACAGATTACCCTGGCAAGCACGACATCAAGCTGATCAACCAAATGACGGCCCGTACCACCAGAGGCAAGACCGTTATCCTACGTCCTTACAACATTGGAAAGAGCACAAACGCATACGCTGGCTACGAAGACCACTCTCTTCTGAAGGTCCACACTTACCACGGGTATGCCCGCACCGGAACTGCATACCTCGGTGTCTTCAACTGCACTCAGCGACCATTGTCTGAGCTCATCCCTCTGTCAACCTTTGCAGGTGCCGAGGAAGGAAAACACATCATTCGTGCCTTCACCACTGGTGCCATCAGCAAGCCTATGTCTTGTGGCGAGAAGAAGGCTCTGACTGGCGTCGAGATTGACGTTGGAGGTTGGGAGATCTTGTCTGCTCATCCCATCCATGAGCACACACTCCGTCGCAGTGGGCCCGTCGCCATCACCTGCCTCGGTCTCATTGGCAAGATGACGGGAGCAGCCGCCATAATCAGCAGCGACATCTACGTAGACACCCAAGGAAAGTTACGCTACTCCGCCCTCATCAAAGCTCTCGGCGTACTTGGCTTCTGGATCGGCGACTTGAGCAAGAGCTGGAGTGTCGAGAAGGACATGCTGGTTCTGATCTTTGGCAAGCAGATTCCTACAGAGTGCGTCAGTGTCAAGGGCGACGTCTTGGAAATTGATGTCGACAGAGCTTGGAAGGAGACTGGACAGAAGGCTGGCTGGTCGAATGAGATTGAGGTTGAGTTGTTCATCTCGTAGATAGCTTGCTTCTACCCCTTTGCCTAGACTTCTAGAAGAGTCTTTTTTTTTTGGATTTGGGGCTCTGCAAGTTTGGAAACGCAAGCTCTTGGTGTAAATTAGGTCGGAAATGGTAGAGCTTGGTAATACTACTTTTTATTTTTGAAATCGACAACTTCAGCATGTTGTGATAGAAATGAAGAGTGATATCTTGGCAGAGAAGTGGCATGGAAAAATATGCGATTCCTGTCATGTATCCAGAGACCGTCTTGAATCTTCAGAATAGCTTGCGAAAAGACACAGTCTAGCTCAAAAACATTGAGACGCCTCACGAGATCATGAGGGCAAGAAGGACCATGGGGTCCATGCATACTCTGGAAAAGTAAAGATCAATCTCAGAGACGCGTCTTCCAATATATCACTTTGAGTCGACTGTGTAATGGTGCGCGGACATGGCCATAACTGATCAGTTTTCATGGCTGATCTTATCCGCGAGGCATGCGCGACTGACGATATGATGACCAACACAAGACGACAGGTGGTATACTGTCTCACAGATCTATAGTCACAAGAAGAGAAAGACGTTCATGATATGGATGTGCAATTGGTATCATTGGAAAGCAAAAATCAGGGGTATAATGCTACAAAACAAAAAGTGTCATCACCAACCATAGTGGAGAGGTGGGTAACAGGAGTGGGGACGGCCGCTGCTCATCCCATGTACGAGCCCTAGTCCTTCTTTCCTCCGACCACGGGGATCTCTCCAAACTTGACTGGGTTCTTGCCCTTTCCCTTCTCGATGGGGGCAGGGGGTGGGAGCATTGCCGGCAGCAATGAGCTCAGCGTCAATATCATCGAGAGAAGGCAGGGGCTGATCGTCCTCAGCCTCACCCTCCACGTTGGCGTCCTCCATGTCCTCGTCTTCGCGCTCGGTCTTCTTTTTGACCTGGACCAGGGTGGTGTCGTTGATGTTGCCTGAACGCGACTTCTTCCAGGAGGCGGCAACCATCTTTTACAGCTCCTGCACGCCCTTCTCGATCCGAGAGTCCTCTATGCATTGCGTCAGCGTCGTCGACCCAAGGTAAGGAGGGGTAAGGGAGTCATGAATCGCTTCCAAACTTACTAGGAGACTCTACGTCCCACTTGATCAAGCCCTTCTTCTTCAGCTCTCCTCTGGTGCCACCGATAAAGTGGTTGTACTTCTGCAGCACGTCGATGAGCATGTCGGCGGGGATGCGCTCCTCGAGAAGACAATCGATCATGAGGTGCGCAAGGGGTTGCAGCTTGTGGGTGCTGTTGTTGTCGACAGAGATGACTCAGACTCGGTCACAGGCGTTGATGAAGAACGAGTAGAAGACGCGGTAGCGGTGACGGTTGACTTCGTGCTGGAACCAGCGGTTGACCTTTGCGTTGTCGTCACACCAGAGCCACTTGTTGGGCAGGTCGCTCATCATGGAAGGACGGGGTCCGGGGCGGGCGGAAGACACGCTGATCTGATTGTGGTTGTGATTGGGTATGATTGGTTGTTGTTGTTTGTTGGAGGTAGTGGAGATGTAAACTTGTTGTTGATATTGACCTTGTACTGGTAGTGGTGTTGACCTGACCAACGCGATTACCAATAGTGGTAGAGGTGAGAAGATGAGTTGGTGGCAGCAGGGGAGAGAGTTTAAATACACAATGAAAGTCGACCGCGCAAGGGTGAAAGCGAGGGCTTGACTTTGTCGAACAATCACTGTTGTCAAGTGAGACCGGAAGATTCGACAATGACTCGGAGTTTTCACAGTAACATCACTTACCTGGCGCTCCGTGCAAGCGTCGCCCTGAGCAATGTCCTCTTGCACAATAACAAACTCGAGCAAAGGTGCTGCCCTTGAAGACCTCCTGTCCTCTCACCGCGCTTAATTTTGACGACATACAAGAGTACCTACCTACTTTCCGAGAGCTTTAGACGGTTGCGATCTGAACTCGCACATCCTTGCTGCGACATACCTTTCACCGAATTACGACGCATAACAATGGGACCTAAGCTGGTTAAGCAAGGCTCAGAATCCATCAAGTCCACAGAAAGACGTCCAAGACACAATAAACAAGACCGCCGCAACCCTCGCCAAGACAAACGGACTCGAGACGACCATACTGAAAACGAAGCAAATTTGGACAATTACACCAGGCCCATCCTTCTCACATCTGGCAGATGGCTTTGGTGCCGCGACAAGCGTGCAGAGAATTGGCTTCTTACACGACATCTCCCGTGGTGGTTCTTTGCTTCCTTTATCAACTTCTGCGCATACGTCCATGAGAAGGCGCAACACAACGATAACCTCAACCCTGACGAGCAGCGCTTACTCATCCACATCAAGGAGTACCCCCTAGCCGCCGATGATCTTATCGCGGAGATGCAGTGCTACCTTGCGATCTGCCTTGTCAAGGGGAAGCTTTCTCAGGGACTGATATTCATCGACACTGCCAGTGAGTCACCTTCCATATTGACACCTTCAACCAGATGAGACGCTGACAGATCACAACAGACAAACACGACATGGAAGTTGGCCAGAAAGCACTCATGCGCGTGGTCTTCACCCCTAAAGAGCGCCAGGCTCACATCGCCGCCGAAGCTGCCTGCTCCAGCCATCTGAGGTACTCAAAGGACACAACCTCTCAATCACAGGTTGACCCTATCAGCCTTGAATTCCGAGAGATACCGCCAGCCGTGAACCCTGTAACCTCCGCCTCTCAGACCTGGTTCGTACATCCCGATATGGTGAGCAAATGGCAACTTGCCACCGTGCTTGCTATCAAGGAAGAGCATAAAGTCCATGTACAGACGGAGGAGGAGGACGACGAAGTAGTCTTCCGAGGAAGACGTTGAGAGGTCACCGGCAAAAACAGACCGTCTGCGCATCTGAGTGTCGAGGTCCTGAGTAGTTCGTGCTATGATTGAGCGCAGGATGATGTTGGACGCGACAGCCGGCAAGGCGGAGCAGGTATGTAGCAGGTTTCAACCATTAAGCAGTCCGAAACACACTGTTTCACCTGCCCGGTTGACCCCACGTCTTCAATGTAATAATACAACCCAAAGGGTCATATTGAAGACATTTTCCCTCCTCACTATCGGACCAATCGTGATTCACCGTTTCGATGACTAGTCTAGTGGTTGAGCGCACTGATGATCGATTGGTCGACCTCTTTTTGGAAGATTCTGGGTTCAATTCACGTAATCTTCTTTCCCCTTTTAACCAGACTCGAATTAGTCTCGGGAGTGGACTCACTTCGCCGGTAAGCACTCCCGCAGGCCCAACACCAGTCTTCTGTATGAGGAGAGACATGTGTCGCATGGCTGAGACCATTACACAGTGGTTCCTGGATCAGCCAAGCCTGCATTACAAGCAGTTCTAGCTCCTGCCAGGGCCCTGCGATACTGGCCATGAGAGGCACACGGCCGAAGCCTGGCATGCAGGTCACCATCGGCGTGCAAGCCTTCTCAGATCCCCCTCTTCGTGGCATGCGGGTGGATATGTACCGTGCACCCTTGCAGGGGGGCATGAGTTGATAGGGATGTTGCTGCAGAGAGCCACGATCCTTTGTTCCTTAGGCAGGGTGAGCGCAGAAAGAGGTTGATCTCGTCAGAGAGACGCGACAAGTCTACGTCTTCATCGTCCAGGGTGACCGATTGCTATCGAGATGCACAGTCGATTTTCTCCTTGTGCGGTCATGCGGTGGGATCATGGAGCAGGGTCGCTTCTGAGTGTTGGCCATCGGACCAGCCTAGTTGACGGCGCTCAGAAACCAGTGAGCATGTGCTCTCCGAGCCTTGAAAGACATATACGACCTGGGCTCAAACGCAGTCTCAACCCAACGAATGTGTCACCAGCTCTTTTGTGGCTCTCTCAGGCCCCAGTCGCAGCTGACTACGTCATCGACTCGCTGCTATACTCCTTCTCGTGTCGTGTCGTGTCATATGAACGCGTTCGATAGCTCTTATGGGGCTATAGAAGCGATACAGAGATGTCCAGTCGGACGATATCGCGTCGCCGGTCCGGAGCTACATCGACGTCCATAGCAGGTGATGTGTACAGGCTTTGGAGGACGGTCAGGACGCATCAAGCCTCAGAGGGTCCTTCAGAAGTCATCGCTAGGGCTGGTTGGGCAGACCAGCAGGTTCGAGCGTCCTTCTGTCGTGAGATATGAGTCCTCTGCTGCACTTCATCGCGTTGTAGATGATATGTCGCGGTCGTGAACTTTGTGAGGCTTCCTTCTCCTTCGGGCTGCACAGCTTCGCGTGGAATTTAGCCGAGGTTGGACAGTCTATCCCAATCTCTCAATGAGGCCGCCGAAAATCTTCTGCGACAGTGGCGTGCCTAGTATATCATGATGACATTTGATCAGAAACACCGAGCATTCGCATTGCTATATTCTCATAAACAATTGGCTGGTTCTCAACCGCGAGCAATCATTGTGGACTGAATCACATGATTTGACATCAAATTATTGTTGTAAATTCCTAGAAAACCGCGGGAGTGCTTTCTATCGCGATAGATGGGCCAGAATGATCGCCGAACGAGCGGAAATAGTTCAAGTAGCCAATTAGAGCCCGTACATGTGATTATGCACTCATATATCGGAACATCCAGCGTGTTGTCGCCATCTTCAGATCGTGCCAGGGTTGTACAAACAGCATCTACCGACCACACTAAGACTTTTGGCCAATTTCTGTTCCTGCCCTCTCTTCTTTCCTTTTGCAGACGACGTTGGCAACCGCTGCTGTACGTCATCGCGGATGACGCCCTCTCCCAGCACAATCACGAGAGCTTAAGCTCTGCAGTCTTCTGCGATCTCGAGATATCTGCTGAGAAGATATTGACACTTCTAGAAAGAGTCACACTTAACAAGCCAATCTTTATAGGCGACCAAGCAACTCCGTTATTGCTTGACCAAATTTGCGTTCATGGGCAGCTGCGAGTCAGAGCTTCTTTTATCTTCGCCAAGTCGTATGTGGCTTGAGACTATAATCTGATAAGATTCTTAGCGTGGCCGAATCAACCGAATGTACAATGCAGGCCTCGTAATTGCCGATTCTACAGCACATCGAAGAATGAAGAGGAACAGCAGGAGCGAGTAGTTGTTCATGCTCCTTGTTCACTTCGAGATTCGTTGCGATCTAGCAACAGTCTGTTGGAAGGAAGGTGCTATCGATGGGAGGTCTGAAGCGTCGCTCGAGGAAGCTGTGGACCCTACTGCCGATCGAAACACCTTTTTCCATCAAGCCAACCAGAAAAAAAGCCCTGCGGTTATTCCTCCCCATCCTTCCCTGCCCACAGCGCGCCGGATTTTCGTATGTCTCGACCGTTCGGTACCCGCAAAAAGAATAATTCGCCTCAGATCCTTAATCGAGTGAATCAACGTGATTCGGGCAGACGTGGGTGTGCCAGTATATATTAGCTCACCCTCCATCTTATCAATCTTCATCTCTATATTTGAGCTTCTTTGCTAGACCCTTATTCTGCGTACCTGATTTTGATCGGGTCCTTTTTCCATCATGGGGTTTTTGCATGCTCTGGACAGGCCATACATCAATCCTTTCTACCACTCTCAGGAAGATGAAGAGCCCGATGACGTCGTCAAGGAAGAAAACGGCTTGACAGCTTCCAGCAGTCCGAACAGCTTTGAGCCGCCATACCAAGAAGACTATGGACATACGAAAAGCCCTGCATCTGGGACTGGTGCCGCTTATGCTGGAGAAAAAGTTGATCCAGATTACCAAGCCGGTGTTCAGAAAGCTGAGGGTGTCACTCTTGCATGGAACAAGCGAGCGCTATGGCTGACTTACATCTGGTACCTAAATGCGTTATTTCACGCGAAAGATATTTTCTGATTGACGATAGGATTTACGTTGTGTATTTCGAGATTGCTCTCATGAGTACCATCACTGGATACCTGGGTAACTACGCCAACGCCGATTTCAGCACATCGCAGCTGCTGTCAGTCAGTTCTGTGATGAGCTCCATCATTGGTGGAGTGTTGCGTTTGCCGACTGCCAAAATCATCGATATTTGGGGTCGTGCAGAAGGCTTCTTCATCATGATGTGTATCTGTATAATCGGATTGATTATCTTCGCCGCTTCGAACAACGTCCAGACGTATGCTGCTGCATCGGTCATTTACTATATTGGCTACGATGGCATGTACTATGTCATGACGGTCTTCATCGCCGACACCACAAGACTGAAGCACCGAATTCTCATGCTGGCCATCTCTCAGACTCCTTTCATCTGTACTGCTTTCACTACTCCATATGCCGTCTCAAGCTTCGTCAACGGAGCTGGCTGGAGATGGGGGTATGGTACCTTTGCTATTGTCACTCCCGTCGCCTGCCTTCCTCTCTGCGGCGTGTTCTACTACTACCAGAGAAAGGCCGAAAAGCTGGGTCTTTACAAGCGCACCGAGTCACCTGCACGCGGATGGTACGGAACTTTCACTCATTACTTCGTCGAATTTGACATCGTTGGTGTCTTTTTGCTTGTTGCAGGATTCGTCCTGTTCCTACTTCCTTTCTCCCTCGCAACTTCGGTCGCCGGACAGTGGAAGAGCGCAAGCATCATCTCCATGCTGGTGATCGGCTTCGTTATTCTCTGCTTGTTCCCTGTCTGGGAGCGCTTCGGTGCAAGCAAACCCTTCCTGCCCTGGATCAGACTGAAGGATCGTACTGTCTTTGGTTCAGTGCTGTGCATCTCCAGTCTGTATGCCGCGTTCTACTGCTGGAACCTCTACTACTACACCTTCAACCAGGTAAGCAATAGTTCATGTGCTGTCTGATCGCAGGCTGATGAAATCAAACAGGTCGTCCTTGGTCTCAACACTCGCGATGCTACGTACATGGGCGAAATTTACACTGTAGGCTCTTGCTTCTTCGGAGTGATTACCGGGTAGGATTCCCATTTTCTCCTTTTGATCTTTTGAACTTTGACTGACAATGTGTAGTATACTTGTCAAGTGGACCAAGCGTTACAAGTGGATTGCTCTCGTCTCCGTGGTAGGTGTTACGTGCAGCCGAAAGTCGTTTTCCCTCGCTGACAATCGATTTTAGCCGCTATACATGATGGGAACCGGTCTTATGATCTATTTCAGACAACCCGGAGTCGCTCCTCGCTACGTAGTTTGCGCGCAAATATTCGTGGCATACGTAATTTTTCGCCTTTGATCTTGTCTGTAAGAGCCTCGCTGACTTATTTCCAGGCTGGTGGAACTTTGGTACCTTGCCACCAAGTTGCAGCTCTCGCCGCGGGCACTCACGCAGACTTCGCCACGACTCTTGCACTCCTATACCTTGCATCATCTGTCGGGGGCGCTATCGGCGACTCCATTGCGGGTGGCATTTGGACCAACGTCTATCCAGCTGAATTGAACAAGCGCCTACCCGCCGACGTCGCGACCTCGGTCTACACAAGCTATCTGAACGCTCTCGAGTATCCTCCTGGTACCCCGACCAGAGACGCAATTGGAGTTGCATTCGGAATTGCTCAAAGAGACATGTGTATCGCGGCCACCTCTATCACTGCTCTCACTTTCATCGCTGTCTGGATCTGGCGCGACATCAACCTCGGCAACAAGAAGCAGATCAAGGGTGTTGTCGTCTAGACCACACACAACACGCATGAAGAGAAAATACGAAGACCTCTTCTCGAAGAAACGGTCGATCGCATGATGCATATTATGAATTTCGGTCTCAAGACACTCTTTGCTACCTAACTACCTAATATTCTATACATTCTATACATGAGACCTAGACCATGCTACAAAAGTTGTTTTGCTTCCTTTGCTGAATCCCTCACCATTGTCATGTTTTGAATGTTGTCGTAGTGCAACGTCATGTCTGCTTGATCGGTAACGGATATACGAGCGCGGCATTCGCGGATTCCGAATGCGAAACAAGAAGTCGCGCTCCATGTCGCGTCGCCAAACGCGACAGCCAAACGTCGTCATCTGCAACGATCAATAGCCAACACGAGGCCTTGATAACTCTCTTTATTCTACATCCGGGGATAAGGTGAATTGCAGATATGGCGTGTATGTGTACACCGGACAACATTTGGTGCAGGCGATGTTCGTTCAAGAAGCGTTTACTTGTCGTTTGGATCCTTTCACAATCACCAGATCTTCGTATTCCAAGATTGTTTTGACTGAAGAAAACATGGCTCATCGTATTACGAAGATGTTAAGGTCTAATACGAAGCGACAAAGCTTTTATGCTACATACACAACGGGCTTCAATGGATCAACTTGAACTGTTTCGCGTACCAAGCAGATCCGCCAACGAAAGCAGTTACACCAGTCATCACAAGCAGCGAACCATAGCCAGTCCCGAAGGCAAAGGGCGCCTTTGACTTCCAGCTGTCTGATTTGACAAGAGCTTCACTCAAAGGTCCTGAGACCACAGCACCGATTCCCTTGCCGCAGCTGAATAGTGAGATGATCATTCCAGTCTCTGCTCCTGGATAGCCATTTTCGCGTACTGTCTTTGCCACGCCGGACCAGGTTGTCGAGTATCCTCCTGCATAGACACCGTAAAGGAAGGCGAAGATGAACAGCATCGGCTTGATCGTGGCGAAGGTCCAGAAAACAAACACGGCGACGACGCTGCCAATACTACAGACGAGAATGCCTGTCGTGACATGGCATCTGTCACCTAGGTATCCGATGAACATAGCTCCAACGATCTGAGCGCCGTTGATGAGAGCAATTGCCAGTGTGCCATCCACAGCAGTGAAGCCAACTGACTGAGCAAAAGACGACAAGTAGACACTTGGCAAGAAGAAGCCTAGTCCCTGAACAATACTGGCACACTGCAAGATCCAGAAAGTTCGGCTCTTCAAGTATCCCATCTCAACTCGCTGTGGTCCGACGTTGGTGTGGTGTCGTACAGGAAGTCTTGGCTTCATGAAGAAGAGTGCTGGCGTGGTGAGCACGACGGCAACAATCGCCCATACTCTCAATGCAGTACGGAAGCCATACGTCCTCAGGACCCAGTCAAGAGCAAAGGGTATCACGACACCTCCAGCGCCGCAAGCTGCGCAGATGCATCCGAAAGCGAAGTTACGTCTTTGCACAAACCATTCGTCCAAGTATATGAAGAGAGGGTAATAGTGCATGGAGGCTCCGATGGCATACATGACACCTTGTGTTGCGATGAGCTGGCTGACCGAGTTTGCGAAAGATGCACCGATGAGTGAGGCGATCATCACGACAAAGCCGACAAAGACACTTGGTCTACGCCATCTTGGATTCATCTTGTTGAGGACGAACCAGAAAGGAGCCGAAACATACAGCAGACCTGTTGCAGTGGTTCCGATGGCTGCGACGCTAGATTCATTGCCCTCAAAATGCTGTGCATAGTAGGCCTGGAAAACACCAAAGCTGAAAGGGAAGCCTAAGATCGTTAGCAAAGTGTCCATTGGAAGCGGAGCTTCGTAATTTGGTCCATCGCCACGACACACCCCAAGAGACGGCTTCGAAAATAACGCATGAGATCAAAAACAGCCATGCGTCTTTTCCACCATCAGCCGGAGGAAGCGAGAAAACCTCGCCGTCTTCGGCTCTACCGAAAATGTTTGAGACTTCCAGATCCTGAGATTGATCATCCTCTGTTCGCTCCACCACAGTCGAAAGCTCGATATCTCCAGCCCTTTGATCGACACCCATATTGGACGATACTTGTAACAAAAGGTCAATGGGAAGAAAGAGGCGGCCAAAAAGGCGGGAGTTGTAGAAGTTGTTTTATCCAACCCCCGCCCACCAAAATTATAGAGTTTGCCGCCCCGCGCTCACGCCCTTTCCTCGACGATATCGCGCTTTGCCGTTCGGAAAACTGTTTGTTTTTTCGGCGAATGGGAAAGCTGAGTCACCTCTTGTCTTCTTGTACTTGTTACTTCGCTGTGACGAATTACCATGTGCCAGCGAACAACATGTACCGATATTGGGCCATCAACTCATTGTCTGGAATATGCAATCATTAATGGGCAGACAGCCTATTGGACGGTGGCATCACTTTTGTCAGCGTTGGAGAGTAGGTGGGTGTGTACACAAGAGGAGCACAGTGTTGAGAAGCAAACTTTCACCAAATTTTCATGCTGCTTACCACTGTTTATCTGCAGCCCCCTCCTTGCAATAATCGACCAAGGATTGCTGAGATGGGAGAGGATGCACTGCGTTGCCCTTCTGACAAATCGTCAAGACGATGAACTCAAAGCAGAAGGAATGTCCTGGCGATGTTCTGCCGGGGAAGGCTGCACGGTCGAGGTACTCGAGTAGATGTGATGCGAGCGAAGGCTTGATTGTGTTCCTCACTTTGCCTGGATCATTGTCCGAGTCAGAAGCTTAAGAAACTACTAAAAGATGCATCGGCGTATTATATTCTTTTTCACCTAAATATTGACTGAGCAGAGCTACAGATATATACATGAGCAAGATCTCTCTCAGTCTAGCGCTGCCATCTCAGGAAAGCCAGGTTTGTTGTTAAGTTATGGTTACATCGAAGGCAGCATTCCAGTATAGATTACCGGTCGTGCTTGCCGTATCGAGAGTGACCTTTTCATCTCCAACAACAAAGTTCTCGATAACAAACCCTTCGACGGTAACATTATTGCCGCTTGCGTCAGTCATAGCGGGCATGAAGCTCTCAGAAATACCAATGTCCTCGAATCCATTGCAGCTTCCGAACTCTTCAATCCAGACATTGGAGATGGTAATATTGCTCAAGTTTTCGAGAGCATAGATACGCATCAATGGTCCAGAAATACCTTCAGCTCGAATGTTGGATAAAACAATATCGCTAGCTGTGGAATAGGTGTCGGCCGTGCTGCTGTTTCCTGCAGTTGTGGAAGTGGTAGAAGGGTCGTACAAGTTGTTGCTGCCAATGAGGCCTGGATTTGAACCATTGCTGTTCCACCGACTGTGGATAATATTGATATCGTTGACTCTGATATTGCTGATGTTTCGAGATGCCCAGCCGAATTGGATGATCGGAGCCGTCGAGCCTTTCTGTACTATGACGTTTGATATGGTGACGTCAGAATGATAAACCTTTATCGTGTCGTCGTTTCTGTCACAACATAGTCAGAATACATCCGTGAGGTTGGCCTTCATGATGCGATACTTACGTGTGGTAGAAGATGTTCTGAAAAACACTGCCGGGATATGCCTGCATACCGTCCGTTTGTCCGAAAAAGCCGCCTACTTGTTTGTAGTCGGTGACAAGACAAGCTGGCAGACCGCCATACCAATCCATGCTATTGAAGGGCGGACTGTTTACTGTCGGCCCATTGACTATCCACGTCGTTTGCTGTCCGCCAGGAATGGTACCCTTCCACATACGCAATGGTGAAGAATCCACATTGTGGTTTTGGAATCCGTAGGTGGGATCTGCTTGATAAACGTATTGTTCACCAGACAAGACACCATGTCCAGTGGCTCGGATCAGAGATGAGCTGGTGTGATATTCTACGGCGCCTATGAAAGAGTCAGTATATCTAGCTCAATTTCGCAGCCCACGCTTGCGGTTCAATTTCACCTTTGACATAGGCTCCTGGAGCAAAATAGAGCCAGCTGACTGTTGCACTGAGGTTAAGATAATCAGTGGCAGTAGCATAATATACGCCGGGACCAAAAATGACAGTAGTGGCATTGGTTGTATTCAAGCCAGATATGCGACCTTCAGATACAACTAGAGAGGTGGCTGAGGTTTGATCGGGTATCAGAGACTCGTCCTCGAAAGGACTGGCGAAGATAAGAAGAGTGTCCAAGGGCTCCACAGAGATCAACGGCATGGAGTCGTCAAATTTTTCGACATAGTAAGGTCCTTCCGCGGTGGTATCTTGGACGTATGAACAAGTAGGGTCGCTGCACCCATCGTGGAATTCATACAGATTGTCGTTGAATTCAACCGAGAACTTGCTGCCCTGCTCGTCGAAGGGTACTTGGATGAAGAGATCACCGGCCGTAACAGAGGTGGTAAAGTTGTGATTGGTCGGTCTGATGACAAAGCTATCAGATACAATGCTGAAGCCATCGAGGCGGTGCACCTTTACCCAGACATCCGCCGAGTAGAGGAACGAACTCCAAGACATTGTCATGCCGATGGTCTCCTCAATAGTGATTCCATCGCTTGCTGAAGTTGTTGAGGTCAGGTCATCGGGTATCAAAATGTTGCCCTGACCGTTGCGTGGGATAGTTTGATAAACAAAAGAGTCGTAATAGGTCTGGTCCACTGAGTTGGTAACTTGGACAGAATACAAGTGGCTCTGGCGTACAGCTTCCGGCTGAACAGGTGATTCTGTGTTGATAACGCCGGAGTCGTGCCACCAAGTCTGGAGTTTAGAATCGTTGACGGTGTTGTTGCTATTGGACGTAGCGTGTGAGAATTCTGCAATGCCAGCAAGCAGGCTCGCGATAATCAAGCGTCTCCACATCTTTTCTATCGCAGGCTAAGCCGGACTACAAGCGGTGCGGACCGATGCTTCCCTTCCGCGAGCGCGTACGAGAAGTCGTATAGAAGATGGAAGAGTTGAGTGTGAGACGGAGGGATGTTGAGGTTGATAATACATGCGCGCAGATGAGATCAGCCATGCTACGAGCCCACGTAACCAGCGTAATTGCTTCTTTTCCTTGGAAATGCACTTCTACGGCTGCGTCGACGTCGTGCGCGAATCATCAAACGGTGGTGATGGTGGCCATGGGAGATGACGACCTGATACTGATCTAGCCTCTGCTTGCCGACTCTGGACGAAATCTGTAAGACTTGCCTCGATAAAAACTTGACGTTAATGTTTTTCCCGTATACATGTCTCATTTGAGAGTCGATCCTAATCAACTCGAGGTCGCGACGGTATGCTGTAGAACCAACGGTTGCAGTGAAAATGGTCGGCAGTGAAATTGACAACGGGCAGAGTTGGCGTGGAAAGCTTAAGCGAGGTTAAAACGCCTCTTCTGGTATTACCGCCAACATCTTCCATAATGCATATAGAGCTACTGATAAAGTTCTTGCGAGAGGGGCTTGACTCGAGTAATCGCACTCTATTTGGAGAGTTCATCAGGGTAGAAGAGTGGGCGATGCGCGTGAGGGATGCTTCGACTCGACAAATGCGCAACAAACACGCCAAGAGAAAGGAGCTGTCTTGCACTTCCACCCCACGCGCTGACGAGAGGCGACCCTTTTCTCTCTCCCTACAATATCTAGATTAATCTACACGAGGGAGCTAACGTGTCGTTTGGGTCGACACGATATGATACGAGTAATGGAGTATTGCCGACTGCTGCCGTAACGCTAGCTATCCAATGATAGTCAAGCCGCCGTAGACGTTGGAACGTCTCCACGCGAGTCCGTGTGGACTTATCGCCGCCATCAGTTCATGCCGTATGGCAGACACGAAAACGCAGATTCTGTCGTGCAAACACTACAGTCTAAACGAGATGTCGTCTCGAGACTTATGTTGCCGTTTGATCTTGTCCTCTTCGAGCATGCCGCTTACGCTGATCGCAAATCCCGGCCAGCAAGTATTACCTTAATGGCAATCTCGTAGGCGAGTGTCGACAAGAAGACTGGCTCAGAGCTCTCGCATCAATCATTTGTGAACACGGATCGTATTGATGGTTGCAGAAGCTTAAACTTCCCTTGTCGCCTCTTTTGGTAATCGTTTAAGGTATCCATAGCAAAAGGTTCGGATCTTGAGCGCGGAACAGATGTCCGGCAACACTGGACCATGCGATTACCAATGTGTCGGCACACGTTCGCCTGAGCTTGCAGAACATGGTGTGATGCCGATGAAGAGGCCAGTATGCTAGAGAAGCTCAACAGATTCTCAAGGCAATAGCGTCTGTCGAGAAAATGCTCGAACCTTGTTCGAGTATTTCGACCATAAGAAGAGAGATTTGGCGGTATATATGTGGCAAGATGCTCACATCTGACATGATCTAGCATCTTGTGGCACTCGTGGCCAGAATCTTCTATTGGCATTTTCCCACGTTTTGCGATATCCAGGCTCGATGCCGCTCAACATGGCTTCTTTTCTGGTCAAATCAGCCACGCTCCTGTCGTTATCTTTTACACTCTACTTCTCTCGAACACAAGCTCTTAGCTGGTCTGCTGATCATGCCCTATGGAATCTCAATCAGAATGAGACTGCAACTGGACCCCTTGAATACTGGGGCGAGTGGCCAGCTCACCCGAGAACCCCATCGCCTGCCAATTGGCGAGTGCCCTTTTACATGCTGACGCTGGATCGTTACGTGGACGGGCAGCCTTCAAACAACGACGCTAATGGTACTGTCTTCGAGAATGATTGGACCACGAACCAATTTCGCTTCGGCGGAGACGCCAAAGGCTTGATGAATAATCTGGACTGGATTCAGGACCTCGGCATCAAGGTGAATAGTGTCTCTTCATGGAGAGTTTTCCTTGCTGACTTTATAGGCCATATATTTTTCAGGCTCCCCGTTCATCAATCAGCCTTGGGCCAGCGACGGCTTTGGCCCATTGGACTTTACATTGCTCGACGCACACCACGGCACGATCATCGAATGGCGCGAACTGATAGAAGAGTTACATAGTCGTGGCATGTATGCTGTACGTAAGCCCGAGGTCCAAATGCAGTGCGCCAGCTTGCGTGTTTGATTGCCACGATGAAACTGGGCACAGAACACCGTTCCTTTCGTTTCGAGCCAAACCCACGAACTAGCTAGCCGAACAAGTGCTATATCCCGATCTCTGATGTACCCTTACTAATTGTACCTTCACCTCTAGATCATGGAAAACACAATCGGCACCATGGGCGACCTTCTGAGCTTCGAGGGCTTCGAGAACCAAACGACTCCATTCAACGCTCATGAGTACGACACACTCTGGAAAAGCAGCCGCAGATATCATGACTTCGAGGTTGATAACGACATTCTCGAAGATTGTCAATACCCCGTCTTTTATAATGATGACGGATATCCCGTGAACTCGTCCATCATGGCCACCTTCGACAACAAGTGTCGAAAATCCGACTTCGATCAGTATGGAGATATGAAGGGTGTAGGCTATGTCCCTCCATACCAAAGTCAGCTGTCCAAATTTGCCAGTGTTCAGGACCGCCTCAGACTGTGGAAACACGACGTCTTGGAAAAAGTCATGCACTTCAGTTGTATGCAAATTGCGTCTCTTGACATCGACGGTTTCAGAGTTGACAAGGCCCTGCAAACGCCAATTGAGGCGTTAGCTGAGTGGGCAGATTACCAGCGCGAGTGCGCTCGTCGTTACGGAAAAGAGAATTTCCTGATCACCGGCGAGGTTGTTGGTGAACTCAAATACTCCTCTGTCTTTTTCGGTAGAGGCAAGTCTCCTGACACCTACTTCGACAATCAGACTGAAGCACAACTTGCGACTGGAAGCACCGAAGGCTATATTCGCGAGTTCGGCAACAATGCACTGGACGGCAGTAACTTCCATTATCCCACATATGGTGCGCTGACTCGCTTCTTGGGACTCGACGGCGACATTGGCTTCGAAGGCGTCGACTTCGCGCAGCATTGGAACGCGTATCTGCTTACTGACGATTTTGTCAATGTGAACACTGGCCTGTTTGATCCACGGCACATGTTTGGCACGACCAACCAAGACGTCTTCCGTTGGCCAGCACTGATCAATGGCACCCAAAGGCAGGTCCTTGGGTTCTTCATCACATTCTTGGAAATGCCCGGCATCCCTGAGCTTATCTGGGGCGACGAAGTCGAATACAAGGTGCTGGAAAACTTGGCTGCCGATTATATGTTTGGCCGTCAACCCATGGCGTCAACCAGGGCCTGGCAGATGCATGGCTGTTACAAAGTCGGCGCTGCTGGCAATGGTTACTATGATATGCCATTTGGTGATTCACTTACTGCTTGCGAGGACGATACAGTCAGCCTTGACCAGAGAAACGCTGCCCACCCTCTGCGGAATTTGATTAAGCGCATGTTTCAGTTGAGAATCCACTACCCAGTCCTCAACGATGGCTTTACCCTCACCACGCTCTTCTTCGAAACGAGAGACATATTCCTTCCCCACAGCGGACAACTCCCAACGCCTCTTGGCATCTGGTCGGTCTACCGTGGCCGTACCCCAGATGTGCAAGACTTCGCTGGCGAAGGCATGGGGAACCAGGGCATTTGGCTCCTCTTCTCGAACCAGAATGAGACCACTTACTACTCATATGACTGCCGCAACTCATCTGGCTCTCTCGTTGCGCCATTTCCCGAAGGAACCACTGTCAAGAACTTGTTCTATCCATACCAAGAGTACACGCTGAACTCATCCACGACGAAACTAGGCATCGAGGGCTCAGACGAAGTCAACGGCTGCTTACCTGGCATTGAGCTCGAACCTTGGGGGTTCCGTGCCTTCGTTCCGATCGACAAATTCGTTGCAGCTGCACCAGTCATTACTGGTGCTGTACCTCGTCACGATTCAAGAATTGAAACTACCGTAGACCTGAACGATACGATCTCAATTCCTGTTACACTGCTCTTCAGCCGAGCGATGGATTGTGACTCAATTCTCCAGGCCATCACCCTTGAGTCGAACACTATGACGGATATTACCCCAGCTTTCGAGCCCTTGAGCGTCGTCTGCCGCAACATCTCGGCGGAAGGCTCCCAGCGCTTTGTTGGAGAGGCCTTATCCATGTTCGAGTGGTCAGCTATGCTGATGAATGTCAGCCATGGCGTGCACACGTATACCGTTGCTAACGCAACGAGCACCGACAGAACGTTATTCACAAACGCTAAAGATCGCTTCATGCTCCGAGTGGGCACAAAGGAGAACCCGGTTGTTTTCCCTGGCAATGCTAATTACACTACTGGCCTCCTTCGTCGCGAGTCCACTACTGGCCAGCTAGTTCTGATACCAAAAGCCGCTGGAGCTACACTGTGGCGCTTCTCTACCAACTACGGCTCCAGCTGGTCAAATTGGACTTCCTATACTGGTGACGAAGTAGAGATCGAGGAACAAGCGTGGTCCGGGACCGATGCTCAACGATGGAGTGGTGTGCATGTCGTGACGCAGTACTACTCGAACTTGATTGGGTCTACAGACCATATTCAGCACTCTGATCTCGACTCCGAAGTACCCAAGCGCTGGCCTCATGTCCACGTACAGGGCCCATGGAACCAATATGGTTATGATGGTGGCTTGGACGATCAAATGCACCAAGACTTAGAAGGCGTTTGGAACTTTGATCTGTCTTCGGAGTGGCCCACGTCGGTGATCCTCAACGTCTGGGGCATGAATCCTGACGGAGCTCCCGACAAATCAGCTGCATTCGGAGACGTGGATGGAGATATGGTCGTCGATTTTGTTCCGCCTGACAGTCTGTCCTTCAATCAGATCAACATCACCGCACCACACTGGCCTCACACTGCATATGCGGTGTCAATAAACGATGGCTCACTACGCTATACCATCTCTCCCATCGGGTCTGCGCAGAGACAGCTTACGTTGTATATCATCCTGGCTTGCTTTCCGCTAATCACTGCCTGCTTAGCCGTTGCAGTGTATCACGGCTCATTCTACCGCCTGAAGTACAACTCTATTGGCCTCACGAAGCGAAGTTATCCTTTCAGTCAGTTTCAAAAGAAGACGAGTATCACAGATATACCACATTTCACCTTTGATAAAGTCTCAGAGAAACGAAGTGTTTCTGGTGCAACTGAAATCAACCAGGATGTCGTTACGAGCGAGGCTCCAAGGACGATCCTAATTGCCACTATGGAGTACAATATCGCTGATGAGTGGAACATCTCGATCAAGATTGGAGGCCTCGGTGTGATGGCATCATTGATGGGAAAGCACTTGGACAAGCATAACCTCATCTGGGTTGTACCGTGTGTTGGAGATGTTGTCTATCCGATTGACCGCGTGGTCGAGCCCATTCAGATCACTATCATGGGTAAGCCCTATCTGATTGACTGTCAAGTCCACGTTGTTGGCAGAATCACTTATGTACTGCTCGATGCACCACTCTTCCGACAACAAACCAAAAAGGAGCCGTATCCGGCTAGAATGGACGACCTCGACAGTGCGATTTACTACTCCGCTTGGAACTCTTGCATCGCCGAAGTCATGAGAAGGTATCCCGAGATCAATATTTACCACATCAACGACTACCACGGAGCAGTGGCCCCGCTCCACCTGCTTCCTAGAGTCATCCCCGTTTGTTTGTCACTCCATAACGCTGAGTTCCAAGGGCTATGGTCGCTCAGTACGCCTCAGAAAATGCAGGAGATGAGTGATGTCTTCAATCTGGATAAGGCTACGATACGAAAATACGTCCAGTGGGGTGATAACTTCAACTTGTTGCATGCCGGGGCTAGCTATCTCCGTGTGCACCAGAAAGGCTTTGGAGCAGTTGGAGTATCGAAGAAATATGGTGCTCGCTCGTTCGCAAGATACCCAATTTTCTGGTCAATTTCTGTGGGCATCCTTCCGAACCCGGACCCAGCTGATACAGAGCAATTTGATAAGTGTCTCCCAAATCCCAATGTCATCATCGACCAGGAGTTTGAAAGTTCGCGTGGAGCGAAACGAAGGCAAGCACAGGAGTGGGCCAACTTGACCGTTGACGAATCGGCCGAACTCTTCGTCTTTGTCGGTCGTTGGTCGATGCAGAAAGGAATTGATTTGATCGCAGATGTATTCTCATCTGTGCTCGAAAAGAATCCAAAGGCACAACTGATCTGTGTGGGTCCTGTGATCGACCTCTATGGAAAGTTTGCTGCTCTCAAGCTCGACTTCCTGATGAAGAAATATCCTGGAAGAGTCTATTCGAAGCCCATGTTTGTGTATATCCCACCATTCGTCCACGCTGGTGCAGAGTTCGCTCTGATACCTTCGCGTGATGAGCCATTTGGCTTGGTCTCCGTCGAATTCGGTCGCAAGGGAGCTCTCGGCATCGGAGCTAGGGTAGGCGGCCTCGGACAGATGCCTGGATGGTGGTTCTCTGTTGAGAGCTCTTCGACCAAACACCTGACATCGCAATTTAAGAAGTGCATAAACGGTGCTTTGGCTTCAGATCAGCAAACACGTGCGCTGATGCGAGCTAGGTCGAAGCAACAGAGGTTTCCAGTCGCCCAATGGGTAGAAGATCTCGAGGCTTTGCAGTTGAAGGCAATCAAACTCAACAAGAAGGTCCAAAACGGCACGACATCAACTTTCAGTACACCAACCAGTTCGCCGCCTCGTTCACGGATCCAGTCACGCGTGACTTCTCCAACAGCCTCAAGAAGTTCTTCTCCCGCTCCGCCGATATCGCAGCCTCAATTCAGACGCCGACTTTCATCGCTGCTGTATCCCGCCCACCCATCGTCGGAGCAGTTCATGCAATTCAGACGTAGGATGTCCTCGCTCTTTCCAGTATCGCGAAGATCGCCGTTCGAGCAAAATGGCGACGGCATCGTGGCTGAAAGCGACGAAATAAGGGATGAGGTCGGCGTATTACCACCATCTTCGCCTATGTGTCGACCTAGCACAGCTGGAAGCTTGAACGGAGCTATCTTCAGCCCCGCCTTTGGCTTTTCAGAGGAACCTAGTCTGCCGGGCGAGATTACGAGACCTACACTTGCCCATTACAGACGTTCTTCGACGCTTAGTGTCGACGAAGTCGTGGGCGAGAAGACCGATTATCGTTTACAACAAGTCGACAAGGACTTCACCGACAGTCAGATGGACTACTATCGCATATACGAGACTATGCTTGGCTCCTTGAACGCTAAGAATTCTGAAGGCAAGCTCTGCATTGAAACGTTCTTGCAATCAGCCCAGAAGAACTGGTACCAGCGGTTTGGTGAGGCCAAGCTTGGCCGATCTATGATCTCTGCACCCGATGTGGGCGGCAAGAAGAAGAGTGTCTCGGTGACGATCCGTGAAGCTTCGATCAGTGAGAGCGATCGCACAAACAGTATTGGCTCTCAACCTAGTGTCGAGCAATTCTTCACTGGTAACTATAAGGCTCCCACCGGTCTCAAGCTACTGTTGATGTCGAAAATTCCTTTTTTGGCTCCTGACTGGCCGTTGTACGCTTACCTGTTGGCTTTCGGCCAGATTGTCGCCGTCAACAGCCATCAAGTGACCATTTTGACGGGTGCGCAAGGCGAGAACGCTTCCAAGCTCTACGTCGTCGCCTCAATCTATCTGGCTGCATCACTTTTCTGGTGGGCAATGGTTCGCAGACTCGCATCCAAGTACGCACTCGCCCTACCTTTCTTCTTCTATGGACTGGCATTCTTCTTCGTCGGCCTGGCTCCCTTTGGAGCTACCCTGGATAGCCGTGGGTGGATTCAAAACGTCGGAGCTGGACTTTACTCATTTGCTTCTGCCTCTGGATCTCTGTACTTCGCGCTGAACTTTGCGAGTGAGGGTGGTGTACCGATCCAGACTATGATCTTCAGAGCCACTGTCGTTCAGGGCGTACAACAACTTTGGGTAGCTGCGCTCTGGGCTTGGGGAACTCTTATGGCTGCTAACCATACTTCGCAATATACTGACACGATCATGAACTCAAAGGTCATCCTGGCTATCATGCTACCAATCGCTCTTTTATTTGTCGTCATTGGCATAGTTCTTCTGATCGGTCTACCTGAGTATTATGGGAATCAGCCTGGCACAGTACCAAATTTCTACAGCAGTCTCTTGAAGCGCAAGATCGTCCTCTGGTTCTTCGTCGCCGTAATCTTCCAGAACTATTGGCTCTCGGCTCCAACAGGACGTAATTGGCAATACCTATTCAACAGCACACAAGCTCCAGTCTGGGCTATTGTTCTTCTCCTGCTTCTTTTCTTTATCGTCATTTGGTGCGCTGCTCTCTATGCTCTGTCTCGTTTCAGTGAGCATCACTCTTGGTTTTTGCCCATCTTCGGTGCCGGTCTTGGCGCACCCCGCTGGTGCCAGATGCTCTGGAGCACTTCTGGCATGGGTCTTTACTTGCCCTGGGGCTCGACAGTCGGGAGTGCGATCGCCGGAAGATGTCTTTGGCTATGGCTGGGTACTCTAGATGCCCTGAGTGGTGTCGGTATTGGCACGATGCTTTTGCAGACACTCACCAGACATCATGTCGCGGTCACTTTGACAGCCGCTCAAGTGCTCGGTTCGATCGCCACTATCGCAGCTCGCGCTTCTGCACCTGACGCTACTGGCCCTGGCGCTGTGTTCCCAAATCTGGTTGTCAGCTTGACTGGTCTTGGTGCTTGGGAGTTTTGGGTGTCGCTTCTGTTCCAAATGGTATTGCCGATTGGCTTCCTTATGTTCTTCCGCAACGAACAATTGTTCAAGCCTTGATGGCATGTTGCATCCTTGTTTCATTTGTCGTCAGATATAACGTTTGTTAACGCATGGTGTAATGCACGAGTAATGTAGATAGAGTAGACTTAGGTATAGACTAATTGACCGACATAATGTATGATCAATCTACGCATTGCGCCTTACCACCCCCAATTTTGAGCAATGTTCTGCAAATTGGCGTTGTTTACATCGTTCGCATCGCTCTTTCTCTTCCGAGCCATTACAAGGCGCTCAAAACTTAGACGATCCTGCTACGAGAGGAGCACTTGCCATAACCAATCGCGACTCGACTCACTCCGATTCACGTATCAGCTCGCTTTGACAGAAACAAAATTCAATAACGATGTCAACTACAAAGAGCCACCACTTTCCCTCTATGTGCACGAGTTTGATTACCATGATACTCTGTCATCACTCACATGCAACGTGATGAGGGCTATCCAGACGAACCACCACTGAATGTAGATTTTCACTGACGCTCCCACAATGGAGGTTGCGACCCTATATGCCGCTTACAAACCCCAGCGATAGCAAGCACCAAATGAACCCCTGCAAGCGCAATCCCAGCGTGATGATATCCTCACGCATCATTCTTGTGGACACGCAATACGCCCATCATCACACGAGCTATGACGAGGAAGACATTGTCAAGAGATGGAAACAAAATGCACAAACTTTTGAGAAATATCTCGGGTATTCATCTAATCCGTCGCCACTGTCTGATGCATCACCGACTCGCGGTAGTCCAGACTTCTCTCCAACAGCTCTTCATGAGAACCGCTGTCGACACATCTTCCTGCCTCAATCAAGAAGATCACATTTGCCTTTTTGATTGTGTGCAGACGATGCGCGATAGCAATTACCGTAATGCCTTTAGCCTTCGTCTTGTCCAAGCCCTCCTGCAACAGCCTCTCGCTCTCAGCGTCTAGAGCACTTGTACTCTCATCGAGAATGAGAAGCTTCGGGTTTCTGACCAAAGCGCGGGCGATGGACAACCGTTGCTTTTGACCGCCGGAGAATTGACTGCCGTTGGGTCCGCAGAGAGTGTCGTAGCCCTCTGGTAGGGCCGCAATGACCTCGTGTACGTTGGCGAGCTTGCAAGCCTCAATGATCTCTTCCTTGCTGACGGTGTGACCAGGACGGGCACCCAGGCCGATGTTGAACTCTACGCTTCCTTCGAACAACACGCTCTCTTGAGGCACCAGAGCAATACTGTCGCGGAAGGAAGTGTCGCGAGTCTTTGTCACATCGAGACCATCGATAAGCACCGAGCCTGACTGAGGTACGTAAAGACGCTCAACCAGAGAGACGACAGTCGACTTGCCAGCACCACTTGGGCCAACGAGAGCAGCGAACTGACCAGGCTTGATGTGGATATTGAGTCCATTCATGACCTTAATATCCGGTCGTGCCGGGTAACAGAAGTGAACATCTCGCATCTCAACGCTGGAAGCCTTGTTGTTTGTCAGATGCGAGGTCTTCGTCTCAGCCATAGCTTCGACATTGTTGTCCTCCAACGACATGTCAATAGGACGAACATTGCCGGCCATCTTGTCCTTGCCGATCTGGATCAAGCTCAAGATTCTAGCCATCGCGTTGCGTGCAGCAGAGATCTCAGGCGCCAGAGCGAACATTTGTGACCACAGTAGCGCTCCAACAAGGAGCGAGAAGACGACAATCAGGAACTGTGTTTGAGTGTAGTTGCCGTTCAAGATCTGCTTGGAGCCCCACCAGTAGGCAAGTGCATTGACACAATTACCAAGGAAGTAGGTGATAGCCTGGCAAAGACTGGCCTGCAGGGTGACGCTGAGAGTGTCCTTACGAGGTCCCTTGAGAGATCGTCTGTACGTTCGCAGAATCTCTTCTTCGAGCGAGAAAGAAGCAATAGTCTTGATTGAGGTAATAGCTTCAACACCGATGTCGACTGACTTGGTGTAGGCAGTCTCGTGCTTTTCTTCAAACTTGCCCAAGATACGGAGCTCCATGAGACCGGCTCCGAGGAGTAGCGGTACAAGAGACAAGCACACCAAGGCGATTCTCCAGGCAATTATGTGAGTGAGGATGATGGCAGCGATGAGATTGACCGTGATAGAAAACAGAGTGCCGACGACAGAACCACTGAAGCCAGCCAAAGCGTTACCATCTCTGGTGATGTACGAGAGAAGCAGGGCAGGTGTACGACCCTCTGACTGATGCCATTGTAAATCTTGTTCGAACAACGATCTGAACGACAAGACTCTGACAGTGTATACGACCTTCTCCGAAACCCAACCGAAACCAGTCCAACTGACCAAGTTGGCAAAGAACTCGATGATGCCAAGGATGAAGAACATGAGACCGTAGAAATTACCACGATTGCGGATTCTGCTGGGACTGTGGCAAGGGTTCAGACTGCCGACAGTGTTACCGAAGATGACTGCTTCACCAGAGAACGCACCACCAACGCAGACAGAGCCGATGAAGGCTACGAGTATATAAAGTATGTGCGGTCTCAGTGCTGGCCCGTAACCTTTTGCCAGGTCCCAGAGGGTTTTGGGAGGTACAGGAAGCTCTTCGTCCTCTTCATCCTCTCCAGAATTTCTGACAGGGGTCTCAGTGGCCGACAACTCTGCCTTCTCGGCGTTCATCTCGTCTTCGTACATGCTCTTCTTCTCGATATCGCCAATTGAGGTGCGATCAGACACACTGATGCTATCGGTGCCAACGCCGGCATTCTTTGAGTCCGACATGTTTCCAAGAGTCTGCATCTTGACCATGTCGGCGTAGGTTCCACCAGCTACCATCAGCTCGGAATGAGTACCCTGCTCAAGAATGTGTCCTTTGTGCATGCAGATGATGTTGTCTGCAGCAGTAATAGTGGCCAAACGGTGAGCAATAGTGATGACAGTTCTTCCGCTGGTAATGCTATTGATTGCACGCTGAATGCGTTGCTCGCTCCTTGAGTCAAGAGAGGCAGTGGCTTCATCGAGAATTAGCACAGCAGGGTTTTTGACAAGAGCTCTCGCTAAAGCGATACGCTGCTTCTGACCACCACTGATGAGACGTCCGCTGGAGCCAACGACTGTACCATAGCCTTGTTGAAGAGCAACGATGAATTGATCTGCATCTGCAAGTGTCGCAGCTCTCTTGACCAAGACGGTGATTTCGACGACAGCTGGGCCGCGCTTCTCTGCCGCAGCCATGAGGTCGGTGCCTTCACGAATTTCTGCAGCAACGTCTGCAAGGTCAGAGCCGAGGAGGATGTCTCTGAAGTGTGCGTGGTCGGGATCGCTGGAGTTGATCAGACCGTGCGCAATATTCTCGAGAAGAGAGCGATCAAGAAGCGAGGGCTCCTGCTGGACTAAGCTCATGAAGCTTCTAAGGTCGCGAGCATTGAGCGTACGGACGTCCTGGCCGTCAAATGTGATCTGACCTTCGGTAGGATCGTACAGTCTGCTCACTAGGCCAGCGATAGTCGACTTGCCGCTACCAGAGAGGCCGACGAGTGCGGTATGCTTGTTGGCGGGAATCGAGAGACTGATCTTGTCGAGGACGGTGATTTCGGGTCTTGATGGGTATGTAAATGAGACATCCTTGAACTCGAAACCAACTCCAGATTCAGGAAGTGCAAGACCGGACTTGGTGTGTCCATCGATTAGAGGTTCACGGTCGATGTCTCCACGGAGCTTGTTGAATGAACCAACAGCTGCCGAGAAAAGATGGACAAAAGGTGCAACCTGACTGAGAAGCAGAGTAGCTTCAATCAGGATGAAGATGACGGTGAAAGTGGCACCCACAGTGGTGCCTCCAGCTTTACCCTCAACCGAGTCTGCGATACGCTTGCTTCCTTGCCAGAAAGCAAGACCGTTGGCAGCATATGCGACAAAGTACAGGACACCACTTTGGATACCGACAGCAGTAGCCTTTTTAATACCTTCGCGCTCAGATGATCTGAGGGCATCCGAGAACTTCTTTTCCAGGCGAGCGTTGGCACCAAAAGCTTGGACAACCATGATGTTATTCAGCGCCTCGGAAGCAATAGATGCGGCAGATGCAGCATAGTCAGAGACCATACCAGAGTACTTCTCGATGTAGTGACTTCCAACAATGGACATGATGAAGTAAGCCGGAATCAGAGAAAGCAATTCTGCAGCCAATTTCCAGTCCTTGATGAATGCTACGATATATGCTGTGACAAAGAAGGATAGACTGGAAAGACAGATGCCGACCTTTTCAGCGGTACCAGAGCGGATAGTCTGGATGTCTCCATGGAGTCTGGATGCGACCTCTCCTGGGGGTAGATTGTCGAAGAATGATGGCTCCTGTCTGAGCAAGTTTTGGAGATAGCTCTCACGAAGTCTCTGTGCTAGCCTAGCACCATTCAGAGTCCAGCATGTCAAATGCACGTAGATACAGACGAATTGAGCAATTGCCAGGTAGAAGATGATCAGAATAGTGCTGTTGATGCTTCCTTGGTCGCCATCTCCAGCATCTGTTGCTTGGTCGCAAGTCGCAGCGTTGAAGTCATCCAGAAGTTGACCGAACAGGATACCGATGATTGGAAATGGTACTCCAGCTGCTATTGAACTTATGATTCCGAGTAACAATGTGCCTATGTCGCGTGTTGTGGGATTTCCTGCAAGTAGCAGACGAGGATAGCCTCCAAGTTTCTGGATGAAGCCTGCCATGATGGACTTGATCTGTTCGACTTCTGGCAGTGCCGTTATGCGCTATGATGGAGTCGCTAGTATGTGACTTTGACCATCAAGTTCACCGACGAAGGGCAACTCAATGCCGTTGTGTCCCGAGTAGTGTCTTGCTGGAGATGAGCAGTCCGCGGGATCCTTCAAGGCAAAAAAGTGCGCCTGGACCTCAAAATATTCGATCTGATAAAAATGCTACAAAGAAACGGAATGATGCAGAGTACCAAAAGAGTGAGTGGCCACCATCAAAAGTCGGTGGGTCTACCTACATTTTGCACGACACGCCCTGTGCAAGCAGAGTCATAAAGTCATACGAGTTAGCCGACGCGTGCTGGGCAACAAAGAAGCTATTACGAAAGCTTGCACTGTCAATCGTTGTCGACAAGTTCGACCGGCAGGCTAAGGCGACGTCGTTTGCGCATTGCCGCCGCGCTAGATAAGATAATCTGATGATCTTGATGAACTCATTGATGGTACAGGGCCGTTGGGCGCTTGTGTGGAGGCACTGCGTGGGTCCCGACGCCGGAGCCCTCCAAAAATCGCAGCACAACGCCCGAGAAAAAGCCTCGTCTCTCTCCGCCCAATATTCCAGAGGCGCCGAAATTACGTTGGTGCCAGCACTTGCAGCCACCACCAGCGGGTACGACTTCGTCCCACTGATCCTTGGTCGAATCTTATCTGATCGAAATTGTGCCGGCGGTTCCTCGTAGCGGACCGGATGTATCCTGCAAGGCGCGACGGTGGATGAAGCCTAGTAGGGCTCTGAATCAGCTTTGCGTGAGCGCGCACAAAATTACCGAAATCGCCTGACTTGTTTCCGGTGCTGAACACGTTTCGGGGCCCCAGCAAAATCGATCAATTGCAATCTGATCCGCCCTGATCCTTGGCCTTTCACGCTAGGGAGTTCCAGTACCGTTAAACCCAACAGGACCCCGACCGTGAGGCATGGCTCCATTTTTCCCTCTCAGCTGGAATCCTTTCAGAGAAAAAGATTAAAGTACTCTATTTCTCCACAAGGAGACTTCTAATCTGAAGTATCATTCCTATCATCCTTACTTTCTCTATTTTCTAGAGGACTACAGCCAGAATGCCTTCAGCATTGAGGAGAAAGTTCTTCTCATCATCTGATCCGCAAGAGGGCAGCTCTAGTTCAGTTTCGGAGTCCGGAACTACAGAGATGCATCTCCAGGATCCAGAGAGATATGGTCCCCACGGAGACTCCAAGCACCCACAGGACGAGGTGACGGCGGACCAGGCCAGTGATGAGGTTCCCAATGAGGATGCTCAAGCTGGTGTCACACAGGCTGAAGCCATCACGTTGTCATGGACTAAGTCTTCTATGATCGCAACTTACGCCCTGTAAGTATTGGCTGGCTTTGGAACAGCATTGGAAACCAATTAACATTGCAATAGGATGTGGTGTATCTACTGCGTAAACGCTTTCCAGTCCAACATCACCGGCAATCTGTCCGCCTACATTACGTCTGGTTTCGAATCGCACTCCCTGCTCCCCGTCATTTCCATTATCTCGTCTATCATGGGAGCTGCAACCTACATGCCTTTGGCCAAGGTGCTTAACCTGTGGGACCGTACCGTTGGTCTCCTGATCATGCTTGTATTCTTCCTCTTGGGCTTGATCTTGTCGGCAACCTGCAACGATATTGGAACCTACTGTGCAGCCCAGGTCTTTTACGCCATTGGTTCTGCCGGTATCATCTTCTGTGTTGATGTCGTTACCATCGATACCTCAACTCTCCGCAGCAGAGGTCTGGCTTATGCTTTGACTTCTTCTCCATACATCATCACCGCATACGCTGGTCCTGCTTCCGCTGAGCAATTTTACGCAACCAACTGGCGCTGGGGATACGGAACTTTCTGTATCGTTCTGCCTGCTGTAGTCCTTCCTTTCTTCGGTCTGCTGCGCTACTTCCGTTCCAAGGCTAAGAAGAACGGACTTCTCAAGGACAAGCCCAAGAGCGGTAGAACCTTCAAGCAAAGTGTCTGGTACTATGTTATCGAGTTCGATGTCCTAGGTGTCTTCCTCTTGACTGCTGGTCTCGCTCTTTTCTTGCTTCCTTTCACCATTGCTGGATCTGCTGAAGACGACTGGAAGTCACCTCACATCATTGTCATGCTTGTCATTGGTTTCTGCTGCCTGATAGGTTTCGCTGTTGCCGAACGCTTCCTCGCTCCTGTGCCTTTCCTGCCCTGGGAGCTCCTCGCTAATAGAACGGTCATTGGTGCTTGTCTGATCGATGCCACCTACCAGATTTCATACTACTGTTGGTATGATTACTTCACCTCTTACCTTCAGGTCGTCTTCGGTACCAGTCTTGCTACTGCCGGTTACATTGCCAGCATTTTCGATGTCGTCTCTGGTGTGTGGCTCTTCTGTGTCGGATTCGCCATCAAGGGTACTCGTCGCTTCCGCTGGTTGCTTTGGATCGCCGTTCCTCTCTACATCCTCGGTATTGGTCTGATGATCTACTTCCGTAGACCTGGATTCTCTGTCGGCTACACTATCATGTGCCAGATCTTCATCGCTTTTGCCGGCGGAACTATGATTATCTCTCAGCAGGTTGCTGTCCTGTCTGCCTCTGACCACAACAACGCCGCTGCTGCTCTCGCCTTCCTCAACGTCTTTGGTAACATTGGCGGTGGTATTGGTGGCAGTATCTCTGGTGCCGTCTGGACTCACACCATGCCCAACGCACTGCAGAAGTATCTTCCCGCCGAGGCGCTCGCCGACTGGGAGACCATCTACGAAGACCTTGCTACTCAACTCAGCTATCCTATGGGCGACCCCGTCCGTGATGCTATCATTCAGGCTTACTCCATGGCTCAGAGCAGAATGTTGATCGCTGGTACTTGCATCATGGCTACTTCGCTTGTATGGATGTTCATCATTAAGGATGTCAAGCTTAACAAGACCCAGACCAAGGGTGTCTTGTTCTAGATGCCTCGATCACTTCAGATCAACCATGTACAGCTTTTTCCATAAGATCACGAAGTGGACGAACGATCTTGTACGAATCATATCTTGTTTTAATCCATCATGCAAAAGTTATTCAGCGTTCTCACAGCATTTCAATCTATATTCCGTCATTTTTATGCGTAATCTTATGTACACCTCAGCTTCCACTATTCTCGATACCCCTCACCGCGACTTGCTTGCTTCTTGAGACACGATTATAGACTTTGACACGGATCAGATAATCGGCATGCAGTAGAGTGGACATGACCGTCACCGATCTGCGGCGAAATGAAGCGGACACCATCGGCTAGACAGACCTCGCGTGAACTTGCAGGGGTCGGGTGGTCGAAATTGGCTTTGCTTCTTGGTGTCCAAACAAGATTTATCAGATCCGAGGCTTAGCGAAAGCTGGAGGGAAGCTTTGATCTTCTTGCTTGGCTAAGGAGCTATCTGATCCGGATCTTTCTTTGCCAAGTCGTACAGAGCAGCCCTGATCGGTTTTATCAGATTTTTTTCGTTGGGCGTTTAGCGTTCAGGGTTATCAGACCCGCGGTGGGTCCTCCTTCTCGTTTGTTTCTATGACAGCTTTCTGCCGCACTCATGGGAAGGACTTCAGAGCTCGAGCGCACGCCCGATGCCGCCGATTGTTTCGGAGGTCTCGGAGAAAACAATGTGTGAAGCGTATTATCACCGTGAGTCGAGTCTGACATACGAGGAGGGGTCGTGCTTGCGTCGTGTCTTGTTCTCCGTTCTGGATTGACATCGGTCGAGCACTTGTGTGTATACCGTTGACATCAACATCTTGCTTTTGTGAAACTTCAATTCCCTTCATTGTGACCCACACGACACACTATGATGAGCAAATACTCGCAATTCTGGCCTAAGGGTGGTATGCAGGGTGTTCTGCACCACTTCGTACGTAACTTGCAGACTTGGACTTCATTGTCAGCTACTGATATACCAGCGATAGACCGAGACGTTGACCACATTCGAATACACCGCCAGCGCCGCTCGCAAACCGCATAGCATCCTCTTCGTCGGAGGTCTCGGAGACGGTCTGGGAACGACATCCTATACAGCCGACTTGGTGCACGCACTATCACAAACAGAGTGGTCTCTCTTCTCGCTCACCCTCACATCTTCATACCAGTCATGGGGACTTGGCCACCTCGACAGAGACACAGACGAGCTCGCTCAAGCAATAAGATATATCAAGGACTACAAGACGTCAAAATTTGGTGACGATGGCAAGATTGTATTGATGGGTCACTCTACGGGCAGTCAGATGGTCTTGCACTATCTGTCGCAATCAAACCCACACACTACCAACCCTTCGTTTGACTCAGAACACAAGCATATCAAGAGATTGGCACTTGACGGAGCCATCATGCAAGCTCCCATCAGTGACAGAGAATGCATCAAGTTGGTCTGTCAACATGGCTTCCGCGGCAATACCCCCGAGCAATGCCAGGCATACTACGAGCAGCTGGAGAAGATGGCAAAGGATTTTGCCAGCAAGGATGACCAGACTTTCGATGCGCTACTGCCCATTCACCTGACATACCAAATCGGCTACCCTGCCAATACACCACTATCAGCACGTCGCTTCCTCAGCCTTGTCAGCCCCGAAAGCCCTCACAACCCCTCAGAAGATGATGTCTTCAGTTCAGATCTAAGCGACGAGCAATTGGCCAAGTCGTTCGGTATGATTCAAAAGCAAGGATTGTTGAAGAACAAGATGGCCGCCTTCTACTCGGGTGCAGACCAAGCAGTACCTGAATGGGTCGACAAAGCTGGTCTGATGAAGAGATGGGGCAAAGCAGCTAATGCTGGCGGAGACAAGGAGATCTGGGATGACGAGCACACTGCTGTCGTACCCAACGCTTCTCATGCTCTGAGTAACGATGATCAAGGTCCAGCAAGAAAGTTTTTGTGCGAGAAGATCTTGGGTTACCTGAGCAAGTCCACAGGCGCATAGTCATAGTAGTCGCTAAAAGCATAACGATGAATGTACATACAATTTCACTTCTTTTCTGCTTCTGCTTTGTCCAGTCCTCATGTCAGTGTTTCTAAGACATTCTATGCTACTACACCAATTCACAGGCTCATCTTTGTTCGAGGTATCTTTGCAGCTGATCTGAGATTCGAATATCTAATCAATCACCACCATCTCCTTAGCCAACCTTAGACGCCGTGTTCATCACCACTACTGCCCCCAGATCGATCACCATGACTCGGAAACCAACAAGCACCTCGGATCGGTCACCACACGAACTTGCTCCAATCTGTTAGAGGTCCGAACGGCCAAATACACGTGTCCGTCAGTATCCATGCACGCCATAGATTCACAGTTCTACCCTCGTTGTTCACTGACACATGGTCCGCCAAGGTCAATCTAATCAGATCAAACTTTTCATCTTCGGACACATTCGGGATCACCATTCCTGCAACATGTTACCTAAACGATTCGCATACATGGTACATAGAAACGTCTCGTAAGTGGGAGTCACACGACCTCGGCTGGTAAATCTAATCAGATGGCACGATAATCAGTGGGATCTCCGTCGCGTTCGTAAAACTCTAAGCTTTGACCCCCGTCCACCCTTCCGTTTCACCGCTCGCCCAACCACCTTCCAGATCTCGTTCTGCTTCACTTCGCTTGCACGCCTTTTTTTTTGTTCCAAGAAAAGTGGCTTGACTCGAGAGCTGTCTAAACTCTGGGCGTCATCAAACGGGTTCCGCACGCTCGTGCTCGAGATGAACCCTGCATGGCACTGTTTTGTGTGGGTCTGACCTTGGTGGAAAGGCTAAAGTCAAACAGATGCAACGTGATGGAGCTTCTGCACGAGCACCTGCTCAACATCGGAAGTGTTACTGCATGTTCATCATGCGATGTGTTTGCGGCCGATGAACGGAGGCAAGGAATTTGTGCGTGAGGGCAAAGCAGTACGATGTTTTGCCATTGCCGGGAAGTTAGTTTTGGTGATGGCTGCTTGCGTGGTGGCAGGGGAGAGGACCATTTTTCTGATCTTTTGATCTTGCCTTGAACATTTCCTTGTACTCCTTTATCTTATCAATCTTGTTTTTTGGTCTTGTTACTGCTTTGTTGCTTCTATACCACAAGTTCAGATCATTATGTCTTTCCAAGTTCAGGAAACCACACACCAGGCTGCTCCTGCCAATGCATCATCCTCGAATCAGTCCTACGACCTTGTCGTCGTAGGCTTCGGTAGCACAGCACTTTCCCTCGCAACTGCTCTTGCAGACTCGGAATCAGATCTCAAAGTCCTTTTTCTGGAATCAAAGCCCAACTTTGATTGGGCACCTGCTTCGGTCTTGCCTGAGAATGCTACGCGCACTTCCTTTTTGCGTGACTTGATCACTACACGTAATCCTCGCAGCGAGTTCACATTCGTCAACTATCTGTTCGAGAGCAATCAATTGGTCCAATTTGTCAACTCCTCACACATGACTCCCACACGATTGGTTATGGGCAACTATCTTTCTTGGGTTGCATCCAAGATGGCAGAGAATGACTGGGTACGCTATTCAAGCACTGCTACCAAAGTTACTCCTGTCAAGAACAACTCATCTCAAGTCAACAACTGGAAGATCAATATCCGCGATGCTCAGGGCAAAAACAGCACGATCGCTTCCAAGAGAGTTGTTGTGGCTACTGGTTCGAAGGCTAGAATCCCCAGTGCATTGAAGAGTGCAAAGACACTGCATACTTCGGAAGTTGCACCCCTGCTTCACAACCTCAGAACCCAGGACATCGCCATTGTTGGAGCAGATCAAGAGGCTGCCGAGATCTTCGAACACTTGCAGAGTGCCGGTGCTTTGCATCGTGTGCGAGCAACAATGTTCATTTCAGACTCCGCTCTCCGACCCGAGGACAACACTTCCTTGTAAGTCACTCCACCATCTCTCTTCTCCCGCATATGACAGTGCTAATTATCCTCAGCACCCAAGATATCATCGACGACTGCCTTCCTGGCGCGACCACAAGCTCCTACCCACCAGAACTCCGCCCTCGCCTTCTGACCACCACTTCCACACCCCCAGGCCCAAAGATCTCCCTTTCAACTATTGAAGCCCTATACGAGAACCTCTACGCACAACGCATCACCTCTCCTAACCCCTCGACCTGGCGCTTCAATATTTCTCCTCTCTCCCAAGTAACTTCTCTCACTCCCTCTGGCTCAAAGGTCCGCCTCAATATCAAGAACCCGAGGACACAAGAGACCAAGACAAGCGAAGGAGCTTTCGACGTCGTCATTGCTGCAGGAGGATACACACATTCCACCTCTTTGCTTCAAGATATCGAGACTGCGGGCCTTTTGCAAGACAAGAAGTTTACGGTTGATGCAGAGTATAAGCTTTCTTTCCGTAAAAATGTTGTTGCCAAGGATACTGGTGTCTGGGTTTTAGGCTCTCTGGAGCAGGGAGAGTTGAGAGATGAGGATATGGGCTTTGCTGTCGAGAGGGGAAGTAGACTTTTGAACTCTTTGTTGGAGAGTTTGCAAGGTGGCGAAGAGAGCAGAAGTGAGGTTGCTATGTTGTAGACGTTCTCTTCTTTGGTTTCAGTGTTGAGATGATGGGAGGTCTGGGAAAAGTTGTAATTTCATAGTTCTATTTTGCGTATGAGCGATTAAATTTATCTGTCATCTTAACTATCGCCCTTGGTATGAATCACTGTCAGTGCTTGTTGTTCCTTCCGCAGAATGGTGTTGTATGGGCTTCCACGTGGTGAACCAGAGCACCGGTATGATGATCACGCTCTGGTACGCTACTTCCTCTTGACAGCCAGCCTTCCTGAAGTCGCGGGTCAGAGATAAGAAGTAAGATAGGGCTACATCAGACGTGCAAGATCTGACATTCTACCTCAACGGCATTCTGAGAGATGGTGGAGACGGATCAGATAAGAGAGGGATCTGATATGTATCGTAAAGACGAGTGAGATACCGTGGCCGCGGAGGCAGATCAGATGATCGATTCAGGTCTTGCAGCATCAGCAACCGGACATGAGGCCACTCGACCACGCTTTTTCAGAATCAGAGTAAGACGCATGAACAAACACTGCTTTTTTTCGCTTGATAACAAAGTACGAAATCGCTATCTGAACACACACACACACACACACACACAAAACTCCAGTCATAAGAGAAAACACAACAATCCTCTTCTCGCTCAAAGCTTGGCCTTGGGCATAGAAGCCAACAGATCCTGCCCAATCTTTCTCATCTCAAACTTCTTGATCTTGCCACTACCGGTGATGGGAATCTGATCAGTGACGCCATTCTCACCAAGCCAGAAGACATGAGCCGGTGCTTTATGTCTGCCCAATGTCTGTCTGGTCCAGTCGCGGATATCCTCATCATTAGGCTTCTGAGCACCAGAATTGCGTTGCAAGAATGCAGCGACTACTTCTCCATACTTGGTATGAGGCAGACCGACAACGATGGCACGTTCAACGGAGTCATGCTTTATGAGGCGTTCTTCAATCTCGAGAGGATAGATGTTTTCGCCGCCGCGAATGATGATATCCTTGAAGCGGCCCGTAATGGAGCAGTAGCCATGACGGTCAAAGACTGCTTCATCACCGGTATGCAGCCAAAGCACACCATCTGCATCGCGCTCCATGGCTTCTGCTGTCTTTTCTGGGTTGCGGAAGTAGCCCTGTTGGAGTTGGTAGCCTGCGATACAAAGTTCACCGCGAGTGCCGACAGGTACAACGCGATTGTTCTTGTCAACAATCTTGGCGTGAGCATGAGGCATCAATGTGCCGACGGTGGTGAGACGGCGATCGATTGAATCGTCGACAAAGGCGTTGAAGCAAGTGGGAGAAGCTTCGGTGAGACCGTAGCTGCTCGTGAACTCTGTCATGCCGAATTCGTTGACAAGCAGTTCCATCAGGTGGCGTGGAACGGGAGCCCCTGCAATGATGCCTGTTCGTAGTCTATCGCAGTTGAATCCTGCCGGACGTGGCAGGCTGAACAAGGTATCGAACATGGCTGGTACCCCGTGGATGGCAGTACATCTTTCATCGGTGATGGCCTGCAGCACTGATGCACCATCGAAGATCTCTGAGGGGTATACAATCTTTGCGCCGTGTGTCAGGCAAGCCAGCATGCCCAGTACAAGACCAAAGCAGTGAAACATAGGTGGTGGGCAGCAAAGCACATCTTCCGCTGTCAAACTCATACGGTCGCCAATAAAGCGAGAGTTGTTCAGCAGGCCGTGATGTGTGAGCATAGCCGCCTTGGGATGACCAGTTGAGCCGCTTGTGAATTGTAGATTGCATGTCTCATAAGGTGAGAGGCTGTCTTGTACTTGTTTGACGGGTTCGTTGGGCAGTCGTGATCCGATCTTGACGGCATCTTGATAATGTAGGAGGTTGTCGAGGTCGTCTGCGAGAATGATGATTTCTTGCAATGCTGGGAGCTTTTCCGCGCTATCTGAGAACTGCCTGAGCATGGCCGAGTTGTCGATGTGCTTGCCAATTGTCGGTGTCGCGAATAGGACCTTACAATCTATGACTTGTCAAAAGTTTGATCGGTGGTGCAATGATCGAAATGACTAACCTGTGTATCTGAGAGCATACTCTGCCTCGGGAATAGTGTAGGTATTGTTCAGGATGACCAGCACCGCGCCAATACGCATACACGCAAAGAAGACGGAAGCATACTCGACTCTGTTTCCAGCAAGGATGGCGATTCTGTCTCCAGGACGGATGCCCCTTGAGTAGAGATATCTTGCGAGCTTTGAACTCTCCTCTTTCAAGTCATTGTATGTCCATCGTGTATCAGTCCATGGGAACACAAGTGCTTCACGCTCTCCATATCGTTCGCATTGGATATCGAGAAACTCTCCCAATGCCACTGTGACCAATGGAGGGTCTGCAGGTCCATGAAATAGAGACAGTTGAGTCTTTGGTGTGTTCACCTCGTAGATGGAGTTGATTGTCTGCATTGTCACTGATTTCTTACATCAATGTTTTCATCATCCAGCGCGGATCTGATAAAAAACGTACCAATGCATGCCCCGCCATGTCTTCAACCATTGCTCCGTCACCGACACCGGCTGAACGGTCCTGACAAGGAGAGAAAAAAAGGCTACAGCCCAACGTCATTTCCAAATAGATGATGTGGAAGCCGAAGCAACGGCGGCTCCTGACATGCGCAAGTGCTCGCTCGCTCTCAATACGAATGGACCGTGCTGTTGCACCTCGGCAGGCATCTTCGGAAATGGGTCGTGATTCACATGGAGCGAGAAATCATCGCATCCTTCGTGCAGCAGAATCGACCAACGGCATCACGACGGACTTTTGATGCAACCCTAGGAGCGAGGGACACGAAGAATGAAAAACCAAGGCTGTATGACAAGCCATGGAAAGCTTGTCGATGGCGAGACAAGTCCCTGACACGAGTGTGTGATGGGACAGGGAGGAAGAGCGGAAGCTCGGGAAAATCAGCCAAACTATGCGGCATCCCATTCTCGCCAAGGCGCCCCGAGCTCCTCTGCTTCTCTAGCTCTTTAGCACGGCGGGTCGATTATCAGATTGATAACCTTGTTCCCACCGTCCATGCGCCATGCACCTCATTCAACTGTGTCAGAGCTTTGTCCGTCCGTCTCGACGATCACCTCTCGCGGAATGAGCTCGGATTTGGCATCTTCCTGCGAGACTTTCTGCCCTAACAGTCGCAGATCATGCTGAGTACCATGCGCCTTACATCGCGGCTACCTGACAGTGTCGCGGCCGAGGCATTCGGCAATGCTCTCTCCGGCTTGTATAGTGACGAGTGTTGGGAGGACAGGGTCGGTAGTAGATGAGTGGGTGTAGATGCAGGATCGCTTGAGAACAGGACGAATACAGAGTCCGTTCTTGTCTCGTCCATCACATAACCATTATTTTATACACAGCTATGGCGGAGTCGTTGATCGTCCAACCCACTAGGTTCCCAAGACTGGACACCTTTGCTGCATCCCGAGAAGGACAAAACGAACGGAGCGAGCATCGCACGCGAGACTTCAGCTTTGCGACAAATGGTGTTCCTCGCCCTAGCAGCAAAGACGCCCTTATACAGAGCTACTCTGAGTTCCTTGCGTCGTATACGGGACAACATGCAGTTGCATATCAGTACACTCTTCGGACAAATCTAGACAAGCCTTCGGAAGTGCAAATCATACAGGCCAAGACAGTTGAGGAGAGCACCGTGCCAGTGATTGAGAAAATATGCAGGCATGCTTTCATCACAACGGATTACACGAATGCAGGTGACGAGATCTTTGACTTTGGACTGGAACTCCTTGCCGACGTTGACCAGTTTGAGTCAATCAAGTCATCATCGTTCCTTGACTGTGTCAGTACTATCCACAATCAATCAAGATATGATGTCTGACACGACACGCAGCCTTTTCTGGTTCAATACCATGCTATGGAGATGAGTTTATCTATGGAATACGATGCATTCTTGATGGATGAAGAGTACGCAGACGCTGCGTTCAAGTTGCTCGTAAACCACATCTCGAGAACTGAAGTGTTTGACAAGCAGGAAACACGACTATCACTACTTAATTATCCGCCATCGCAGCAACCTTTGCCGCTCTCTCACTTACACGGCGACGAAACTTTGGCGTCTTTACTGCACTCGGGGTTTCTGAGGACTTCAGAGCGCCATCCTGGTCGTCATGCCCTGGACTATCGCTCGGAGACTGCACAATTCACACTGACGTACCGTCAGTTGGACGATATCACGACATCTTTAGCTCACAAGCTTCGCAGCAGTATACCCCGGCCATCTCATCCAGCTCAGACTATCGTGCCAGCATACATGGAAGCTTCAGCTGCGTTCTACATCTCGTGGCTGGCGGTCCTTAAAGCAGGCTTCGCATTCTGTCCTTTACCTGTCAGTGCAACAGCTCTTGAGCTTCAACACATTATTGAGGACGCATGTGCTGTAGTTGTTCTGACAGATGGTCCTATGCTCTCTGGACGGCCCTGGGATGCCTGGTATTGTGATGATGACGAGCTGTCTGCATGTTTTGATATCAACGAATTCATAACCAACTGGATGCAAATCTCGCCAATACCTGAGCGTCGACCGCTTCCTAGCATCGCAGAGACAGATCTCGCATACGTCATGTATAGCAGCAGCTCGACGGGTGTGCCTATAGGCGTCAAGATGTCTCATCTAGCTGCTTCATGCGCGATAGCATCACACTGCAAGCATATTCCTTCACATATGTGTAACCGCGGCTTCCGATGGCTACAGTCTGCTCCTCTGACTTCCGATGTCTCAACACTAGAGATCTCCACTACATGGTGGACAGGAGGAACTCTTTGCAGTGTTTCCAAGGGTCTGTTGTTTTCTGACATGACGACTGCGATCAACAGAGTCTCTGCCACAATCACGACAGTGACGGCTAATGTGGCATCAACGATCGATTCTGCAAACACACCTTCATTGAGACAGTTGTGGTGTACAGGGAAGCCATTCTCGTCATCTCTTCTTGAACGCTTGGCTATAAAATCACACACACCATACAGATCTCTCGCTCTTCTCCACCTTTATACCCCCCTCGGTTGCTCGATGTCTACTGCCGTTCTCTCTGTGGATCCCGCTGTCAGAAGCACCATCATCGGCTCTCCACACCCAACAACAAGTCTCCTCCTCATAGATCCTCTCACAAAATCTCCAGTCCCGATAGGTGCAGTTGGTGACCTCTACATCAGCGGCCCTCAACTGTCCTCTGGCTTCCTAAACCGCCCGGATCTAGATGCTACACATTTCTGTACCAGCAGTACTTACGGCCGGTTATACAAGACTTATGAGCGAGGAAGACTGGTGAAGGATCAGAATGGAGAGTTTGTGGTTGAGGTGTTGCGAGGAGAGCAAGGTATAGAGGGAGAGGTAAAAGAAGAGGAGAGTGCGGATGAGGGTAGTGTGACTAGTATGGTTGATTCATTCACTGAAGCTGGTGTGGTTGCAGAGGACAAAGAGATGGATGTCACAGAAGCCAACGTGTTGAGCTTGATAGGTAGATTACAGACTTGAGGATATCTCTATAGCCAAAGAGAAATGGATATAGAGAGAATCGTCCAATGCATTCATACACAACTTTTATCGGCACTGGTACAGAAAAATCTACAGCTTAGCAGCCCAAGCAGCACGATCAGCACTCTCCAAAGGTCTCTCCCTCCCATCCCAAAACACCGGGCACAGCTGGAACCACTTCTCCCTACTTGCAACACTGTGCACACTTCTCTTATGACCCAAGTCCACAAATTTGCCAATCGCCAACCCCTGACTCTGTTCATAAGAAAGGATGATCGCACCAGAAGCTTTGGGCTCGCCAACAACATTTGCAGTACGAGGGTCGTCCAGGAAGCAGTAATGTATGCAACTGCTATACCATGCGTTCACACGCTTGGCGCCACGGAAGGAAGAATCGCCGACGAGACTGTGACGGCCGCGGTCGTAGTTTCCAGCGTCAAAGTGGGCGCCGTAGTGATCTTCTTTGGCCCAGTAGAGTTCGTAGTAGCTAAATCTTGTGTCGTCGAAGCGGCCAAACAAGCACAAGACATGAGGATCATAGTGCAAGTTTCTGAGGTAGTTGCGATGATGTTCAAGATCTCCCGTCTCATTCCATCCTTTTGCGACACGAGGATCATTTTGCCATGTGTGGAAGAGATTGAGGTGTTCGGCATTTGTCCAATCCACGACTTCGAGGGAGAAGTGCTGGTTGACTTCGGGTATGTAGCGTGAGTAGCAGATGCTTTGGGGAGCAGGCTTGGGGCGGCGGATGGGGTGACGGGCGTAGATGCGTTCGTTGGGGAACTTCATGGTGAAGTGGTGGTTTTCGGGCATCAGGGGGTAGCTGGAGAGAGTGGTTCGGAGGTTCTTGTCGATGCCGTCGCCGAGGACCCAGATGGGACGGGGGCCGGTTGGTGATGCTGCACCTTGCCAGAAGGCACTGCGGAGAATGAGGAGCTCATTGGTGCGAGGGATCGAGTCGTTAGGTAGATGCCATGGCTTGGGATATTCGATAGCGAGACCGGTGGCCAGCAGTTCGTCGTGTAGGGTCTGCTTCTCTGCGCCTTGCAGTGTCAAGCGGAAGTGCTCGGTGTTGGGGTAGGCGAGGTAGATGGCGTGAACAACATTCCATACTTGAGCGAGTGTTGGTGCGGTGCTCTCAGGCCATTTGAACGTCGTCTGCGGTCCGCGAACGGCGCGAGCCCAATCGCTGTTATCATTGAGTGGAGGATGCGACTCCTTGGGAGTTGTGTGTAGGTCAAGCCATGTGAGCGAATCAGAGTGCAATGCCTCAGCTGGTGCTTTTCCGTTGGATGGCTGCTCTTCTAGATGCAACACTCGCCTGGCCGGTGCGTTGGAAGAGACTACGTTGACTCGATATGATGTCAAGAAAGGATGGGGCAGCTTGACCAGAGGATACTGGTGTGGTGAAGCTGATGTGGAAGCCATGTTGATGGTAATTGGTGATTGTCTTACAGCAGTGCTGATCTGTCAATAGCAGCAAGACAAGAACCTACAACGAGCAACAAGTATATTTTGGACACCCTGATGGACTTCCTCGGCACATGAGTCCTCACTCGACACATGGTCGCCGATCCCGAGGGAGAGCATCATTTAGCCATGGCGTAGTCTGTCTGGCATCATGCCATGTAATGGTAGCGCCGCCCGGTGCCGCATAGCGTTGCAACATGAACCACGTACGAAGCGATGGTGCGTTGGCGGCCTCGATGAAGCGAAAAATTTACCCTGCAAGCTAAGCCGCTAAGCTCGCGCCTTGCAGACGTGCGTCAGACAGCTCTGTAGATCGACTCCAACCACCGAACCTATGCACCATCATCGATACAGGAGTGTGCTTGTGGCGTGCTGTCACCAAGCCTACATGTCGGCTTGACACACAGAATCTAATCAGATCCGAAGAACCTCGTGTTTGCAAGGTTCAGAGACAGAAGCTGAAGATTATCTTGCCGGCGTGTCTGAGCTTTGATGCACGTTCGTCCAAAATCTAATCAGATGGCAGGCTCGTCTGTGCGTTTGACCCCACCCTCTCACCCGCCAAGCTCGCAACGTCAAGGTTCCCACAAACCAAGTGGGCACCAACGACGTCGGTGAGCGAGAACCATCTAATCAGATGCACACACCTCCTGTAGCGTGTCGTGTAGCTCCCGACTCATGTTCGTGTTGAGCTCGCGAACGTGCGCCATGAAAACTCTTCATCTTATCAGATGTTGCGCTATTGTAGCGGATCTGCCATGGCCGAGCATCATGACCCGATGTCGGTTGGGACGGTCATTGCATGTTGGTCTTGCTCGGTAACTTCCACCATGCTTGCTCGGGCCAAGTACGACTGGTGTAGAGACATCAAGGTACATTGATCTGTTGCTGAAGCTGGAAGCCGAAGTCAATAGCAATATCATCACCATCATCATCATTTTCGATATCTCCTTGAACCCAGGAATTCGCAAATATGGGTCTCAGAATCTCTGACCATATGCAGTATCGAAAGAACCAAGAAGGTGGCCTTGTCAATGGATTCTGTGCAGACTCTGGTGTCATGCGTGAGATTCGATGCCTACATGCCGATCAGTACAGGACGAGGACAGGCATGAGAGAGGACATTATACGGTTGGCATGGTTGATTGTACTCATGCGCACTCGAGAGGGGAGCCAAGTCTCGTACGAATGGAATTATCGTCAGCCTTCAAGCTCAGATTTTCCGGAACATGAGGTCGATGGTGCTCAGCTTATCAAGGGGCTCGATGAAAGCGTCGAAACTGTTTCGAAGAGAATATGGCAGACTTCTGCGCCAACGATGTCGAGCGACCTAGACGTCCTGACTGAGCCAGATTCAATGATTCTGAGCACTAGCGTATTGTTCAAACAAGCTGATGAGCCAGAGGTGTGTTCTATATCAGTCGCTCCTCGGATATCACTGACAACTGTCGAAGGGCGTACTCCAGGTGGAAGTGTCGTACAATCAAGATTCCCCAGAGAGAGGTCGCATCATGGTCAAACCTGTATTGCGGAGCCGGGATATGCTAGACAACGAAGTATCACGATACATAAGGTCTCTCGTGGACACTGTGGAGATCTGTCTTACGAATGACCAGGCCACCATCCAAGAATGTCTAGCACTAACACCAAGTGATTTCGAGGAAATATGGGGATACAACCACGTACTGCCTCCCACCTACGACTTTTGCATGCAAGACATGGTTTCTGAGCGCGCCCAGCAATTCCCAGATAAGGTAGCCGTCGACTCCTGGGACGGTACCTTGACCTTTGGAGAAATCGAACAACATTCGACTTCAATGGCTCAGACTCTGGTCTTAGAGGGTGTGCGACCGTATGATATCGTTCCATTGTGTTTCGAGAAGTCGCGATGGGCGATTGTTGCGGTGTTAGCAACCATGAAGGCAGGAGCAACCTTTGCAATGATGGATCCGTCACTCCCGCTTGCCCGACTGCAAAACATGGCTGTTCAGATTGGCGCCAAAGTCATTGTTTCTTCCCGCATTCAGCATGACTTTGCAAAAACAATTTTGCCAGAAGGAAAACACTTCGTTGTCGAAGATGTTGCTTTCAAAAACACGACTTCTGGAAAGTCGGTCAAACTCCCATCTGTCGACCCCGACACCCTAATGTATATTATTTTCACATCAGGAAGTACCGGTACGCCGAAAGGTGTTACGATCTCTCACAAGACATACACCAGCAGTGCTATCCCTCGAGCGAAGGCAGTGGGCTACACTGAGAAGTCAAGAGTCCTCGACTTCGCATCTTATGCTTTCGATGTCAGCATTGACAGCATGTTCTTGACTGTGGGCAACGGCGGTTGTCTCTGCATTCCCTCTGATGAAGACCGTCTGAACGACATTAACGGTGTGATCAGAGATATGAAGATCAACTACGCGGGCATCACACCTTCTATGGCTCGAATTCTGGATTCGGATGTCATAAAATCGCTTGATGTTCTAGGCCTTGGTGGAGAAGCAGCATCTGCCAGAGATGTCAATTTCTGGGGACAAGACACTAGGATCGTTATTGGATATGGTCCATGCGAGTGTACGATCGGATGCACAATCAACAGCGACACTGCCACAGGTAGAGACTATATATCGATTGGCACTGGAAATGGAGCTTGTATGTGGATCGTCAATCCCGACGATCATGAGCAGTTGATGCCAGCTGGAGCTGTTGGCGAGCTGCTTGTCGAAGGGCCAATCGTCGGACAGGGCTATCTCAATGATCCTGAGAAGACAGCAAGTGTCTTCATCAATGATCCCGGTTGGCTCGTCAAAGGTCATAAGAGTTACGCCGGGCGTGGCGGTCGACTCTATAAGACTGGAGATCTGGGAAAATACGACCCTGATGGCTCCGGTGGTATCATCTTCGCTGGTCGAAAGGATACCCAAGTCAAGCTTCGCGGTCAACGTGTCGAATTGGGCGAGATTGAGAGTCAACTTGGGGCCAGGCTACCCTCTGGCACTACGGTGATCGCCGAAGTCGTTGTACCTCAGGGATCAGGAGGTCAAGCCACCTTGGTAGCCTTTGTCGCCCCTGTCGCCTCGAAAGGACATGGACAGACTGATATCAGCTCGATTCAACTCCCAGACGAGTTTCGTGATGCACTTTCTAAGGCCGATGCAGAGGTTAAGAAGGTGCTTCCTCGTTACATGGTGCCCACATCATATATCCCAGTCAACCATATCCCAGTATTGATCTCTGGTAAGACCGACCGCAAGCAATTAAAGGCTTTCGGCGCCACTGTAGATCTGAGAGACCTGGATCAAGGCTCTGCTGATGCAGGTCGCGAGCTCAGCGACTTGGAAAGACGTCTTCAACAGGCATGGGGTCAGGTGTTGAACCTGGATGCTTCAGGCATTCGTCTCGAGGATAATTTCTTTGCTCTCGGTGGCGACTCGCTGGCTGCGATGAGGCTGGTGTCAAGTTGTAGAGCACAAGGGCTTATTCTGTCCGTCATCGACACTTTTGGTAATCCCAACCTCTCCGCCATGGCTAGCGTTGTCAGAACCGGCGACGCTGAAGTGAAGAAGGAAATTTTGCCATTTTCTACTATCACGCGTTCTGTCGAGGAAGCCCGTCTCGAAGCATCACAAGTCTGCAGGACTGGTGTTAAGAGTGTCGAGGATATCTATCCCTGCACTCCTACACAAGAGTCTCTTTTCACTTTCTCCCTCAAGTCCGTTGAGCTATATCTCGCACAAAGAGTTGCTGTCATACCTCAAGGCATGGATGTCAACGCATTAAAACAGGCTTGGGAGAAGGTTGTGACTGCGAATCCTATTCTACGCACTCGTGCTGCACAGTTACAGGAACCTGGGCTACAGCAAGTAGTGCTCAAAGAAGGTATTTCGTGGAGACACGCAACTAATCTCACTCAATACCTCGAGAGCGACAAAAACGAGAGAATGGATCTTGGTGAAAACCTTGCTCGCTACGCAATCATCGAATCAGCTGGCGATGACAAGCGATACATGGTCTGGAGTGTTCACCACTTGCTTTATGATGGTTGGTCAGAGCCTCTAATCCTCAAGCAAGTCAGTGATGCTTTGCAAGATCAAGCCACTGAGATTCCAGCACGTATGAGAGACTTTGTCGAATATGTTCGCGAGACTGACGGAATTGCTATGGAAGACTTCTGGCGACAAGAGCTGAAGGGTGCTTTTGGACCTCAATTTCCTCGTATGCCATCGAGAGATTTTGTACCAACCCCCGATGCTATGGTCGAGCGAATCATTCCTCTCGAGACTGGTGCTGGATCGCCATTTACACTGGCAACTTTGATCCGTGGTGCATGGGCGCTCGTAGCCTCACAATACTCTGGAAGTGATGATGTCTTGTTTGGCGAGACGCTGACAGGTCGTGACATCGCACTTGCCGGAGTCGAAAGTATTGTTGGTCCTTTAATTGCTACAGTACCCATTCGCGTCCGTGTCAACAGGGCTAGCACTCTTGAATCTTTCCTGCAGTCTGTTCAGCAAAGCATTCTTGCACGTACACCTTATCAGCACATGGGATGGCAGAACATAAGGAAGGTCAGCCAAGATGCACAACATGCTTCAGAGGCACCGACTGGTCTAGTTATTCAGCCCGAGCCAGAGTACGTTGGCAACGATCTTGGCTTTCAGCTCGGAGATGTGGTTCGTGAAGCACTGCATTTTAATCCTTACCCTCTGATGGTTGGTTGTGGCATCCGGAAAGACGGCTTCAGGGTCTGCGCCAATTTCGACAGTAGTCTGATTGAAGTGCCACAGATGGAGCGTATTCTCGCACAGCTTGAGGTCGCTTGTTCGCAACTGACAAAAGATCTTACGAGACTTGTCGGCGATGTCAGCTGTCTTCCAAAAACAGAGTTGGATCAGATCTGGCAGTGGAACCGAACTCCTCCCTTGGCTTACGACGAGTCTTCTGGGCGCTTTGGTACAGATGCCGGCGCAAAACAAGGCTCCATCTACCCTCTTGCCATGGTGGCGTGGGTATGCGACTCTCGCAATCCTGCCTTCCTGACGCCCGTCGGCTCTGTTGGTGAGCTTTGGCTCGAAGGGAACTGCCTCTTAGGTGACGTTATTGAATCGCCAGCTTGGCTGCTTGCTGGAAGCTCCTCTTATCCCGGTCGAACCGGAAAGGTCCAAGCTACGGGTGATCTGGTCGAGTTGCGTGCTGATGGAAGGCTGATGTTCGTTGCGCGCAAGGACAATTTCCTGCCTATTCAGGGCCACGCAGTCGACTTTGCTGACCTCGAAGCACATGTCGCGAGATACCTACCGCCGGCTACCCGCGGCGCTACAGCAGTCAGAGAATCTTCAACAGACGATAACCAGGAGATCGTGGTCTTCATCGACCAACGGCCCTCGCTCGAAGACAGCGTCAACGTTCTGTCCGGAGACCATCAAGTCGAGGGAATGCAGACGGTCATCCGTGCTAGCATTCCAGTTGAGCTTGCTTTCGCACTGAAGAAGCTTGACAAATACATTCACGACTCGTTGCCTTCTTACGTCGCACCATCCGCATACATCGTGGTTGATAACCTGCCTACCAATAAGGCAGGCCAGATTGACCATGATGCGCTCAACAGGCTGGCTTCCAACACCTCCTCAGACATTCTCGCTCAGCTACGTGAAGGGCTTGAGATGGCATGGTCGGCCAGTACAGCTCATACCAAGTTAACAGTACCAGAAACCATCCTTAGAACTGCCTGGGCCAAGATATTGCGTATTGACGCAGAAAAAATTGACGTCGATGACAACTTCTTCCGCCTCGGGGGCGATTCTGTTTTGGCAATGAAGCTAGTTTCTAGCCTCCGCTCTCGAGGACATGCTCTATCGGTAGCTGACATCTTTCGACACATGCGTCTTAGTGACGCAGCCAAGGTGATGAAGCTGGACGCTGTGGAGAAGGCGAAGAAACAGACACAGCTCTACAAACCATTTTCCACACTCGGCATGTCAGATGTTGAGAAATTCTTGTCCGATGCTGTCAAGCCCAAGCTTGCAAACTCGAGCTGGATCGTTCGCGATGTTCTGCCTGTGACCGATACACAGGCACTTGACATCAAGCAGACTATCTCACCTCCACGAACATCGCTTCAATATTCCACCATGATCTTCGATCAGGGTATGAACAGCGAGAAGTTGTTCGATGCCTGTAAGCAGCTTGTTCAGACACAAGAAATTCTGCGCACGGTATTCATTGAGCATGACTCAATCTTCTATCAAGTTGTGCTAGAAGAGTTGGACGAAATAGTTGTCTGTGAGCAAGTTGAAGGAGATGTGAAGCAGCAAATCGAAGCTCTTTGCACTGCAGATATCGAGCAAGACTTCCCACTGGGCAGTAGCTTTGCCAAGATCACACACGTCAGAGCCAATGATGGCAAAGAGGCTTTGGTCTTCCGTCTCTCACATGCACAGTACGATGGCGTGTCACTGCCCACTCTCCTCACAGACCTTGAGACTCTGTACAAGGGTGGCAAGATCGTTTCTGAGCCTTTCGCAAACTACATCTCAGCCACTCTCGAGCCATCTGCACAGAGCAAATCCTTAGACTACTGGAAGAATCTTCTCTCCGGCTCCTCACTGTCATCCTATGGCACCTCTACCCGCGAAAACGAAAAAGGCATATTCAAATCCACAGCCGTGGATATCGCAGACAAGCCCTCAGACGTAACAACAGCGAGTATCCTTACAGCAGCATGGGGAGTAGTCCTCTCTCGCCGCATCCAGACAAACGACATCGTCTTTGGCGCCGTGACCTCTGGCCGCAACATCGCTGTTCCAAACATCGAAGCTGTAATGGGTCCTTGCTATCAATTTGCTCCTGTCCGTATCAACCTCACCACATGTCAAGATACGAGCACGCTTCTCCGCAACATAGCCACTCAACTCGCTGAATCCAGCTCTCACGATTACATTGGCTTCTCAAAGATTGCAGCTGCCGTGGGCTGGGAAGAAGCTACTGGGTTCGGAAGTCTTGTACATCATCAAGATGATGAAGATGACGTCGACACAATGCCTTTTGCAGACGGCGTCTGCAATGTCGATCTGCTGAAGCCACATGGGGATTCTTGTGTTCCCTTCAAAGTTGTTAGTTTTGTCAAGGGTGGGGAGACACATGTTGGTGTTGTTGGAAGCGAGAGTGAAGTGGCACTTGTAGACGATGTGCTTGGGGAGTTGGTGGGAGCTGTTGGGGAGGTTTTGGGTGGTGGGAAGTTGAGTGTTTAGAAAAAGGTAAATGTGGATGTGGAGACTGTATTGGTTAGGGTCAAGAGGAAGTTTGTAGACAGTAAAAAGGTATATGGTTTTTCTTTACGTGTGTAGATGCTAGAATTACGACTGTGTGGTATGAGCATGGTAAATGTGGTATCTGGGTAAACCACAGTGAAGCTGACCTAAGGAGCTACTGCTAGGGCAAGCCGGATCGGCAAGTTTTGTTTTCGCCGAAACTTGTTGTAGGGACAACCCTGCTTGATCACCATCGCGCATATCAAATCTGACTCTTTACCAGCAGCCATACCCCGACTTCTATCGATGTATACTAGTAACCTCTCGGCCGTTTAAAGGGTGTTTGCCAACATTTTGGCCCAGATTGCTGTGACTTGAAATTCTCCTATGAGATTTAGGGAAATCTGCCAGGCATGTTGACTTGGACCATCACTACCCAAACTATGTCCCACGAAGTTTTGGTCAGACAATCAAACATCGTTTGATAGACCATGCATCACACTAAATGACTCATCAGCCAAGCGATATTCCTCTGAAGTAATCTATTCGAAGAAGTGGTCTCTAAATCCATCACTGAGATCTTTCTCGCTGATCTCGTCATCAAGATCGAGCATCCTGTTGAACTCTTCGCTACCTTCGCTTTCGAGTAAGTCTATGAACGCTTCCCGTTCCTCGACTGATTCAGCTTCATCCATTCTGGGCTTGATCCAGTCTCGGAAGAAAGTGTAGAAGTGTTGCAAGACACTTGTCCATAGGTGGTTGCGCTGACGGTCAACGATGAGGAAGCTTCCCTGTTTTCCTCGCCAGTATTTGTCGCATTGACCCCAGGTGGGACTCTCGGGATTCAAATCGGTATACATGGCATCGATGACTGGGTGTCTATTCATCTTGGCGGCTTCGTTCGTTCTTGAAGAAGATTTGTATGGCTCAATGTTGGCCATCAGACAGGGTAGTCCATCAAGTACCTCCCAAAAAGAAGTAGGTGCATCGCCAATCGAATACAGTGGGAAGCGTGCCGGCACACTGACAACCTCGAGGGGTGGTCTTCCAGAATCTACATCAGCTTGACAATTCGCACGTATGCCTCTTAGATTGCGACGAAGCCTGTCAATGACATGTTCTTTTGCAAACTTGGTATTGCTTCCGATACCATCAACAGCTGAGCCGAAGCCTTCTCGCCAGTGTTGGAACCAGTCCACGACATCTCTGAAATCAACCAGATCGATGTCTTGGTAAAATTTGGGGTCAAAGTCCGTACCAGCCATCGTGGTTGCCAGAACTGGGCCAGGGTAGTCGTTCCAAGCTCCACCTCCGATGCCCATGATGGATTGGTTGCATTGATATGCTCGTCCATCAGGCACGAAATCACGAGTGATCAATTGAAGCGAGCGATCCTTGTAGACTCCACCGCGGAGGTTGTTGCCTCGTATGATCTCGACGTGCATGCCTCCACCATAGTCGCCATCGCCAGGTAGCCTCAAGAAAGGTTCGTGATCGGGCATCTCAAAACCATGAGTCATTTCAGTGTCGAGCCAGACGAGAAACGGCTTTGTAGCTCTACTGCCGTCAGGCAGCACACAGGGAAAGAATATCGCGCGTCGGACATTGGGTTGATCGGCTGGTCGTTCGGCGAAGTTGCGAAAGCTGCGACAGAGTATCTTGTGTTGAGGCCAATCTGTGAGCTGACACTCTACAGAGCAGTATGCGGTCGACTTGCAACCTGCACAACTTTTCGCGCCTGGATTATTACAGATTGTACAGGCAGGCATGTCCGCGTTTTCCAGGGAGAGTCAGTCGAGAAAAAAAAAGCAATTCAAGAGACCCATATATCAACCCACAACACGTTGTCCAGGCAGTCGTGACTGAATCTCGCACCGCGTTGTTGCAGATACGTAAATTGCGTCAGATGGCAGCAGAAGTGAACTCAATTTATCGCAGGGTTTATTCGCACCATCGACCCATTGCCAGTCGCGATATTCCCGCGTCTCGAGCATACTGTTATGATCCTTCAACCAGAAAAAAGTGAGTAGCCACCGACGAGACATGGTTGTACGATTGGCAGCGGCCAGAAGTCGTGGTTCTAGGATTATCATGGCAGGAACGTCTGGCGTATGTTGATCATCATGCATTACTATTATTACAAATTATATCCATCACTACTCATACCATAGTCTGTCGTACTTCAATCGTCAACACGAGTGAACTCTTTCGGGACCCTGAGGTGGTCCCAGCCTTGCAACACCTCTTCCTCCTTGACCGAAGCTTTGTCATCATTCTGTCGAAGGTGTTGCAACTCCATGAAACACTGCCAACCCCTTCTGCCTCTGATCTGTTGGTTGATACTGTTGCCCTGCGCATTAGAAACCAGTGCTAACGCTGCGTTTCCTAGTGCTCGGTCTCCTGAACGTTCTCCTTTACCTCGGAGTGCATCCAAGAGAGCTAGACTGTTTTCGTTGGGAGTGTCGCGTGTCTTCCAGCCGTTACGAACGGATCTTTCGAGTCCCTTGAAACCGTAGCCAGGGACACCCAGGGCCGCGGCCGAGCTTTTCGAGACGAACCCGACCAGACCTCTGCCAGTTCCTTTGGTAGCACCCCAAACCCTAGCTCCGACTCCTTCGTCGCTATGTCTCTTGTAGCCCCGGACAGGCTGTGTGACGATACCTGTAAAGGCGTCGTAGAAGCCGAAAACGAGCTCCTGGAAGCCGACTTTCGTTCCCGACATGACTCCGCTGATCTCACCGCGGACTCGAACAGTATCATCATCTGCATCAAAGGTTAGTATACATCGGCACGAGCAAATATGCAAAGTCGACGTACCCATGAAATGATAAGGGAAGTTGTGGAAGCCTGCAATGTCAAAGTCAGCATGTTGCTCATATGTGCTGTGTTTGCATATCCGGGACATACCATTGGCCATATTATACAGGAGGTCCACAGGTAGTCTCAGAGTGTTCATGCCCAAGGAACCACCGAACTTGCCGATAGCTTTTATGGCTCCTGGTACTTCTCCAGCAGCCTCAGCATCGCCAACCATAATGTGGTTCGCTGGCTTATCCGCCTTGTTAGAGTGTAGATCCTTGCCCAAACGACTGAAGCAGTTCTTGTATCCGACTCCTGTCGTCTCGATTGCAGCGAAGATACCAATAACAGGTTCCTGGGCGCCTTTCTCGACATACCAGCGCTTCTTCCGGATCAGCTTGAGATGCTGAGGCTCGAGTTTGCCATGGTCGACCAGGATGCCAGCGGCAAGAGCGCTGAGTCTGACGTTAGTTCTTCTCACGCGGTATACCGCCACTTGATCAGGACACAAGAAACAGCCAATATTTTTCATCTGCTGTGTATCGTGGAACATTTTGGCGGCGGTCTTTGCACCAGTTTCTTCCTTGATCTTGGCGGCAAGTTCTTTTGCGCGCTCTTTTGTCTCGGGCTTCAGAGCTTCTCTAATCTGGTTGGCCAGCTTGTCGGCGTCCAGCTCCTTGTAAGGTATAGGCGACGGTCCGGCGCCGGCTCGGTGGATCATTTCTCCCCACCACGGTTGATCACCAAAGAAAGGCTATGATTGTGTCATGTCAGCAAACTTCACTCAAGGGTATAATGAGGCCACCTACCACAACGACAGTGGGACATCCAAGACTGATACCAATCGCATTGGTTCCAGCACCTCCGTGATGGACTACAGCTGAACAGTGAGGGAAGAGTTGATCGTGTGGGACATTACCAAGCAGGAAAACGTTATCAGGAACGTCTTCACCACCGATGCCACCCCAACCTTTGGATACCAGAGCTCTGACTAAGGATCATTGTCAGTATTGACTCTGCATGGAGGAGATCTCGAACTTACTACCGAGCTGTTTTACAGCATCCAGAATCATATTCGTCATTGCTTCCGGATCGTCAACAACGATCGAGCCAAATCCAATGTAAACTGGAGGATCGCCAGCGTCCAAAAACTTCTTGAGATCGTCATCGAACTTGAAGTCTTTCTTGGGGTCCATGAAGAAGAAGCCACTGATTGTGATATGCGAACCCCAGTCTTCTGGTTTCGGGATGAGTGCGGGTGACCAGCAGTATGTGAATGGCACCTTTAATTGAGGCAGCAACTGATGAGCCCAGGCAGCATGTAGAGGGTCCAATGCTAGCGTATTCTCTCTGAAGTCGTTGATCAAGTCTATCAGACCTTCTGATGTGAGTAGTTCCATGCTGTAGTACGAAAGATAGTTTGCGAGCTTCCTGTCTCCTTTGTCGGTATCCAAGTTAGCCAAAGGATGAGCGAATGCAGTTGTCGGGCTCCAGGGCATGGTGAACATCATGTGCAACGGTACAGCCAATTTCTCAGCGATATGGATGTTGGCATATGCAGGTGGGTTACTGATGATGGCGTCGGCGACGAAAGGATCCGGTAGCTTCATGATAGTCTCCGAGCTGATTTTGTTCGTTGCCGGAAGTTTGATGGGATCCATTCCATTTCCGGCTTGTGTACACGCTCTCCAGCAACCTTCCAACATCTCTGCGATCTCTTCACGACGATCACCAACGTCACCAGCTTTCATAGACTCGAAGCTGGGAATCACACCAGGGTTACGAACCATGTATGACATGAGTTTCTCGGGATCACCGCCAATGGAGTGGAACTCGAGTCCGTTCTCTTCGACAAAGTCCTTGAAGTTAGGATGCGTACAGATCCTCACACGGTGGTTGTACGGCGCTTTCTGCAAGACATTTCCCAGGGCGACAAAAGGTTGAACATCTCCTCTGCTACCAGTAATGAGAATTGCAACATTCATGCGAGGTACACCCTCGAATCCACGGAGATCAGGTTCGAAGTCGTCTTTGCGGGAGCGCCAGTGGAGCGTTGCGCGCTTTGGCTCGCGCATTTCACTTTCGTCGGGATTCTTCTTTGCCTTCTTGTCCTCATGGTGGAATTTTCTCATGAGCTTGGCCTGCAGTTTCTCATCGAACGAGACGTCGGCTCGGCCATCATCCTGAATCTTCGAGTTGTTCCTTTGAAGCTTCTTGTCCGATCCAGAGAAGCAGGAAGACATTGCTGATGCCCTGTTGGAGTGGCCGCGGTTGGTCGCAAATCGATTCGTGTGGTTGTGAGCTGTACAATACGAGGATACACGATGGCTAAGGGTAATGAAGGACTGTGTGATGTCGTCGCGAAAAGCTGACCAGCAGGCACACTATGACATAGTGGATCAAATAAGGCTCCGAACAGGGTTCACCGCGGACAATGATGGCCGGTAGCCTTGTGGTCATCGACAACGGTTCTGACATTTCTGGCTAGTACACACGATCCGACATGAACGCTGCAACGATTTGCGAGCATTGCCGAAATACCCTCCGCTATGTGCGAATTCGTCGAAGACCAGCCTCCAATTCATATGCAGTTGCCAGCTGCAATTCTTTGGAACAGAGATTCCAAGATGCATGATGTCGATTTCGGAAGGCGGCGGCCCTGATGCGCAACGGTCAGGCAAATCTTAAATCTGTGGCATCAATACCCGGCGGCTCTAGAATCATCCCTGGATCTTATATCCGCTGCATTCCGTTACGGAGGCAATGATGATGATGATGCATCCGCAAGCCATTGACTCGTTTGCTAAGTCATCGTATATGCACGAATGATTCGGTCATCGAAAGAGCTGCTACGATACATTTTTCTGTGCTCCAAGCCAAACGTCCGTCAGCTGTTCGATGCAGGAACCTTCTAGATCGGTAGCCAATCGGCCCTCGATAAAGCAGAACTAGGCGCGCATGCGATCTAGCACCGTTGATCCTGTTTAGGGACTCTCCCCAAGTTTTCACCGCCCATCTCTGTGAAGGAACGAGAAACTCTAACAAAACCGAGCCACAGCGGTAATAAGTCGTTAGAATGTTGACAACAAGCTCATATTTTGCAAAACAACAACTGAGAGCGCATACCTCGCGCACTCCAAGCGCGAGACTCGGGAGACTGCCAGGCGATGTTTTCTGTGTCTTTCTCATCGTGCTCGAAGTCTTATGGACCGTATCGACGCGGTGGACAAGTCTCCGTGCAGTGATTCTTTGACTCTCATGTTTCGACCTCGGTCCAGTCTTGCTTCTGGAAATTCGCACCCACCGCAATGACCGTACAACGGACATATTTGGCACCGACTTCCCGACAGGATCAACAAAGTAGGTAGCTATGTGGTTGTTGACCTATCATCGCTACCAAACGCATATTTACGTTCTGCTATCGAAAGCCAAACCGTTGAAGAGCGGCGAACGGGGCTTCAGTGTTTAAACAGCTGCCAAAAAAACAGAATTGAGTTGATAAACCTCAAAGTGCTTAAACAGTCACACCATTTCGACCTGTATACGTCCTGACCCTAACCGACAATTGTGTCTTCTCCTCAAACTCACGGCTTGTAGTACGATGGCAGACAACGTGGACAATCCTCAGGATGATGAACCTAGCCAGGGCACTGTTGGACGACTACGCAACATGTCTGTCAGCGCCGCCAATAAAGTCATCAATCTCAACCCTCAACTTGGAATGTGGAAAGCTACAGGAACAGCGATTGCGCACGCCCCGAACTTGAAAGACCTGAGGTCACCAGTTGTTGGTGGAGAGAATATTGTCTTTGACGAGGACGGGCACAGTGCCAGAGTAGCCCACGCCGAAGACTTGAAGCAAGATTACCTTGTTCGAACTCAGACCCAGCAAGAGAGGAAAAACACAAACACATCAATCTCGCCTTCGGAACCAAGGACGTCTACGGACAAGAATGCAAGATCTGAGCTCAACGGCGCACAGAGCCCTACTTATGATCCGCCAACACACGATCTGGAGAAGCACAAAGTACCATGGAGCGTGGCTGTCAAGCATGGCTTCCAGGCAGCCTGGAAGTTTATCAGCACGCCCACTGGCTTCTTGATCACCATCTATGGACTCAATGTCGTAGCCTGGGGTGCCATGTTATTCTTCCTGATCCTGAAGGCCGCACCCGCGATGAATCACCCCGACAACGGTGACGCGGACAGCTCGCCACGTAAGATCTGGCTCGAAATCGACTCGCAGATCTTGAATGCCCTTTTCTGCCTTACAGCATTTGGACTCGCGCCTTGGCGATTCAGAGACTTGTGGTGGTGTGCCTGTTGGCGTGCTGGCTGGGGAGGCGAGAATGGGCGTATCGCTTTGAAGAAGCTGGCGAAAAGAAATGACGATTGGTTCCGCATGGGAGCCCGACATGGCGAGGAGCACCTCGAAGACGCAAGACCAACCTTTACCGGCAAACACGCGCCACCAACAGCACCATGGAAGCTCGACTTTGTAGTATGGCTGATAGTGTTCAATACTCTTTTCCAGGTTGGAATGGCATACATGATGTGGCACTACAACAGGATAGACAGACCGACATGGGGAGCAGGTCTCTTTATCGGGTTAGGCTGTGGTGTCAGTATGATCGCAGGTGTTATGTCCTGGTGGGAAGGAAGAAAGATCAAGATTATCGAAGGCCCCAAAGTGCTGGTGGAAAGCAAAGAAGAAAGGGAAGAGGAAAGGGAGTATAGTTATTCATAGTATCAAACGAATAGATTTGCTTATACCTTTCCTGGACATCCTTACCCTGGCAACTTGCAGCTAGTTGGTCATCGAACCAGAACAAGAAACATCGTCCTGCATACACATCTCCCTACGACCGAGGGCCTTTCTGGTCGACCGAGGCTGATACGGAGATGGAGGATAAATCAGGCGGAGAAGGCGGAGAATTTTTCTGATAGCTCCATCTTTTGAACGAGCACAATATTGGTCAAATCGATCATACCGTGGTCACTGGAACAACATGAACAGCCGTCCAAGAAGACGGGAAAATTGTTCCAGAGCTTGGAGTCCGAAACAGTCACCTTCAAGGATCTCAGAGGTGGGGAAGAAGGACAAGAATGCAACGCACATGACCCGAGAGACAAGCAAGTAGAGACAAGCAAGTGGGGAGTAAAGCGGAGAGGAACCCAAGGCAGTGGTGAGTTGCAGCGGATAGAGGATCCATCTTCGGTGCTGACGGCCGAAGGAGCGCGGGACAGCAATCCCCCGTTTCTACCCGAAAAGTGACGAAAAGCAGTCGGCTCTGCCCCAAGTGCACTGACAATGTTTCTCCAGGTTCGTCAGGCGGGGTCAATGATAGCCCGAGGATGATTTCATGGATGCTATATAGCTATATGGATGGTATAGAAATATAGTTGATCGAGTTCATCGACTTGAGAGCGGCTCAGAGGCAGTTTTCAGCTCATAATTGTTTCTAGTAAGCCTGTGTCGGCCCTTATCTTGCGCCCTCCGTGCCAGCTTCTCCGATTGGCGGGGCAAGAGCAGCCAAAAGCACCTTGCACCAAAGCAGCTTCCAAGCAAAGGCCGAGATAGCAAGTTGGAATAAGCTCACCGTCATCGCTTTTTCGCTGAGATCCACAAGCTGTGACTCGAAAGTCTGTTTATCAACACTTCCTCTCCCCTTCACTCCCTGCATACCGCATACCTATCTCTCAATTCTTCCAATTCCTCATCACCGAGCTCCGGAAAGCAGCTGCTGTCACATAGCAGCTCTTTGAGGCATTGACCCGCCAACATGTCGGACATCGAAGCTCTCAAGAGAATGAAGGCCTCCAACAACAATGACGAGGCCATTGAAGACGGCGTCGACACCCATACGCGAAACACTGTTCACGAACGTCTACGCGCCAACTCTTCGGTCATGAAGGCCAAGAAGATTCTGGGTATGTCACTCTCTGACGTGCTACACTCTCTGTAATCGCTAACCCTCACATAGTTGCCAACCGTGGTGAAATTCCCATCCGTATCTTCCGTACCGCACACGAGCTTTCGCTGCAGACAGTAGCCGTGTACAGTCACGAGGACCGTCTGTCTATGCACAGACAAAAGGCCGATGAAGCTTATGTCATTGGCAAGAGAGGAGAATACACACCTGTCGCTGCCTACCTGGCCAGCGACGAGATCGTCAAGATCGCAAAGGCACACAATGTCAACCTCATTCATCCTGGTTATGGTTTCTTGAGTGAGAACGCCGACTTCGCTCGTAAGGTCGAGGCTGCTGGCATGATCGTAAGTTGAAACCTGTCTCAAAGCTTCAAAGCTTCGCATTGCAGATGTGCTGATACGCTACAGTTCGTTGGCCCTACACCAGACACCATTGATGCTCTCGGTGACAAGGTCTCAGCTCGTGAGCTCGCCATCAAGTGCAAGGTTCCCGTTGTCCCCGGTACCGACGGCCCCGTTGAGAAGTTCGAGGAAGTCAAGGGCTTCACTGATAAGCACGGCTTCCCCATCATCATCAAAGCTGCCTTTGGCGGTGGTGGTCGTGGTATGAGGGTCGTCTGGAAGCAAGAGGAGCTCAAGGAGGCTTTCGAGCGTGCTACATCCGAGGCCAAGTCTGCCTTTGGTAACGGTACCGTCTTCGTTGAGCGCTTCCTGTACCGCCCCAAGCACATTGAAGTTCAACTTCTTGGTGACAGCCACGGAAATGTCGTCCACTTGTTCGAGCGTGACTGCAGTGTCCAGAGACGTCACCAAAAGGTCGTCGAGCTTGCTCCCGCAAAGGACTTGCCTGAGGAGACCCGCCAGGCCATCTTGAACGACGCAGTCGCTCTTGCCAAGTCGGTCAACTACCGCAACGCTGGTACCGCGGAGTTCTTGGTTGACCAGGAGAACCGCCACTACTTCATCGAGATCAACCCAAGAATCCAAGTCGAGCACACCATCACTGAGGAAATCACTGGTATCGACATCGTCGCTGCTCAAATCCAGATCGCCGCAGGTGCATCGCTTGAGCAGCTGGGTCTTACTCAGGACCGCATCTCTGTCCGCGGTTTCGCCATTCAATGCCGTATTACTACCGAGGACCCTACTAAGGGCTTCCAGCCTGATACTGGCAGAATCGAAGTCTACCGTTCCGCTGGTGGTAACGGTGTAAGATTGGACGGAGGTAAGCTACCAACAACTTGACTAGTCCAGTGACATCTTGCTAACATGGCCTCAGGTAACGGATTCGCTGGCGCTGTCATCACCCCTCACTACGACAGCATGTTGGTCAAATGTTCATGCCATGGATCTACTTACGAGATCGTCCGCAGAAAGATGCTTCGTGCACTGGTTGAGTTCAGAATCCGTGGTGTCAAGACCAACATTCCCTTCTTGGCTTCTCTCCTTACTCACCCTACCTTCATCTCTGGTGAATGCTGGACTACTTTCATCGATGATACTCCCGAGCTGTTCGCCCTGGTCAACAGTCAAAACCGTGCCCAGAAGCTTCTCGCTTACCTTGGTGACCTTGCCGTCAACGGCAGTCAGATCAAGGGTCAGATTGGTGAGCCCAAGTTTAAGGGCGACGTTATCGTTCCCACTCTTCACGATGAGCAGAAGAACGTTCTTGATGTTTCGGAGCCTTGCACCAAGGGTTGGAGAAGCATCATTGTTGAGCAGGGCCCTGAAGCCTTTGCCAAGGCTGTCAGAGCTAACAAGGGCTGTCTGATCATGGACACCACCTGGAGAGATGCTCACCAGTCTCTTCTTGCTACCAGAGTCCGTACCGTCGACTTCCTCAACATTGCCAAGGAGACTAGTTACGCTCTTAGCAACGCCTGGGCTCTCGAGTGCTGGGGTGGTGCCACTTTCGATGTCGCCATGCGCTTCCTCTACGAGGACCCCTGGGACAGACTTCGCAAGATGAGAAAGGTTGTGCCCAACATTCCTTTCCAGATGCTTCTGCGTGGTGCCAACGGTGTTGCTTACTCATCGCTTCCCGACAACGCCATCACTCACTTCTGTGAGCAAGCAAAGAAGAACGGTGTTGACATCTTCCGTGTCTTTGATGCACTGAACGACGTTGAGCAGCTTGAGGTCGGTGTCAAGGCTGTCCTCAAGGCTGGTGGTGTTGCCGAGGGTACTGTCTGTTACTCGGGTGACATGCTCAACCCCAGTAAGAAATACAACCTCGAGTACTACATGGGTGTCGTCGAGAAGATTGTCAACATGGGTGCTCACATTCTTGGTATCAAGGACATGGCAGGTGTCCTGAAGCCTAGAGCTGCCACGATGCTCATCGGCTCGATCAGAAAGAAGTACCCTGACCTCCCTATCCACGTCCACACTCACGACTCGGCCGGTACTGGTGTTGCTTCCATGGTTGCTTGCGCCCAGGCCGGCGCTGACGCCGTTGATGCTGCCACTGACAGCATGTCTGGTATGACTTCTCAGCCCAGCATTGGTGCTATCGTTGCATCGCTTGAGGGCAGCGAGTTCGACCCCGGTCTCAACGCTCACCACTTGAGAATGATCGACCACTACTGGGCCCAGCTTCGTCTTCTCTACTCACCTTTCGAGGCCGGTCTCACTGGTCCCGACCCTGAGGTTTACGAGCACGAGATTCCTGGTGGTCAACTCACCAACCTCATCTTCCAGGCCTCTCAGCAAGGTCTTGGTGAGCAGTGGGCACAGACCAAGAAGGCCTACGAGCAAGCCAACGATCTGCTTGGCGATATTGTCAAGGTCACTCCTACCTCCAAGGTCGTCGGTGATCTTGCTCAATTCATGGTCAGCAACAAGCTGAGCTACAATGACGTTCTTGAGAAGGCCGAGCAGCTCGACTTCCCCTCATCGGTCCTTGAGTTCTTCGAGGGTCTTATGGGACAGCCTTACGGTGGTTTCCCTGAGCCTCTGCGCTCCCAGGCTCTCCGCGACCGCAGAAAGATGGACAAGAGACCCGGTCTCTACCTCGACCCTGTCAACTTCGACGAGGTCCGCAACAAGCTCAAGGAGCAGTTCGGCAGTTACACCGAGACTGACGTCGCATCGTATGTCATGTACCCCAAGGTCTTTGAGGACTTCAAGAAGTGGACTCTGAAATTCGGAGACCTTTCGGTACTGCCTACAAAGTACTTCTTGGCCAAGCCCGAGATTGGTGAGGAGTTCCACGTCGAACTTGAGAAGGGCAAGGTGCTCATTATCAAGCTTCTGGCGATCGGCCCCCTTTCTGAGCAGACTGGTCAAAGGGAAGTCTTCTACGAAATGAACGGTGAAGTCCGTCAAGTGACTGTTGACGACCAACATGCCGCTGTCGAGAACAAGTCTCGCAAGAAGGCCGACCTTGGCGACAGCAGCCAGGTCGGTGCCCCCATGAGTGGTGTCGTTGTTGAGCTCAGAGTCAAGGAGGGCGCCGAGGTCAACAAGGGTGACCCCATCGCCATTCTGAGCGCCATGAAGATGGAGATGGTCATCAGTGCGCCTCACTCCGGTAAGGTCGGAGAGCTCAGTGTCAAGGAGTCCGACTCTGTCGACGGACAGGATCTCATCTGCAAGATCGTCAAGTAATATGGTACTCGGTGGCAGCATGAATCAGACACGGTTAAAGGACGGAGGCATTCATAATATCTAGTAACGGGGCAGAGGAGTTTCCGGGAAGTTCTATGTGACCATTGTATATGACTCTTTTCATTTTTATTTTGGCTACTCTTGCATCAATGCTGCAAAACTCGACATGTGGATATGTTGAACGAGTATGACAGGCAATACGAGATGGAGAGGGTCAAGTGCATTTCCGCGGTGTTGAGTGATGTAGGATAAGACGACCAGATTGGTACAAAGTTATCGTGAGGGCTTGGCGTCTGATCCGTCAGCATGTGAAATGGGTTGAGCGAGACCGGCGCAAGAAAATACGTTATGATTGGTCAGAGTTCGGGATTGGTCATATGCGGGGTTTTGTACATTGATAATCACCTTTTGCGCAATTATTGCTGTCAAGTTTGGCGTAGTTGAATCTTTGTCGCCTGAACAATTCTCTTAACCTCACACTTGCCGCATAACATCCCTCACTTTCCCAAAATCATACAAGCAACCCTTTTGTTTCCTTGTCTCCGAATACAAGAATCCTTCGACCCCACCGACGATCCACTTCGAGGCGTTTCTCTTGCGCTCAGAGCAAACTTGGTACAAGACACCAAGTCACATCTCTCTCGAACAAACCACACCGCACCACATCCCTTCACAATGGCACCCGGAATCACCATTGACAACACATCGGACTTTTCGTTTGCGCCGCCACAAGCAAAGTCGCAAGACCGAACACTTCTCCTCGCGCCACCTTCAATCGCCTCACACCCCGACGCGCTCAACAGCATTGTCGAAGCCCACGATCGCAATGCCACAGACATTCAAATGCTCGACCGTCTCGCGCTTGGCCTTGTCTCTCTTCCCGCTTCCACATACGATCTTGTCCTTCTCCTCACCAATGTTGATGGCTCACGTGAGCCGCTCAACAGAGCAGTGGTTGAAAAGGTGGTGCCTTCGCTCAAGGCTGGTGGAAAGTTGAAGAGCCAGGATGGTCAGTTTGGTGCTTCGGCGTCGTCGGAGCAGACGGAGGCTATTCTTGCCGGTCTGGTTCAGGATGTTAGCGGTGGTATGGCTAAGCCTGCTGCAGCGGCTGCGCAGACTGTCACTCTGAGCTTTGGCAAGAAGAAGAAGGCGAATGCTGCTGCTGTGCCACTGAACAATATCGAAGCTATCAACAAGAGTATTACACAGACGCCTCAGCCTGCTGCGTACTCGGCGCCTGCAGGAGTCGGCTTCGACATGGGCGATGACCTGGACATTGAGTACTACGACGAGGATGAAGAGATGGAATTGCCGACCAAAGAGGAGCTTTTGGCTGGATCTACCATCGACCCCAACACCCTCCTCAGCGAAGAGGACCGTAAACGACCCATCAACATCCCCGAGGCCTGCAAGCCCAACGGAAAGAGAAGACGCGCATGCAAGGACTGCACCTGTGGACTCAAGCAAAAGATCGACGCCGAAGACAAGGCAAAGCGCGAGGCTGCAGACAGCGCACTCAAGACCATGAAGCTGGATACCGATGACTTGGCCGAGGTCGACTTTACTGTCCAAGGCAAGGTTGGCAGTTGTGGCAACTGCGCTTTGGGAGATGCGTTCAGATGTGACGGTTGTCCGTACATCGGTCTCCCTGCCTTCAAGCCTGGCGAGGAGGTGCGCTTGCTCAACAACGATATCCAGCTGTAGAGGCCTCTTTTTCTCATCCCGGCGAACGTTTTTCTCACGAAACTGGCGTTTTTCTTCTCTTAGGGTATGTTGGCTTGGCCGATCTACACTTCACTGGCTTCTAGCAGGAGTACTGGCGTTTGGTTGAGCATGCATGGGTGGCATTTCATGACAACATAGACCAAGTAGCAGACAATACCAAGCAAGACCAATTCTTGGCCCTTCTTCCATCTGTTTTGTGCTGCTCTCCATCCAAGTCTCTCTTGCTCCATTCTGGTCAATGTCTCTTACTCGCATCGACTCTTCTACGCCTCCTTGTCTGTCTTGCTATTCCTTTCCTGTACCAAATCCCAAATATACCCATTGATGAACCACCTCTCCAGCTCCCTCTTTTCCATCTCCTTGGCCCCCTTGACCTCCCCTACACACCCCTCCTCCCCACACAAACACTCAAACCCCCTATCCATCTCCCACTCCGTACTAGGATAAAAGAAACTCAACATATCCCCCTCTTTCAACTCTCTATCCCTAGAAACCCTGACTTCCATTTTGCTAGTGTCGATTTCCAGACTAGGGGCACAGGAGTGATTGAGATAGGTAAATGCAGAGTCGAGGGAGATGTGGGATGTTGGAGATACTTGGAGAGTGTGCCATTCCGGGTGGGGGTGGGGGGTGTAGGATGTTATAGGTGCGAAGAGGGAACCTGGGGGTAAAGAGACTAGGGAGGTTAGACCGTGGCCAGAGGCGTGGGAGGTGTATTTTAGGAGGGAGGAGAGGTTGTTTGCTGTGGTTGGGAAGGCTGGCTGATCATGGTCTGATTTTGTGGTTTTTGTTGTTGTGGATGACATTGTCGGTGGGGTAGATTTCGTAGAATTGTTGGTATTGTAGCGTATTCAAATTCGTTTTTTTTATGCCATGAAATGTCCTTTTGGGGTTTTTTTGGATGTTCGGAAGATGTGATTGAAGTGGAAGGTGCGAAGGAATGATGGTTCGGAGATGCCTGATGACTTACCTTTGTGACGCTGTGCAGTCTATGGCATACGTGTTCTATCACATACCCGAGTTACCGGTTGTGCTTCAATGCGTTTCGTGAAGCTCAAGTTGCCCCGAGGCTTTGTGTCGCATACTCCGAGTATGACAAACTGATATTGATGTTCTCAACCGCACATATATGCCATGGTGCCACTATCGATGTCATTGCTGTCATTGCTTCGTGTCCGTGCGTGGAGAAGGGGTTATCCGTGGGGTGAGTATCTTGTCAGTGCAAGTCAAGGCTCATCGATTGATTCTAGAATCAATGGCACTCTTCGGGACACGAAGATGGATATCGTAGCCATGTCAAACATGGCGTGCCTCGACATCGAGACGAGTATCCAAATCTGGACCCTGAGATAGGCCAAAAAATCCCCATGTCCTGACAAGGAAGGTTTGACAACCCTCGGCCACACAGGTAGGCGGGGTAAGATAACAAAAGATACATCTACTTGACAGCTCACCAAACGCCTTGATCTGACCATCTCATCTCTCTCTCTCTCTTTGCTATAACTCCAAGAGTCTTGTAACAATCATCATGTCAGACTTTGAGACCTACGACTTGGGTGACTTCAAGCTCAAGAATGGCGAGATTATTCCGTCAGCAAAGATAGCATACAAGACTTTTGGGGATAAATCACTTCCAGCAATCATTTATCCAACTTGGTATAGTGGATGTAAGCTTCCTCTTTGCCTTTCACCAAAATGTCCTTCAGGAAGAGAGCTAATTTGACTTGCTACAAAACAGTAATCTCAGACAATGAATGGCTCATCGGCTCCGACAAGACTCTCAACCCTGCAAACTACTACATAATAATCCCAGCACTATTCGGAAACGGCCAATCTTCCTCTCCCTCCAACACATCTCTCTCGCCCTTCCCAAAAGTAACATTTTACGATAATATCGCTGCTCAATATGATTTGATCACAAAACACCTCGGCATTTCTCACGCTTTTGCAGTACTGGGTTGGAGCATGGGAGCAGGACAAACCTACCAATGGGCAACCCAATACCCGGATTTCATGGATAAGATCATCCCATTTTGTGGTTCTGCAAAGACGAGTCTGCACAATCAGGTTTTCTTGGAGGGTGTAAAGACGGCTCTGGTGGCTGCCAAGGGTGGTGTGTCTTCCGGTATCTGTAAAGGCCAGAGCTATAAAGGAGGAAAAGAAGAAAACTGGACCAAAGAAGAAACAGCAACAGGGCTAAAAGCGCTCGGAAGAGTATATGCAGGATGGGGTTTCAGTCAAGCCTTTTATCGCAAACGACTATTCGAAACGGCTTTGGGATACAAAGACTTGGAAACGTGAGTATTTACTTCCCTCCCCCCTTCCCCCCTTGATCCCCCCCCTCAAATCTTTCGAATTGCTAATGCTCCGTGATTTCCCCACACAGCTTCATGGTCGAATTCTGGGAAGGTTGGGCCCTCTCCAAACACCCGGAAAACATGCTAACCATGCTCTACACCTGGCAATCCGCCGACTGTTCCGCTCAACCTCCCTACAAGAATGATTTCCCTGCCGCAATGGCCGCTATAAAAGCAAAAGCTCTCATCCTGCCAGGCAGGACAGACTTGTACTTTCCACCAGAGGATTCAGAGTATGAAGTCAGTTGTATGACGGAGGGCACTGGCAAGTGTGAGGCTTTTCCCAGTATCTGGGGACATTGGGCTGGTGGGCCGGGACAGAGTACAGAGGATGTGGCGTGGTTGGATGGGAAGCTGAAGGACTTTTTCGCTGCTTGAAGTCGTTTGTAGGAAGCAGAGAGAGGAGAGGACAAGAACGAGCGAGAGAGTAGTGGGATGAACGATATGTCTGCTTTCGCTACTTCGCTAATGATGGTTTATGCAACGCAACGATCTAATCCTCCAGCATGTGGTCAAATACGTTGGGGATAAGGAAGAAGAGAAACAATGCGACCAACCAATACCAACGTCCCAAACCGAGAAACACGTGCTAATGTCCCACACCGCCAGCAACCCAATTAGCAAACTCTGGATTTCCTGGTGGTGGGAAGAATCCTTGATCTTGTTGTTGCTGAGGAGGAATCGCATTCGCATCACCTGCTGGCTCTGCCCCTTGCTGCTCTGCTCTGCGTCTAGCTTCCTGCTGTCGCTGCTGGCGATAGTAGACCAAAAACGCTAGCATGGCAGCAAGGCCGACGATCATAAACATCTCCACGAAGCCATCGTCGATATCCGTAGCGTCGTCGTAGAAGTCGTCACCACCGGGCATGTGATTGTGTGCGTCGTCCCAGTCATCGGCTTCAAAGTGGTCGGCGTAGTATGCTGCGTCAGCTTCGAGGAAGTCGTTGAGCCATTGGCTAAGAGAGCGGCTAGGCTTTGTTGCTGCGGTGAAGTCAGTTAGCTAGGTTCAAGGATGTGGTGAGACGGAATAGCTTACAAGGCTCATCTCTGATAGAATTGACACTGCCACCACTGACGCCATTCCACCAACTGCGCAGCCTCAGCTTTGCAAGACTCAACTTTGCGGGCAGATAAGCCTCGGCGTTTGTTCCAAGTGCTTGGTCGTAGAAACGTTTGGCTAGGTGGAAGTCTTGCTCAATTCCAATGCCATTTTCATGCATCCAACCAAGATTCCACATGGCCTGCGCACTTGCCATTCCTTCGGCAGCGGCTTGATAACACATAGCAGCGGTCTCAGGCGAAGCTGTAGTACCAATGCCATCAAGATAGTAGTCGCCCATCTTGACCAGCGCGTCAGTGTTTGACTGCCTAGCTGAGCGAGTCCAGTAGATCAGAGCAAGAGCCGCATCGCTGACTGCGTCAACGCGGCGGCGTAGGAATGGGAAGATGGACGGGAGCGAGTAGCGTGGGCGCGTATGATCAAGGAGATATCCGACATTGGCTTGTGCGGTTTCGTAGCCTTGCTCGGCAGCCATCATGTAGGCGATGATTGCAGTCTCGAGATCACCGCGATCGTAAGCTTCGTTTGCCTCGATGAATGACGAGTGGATAACCTCTGCCTTTTCCGCAGCTATCTTGTAATAGACGGAAGCCACACCACAAGAACGGTCACGACCCACACCCTGGTCGCTCAACTCGGCCAGATAGTAGAAGGCCTCGATATGGCTGTTGCGAGCAGCCAGGTCGAAGTAACTTCTCGCAGTGTGGATATCGCCTTGATCCATAAATAGAATGCCCAAGTTCGTTTGAGCAACCGCAAGGTCTTGATCAGCAGCGGGAGAAAAGTAGTCGGCAGCCTTGACAGAGTTCTGAGGGACGCCCAGTCCTTCCATGTACATGACTCCCATGGAGTACTGTGACAGTGCATCACCATGCTCAATACCACGAGTGAACCAAATCTTAGCCTTGGTGTAGCTCTGTTCTGTACCTTCTCCACGCAAGAACATTCTACCCAGGTAGCCAGCAGCCTTTGGAGCTAGCTTCTCAACAGCAGGTGAAACGTCGGACTTGACCTTTCCAGAAGTGGTCCAGTATAGTCTAGCGACCTGCATGAAATGGTCCTTTGCCTCGGGGAAGTTGCGAGCCAGTCCCCTCGAGCCATCGTAGTAGATTCTAGCAAGGTTGAAGGTGGCCTTGAGGTCGCCCTTTCTTGATTGGAAGTCGAGGAATTCAAGAACGTCGTCCAGATCGGCATACGCATCTGATGTTGGCCCTCCAGTCTTTGCGTTTGGGCCCGAGCTGCTCACGCTAGCTCCTTCACCATAGATTCCTCCATCTTCATCGACCAAACGGAAAGCGTTCTTCACCAACGAGTGGCCACCAGGGGGGCCGGACTTGTAAAAGTCAACGGCCTGTTTTGCGACCAACCTGTACCAATGTACCGACTCTTCACAATCCCTTGGAGTAGCGATTCCAGAATGATGACGGTATGCCAGAGTCATCTGAGAGCGAATGTCGCCCTGCTCAGCAGCAAAGGTATGGTATAGAAGAGCTCTGGCCTGATCTTGCGGAACGGCGTTTCCAATGCCAGTGGCGTACATGAAACCTAGCATGTATTGGGCAGAACTGTTGCCGTTCAAGTACGCCACGGTCTGGTAGTATTCGAAGGCGCGCGAGTAGTTCCTCGGATAGGTGAAGTTGCCGTAGAAGTTCATTTCTGCCAACAGCCACAAGGCATCGACATCCTGTTGTTCGGCCGCATGTTGGAGTAGGGTGACAGCGTGAGACAGAGCGGGAGTAAGAGGTGGAGGAGTATCGTCGGTGGTGAGGAGGTCTTTCTGGCCGGGCTGGTTCATGAAGAGGAGGACAAACAACTCTTTGGCGTAGTGGATCGTGGTGCCCACAACGCCCGATGGCTTGCTAAGGCGTGCGAGGCGACTGGTTGCAGGACGTATCTTGCGTAGAGCCTTCAGAGCGTCCTTGACGGCTTCACTCAGCTCATGTGGCGGCAGCTTGTCGTGTGTCGAGCCATGTTGGCCTTTAGGAATATGCGGCGTCACGTCGGGATGAGATGGATCCTGTTGCTCCAGTGCGACCTTCTGGCAATTGACGAGGGCCAATAAGAGGCATAATAAGAGGAGCGACACGGTTCGCCACGATCCTGTCCTCATTGTGTGATATTTGACATGTCGATGTCGACACAAATGGCCAGCTGGTGACATGGAAGGCGCCTTGATTGCCCTCTACAGCCATCCCGCATCCACTGCGCTAATTCCACCTAATCTCCGGCACCGCGTCATTGTGCCAAATATCTGTATATTCCAACAAACACATCAGGGAAAGAATATATGAGACAAGGGGGATCATCCAGGCACGAGACGGCCATTCATGTACATGTGTGCAAGCATGAAGACCAGCTTCATTGTAGCACCAGGCTTTCTCCATTTCCAACGTCCACCCAATTGACTCCCTCGAACGATCCAATCACCTCGTCGCCCACTGAGTCTTTCCTCCTCGAGCCTGTGTTTCGCTCCTTCTCACTCGCTACAGCATCCTTGACACTGATCTTCTTCCGCTTGAGTAACCAGCCCACAATCCCCGTGCCCTTCTTATCCTCATCATGTGTACCAACCCAGTAGCCGGCCTTTAGTTTCCGTTGCGCTTGCAGTCCATTGTGTGCTCCCAGGTTAAGCTGTTGTGCCGCTCTGAGGCTGACGTCTTCGAGGCCATGCATGAAAGCCAGCGTCTTTATTGGTGGACTGGCCTTGGTCACAAGATCGATGTCCTCGCTATAACTGTGTATACCATGTGGTGTATAGATGACTGCTTCCGCAGCCTCGTCTTCCTCTTCTGGCTCTGTGTATTGGTGTGAGCTACTTCTTCTGGAAGCTTGACCGCTCTGAAGGTTGTTGAAGGTGATCATCAGCGCCGAGTGAAAGTATAGCATGTCGCTGCTCGTTACGAGTCGTGAGATGCCGAGCCACTCGGGCAAAGGGGGTACTGATGTCGCGTGCCAGTCGGGATTGTGGGAGAAGTGTGGTATCGTCTGGACTACGCGGAAATGTTTCCATGACTCGATCAGTGGGATTGCTTTCTGTCGCGGAATGAGTATAAGGGCACACTCTTGATGTCTCGACCTTCCTACCTCTATCGCAAAGACGGGCACATCTGGGTGCACATCTCTCATGGTTTGTTCATGACAGTGGTCGGTGAACTGGTGGCTGATGGCCACAGCATCTATGAATGTCTCAACATGTTCATGACTTGCGGCAACGTCTGCAATGCTCTTCCTGCCTTTACCAAGGCGTAGTCCACTGGCCAGCGACTCTGTCTCGCGGATGAGATCTTCTACCGCAGCGATGCTCGGTACTCGAGGTTTCTCAGAATGCCATTGTTTACTCAACCAACTTGTGTAGTCGGTCTGTGTTCCGGAGAGCCAGGGGTCGATCAGGATGTTGAAGTAGACTCGACCACCACGCTTGGTCGCAGCGATTGGACGAGGAATCATGAGCAGCCATGCTGTGTCGGCACTAAGATGGTGAAGGACCGGTCGACGCATGGCGAGAGCATCACTCACGGCATCTTGCAAGTTTTGATGCAGTTGAGCAGCAGGATCTTCCATGTCGCCTTGTTCAACATGGTGACCGCCTGCTTTGCTTTGCTCTGCCTTCTTTTGCCTGTTTGCGACGCGCCCCATGACATGCTCATGTTTGTCTCGGCCCCTCCCGAAATGTGGGGAAGCTCTCGCCCTCAAGTGATGCAATCACACTGTCTTCCTTGGACCAGCTTTCCGATACAGTTGGAAAAAAGTCTGTATGTGACAGAGGACAAACGATGCCCCATCAGTAAACTCGTCTTTCATGGACAAGGGGTTATTCGTCAAACAAAAGTAGACATCCTTGGGTGCAAATGTCCGGGTCAGAACAGTCGCTGGCAATCCTTCCATCATCCTGCCTTGGCTCATCGTCGACACTGCCTCTTCGTGACGTCCGAAACTTGGGATCTGCCTCGTTCTGCGCCTGCCACCAAGCCACCTTATAAGGAGACCGATCGGCCTCGACTTTGCATTTTCAACGACCTAACAGACTACTCACCCTTTATTGTCTACATTATTCATCATGACCAAGGAGGCATACAATCCTCCCCCTGGACCTCCACCGGGTTGGGCCAAGAGGCAAGAAGCTTCATCTGGATCTTATGCACCACCTCCAGGCCCGCCACCGGGCTATCAGAGACGCGACGAGAGGGCCAGTACGAATGAACAATTTGCCCCTCCCCCAGGACCACCCCCGTCACACAGTCATGACGACCAGTCCGCTCCACCGGACTATGCTCCATGGTTGTCTGTGCCAGACACGAGTCTTCTGCCACCTGCTCCTGCTATGACCTATGATACCTCTCCAACTGCGAACGCCACCCAGTACTCGGCTGAACAGGCTAAAGACTGGTGTAATCGTAATCATCTTTACCCTCCTGGCCAAGTTCCTCGCGCAGTCCATGAGGACTTCCACCGCCACGGCTTCACATTCAGCCAACCTCCGCCAAACTTCTCTGGCGAGTTGACACGAGCCATGCGCGAACGGAACACTTGGTCTGTCCGCACACGTAAGAATTGCGAGGACTGCATCCTGACTACTTCTGCTCCTCTATACTCTGCGGCTTTGAACGATCCCTTGAGGACCCAGGGAAGACCTTTCACAATCTATTTTGAAATCCGTGTGACTCGTATGAGTTCCGATTCAGGCGATGAAGGAGATGCTGGAGTCGCGATTGGATTCGTGGCTCCCCCATACCCTGCCTTCCGACTCCCTGGATGGGAAAGAGCCAGTCTTGGAGTGCATGGTGATGACGGCCGTCGCTACATCGACGACGACGGTGGTGGTCAAGACTTCACTACTTACTTCAAGAACGGCGAGACAGTCGGTATTGGTATGATCATCAAACCGGCACAATTCCCCGGCCGTAGAAGGGATGTCGAGGTCTTCTTCACTAGAGAGGGACAGAAAGAAGGAGGATGGAGCATGTATGAGGAACGTGATGGAGATGACTGTGGCAGTATCGTTGGTCTGGAGGGGGATCACGATTTGATGGCTGCAGTAGGCATGTTCGGTCAGGTCGACTTTGAGGTGAGGTTCCGTAGAGAAGAGTGGCTATATCGCCCTTAAGTCATTGAGTCGTGTACGATGCGCCAAATGAGATAGCGTTTCAGACGTTGGCTTTTACCGCCTAGGCTTGAAACACCCCGAGCATCGGTTTCTCGGAGTGCGAGCTTGAGCTAAAGATTTGAAGAGTCCCGGAGTGTTCGTAGACGAATGGTGATGAACTTTCGTGTGCTAAATTGAGACAGACTGTGATCACTCAAGAACACAAGGAGTTTAGTCTGGGATGTAAAGTTGTAAGAGAAACTGGAAAGCCAAAAATAGAGTGACGCAAGTGGGGGGTCGAAGCTCGTGCATCTCCATCCGATGATTGTTGATTCGAATCAAGGCGTCGCAGGGTCCATCAAAGAAGAAAGTGTCGATTAGCATTCCGTGTCTTTACTCTCCTCGATTTCTCCCACCTCTGCTCCCTCTCGGTTGACTCCATTCACTCTCATCACCAAGCACTGTGCTCCCTCACTGTGCTCCCTCCATACCATCGTCAGACACCACTCCTCTACCCCGCTACACCGCTCTACTTACACGACACAACATGGCTGCCGCCATGATCAACAACGTTCTGGAGAAGCTCCATCTGACCAGTACACACGAAGCTCCCGAGGAACCCAGCCAAGAAGACTACCAGAAGCTCTTGGACAAGTTCACCAAGGCTGGTCAGGAGCAGGTCTTCGCCTTTTGGGATGACCTCAACTCTGCCGAGAAAGGCTTCCTCTACCAACAGCTCGTTGAAGTTGACCCCGAATATGTCAACGACATCACCAAACGCGCCTTGAACCCTCCCAAGACCGAGTCTGAAGACGCCGCACCCAAGCTCGAGCAGCTTCCCGAATCCGCCACTTCTTCCATCTACGACTCAAAGCCAGAGGATCTGAACAGATGGTACACACAGGGTCTGGAGTTCATTGCCCAGAACCAGGTTGCAGTTGTTCTCATGGCTGGTGGACAAGGTACTCGCCTGGGAAGCTCTGCCCCCAAAGGATGCTACGACATTGGACTTCCTAGTCAGAAGTCGCTGTTCCAGCTTCAAGCAGAGAGAATTTGGAAGATCCAGCACCTGGCTCAACACGAGCACAACAAGGAAGAGGTCGTTGTACCCTGGTACATCATGACCAGTGGCCCTACTCGCAAGCCTACCGAAGAGTTCTTCGAGAAGCACGCCTACTTTGGCCTCAACAGAAACAATGTCGTCTTCTTCGAGCAGGGTACTCTTCCTTGCATTTCCAACGACGGCAAGATTTTGTTGGAGACAAAGTCAAAGGTTGCTGTCGCACCTGATGGCAATGGTGGTCTTTACAATGCCCTCTTCAAGTCTGGTGTTGTTCAAGACATGGAGAAGAGAGGCATCAAGCACATTCACGCATATTGTGTCGACAACTGCCTAGTCAGAGTCGCCGATCCCACCTTTATCGGCTTCTCTGCTTCCAAGAATGTAGACATTGCCACCAAGGTCGTTCGCAAGCGCGATGCCAAGGAGTCTGTTGGTCTCATTTTGTCAAAGAATGGCAAGCCTGATGTTGTCGAGTACTCGGAGATTGACAAGGAGACTTCCGAGGCAAAAGACTCCAAGGATTCAAGTCTGCTGAAGTTCCGCGCTGCCAACATCGTCAACCACTACTACTCATACAAGTTCCTCGAGAGCATTCCCCAGTGGTCGGCTGAACTTCCTCATCACATTGCCAGAAAGAAGATTCCCTACGTCGACACTGAGAAGGGTGAGACGGTCAAGCCTGAGAAGCCCAACGGCATCAAGCTTGAGCAATTTGTCTTTGACTGCTTCCCCTTCCTTTCCATGGACAAGTTCGCATGTCAAGAGGTCAAGAGAGAAGATGAATTCTCGCCTCTCAAGAACGCCAGAGGGACTGGTGAGGACGATCCTGACACCAGCAAGCGCGACATCTTCCGTCAAGGTACTAGATGGCTCGAGGCTGTCGGAGCTGTTGTGACGAGTGAGGACGACAACGCTGGCGTCGAGATCTCACCAAAGATCAGTTACGTAAGTACAAGTCAGAATGGGAACAAGAGAGACCGTGCTAACACATACACCAGGGCGGTGAAGGACTCGAGTTCTTGAGCGAGCGCACAATCAAGGCACCTGCAGTGATTGAGCAGGAGAAGCAGTAAATTGGTGGAGTGCATGAGGCGCAATAGGGCGTTGATGGAAGTGGCAGTCACAGTAATGAAACGACAAAGGCGCCGAGTATATTGAGTAACAATCAATCAACAGCAGAGTATCAACGAAAATGCAACAAGCCTCCCAGCCACCGACCACACATTTCACAGCAGGATTCGGCTCATGTATAGCAGATATGCGTGCACGGATCAGGTTTGGTACCTGCAAGCTACCTCTGAAGCCGTCAACGGCGCAGCTAAAGCATGAAGCCTATCTCTACGCGTCTTGTTGACTGCCTCAGAGGTAACCAGATGCAAAATTTATTCACGCTTGACGAAAGTTGATGGGAATGTTGACTGGATCTGAGGTAAAGGCTCGCAGCGGGGGGAGCAGTGCATGAAGCTGGCCGAAAGGTTGGAGTGGGTCTGCCCTCGGCGTTTCCCTCTTTTCGGGCCTCTCGCGCCGCAATCGCAACAACAACAACCGTCCAACCTTCGTTGCTCATCTCAACTCGCTTGTCGCATTGCTTGTATCGTGTTGTCTGGTTCAGCAATTCTTTGGAGCATCTGACTATAGTTTGAATCCGGGTTCCCAGTCAGCAGTAACAGTGTAAGACAAGAAGACGATCCGTTCCCAAGCACCAAACGTGTGGGAGCTATAGACGCTGACGCTGTAGCAGGTCAAGTAATCTCGCAAACCATCAGGTCAGTCGTCTCGTTGGTCGCATCCCACATGCACCCTTCCGTCGTGCCAGTATCCTCGCACTTTCTCAACAGCTTCCTCGTTTCTGCTTGCACCATGTCATGCTCGGCCACCATGACTCGACGCGGTTCACTCGCCATGGCTCCTGGTCGAACATGAGCATCACTCCAACTCTGATCACTACATGTGGAACCACTCATGCGGTTCATCAATTTATGAGGGGGATCAATTGGCAAAACAACACTACAACAAACTTCCAACTGCTTACACCATCTGCGTGCAACATAATCTGACTCGAAGACAGCTTTCCAGCAGAACATCCACCATGTCTTCTCTATCGCGTCGCGCCTGCTACAAGTGTGGCAATGTCGGTCACTACGCTGAGGTCTGCTCCTCGTCCGAGCGTCTGTGCTACAATTGCAAGCAGCCTGGTACTCAATCCTGGACTCTGAAACCTGTTTTGCTATGCTCATCATCTGGATAGGCCACGAGTCAAACAACTGCCCTCAGCCTCGCACTACTGAATGTACGTCATGTATCGTCACACCAGCTTCAGCTTGGACTGTTATGCTGACCTCCACCCCAGCCAAGCAGTGCTACCACTGCCAGGGCCTTGGACACGTCCAGGCTGACTGCCCTACCCTTCGTCTGAACGGCGGTGCTAATGGACGCTGCTACTCCTGCGGCATGCCTGGCCATCTTGCCGTATGTGCATAGTCCGGCTGTCAATCACTTTCCGTCTTGGCTAATCTCATCCTATAGCGCGCATGCCCTACCCCTGGAGCTGCTGCCGGCCTTGGTCGTGGTGCTCCCGGCGCCCGTGGTGGCTTTGGCGGATTCCGGGGCGGCTTCGCTGGAGGTCCTCGTCCCGCTACTTGCTACAAGTGTGGTGGTCCCAACCACTTCGCTCGTGACTGCCAGGCCCAAGCCATGAAGTGCTATGCTTGCGGTAAGCTGGGTCACATCTCGCGTGAGTGTACTGCTCCTAATGGTGGCCCGCTCAACACTGCCGGCAAGACTTGCTACCGCTGCGGCGAGACTGGTCACATTTCTCGTGAGTGCAGCCAGCAAGCTGATGCCAACGGCGAGTCTGCTCCCGTTGTCCCTGCCGATGCCATCGCTGCTGCTCCTCTACCCGTTCAGACTCCCAACCCTGCGGCTGCTATCATTCCCGCATCCGTCTCTGCTTGAGTCATCTTTCAATAGATACCATGCCTCATGAGGACCATCTTGGACTCGGATTAACAAGGCCAGTCCTCATGCTTGATAAACGTCCATCGACAGCATCTTTCATTTCTCGACAACCATTTTCCATACAAGCGTGCTCGCGAGCGGCTTTGACACATACAAGACATTTCTGGGCTTATTTTTACGTTTCCTTTCTCTAAATCGAGCTGGCTTGCTCTCACGACCTTACCATGACCTGCGAAAAAAGTTTATCACGAGATCCCGACCACGATGTCCACATTTTCTTTCTCTTCAACACCAACGACCAGCATTTACACTCGCGGCGTAATCACGCTACGCTGGCACTATACTCTTTTTGGAGAGAGAAGTGCAAACAGGAGAGCAGTTGCCGGACGAAGGCGATGCACAGCGGAGTGCGTGAGAGAGCAAGGAAGGATGGAGAAGAAGAAGAAGATATAGAAGCATCAGGCGGAGAGGGAGAGGAGAGATGGCAGAAGCGGTATTACATTGGCCCATCTTGAGTAGGCGATCATAGACAAATATAGCAAATAGTTGGTATTCTCTTGACAATATTGCCACAGTAATCGCCAGCGATTGCACCACTAGATTTTCTTGCGGCACAATGGATGAGCTTCTCAAGCCGACCTGTCAGGGTGACGCCAAATTGTTGGTCGAACGCGGAACTTCTCCGCAAAGACAGAGCGCGCAAGCCAGACCTTTTCAGAAAATTATCATCCGCGACCAGCTTTCCAACAACCCTACTGTCGCAACATAAACCACGACATCATAATACACCATGGCGCCCGCAACAAAATCAATCAGCAGTAGCCGCATACCAGCGAGCGTAAACGAATATACCATCCTCCCACTCTCAATACCAGCCACCGACTCTTTTCCCCACGCCACAAAACATTACCTCTACCTACGGCCCAATGCGCCCAAAATCCCCACCGACAACACGCCGCGCGAACTGTTTGTCGTAAACCTACCCATCGATGCTACAGAGTCACATTTACGCAGTTTGTTTGCTGAATGTGGTGGTGGTGCTAGAGTTGAACGAGTTGAATTCGAGGGTCAGAGGACTGGAAGAAAAGTTACGGCGCCGGTGACTAGTAAGAGTGGAGGGAGGAAGAGGAAGAGAGGGGCTGAGGAGAAGATGGTCGATTTGCCGGAGATGTGGGATAGGAGGGTGGGGAGGAGTGGGAATACTTGTGTGGTTACGTTTGTGGATGCTGCGGCGGCGGAGATGTGTGTCAAGGAGGTCAAGAGAAACGTCAAGGCTGGCAAGGAGATTATTTGGGGTGCTGGATTGGGAGGAGACAAAGTGCCTGCTTTGGGTGCTGCGAGTGAGTTGGATTTCCCTTCTCCTGCTCATCCTTTTGTGTTGCCGGTCTTTTGCTAACAGTGCGGTGTACAGGATATCTCAGCCACCACACGCTCCGCTTCCCCTCGACAGCAGTCCTTCAAGCCTCAGTCGACGCATACATGACCTCCTTCGCCGAGCAAGAAGCCTCCCGCTCCCGCGCACTCGCTCGCCAACGCGCAGAACCCGACGAAGACGGCTTCGTCACCGTCACACGCGGAGGACGCATGGGACCAGCACGTCAAGAAGAAGCAGAAGAGGCGGCCAAGAAGCAAAAGGAGAAAGCAAAGGGCAAGGAAGACTTTTACCGCTTCCAGATGCGTGAGAAGCGCAAGGAAAAGGCCAATGAGTTGCTCAAGGGCTTTGAGGAGGATAGGAAAAAGGTGGAAGCTATGAAGATGAGGAGGAATAAGTTTAGACCGAACTAGATGGAGGTTGTTGTCCTTCTTACACGGTCTGGCTCTGACGTGCCAGGACGATGGTATATCAAACGACACTTTTAAATTACATCATGGCTAAACTCGAGGATTCACCTATCAGCTTGATGCTCAAATCCCAGAAGCATACAGCGGCTCTCAATGTCAAGTCTGAGGGCATGTCAAAAGCATTCGGTGGCTTCGCATCTTTGATATCAAGATTAGGTTGTACCCGCTGTGCGATACCCTTTTCGTTCGGAAGCAATGCCCTTTTCGTCCTCTCATCTTGTGTTCGTCGGCGTCGAGATGCACTGACTCTCATGTCACCGAGTCCCGAGGCAGGTACGATGCATAGAGATTGAGAAGCACTGACTCTGATGTCAACGAGAGTCTCGAGATTGAGCAGATCCGACGCTTTGAAACAAAGCCTCTGACATTGTTCAATCTCCATATCAGTGCCTTTGATATGGTCCTTCAGTATCAGAGTCGGTATGGTAAGTGAGAGAAGAATAGGGTTGGCTCGCACCGTAAACGACAGGGCGACAGGGCGCGGAGACCCCAGATGGAGTGATGCCTCGGTTCCGAAGTCCCCGCATGTGATGGATGATTCGGTCGTCCGCTGCTCCTGCATCAACTTGGCCGGCCCTTGGTTGTCTTCCGCACTAGCCGCTGAAGATCTATATCATCTTTTTTGCCTTTGTACATTTGACCTTCTCTGCTCTCAAATTCTCACTCGCCTTTGCCTTCCCTCTTTCACACATACACACACATCCACTACACAATATGGCGTCGGCAGCAAGAAGTATCCGTCCGCTTATGCGACCATTGTCCCTCCAGTCGCCTCTACGCCAGAGAGTCTTGTCGAAGCCATGGTGCGTATCCTTGAAGAGATTGTTCATGACATGTACTGACGATCCAACAGCTGGCGCAGCATCTCATCCTCCCAGCCCCTCAGGCAGACCACAACCGGCGAACCTCACGACCTCACAAATGCCATCCCGACACCCCTCTCACACATGTCCGAGACTGAGCAAATGATGCAAGAGTCCGTCTCAAAGTTCGCCAACGACATCATCCTACCCAAAGTCAGAAGCATGGACGAGAATGAGAAGATGGACCAAGACATCATTGAGCAGTGCTTTGAGCAGGGTCTCATGGGCATTGAGATTCCGGAAGAGTTTGGTGGCGCTGGCATGAACTTTACTGCTGCCATTGTCGGTATCGAGGAGCTGGCAAAGGTCGATCCTAGCGTTAGTGTCATGGTTGATGTGCACAACACTCTGGTCAACACTACTCTGCTCAAGTACGGTACCAACGAGAGCAAGCGCAAGTGGCTGCCTCAGTTGGCTACCAACACTGTTGGTAAGCACTTCCTCCCTTCTCTGACTTCTTCTCGCTGCGCATTGCCTTACATGCTTCCACAGGCTCCTTCTGTCTCTCCGAACCCATCTCCGGCTCCGATGCCTTTGCCCTCAAGACCCGCGCCGAAAGGACCGCCGATGGCTACCGCATCAACGGCTCCAAGATGTGGATCACAAACTCGCTAGAAGCAGGCTTCTTCATCGTCTTTGCAAACCTCGACCCCTCAAAGGGCTACAAGGGCATCACAGCCTTCATCGTCGACAAGGACACCCCCGGCTTCAGCATCGCCAAAAAGGAAAAGAAACTCGGTATCAAGGCATCCTCAACCTGCGTCGTAAACTTTGACGACTGCGATATCCCCAAGGGTAACTTGCTCGGCAAGGAGGGCGATGGCTACAAATACGCCATTGGCATTTTGAACGAAGGTCGTATTGGTATCGCTGCTCAGATGACCGGTCTTGCTATGGGTGCCTTTTCCAACGCTGCCAGCTATGTCTGGAACGACCGCAAGCAATTCGGCACCCTCGTCGGTGAATTCCAGGGTATGCAACATCAACTCGCTCAAGCATGGACGGAGATTTGCGCAGCAAGAGCCATGGTCTACAATGCCGCTCGCAAAAAGGAAGCAGGCGAGGACTTTGTCATGGATGCCGCCATGGCCAAGCTCTACGCTTCTCAGGTAGCCGGCAAGGTTTCCGGCCAGGCTATCGAGTGGATGGGTGGTATGGGTTTCGTGAGAGAAGGACTTGCAGAGAAGTACTGGAGAGATAGCAAGATTGGTGCCATCTACGAGGGCACGAGCAACATTCAACTCACCACTATTGCTAAGCTTTTGCAGAAGGAGTATACCAAGTAAAAAAATTGGTGCCTTTCCTTCTCTCTCCTAGAAGACTTTTTTGAATAGAGAAGAAACTTTTTCCAGATGGAATTTAGGAAAAAAAAAACTTGAAAGAACTGTCACAACAACTAATAATCAGTTTTCTTTGGATCCCTTCCTTCTCGCTATCACAAAAGGTGAATTAAACAAACTCGTACGCCTTTGATCACAATAATCAAATTGCCAAAAAACAAAAACTCCCCCTCGTCACAAAACTCTTTTCCCCTAACCATGTGATGGAAAATCAAATCTAAATCATAGACCACTTAAAAAAAAAACATTGAATTCAACCTCTTCAAATTCTTCCCCAAGTCTATAATGACTAAAGAAGAAGAAAAAAAGAAACATATAACAGCAAATGCGAGAGATTCAACGAACAAAGTAAATAGGGGGGGTAAGAAGCGGAACGAATAAAGTAATGCAAGTATAGACTCTAAGAGAGTCTTAGAGAAAAAAGTTATAAGAGAGATATATTTAGGGGGGGCAGTATCTAATGTATTCGTTTACCATTCTTAGAGTTCTTACTCTATTGGTTTTCTCTTTTCGAGGAGAATGGCAAAAGGGGAGGGAGTTATTTGGGAGTAGAGGGGTTTATAGGTGTAGAGAGGGGATGTGGGATATAGGGTATAGGATATGGGGGTGTTGTAGCCAGTTATGGCTTAGTCTCTGGAGGAAGATAGAAAGGAAAAGAAGGGATAGATGTTCTAGGCAGGAAAAAGAAAAGATGGGGGAGGACTGTGGATCTTGAGCACAGTGATATGTAGCTTCTAGGGAAATGATGTCGAGGGTGAAGGGGATCGTGGAGATGGTGAGAGGAGTTTTTGAGGTCTTTGAGGGGGGGGAAGGTGTCAATCTGTGGTCTTTAGTCGTGTGTCTATCTGTACCAGATAGACGTGTAAGAAGAGTTCAGACATCAGGAAAGCACAGAACTGTTGATGGGATAAGAGATGGACTGTAAGAAGGAGGAGAAACAGTGTAGCAAAACAGAGAGGCAGGAACAGTCCAGTAGAAGGGGGAAGGGAACAATCTACAGACGATGGTTTTGATACGAGCTTTGATCTAAGGGGTTAGGCAGGCATGACTGTCAGTAGAGCAAAACGTCAGAGTGACAGAGAAGATTTGAGAGTGCGATAACTATTATCGTTGAAATGCCTAGAGGTGTAAGGGTACGATCTGATATGAGAGATACTTGTGGTCAACGAAGATAGTCAAGACATGTGATGTAAAGGCAGGCAGGTGGATCTTGGAGAACAAGAGATCAATCAAACATGAGTTCGGTTGGCGCATGTGTGTGGGGTTTTGACACACAGGCTGAATGTATTTATGACAGTCGACAGTGGTTGGTCATGTATTCACAGGTCGCTGTGGGAGGTCAATTATTCTCTTGATCGCCGCGAAGGTAATGTGTATCCTCCAGAATATCGAAGTGAATCGAGAAGAACGTCTCCACATTGGCAGTCTTGTTCATCCTTTTTCATTGTGCAATCAAATCAGAAGAATGTGAGCAGGGTCGTCCTCCACACCAATTGACTTGGAGTAATACCGATAAATTCTCACCTATGTTCAGACAACACCCAATCACGTTGCAAAGAACTCCACAATACTGACACACCTGCAAGATAATTGGCCTAGTCCCCACCTTAATCCCATTACTTTCCTCTCACATTTTTGTAAGCGCACCCATCGGGACATGCAATATAATCCCAAGCTCAAGGTTTTTCGTCCTTCATAGGACGATCGCTTGCCAAATCTGATATTTCTCGCATATAATATGCGAATGATTGGTACCTCCCAGCCACACTAACTCGATAGTGTGGTGTGTACGTATCTTGTATCGCATGGGTGTGGTGAATGCGCTGGGTGGGCTCGTTCCTGCCCCCAAGCTGTCGGTAGCGAGAAGACCGATTGAAGAAAGCAATCCAATATTATTTTTCGTAAGCCCGGAAGAGGAAACGTCGAACGTGGTTTGGAGAGAAAAGGGATGGAAATAGAAATACTTGGACTGGGAATGACAGTGTGGGCAATCCTGAAAGGTGTGTTTTAGATTGAGCAGAGCTCAAGCCACTGGTCATATTAACACTTTTTTCATCAATATACGCGAGCAAAGAGTTCCCGTGTATTCGGGAAATTCCTCGACTGAGCTGGTAGCCTTCGTCGATTGTGCCGTCAGTATGGTAATAGACCGACACGAACATACGATGAGAGTCATTCGCTAACAGTCGCTTTTCGTAGTGAGAAAGGGCCGCGACATTGAAAATGTTGACACGAAAAAGGCCATATGAGAACGCGCATGAGCCGCACCGAATGTACCGACAACTTCACGATTGCATCGACGATAACGGTACAGGAGGCAAAGCGAAAGACCGGATGAATGAAACAGCAATGCGGTCTGGGCCTGTAGAGGTCGTGGTGCTGCAGGCAGAATCCACTTCTGCTAACGCAGAAATCTCTGAGAATAATCTGCATGTACGGAACATATCGACGAAAAGGTAATGAGCAGGCAGGATGCGTCTTGCATGCAATTTAGATCTCGGGATACCCAGCACAAATATAGCGGCTGTGCAAAAACACCGGTCCGTCATATCGCGATGCCATGGACCAAGATGAAGAGTTGTAGCTGGACGCAGGGGACGATGCGAGGAGAACCAGTCAGGAAATACTCCGACACCCAACGTATGCTAGTATGCAGAAGAGAGGCAAGGAATATGGTTCGTAACGAGGAGTGAATGCGGTAGAAAAGATGAAAGAGATGCTGCTCATGTCCAGCCTTCACGTGAATCACGCATAGTGAAGAGTTGCGCTGAATCAGGGTGAGTGATGCGAACATGCTTCGTCAATGAGAGTCAGCACTCACCGATACACGCAATCTTCGTGGATCGGCTGGATTGCCAGGCTCTGTGTAATGAAGTTGCTTCTCATGAGAGACGCATACGTATGAGAGAGCTTCAAGCTTAGAGATACCGATATACCAGAAGTGAAATCTGACGAGTATCAATATGCGCACTTCGGATTCACCCTGTAACATTACCATACTTCCGCAGATGGTGCCTGCTGGACAACAGAGATGAACGTTAAGACTTGAGTATCCCGTGAACATGCGTACGATCCTGAACGTATGTACCAGCGTCTGGCAAAATGCAACCAGATAACGTCCACATGGACCTACAAGCCGAGAGGCGAATGAACACCGCTCTTTGAACATCGGCAGTTGCGGTCAGCGAATCTCGGATCTTTCGCAAAGCTCATCTAAGCACTCCAAACATCCTGGCAAACGAGGTAGGCTAACTACAACGCGTGGCATCGAAGCTCTGCTCGTGCCTGTACCGCAACAGACCCACGTGGAAATAGGATTTGGCATTGCTGTTGTAGTCACCGCCTCATCATGGGGACCCTTGATGTTACACGGCTGCATGAAGCGTCAGCACTGGCCGTTCGTTGATCTCGACATTGGGGGAGGAAGTCAAGTTCGGACTGCTGAAGGATTCCGCGTCATTCGGACTTCCCGGCGGCCGAGAAAGACTTGAGACAAGTCGAGTATTCTTCTTGTTGACTTCTGCCAGATTTGCGGGTCGTCAGACTGTGTTTTGTGCGTTTCGAGTGGCATGATAGCAAAAGAACCCGGTTCTGCGATTGATGGGACAGGGACAAGGATGTTTTTGAGTATTCTGTTTCAAGAAGCGTGTTGCAGGCTGTGACGGAAGCGGCCAATATATTGCGAATGGTCCTGTGCGGTATCGATGTCTTATGTGGCTTGCAGACTGCTTATCACTGGCTCTGGTAAGACACGTAATTTGTAGACACATTCTGGATACGCAATGCCGTGCAGCTAGGTTCGTTCGTTTACAGTGGGCAGATGATGATCCGGTACATCTCAAGGAGATTGACGTGGTTTCGAGCAAGCACATTTGACAGCGGCAGCTTGCGTGCGGATAGATGAGGTTGCCTAGCCCTGTCTCTCAGCAAGGATGCCACGTGCGAGAATGAATAAAAGAGGGGAATATTCGGTAACCTTGGCGTGGTTGAGTCCTCCTGGTTTTGCACGCTCATCACCTTGGAACACACCATGCGCGTGCATGAGCAGCAGCAATCCCGGAACCAAGATGGAGCTCTTGGTGTTGCCCTGTAGGTGGTTGGTAGCGAGGGTAGTACAACTGTGTAGGGCTTTTCCAGAAGCGTACACACGTCGCGCTTGCTCACCGATTGGACGCATAACGCCACGTTGTGGCCATGTCGTTGGCCGGTTGAAGGGTTCTGTACAAGCTGCTTCGACTCACGGGCACTGGGTCAGATCAAGATTGTGAGCACGAACAGCGAGACTCAGAAGTGAGACCCAGAATCCAGCACTTTGGGTGGCACCTGAGTCAGCTTGTTGTCCCTGTCAATCCCCACTTGCTCGGTAGGGTGTGGTCGCCAAGAAGACACGAAGGAGAGGGCCGCATTCCCGTCGCGCCGCAAAAAGCTCGGGGACGCTATCAGAGTCGGTCTGGCCGTGCACCGCAGGCTGTGTGATTGGGTGATTCTGACAGCGGTACGCTACCCGAAGGAATGGAGCGGAAGCCGATCTCGTACATTTCTATTCTGTACAGGCATCGGCGGCCGTGTGTCATATCCGGGTGGTTGTCAACATAAATGTAAAGGTCGTCGGGGCACAAGCTCCAGCAGTGTTTCAATTGCTTGTGAGGACGACCGTTGCAATGCACGTGGCTTTGCTCAACTTGTGTTGTTCAATGAAAGCTAGCGGAAACACGGTTCTCCTTGGTTACGTTGCAGTATCTCTGCATGTAGGCTTAGCTTAATATAAGCAGCTCAGGTCCTGGTTGTGTTTTGTTCCAGTCGGGCGGAGTGGGTCGAGTCTTGAATGTGAAAGTGAGCACCATCTTGGATCGTCTTGGAGCACATCACATCACACCTTCAGATTGCACTGGCCCATTCTTTATTTCTGCCATTGCAACTTTGTTGACCGTAGCTGCAGAAATAGCGGCGGCAGACACCGCTGAATCGACCCAGCCGTTTGCACAAAAATGCAGCCGAAGGAGCGCCATTTGACGGAAGGGATATGTTTGTCGTCTAAACTTTCACTGAATGGCTCATTTGTGGTTTTGTATAAAACATGCCTCGTCAAGGCAGGGCGCAAAGCAGGTGTCGCTGGTTCCAGTTTCGCAATTTCCAGCTTGGCTCGATGACCAAAGTCTGTGATGTCAGCACTCGCAAGCCCATGGAGTCGGCTGACCGAATGTGCTGCTAATGGTGTGCTCCTCGCATGAAGAGAGTCAAGTACGTAGACTCTGAAATCTCATGGTGGCCGAGTCTCGTCGCTGGGTCCTCTAGCGATCTAGTAAGTTTTCTAACTTCTCTAGGTGAAGCAGGAGAGGAGACTTGTGTGTGTATTGTATTAGTCGGCTACGCTGAAGAAAACCGACTGCCTGGAAGGTTTGGAGTGGTTCAGAGCGCCGGCCAGTTGGGACAGCGGGCTGTTAGCGGCAAGCAGGGATCTTGGGACCGGGATCCGAGATAACAATACTCTTGCGATATTAAGTTGGTGCTGCAGTGTTTCGGCGCGGTACGCTTAGGAGAGAGGCAAGTGAGCGGAAGCAAGGACTGTCGTGGATTGAAAGCAGAAGCTGGAAAACACAAATGGACCAAGAAGAAAGAAGTGCGAAACACGGGCTGCACGAGGGCGTGTATCTAATCGCCCTTTTGAGAGCGTGATCCGTGGATCTGGGCTCTGTGCAGAGCACAGAGAAACGGTGTGCCTGCCACGTCCTCTAGCTCATTCGCCTGAAGCGCGAGATGTGTCCAAATGGACCGACACCGACGGTGCGGTCAGCCAGTCAGCCGCCAGAGGTGAGACGGTGTCGTGCCGAGCCTGAGCTTCCGACGCCGTACCGGCCCAACTTGAAACCCCCGTCTGCTGTGCAGTTGGTGTTTGGGTAAAGATGAGCACTGAGCAGATGCTTGGGTGATACACAGCAAAAAATGGCGAGATGCGACCCCGTCCAAGGGGGATGCCATCCGCTCGGGCGGTATGCACGAGCTTGTGCTGTAGAACCCCCTTCGATCCACGGCTCCTGCCTGCACCTAATCCTGGCGCCCTTTTATTTTGCTTCTCGTAGGTGCTCTCTTGCCCTTTCCCACAAAACAGATTGCTAGCACTAGCCCGGGAGCCATCCGAGACTTGCGCAGCTTGCCGCTGCTGATGACTTCTCTGCACCCGTCTCTCTGGGAACTCGACTGCGTGTGCCCTTAAAGTGCCTCTGCCCCGCCCCGCCGCCCACTCCCCCGAGCCTTGTCGACGTTCACTACTGCTGCTACTACTGCTACTGCCTGCTGTCGCTGCTCCTAAGCTGCTGCTAACTAAAACTTCGTCTGTTCACGCCCCGGGGCGCTTCGTTCCTCTCTTGGCCTTTCTTTTATTGCGCTTGCTTATAGCCGCCCGCGCGCCGTCCTCGCTGTCATTGGAGATCATGTGCTGTGGCTTTTCTTGATAATGTCTAGAATAGCAGTCGCGTCTCTTGTTGCCCCTCAAGAAGTCTTGTGCGTATCCGTCCCACCCCCTTCTAGCCCCAACGCGTTCCCGTCAGCCCATCTACTCTATCGTTCTTACATCCAACGGTCTGGCATTTTCTTACCTTTCTACTTTTACAGATCCGTCTCAGTAAGAGCACCAATGCAGCAAGAATGGTATGAAGAGAATGGACGTTGGTACCATGCATGGCAAAAGGGACTATACATGTACCCGCATGACGAGGTGAGCCGTTCTGTCTTTAACCTTTGCCAGTCCACGCATTGGCCTTCGTCTTGCTCATGCTGACCTTCTACCCAAGGAGGAACGCCATCGCATGGATGTATACCACAATCTCTTCTATGACAAAGCTGGATTGAGCCTGCATTCCGCGAGGTTGATACCCGAGGTCACTCGTCGTCCCCGGATCATGGATCTTGGATGTGGTACTGGCTTCTGGGCAATCGACATGGGCGAGTACGTAACCCCCATTGACACAATTGGAGACTCAAGACTAATTTCTCGACCAACAGACAATACCCTGAGGGGGAGGTGAATTTATTCAGATCACAAAATTCCACTCCAACCACTGACCAAAATTTCATCAGGTCCTCGGATTAGATCTCGCCAACCTCCAACCTGCCCAAATCCCACCAAATGTCCGCTTCCAAATACCTTTTAATTTCGAAACACCTTACTGGAGTTTGGGACAAGATTCGTGGGACTTGATTCATATGCAAATGCTCTGTGGTAGTGTCTCGAGCTGGCCAAATCTATACGCAAAAGTCATCTCGTAAGCATTGTACAAACATAATCGTCTACTAAGCTGACGCGGATAGACATCTCCGACCCGGATTTGGCTGCATTGAGCAACTCGAGATAGATTTCGAACCTCGTTGTGACGATGGCACACTTCCACCGGACTCGTTCCTAAGACAATGGTATGATTATCTGGTACGAGCTACAGATCAGACGCCCAAAACCATACGCTACTCGCACAGCACCCGACAAGCCCTCTCACAAGCTGGATTCACCGACATCTCAGAACGTGTGATCAAAGCACCTTACCGAGCGTGGTCAACAGATCCTACCGCATTCAATGTCGGCAATTTCCATCAGACTGCATTGGACCTTTGTGCTGGTCTGGAAGCATTGAGTCTGGGCCCATTCTCCCGCGTATTCGGGTGGAGCAAGCAAGAGATCGAGGGCTTCCTCGCCGGAGTCCGAGCAGAGATCCGTAATCGTTCCATCCACGCGTACACCAACATGTAAGCAATTTCACTTCTGTGATCTGTCCAATCCGTGCCCCTTGCTAATTTGCCTCAGCCATGTGTGGACTGCGAGACGACCACTGGCCAGGTGATGACCCTTGGCCCACGAGCATTAGTGAAACCCTGACACTGTCGCTCTTTCTTGCAAACGAACTGTTATGACGATTCGCATGCATCCACTCACATCACTAAAAGCCTTGCTTGTGTTTTAAAGCGCTCCAGCATATTGTTTACTCGGACGGCATTACGATCCATTCATTGCGATTCACGGCAACAACCATTTCTTCGGTCTTCTTTTCTTTCTTTTCGTACTAGCCTCAGATCAAGTGGTGATCTGAAGCGATCATCTCTCGATGTTTGGGAAGGATTTACTGGGCGTTCTTCGCCAAGCTGTTTTTTGCTCAAAGTGGAAAAGGGAGCTTTGAGTTTAGCATGGCGTTATTGGGCTTCAAAGACCTTGAATTCGGGTGGTATATCTTAACTCTACTTTTCGGCGGCATCACCAGGGCTGGTGGTATATTTCGGCTTGTGGAAAACTCATGGGAGGTCGCAGTATTATTCTGACAGCGGTAGTGAGAGCATGGACGATGGACCCCCAAGGGCGTGTGGATTAGTACCTCAATTAGCGATCTACGACTTGTTAAAATAACGACATATTCATTGAGTAGTACCGAGCCTTACTTTTGTTGACTGGTGATGATTGCGACGCATTGACAGTCATCTCGGACCAATGCTCTGGTAATTAGCACTGGACTGGTGACGCTCAGTCACTGCCGTTCTCAGTCGTGCAGCTCCCTCCAGAGACGAAATGTGTTGCAGGAAAGAGCGATGATGTCGTCAGGCAACGGTCGCGCGTCAACAACGCGTCTCCCCAGCCAAAGTTCTATTCTCGTGAATTTGCAGCCACGAGTGGCGAACTCCATTGAATTTCGAACATTGGATTCATTCCGCACGGCATGTACAGACCATTCAAATCGCCGCTACTCACGAGGCCATCTGGTTCAACACCCCAGGCGGCACAGGAAACTTTATCAGAGCGACCTGCGAAAAGATTGAGGATATCGCCACAACATCCTGAACAAGATGGAAACTCCTCAGATACTGTCTGTGAGTCTCCAGAAAGACCGTCTGGTGGAGACCCTATGGATGCCAGATTTACCGTTCTCTGGCGCAAGATAACCAACAAAAAGAACAAAATCTGGGATGGTGACGGCATCCTCAGCATTTCACAAGGATATGCCAACCTCAAAGACTCGGATGGAAAGGACATTGGCAGGACTGTCTGTAAAACGCCGTTGCTTCCAGGATCTACATTCACCATGAGTGGTAAGGAAATTGAGATAGACTCACGCATCTCTAGAGAAGAGGCCAAGTCAATGCTACCTCAGAAGAAGGCTCCGAAGGCAGTTGCTGTTAAGACCACGACTGTTGCACGATCTTCGGTCCCATTGGCTCGGAAACCACTTCTACCTGTACAGACGCAAAAGAAGCTATCTGGCATGCTCGGCAAAGCTGCTGCTGCCTACGACTCTGGTCCAAAAGTTGATGTACCGGCCCGGTCTGCTGCAATGCTCAGTAAGCCGGGTGCTGCATTCAAAAGCCCGATGATAGACAAGACTGGTGTGCCTCTTTCGCGTTCTAAATCAGATGGCAAGACTGTCTGCCTTCCACGTCATGATCCCAACGAACCAAACGCTCTCGTCATGAAACGTCCGAAACAAGCGCCTGCCGGAAAGCAAATTGTGGATGTGGTGGTTGATCCGAACTTGACCAAACATCTAAGAGAGCATCAACGTGCTGGTGTGGCCTTCATGTACGAGTGTGTCATGGGTATGCGACCCTTCGTAGGAGAAGGAGCGATTCTGGCTGATGAGATGGGGCTGGGAAAGACTTTACAGACAATTGCTCTGATCTGGACCTTGCTCAAGCAAAATCCGGTTTACGAGGATGGTCCGGTGATCAAGAAAGCTTTGATCGTATGTCCTGTCACACTTATCAACAACTGGCGCAAAGAATTTAAGAAATGGCTAGGCAATGAGAAGGTGGGAGTTATGGTCGCAGAGAACAACAAAACACGGTTCAGCGACTTTACCAAGGGAAAAAGTTACAACATCTTGATCATCGGATATGAGAAACTGAGGAATGTGCAGGAAGAGCTGCAACAAGGACTGGGTGTGGACATCGTTATCGCCGATGAGGGCCACAGACTCAAGACGGCCAACAACAAGTCCGCCATGGCGATCAAGTCACTGAATACTGAGAGGCGAATCATTCTCTCAGGCACACCAATTCAGAACGACCTGAGCGAATTCTACACCATGGTCGACTTTGTGAATCCGGGCTTATTGAAGACCTATTCTGCTTTCAAGAAGCAGTACGAAAGCCCTATCCTCAAGAGCAGAACACCGGGCGCAACGGCAAAGGACATTGAGAAGGGTCAGGCTTGCAGTGAAGAGCTTGCATCGATTACTGGTCAATTCATTCTTCGACGCACTGCAGAGATTCTCTCAAAATACTTGCCTCCGAAGACCGAGTACGTGGTCTATTGTAGACCAACTCAGGTGCAGAAGGATGTGTACGAGGCTGTTGTTAGTACTGGAGTCTTGAACCAAGCGCTGAAGAGCAGCGAAGCCTCCTTTCAGATGATCAACGTGCTGAAGAAGCTGTGTAACAGTCCTTCGCTACTGATCAAGGACGCGTCCAAAGAGGAGGAGGGAACTGTCAATTCGCTGTTATCAAAAGTTCCTGCTTCGGACCTCAAGAGCCCAGGTGGTGGTAGCAAGTTACAGGTTCTTGATGAATTCCTTCATCTTGTCCGTACGAAGACGCAGGAGAAGATCGTGGTCGTCTCAAATTATACGGCTACACTGGACATCATCGGCAAAATGATGACCGCCCTCGAATATCCTCATCTTCGTCTTGATGGCTCCACTCCTGCAAACCAACGTCAAGGCTTGGTTGATAAGTTCAACCGCACTTCAGCTAACAACTGCTTTGTCTTTCTGCTCTCAGCAAAAGCCGGTGGTGTTGGTCTGAATCTCATCGGCGCCAGTCGCCTTGTCCTTTTTGACATTGACTGGAACCCAGCCACCGATCTACAAGCCATGGGCCGTGTCCACCGCGATGGCCAGAAACATCCCGTCCATATCTACCGCTTCCTGACAAAAGGAGCTCTTGAAGAGAAGATTTTCCAACGTCAACTCACAAAGCAAGGATTGGCAGATTCAATTGTGGACAACAAGGCCAATGCTTCCAGTTTCACGCCTGAAGAGTTGAGAGATCTATTCACTCTGGATTTGCGCGAGGGATGTCAGACTCATGATTTACTTGGCTGTGAATGTGCGTGTGATGGCTCTGTGCCCATGTCTCATGCTTCTAGCTCGTCATCACCGAAAACATCACTTCCTGCCACAGAAGACGAAGAGGAAGATGAGGACGAAGACGATGAACATGAAGAAGAAATGCCCGCCCTCCCCACCTTCCTCCGCTCCTCCCAAATCGACCCAGAAACCCAAGAACGTCTCCGCCGTCAACACCACACAGCCCTGCACGCCAGTCTATCCCCCAAGAAGAAGTCGAAAGACGGCAAAGACAGCAAGCAAACCGCCATGGCGTCACTCATGCAATTCTCACATCTTGATGCAGTAGTGTTGAGAAGAGAGATTGCAGAAGGTAAAGGAGAAGTTGATGGGGAAGAGGAAGATGGGATTATTAGGGTCAAGGAGAGGGCGGAAGACGCGGTGGGGGATGTTGTGTTGAGGGAATTGCTTTGTCAGAGGGATTCTAGGATTGATTTTGTGTTTGCCAAGACCAGTGGTTGAAGAGGGCCTGAGGATGGAGGGGTTTTGCTTTTGGTGTTGCATGGAGAGCGTGAGGGTCGGGACTTGGTTTGCTGGATCGAGGAGTTTCATGGCTAGAAGGGCTGGTTGTTTGACATTTGCATGGTTTATCGTCATGGCTTGTGGAGAGGGAGTATTTGCTAGATTATACATTTGGCTCTACTACGAGGAGCGCAGAGGAAAAGAAGAATGCTAGAGACAGATGAAGACTCTTTGTACAAATTATAAAAATACAATACATCATATCGACTACAAGCAATGGTTCTTGACCAAACGAGCATCATCAAGCTTCCTTTTGCTCATCACCAACCCATCCAATAGCCTGACCAACCTGCACATATTGCCCAGGCTTAATGTTCCACCTCCAACCACCCCTTCTGTCCTCACCCACCCCACTAGCCTCACCCCAACCTTCATCAAAACTAGGTCTTCTTCCCTTGGGAGCTTCAAACACCAAGACAATTGTACTTCCCAATTGGAACCCACCCATCTCCTCACCCCTCTTCAACGGTTGCCCATGCAAAAGCGCAGAAGCACCATTATAAGTCGCCTCCGCAAAGCCCGAATAAGGCAAATTCTGCTCCTTGGCAGCAGCAGCAGCGCGATCGGCTGCTGTATCCGTAGTCAGCGAATTAGTGCGTAATTCCTTGTCAAAGTTGATCTTGATACTGCCGACGTTTGTCGCGCCGACAGGGGTGTAGGAGAAGAAACCGTAGCGCCAGCGACCGAGGAGGACGACACGTTCGTTTAGGGTAAAGAGACCGGGGAGGGTGCGTTGGAGGTATGGGGAGACGGAGAAGAGTTCACCGGCGAAATGGCGGCGGGATTCTACGACCCAGGAGCAGGGGGAGTGGAAGCGGTGGTAGTCGCCGGGGGCGAGGTAGATTACTGCGTAGTAGAGGGCTGTGGGACGGGTGGGTGTTGAGATTGGTTGCCACCAGTTGTCTTGGGCGGTGCTGCCATCGCCTAGAGCGAGGGAGTCGCGGACTTCTTGTTCTGAACTTGCTCTTGCGGGAGTGGACTGGTCTTCTGTGGCTGTCTTGGGGGTATCCTTGCTTTCGGGTCCCGAGAAGAGGTTGGGCAGGGTGTAGGAGATGCCGTTCACTTTTGCGAACTCCTCATCTGCGCGGATGATTTCTTGATCGGCAGACTTGCTGCGGTCTTTGCTGGGCTGAGGGTTTGGAGTTGCGCGAGTGGGTTTCTGGGAGCCGAGGAGGGCGTCGAGAGAGTAGGTTACGCCTTTTACTTGTTCGACTTCGCCGTTGTCGATTGTGCCGAATTGAATGACTTTGCCGTCTGCGGGACTGAGGAGAGCATTGGGGTTGGGGTCTAGAGGACGAGCGCCGGGCTTGAGGGTACGGTAGAAGAAGGAGGCCAGGTTGGGAAAGACGTGCAGGTCGGGCTCGTTGATCTCGTCAAAGTTGACACCAAAGATCCAGCCGTAAAGCTTGAAGCCTGGCACGCGGAGGTAGTATGGAATCTCGAGTTCGTTGAAGCGGCCCCAGATGCGAGACATGGCCTTCAACGGTAGAGTCGACATGATCTGGACCTGCCAGGGACCAGAAGGTCTGATGCGCTCTCTCTTGGGAGCCTTTCCTCCATCTTCCAGTTCGGCCTGCTGACGAGCCTTTTCTTCGTCGCTCTGACGGGCTTGTGTACGGTAGAATTGGAAAGCGCCGAGGAAGGCGACACCCAGACCAATGGGGATTGGCTTCCAGACGACTTTTGTATCGCGAAGGGCACTTCTTAGACGCGTGCCAAAGGGAGCGTGTGAGGGGCGAGAGGAGGAGAATTGTCGTGAGGATTGCTTTCTCAGTCGTTGTGAGCTTCTAAGCAAAGGCGCATGGGCATTTCCCAAGGCGCGATGCCGTAATACCCGAGTCGAAGACATGTTGCACAGCAGAAGGGAAAGTTGAAGGGAAAAGCTAGTGACATCAGCTGTATAGAAGACCCCGGATTCCATTGACGTAGCTGGTGCTAGGGCTGAATGGCCAGCTTGACAAACACGCTGGAACACATGTCAGCCCGCTCTCTGTCCAGAGCATCCAACAGCAGCATGGCACAGTCGACGCGCACCCTCTCGCTGCGCATCCTCTCGCCATCGGCCGGGCTAGGTGACAGCCTGGACATGGCCAACGTGCCCCTCAGCACCACCATTGGCATGCTCAAGCAGCTGCTGATGGAGAAGCTGCCTTCGAACCCCACGCCAGATCGCATGAGACTCATCCACTTTGGTCGCCTCCTGGCAAACGAGAACGAGACGCTGGGCCAGCTGTTTGGAGAGGCCGCCCTCACCCAGACCACTCCCTTCACTCTCCACCTGGTGGTGCGCGCTCCTCCCACTCCCATCGAGACTGCTGCCACTCGTCAGCCCCTCTTCGCATCTTGGGGTACTGCTCAGTCTGCCGGAGACGTATCGAATGCGCCCAGACCGAACATACTCCCCCCAGGCACAGCTCAACATCCGCTAATGCCTCCCGGTGCTGCCTTTGTCCCCCAACCACAAGGTGCTACTGCTACTCCTACTCCGACGATACAACATGGCCGCGCTCCCTCAGCCAATCTGCTACAGCAACTCATGGAGCGCCAGCAAGAACAAATGAGACAACTCCATGCGAACCGCCCACAAACACAACCTCCGCAGCACTTCCCTGCACACATGCTGCCTGCCATGCCGAGACCGACTCCTCCGACAAGTGCTCCAGGCACTCCGGCCCCGTTCGCCCATCACCATCCTCACACACATGTCCATCACCACCATCCACACCTACACGCCCATCCTCTTCAACATCCTCATCCTCAAGGACAGCAACAACAACATCAACAACCACAACAATCACAACCGCACCAACACCAGCAGCAGCATCGCACTGCCACCATAACCATCAATCAGAGCACAATCGCCATACCCATGCCCCTGGGCCAACTTGGTCAACATGGGATGCCCATGGGTCAAATGCCTCTGCCTGGGTTTCCCAATATACACAACTTGGTTCACCAGCAACCCCAACCACAAGTCCAGCAATTCAACCCGTCATCGCCAACTGTCTACCTACTGTCCTCACCTACAGGTCCACAGGCTCTCCTCTTTTCTCCCCAGGGCACATATACTGCTAGTCTGCCCCCTACACCTATGCTCAGCATGCCTGGTATATCAAATCCACCCTTTGGTCACACACGACCTCACACGCCTGCTGCTCAAGCTCCTCCACCACCTGGCTTCAACCCACCTCCTGTTGTTGTAGATCCTCAGCAAGCCCCAGAACAGATTGCACAACAACTCGTCCAGCAAATAAACCGAGGAGGTGCAGAGAACCAAGAGCCCAATGCTCTGGCACCCTGGCAGCCTCTGTTGGCTCATGGCTGGATGTTACTCCGTCTCTTGTTCTTTGCCTGGATCTTTCTAGGCTCAGGCCAAGGATGGCGCAGACCACTAGCTCTTCTCGCCATCGGTATCGTCTTTTGGGCCATCAACGCCGGCGGAATCGGCAATACCATCAGAGATACCGTGCAATCATGGTGGGAAACTGTCGTCGAGTTACCCGGTCAACCACAGCCACAGCAACAAGGTGCGCTCAGACAAGCCCTCAGACCCGCCGAACGTCTACTTGCTCTTCTCATCGCTTCACTCTGGCCTGGCGTCGGCGAGCGCACGGTCGTGGCTAGAAGAGAAGCGGAAGAACGACAAAGACGTGAAGAGGGAGAGCGACTTGCTGCAGAAGCAGAGAGGCAGAGACTTTTGGAGGCTGAGCCGTCTTCTACAGCACAAGAGGGGGAGAGTGTCTCGATGACTACTATCAGAGATGAAGCTGCTACAACCGCGACCGGTAACGATGTGGCTGCCGAGGGACAAGAGGTCAGGGAGCGAAAGACAGCGACACATGAAGCTAGTGCAGAGCAGACATCTGCAGCAGAACCTACATTAACAAGAGAAGAGCAAAGAGCTCAGCAGCTCCAAAATCTTGCTGCAGATTGGTAAAGAATCAAGAATCCATGAACAAGAATCATGTTGGGGTCAAAGCAAGTCTATGGTGTCTTTTTTTAACAATCCAATCAAGCAGACTAGCTGCCATTTCTATTCTACAAACACTCTTTTGCTCTTATAATCTCAAAAGCTATCTCGCAAGATGCTCCCCTTTTTTTTTATACTTTCTTTTCTCAATAACCACGATTGATAACCTTTGCAAGATATTGCGATTGCGGCAAGTTGGTAAAATTGCTGGTTACAATCGAGTTTTCATCGTGTTCCTCTTTTTTTTTTCCCAGTCTTTCTCATTTCGTTCTTGCGGTTGTTTTTTTGAACTTGAATTTGCTGCAGTCGAAAACCGCGGAAAATAAAAACATCTCTCTCTACTATTGACACTCGCGCGAATTATGGCACTGTTTCTAGCACCCCATATCACAAAGTCTAACAAGGTTGTGTGGCCGAGAGACAGGTAAAGAACTATTGATAGCAGAAGAAAGGTCTGACAAAGAAGAATGGCGCCTGTGGAGAATGACGATTTGGTAAGGACGAAGGTCTGATAGAAATACAGGTCTACCCTCGAGATTCTTAGCAAGAAAACATCAGCTGCTAAGGAAGACACTCACACACGATGCAGCAGCAACCGCCGACTCAAATGCACCAAAAACAAGCAATCAGACAAAAATGAAAGGCAAGGGATATAGACGAGAAGCCAAGAGTAAAAGATAACATTCATAATAACAATCACACACAAACTATATAGGAAGCAGAGAGAGAGATGTCCCGAGAGGTAAATTACGACCAAGTAAAGCAATCCTTGAAACATGACGAAAGCAGTCGTACTCAAAGACCTTCGGGAAGATTGTTCTTGTCCATTACTCCGCCTGTCCTTCTCCGAAGAGAAAGGAAAGGAGGGTATCCAGCTCGAAACTTCTTGATGGGAGAAGGCAGGAGGTTGAGCGAGGCAGAGGACTGTTGTTGTTTTGTGTATTGTGAAAGAGGGGGAGGGGGGATGTGACTTGTGTTCATGTGTTTGTGACGTTGAAACTGAAACTTGTGATTGTGAGATGTCTACAGCATGGGAACGGGACTTTGTTGAGAATCTCGTCGCTGTATAGGCAGTGAGGGGGGTGAGGGGGAACATCCAGGACGACTGCTCGCAGATGCATTGTTGTGACTCTCGAAATGAGGGACATGATGAGGAAGCCAGGACTTTCCAACCCCTCGTATCTGAAGATTGGACTTACGATATCGTGATCTTCGCCGGAGTTTGGCAGAAAGAAAGCACAAACCATTCATTTTTTGAGCTGCAAGATGCAGACCCTTGCATGGTTCTCCACTCCAGCCTTTTGTGATAACCGTCAGATCGAAGACATGTCGTTCGTCGTGGATAGAGTTCCAAGTCTCGGAGTCGCCGAAGGAATGTCGTTGCAATTCTTCCCTTTCGGGGTAGAGCATCTTCTCGGCACTGGGAACCTTTCATGGCAAGATCTGAAATGTCACCATTCGTCACAGGGCTCAGCTGAACTTGCGATAATGCTTTGTCGCATGGGAACCCGAAAGGTAGACATGACTAGTTTCGCGTTTTCAGAGGAATAGCGGGTGATGTCGCGGATAATGCTCGCCCGGTCTGTAAAATAAAAAAATTAAAAGAGGCAGCTAAGAAGGCACGAAGAGAATTGGACAGCGGAGAGTGAAAATTTCTCGGAAGCCGCGTGGATGGGAAAACCGTGGTAACTTCCGCAGATCCGACTCTTTCCACTTCCAAGCGGAGCTAGCCCCGCCGCTCCCCCTCTTCCGAACTCGTAGCTCGTATATGTGTGTCTGGCTTGCAACTTTGCAGAGTAAATCACTACAAGTGATGTCGTGATGCGAGAGCGGGATTTCCCCTATCCGACGTCCAGTCTGGTGCAAAAAATGGTGGTAAAAACGTCTCCTAAAGCATCAGTAATCATCTCGATATACATACCGAGTCATGGGCATTGCAATTTTGAGGGTGCCGAATCGCGATCAATAGCAATACTTTGAACGCGAGCATCTCCGACATTCTCGTTCCAAGCGTGCGCGTTTCTTGTATTCTCAACATTTACAAGAGCACCATGGCACCGGCAACTCGAGCAACAAAGATGGTCGGGACACAGTCTGCATACGGATATATCCAAGGTCGCAAAGTCTATTGCAAGCGATTAGGGCAACTACAGATGGTGTGAACCTTCCCGTTCTCTTTGTGCTAACCCTGTATTCACGAGCTCTACTCTCCTTCCCCTTTGAACCATCTGGCAATAAGGGGGCTTTTGGAGGGACTAGACAACAAGATCTACATGTGAAGGTCAGAAACACGCAAGCAACAAACTCAAAAACATGCCGGCATCGACAACAACAAAACTAAGTTCTCTCAACGCGCAGTTTTGGTTGGTCGAACACCTGGAAGCTGAATAAAGTGATCATCATATCATCGCCGCAAACGCATAACGGCTTTACAGCATAAAAAAGAGATGGACATTCAAAGCGATAAGCGTGATCTTCGTAGAATGAACAACAATGCGTTTTAACCGGCGAGCCAACCAAATCAAGCTGAAAAGATCAGAGCGAACCTCCCGCCAATCATTCGCGCCCTACTCCATCTTCCTTCTCCCTTTCTCCTCGGGCTATGCATGTGCTTGAATTAAAGAAGCGGACAAAATTGATAATGTGAAATGCGTATGTGTCATGAGTGTCCTTGGTTTACTAGATAATGTCCTTGATGCTGATACGAGAGCTGGTGCCTGCGGGGGTTGGTGTATTGGACGGTCCAGCATTTACCGGCGCAGGGGTCATGTGCGGTGTAGGTGCACGGGGTGGTTGGAAGTATGGCGCTGACGGTGCCTGCTGATGGGACTGGGCATACTGAGGTGGCATATGCTGTGTCGCATACTGAGGAGGTGGTGGAGGTTGTTGTTGTTGCTGCTGAGGCGCCTGCTGCTGCGATTGTTGTTGTTGTTGCTGCGATTGTTGTTGCTGCTGCTGCGATTGTTGCTGCTGCTGTACGGGTGCATGTGGAGGTGGAGCACCTTGCTGCTGCTGTTGCTGCTGCATACTGCGATGTTGCTCTTGTTCCAGTTGACTCAGAATATCCATGATGCGTTGCCATCCGTCCCATTCCGGCTCTTCTCCTATAGACTGGTCATAAGCACTGGTTGCTCCCTCGGCAGCAGTGGCGGTATGGTCCAGCGTTCTTTGTAGAACCTCGCCTCCAGTCCAGGCCCAGGCAGTCTCATGCGAGCCTTGCATATCGGCACTGGCGTATGCCAACATTTCTTCATCAGCTTCTAACATCTCAGGGCTGCCTCTGCCATTCTGAATACGCTCGACGAGGCAATCCAAGAAGAAGGCGATGTAGCGTCCACAAGCGGGATTGACAATGACACGGGTTCCAATGGCGCTTAAGGGCATCAAACATGTGAGAGCAGTCGCGTAATCCCCGCAAAGAGCAGCGACAAGAGTGCAGCGCCAGAAGTGGAAGACAAGGAAGAAGGGCGCAATGTCGGCCATACGGGCATTCCACTCCGGGCTTGGGCGTAATGGCTGGACCGAGTAACGAGGTGTGCCAGGGGAGGTCTGGATCGAGCGCTGCAGATACACTGCTGTATCTTTTGCGACTGACAGACAGCGGTATAAAGCGTCCTTGCGCTCTTGAGGGCGGCAGGGAGGTGCGAGATTGTGGCGGTATAGGTGGAAGCGAGCGATCTGAAGCAAGAATATGGCGCTGAAATAGACGGGATCGAGAGGAGCGTTCGAGTGGATGGGGTATGGATCAGGCCAGGAGCCCATGATGGAGCGGAAATGTTCGTCGTAGGCATTCAGCGTGGAAGCGGTTACGGTGCGAGACTTGAGCGTCTTCTTCAACGGATAAATGATACGGACGACGGGGACAAAGACGATCAGTGAGTTCGGGCGTGCACCTGAGCTACCGAGTCCGTTGGGTCCTATGCTTGCATCGTCAACAGGAGTGGGTTCACTGACATCGACGTCGCCGTCGTCAATGATGGGCACTTGGCCGAGTTCAAGAGAGAGTATCCTGTCCCAGTTGTATACGGACCACCAGAGGCGAGTTTGCATTTCAGCCTCGAATTGGGGCAATTGGCCATGTTCTCGATGCAGTCCCAGCAGTTGGGCGAATCTAACACCCGAACCAAGCCAAAACCAACTCGCTGCTTTGCGGTTCATGTTCGAGAAGCAGATACTGAGAAGCAGCGATGTGCGAACATGGTCGGGCGAGATATCATCGTCGACGGACTTTGTGCAGTACTTGGCCACTTCGGCGAACTTGATGCATTCCGAATCAGGGTGCGCGGATCCCCTCGCGTCTTGTATGCTGCAACCACAGGCCAAGACTGCAAAGAACAGAGCTTTCCAGATCTGGCGCAGTCCCTGAAAGGTGCCCCTTCTGTATAGCTGCTCACATTCGTCGACAAAGGTCGGCCAGTGAAGGAAAGGACACAGCGGCTGTAGGACGGTGTGGTAGTTCTGCAGGAAGTTGTCGACTAGCTGCTTGGATGGCAGTGGCGTCGAAGAGTCGGCGCAATGCACCTGCACGGTAGGTTTGCTGTACGGATGCGGTGGCTTGAAGATGCCCTGGCTGAATTTACGAAGGTTGGCTCGCACGCCGTCGAAGCTGTTCATAACGAGCGGGCGTCCATTTCTTTGCTTGCTAGGCGTGACTTCGGGTGGTCCTGACACACTGGTCGAGGGCGGCGCCATGGAAGCACTTGCGCTTGTGCTGCCTTGATCGCTCAGCATATTACGCAGCTGTCGGTTCTCTTGGCGAGTCTCTTCCAACTGGCGTTCGAGGTCCTGGGCGTGCCTGATGGATTGTCAGCTTTTCCCTCATCTCACAGGTACGATCATCTCACTTCATAGAGGACATGCGGCGGTTCGTCTCTTTGGTGAACTGACACTTAACACTCCTGCTTGAGCACTCCGTGCAGCTGGACGTGTCGGTAGCATCACACTGCCATCAAGTTAGTCTTGTGTTCCCCAGACCACGTGCTCTAGCTGTCTGAACCTACTTTAACTTTACGTTCGCGACACGCATCGCAACTTGGATCTTTGCGTCGCTGTCGGTATGCCCTCTTGTGCGCGGACAGCATGGCAGCAGAATGGTGTCTTGGCGACATGCCAGGTGCTCCCATGTTAGGATCATGCATCATCATGGCTTCCGGCATGGCGCCAGGGCCAGCAGGGTGTGCATTCGGAGCCATCGCATAAGCAGGAGGATAAGGAGCTGGCGGTAGCGATGCCTGCATCGACATCTGAGGAGGTGGTCCAGTAGTTACAGCATGGTATGAGCCAGAAGCCGGACCAGGGCCAGAATGGGGAGGACCGGACATCGCATAGGCCATGGGAGGAGGCTGCACTGGACCATTGTGGTGAGAAATGGTCGGCGAAGCTCCATTGCCAATATACTGAGGCTGAGGAGGATAATGATCGGGCTGCTGGCTCACTGGCCTCCGGACATCATTAGCCATAACGGCCTCGGGGGCAAGATGTTTCTGCTCGTTCATCAGACTCGTCGTCTGGTGATAAGAGAGTCGAGTATTTCCGAAAGTGCGTAAAACGTCAAAGACAGGCCAATCTCATTCTAGACTCGACAAATGGCCAAGAAGTGACGTGTGGCAGGAAGCCCAACTCTGAGACGACGCAGCACGGAAGGCGCGATCACGTCCCAACACCAGTTAGATTATCACAGGACACACCGCCAGTCGGCAGAAATTGATAAGAAGCGAAGGTAGGGCGTATTACACGACGCGATGGGCTGCCAAGTTCGCGATTGACGAGGCGGGTGGAGGCTTTGTGAGAGAGGTGTCAGAGAAAGGCGGAGAGGAGGAAAGTGCGCAAACACGCGGAGCGAACTGCGGATATGTGTGAGAAAAGAGAGAAGGAGGCTTCGCTCAAAGAAATGCACAACAAGCGGTCGAAACGAAAAAGCCACAGCAGAAACAGACTCAAGACGTCAGCGCGACAGCCGAACAAGGCATAATTATGGGAATTGGGTTGCTCGACAAACCTCGAAAGATTATTATTGTTATTCAGAGGCAGGTTATGCACAGGCCCTCCCGCTCTCCCTTCCCTTTCGCATGGCCGCCGCCAACAACGTGTGCACGGCGGCGGCTAATCTCGTCTTGCTGTAGTTCCTCCTGCCTGCATCGTTCGGCTGCTTCAGCACTTTGTGCACATGGACAGCCTGCTATCGTGGGTTGTTACGCTTGCTCGGCCCTCCTAAGCCATCGGACATCTCTCCATCTGACAGCGTTATCTTCGCCATCACGTTCTCCCTCTCCCTCCTTTGTCTCTGGCTTTCACGTCAGAGACTGTCTGTGTTGGTCTTACCGACACGGTGGCACAGCTTCTACCACTAGAATTACTCAAAAGTCTAAACCCTAGATTCGTACCGTTTGTTCATTGACAACTGCCGCTACCATGCTTCCCGCTTCATAGTGCAGACTTGGCGTAGGTGATGACATTCAAGAAGAATCGACCGTCGAGAGAGGCTGCACAGCTCCTAACTGGTGCCCTTGCAGCAATTGTATGTGTTGTGCGTTGCAGCTTATTGGGCCCCTTGGACAACGATGATCAGGCTTCGAGCCAGCACGCACAAATGTCCCTGACATGGCGCTATAAGCTTGCTTGCCTTTCCAAGACTTGACGGCATGACAATAGGCAGAGAACACGCTTGGAACTTCCCTAGCGCTGCCTGGCCTACCCGATCAACTCGGGCCTTCATAAAACCCTGCCTGTCTATTTGCACAGCTGACCAATACTAGGGAATGTCAACCATATATCGCTCTGCCGTGAACTTTTCATGACACTGCCGAAGGGGCCGGTAAATTTTCAGGAGAACAATCCATTGTTTCACCAATCAACGGCCTGAGCTGCTCGAGCGACATGATCGTCGCAATCCTGCCACCTCAGCAAGCTTACACTTCGCTTTTACGCCGCTCGCTCTCTTCCGATCGTTCCCTCGTTCCTTGCAGCCTTGTATTCGTCACCTCGCTCCGTCACCAGCACCTGCCAATCGCGCCCATTCCGAGCTTACGCAAATGACTGCAGTGGCTTTGATCGAAGCCGTAGCGTTCAGCCGCTGAGGAGTCTATTCCAATATTCGCCTCGGTCCCGTCTTACGAGTCACCATGCAAGCCCTACCCACCGTGGAGATGGCCTCGTGCGGAACCATGCGTCGGTACACACAGCCGTCCTTTGGGAGACTATGGATCTATCCGCCGTGATCGTCGTCATAGTCTGGGATCGGAACATACCACATGTATCCCACCACCTCTGTACCTCATCTAAAAAGCGCAGTCCACCTCTCAACAGGAGGTTGCGGCGCGGTGGTAGGTACTTTTACCCGTGCGCTTTCTGCAACTCGCACTCGCTTGTTCACTTGGCCAGCTGTCGCTACCGTGAGCCGAAATGGCTGACAGCGCCTCCCATCCGTGCCTCCAAACGGCCACTACACCAAGCAAAACATTATTTCGTCCGCACCATCGGTCGGTCATCCGAGTTGAAAGTGCGGAGCGACAACCAGATTTCTGTTGGCTGGGGGGCCCCGCAGCCGGACGTTTCCACGGCACTTGTAGAAGCTTTCTTGCCGAACTGCGAATTGTAACAGTGCTTCACAGAGCACATGGCAGCCATCGCGTCCCTGGTTCCATGGTTCCAGAACCACACGTGTCTTGGTTCCGACACAGACCTCTCGCTTTGTTGGCATCGCTTCTGCTTAGACGAGCTCCCTTTGTTCCAACGCACGCTGCTGGACATTGGTAACAGATTTGGCAGTCTTATCATGTGACGCTTCCATGGTAGGTCATGACGCTATGGCCGCCATGGACAACCCTCTGGCGCGTTCTAGATCTTTGTGCTTGGTATGTATCTGCGGCCCAAGGAGTGATCTGACAGTGCGTTTCGTGCAAATCTCAATACTTGTATGACCATGACATGAGTATCTGCACTCTCCCAGTTAAGCAGGTCGATCGTCCGGTCGGTCTGGAATAAGCTCAGGTTCGCGCCTGATCACTGACCCGCAGACAGGGATGCTGCCATCGGCACGTCACCTTGTCGGCATCGCTCCAGGAACATACAAGCTGCTGTTATCTCATCTTCGAATCGATAGAATGTACACTCAAATTTGATAGCCTTGAGCATGAGACTACTTGTCGACGCATGATGAGAGCCACCTCGGTCAAGCACGGCTGAGCGAGCCGAGCAAATCGGGCCTACCGGAACGCGGCCGAGTCTCCGAATCCTTCGCTTATGTCGGACAATTTTCTGACCACCGCCGGGCCGTCGGTCTAGCACAGCTTCTGTCCGAAACGCTACAGCCGATCTGGGATCATCTTGTATTTCTAGAAGAGGAGTATGCTGCATATGTATATCGTACCTCCAGTCTTGGAATGTTGGCCGAGAATGGGTCATCACTGGTGCTATAGATGGCGATGCACATCTCTTGTCGGGAACGGTCTGCACACTTCTCGCTTGTTGAAGCAACAGGCTCAAGCCTTCAAGCCTTCTGATTACTGAGAGACGCTCGTGGCATCATCACACAGCTCCAGCCCCGAAGCTCACCGCTGACTTGTAAATGCCTGGACTCCCCGTCAAACGGCATCTAGAGTTTCGTTCGTCGCAGACCAACAACTGCTCGGACGGTGCACTAAGCAGACCGCCTAGATCCACGCCCTTTTCTCTGCCGTTCCGACAGTCAACAGTCTCACGTGCTCAAGTCCGTGGTCGATTCTATCGATCAAGGGACCTTTGCTCCCTGAATCGTATTTGCCAGGGACATATACTAGACGCAAACCCGTGATGCCGTCTCAAGAGATGTTCCAACTGAATACTCCGTATCTGAAGACGATTCGTGCTGGCTTCTTTCACAATCAGCGTCGTCGGAGCCGGCCGAAACGTTTGTGCATCTCCAGGCCCTACTCGGCCGTGCTTCGCGACAGGCGAGAAAAAAATTAGTAGAGATTTCTCGTACGTGCAAACATAGATCGATCACATCAGACAATAAAAGGCCATATCAGTCTCTAGACTAAGAGCTTTCAAAACTTTTTACAACACCTTGATCTTTGTTTCTGTGTCTTCGGTCTGCTAAGTCGCCATACCCAAGGTGTCACAATCTCAATATCTTTACAACAACAGCGATAATGTGCAAGTCAGCATTCCACTCATTCCTGCAGGAGCTCCCCAAGTGCGAGCATCACATGCACTTGGAGGGCTCTCTATCCCCTGAGGTTCTCTTTACACTGGCCAAGCGTAACAACATCACTCTTCCTCAGGATGACCCTGCTTTCCAATCGGCAGAGACTCTCCTGGCTCGTTATGATCAGTTTACCTCCTTGGACGACTTCTTGCACTACTACTACATCGGCATGTCTGTCTTGATTTCCGCCTCGGACTTTGAAGATCTGGCCATGGATTATTTCCGTCACGCCGCAACAGATGGTATTTCTCATGCGGAGGTCTTCTTCGACCCTCAAGCACACATCGAGCGTGGTATCTCCTACAACACCGTTCTCACTGGCTTCAGTGCTGCTCGTGCTCGTGCCGAAAAGGAGTTTGGCATCACCAGCGAGCTGATCTGCTGTTTCCTTCGCCATTTGCCTGTGCCTAACTGTGTGTCTATTTTCAAGGACGCAGATGTTCAGGCCAGCTTTAAGAACGGTTCAGTCATCGCAATCGGTCTTGACTCTAGCGAGAAGCCTTTCCCTCCTGCTCTGTTCGAGGAGATTTACGCTGGAGCCAAGGAGCTCGGTCTTCGTCGTACTGCTCACGCTGGCGAAGAGGGTCCTTCCACCTTTATCTCTGATGCTCTGGATATCCTCAAGGTCGAGCGTATCGACCACGGTATTCGTTTGATCGAGGACGAAGCTCTTCTCCAGAAGATCGCCAAGGATGGTACCATGCTTTCTGTATGCCCCTTGAGCAACGTGCTGCTGCGTTGCGTCAAGGAGGTCAAGGAAGTACCCATCCGCAAGTTCCTGGACGCTGGCGTCAAGTTCAGCATTAACAGCGATGACCCGGCTTACTTCGGTGGCTACCTCCTCGACAACTACTGCGCTGTCCACGAGGCCTTCAATCTGTCGGTCGCTGAGTGGACTAGCATCTGCCGTGCCGGTATCGAGGGCAGTTGGTGCTCTCAGGCCAGAAAGGACGAGATGCTGACTCGTCTGGACGAAGTCGTCCGTCTCTGGACTCCCAAGCTCTCTGTCTAAATTTCGAACGAGAGCTCAATTTCGCCTCTCGAGATAAACGACCGGGGCCACCCTGTCCTTGGCACATCAACAAGAAATCTGACGGCAGTCATTGAAGCAATTTGATACTTCCATGCACTAGGGTCGCCTGAGTATCTTGTAAACCAAGCACCACATTCGGCTCAATGAGGCGAATGCAGGTTGCTGCGCCTCAGTGTCACATTCATGCTGCGGGCATCTGCAGATGCACGCCGCGAATCCGATATTCCTTGCATGAAACGCTCCTTCCTTGGCCAGTTGGTCGGATAGTCAAGGCTTAGATGGAAGTAATAGACGAGGTTCTTATTTCTTACCTGTAACCATAAGCAGAAGGAGCGCCTGACGGACATAATATCGAAATAGGCTGTCGGCGTCGCAATCGACTCGTTGCTTCTCACCAACTTTGGGCTCTTTTGGACACATGCTTGAAACATGGAGGATCTTTCTTTATATACCCTATAGATCATACAAGCGTGTTGGAATTACATCATGAACCAAATGTCTGTTCGGTTACTTCGCGCAGTGTGCGCTGACCAGCGAGTCGCGGAACCGATGAAAATCGGCGAACATCAATTACAGCAGAGTATGTAGCATCACTGAAGCCAAGTCGTCTATGATACCACTGCTTCACAATGGCGATCTCACTTCATTAACTAGATATGGCCAATATCTCGATCAAAACGCGTGTGACTCGAGGTATCTTCAAGAAAGTAATTAGAACCAGGGTGCTCCCGCCAGAGACTGCGTTGAGAGCGTATTACTAACACGAGCTTGGCTGTGTTGATTAACCACTAACACACAGCGGTCAGTCTCGCATCCTGACACAGTCAAGAAATGCATCTGTCAAGGAACTTGTGATAATTTGACTGTAAAAGACCTTCAACTACCTAAGCTCCTATAAGCAAAAGGTCCTCCCTCCAGTAAATGACAGCCCTGACATACAATTGGCTATGTCATCACAAGCTCTAGTGCTTCTATCTATATACACAGATGTAGCTATATATAAGTCATGTTATTCGCTTGTCAGATTAAAGCCTCGAAAAGCCATCTGCCATTCCCTCGTCGCTTCAATAAAGTCCTTGCTTTGCTTTCGATTTTTGGTGGAGCCCAGACTGACTGGTTGACTGACGCTCCGAATCCTGCCGCTGCATCCGGGAATGAGGAAACTCCTGAGGCACCGCCGGCAATAAGAGTCACTGAGTGAGTTTTTGGATTGATCCAAGGAACAGAGGGACGCGTACGCTTTGTAGAGTTCGATGAGAAGCGATGATGGGGAATCGCAAACTATGCCATCGGGGAATAATAACTGTTCAAGAGATTGACGGCTTCAGCGACATCTGTCCGGACGACAGGGTCACCACTAGCCGAGATAGCCGGTTCACGGAGCCCGAGGACACCAGACCGAGAAAAATGGCGCAAAGGCGACGACGACGAGTCAAAACACCTTGATGGATGGGCTTAATGGTGGCACTGCTAAGCAAGATAGGTAAATGGTAGATTGGAGGATGGCACTTTGAATATGGTAGCAGTTCTTGGCTGCCCATTTCCATTCGGGTAAGATATGTAAACAGAAGACCACGGGGAGTACACAAAACATGGAAAGAAGTGAAGGAGGAAATTCTTGGGAAGCGTAGTGGGAGTTCAATAGCCACACACCATACAATCATTTTCATTGTCCTTCCAAATCCCATGTTAGAAAATGCTCAAGTATCCCAAAACTCCCTTTTAGGTTGGCCAATGCAGTAAGCCGATGTAGAAAAGAAAAAGGGCTATACGCTTCGTACGGAAAATCGACGTTTAGGAAATTCGTTTCGATATGTAAAGAGGTTGGGGGAGTTGTAGGTTTGTGGTGTTTCTGAGGTGTCGAGTCGAGGTGAGAACTGTCGAAATAGGGGGGTATCATGCGCGCTTGTGGGTGCAATGAAAACAACGAAATTGGAAAAAAAAGTGATCGAAAAAGGTGTCTGAACACCGCTCGCATAGCAAGCTTGAAGCGAAAGAGAGTACAAGTCGTCCAGAGGATATGGCGTTGTTCATCCTCGGTTGTGACCTTGGGAGTTCGGGGTGTGGTAGCCATGCCGAGTAGCAGGAGTCCTGGATCGCGTAGCGTATTTTAGTTCTTGTTTTTACTCCGTGGAAATGTTGATCATGCCCAGATGGTCGGGGGAACTACGAACCCGCCTCGGAAGCCCGCATGGGGTGCTTCTAGTTGTTCAAAATCGTATGATTCGTATCCATGCTCTTGCTCGCTTCCTGCGTATTGTTGTGGTGGGAAGGCCGGAGAATGTGCAGCGCCCCATTGAGTGGTGCCATCGGCGAATCCGCTCTCATATGATGGCGTAGGGGTGGGAACTCCGAGATAAGGCGAGCCTGCTATTGAGCCTGAAGACATGCGATTCGGCTCGCGAACATGACTGATCGATGAAGGAACGAAGCCTGGACTGAGGTTTCCAAAATTCATGAAAGGCGTGTTTGCACCATCGAGGTTAAAGACAGGTGCATAGGGAGACTGCTGAGGTGTTTGTTGAAGCTGCATGTGTTCCAGGTGTTGTTGAGTCCATTGCAGACGTGCACGGTAAGCAGATGCTGCTTGCTGAGGAAAGTGCATGAGGGAGCTGATCTCTAGTGCATGCTGACCAAACTGGTCATCCATTTGCATAGGGGCGGTCATCTGGATGATTCTTTCGAGGGGAGGCAAGCTGATCGCGGAGCAGAACGATGCGCCTAGGGAGGGAAACAATGGCTCCAAGGCGAGTGCAGTGGCATACAAGTGCGCGACAACCAATGTTGAGGGACCGTCAACCATTGGTTTTTCCAGAAGGAGACAGGGGACGAAGAGGACCCATTTCCGGAGACTATACAATTGGTCGAATTGTTCTGCAGCTGTTTGTGCAGGTGGTGCGTTGATCAGATACGAGATATAGCCCAGCATCTGTTCGATCCAGTAAGCCTCGGGACTGTTGATTACCAGGAGAGGTTGGAGGCGTTGGAGAGCAGCGAGGACGCTCGTGAGGATACCGTGACGCTCTTGCATGCTGGGAAGTGGACGTGGGTCTTCGGAAGGCTTGTAGGGGCTTAAGTTGATCAGATCTGCAAACACCGATTCATGCTTCCACCCAGCCATAGCACTTGCGACCGTTCGAATGCCAGTTTCGAGAGAGGACCAGGTGCGCCAATCATTTGCTTGAGTCATGAGCAGAATAGATGTCGCAAGGATGGCGTCCGCATTCGACCTCGAGAACGAACTGAGAGCATCATGGAGGCCGCGCAGAGCAATACCGCCATGCTGTATCTGTATCTTGCGTGTATCCGGAGAAGGAGACATCCATGCCAGGTGGCTGGCAGAGAATGCCAAGAATGCGTGCATGACGTACGGATACGAGGTCGCTACACTTAGATACCTAAATGGGCTAATTAGGGGTGGATGATCATGATGGAGAGGGGTAACACGCACTTTGGCACTTTTGAGGCCCATACTGTCATGTCGCTCGTGCTGTTCATAAGTAGTGACCTCGAGATCGAGGAGAGATGTTGAATGAGACGCAGCTCTACCCTGGAGTGACTTTGTGGCCTTGGTGGAGGGAACACCTGAAGCTCTGGGTAAGGAAAGTTGCCAGTTTGTTGCCATACATCAAGCATGTGCTCAACTCCAGGAGACGAAGGCAATGGCATCTGGTCTCGCGGGGGCTGCACCTCTGACTCGGGTCGTTGTTGGTCCATATAATCACAACGAACTTGATGCTTTGTACAGTTGCGACTGAAACGTGGGTTAACAATCGACGGGCCGAGAGGATGGGAGTGTTGGTACTCACCATTGAGGGAAGGTCTCATCGCATCGGATGTGTCTACGCTTGCACGTCTTGCATCCTGTTCTACTCTTGGTATGGCTACGCCGAGATGGACCAGCGCCTTGACCAGCCATTGTGGTACTAGATATCAATTGGACAATCGAGTGTGCACCAAGCTCCTTGACCGTAGACGGTATCCCAGACCTGTGGGAGTCTCGACAAATAAAGGGAAGAAAGGAAGGAAAGTCTAGAATGGCCAGCAGACGCGTGAGGTTTGCAAAAAGGCAGAATGCGGAAAGTGGGAAAGTGATAAGAAAGAGCTAGGCAGCGAGCGTGCTTGATGATGTGCAGGGAAGCGAGTGAATGGGCCCGGTATTAAGTGGGACCCCGAATGCTTTTCTTCAATGGTTCAGGACGGAGTGGTCAAGAACGCAAAGGCGGTATACATAGTGTTCGACGGGAATCCGTTGAAAGGTACTATTTTTACCGAGAGGGACCTGCCAACGGGTCAAAACGTCGCATGACATAGCTCTTCTGGGGAGGAGGGAGGGAGGGTATGCGCGAGCTGCTACCCAAACCGGAGGAAGAGCTTGTTCAGGGCATGGTACATACCAAAGCAGTTTAGACTCGAGGTAAAAAGCATCCCGGATCTTTTTGTTTTCCAGCCCTGCACAGTCCAGTCTGCTGTTCCAAAGCCCGCTGACAGGCACACCATTCCCGGTCTCACCGAGCTGGTCGTTCATTCCATCACCTGGCTGTGCAACGTCGAGAGAGCCTATTCCTCTTGGTCAGACGCGTAGCGGGCTCAGCGGCGTTCGGCCAAGTCACCACCTTCGCCATCTCTCCCTCCGGACAATACTCTGTCAGGACGAATATATCGTGAATTGCTGATCACACGTGCTGCCCTAGCTAAGCTCTATCCGAGTGAGCGAAAGAACGGTAGGTGTCCTTCGCTTGTGTTTATTTTTAGCATCGAGAAAAGATGCTCTCCGCCAATCGTTGAAGGTCGCCACTTTGAAGTTTGTCGGCGTTGACTAGATTCAGTTCGACCTCCTGCCAAAAACTCTCCAATTCGCGCAAACAGTGTATACTTTACGTTCGGTCCCGCCAAAAGCCTGCGCTGCCGTTGCGCCCTACGCCGTAGTGCCATCAATATTCCCTGTTCCCTGAGCTTCAACCTCTCCTTGTTGATGCTGGACGAGCTCACGTGGCGGGGGTATACAATTCTCCGCCATCCGACAACCGACATTTCTCGTTTGTCACAAAATTGATGACAATAGCCTGTTGGCCTTGCGATTTCTTTGGCACGCATCGGTCGCGCTAGCGGTGCAGCAATATGGTTGCGATCAGGCCCTGCATCCTGCTGTCACATCAGATCCAAAAGAATGTGACGCTATCGATAGCTTTTCAATTCTCAAGGTGTCATGCAGATACCCTCTGCTTTAATAGAATGCTGCCTACCACAGACAAACGCATGCTACCGTGACGTCGCCTCTTCCAGCGCTCTAACCTGCGTCGCACATGTCTGCAAGCCAAATCCTTCGTTGTTCTGAACGGACCGAGTTGCCGCAGGATCTACAGACGCATTCCTCCCACCGGCGGATTTGGTGCGAGCATCGCCATCTGTCACATAAATCAGCCGGCAGACTGCAGTGAGCCTTCTTCACCACCAGAGTCTAGTCGCGCTCGAATGTGGGATTGCGGCTCTGACAATTCATGGAAGCATGTCTTTAACCTTGTTATGTGAGCTGTCATCTGAGTGCCTACAGAGAAAGTCGCTTCGCTGACTGTTCGACGACTTTGATGGCGTATGCGGTCCGCGCGCAGCGAGAGAAGTCTATGCTTTCCAAGCAAAGAAACGGCCTCCAAGTTCAACGTGCACCATGCAGAATCGTCTGTATCAATCGCACCATGTACTCTGACCAGCGATCTGTGCTCCAAGCCGTGCCCTATCCCGATCACTGACCTTCCAACGGAGCTGCATGTCTTTGATCATTCCTGGCCTCAGCTTGAGATCTATTAGATTCATCAAAGTGCGCCTCAAGGGTGGTGTCATGAAGACAACTTCAGGGACCAGATGTGTTGCAAACGATGCCCACGAGACGAGCGGCTGTTCCAATTTTGGCAGCTTCCGACTCAAGGGTGTTCCTAATGGCAAGAAGCAGAAGCAAATTTCGCCAGCGGACCCAGACATCGAGTCGTCGACACAGGTCGCTTCGGCCGACAGACCGGATTGCTACTGTAGCTTGTTCCTCTATCACTGTTTGGGTTCTGAGAGTGAAAGCATGGTTTCGAGACAGAAGGCTGGGATGAATGAATGAGCTCATGGTAGCTAAAAGAAGATACAGCCATCTATCCTCGGGCTCGGCGCCGGCCATGTGTTCTCCCCTTAGCGAGAGCGTGGACGCTCTAAGTTCACACCAGTCATCTTCACATGGGATTGGCTCCGCAAAAGTGCGTGAAACCTAACTAGAAAGCCGCCTGAAGGCTGCCTTTGAGAAAGCATGGTTGACAATTGTGCCGAAAACCTTGGGCTGGGTCTAAAATCCTTCCCATCGCATGCGATGCTGCATCCTTAGGCAGGTCTGCAATAATTTCGATATTCGCATCGGTTACGCTTCCTCGCGAATTTCCCCGCAAATGTCTGGCGGCGCGGTCGGCATGATGTCTGTGATCAAAGAAGGCAGGTCAGATCAGAAGAGACCCTTCTTTTTTTCTCCTTCGCTTTGGTACTTTTGATTGTGGAGTCATCACTTGAATCGCACTGAATGCATGAATCGCTTGGGCACCAAGCTCACCTGCCTCACACAGCAGGTCCATCCGCCACTGTGCTTTCCTTGCTCGGTCCAGGCGGGCATACTTCTATGCTCATCACCACCCAGCACAGTTGTCTTGCGTCGCTCGGCTCAATTGTCTAGAAACAGCCGTTGCGGGATAAATGCAGCTCCTGTACCAGTCCCAGCCTCATTCTTATTTCCAATCGTTATTTCCCACACATTAAAATGAACATCACCATTGGACGAAATTGTCCAGAATCACGGTGAGGGGTAGAGAAAGGCGCACTGGTGTTGAAGCCAAAGATCGAACGTGTCATGGCTCTGACTGAAGTCAAAAAGTCCTCAAGTCTATTTCCACCTTCTATTTTTAGCAGGTACGCTGAGGTTTATCGAGAGGGCGTCGTCCATCGATCTTTTCTTGTGTCTCGCCTTTTGTGTCTACCACAACCACATAAGCTCTCATCCGCCACCAGGGACTGTTTCGGTCATGCTCGGAAACTACCAATCCCGACTATCCCTGACCATCCCTCACCTCCCCGATGTTGTGGTTTATGTTTCAGACTCTCGGGCTTTGGAGGGAAGAAGAGCTTCGGCATCCAAACCATGTGGCCGGCTTGCAAAACACCAACCCTAACAGTTTTTACCTCCCGAGTTACAACAGATCTCAGCGGAAGAGCCATCAGCCGAACAAACGTCTCGATGCGCCGTAAACATTGAAGTCTGAATAGCAATGTCTTCTTCCGATGGTCTCGTTCGAACGCGCCACGTCAATCAATGTCTCTCGGACAGATGCACATTTTGACGCGCCGTAAACAACAATGTCTCTGTCCAGGCCCACGTTTCGATGCTGCTCTGATGACCTTCTTCAACACGGACTTGACAAATTCTTGGTCTCCAGTCATCTAACCTCTCATATCCATGGCTCTACCGTGTTCTAAAAATATCAAGACTTATGGGCCCGGGCAGATTTTTGCACTAGATCTCGCCAAATGTTCGTCCAAGCAAAGCAGTGGATCTCTTTTCTCCATCATCACCTGTCAGATTCATGTTGAAGAGTGGATGCAGGGCTCAGTGAAACACGCTACAAGTCGTTGGCATACGAGAATGTATCGATCGACAGGGCAGTTGCCGGGGAGTTCGAGCAAGTTCACCTTCTCTCCAGGCCCCAACATTGGCAAGTGTTATACGTGATGGTAGTCACGGTGCCAACCAATACATCAAGCAAAAGCAATTTCATGGAGGACATCAGGCAAGCTCGCCGACTGACGGGTGTTTACGGACAGCAAAGTCAAAAAGAACGCCAGCATTTGTCTGGAATACGAGCTACGAACAGTATAATGAATCACCAAAACGTGCTCCCCAGTTACTTTCCTTTACCCCGTTCTCCTTGTTGTCCGGCATTGGCAGCCCGTATATCGTCTCGAACGACTGCAAATGGCAAGCTGATATCGTGTTTCGATCTCTCCGTTGAAGTCAACGGCCGGCTATTAATGATGTTTGTATTTCTGGTAAGCATTGCATTAGTATGGAAGCTTCGTTATGGCGAATACTGGTGAGGCTCAAAACTTACATCTTCAGACTTCTTGATGTGGTCACGATCCACTTGGTTGCCGACACCTTTGAAGGTTTGTCCCACCGCGCGGCTGACACCGATGACAGGCTGGAGCAGAATGGTTGGCGCATGTCTAGCCACCGCCCGAGCAGCCCCTGCGGCGGTCCCGCTCGCCATGAAGTCTCCCTGGATAGCAATAATAGCATCTCGTGCCGTTGTCAGGTCTCGCTTGAGATAACGACGCGCAGAGTGCAGACCTTGCAGCACGCCCAGGGGTTGATCTGCATAGTTGCTGACCTGGCGTTGTTGGGCCTCCTCGTATTCTCCCTCAACATTCTCGACGCCCTGACTACTGACTGTGCGCTGGGCTGGGGAGAGCATGTCTTCGACCTCTTGTAGCCTGGTTCCCGTACCGATTGCGACTTTTGCAATCAGACGCGCGAACCCAGACGAGGTGGTGCTTAGCGCCTTGAAAGTGCCTTTCTGAACGCTGCGAACTTTGAAGCCGTCTTTCCTAATCTCGGCGACTGGGACAGCAACAATGTCACGAATGCCCATGCCAAGTTCAACAAGAGGCCTCGTCATGCCAATGCCAGCCAGCACGCCGCGAAGCTGGTTGTGTATCACGTCGGGTGTCCAGATGTCACTCAAGGTGTCATGCAATGTATCAAAACCTCTCAGGCCGTAGATGATGGCATGCTTGAGTTTGATGTCGGCTTTCTCAAGTGTTACGAAGTTCTTGAATTCAGACATACGGCCGCCCCGCAAGCCGACGTAGTCGACCTTCTTCGGCTTGTAGTCGAGGCATAAACTGACAGTGTTGACTTCCAGCCGTTGTATGAATGGAGGCTCGGCATTAGCATCGGCAGGCTTAGACGAGTCATCGTTGAAGTCGAAGAAGCGGGTCATAAACTCCAATGCGTCTTGGTCGACATGCAGGCGTAGTGGTAGAATCGAAGCCTAGACTATTGTCAGTTCACAAACGCTTCGCCAAAGGAGCACCACTTACACGAATGATCATCTCTGTAGCTACTAGTTCTAGCACAGGCCGAACATTCAACAGCTCTAGGTGAATCATGGGCTTCATCATCTCACGCGTCTTTCCCCTATCGTTGTGGAGCGTCAGGAACTTCTTCCAAGTGGAAGTTAGCACATGATCAAAGATCTCGAAGTCCGTCACCCTAACGTCGACAGAGCTTTGCACCTCTCCACTACTAGGGGGGTGTACGAGAAAATCGAGCGAGACACCCTTGAGGTCGAATCCAAGCTTGTGAGATGTGCCGCGCTCGAGTTTCAGTTCCTTCTTTGATAGCTTCTTTGGACGATTACTATCAGCACTACTAGGCTTGGTCATGCCAGTGGTGGCATAGCTTTCAGTCTCGCTGGCAGTCTCGTTACCTTGATTGATCAAGTTGCTGATGGAGCGGCGGAGATCGGCGGGCTCACGAGCTGCTGGTATGCCGATGTAGATGGAGTTGAACAGGCAATCGCCGATGACCGTCTCGTTATCGTCTTCGAAGGTATTAGACCTCCGTTTGTTTGACTTGCGATCTTCGACCTCCATTTCCACTTTTTCGACTGCCTGTGTCAAAGCTTCGCGGGTGCGTCGCCAATCATAGCCATCGTATAAGTTCCAAATGACATTAACGTCTCGAACCCGAACCTGTATTGGGAACCGTTTTTGTTGTTCGTGGGCTTCTCCCAGCGCTCTCGAGCCTCCGTAAATCTTGTCGAGTTGACGATCGTCCCGGTAGAAGGGGCTGATCACAGTAGGCTTCGCTGCGCCGAGACTGCCGAGCTCTTTTCTAAGACTGCGCAACAAAGCGTCGTCGCCGAACTGCGGCGAAGTGGTCATCTCGAAAGGATCTTGCTCGAGAAGACTCTCTACAGTGTCTGACTGCAAGCCGCGTGCGCTGTAAAAGTCTTCATCTTCGAAGCCCAATCCTCCACCTATCGGCTCGTACAGCGCTGAGGCCATTTCTGAGCCCGTCATTAGACTTTCTTCTTCGGATAATGGTAGATCCATCTCGGCGTCGAACAAAGCAGATGGAGCAGGGCCAGGTTTGATGAAGGCCTCGCCTGAGAAGGAGTTGACCATATCATCGAGCGTCATAAGTCCGGGATCGAGGTGAGTACGGAACCTGGGATCATTGCTAGCGATCGAAGGTGGCGACAGACCGTTGAGGATAGAGACCAGCGTTTGTGTAGAATCTGCACAAGTCTCCAAGAGGAAGAACTCGTCGCGGAACTCGACATCGATGAGTTTTTCGGACTTGATGCGGTCTTCAACAATTGATAGAGTTACTTGAGCGGATCTTATCGAGTTGACAGAGACGTAGCCTTTGTTTAGAAGATATTGTTGCAGATGTGGTGAATAGTTGGATTGAGGAAAAGGAGTAGGAGGAGCTGAAGTCTGAGGAGGCGCGATGGTCTCGCGATCAGTGACGTAAAGTATTGCTTGTCGGATGTCCAAAACAGCGTGTAGAGACTCATCTATTGGGACGGAGGTACCGAACTTTGTATTCTTCAGTACTAACACTCCCTTCGACTGAAGGTCTCGAGGTTGCAAGCCAAGGGCGCAGTCGTGTAGTACGATGTTGATGGCGAGCTTCTCGGTGGAATCCACAATGGGCCTCTCAGACTCGAGCGCTGGTACTGGATCCTTGAGTCCTGAAGCTGTGACGTCGAGTATAGACGTGGCAAGGTCTTGTACTTTCTGCTCCACCTCCGCAGCTGTCTTAGTGCTAGTGAGAGAAAGAAGCGTAGGAACATCGTACTCGACGCAAATGTTGAAAAGCTTCACTCTGATTACAGGTTCTGCTTCGTCGGCGATCTTTCGTACCATGACCATTGGGGTTCCCAGCACGTAAGCTCCAGGTAGAGTCTCATGGATGATGTCGTGACCCCCACCCGAGCTCGCCCACATGCTGCCTATGGAAAGCGCGGACAGAGCCGGTAGTCCGACGTGAGCTGCCTGGATATTCTTGAGAGCAATGTCGATAGGTCCGAACTGTTCGTTGACAGGTAGTGTAAGTCGTGTGTCGTCGACTTTCGCAAGACACAATAGTCCAGGGGTGTCGTCTTCGGGCAAGTATTTCGTGACCGCAGACAACTTAGAAAGCTCGTCGCCGAGCGATCGGAGAAGCGGTATGAAGGCCCACTCAGTGACGGACACATGCAAGGTTTTCACTTGAGTATCGAGCATCGATCCCTTGCGCCTTTGTCTGAGCAGAGTATTGACCATAACTTCAGCATCTTCGTATCGGTTGTTTGATGGCTCGACAAGCGCTATGAAGCGGTCTAAATCGGATTCTGACGGTGGCATGACATAAGTAACAACAACGTCAGTCATGACGATGTTAAAGCTTGAACGCCTGTCCGGCACGTCTTTCGTAGGCATTGCAAGAGACAATCTGTCAATGCTCACGCGGACAACACCTTGTCGAGGTATGATCTTGGTCTTTGACGCTCGCAGTTCCAGAGAGCAGGATCTCGAAGCCAGCCTCACGTCGAATGCAGCTATTCTTGCACTGATTTTTGTCTCGGGTGAATTGTTATCATCAAGAACCGACTCTTGGAAACGAACACTCCTGCGCTGCGGGGCAGGGGACTCTTGTTTGTTGGAGAAGTATCCGCTTGATAGCAGCGACGAGCTCATCTCGACGATACCAGTTAATCCGCCTAGTGCATCGAAGTCTTCGTCAAATCTTGCCAAGTCTAGATCAATACGTATAGGAAGTAGCTCAGCGCGTAGTCTCTTCACAGTTCCACCCTGTTGTGTCTTGAATATGTTGGTCTCAACAAGAATCGCGTGCTGAGTTACTCCTCGATCTGAATGTTGCTTTGCCTGCCGATCAAACGATACCATGTCATTGGTACCGGCTGTGAAGGTGAGATCCTCGACAGTCAGTCTGAATTCCATGGGAAGAGGATGGCTGTCAACCTTGAGATCGATTTGTTGCAACTCGAGTTGCAGCAAAGCTCTCTTCTCATGACCAGAGTATGGACGAGGACGCCACATTGACAGGCTTTCAAGCTGTACTGAAGCGTCCGGGAGGTCCTCGAAGAGCGAGACTCGGAGATGAATCACCCTCAAGGAAAGACTAGGTAAGCCCTCACCAGTGGCGGGAGCTCCTGAATCGGGAACTTTCTTCGTTGGCGGAATATCAGAGCCTCTCTTTGGTGCCGGAGCTCGACGCGGGCCCTTCGCGATGCCCGTCAATGTGATTAATGAGCGGATCGTATCGGCGTCAAACTGCAAGACCGTAGGAGAAATATCAAGTTCGATTGTCGTATCCATTATGTCACCGATCTCATGATCCCCGTATGATTCGTCTGGTTTGTTGGCATCCGGATTGAATCGCATGGAGGAGCGACCTCCTTCAACATAATCCGAGAAGGCACCAGGAGGCCGCGGAGAACCGGAAGCGCTCACCGAACTCTGAGACATCCCAACATCGGGAACTCGCATAGGAAGATGATTGCTTGGGGCTTGCCGAATCCCAATGGTCATCTCGCGCACAGTCAGAATCTCCTTTGAGACATATGTCAGCGAAGCACCTTGCGTGTTTTGACCCTCGGAGACTTCTGATTGATTCTGTAATCTGGGCGTAGGTGATCTATCCTCAGACTCATAGCCAGGTTGCTGAACTAGGTGTTGCGAGAGGAATGGAGGATCTAGGTCTTCATCATCGTCTATAACAGAGTTCCAGGCGCCTGGGACCATTCCGAAGTTTGGAGAATCTGGTGCTTGGCCTACAGCACTCATGTACATGCTCTCTGCCTCCGCATGACTGTAAACTACAGACTCTGACAGATCAGGTCCGTCTTCCAATGCTTGAAGAGACAACGTCGGTGAGTTCCCCACACCGAGTTCAGTCGCGGTCTCATCTGTTCCACGAATACTGTCAAAGGACTGTCTAGCTCGATACATGTAACGTGAACTCGAGGCAGTCTGTGGTGGTTGTGCACTTGTGAAGGACTGGCCAATTGTCGACTCTGACATGGCACTCGTAGATTCTCGCGTGTCGATCGTACTCAAGAAGACTGATGACGACACGTCTTGGAGCATCTCTGAGGCTGCCTGGTCGCCTTCAGGAGCAAACGATGACCAAACTTGATCACGACCGGATGAATTCTGGCTACGTCGGGAGACCCAGGACACGTTGTCTTCGCCAGGACGTATATCAAAGGATGCGTTGCTCTGTGTCATTTCATCTGGCAAGCTCTCATGATCCGAGTCCGACAGATAGCTATAGACGGGAAACTGAGTATGTGGAAAGACAGCAGATGCAGCCAGATCTGGCTCGTGATCTGAAGTGGGATAGTTCTTCTGTCTCTCCTTCCCACGTGTACTCTCAGACGTGTAAGAGGTGAACAGATCGGCAACAGAGGTGCGTGTGCGGGTGAACTGTTCCTCGCGCACTAAGTGGATACTGAATTCATTCAAGGCGATTCGTCTTGTTTTTCTTGCAGGCGCACTCGCCTCCTCGTTGAGACCAGCGACAGAGGCGGCAGCGGCATTGACATTGATGGTCGCGATGTGAGCGATAAAGGCCATAGGAGATGCTTCTGGAGTTGAGTCCTGCAGCATAAGCCTCAAGTTGACGTCTTTTATCCTGATCTGTACACGATCCACGATTCCTTGTAGAAAGCCAGCGACCATTCCTGGTAGACCTAAGCTCGTTCCAGTACCCAATTCGTCACCTGTGCCACTCATCGACGAGTTCTCCATGTATCGAGCTTCCAACTCTTGCTTCTCTTCATCTGGTTCCTCCAGCAGGATGGATCGCGCAAGGCGTTGAGTCGAGGGTAGTCCACCGGAATCATGGCCAGGAGGAGAGGGAGAGTGTATTCGTCGGTTCTTCTTGCGGTGGTCAGGGGCTTTTGTGTCGTCGACATCGTCGTGTGGTTCAGCAGGCAATTCGGCCGAGACCTGGACCTCAACACCGTCTACTTCAGCGATTATACTCTGCTGGAAGAAGTTGGCAGGAACCGTCAGACGTAGCGACAGAACACGAGCGACCTGGAGGCGAAGGTTTGGCGGAAGTTGCAACAGGGTCGAAAGTTCCTAAGTCATGTTAGCCAGCCCAAGACGAGGAAGGTGCAGAGTGGAGAGTGTATACTTGGACACGGAGGCCGACGTTCTTGAGCTCGACAGTGCTGGTCCTGCCGATCTTCACACCCAACGAGTCGAGATCTAATGAGTCTACATCCAGCAAAGCAATGCGCGATAGGGCAGCCCGAAGCAGACGCTTCTGAAAGTAGGCAGGCATCCATGAAGCCATGGTGGCCGATGTGCGAAGAAAACGACAAGCACAAATCTGGAAAAAGTCGCCCTCAGCCAAGCATGCTCATGAAGTGGTGATGTGTTGACTGCTGTTGACGTAAATTCATGTTACGGTACACGAGCGACGAGTCGCGGGGTACATGAGGTGTGTGATGAGAGTGTTATGTCGTCGCCTGCTACTGTTTCGACTTGCGTCTGACGCTCGCTCTCACACGACGCATATGATGGTGATATCAGGCAGTCATGTCTCTGTCGCCGCCGCTTTGTTTGTAGCGTCCGCGTCCACCTGACTGTCAAACTATTCGCGTTAGAGTTGGTGACTCTCCACATGTCACGACCGTCTCCGTTATCACCGAAGCGTCCGCCGTCGTCTAGCTCGCCGATCGCTCCCTCTCTGGCGAGATCATGTCTGTGCGTGCTTCATCTGGCCAATGGCGTGTTTGCTGCCTTTCCGTCTTTCTCTCTCGATCGTCCGCGATGCAATAGACCACTCGTGCAACATATCCACCTTGTACCAAACCAGCATTACTCACCAATACCTTACTTCTTTGCTTGTTTCTGGCCCAGTTTACTTTGCTCGTTCCGCTTTGAAAGTACACTTTTGTTCATACAAAACATGGAACAACTCAGTATTCATGACGATGACAACGCTCAATGGCTACAGGAGAGAGGTGTTCCATCATTTGAGGAGCCATTCATCCAGAAGTACCTACAGGGTCGTGATGCTCTCATCGATCAAGAGAAGAAGCAGCGTAGTGGTCCGTTGTTTGCAAATTGAACCATATTGAACCCTTTCTGACTTTCACAAGACCGTGCTTTCAGGGAGACCCTGTCTCCCATGGCTCGCGAGGCTTGTGCCATCGTGTCTGCTATCAGGTTCGAGGAACAACAAACCATCTGGACTAAGGACTATGAGGATAGCTTGGCTTCAGAGTCTAAGGACATTTACCCCGGCATGATGTTTACTCTTGCGCGACCCAAGATTGAGCAATCAAAATTGTGGAAAATTGTCAAGAAAATGCCAAAGGGTGCTCTCCTGCATTGTCATTTGGAAGCCATGGTTGATATGGAATGGCTCACCAAGGAAGCGTTCGACACAGAGGGCATGCATGTCTCAGCTGATCGGCCTCTTGACTCTGAAGATGCTCGATCATCTGCACCTTTCCTCTTCAAGTGGCTGAAGAGCCGATCTTCCGAGTCTTCTTCGTTATGGGAGAAGTCCTACAATGCTGGTCAATGGATTCCTGTTGATATTGCTGCTAATGCTTTCCCACATGGTGGTCGTAAGGGCTTCGAGAAGTGGCTCAAGGACCGCATCACAATCACCCAGGATGAATCTGTACAACATATGCACGGTCCCAACGACATCTGGCGCAAGTTTCAATCGTGTTTCGGCATCATCTCCAGTTTGCTCCATTACGAGCCTATATTCCGTACCTTCCTTCGTCGCATGTTCGAAGACTTGGTCGAGGACGGTGTTCAATACGTCGACATTCGCAGCACCTTCCTGGATCCTTTCTTCAAGGAGGGATCAGAAGAGCCTGAAACGAGCACCGAACTTATGATTGATATCTTGGATGAAGAGATTGAAAACTTCAAAGCTCTGGGCAAGGGCTTCTGGGGCGCAAGACTCATTTACACCACTCTTCGCAGCTTCGACTCACGCAGGATCATCGAAAGCATGCAAGAGTGCATCGACATGAAGATCCTATATCCAGAACTTATCTGTGGCTTTGACCTTGTTGGCCAAGAAGATCTCGGCCGCCCATTAGCAGACCTCACACCCGAACTCTTCTGGTTCAAGAAGGCATGCGCTCAAAACGGCGTCGATATTCCCTTCTACTTTCACGCTGGCGAGACTCTCGGTGATGGCGATGAGACTGACGAAAACCTCTTCGATGCGATCTTACTAGGCACCAGACGTATCGGCCACGCCTTCTCTCTCTACAAACACCCTCTCCTCGTCGACATGGTGAAGGAGAAGAAAATCCTCATTGAAAGCTGTCCCATCAGTAATGAAGTTCTACGTCTCACCGGTAGCATCATGACACATCCTCTACCCGCCCTCCTCGCCCGCGGTGTCCCAGTCTCCCTCTGCAACGACGATCCAGCAATTCTCGGTCACGGACATAGTGGCATGACCCACGATTTCTGGCAAGCGCTGCAAGGATGGGAAAACCTGGGTCTTGAGGGTCTGGCTTCTCTGGCAGAGAACAGTGTCAGATGGGCTTCCTTTGAGGATCTGAATACACAGCAATGGCAACAGGAGCTCAAGGATGGTGCATATGGCAAGGGCGAGAGAGCAAAGAGAATGCAACAATGGGCCAAGGACTTTGAAAAGTTCTGTCAGTGGGTGGTTGTCGAATTTGGAGAAGACCAGGACATGCTTCCTGAGGAGTAGGATAGACAAATAGATCATGATTCAAATGAACGGCCTTTTTGTGGCTGACACAGGGCCACATAGTGACGACCAGACCACAGGACACAAGCAAGTGACACAAGAGCATGTTGAAAATGGGGTTTGATACAACAACGACTATTAAGTGTTTACGAGGTGTTAGGGGGTTCTCTTAGACGGGACCCACTGAAGTCTAGGCCAAATCTCTTCGTCCTCCTGCCGACGTGAGAAAGATTAAAAGCGACGTAAGGCACCTCTCCTCTAACTCTATCGGACATTCAATCTGCCAACGCTCCGTTCCAGGCTTCTTGCGTTGAAAAGCAAGTAGCTAGGGCAACTCCTACGAGCTGCATCGCTGGGTGTACATGAGAGTACGTGTCACGAGGTAGTGAGTGGGAAAAGGGCAAGGGATGAAGGGGGGAAAAGAGAAAGCGGTCTGTAGAAGTTAGGTCATGATTGTCATAAAAGACTTGCGAAAAAAAGATTTTTTGATTCTTTGGCCGTTTGCTCTTTACGAGCAAAAAGAGGATTATTCTTTCCACGGTCAAAAAGCCCTCCGTTCGTTTTCACGCCATCCCAACCAGCAGTACGCAGCAAATACGGGACGACACGCTTAGAAGAAGGTGGCGGGGCGGTGGGCAGAGAAGATCTTCTTGCCAGCGGTCTTGGGGATACGGTGGGGAAGGGGGAACTTGAGGTTCTTGGTAAGGAGCTGCTTGATGTAGGGGCGGCGGATGTCCTCGGACTTCTCGACCTCGACGACCTTGATGATCTGTGGGGACAGGTTAGCCAGCGGGCAACTTGAGGCCAGCATGAGTGAGGACGTACGTGGATCGAGCGGAAGCGGGCGCGGTGGCGGGCGGCCATGTCCTGGTAGAGAGCCTGGACAGCCTCGCAGCGGGACATCTCGCGGTACTCCTTGTACATGTTGTGGGTACCAGAGCGAGAGTCGTAGCGGATCCAGATACCGAAGTTCTTGACCTTCTGGGGGCGCTTCTCATGAATCTGCAGGCGCGTGTTAATTGCGTCACTTAACGCCAAACGCTGCAGCCCATTTCCGGGAGATAGCATTGTATAGGTTTGAGATGAATCGTACCTGGTTGAGGGTAACGATCTCGCCGTTTGCCTTCTTGACCTTTCTCAGCTGAGACAAGAAGTACCAGAATCTGCTCTTGGCGACGACCTCGTTGGGAGCGAAGACGCGCATGCGGTAGAGCTTGGGGGTAGGGTTGGCATCTGTGGGCAACAGACGGCCAACGACCTGGTATTCCTGGAGACGAGCTGTACGGCAGTATGTATTAGCCCAATGTTCCTTGCTCTTTGATGCTGGCAGTCGACCAAGCCAACCTATTCGATCCTTTCATTTCCACCTCTTTCTTGCGCGATTGTCGATTCCTCCATGCCTTTGGTGAAGTTCTTCAAGGGTGTCGAAGCATTTGCAACAGGAACAGTCGTAGCCAGATTGGACCATATTCAAGATTGCAGACGATGCGAGCGAAGATGCGATGGTGCGCAGGCCAGGAGGAGGAATATCGGCGATGGATCGAACTCGGCGGTGGGTAGACGTGTGTGGGACAGAAATTTCTTACCGGGCATCTCGAGGAAATGTCAGTATTATGGTAGTATACAGGCAGCTGGGATAGACTCACTGTTGCGTTTGCTGGAAGGTTAGTACAACGTGAATTGACAACTCGCTTGGAGAGAGAAATTCCTGCGCGCGCCGTGGAATTCGACGCCCAAGCGAGTCGAGCGGAACTAGCCGTCGCTCGAGTGCGCTTTCCTTGGCAACAGACATCTGTTCGGAGCCGGTCATACTTTTCGCCGTCTGGCTCGCTGCGACGAGCTCAGGCCATCTTATCAGCGACCATCAACATCACATGCAAGTGTTGATGCCGACTGACTCCCTGTGTAGGTTCTGTGAAACTTTTGTTCTTAATCATCACGTTCACTGTATCGCATTCGATTAGATTACGGCGTTAAGATGAACAATGTCATGATTGACTTTGGGCGCGCGATGATGGCTAGGAGTGGCTATGAGCTCGCCAGCACTTTGTCGCCAGTTGCGCCCAAGCATGACAGTGGTCGTCTTTATGCTCTCCACAGAGAATCAAATGCTTTCAGCATCCAGGCAGACATCCGACGTGCTCTCTCGCATAACCCAGCAGTTCAACTAGAGAGAGACGAAGTCAATGCCTGGGCCGACGTTTTTGTTGCATACTGGAAAGCTGTTGGCGAAATTCTTATTGCCGAGGAATCGCTCAATCAGGGAAAGAATGCCTCCAAACCTCAGAGTAAGGTCGCAAATTGGGACAAGGTCTATGCCGCCTGGAAGGATGTTCTCAATGCATTGTTGAGAGGTTATCAGATTGAGGTTTTCGATGCTTGGACCATTCCCTGCCTCTACATCGTGGGCAAGTATCTACGTGTCTTCGCCATCAAAGCCGACGATGCTGCATCTCAAAAGGGCCAGACCACATTCAATGCTTTCGAAGAAGATGTTGGTGACGCAACAGGAGGAAACGAGAAGTTGGAGGACGCTGCACGTCAGATCAACAGAGTCTTCAGTCTTTGCATCGGCGATAGATCTCCTATCGACACTTCTCGCAAATGGGGTGCCTACTACATTGCTAACTTGCAATTCAAGACTTACTTCAAGGTGACTACGTATCTTTCGGACAACAGGAACGATATGCTAACAGCAAGTAACAGCTCAATTCGATCGCTCTCTCGCAAAACGTCATTCGATCGCTCTCAGCCACGAATACCGACTTGCCACCACTTGATCGTTTCCCTCGTTCTCAACAAGTCACATACAATTACTACCTCGGCGTTCTCAAGTTCTTGCATGAGGATTATGCAAAAGCTGAGGAGTACCTAACCATTGCCTACAACAAAGCTTTAACAGGATCTAGCCGGAACATCAGATTGATTTTGACGTATCTCATTCCGACCAGACTCATCACCGCTCATGTTCTACCTACCCAAGCGATGTTGGCACCTTATCCCGGTCTGCAACGACTATTTGCTCCTCTTTGTGCTTGCATCAAGAAGGGTGACCTCACGGGATTCGATGCTGCCCTTCAAGCCGGAGAGGACGAGTTTGTTAAGCGAAGGGTGTACCTCACTCTTGAGCGTGGTCGTGACATTTGTCTCCGCAATCTTGTTCGAAAGGTCTATCTCGTTGGCGAACTTGAGGCACCCAAAGAGGGTGAGATGGGCGTAGAACTGACGCGAAGAAGTCGAATTCCGCTGCGAGAGTTCGCTGCTGCTTTGAAACTTGGCGGCGAGACCGAACTCGAGGGTGACGAAGTCGAATGCCTACTTGCCAATCTAATCTACAAAGGCATGATGAAGGGGTACATCTCTCGGACGCATGGCATGGTTGTCCTGAACAAGAAGGGGGCATTCCCCGGTACTGGCGTTTGAGCTGGCCTCTTATGGCACACGATAAAAAGCATCTTACTGCTTCAGCGACGAGTGTAGCTCTTAGCGGGACCGTACCGATCTTCGCCGAACGAACTCATCCACAAAACCCGGTCAGGTCAACCCATAGCATCTCACAATGCTATTGGCCAGAGCACAGCCCTACAAGCAGATTGCGTTCATGGCCACCTTCATCGGACCAATGGAAAGTCTCATCGAGACTGCTCGACGCTACAAAGAAAGCCACGGTCCGAGAGGATTATATGATACCGATGCATATCATAGTCCAGCCCTGATCACATACGGGTTGGGGTAACTTTGAGATCAGAGCGAAGTCATGACTACACACACAGACACAGCAAGGCTACCGCAACATTGCAGCCATAGCTACCAATTCAACAATATTTATATCCGTTCCTATCCGGTCTTGAATACCTTCTGTTTACAAGTTGGTGACACTCACTCCTCGGAGACAGGTCATGCTTGGCGTGCGTCAGTGGAGAGCATCATGATTTTCCTGATTAGATGAGCTACTCTGCGGCCGCTCCCTTGACCATCACGCAACCCATAGCTAGCATCATGTCATCAGCAGTAAACATCACACCTCAGCCTCACAGCCAGAAGCGCAAAGGCGGACGCGCGCCATTACCAGAGGTCGAAGAGAACTTTGCGCGACTTCCGCCAGGAAACGGCGACAGGACGGACCGCGCGGTGTGCAAGCATTGCTCAAAGGAACGCAGCTGGCACACGACTGAACTGGTCAAGCATCTCGATAAATGCCCCCAGTACACACCGTCCAAACGTCAGAAATATACGCGACCATGGCGCATTGAAAGACCCGGTGAGGGCAGATCGCCAAATCAACCACAATCACAACAGCCATCTCCACAACAATTGCAGAACGGCAACATCGATCTTGCGAACCGCAACGTGCGCGTCGGACCCAATGGTATCTTCCAATGGGACGGCGGCATGGTCGCTGGAAGGCCAGCTACTACCAGCAATCCCGATGGCAGGTCTGCGGACGATCAGCACCAACCAGACGGCGTAGAAGACGCAGATCAACCACCGCAACCACAACCTCAACCACGTCTACCTCAATCGAATCACCAAATTCTGCACACGCCCACGCAATCTGTGGGTGGAAACATGGAACCTACGGCCTTGTCCAATTATCCCCAAAGAGTCAACCAACATCCACAACCTCCTCCAAACAGACAATTGCCCTACCCTCCTCCCGTCAGCGATCCCGACCAACGTCTCCACAGCTTTATAGAATACGAGCGAGGCGCCATGGCATATCAAAATCGCTCTGAAGACTTGGACGCCATAGAAGCCTGGTTACAGCATCATCGCTTTGACATTGAGGATATCAAGGAGATTAGCGAGACTAGATGGGTGGACTCGTGGCAATTGAGACTGGGTGATCTGTACAGATTAAAGCGGGATGTACAGACTTTTAAGATCTTCGCTCAGCGATAAGGGAGGGGATGTCGTATGCTGGAGAGACTGCTATCTCAAGTGCAGGCGGCAGGCACTCAGAGATGTGAACTTGAGTCTTTGTACGATGGGAGAATCAATGTACATATTACTACATGAACGACATGTACGGGGCAATGACATGCGTCTCTACGAGTCCTTGAGAGGTCTGCCTGAGGCATGGACCTTGAGACTATTTATGCTTTTCATAAGAGGATGCTGCGTTTCTCCATACTTGAAATCAAGTATACATGAGCTGTCGGAATGCACGATACATCTCAAGTGGTTCATGGAGTTCCACGGGGTGCAGTCCATGACTACATCTCCAAGCGAGTGGATACTAGGGCTAAGATCATCTTGCATCAAGACAAGTGCAAAGTGACTATCCTTGGCACATTAAGTTGTCACCACAGCCCATGCAGACGGAGAGGAATGTTTCCTGTATGTAGTTCATGCCATTATATTCATTAATTCTTTCTTTTATCATGATTCTAATTGTTTCTTCGCTTCGTTATTAATAATAAAAAAAGGTCACTTTTATATCCAACCTAAACAACTGGAAAGGTCATGCTTCTTCAGCACTTGACCTTCAACTTCCACCCAAAAGCATAGATCCTCGCCGCCACAACCAACGAAGTGCCAACAGCAGCAGAAGCACCCGACCAAGCCTGAGCATAAAGATAACCCCCCGCATCAGCAGAAAGCAAAGCACCACCAATAGGCGGTCCCACCAAAGAAGCAAATGACAAGAATGTAAACACCATGCCCATTCTGGTGCCCACTTTACTGATATCTTTGGTCATTCTAGCAACAGTGGTGGGGATGAGAGATTGGAAAGCTGCGAGACCAAGGCCGTAAAAGGACACAAAGATGTAGAGCGAGTTTTGTGAGTTTACACCCATCCAGCAGAAAGCGAGGACGTTTACGAAGAGTAGGACGGGGATTAGGGTGTTGAGGGCGCCGAGGTAGCGGTCTGCGAGGTGGCCGGCTAGAACGCGGGCGGGGATGCCGACACCGTTTAGGATTATGAGGAGGATAACTGAGTTGGAGTAGGAGAAGCCGAGCATGTCGCGGCCGTAGGATGCAATGTAGTAGTTTGTAAAGTAGAGGGATGCCATGTGGAAGCACATGCCGATGCTGAAGAGCATGTATTCGACTTCCTTGAAGGCAGAGAGGTCGACGAGGGGGCCGGATTTGCGAGGTGGGAGTCTGGGCTTCATGGCTAGTCCGGCGGTGCAGAGGCAGACGAGGTTGATCAGGCCCAGGACACGAAGAGTCCAGCCGAAGCCGATCTGAGGTAGGAGTTGGCGGGCCATCAATGGATACAGAGCTCCACCGGCCGAGTTACCAGTGGTAGCCAGCGCCACTGCAAGACCTTTGTGTGTTGAGAAGTAGGTGCTGAGAAGTGCCATGGAAGGAGTGAACAAGATTCCAGAGCCAAGACCAGTACACACACCTTGCGCGAGGAACAGTTGCCAGTACTTTGTTGAGATGGATGTCATGAAGATGCCGATGAGCTGCAACACAGTTCCTAGAGCAAAGCAAGGTCTGAAGTATCCAGCATCCATTGCACGACCGGCAAATGTTGCGACGAAGAAGAGAACCCAGACTTGAATTGATCCAATCCATGAGATTGTCGATGCGCTCTCATTGAGATTCTGGGTATAGTATGCTTGGAAGGTTCCGAAAGAGTTGACAAAGCCCCAGGTCGTGAAGACGACAAGCCAGGCCATTCCGCATTGTAGCCATGCCTTGAAACCGCCATCGGGTGGTGGACCAGGTTCGGCGAGGGAATGTGTTGTTACATGCGATGCGATTCTGTTGAGAACGTTTGTCGTTGTTCTTTCCAAGTCTGTTTCTGGCTCGAATGCGTCTTCGTGGGATTCGCGTATGCTCTTCTCTGACCATGATGATGGTGTTGGTGTGAGGTCAGGACTCGAAGAAACCGAGTCCTTTTCGGTCTCAGAGTAGACAGACTGCTTCATTGTCGTCTTCTCGTCGTATGAAGACATGTTGTCCTAGTTTGTGCACGTCCGGAGAAGACACTGGGCTGTTGAACAAAGTTTGTGTATTTCGAAATATAGACTGCTACTTGAGATATTCCCGGGACACACAGGGGTTTTGTCCATTGTTAAGCCAGATCATACTTACCTGTCATCCCATGCCTGGAAAAGACTCTGATGCGCGACTCCCTAGGGCGCAAGGCGTGTATGTGGGTTGGGCGTGAGAGCGTCTGCGAGTAGGGCGTGCACAAAACAAAAATTCACGATAAGAAGCGGGTATTCACGGGCGTTTTTGTCCGTAATGATAACGACGAAACTTGAACCGGGAGGCATGCCGTGTATAGGAAACCCATCCGGACCGATATATAGGCCAAGTTGAAGGTGCCGACATCCATGGCAGAGATTTTTGAAGTGTCTGATAAGGGGGTGGGCGCATAATCCAGACTTGACTGCTGCGTGATGATGCGGCGGCGTGTAGTACTACATTTGGAAGATGCGACTTCAAGTCGTAGTCGCAGACTCCAGTCCTTCGTGCCACTTCGGTGTTGCAATTTTCGCTCGAGCTCTTGAGGAAGCATGAAGAAAGGACTTGATTGAAGGCAGAGCCGAGTGGTGGTTGTCTGCATGCATGATGAAAGCCTCTCGGCTGTCGCATTTGTCGATCCCGACTTCACTTCACGCTTCCCCCTCCCTCCTCTTAACCACGCCAGCACAAGAAGTGGTTTGTAAAGCTTTTGCGCGTGAGCAGCACACTCTCTGTAATTCACGAGCATCCATCTCGGTCTGCCCATCACAGCCGTCTGTCTCCTTACCCTAAGTCTTTCTTCGTGACCTTCGCCTGCTCATGTGATCACGTGTACTTCTCTTGCCACAAGGCAGACATTCCACTCACCTCAGCAGCGTTCTATTCTGGTAGCCTCTCACTATACCGAGCTATCACGATGTCGTTCAGCGCAACCGGCGTACCGAAGCCACTTCAATCGCGTCCCAAGAAGTCGCCCATTCAATTACTCCGCTCGGCCTCTTCACCTTTCGGCAACCATCCCCGTCGCAAAGCCGCAACTACACCACAAGCTGGACTAAAGAGAACCCAATCCGAAATCAGCACCAGTGCCGAACAGCCTCTAGACGATACAGGAATCGTCACGACACTACCACCACCAAAAGTACCACAAGATGTTGTCAGCCTCATACGATACATACAAGGGCATACATGGACAGAAATACCAGATCGAGCTGCAGGCATGCACAGCACACGAATAGCCGAAGTCCTGAACTTTCGAAAGAACATGCCACCAATCGTCTCAATAGCACACCTACATGCAGTGTCCTCCTCGACCACAGCGACCGAACGCGAACTTGCAAAACTAGTCCACTCTGGCATTGCCAAGAAATTGAATATACCAGGAAGAGGAAAAGGTGGATTTGCAATAGGCGAAGGTGTAGTATTGGTCGAAGACTGGATAAACACAATACAAGACCACCCAGCACTATCCCAGAAACTAAAAGAGAAATACGCAAAAGTGCTGGAAGAAAATACATCCTCTTATACAGTGCCGGCCAGCCTGTTCTTACCAGAAGAGGTGTCAGAACTCATAGCAGCAGGTTTCATGACCTCCACAAGCGTACTGAGCGATCACCTCTACTCCCTCCCCGGCACACCCTCCGCCCCAGGCTCCTCCTCCCTCGCAAACTCCTGGTCCACAGCAGCAACAGGCACTCTAGCAGCAACAGGCGGCTCCTCAGCCGTGCATCTAAACGGCGGAGGCGGCCGCGGTCTCCCCCTCCCCTCCACCCCCTCCTCCAGAACTTCACAATCACAAACCCTCACCTTTTCCCTCCCATACACTGGAGCATACCTCCGCCTCCTCACAGAAGCACGCACACATTTCCTCTCCTTACTCGTCAAATCAAGTCCAAAGTACAAGCAAAGCACAAGAGAAATGTTGAGGGAGAGATGGAATGGAGGTATCCCATTAGAGGATGTGCAGAGTAAAGCCAAAAGGGCTAGAGCAGAGTGGAGTGGTGTGTTGCCGGGTAAAACGAAAAAGTGGAAACAATTCTTCGGTGTCGAGTTTGAGTGGATGTTGGAGGAGTGTTTGGGGAGTGGAGGGGTTGAATGCTTCAAGACTGGGAGTGTGGGTTTGGGGATTAGAGTTACTTGACTTTGTACAAGTTCATCTACTTCTGCTTACTAGACGAATTCACGAATGTTCCTTCTTGATTAAATTAAGGGGGGAAAAAAAAAGAAAACTTGCATAGCTGCTGCTGAGTTCTCTGCCATTTTCTACAAACAGGCGTGTGTAGCAAAGAAGAAGAAGCAGAAGAGAGAAACGCCGGTTGGGAATAGATGCTAGCAAAAAGGTATAGTAATTCTTACATCTTTCTTTCATTCTTCTACTCTTCGTCGGTGTCGGTATCAGTGTCCGTCTCACTCTCCGTTTCTTCCTCCTCATCAGTGCCACTCTCTTCATCACTATCGTCATCATTGCCCTTGAGTTTAGGGCTCGTGGCCTTCTTTGTAGCACTACCACGAAGAGTGGCCATTTGTCCTGCAATCGTGTCTGTGATGTCAAAGTCAGTAAGGGAACAATCTCTGTATATGTCACAAGGGGCGGAAACTGACCTTCTTCAGGTTCCGAAATATCCTCATCCTCCCATTCGGCTTCCTCGATCGAACTCGGGTCCTCGACGGCTAGGATAACATCTCTCTTGTCGTCAAAGCCAATATAACTGTCACATGCAAGATGCATCTGGAACTTGTATTGGGCGGGTTGAGGAGGAGCTTGGAACTGCATCTTGAGTGTCTGGACGTTAAAGGTAGGTTTGCCAGAAGCGTCCAGAATGGGCTTGTCGAAGGTAGTAAAGGTGAACGGGGGAACGGCAACCTTGCCTTGACGTGCGTCGGCGAGGAAGAGATGCCAGCGGGGAGAGTGGTCGCGGGAGAAGTGGGGTGCGTGGGCGAGAGGGGGTTGATGTTGCTTTTGCTCGGCGGGGTCAGGACGAGCGTTGGCCTTTGTGTCGGTCTCGTCGGGGTCAATGTCTTCGAGGTCTGAGGGGTGGATATCGGGAATGTTGCGGGTACCGGGAGGGATGAAGCGGGCCTTGACGACGAATTGGACGAGAGAGTTGGGGATAATGTGCTTCTCGCCGGTGACTTTGAAAAAGGTACGCTCGATGACGAGGCGAGGCAGCTGAGATGCGACACTGATGGCAGAGTCCAATTGAGGTCTCGAGAGACCGACTGATGTAGCAATCTCACGGCGACGGGCTTCGGAGAGGTCCATGAAGGCTTGAATGGTAAGATGGCTACGCTGGCCAACCTGCTCCTCGAGGGCCTTGACGACTTGCTCGTTGAAGTGGGGCAACTGAAGGAGAGGGGGTGATTCGGGAGCAACAGCTTGGATCAGGTTTTGCGAGGTGCGATAGGAAGCGAGGACGGGGTTGGTGAAGCCATATGCCAGACAAACGGAGACAAAGGCTTCGTTGAGAGTAAGAGCGGTAGGGGCGAGCTGGTACTTTTCGTCGTTCAGAGTCTGATCGTCGAGCTCAACACGAGCCAAGTAGGCCCAGAGGAGCGCAAGAGTCTTGCGACGCACAGTGTCGTCCATGTCCTGCAAAAAGCGACGGTCCTTCTCTGTCATGACGCGGGCTTCTTGGAGTAGACGCTTCTCGAGTTGTCCAGTTCCGGCATCTGCCTTATGGCCGTGAAGAAGGGCTTCGAATTCGGCACCTGCGCTGACCAAGTTGACAACGCCATGGTCGTCAATACGCTCGCTGAACTCCTTGAACATGTTCCCAGCGCTGTTGACCAGGATCTTCTCGCGTGTCACCTTTTGCGATCCGTACCACCAGCTTCCGACAAAGTATGGCAGCAAGATTCCCAACAGGGCGCCGTAGACCAGCAGAATGTACTTGCCGTTGCCGTCGGTGATCAAAAACTGGGGGAGGGCAATGCCGAAGCTGGTACTCTGCTTGCCATCCGGGTTGCCGTACTCGATGAAGTTTCTGCGCACATCCTCGTCCGTGAGAGCCTTGTATGCCTTGATAACCTCGACCCAACGCTCGTTGACTGAATCGGCGGTCTCGTTCTTTGCCGGATCGGGCACAGCCTTGTCCGGGTGCATGGTGACAGACAGTCTGCGGTAGCGGCTCTGGATCTGCTTCTCCGTGGACGACATGGGAACACCCAGAATCTCATAGGGATCCCAGATCTTGGGTGTGCTGCGCTGTGTGACAGCCATGAGGTAGACCATCAATGCAATTGTAGCCCATCCCACACCAGCAACCACCATGCGCTTCAGCTTGCGCTCCCTCCTCTTTTGCCGTCTCCTGTGTCCATCGATGAGGTCTGCATGTTCGGGTGTGTAGCTTGACTCGATTCGCGTCGCCGTGTTCTCGAGGTCTAGCTTGCAAGTAAGTACAGAGCTGGATTGGAGAAGATGGACAGCTACTTACCTTTGCTGGGCTTAAGAAGGGAGTATGTCACTGGTAGCGTGACTAGACCGGCTACAGTCACAAAGAAGAAAGGAAAGAACTGGCCCTGTTCGTCATAGTTGTACTCGGTCGACATGGCGGCGGCGCCTTTCTATTGTACGCGGGTCCGAGTCGTTCAAGCTGCCGAGTTGCTCTTGCTGGTGTATAGCTTGGGAAGTCAGACAGTCGAAATTTTGGTCAAACGCGCTGCGTCTTGACAAAAAGGTCACAAGAATAAAAATAAAGGAGGGTGCTCAGAGTTGGTGGAAGGTGGAGAGCACATGCAATTGGCGATTCGTGTCTTCTCCAAAGCCCGCCAAGGCCCATCACCTTCCATCAACCTCTACAGCTCCCTCTCTTATGAGCAGCTTGAGTCATCTTACAGTAATAATTTTGCTTCAAACCTTCCTGTGTGCTAAGCTCCGTCACACCCATCCACTTTCAACGGTCAGAGCAGAGCGACAGCTGAAGCAATGCATAGTCACATCCTATATGAAAGGATCTAACACAGGGAATCTAGATGTATACCGGTGCCGTCGCTCCGAAACGAAAAGGAGTTTGCCCTGAGATAGCTACAAGTGTGACAGTGCTTCGCACACGGGAAGGAGCGGTTCAGAATTGCGACTGTTGTTAGGGTATCTTGGCTGTCTAAAGACTTCTCCTCCATTACGCCTGCGCTCCAGGGAAATACATCATCAAGCAAAGCCAATCCGTTACTTGTTCTCATACAATGCATTGAGCAGACGGTCGTAAGCACCTCTCATCACCACCTCATTGTCCGTTTCAAATTCCAGAGCAAATCGTAGGCGTCTCGCAGATTCCTTGATCGCATCATGGCCCTTTTCCTTCTCCCTCGCCTCCTTGAGAATCCTGCGCGAGTCTCTCATTCTCTTCCAGAATGCTTGTACCTGCTCTTCGTACGGCGTCTGCTCCAGAGGTAGTTCGTGCGGATTGACCTTGCTCGTCACGTTACCCAGGTACTTGTCCATTCTAGCCCATTTGTCTCCACCAAGATCGAGGAGGTGCACCATCAGGCCGCCTGCTTCGCCTTCGTACGTCTTGTTTGAGTCGAATGCATTGTACCAAATGCGAGGCTGGTAGGTTACTCTGTTCCGGAATCTCTGACTCTCCATGATCTGCTCCAGCGCAGCGTGATCTTTGTTCAACGAGACGTGATGCTTTCTGTCTGTGAGCGGCACTGCAAGTACTTGTATCAGGAATTCTAGAGACCATGTGTCGACCCTCAAGAAGAAAACACCACCATTGAAGTAACCATTGTCATCATGGGTTGCAATCAGATTGATTTCTTCTTCAAGTGGAGGTACAAAGAGCTCCAGTGGAACCTGCTGATTCAGAACCAGAGTATCTGGATCGACCCAGCTGCTCATGTCAGTTCACACTGTTGCGAAGCTAGGAATAAATTTGTCTGAACTTACGCGAGCCATTGCATACGCTCGTCCCACGGCTTGTTCAATTCTTCCACGAGAACGGACATGAGATAGGCGGGCTTGGCCAGAAAGCTTGCATGAATTCGTTGTCGTAGAACCTGCATCTGATATCCATGCAGAGCGTTGTGTCGTTCATGAGTTGCGATGGCCCCTTCGTAGAGATAATTTGGTTCGCCGAAAAGTGCCGTTACTTTCTTGATGCGAATGGCTTGAGCAGAGCCATGTTTCCTGCCCACAGCTCCTCCGAACTTGTGTCCACGAATTGAGAGCGGAATGTCATGTATGCTATGGGTCGTCTGTAGCGATTGCAGCAGCGTCACCACTCCGAGTGAGATGAGAACAACCAGAAGTATCAAACGACACTATCACGCATCGTCAGTTGACAAGCCTTGCAAATCGAGTGCTCCATGGGATGTGTACTGGTCCTGCTGTCAGCAATGCTGTGTGATAGATCTCGATATAGAATGTGATCACGACAGTGCATCTGCTTACCCTGGGCTCCCGCTCCTCCATACATCGTCCGTGCTTGCGGCATATCGCGACTATCCAAAGTATGTCTTCGAGGTCTCCCCAGATGAGAGAAAGCTCAATGGAGAAGGTGAGAAGGAAGAAATGATCGGACGATATCTTTCTGCCCTGTTTGCGTGGCACAGCATTTTAGCGAAGGAAAGCACCATCGCTTCTCTTCAGCAATCATTTTCGGGAACCGTCGCCCCTATCGAGCGCTCCTCGTAGGCCTTGGCAACGCTTCGTTGTTCAAAGCTGGCGACCTCGTGGGGCAGCTTTCAAGACTTGAGAAAGCGGCTGGCTGTGAAGCCTATCTAGTTGATGAACTACGTGCTTATGGCCCCTGAACCTAATCGTGCAATGCCCATTCTGGTAATTCTCTAGAAGCTCAAAGCTGGGCCCACCTCCTCTATCGTGGTATTCAGCTTCCAATAGTCGCAGTGGGCATGCAGGCAATATATGGCCCGCTCAGGGGCAGAGCAGAGTGGATATGGGAGCGCGCTCAAGGTCTTGGGTGTGAGAGAATATTAAGGATATAAATTGGTGGTACAAGAAGTTAACAGATAAAGGTGATGCGAGGAGTAGCCAGCCTATAGGCTCGTCTAGCATCTCAATCTAAGTGCATGAATTGCGCCCTTGCCGGCTCTCGGTCCTTGCCTTGACCATCATAAACTCCGAGATGCTGAAAGGGAAAAGTACACCGAAGATCGATAACATACGCCTCGAAAGTGACCATGCGCCGATGATCCTGCAACTGCCCATTCGAGCAAATCCCTCCCATGCCGATGGTAATCCAGATTTGCCGATACGCCGTATGTCGAATGCCGCTAATTGAAGACAAATGTTGAGAAAGTGAAAGGTCGTAGTCATTACTTCACATTGCGGCTCTTGCCCTTCTTGGACGGAGCTGCAGATGTGATTTTGCTGGTCTGTATCAGTTCGCCAATGTATCTGATCGAAAGTTAGCTTAAATTCTCAGAGAAAACCATAGTGAGAGGAATGTTTACGATTGAAGGAACTTGTTACCGCCTTCGAGCTTTTCGTGTTCGATCTTGACAGCCTCGACACGGTCGACGATGGCCATCAGGCTGGCTCTCAAGGCTTGTGCTTGTCTGTGGGGAAATGTTGTTAGAATGACAAAACCACGCATATGCAGGGGTTTGAAGGTGAAACGTACTCGATGAGGTTTCGTCGTGCATCCTCTCCCAGTTTCTCAATGACCTCGCTTGTCCGTCTGGGGCTCATGCTTCGAACATCATCAGGCTCATATTCTTCTTCGCCAGGTGCCATCTCGACACGTGGACTGTCTCTTGGAATGATCATGGTGCCACTGCTTTTACGACTTCCGAGTCTGGGTCTTTGTGCGTCTAGGCGACCGCGAGTAGGTATGTCGTTGTCGGATGACGTAGTTGAGAGTGGCGGGGAGTAAGATGGATTTGACGGAGGCTCGCTTAGTGCCTCGATAGGTGCAGAGTCGACGGTGTAATGTGCGTATGCAAGCGATGTCATATTGTGGTGAGGAAATCGTGAATGGTAGACAATGTCTGACTCTTGACGCTCAACGGCGGGTAGAAGTCCAGACGGTAGCCAGGATGACAAGAGTGACGACAAGTAATGGTGGACACAGCGGTGTGTAATGTTTGATTAGATGGGGGTGTGATGGCGGATTTCGGAGAGACGGCGGCGCTAAGAGAGTGTTCGCAGCGCTTGAAACACCATGTCTTCCTGGAGAGAGATAGTTGGGAAAGTTGTGTGTTGACCGGGATGGTCTGAGAAGAAGCGTCGCAGTCGGTAGAGGCCGAAAGATGGACAAGGAGGAAAGTGGAACTGTCAAAAGACGGCTTGAGTAGAAAAGACAATTGGATGTGCCCCAGGACCAAGAGCTGCTTGCACATCGCTCGGCTAGCTGCTTGACCAGACCCTCTTCAACACCGTCATAAAGGCGGGTCCGTGAACCATTTTAGCGCCAAATCCGTCTTCTCCCTTGCCCGCGTCCAACTCTACCCATCTGGTCCAGTCAGATGAACATAATCAACGGCCGTCAGCTGATTGCGGAAATTCGCAATTCCCTGTGCCAATGGCTGCCGCGTAGTCGTCGACTTCCAACTTCTGTATAACATGAACGACACCTTTGTGTCGGCGGCCGCGCCGAGAGGCAAAGAGTTTAGGGGCGCGCTGATGCTGATCTGCCATCCTACGCAGTAACATCCGATAATGATCTACTCTCCCTGAGCGCACCAATTGCAACACCACCCCAACCCGCCTCCCTCTGATTCATGCTCCCCGCGGCCGACTGTCTGCCCTTTTCCAAAAGAGTTTTTTCAAACCTGAATCTATCATCGTCTTCCCGTGTCATGTTTGCCTCTAGTTGTCTGCGTGAACAAAGGCCACGACACAGGATCGCCCATCAGTCCTCTGACCGACCCACGCCGAGTGAGGACCGCCTTGTGAGCTTCATTGCCCTCGTTGATACAACTCCACTCTTCCGGACACAATTTGTGTGCTGCCGGCTTGGCCGTCTCCTCGCCGAATCCCGCAGATATTGATAAATGCGACTCGCAAGATTGATCCAATCAAGTGCATCTTGGCTATGCGCTCTTACAAAGGTTTTCTGTTTCACTCGTGCATGGTAAGCCGGCCTTCTCAAGGGTCTTGTTGAATGCCATCACTTACCGGCGCTTCGAAACATCGTCACCACGCTGATGCGCCCACACATTGGCCGACAACCTTCTTCTGTCGCATCAGTTTCGCCGAAGAAAGCTATTCCGCACGTATGCCAAGCTCGAATTTACTGTAACCGTCACGGTTTGCTGCAACCACGTTCCTCGTTCAAGTTTGCCATGCCGATCACACCTCTCGAGAGTCTCGTTTTGGTCTTAATATGCTCCGCGTTTCCGCCGTCCGTCTCCGTTTCGCGCCGAGAAGAGGACTGTAGACATGACTCGTCTTCAGATTCTCATTGTCACTTTTCACCGCTACGCCACTGCACCGGGCTGTCTTTCCGCTGTGAAAAAAGTCTCTCATCCGCTCTGTGTTGATCATCATCTGTTGCAGCGAACACCTGTTTACAAGAGCGTAGGGTAGACTCTGTACACGGACTTTGATCCGACTATCGTTGCCGGACTCGAACTCTGGTAGAACTCATGTCACTGGGCATCAGTCGTGTCCGCCGCATGATCGGACAGGACCATGACCATCCTCCAAATTTGCTTGTCGTCAAGACAACAGAACGACTATCAAGGAAGTATTCCAGAACAACTGAACGGTCAAGCAAGTACGATAATGTGTCATGGTGACGCATGCAGAAGCCGGCTTGTGGCCGTTCGACGCCATGCGGTGCCCATCTGGCCAGACTCAGAGTTGGTAAACGGTCGCCATGCTTTCCACGCGCAAGGCTGGCAGCCGAGACACACTTGCGACGATGGTCTTGAGCCTCTTCTCTTGGGAGACACCTCGCTATGACAATTACATGTCAGATTGCCACTGTCAAACAAGAGAATGCAGTCCTCGTCCTCGTCATCATTGACATTTCCGGGTTGGTGAAGTCTACTCTTCGGGTCAAGACGAGAGCCTTGACGCTTCGGGCAGGGAGTGACAACAACTGCGATACAGCTGACACCATCCCCTAAAGCGCGCGTTCCGTATTCTGAGCCTTCCCCACGGATATATATCCGTGTCGGGTACAAGCACTACCGCTCTCAAGGCGGAAGCTCGCAAGATGATGTCGACATTTCATGTTCTTAATAATGTACCTCGGGAGCCAAAGCTCCAAGCTCTCACTCCAGCTCATCTACAGACTGTGCTTTCTTGCTTCGTCGGATCCAGTATCAAGGCGACCATAAACCAAGTTGATACACGAATTCGACAGTCCCTGAAATACGAATGCGCGACATTGCCATCTCCACCATGCCAACCCTTAAACCTCTGATCGAGATCTGTGTTGTGAGATGTTGACGGCCTAAGATCATCACAAGATGACCATCTCGTACACAAATAACCACACAACACGAGGCCCTCCTGGTGCCGAAGCACAAGCATCGTTGCGGAAGCACGCGCGCTCGATCTGACTGTGGCTGAAGAAGCCTCCCCCAGAGGAGCACGCACCTCGTAACGAGGACCGTGTACAGTTCTGGTTGTATGAAAACAGGACATATCTGTGGCTGTGCCCACGAGACGAATGCTTGTTGTTTGAAGCACGAGCACCACAAGACACGGTAAGATCGTAGGTCGCGCGTGTGACTATTCCAAGATATCTGGTTCTCAGTAAGTCATGAAGCTGGCATCTGAACTGCATCCCCAGCTTTCCCATCGGGCGCAGCCAGCCCGAGCAGAGCCGCACAAGTCCAAATTTCCCATTCGGAACCCCTGAAACAAAATACCCGGGATCACGATCGCCTTCACACTCTAACTTGGAAGGGAGCAGAACCTCGATACTGTCAGTTGGCAAGAAGGGCTGACGCGTAACAATATTCGCTTTCACGTCTATCCAAGAAAAGAAAGCTTGTGCTTTGGGAGCAATCTAGAAAGTTTCCATTCTCGGTGTGGCTGTTCAGGATATTGACGATGGTCGTTATATCGTGCGGGAGAGATTTTGGAACAGGGCACTGCTGTCTCAATGGTTTGAGAACACTCTATTCGGTAGGTCATATCTGATAGAAACGAGCAACTCTAGGCAGTATGAAGATTCTATTCTGACAAAGAGTGTGCGTGGTTGAAATGATGCCACATATCCAAACTCGACTGTTTTGCTTGCGAACATCAATACGTCTGATCAACAGCAACCTGACACCGGAATATCAGTCCTGAGCAAGTAGAGACCTTCCAACAATGCTCTATGTCGCCAAAAAAAACCCCTCGGGATACAGATTTTACACCTTTTTAAAACAACTGTCCGTTGTAGTACAGGGTTATCCCCTCAGCAACCATGTAACGGCCCCCAGCACAGCTGCCTGCCACCCCGTTATTACCATCCTTCGTCCTTCTACGATACAGACAGTGCCCAACCAGTAAGCTAGCAGCTATGTAGAACCCGTGGACAAGGCTTCCGCGAGCCTTGGGTCATCGACCAAGGCCACGTACTTGCGAGTTTGCCACCGACGGTGAGGCTGAGCTTGAAAAGCTCGTCGCCACCCCTCGTGGTGACGCTCGGAGGGAGTTACACCTCATGACTCCTCGGTGGCGAGAGCTGTTTGTTCATGTGATGAACTTTCCACGCTGCGCTGGAACCTCTTCTTGGACTTCAGCAAGTCCAAACTTGGAGCCGTAGCTCGTGATGTTGATTGCCTCGTGACATAGCAGTAGCCGTTGCAAACGGAGCTGGCACCTTATTTCCATGCTCAAATCATCATTCGCATCGCGGCAGCTAGGCAAAGATATGCCACGATGTCGCAGTCACATCCATTATGTTGGGTAGGGATCGCTATGCCTCAGGTTCGTAACTCTTATGCTGAGCATCATCTTCGTGATTCGTAATCTGGTCTACGCAGCGATAGTCGTTGGTCGTGTAATATTATAATCGTGGAACGTAAATCATGGATCTTCGTAATCAACGCCATCAAACAAATCCAGGACCACTTGAAGCATCAAAGGGCAAAGATCCCCAGACTCGTCGCCTTCGCCTGCTCCGTAGTACTGGGTATGGCGTACTTCATGTTGCTCGTTTTTGCAATTTTGTATGTTTTCGGTAGTAGTCTGAGTGTTGTTGCGCAGGTCGCACGAGTGGATTTCGTTGTTGTTCATAGCATGCACCGGCATGTCTGGAGCTGAGAGTAGTGGGACGGCGAGTGCTTGATGATGAGTTTTTTTGTTGGCTCTGAGTCTTGTGCGACGCCTGTTATGTAGCTTTCCCATATTCAAACAAAGGATGTGACGAGATGAATAGAGATAGCCAGGGAAGAAAAGAAAAGGAAAGAAGTTGAGGACAGAGACTCTAGGAAGAGAGTGATCATGGTCATGCTTACTACCTCATGCTTTATACTCATAGAATACCTTCGCAAACAGCGTTTTACAGTCATGCCGAAATCGCTTGTCGCCACCGGAGTGGAAGCCTACAGAAATTCTTTGGGCCGCATCAAACCATTTGACAGGTCATCCCACGTTACGAGATGGCACGGAAGAGAAGGTGAGTCATCCGAGATGCTCTTGGGGTCTCCAGAGCCGCACAGACCACCTAGATCATTCTGGCGATTTCTACTATCAATACGCCGATTCGTTTAGCGACTGCTGCCTCTGGAGATGTCGTTGATAGAGTTATCAGGGTCTTTGGTTGGTGGCGGTCATCGTGGCGTCTGTCAGACTCGTGTCTGATATTGTCTGATGGATGATGGGTGTAGTAACGCCATCATTGCTGCCTCTGCCTCGACGTTGGTCGAGTCATGCTGTCGAGATCATAGACCACCGAGTTCACCCGTCAATGACAAGCTAGATGGGAGATAGGAAACGTAGTATGGGTTCAGGATCTATATTGAATGCTTTCCAAAGATGGTTGTTGATGGATGCGAATAGAGTCGCGACTCCAGTCCCAAGACTTTTGACGACAACTTCTCCAGCATCTCTCAGACCAAAAAAATAAATACAAATCTCCGTCATCACCAAAAACTCACAAGAATGGCGCCAACCACTGCGAAACTTCTCGCCTCATCAGGACTATCGCTGCCTACCGATACATATATTTACTCATTGGCCCGCACAGCAAGCCTTTGTGCCGCAATATCATCTGACGATTCACTTCGCTACTTCGATCCTACAAACCTCTCGCTTGTGCATAAGGTATCAAATGCACACCGAGGAATCACATGTCTAAAGACGACTTCGGATGGCAAAGGATTGATCACAGCGGGCCGAGATGGCACGGTCAGATGTTGGGATGAGAGGGCGAAGTCTGCTGGCGTGCAGATGACTGATCGTAGGTGCTGCCTGATTCTCATATGCGAACATTCTTCTGATGACTCTTTTCATTAGCTCGTGGAGCTGGCATCTCTGCGTTGGCGTGTCGTGATACGTTCATTGCTGCTGGTACCGAGAGCACCAAGGAGGGATTGGGTGATGTTAGCGTTCTTTTGTGGTAGGTTGCTGATTGCATACGATGATGATGACATTCTGTTAAGCTTGTTACAGGGACACACGAAACGCTTCTCAGCCATTGCAGGCATACACGGAGAGCCACACTGATACAGTGACCCAAGTGGCTTTCCACCCAACACAACAGCAAACACTGCTCTCAGGATCCACAGATGGCCTGGTATCGCTATTTGACACTACAATTTCGGACGAGGATGATGCTCTGGTCCAAGTGCTCAACCACTGTGGTGCCATCCACTGCGCCGGTTTCCTCAACGCCGAAGAGGTATACGCCGTGAGCACAGATGAGCAACTCTCAGTCTACACCCTAGGCAAACCTACAGACTCCGACGAAGCCACTCTACCAGTAACAGCCTTTGGAGATGTCAGAGAACAGCTGAAGAGCAGTTATGTGATTGACGTGTTCCCCAACTCACCTTCAGCCTACATCGCTACTGGAGATACTGCGTAAGTAAAAAAAAAGGGTCCCAACTTCCACGCACCATAACTCACATTTCATAGATCATCACGCCTCACCCTAGTCCCACTAAACCCAAGCTGGTCCTTCGACATGTCAGGTACCATGGATTTCCCCGGCGCTCACGGCGACGAAATCGTTCGCGACTTCCTAATCGACAACCACGTAAGTCATTGCCACCTGCTTTGTAAATAGCTCAATATTGATCCACAGGTACAGAACCAAAGAGTCATTACTTGCGGAGAAGATGGTCAAGTTCGTCTTTGGGCGCAAGAGGCACAAGCTCCTGTAGCAGAAGCAGATGCCATGGATGTTGACAGGAAGAAGAAGCGCAAGGATAAGAAAAAGGACAGGTTCAAGCCTTACTAGATCTTGCATGGCCTGCTCTTCAATATGCAGTCTTGTCCCACAATAAGAGTTCCTCATAAGGAACAGCTACCACATATGCTTCTCCGTGCGACAAATTGATCCATCAGTCAAGCAAGAAACCGTGATGAAATCTCAACTTCATATGATGCAACTTGAAAGTTGGTGAACTTGGTCACAACTGCTTGTCGTGTTTCACGTTTTGAATCTTGAATTTTGGTCAGTGTGATGAAGATTACTGTTGATGGTCAAGTTCTATATCATCAATACACTGGAGTCCTTCTAGCCCATCTTGCGTCCAACTCCAGACAGCAAAACAAAGCTCAGCTAACACGCGGTCTCAAATTCCTTCCATCTCTCAATCTGTCACTCTGCTTTCCTCCTTCCACCTTTTTCCTCCTCCCCTCATTCGGCAATATCATTCTGTCCATCACCATGATCCTAATAGCCACTTTACATGTTCCCACAATGACGCGCTGTGGTAGTCGTCTTCTTCTTGTGTGCTTCTCTTTGTGAGATCTGCGGTTTGCTCGGTGGTGTTGAAGATGGTCATCTCGATGTGAGGAACGGGTGCCTCGGTCATGAGAGTGGTTGCTGTGGGTGCAGTAGCGGTTGCGACGTCTCCACTAGCTATGCCCTGTGCCAGAGAAGTGATGACAACATCAATAGGACCTAGAGTAGCTAGCTGAAGCAACAGTGGTAGAAGTGCCACACAAATCCAACATTTCAACATCGGTAAGATTGTCATCTTCGAGATCCGTCATCTCATCAACGTCAAGAGCAGCAATCTCAGCGCGTCTAGCAAGAGCATTAAACTTGGCGTTGGTCAAGACTAGAGTAGGAACGGCAGCGGTGGTGGGTGTGCTGATGGCGAGGGCTGTAGAGCCGAAGACGACAGGAGTTGTCATGGTAGTTCCAGCTGTGTCCTGGAAAACAGCAAAAGAGGTGGCGATTTTTGACAACTTCATCTTGAAAAGTGGTAGTAGTGTTTGATTGTTTGATAAGAAGAGATTGTTCGCTCAGTTGGTTGATTGGTCGGTCAGAAGGTAGATATTCTGGTCGAGTCGAATGTTTCTTGTGATGTGAGAAGAAAGAAATGATCTAGAAGACGAAGGCTTTATATCCTAGACAAGCATGAGTAATCTTCGATCGTGACTGTTCTATGACTATACCATTTCTAGGAGTCAACAAAGTTGAGTCACTCGTCGCATGGTATCAGGCTCTGTATACAGCTTCTCGGACAACTCTCGAATTTGAGAACGCCACCACCGGCCACACTGCCTTCTCGATTTCCTCCCAGACATTCACTTCCATATCATTCATAAGCCGTACGGTCAAGGTTGATCCCCGGTGGTGTCCAGAATATTTGCCCGAGACCTATTATGCTTTCTCAAATTAGCTCACGGTTTGTTGTCTAGTTCATCGAACTTGTCAACTTCGACTTGAGACCGGCATGAGTCAACACTGAAGAACTATCAGCGTAGGATCTTGATGAATGTCGAGTGGTTGATTGAAAGTGAGTTGTGTGTTATGTCCTGACATGTACAAGGAAGAAATTGACAAGGGGCATGCACAGTGACCCTCCAATGAAAACAGAATGGGTAGTTCCCACTATCCCCCTTACTCCGGCCAATGCGTAGCGGCATCCTCACGCCAAGTGAAAATCGAATAGATGCAAGTTCTCCAAACCATCATGCGCCTTATTGTAGACAGTCCTTTCGTACATTGACAAACGCGCCAGGCCCGCCATCCGTACTCAGCATGTCTACTAAAACCTCTGCTTGAGCAACGACCTTTTCCAGAGCGGCGGACGAGGGCTTGCCGAGAGAAACTGTATGTAGTTAGTATGCCATCAACAAAGAAGAGAGGACGAGTCACTTGCCTAGTATCGCGCTGTTGACCTCTTCAGCAATTTCCATGCGACCTTTACCCTCCATGAGCCCGCCTACGATAGATTCCCGCGCATCTTGATAGGCAATCAGAGCAAAGGTATCATCCAAAGCTTTCTTGACAGCAGGTCGGGGGTCGCTACTAAACTCAGCTTTCAACTCTTGACCAAATTCCAGTGCGTCAATGAGCAGTTGCTCACTGTCCCAGCGGGAGTATAGAGGCTTGAAGTCGCCGGTCGCTGTATCCATGGGGTCGTTCTTCCCAGCATCACCGTTCGCACCACCGTCGAAGCGTAATCCAGGGTTGAACGGCGATGGGACGGGAATCGGTGGTATGATTGGCGCATGCGATTCTCGATGTAATTGGTCGTCAAGCTCCATCTGCTGATCGAGTGAAGTGCCGTTGGAGTGCGACGATTTACGAGGCATCTTGCCGGCTGCTTTCGGAGCAATGGGCGCCGAATCTGTGGTTGAGAGGTCGTTTACTCGGCATATCATCTCGATGAACTTGCGACACCGTAGCTTGAAGTAGACGTCTCTATTCTCATCTCGTTTCAGAACGTGAGGGTAAAGGGCGGTCATCCACGATAGTGCAGTGTCAATGTTGCCTTCGAGAATGGCAGAGCGTATGTCTGTGAGATGATTAGCATGGAGCAATATCCCGAGCGACACAGAGAACACGTACGTTGTCGACTCAAAGCATGGATGTCTTGCGAAGGATCGAAGAGTGAGACGCCATCACTTTCCAAGTGTAGAGGCTTTCTTTCCTCCTGGACTTCTCTGTGAAAAGCTCGAGCGGTTTCGGTATAGCCATCATGAGCCAGATATTGCGCTACGAGTTCCTGAACCAATAGTGTCTCGTCGTGGTTGGTGTCCAGCGTATCTGCAGACGTCTTGTTGATATCTTCTTTCACCCTATTCCTCTGACGCTAGACCGAGTTAGTAAAAATGACATCAAATTAGACCAATACGCTCACCTCCATCATGGAGTCGATATCGAAAACGAACGGATCGCTGCCGAAATTTACTCGAAGGTGTTCGTTGTTCTTCTTCATGCCCACGGAAGGATACAGCTTGTCGCCTTTTACGTTATGAAATGCTTCTCCTAACACGAAGCATTAGTAGTGAGACGAAGCGGAAAGAGGAGAAGCACAAACCTAAGAAGACGCCGTTTTTGGTGAAGAAAGCGCTGCCGGTCTCGAAGTTGACACCACAGCCCACAACGTCCCAGGCAGCAAACTTGGGACCATATGGCTTTCCACTAGCAGTGCAAGAGAAACTGAAGCCGTCATCACCGTGGTAGGCCCACGACTCGGGTTCCCATCCTGGTAATCGGTTGAGGCTAGCTTTTGGGCCGGAGAAACCAATGCCAATCAAACTGGAAGATAGCCAGTCAGTATGTTGGGTATCCAAAGTGGCTAGAGGAGCGTACCCTTCCTTTCCTCTAGACAAGACAGTGACCTCGAAGTAGTATATGCCAACCTCTTTCGGCATGAAATGGTCACTTCGTATGGCGGCAGCCTCATCGCTGGTCTTGGTAGAGCCTGTGAACTTGACTTCTGTACCTCCAGCGGACAGCTCGAGCCCAGGCCATTTGTCTATGTCGCTCCAACACGTAGGCAGCTTCTTCGGACCGCCTGTTCTGAGTGGATTGCGAGCAATATAATCCTGAATGATGTCCTTCCTCGATCTGTGAATGGTGGCACTGCCGATGTTCGCAGAAAGATCCTGAGGCGTCGAGGCAGGCTGAGGATGGCGGCGCGATTGGTCAAAGTCGGCGGCTTCTAGATTGTGTTGAGTCTCGAGCCTCTCGACGTGGCGCGAAGAGCGAAGATATGAAGGGCGGATGAACAGCGGGGGAGATGGCGGGGCATCCTGGTCGTGTATCTTTGTGGAAAGATAAGGTCTATTAGACCAGGAGTCTTGTGATTTGCTTGAAGCCATGTTATTGCGCGTCGGAGGGTCGTCTTCAGGGTGGAGAAGGTGGGAGAGGGCGCCGAAGCGAGCGGGTGACGAGTGGGAAGCCACGCCGGCAGCGACTGAAGCGTACGACGATGATGAGAGAGGTTGGTTCAGGCGGCGATAAGATGATGGATGTGGATAAGGATTGGTCATAATGGAGTGTGAGGAAGTCAGCGAAGAGTCGAGGTCGTGCGGTGCTGCGGAGCTGCGGTGCTGCGATGGTGTCGAGTCGATGTTGCAGCTGTCGAGGTGATCAAGGTAGTTTCATCCGACGAGCAATCATGACGCTTCTGTTGGCATTCTGTCCACGTCTTTGCTTGGGATCGATGCACAATCTTCCAGCCTGCTATCTACGGGATTTGACACAGCTTGCTTGACCGTGTGTCTGGTGGAATGGCAGCGTCGAGGAACAATGGCCCTCTCTTGCTTGCTACAGCTTGTCAATGCCCGACACAGACCACAGACCACAGACGACTGATACCCGCCAGACATGACGCTCCGTCCGTCTCCGCCAATCCGCCAATCCGCCAAGCCCGATCGTCGAGCTCCTGACAATTATCACATGCGACCACCCGAATGACCTGCTAAATCTCCTTCTGACTTTAGTAACGTCAAGTATATCAACGTCTTTTTATATTGAACGCTGTATTTTGAACAAAAATCATCAGAGCCCCACCCAGATCCCGCCTAGGCTTACACATCATCAGCGCTATCGCGTTATCCTCTGTACTAGATATCGCCATGCTGATGCTCGACAAAAACAAATGAAATATAGACTGCTGACTTGTGCGAATGCCGGTGACCTGCCATGCGGGCTTGGTCATCAATGTACATGCACATTGTAGTACATGGTAGTATTGGGTATCATTTCATGTTGTGTAGAAGAAGAAAACTATGGCGTATTAGCGATTGAAGTAGATGAGCTACTTGGCCGTATTGACTCACAAATTTGTATCATGTTGACTTGTTTATGCCTCGATAGCTGGAGCTGCTGCGGGAGAGCTCTCGAGGGCATTCTCCTGCTTGGCCCCTTCTCCAGCATTGCTCCTCTCACTGGGGATAACACTGCTTCTGCTTTCTAGTCTGGCATGTTCGGCGTTGCTGCTGGACGAGTTCTCGCTCTTGACATCTCCGCTGAATGAGGAATTGTCCTTGAGTGGTGCTGCCCATGATCCCACAGTCCATGCAACACCAGATATGCTTTTGAGTTGGATACCCTTGCGCTCCCATCTACGACAGGGCTTGCCGGATCTGTCAAGAGCGCGGAGGCCAGCGTTGATTGCGCCGGTGTTGGCTTTAGGGCCTAGCTTGTGGGTAGCGATGGGTGCCACGCCGCCGAACGGGCCCTTCTTTGTGCCGTCGGCAGTTCTATCAATGGTTCCGTCAGCCCTGGTTCGTGTGTCAGTATACAAAAGGAAGGACGAGGCGTCGGGCCAAGTGTGACATACAAGCGAGGCTTCTTCTTGGGGCCGGGCTTTCCTCTAGGCTTAGCATTAGGACCAGCCTCAGCCTGAGCTGCAGTTCTCTTTGTGCCAGGTTTAGGTCCAGGAACACCCTTTCTCTTGCCGTTGGTTGCTGGTGGAGGAGCTAGCGAGTTGTTGTCTGTGGCAGCGGCATCGTTGCCAGGGGCTGGCGTGCCATTTGCCTCGGAAGCATCAGGTGCAGGTGCGTTGATGATTGGGGTTGAGGCGGGTGCGGGAGAGGCAGTGGGTGAAGGTTCAGAGATGTCTTCGGACAGCGGGCTGAACTTCTTCAGCAGATGGGGAGCTAAACGAAGGACGACGGTCTTGTTAGGCTTCGCTTTAGCTGATCCTTTTGGCACTGGAGTGGTAGCCATTGTGGATGATGTGGAAGGTGGGTCGGGGAGCGGCGACTTGGATTGCGCCCGTCGTCGGTCGTGTGGCTGGCTTTGTCTCTTTGACTTAGTGTGGTGGATGCGTCGCAGGCTTTACGGAATGTGGGAGGGATTTGGTTGTTGGCGATGGTATATCAGGAAATCGAAGGGTGATGATGGATGTGTGAGCGAGATTGATGAGTAGAGGGGGAAGGGATATAGAGTGCAAGGCACTTTGACTCTGTTGTGCGCTGAGCCAACATTTTGCCGTGTGTGAGGCGTTGCCCTTGGTCTCTCGAGTGAAGGTCGCGCGCTCATTCTGTTTGGGAAGGAAAGCCAGAGCGTTCCTTTGTCCAGCCCCCCACCCAATCAGGAAGCACCTACTCCCTCCCAGCTCTCTACCAAGCATCAATATTATTATTATTCCATCGATCATCAGGCAAGATGGATCAGATTCTATTGTCACAGCTGCTGCATAAATATTACAACTGCCTTCTATACATGATCACTTGTACATGACATGCGCTCCTTGGTTTTCCTTCGCGCTGCACCCGCGCGTCTTTGTTCTAACTTCCCGTACGGCTACGCGAATCACACCCTTCGATAGCTTCCTTCAATTTGACATCCGCGCTTCCGGGTGCCAAAGGGGGCTATCTGTCCTCAATCCACCTCGTCTCTCGTCACACAGGCCTCCCAACAGGAACTCCTCCTTTGCCAGAACTCAAAACATGTCTCTTTACACGGTCCGCCAAGATTGCGACTTGTCACACAAACCTCACGGTAGGCGGCAAGGTATACATGATCGAATATCGTCGGGCGCTTTGGGAATTCACCAACACTCGGCTTCCTCCCTGTGTGCGAAATACTGTCACACATGTAGCTGCCTCAAGGCACAATACTTTTTACATTAAAGCGATGTCGTCGAGACATTTCGTGTCAACGACTTCCTGCACTAGGCTTATCGATTTGAGATATTACTGTGCCTTCATACAGCTTGTTGTTGCCCTGCTTTGATCTTTGTGAAGAAAGGGTGTGACAGTGTTCTGCACACGGGGAGGTTGGAATCTGTTTTCAACAGCCTCCCCGTTTTCGGGTCAGCAATGTAAAATTCCTTCTGTCACCCGACACTTTTCTTTCATGGCATGATCCACCGCTCCCTCCACTTTACGCGATTACACGCGACGCGGTCCAGGAATGTCATCCATCAACTTTCTTCACGTCCTCACTCGTTACAGTATACTGCATTTCTGCGTGACCATGCCTGCTCTCCTTGGTCCCAGGTAAGTGAACTCATTCTTCGACAGCCTCCTGTCTTTTGAAGATTATCTGGGCGTGATGGATATATACCTTTCGCTATGGCCTCCATGAGGTAGGTTGACAACTAAAGTCATTCACTATCATGCTCTCTTTGACGATTTCTCGCACTCTTGTCTCACTCGTCTATATCGCTTGCACTGTGCAATCCTTGCACATACACCGTCCTTACAGACATGAGATCGATCGACGTGATGCCACAACGATTTCATTGAAGAGCACCCTTAGCTCAACACCGGACTCCGAAGCTGCAGAGCTGATAGCGACGGTCACCTCCGTTCAAGAAGGCTTGTCTGATTTGCCTCAAGATGTCTTTGAGTTCCTCAAGGCGATAGATGACCGCCTGCACGAGCAAGAAGCTCTGTTGGCAAGTTTGCTAGCTGTCTTTGCAGCAACCTCAGAGACATCATCATCAACCTCATTGGCCGTCATTAATGCGACATCAACCGACCTGGTGCTGCCTTCCAGTACGAGCGTCGAGATCTCGAATCTTGTGCCCATCGAGACGTCTTCCTCTGCACTCGCGGCAACTGGATGTCGTCGTGGTGGAGCTGGTCCACTCGTACCTTGCTCTTCGTCTTCAGAGCAAGTCTCTGAATCGAGCTCGATTACTCCTACATCTTCCCCCAGATCTCGAATTACCCGAACCTTGACGAGGACGACATACGTGCCAGTGTCGGTCACAACTTTCGCTCAGCCTGTGCCATTCACGAACACGACAAGATTCTCAGCACCATCGACGCCTGTGTTGCCCAATTCATCAATTCATAGTCCTCCAGATACTGAGAGTTCCGACACCAACGCGACCGCGACATCAGCAGACTCGCAAGCCATGGCAACCCTCAACTCTGTTCCATCACCCACAAGCACCAACTATGTCTTCAAGACCAGCCGACAGAACAACGTTGCCGTATACTACGGTCAAACACCAGACACGAAAACTGGCGACCTAATGCAACTATGCCAAAGCTCCAACGTCGACATCGTAGTCCTAGCCTTCGTAACCTCCTTCTTCACAAACGGAGGCTTCCCATCCGCCAGTTTCGGTCCCAGCTGCAAAGGCAGCACAGCCGCCCAACAACTCCACGCACCCGGTCTCCAAGACTGCACAGATCTCGCTCCAGAGATCGTCATTTGCCAACAACTAGGCAAACCCGTGCTGGTCAGCCTAGGTGGTTATTACAGTAATGTAACCTTCACCTCCGACACCGAAGCCATTCAACTCGCTCAAAATCTGTGGGATCTCTTCGGTACAGGTGATGGCTTAGATGCCTCTCTGCGACCTTTTGGAGGCATTGTAATCGATGGCTTTGATCTTGATAACGAAAGTCGGGACCAAACTTCCTATACGACTTTCGCGCGCGCTTTACGCACGTTATTCGACTCCGACGACAGCAAGCGGTACTACCTCTCCGCAGCACCCCAGTGCCCTCGTCCCGACGCCTCTGTTCCAGTCTCCACAATGGCACTTTGCGATTTCGTCTTTGTCCAATTCTACAACAATCCCTCTTGCGACCTCTCCTCTGCAGGCTTTGCAGATTCTTTTGCAAGTTGGAGTGACGACTTGGCTGCTGCGAATAATGAGACGAAGCTTTTTATTGGTGTGGGAGGCTTTGAAGGTGCTGGAAGTGGGTACGTGGAGGGTGCTGGGTTGGGGCATCAGGTTAGTCTTGCGAGACAATTGTATGTGGAGAATTTCGGTGGTGTTATGGTGTGGGATGGCGTTGAGGGAGGGGCGAATGTGGATGAGTATGGGAATGATTATTTGGTTTATGTAAAGGGAAGTTTGCAGTGAGGGGTTTTGAATGGAGGTAAGTTGAGTTTCATGAGAAGACTTTATGATTTATGAGATGAGAACCAAGAGTCTTTTCCATTGCAACATAATCACTGAATTTGATGCAGACATTGCATGTTAAGACAATATGGCTTGGATTGGGAATTGTCTAGTCTGAAGCCGTTCATCGTCTCGTGAACTTCGTACAGAGTCTTGCACAGGACATGTCAAGAGAAACTCCTGCGTCCATAGATTTGCTCGAAGCTTGCCCCCTTCTCCCCTTTGCTTCTTCCTCTCCTTCGTATCCTCTCCTCTTCCACCTCGAATTAGAAGTGCTGGTCGCAGTTCAGAAACATGTTTCTGAACGCGATGCATCAGTATGTCGTGTGTCGTGTGTCGCATCCTCAGAAGGGCGACACGAAAAGGGGGAGCATCAAGAGAGACCTGCAGTGTCACAAAAGGCCAGCTTATGCAACACAGCATAAAATGTCTCTCTCTCTCTCCCTGCATCTCGACCCCAGAATAAAGAAAACTAGAACAAAACCAAGGAATGACTTTGACAAGACAATAATCGATGGCAGATCGATGGATGGCGTAAGTCGTGCATGCATCGTAAAAAGAATTGTCGTAATGAACGTCGATAGCAACCTCAGAACTTTAGAGGCGTATTGGCGTACTTCCTCTCAGCGACGCACAATCATACCTTGCCGTCTCGTGGTCCTCGCACGATGCATCTTTTCATCCTCACTCTCAGACGAACAATCACTCCCATCATCATAATTACACACATCCCCGCCACAATCCAATTTCACACGATTGCCCGACCGTGTGATGCCAAAGCGATTGCAAGTACAACAACTAGCAGATGAAGACCTCGATGTCGCACTGGACGGTGATGAAGAGGCGCTGGAGCGTGAAGACGTGAGGGAAGGTACATCGCTACCTGAATCACTCTCGCTGTCAGAGTCTAATTGCGTGGTCTTGAGTCTAGTGGCGAGACGATCGATGGAGGAGGCGTTGTATTGTTCGCGGGCGATTGTGCGGGTTTCGTGTGGGCGGTTTGGACGGGGGCATTTGATTTGGGATGGTGAGAGGGAGCGGCCTTTGGGGATGTGTTCGCTTGTGCGGCGGGTGTGTTTACTGGTGTGGCTGCTTTGTGACTTTGAAGATGGCGCTGGTGCTGGACGAGGTGCTGGAGACTTGGCTGAGGGAATATCTAAGATATTAAGTTTGCGACCTGTAGTGGGCTCTGTTGTGGATTCGCGGGCTGGATCGTGGGAGACGTGGTAACCATCGATGATGTACTGTTTCGTTTGTTAGATCCGCTGCTTCGGATTACAAAAGAAGAAGAGAGTATCGTACGTAGTACCAATATCTCGAGCCAGGCTTCAGTGTCGAGCCCTGGAATCTGAAAGTGCCTTTCCAGCCGCCTTGTTTGGTCTGATCCTTGGAGAGAGGAAGTTGACTCTTGTAGCCATCCCATGAGCCGATCAGATGCACCGTCTTGCAGTTGGACGAAGTCCGGAGAGTAAAGTTCAGTTGTACGGCTGCCATTATTGTGGTGTTCCTGGTATTAATCTTGTTCTTTTCGGATATAAAGGTTGAAAATATGTGTACCGGGTACAATTGACAGTTTTGAGCAAGAAGAGCTGAGTATTAGTTTTGTGATTTTCTAGCCGACCAGCGACAGAAAAGATCAAAGTGAATAGAACAAAGTGTAATGGGAAAAACTGATTATGGTAGGGGATCGTGGTAGGGGCAAAAATAACTGGATAGTATGAGTTTCTGTGATTAGGAGCTCCAGGCTCGATAAGTGGGAAAGGGGATAATGGAAAAAAAGGGTAGAATAAAAAAAACTAATAGTCAGCTCCAGGCTTGACAGGACTCGCTGAAAGGAAGAAGAAGTCAATTCAAAGGGAGCGAACGTTATTATACTTATGCCAGTCACCGTCCCTTCCATCACACCGAGGACACAAGGCACACCACACACGCACATCATGCCGAATTGCGGAAAACATGACTGAAAGATGCACCGAACAAGGAAAAAGAGAAGGCGGGGCGGGAGCTTGCATAATCGTCGTTCTTGCACTATTGGAAAGCCGCATGTGTGACTGCACATCATTGGGATGTTCTTCGGTCGCAGCGCTTGGGAAGGAGTCCTGAATGGAAGACAAGTCGAGGGCGGTTGTGTGGTGTAGCTGATTGGATTCGAGGCTTCACGTGACGCTCCAATCAGGCGTCGCGACCTCGCCAATGCAATATGCAGGCAGAACATGCACAATCGAGTTGCATGCCACCGACATGATCTCTTCGGCCCACGACTAATCGTTTGCTGAGTCTCGACAAATGACGAGTGATCTTCTTGCACCAGCAAGTTCTCTGATCCCTGAGCCCACGCATGGCGAGACTAAGAGGACAGGGCACGTGCGATATCAAAGCGAATTATCATCAACGAGCTAGGTGTGATGGATGTGATAATTGTATCTCATAGGTCGTGAATTGTCCGTAAGCTTTCAACTAAGGGTGATGATGGGTCGTGTCTTCGTCACTCTAGTCCCAGAAGGTCTTCCAATTCTTCCGGACTGAGTGTGCTCTTCCTGCGCTTCGGCCTGCCCTGGATCTTGCTCTTCTTTGCAGGGCTTCGCAGTTTGCCTATCTCCTCGTCAATGTCGATATCGAGTTGCGAGTCTTCGTCGTGCCCTCTTCTTGAGGCACTTCCTGCAGCTTCAGCCTCGGCTTGTGCAAGACGCAGTTTCTCACCGACCGACATTGGAGGCTGTTCTTCCTCTTGCACTTCTTCCTCTTCCTCTTGCGGTAAGTGCTCGGACGAATCTTCAGCAGATCTCCGTGGCGGTGAAGAGCCGCGTGATCTGGAAGGCTGCATATGTGTTAGGCCGGGAGAGAAATGCGACCGGGTGATGTTACTTACCAGTCTGTCATTCGAGCCAGCCGAAGGGGTGAAGTCGGGCTGGTGTCGGGTGGGAAGCGAGGACCTGTTCTCGGAGGCTTCGACCATGCTGAGTGTGTCGAGTTTGCCCGGGTTCGATGCAGCTGGATCAATGTTCTCCGAGGCATCCATCGCGAATGCGACCTTTCGTGGTGATTGGACATTGTGGCTCATCTTATTGAGTGTACGCTGTCCTCGTCGAGGGTTGAGGTTGAAGAACTCTGGTGGGTCTATGCTTCTTTGCGATTTTGCAGTGCTCGGAGGCACAGTGTGACCCTCTGAGAGAGTGGGACTTAGAGTATGGATACCACTGTCATGGTCGCTGTCGGAGCGAACATGTTGACTGGCGCGAAGCTTTTGTGCAGTGGGAGGAGGCTCAAGGCCGACACCCAAGCCCAGGCCCTTCCTAAGTTCGTCGAGGTTGATGGTATCGCCGCTCTTCTCCAATCTTGAACACCACCCGTTCATCATGTATAGCAGATCTCTCCACCTGGCCTCCATTTGATCCCAGCCCTCCCTGAGTCTAGCTATCTCGTCGTCTCTTGCTTCGACCTCGTCCATCGAGACAAAATTGGGGTTGGTCAGAACAGTCTTGAGCATCTCAAGCATGGACTCTAGCTCTTCGGCTAGAGAGCCGTGAGCGAAACCGAGTGCGCCGTCTTCGTTCTCCGTGTCGTCGTTGATATTGTCCAGGTTCTGTTCCGGCATTCCAAGCAACTCCCTCAATGTAGCCAGTGTTCCGCGGATCATGTCAATCAAAGCATCGTTTTCGTCGCTCAGTCCAGAGCTCAACCGGGTGAGGAAGTCGGTCGTCTCCTGCTTCAAGTTGTATTCTGGGTCCGATATGTCTCTTACTGATGCATTGAACGAGTGAGGGCCTCTTCCACTGACAGAAATGGTGGGAGCGACTAGACCGCCCTTGTTACCTCTCTGTTGGCCTTGAAGATGTGACTTGAGGCGCTCGATGTGCATGTCGCGCTTCCGTACATCGTTGGCGCATTGTGTCTTAATCTGCGAAACAGATGCTTTCAGTCGACCAAGTTGATCGTTCAGCGCTTTTGTGGTCGACTCGAGCTTGCGCATCTCGATCTTAGCGTTTCTGGCGTCAGTCTGTGCCTGCTGTACAGAGCGCTCCTGGCTGTCGAGGCGTGCTTGTAGTCGGTCGAGATCGCCATCTTTGCGAGTCTGGTCGGCGCGGAGGGTTCGGAGGGTCAGGGCAATCTGCTCACGGTTTTCCTGATCTCGATCGCGTCGTAGGAGAAGGTCGTGAACAAGGTTGATGATTTGTGCTCGCGTCTCTCGGGTCGGTTTGGCGAAGTCGAGGGCCTTTGTGTCTCGGAGTAGCCCTCGAGCGAGGAGGAGATTGTTAAGATAGGTTGACGCCGTATTCAGCGTGTCATGATCCATCGTGCGCGATGATGAGCTGCAGATCTGTGTTGAGTCTGGATGCTCTGCATTTATTGATTGACTTGTCTAATTTTGCTGTTTGGTTGTGACGCCCAAATCAACAGATTGCCCGATCGGGTGATACCGTTGCCATCATGATCTCTCGTATCCTCCCAGCTCTTAGCCCATACGACCAAACTACCCGACTTGCTACACAAAGGCAGGTTATTTGCTTTTGACAGACCATGCCTAGCTCAACCTCAGGTCAGACGTGAATTCTCCGAGCTATTTCCGGCCAACGCGTCCTGCGACATCTTACATCTCGCTGCTCGGCCTCGCGTTGAAACCAACCCATGACGACGCGCGCGAGTCGAAGAAATGTCCGAAGCGTGAAGGCGGGGGATGCTAAGAATGCGGTCCGACTGGCGCCCTGCGGCTCCTGCATCTACCATCTTGGCGATCTACCGTGCTACACCTACAGTCCGTCTGACTCTTTATACTATGGCTTTCAAGAGATGCAAAGATGATCTGGCTCAAGTCGAACAATACGCAGAGCTCTGGTCTCAATCAAAGAGTCTTTCATCGTGCTTATATGTTCGGTGGTTGATGCAGACTGAAAGCTGTGTTGGTACCTGAGAATTGCTTCCACCAGGAACAGCTCTTCGGCCCCTCAAACAACTCCGTTCGGACATGGTGGGGCAGACAGCTTTTTCCAATGTTTGAGAACCCGAAACCAAAGTGTCTCAATGTGAGGTATATAGATGTAGAGCTTCTCGCTGCAAAAATTGATATTTCCAGTGTTCCATCAATCTTCTCACCACCAACAATCATCATGACCAACTACCCAACACACGAGGGTATGTGAAAATCGCGATCCTTTGCAGATACACGCTCCATGAGGGACAAAGCTTCATTTCCTGGGCCTGCGACCCGAGCAAGCGGTCTTTTGACTTGGTTAGAAATGCTAATCATCTGTAGAAATGCTTGGCTGCATGGCCGCCTGCTTCAACTGGGCAGACAGCTACGACACCAAAGTGAGCACGCGCAAAGATTTGGCGAATTAGGGACTGAAGAGGCTGACAATCATATGCAGGACTGGAAGAGACTCGAGACTGTCATCGCACCTGAGCTCATCATCGACTACCGTTCATTCCTCGACAAGATCTGGGAAGCCATGCCTGCTGACGAGTTCGTCAAGATGGCTTCTGACCCCAACGTCCTCGGCGACCCTCTTCTCAAGACCCAGCACTTTATTGGTGGAACAAGATGGGAAAAGATCTCGGACACCGAGATCATTGGCTGGCACCAGCTCCGTGTGCCTCATCAGAAGTACACCGACGAATCGAGGTCGACAGTGGCCGTCAAGGGTCACGCCCACAGCACCAACAAGCACTGGTACAAAAAAGTTGATGGCGAGTGGAAGTTTGCTGGACTGAGTCCTGATATCCGTTGGTTTGAGTACGACTTTGACAAGGTCTTTGCCAGCGGCAGAGATTCTTTCGGAGAGGCCAAGCAAGCTGCTGGTAAGTTCAACCCGAATTCAGCTCTTCACTTGACCTGCTTACTGATATTTGCTCGTTCCAGGCATCCCTGAGAAGGCATAACTTGGCGTTGGATGATGACCCTTTCGAGAAAATACACCTCATGCATGCGGTCTGGCTGGGCCAGAGTCAAGTTTCGAATTAGCGTACGATTGAATGAATACAAGTTTTTCCTGTCCATGCTTGAAGCTCCTGAGCTGAGATGTCGTTGCTGCCGTCGACATGTGGAGCGACCCGTGCTCGCAAGCTGCTTTCCGGATAGAGCTGGACTTGTTTCTCCCTCCTGAGTGCGCAATCGTGGCTAAAACTTGGCGCAATATAGAGACTGGAATGATGGCAAGATTGATGAAGCCGAACGCCGGTGGCCCCTATCTTTGACCATTTTCCCCACAGGATCTTCAGAGTTGCGTCAGGCAGGAGCGATCTAGGAGGAGGTGCACGTGATTTTGCAGGCAAGAGCAACGGTCAACTTGGCAGTCCCCTCTGTCTCGACGTTGCTCGATCAAAGCTCCTCTCCGACTCCCTTTCGCGCGCGCAAACAGCATCTTTTCCTTGTGCTATTCCGCGGTTCTTTCGTCGTCTTTCGTCTCGTCCTTTGCTTCCCGCTCCTGCTACTCTTTGCACCCGTGCTGCCGGTATGTCGCTCTTTATTTTTACTCGTCCACAATCACTTTCCTCCCGACACCCTGGTAGCCGATCTCCACGACCACCTGGTTTCGCCTTCCAATTGGCGTTGCCACGAGGAGCTGCCTCTATTCACTTCCGCTTCCCATCCTCCTTCTCATCTCGACCGCCTCGTTTGGTCTCCCGAGTCACGCTCGCAGCATCATCACTGTCAGCTCGCGAGCACTTTAGAGCTTTCGCGTTGCTGCCGCGAAGCCTCGACCCCGCCGAGGCAGCCGAAGCTGGCTTTTCACCACACTCCATTCACATCCACCTTCCATTGCCACCACCATCGCTTTTTCATCGCTCCCACCTTGCTTCAGGCCATTGTCGCACACGTCGCCTAATTCAAACTAATCGCAGTGACAGATCCGCGAGTGAATTATCGTCAACGGACATTCCTTCGGCGCAATCAAGACTCGTCTGAGCTTTCACAGTCTCCATTCAGGAATTGCATCGAACAATAACGAACGTCTTCGATTCTTCACCTGTCTTTCCCACGCCACACATCCTCGGCTCTAATCAAGCTTCTCAATCACTTGCGTCGATACAACAATCTGCGACAAGCATCTCTTACCATAACACCGCGCGATTTGTAAGTACACAACACTCGGGTATCACAAGTATCGCGAGTCGGGTCTCACACCTCTCTCGAGTCCGGCATCACATTCACATTGAGACTCGAGTCACACATTTTTCACAAACCAGGTTGCTGACGCGCTACTTTCCTAGATCTCGGTGTCCTTAATCCATCTCGACTTTTGATATCAACCAACATCGAAAATGAGTTTCCAACAGTTCGGCGACTCTTTCCAGGGTCAGCAGCCTGAGGAGTCCGGCGCACCCGCCGCTCAGCCCCAGCAGCCCTCCATGGGCCAGCCCATCGAGTCTCAACAGGGCCAGTTCCCTCCTACCCCATCCGGCGCACCTGGATCAGCACCCGGTCCCGGCTCTCAGTCCGGCGGCGAGCCCAAGACCACTTTGTGGTATGTCAAATCGAGGAACATGGGAAATTGAACATCAGCTAAGACAGATTACAGGATGGGTGAGCTTGAGCCTTGGATTGATGAAAACTTCGTCAGAAGTGTCTGGTTCGGCATGGGCTACCAAGTCAACGTCAAGATGATCCGTGACAAATTCTCGGGGTGAGTAGCCTGATCTGACCTTACGAAGCCCAGGAGGCACAGAATACTAATCAAACTCGGCCATCAGTAATGCTGGATACTGCTTTGTTGATTTTGAATCCCCCGACGCTGCCACCAAGGCTCTTCAGCTTAACGGCACCCTTATCCCCAACTCCAACCGCCCCTTCAAGCTCAACTGGGCATCCGGTGGTGGTCTTGCTGACCGCAGCCGCGACGACCGTGGCCCTGAGTTCTCCATCTTCGTCGGTGATCTCGGCCCTGAAGTCAACGAATACGTCCTCGTCAGCATCTTCCAGAACCGCTTCCCTAGCTGCAAGTCGGCCAAGATAATGTCCGACCCGATTAGTGGCCTCTCTCGCGGTTACGGTTTCGTTCGCTTCTCCGATGAGGCCGACCAGCAGCGTGCTCTCACCGAGATGCAGGGTGTTTACTGCGGAAACAGACCCATGCGCATTAGCACTGCCACCCCCAAGAACAAGAACCAGCACGCTGGTCCTGGAGCTATGGGCGGTATGCCCGGCGGCCCCGTCGGCATGTACGGCATGGGCGCCCCTCCTCTCGGCTTCTACGGCGCTCCCCAGCCAATGAACCAATTCACCGACCCTAACAACACCACTGTTTTCGTCGGCGGTCTCTCCGGCTATGTCACTGAGGATGAGCTTCGCTCCTTCTTCCAGGGCTTTGGCGAGATCACATACGTCAAGATCCCTCCTGGCAAGGGCTGCGGTTTTGTCCAGTTCGTCCAGCGTCACGCTGCTGAGATGGCCATCAACCAGATGCAGGGCTACCCCATTGGTAACTCGCGTGTCCGTCTTAGCTGGGGCCGTAGCCAGAACAACTCTGGCCCTGCCGGCACTCCTTACCGTCCCGCACCCCCACCGCCAGTCTACCCTTCCATGGGCATGCCTCCCCAACATCCTTACGGCGGCTTCGCTCCCATGAAGGTTGGACAGCAACAACAGCAGCAGCAGCCCCCTCAGCAGTTCTGGTCGCCAGATAACTCTGGCCATCAACAGTAAGCAGTTTTTCCTTGAGCCTTGAGTGGTTTTTTAGCGGGAGTTGGACAGGTTCATGTGACTGGCTTTACTTCGACGAATCTATCCTGCTTATTGCATGCCCCCCTCACGACCTCCTTGTTCTTTTTCCCCCTCTCGGCGTCAGTCCTTTCAGCAGTCACTTTTCAACACGAATACAACACAGTCATGCGGCGAAGGATGGATGGGGCTCTTTTATAAAAGTTGCAACGATCTCGAACTCGACGATGGCCTGGTTCAGTCTCTTCTCTATTTCTTATCTCTTTCTTTTCTCTTGGTCTATCGCTTGTGCAGGTATAGGAAACCCACCTTGCTTTGCTTCGATGACAAACACCAATGTAGTTATTTGCTTGGCTTATTATTACCCTTGCGTTTCCCAATTTCTCTACTATACAAAAGGAGGGCGAAAATGGTATGAGTTTTGATTCTTCAAATGTTACGACTAAAGTCTGCACTATTTCGGCATGATCTCGACGGTCAGGCGTGGCGTTTGATGCTGCCATGAAAGAGGTACATGGGGTATGCACCCCACAACCTACGAAGGGTTGTCATGTTCAGCATCCGAGCTTATGTTTGTTTAGGTAGGATTGATCGCACCACGTAGCTAAAAATATCCCATGAGACAGATTATCAAAGCTGCGTATCAACACGTCCAAAGTCCAACAATCTCTCAATCCATCTCTCGTCGTGACGGTGATATAGCCTTCGAACTTCAGTGCGCACACTCCTGGTCGACCATCACGCAGCACCAACTCTGACACCATACCGACTCCTGTTTGTCTGCTTGGCGCTGGTTATATCCTCAACCTTGCTATAAGACATCTCTTATAGGGCAACTGTGCGGTACGGTACGCAACCAAAGCCTAAAAAGCATGCGCATTGGTAACATATTACTAGCTAACCTGACGCCTTTTCTGCGTTGATTTCCAGAGTTTGAGAATTCAGGAGCCCAGCGATCATGAAAATGTTGACCTCGACGTCTGCTAGACGACGCTGTTGGAAATCAAAGCTCATCAGTAGGACTGTCGAGCTTGGCCCGAGAACGGGACATCAGTGAACAGGAGATATACGTGGCTATCCCGACCGAGAACATCAAGTCTGACGACGAGGGTATCATCATCCGACGGCCATGTGGTTGGGCCTGTACCATGAGGTACGCCGGACATCCGATATCAGCTCTCTTCACTCAATGGACTTCCTACGCTTTCACGATCAAGCGAACAACCGACCGACGTTCATCGTCCAAAAAGACGATAGACCATTCACCAAAAGGAACCACAACACCAAGGACGAGCAAAAGAAACCACGCCTCCTGTGGAAAGAAACCGGCAGCCCCCGCGTTCTCTTATTACCCTGCGAAAGTATCTACCCGTGCGGAGGATTGAACTCACACCACGGGTGATTGTCGTATGTCCGCTCCAACCGAGTAGACCAAACACACCAGGCGAGAAGGTGGGGTCACTGCTTGGCTAGAGGACAAGGAGGGCATGAAATAAGTTGTATATAATGGATGGGTGAAGTTTGGTTGAAGAGCGTGGAAGTTGCGCTGGTTGAGCATGATTTCGGGATTCTCAGGGATGCGGTTCTCCAACTTGACGGTATCGGAACTCTCACTCGACTCGTAACGCAACAGACTCAGCATCCGAGTGCGAACATGAATCGGCGGAAGAGACAAGAGGGCTTCGTGTTTTAAACAGCATCGAGACCACGACATCAGCAAGGAGAAAGATGAGATCAAGCCATATCGACGACCTGAAAGACGTCGAGCCCGACCATTTCATCAAGATCAATGCCGAACAGTATGAACGCTGAGTTTCTGACCGGGGTAATAGTTCCATGGCTGCCTCTCTCCATTACGCGGGTGTTGAAGGCACAACGGTACACAAGAGCTCCGGCATGTTGCATGGCCAGCCAGAGTCCCATCGTTGCCTCGCCGTATATCATGTCGATGTTCTAGACCCATTCAACCAAAACATTATTCGCCTCCAGGATCGTCGAGCTGGACATCACCAAATAGCACGATCAAGTCTCCCTTCACCCAAGGAACCGTCAATCTTGAATGGCTCGAGACCGTAACTCCGACTACGCAGATCAAAAGGGCTTTGCCTTACTGTTCTGCCGGTATCTAGGGCTCTGGCGCCGTGCGACCTTTCACCTCGAAGCATCGAGCTTGATGCCTTAGAACCACTACTGTCAAACGACTTGCTCGCATTCGGAAGCGTCGAGACCAGTTGCCTGGGAAATAATTTGTCAAGCATCTTCGTTGCATTGGAACTCATCGACCTCCGATGGTTTGAACGATCCCGGCGACATCATCCTCGCTATATGCCAGAACTGAGTGGTCACGGTCCCACCTGTCAAGTCATCGAGCTCGACGGGGGATGCTCGAACAAAAAGGTCGGGGAACACGCAACAAAACAGGCCAGGGACTCGTAGGTGCCCCATTTTGTTCTAACAGTCTTACAATCGTCCACTTCGAAGCGTGGAGCTCGATGCTTGAACCCAATCTTGCGAGGTATCTTCTACTTCACCTCAGGTGCGTCGACCTGAATGCCTGGACCAACATTGTCAAGCTTCTATCCCACATTGTTAGGGGTTGAGGCCATTTTCAGGAACTGAAACTACCAGACATGTTCTTTACATTGGAAAGCGTCGAGCTCGATGCCAAAGCCCAATATTGTAGCTGTTACGCCTCAATGCGTCGAGCCCGATACCTCAAACTAGCAGTCTCTCTGCTTCACGGTAGAAAGCGTCGCGACCGTTGCCTGGGACCATTAGAAAGTGTCGAGATCGTTACCTGGGACCATCAGAAAGCGTCGAGGTCGTCACCTAGGACGAATTGCCGTCGAATGAAAGGGTCGAGGTCGTTGCCTAGGACTGTGACCGTCGAACGAAAGCGTCGAGGTCGTTGCCGGGGACTATTGTCGTCGAATGAAAGGGTCGAGGAGTACGTAACAAAACCAGTCAGTGACTTGCAGTCACTCTCTTCCTGCTACATCGACGTCGAGGTTTTGAAGTTCAGCTCTGGTTGCTCCTTCCTCGGTAGACGTTCTGTGCCGAACATCTTTAGTACCCTCTTCTTTCTACTTCATTCATCATCCACACCAACATTAACTCTTTCGTATTGATTCGCGCGTCACGTCTCGACACGCTTCATACCATTGATAGCGTATTATTTTGATCACCCCAACTCATCATCATGCGTTTCACTGATTGGGACGTTATCCTCTTTCCGCAGACGTCCAGCGTTCCGATCCAAGAGTTTCGTACTGAATTCTTCGATGTCGTTACCCGTAAGTTCGGTTACCGGTATACTTGATCTCGCCCTGAGTCCATATAGCGATTGGTATATGCCCAACTGTCAACACCTACATCACTTCCCTGAGGGCCGGCGAACCTTTCCAAATCTCGCTACACGCGTGGGCCAAGCCAGTCTTATCATCATCCAACACTGTAGCAGGCAAACAAGTTGTACTCGCACTGCATGTCGCCGTGGATGGAGTAATCATCGCGCAAGTCACACGTTCAACTTGTCGCAAGGAATAAGTACTAATGCAACATCTAGCATCGACACAATCAATCCCGATGGCAACTTTCCTCACAAGATCATCGACCTGCCCACCAGAAGGCTGTTCTTTCCCCCCTTCCACCAGGCTGTGGGTAATCAGCTTCAGCTCCACATCCCAGACAACTTGGGACGCATCACAGTTGGTATATCTGAGGGATACTTCTATGAAGCACCAAGTGGAACGCGCTTCAACCCCATCAAGGATGTAGTCAGCTTCAAGTGGGTGCATGCCCCTGAGCAGATTCTTCGTGCTGCAGGCGTCCTGTGGCCTCATCCAACAATCGGTCACATTCAAGTACCACACATGTCTTTTCCCGTCACGGCCTCGAGCCAGGTCCCTATCGAAACAAGTCAATTCAACTTCGGCGACTTCGGGTGCTAGGAGGAGCAAAAGTACCGTGCGTGCCGACAAGGATAGACAATTATGCCGTAATGATACCAGAGATTCGTTGCTTTATGTAACTACTTAGCAAACAAAATGCTTTGCTTTCTTGACTTTAAACTCCACCATGTCAGATATTTGCTATGCTCCCTGGGCGCGTGCTCAATTCTGAAAATCATTGTGCCCTTTTACAGCCTACATACGCGCGAGACAATGCGCAGGGAGTACTGCTTTTTCCACTGTCATTCCCACCATGTCAGATATTTGCTGCTCTCCTAGACATATGCTTTGTTTCTGAAAATAATTGTGCATTTTTACCGCCTGGATATATGCGAGGCGACGTGGAGGGAGTGTGATTGTCTTGTAGGGTACCGATGCCAGGCTGCAGAAAGGGGAGAAGCAGGGCTCGTTACCCGCGGAAACATTAATGTTCTCTAGAGATGCAGTACTTGTAGTAACGGGAGCTGTAGAAATGCAGGATACTTTTCGGGTTTCAAGTGGTTAGCGAGGAGAGAGGGTACATTCAACACTCCCAGCATCATGGTCGGAAATCTCAATTGGTTTGTGCATTCCTACAGGTTTAGCTCATAGATCAACACGTCGCCGGGAGGAGCAGTATAGCCATGCAAATCTCCTTCTTCTTCAGCGCCCTGCAAAAGCAAGTACACCAATGGAAAAAACAAAAAGATAACCGCTCTTCAGCGCCCTGCATAAAGCAAGTACACCGGCGTCCGACACCACCATTAGTGTAGGCACTTTCCCGAATGCGTCACGAAAGACAATCCCGTGGAACCCTCTGCATGAAGCACCAGAATGGCAACAGTGATGGCAGCGCGGACGCTTAAACGAGAGCACAGTTAAGTGGGTCGAATGAGCAGCGAAAGAAAGGAGATGAAGATTGAAGAAAGGCAGACTTATATAGCTTGACCTAGATGGCTGGGTTACTAAGCAGAGCCTGGGAGACAAATTGCTTGTGGTGGCGAGGATATGATGGTCTGGTGATGTTTGGTGATGTTTCTTGCGGGCATTTGCGGTTGGACCGTGATATTCGAGGGCGTGGGAGAGCGTGGGAAAGTGTTGAATCTCTCGATGTGGATAAAGACCTGGCTGCCACGCATAGAGTCGCTTCCTTGAACTCAAGGAGAAATCTCAAACACCTCTGGCAATGGCGCAAGGGCTAATCTTGTAGCGCGGTCGCGTACAGGAGAGTGTTCGAATTTGTGGCCGGTGGAGCAACCCTGCCTACAGGATTGGACCCAGCTCAAACGCTCTCAGCGGACCAGTGCGTCAGACCACAATCGACTGTGCATCTTGACAAGGTGTAGGTAATTCAGACGTAGCCTGAGCTTGGAGGACAAACCTCACCAGCGCTCGCGTGGAGGAGTGAAAAAGAATTAAGCAGCAGCAAATGATCAGCAAACCTCGGCACGCATCCCCCGCTTCAACCTCCGCATCAGTTGACCATCTTCAATACCGGTAGCCGTGATATTAACTTCATGGTAAACAGAGTGGGTGCCCATGTTTTAATTGACTTGTTCATACCGAGTTTTCACCAAAGATCACGATCCACCATGACAATGCCTACACTCAATACACCTTTGACCACGCTGCTTGGGATCAAATACCCTATCCTGCTGGCAGGCATGGCGCGAACATCCTCTGGTCCTCTCGCAGCCGCCGTCTCCAATGCAGGCGGTCTAGGCACGATTGGTGGACTAGGCTACAACCCCCAACAACTCCGCGACATCATTACAGAATTGAAAGCGAATCTCTCTTCTCAAAATCTATCTTTTGGCGTCGACCTCGCATTACCACAAGTAGGTGGTTCGGCGAGAAAGACCAACCACGATTATACACATGGACAGCTGGATCAACTTATCGATGTCGTGATTGAAGAAGGCGCAAAGCTGTTCATTAGTGCAGTGGGTGTGCCGCCGAAACACGTCATTGAAAGACTGCACAAAGCAGGCATTTTGGTGATGAATATGGTTGGTCATCCCAAGCATGCTGTCAAAGCGCTGGAAGCGGGTGTTGACTGCGTTTGTGCTCAAGGAGGAGAAGGAGGTGGACACACCGGCGATATTCCGGGAAATATCTTGATCCCTGCTGTTGTGGATGTTGCGAGTAGGTATAAGAGTCCGTTGACCGGAGAGCCTGCTTTGGTGGTTGCGGCAGGTGGTATCTATAATGGAAGAAGTTTGGCGGCGGCGCTGATGCAGGGTGCTGCTGGTGTGTGGGTTGGCACTAGGTAAGTGGGAAGATGGATTGTCTGAAGCATTACAGAAGCTAACATTGTGCCGAACAGATTCGTCGCAAGTGTGGAAGCTGGGTGCTCGAAGCTGCACAAAGAGGCAGTGGTGTCAGCAAGGTTTGAAGATACATTGCGCACGCTGGTCGTCAGCGGTAGACCACTTCGCGTTCGCATGAACGACTACATCCAGTCCTGGGAAGATCGACCAGAGGACATCAAGCGCTTGACAGAGCAGGGTGTTGTTCCGATGCAGAAGGACATGGACGACGACAAGGACGTTGATTTGCCATATCTGATGGGCACGGTGGCAGGTGTCATCGGTGACATCAAGCCTGCGAAAGACATTGTTGAGGACATGGTCAAAGAAGCCGTCGACATGCTGAAGAGAGGACAGAGCTTTGTCGCGCGCGATAGCAGATTGTGAATGCAGAGAGAGGAGATAGCGCCGGCGCATTCTGTCCGAAGCAAACCAAGTACCATTCTATCAGTCTAGAGCAGACACAGACATACGATACTCTTCAGCGCCCAGCTCAAAAGCCAGAGAACAGATGAGAAAAGAAGTGCCGCCGCAATGGCAGTGTCCCAGAAAAATAAACTTGATCAAGCTTAACATCCCTTCTTTCCGTCAGACGGATGAAGATAAGTCTTCGAACAGCTCAAAAACCAAACTACAGTGACAAGCGAAGGGTAGACTCGACAGTGATCACTTCAAACGAGCCAAACAGTGCGAGGTATGAGGGTTGCCGCCTACTCAAAAACCAAAACACCGAAAGGTCGCACGGATGCTCGTCTTACCATCCAACGCCTGAACCACAGAAAAGTATGAGGTTCTAAACCATGTTCGAAATCCAACGGAAGAAGGGGGAGTATGAAGAAGAGAAGAAGAGAACTGAGAGGGTTGGGGGTTTTATATTTGGAAATGGAAGTGGAATCAATGATCTGGCACCTGACTTACCGTGAGTTGGTTTTCTATATTTAACCCGAGAACTCGCGGTCTGCGGAAATTGCCAAGAAGCAGCCGGAATATTTGACCTCTCTAATGACCTACAATGTATTTGCGTGTGACTGCGATATCGTGGAGAAAGCCTGGCATTTTGAGGTCATTCGGAAATTTACGGGTTGCCGTTGGTGTCGAGTTCGGGCTCTGGATGTCGAATGGGATGGTCGTCAAACGAAGCGGTCGAGGTAGTCCAGAGCAGGGAGTGGATGATTAGTCAGTGCATTAAGTCGACAGATAGTGGTGGAAGATAACGTTGTCAAGTTGGCAGTGCTGCGTCAGAAAAGATGAACAAAAGTGAATTGCCTACCAAGACCAGACCAGACCGAAACGCCCATGACTTTTGATGTGTCGCATAAAATCGTCCTTGCCTGTCAGCACAACAAACGCGCAGAACATGACTGGAAAAAGAGGAAGATATGAATTGTCGTCGAAGCTTTTTGTTTTCGTATTTCCTTTTTTCTTGTCCGGCTCCTTGCTAGAAGAAACTACGCAGCAGCTCCCGACCCATCAAAAAAGACCCCCAGGCGACATCATCGTAATCAGAGAACTTTGCACTTTTGCGCCCGCAACGAGACTCCTTTTCAACATCTTCCCAAGCCAGAGGTATCATAGAAAAGGGTTGAGGTGAGAGAGAGGTAAACATCGACGAGAGGGTGTGACAATCGATCGATCTTCGGAATAGAAAGTGTTGCGGTTGACGGTATTGGAAGGAGGGCATGCGATGATCGCTTAGCGGAGACGGCGGGCCTCACGCTCGGACTCGAGAAGGCAGAGAATGTCGTCCTCACGGACTGAGATGTGGTGTTAGTTTTGCGGTTTGTGAGTGTCTTCGCACAGAGGCGATCAAGGCGAGAGAATCGTACCGGGACCCTTGACGTTACGGATGATGGAACGAGTAGTGTCGTCCATGAACTCAACGCGAACCTGGGTAACACCACCGCGAGAGCCTGTGTCGCCAAAATCCGTCAGCAATTTGTTCCGCATCTCGTTTGCAATCCTCCATGGCCGTGTCTGAGGTGCCGAGCATGTCTCCTTTCAAGTGCGCATTCCTCCTCTTTCCAGTAGACTCTTTCGACGCAGCGTGCCATGGAGGGTTGTCGTTGTTCTTCTGTTGGACGTACCGGTACGGCCGAGGACGCGGGTGACCTTGACGAGCTTGACGGGGACCTTGGCGGATTCCATTTTGAAGACTTGTGTGATGAGCTGAGATAGCTTCTTCTGTGAATGGGCGAGGGCGAAAGGAAATAGGCGTCGACTGGGGATCAAGAATCTTCAGGCGGATTCGTGAGTATCTGGGGTGCCTGCCAAATTCGCGTGCTCGCTGTGGGCGGCTCTTTCCGTGATTTCTCCGTGCCCAAGGCTAGCGCCTCTATGTCTTGGCGGTGTGACGGAGCAAGTTGCGGCGAACCAGCGACAGCTCGGGGAAGACAAGTGGCAGTACACGTTTCAAAAAAGTTGGTGATAGAATAATTACAACACCTGTCACTTTGAGAAGAGTCATGTTGAGCGTGACTTCGAACTAGACTACGTATCAAGGCCGCTCTCCATTCCTATCGACCTCCCTCCTAAATCACGTTCAAGAAGTGATCGGCCACCTTCTATACACAAGGTACCTCTCCGAGCCTCACAAACATGGCCCACATGAGAGGCATCTCACACCCCTTTTTCTTTTTCGCATTGCTGTTTATTGCATTCGCCTCGACAGCATCTGCAGCATCAGCAGTATTGGGAATTGATTTCGGCGGTGCATACATCAAAGCAGCAATCGTAAAGCCTGGAGTACCACTCGATATCGTCCCCACCAAAGACTCAAAGCGCAAAGAGGCTGCCGTCGTTGGTTTCAAGCCAGTATCTGGATCTGCCCTCGACTTTGGCTCCTACCCCGAGAGACTGTACGGCGGAGATGCTCTGGCTCTCGGTGGTCGCTTCCCTGGCGATGTCTTCACCAACCTCAAGACCCTCCTTGGCCTCGTACCTGGTGACCACGCCGACACAATGATGAGGAACTACAGCTCACGCCATCCCGTAATCAAGTCGAAGTTCGAACAAGAGAAGGGAACCGTCTCATTTGAGTCTAGTGCTTTCAGCTCGTCCGAAAACTCATGGAGTCTCGACGAGTTGCTGGCTATGGAGCTTAAGAACATCCGCACGAACGCTGAGGCCATGTCCGGTGGTAACGGAGGTTCCGTCTCAGATGCAGTCATCGCTGTGCCTGTTCACTGGACCGCAGATGAGAGACGTGCCATCGAGCGCGCCGCCGATTTGGCTGGTATCAACATCATGAGTCTCGTCAGCGACGGACTGGCCGTCGGTATCGACTACGCTGTCAAGCGTACTTTCCCTAGCGTCAGCAAGGGCGAGAAGCCTGAGTACCACATGATCTTCGACATGGGCGCTGGTTCGACCACTGCCACTATCCTCAGATTCCAATCCAAGGACGTCAAGGACATCGGTCGCTTCAACAAGACCATTCAGGAGGTCGCTGTTATGGGCGCTGGTTGGGACAAGACTCTTGGAGGAGACGAACTCAACGCACTCATCGTCGACTACCTGGTCGACAGCTTTGTCGCTAAGCCTCAGGCTGTCAAGGCCGGCATCACCGCTGAAGAGGTCAAGGGTCATGGTAGAACTGCTTCCAAGATCTGGCGTGAAGCTGAGCGTGCAAGAATGGTTCTCAGTGCAAACTCCGAAGTCAGATCAAGCTTCGAGGGCCTGTACAAGGATATCGACTTCGCTACTAAGCTCTCCAGAGCCGAGTTCGAGAAAATGGCTTCGTCCCACGCTGACCGCATCAAGACCCCTGTCCAGCAGGCTCTGGATGCTGCTAAGCTCTCTTTTAAGGATCTCGACTCTGTCATCCTTCATGGTGGCGCCATCAGAACACCTTTCGTTCAGAAGAAGCTTGAGTCGATGACTGGCAAGAACACCGAAGTGCGTGGTAACGTCAACTCGGACGAGTCGGCCGCATTTGGCGCCGCCTTCAAAGCAGCCGGTCTGAGCCCCAGCTTCCGCGTCAAGGAGATTAGAGACATCGAAGCCGCTGTCTACCCTGCTGGCATCAAGTACCCATCAGATGGTAAGGAGAGACAGCAGAAGCTGTTTGTTCCCACTTCCCAGGCTGGACTTGCAAAGGAGATTGCCGTCAAGAATCTTGATGATTTCACCTTCACCATCTTCCAGACCGTTGGTAGCCAAGACCGTCAGGTCACTGAAGTTCAGACCCAGAACTTGACCGCTTCCGTCGAAACTCTGACCACCAAGTTCGGATGCTCCAAGGACGAGATCTCGACCAAGCTCAAGCTTCGCATTAGCCCAATCGATAGCGTTCCGGAACTTGTTTCTGCATCTGTCAGCTGTGAGGTCGACGGTGGCAAGGTTGGCGGTCTTGGAGACTCAGTCAAGGGACTATTCGGCTTCGGATCCAAGAAGGGCGAACAAGAGCCCCTTGGCGAAGCCGAAGAAGTTGAGACCGTCTCTGAGTCAAGCTCATCGTCAGCCAGCTCTTCCAGTGCCTCGAAGGCCAAGTCAAGCGGCTCTGCGACACCTGAGGCCGAGGTCAAGAACAAGAAGCGTACCGAAATCATTCCTGTCAAGTTCGCCACTGTCGTCAAGGGTCTTCCCCAACCCGCACCCGAAGAGATCAAGCGCATGAGAGAACGTCTCACTGCCTTTGATCGCTCTGATATGTCTCGTATTCAGAGAGAGGAGGCTTTGAACGTCCTCGAAGCATACACCTACCGTACCAGGGATCTTCTCGAGAACACCGACTTCATTGGTGCCTCTACCGAGGCCGTTAGATCTCAGCTCACTTCTCTGCTCAGCAGCACCAGCGACTGGCTATATGGTGAAGGCTCTTCTGCCAAGGCTGAGGCTTTCAAGAGCAAGCTTGCTGACCTCAAGGCTATTGTTGATCCTGTTCAGAAGCGCAGAGAGGAAGCTTCAGCACGACCTGAGATTCTCAAGTCGCTGCAGAGTTCTCTTGATCAGACAAAGTCAATGGTCGACGCCATCGGCAAGCAGATTGCTGCTTCGATTTCATCTGCCTCTGAAGCTGCATTGTCAAGCAGCACCAGCACTGAAGCCAGCCCCAGTCCCAGCGCTGCTGATGACTTGGACGACCTTGATGAGCCCGAAACTTTCACTTCTTCTTCGGTCAAGCCCAGCGAGACCCCCAGCATGATGCCCTACACCGAAGACGACCTCACCTCCATCACCAAGGCCTATGAGAGCGTCGCCGAATGGGTCAAGACCAAGATGGCCGAGCAAGACAAGCTCCAAGCTTTCGAGGACCCCGCATTCACAGTCAAAGAGATGGAACTCAAGGCGAAAGAGCTCAACAAGGCTCTCATGGACATGGTGACCAAGAAGATGCAAATGCCCAAGCCCAGCAGTAAGAGCAGTAGCTCTAGAAAGGCTAAGGCCACAAAGAGCAAGAAGGCAAAGTCTAGCAGCAGTGAGACGTCTACGGCATCGGAGTCTGCTTCTGCGAGCCCTTCTGTTGTAGTCGAGGAGAAGGATAAGCCCATTGAGCATGAAGAGTTGTAGAGCACTGTCTTATTTAGCATTAGAATCACAAATGTCGCATTTCTTTTCCACCTTTCAAGATGCAAGATACAAAGCGCATACTAAGCAAAACGATCACTGATCCCTCTGAACAACACAACACGACGAACAAGATTGCGAACAGATGTTGTGATTGCTTGTCAATAGACAAATGTAGTGGTATGCAAGCGTTCTTTGAGATCTAAGCAGCTGTAACGCCACCCAAAGTGTCAAATCGCCAAACTTGCGATTGGATCTTGTTGACATCTCTTATCTCGCACCCACAGCACCATGTGGTACACCCTGTCTCCTCCTCGCAATAGCCTCTCCCATGGCATTTCTAACTTCCACTTTACTCCTGATTGTATTATCGACCAAGAATTTCTTCATCCTACTCCTCATCTCTCTCATGGCGCTCTCGTCATTCGCAAAGGGCGTCATTTCCAAAGCCATCAACATGTTGGATTCACCCTCCAAAGCCCCTGCCAGCGCACCTAACCTCTGCAATTGCTGTTGAGACACTTGATCGTCTGTGGGAGGTGCAGCTTCCAGAGGTCCTAGCAAAGGGCCGATCTGCGAGAATGCGATGAAGAGTGTCAAGATCAGTTTCCTGAGCAGGGAAAGAAGTTGGAAAGGTAAGAATTGTGGATGTAGGGGTATGAATGCCAGAACGGGGTTGACCACTTTGGTCAATATACCCGGGAAAGTGGGCGATGTCAAAGCATGCAATTCAAATATTCCTAGCGTGGCCAAAGCAAAAAACCTCCAGAAAGCGGCTTGCTTGATGTAACCCAAAAAGCCGAGAAGAGTAAGCACACCGGCTGTTCCTGCGTAGTAGACGAACAAGTTGCGAATGCCAGTGGAGATGTAATCAGGGATCGTGGTGCTGCGTTGCCAGGAGAGGATTTCTGGGCCTAGACGGTCGTAGGCGAAGCGTTTTGTTGGGTCCATCAGAACGTCACGGCAAAGTTTTAGGTGCACGTAGTAGGCTTCTGCTATGCTACGGTTGGAATCATTGGAAACTTTGTCGGGGTGGTGGAGAAGTGTTCTGTAATTCAGTCAGCCTTTCTAGACATCTTCTATTAGTCGATTAAATGGGTAAACTTACAGTCTCCTGAAACGACTATTTATGCCTCTCTCCTCGACTCCGAGGTTGACACCGAGGTCTTGGTAGAAGTTCCCAGCCATGCGAAGTTGGAAGTCGGCTTCATAGATTGTGTAGAGAAGGTAGGCTACAATGACTATGATGTTGATCCTTCTGCGATGCTGGACGAATTGTCTCGTGCCCGGCTGAGGTTTCGGGTCACCTGCGCGTATCCAGATGGCATAGAAGGCGGATTGAGCCCATCCTGTCACAAGCTGTGAATTTCAGTCAGCACTCAATTCATTCTGCACCATCCAAACAGCGTTTCTGACAATATTGAAGAGATCGAAACCAAATGTCGAGCAAAGTGAATATACTATCGTATAATTGATTGACTCGATTGCAGCAAGGGGATATTGATCCATGTTGTTCTTTCGTGGATAGAAACATCGAGCGGGAAGAATATTGGAGTGATGAAACTTACTTGTGGCAAGAGATACCAACCAGCTAGCGAAAGCAAATTATCAGACATGCTTGATCTGACGTGGATTGCGAGCAGCTATACTTTGGACTATGTATGCGCGTTCGAGGGTGTAGTGAACGCAAGTGGACACAAGTCATGGTTCAAGAGTGGACACAAAAGCTTGGTCAAGCGCTCGCAACTCCAGCCCCAGCTCCCGTCACGCATGTGAAGCCGCGATCCGAAATTTATTTTTTGATCTCGAGCAAAGAAAGCTATACCACGACTAGTCAATTACGCAACCCACTACAAAAATCCACAAAACATGTCGACAGAAACAAACACACCAAAGTCTGGCAAGACGAAAAAGATCAAGGAGGAAAAATCTGCAAAGAAGCGACGACACGCAGAACAGGACGAGGAGGAACAAGCATCAGCATCAGCACCAGCAACACAAGAGACGACACTCGATCAAGGCTTAGCAAAGCGTCCGCGCATCCAATCGCCAGTCGCGGATTCAACAAGCACACCACCTTTTGTCAAGCAAACCTCATCCTTCTACCTCCCGCTGTCGCCAATCTACCACGCTTTCCCCGTCGACGGCCTCTGCGCCGAGCACATCTCCCCCCTCCTCCTCACCTACCACCCTCCCCTCCGCGGCGTCGTCCTTTCCTACAGCAACCCCCGCCTCTCAAACACCCCCGCCAACGCCCCATCATCCCGCGACGGCCCAGACGCAGAACCAATCGTCCTCGCAAAATCAATCGACGAATACGCAGTCTCCTTTGTCTGGCTGACCGTCGACTTTGTCCTCCTCCGCCCAACCCCCGGTGCCGTAATCGAAGGCTACGTCAGTCTGCAGAATGAGAGTTATCTCGGCCTCGTATGCTGGAATTTCTTCAACGCCGGTGTGGATCGTAAGCGTATCCCCTCGAACTGGCGCTGGGTGCCAAACCACAATGCCAATGCTGGCACAAAGAGCGCTACCGACTGGATGAGAGGATTGCGTAACAAGAGTGATGAGAGCAGTGGCCATTACGTGGATGAGAACGGCAAGAAGGTCGAGGGCAAGGTCAAGTTCACAGTCAAGGACTTTGAGTCAGCACCTAGCACAGAGCGCGAGCGCGGTTTCTTGAGCATTGAGGGTACGCTACTGAGTCCCGAGGACGATAGAGCGTATGACAAGGAACTCAAGGCTGCTAGGAAGGTGCCGAAAAAGAAGAGAGTACCTGCTCTGCATGTTTGAACAAGAGGGTAGTCTCATAGAACAAGATGTGGCTGGTTTCCTTCTATCATTTTCTTTCGTACATAAGCGTTTCTACTTGTATCCACATACCCATCCATCTCTTTTGGAAAGCATGATTCACCGAGCCCTGTACCGAAACAACTCGAAATAGTGTTGCATGAAGGTGGGTTTGTCCCGTCAACGAGAGGGTTTCGTGGAAATCTTGCCCAACTGTGTGCATCTTCCCGAGGAGCAGACATCAAGAGGTGAGGTTGTGAGCTGGATGTAGGTTCCTCTATGACACAAAAGATGTCTTGATTTGATACTCCTCAAAGTTGTCAGCGCTCTATTCTATCTATCTAGTCCCTCCATTCATTGAGAAAAAGCCAGTCCAGCTAGGGTACTTCCCCCTTCTCCTTCAAATTCGTAATACACTCTCAGTCTATGAGATGACAAGTCCGGCTTATATGCTACGCCATGCAATCGCTAATGCTGTGAATGAGAAAGAAGCAAATAGAATAACAAGAACCAGGCGTACAAAGACGTCTAAGCAAAATCAGAGACTTGGAAAAAAGGTGAAACAAAAAAACAGTTTATGCGACAATGCCGTCACCCTCAATCATTTCCTTGAGTATATCACTCCCAGGGCCCTTGAGAGCGGAGACCAGCTCGGCGTGGCCAACACAAGCGGCCATTCTTCTATCGTCACCGGTCGCGGCACCGGAGAATCCAGACTTTGATCTTCTGCTGGGTGTGCAAGAGGGCGTCAAAGGCATAAAGAATGACGATGCACCCTTTGTCTCAACAGCAGATACAAGTGATAATGTCTCCAGACCACTGACCACGTCTCTAAACTCGATGCTGGTCAAAGCATGCAACAGATTCTCGCGATTGCAGAGTGTGCAGTAGGCTTCGTACAGCTGCCTGATGGTAGGTGCAGCGTTGGCGTGCTTAGAGGGAGTCATTGGGAAGGTGACCACGCTAGGCGCCTCGCGCTTCTTCTTTTCGAGAGCCGACAGTGCGCAAAGGACAGCCTTCTGCTGCAGGTTGAGAGATGCCAGACGTTGTGATGCACCGTTGCTGAACACAGCAGCTGTGACCTTGGCGACATGTGCGATTGTTGCTCTTGGCGCAGACTCGAGAGTCAAATGGCTGATTGAAGGGAAGAGAGTGGTTTGGCGAGGGTCCTTGAGTGCAGACTTCTGGAAGGCAGCCAACTTGACGGTGGGAGATGCGAGGTTAAGATTGTCTGCCAGCGGCGTTCTGGACGGACTGTCTTGTAGACGAATACGTGCTTGCTCGACCTTTGTCTCGGACTCAACCATGTCAACGGCTCTTCTACAGATATCGAACGCTTTTCTCAAGTCCCCAGTTTGAGAAGCAACTTTCTTAGAACAGAATTGAATCGCTGCAGGATGCAAGAATGGAATGAAGCTTGGGTCTGTTGATGCAGCACCCAATGCCTTGAGCTTCGATGTGATGATATTGGCGATCTGAGAGGCAGTATACGGCATGAATGGCAACAGATTGGGCTTGAGATTGCGAGACTTCAATCGAGGCAAGAAACGATCAGTAAGATCCAGGGCGTTGGCAATTCCGATAAGAATAAGGCTTGAGGAAGGCTCCATGGACCATTCGAAGAGGCTATACAGAAGTTTGAGATCCAGGTCGACCAGGCGGTCAATCTCGTCCAGAATAACGACGTGTTTCTTGTCTTGTCCGAAGAAGTTGGCACGCAGGCAGTCGAAGTCAGCAGCACGTCCGGGAAGAATCTCCAAGTCCAGATCTTTTGACAGAGTGTTGGCAAGATCCTTAGCCGTCTTGACACTCATACAGTTGACCGTCGCGATGGCCATGTTCCGATCCAGGTCGGATGTGAAGTCTTGACAGATGTTGCCAACAAAAGCACTCTTGCCAGTTCCGGGTGGGCCTGAGATGTATAGACAGCCACCCTCACCAGATTTTAGGCGTTCCGAGATGAAAGTGGAAACCTGCTCCTTCTCTTCTTCTCTTCCTACCAACACACCAGGATCTGTGCATCTTGAGAAGATCTGTCGTGCCTGGTTGTAAACATTGTTGGCCGCGCTGGAGGGAGTGTATGGACTGCGAGGTGTTGCAGGACTGCTAGTAATGAGATGGCGATGTCGTGGGGTGATGGTGATTTTAGAGATAAGAGCATCGTGGTGCCGTGGTGTTGAGGGTGTGGCAAGAAGACTTGACTTTGTAACGGCAGATAGCTTTTCCTTCTTCGAAACGGAGAAATGGGCACTGATCTTATTCGGTGACGACACAAGGCGTTTCGAAGGCGTGGGTGTGGGTTTGAGTTGTGTTGCTGGAGAAGGATTTGGATTGATAAAAGGGTTGTCGTTCTCGTCGATTCCTAGTACGAGAGTCTCGCGACGCTTTGCTCTGGTCTGTCTTTCGCTTTCTGATGCTGTTCATATTGTCAGTCTTCGAGGACGCGTACAGTATTGGTGGCTCCTACCATTTGTTGAACTCCGGGTACGCTTCCCAAGGACTGATGCGGACATAGCTAGTGATGAATGAGGAAGCTACGACTGTGGTTATGATATTATGAATTGAAGAAGATGCAAATGATATGTCCAATGTTCAATGAGTGGGAAGGAGCGACTCGAAGGAGAAAGCGCGTAGAGCGGTGTTGCAGACGCGTAAAGTGTTTCTCTAGCGCGAGACGAGCTAGGGCACGGACTTTTTGGGACGCGATGCATTCCACATGCGTGACGTGCTGCACGGCGACAAGTCGACCAGAATCTAGACTCGTCCATCTGTCTCGCGATCATGGCCTTTGGGAGAAGTAGCCCGCCGCCTTCTCAATCCTCGGCCAAGAAGCAGCAGTCCATTTCCAGCTTCTTCACACCCAAACAAGCTGCCACAAAGGAAACTACCGTGCCCACAACTTCCGTAACCAAGAAACGCGTGTCCGATGCGCCCATTCCTGCGACAATTCCAAAAACCGGTCTCGGAGAGTCGTTTCTGAATAGCAGTCCTCCCAAACCGAAACGTCCGTTCGAAGAGTACAGCGATGAGAATGAAGACTTGCCAGACCCCAAGCGAACGCGCCAGCATGTCGACGACCTCGAGACAGAGCCGCCATTACCAAGCGCAGTACCGCCCCAAAAGCCAGTAGCAGCTCATATGCCCGCGCACGTATCCGACCGTACAGCTAGATATATCTTTTCGAGTTCACAGCCCGATCAAATTCTTCAGGACAACCAAGACGATGACGCTGTTCGTAGACAAAAAGAGCGTTTGCACCAGAAGTTTGTAAAGAAGCTCGGAAGACCTGACAGTCTAGCCGATATCAGACGTCGCAATCACTTCATCGACGAAGACCAACCAGAAGGCGATGATGATCCTGACGAGGAAGAAGAGGAGACACAAAAGCCCGCGAAAGGTAGGAAGGGTCCTGCGGCTCGCAAGTCTGCCAGCAAACTCACGCCTATGGAGAAGCAAGTCGTGGACCTAAAGATGAAACACATGGACACCTTGTTGGTTGTCGAGGTGGGCTATAAATTCCGATTCTTCGGTGAAGATGCTCGCATTGCTGCGAAAGAGTTGCAAATCATGTGTGTACCAGGAAAGATGAGGTTTGACGAGCATCCTTCAGAGGCACACCTTGACAAATTTGCCGGAGCCAGCTTTCCTGTCCATCGCTTGCACGTTCATGTCAAGCGTCTGGTCTCGGCTGGACACAAGGTCGGAGTCGTTCGCCAGCTAGAGACCGCTGCACTGAAGAAGGTCGGCGATAATCGCAACACTCCCTTCGTCCGCAAACTCACAAACTTGTACACCAAGGGTACATATATCGATGACATAGAAAATTTGGATGGCCCAACCGCTGCACCAGCCGGGGGCGCTCCTGCGACTGGCCATCTTCTCTGCTTGACCGAGGCCAATGCTGGTGGTTCTGGCACAGACGAGAAGGTGCATCTCGGCATCGTTGCTGTCCAGCCCACTACAGGCGATATAATCTACGATGACTTCTACGATGGATTCATGCGAAGTGAGCTCGAAACTCGTCTGCTTCACATCGCACCTTGCGAATTTCTTATCGTGGGTACTGTGTCCAAAGCAACAGAGAAGTTGGTCGAGCATCTTTCGGGTAGCAGAACGAATGTTTTTGGTGATCGCGCACGTGTAGAACGCACTGAGAAGCCAAAGACCTTTGCAGCTCAGGCATACTCTCACATATCAGACTTCTATGCTGGCAAGATGCAATCGGATGAGTCGTCAGAAGAGAAGACAGCCATGCTCGATAAAGTGCATCAGTTATCTGAACTTGTCACCATGTGTCTTTCGGCCATGATAACTCATCTGACTGATTATGGTCTCGAGCATATCTTCGATTTGACCAAGAACTTCCAGTCGTTCAGCGCACGATCTCACATGCTACTGAACGGCAATACACTCTCATCGTTGGAGATCTATCGAAATCAAACGGATTACACAGAACGAGGCAGTCTGTTCTTTATCCTAAATCGGACAAAAACTCGTTTCGGTCAGCGCCTTCTACGCAAGTGGGTTGGTCGTCCACTGCTTGATCAACAGCAGCTGCAGAATCGAATTGGTGCTGTGGAAGAGCTTTTAGACAGCGACCGAGCGATTCCTACTGACCGAATAAAGAATCTCATCGCTCATGTAAGAGGCGACTTGGAAAAATCGTTGATCAGAATCTACTACAAGAAATGCGCGCGCCCTGAGTTGGTGTCTGTACTGCAAACTTTGCAGATCATCTCAAATGAGTATTCACACGTCAAGACTCCGGAGGACTCTGGCTTCAGGTCGCAATTGCTTGCCGAAGCTATCGCATCCTTGCCAATGATATCTGAAGATGTCATCTCTTATCTCGAGAGAATAGACCTCCAAGCAGCCAAGGACGACGACAAGTACTCTTTCTTCCGTGATCAGTATGAAACTGAGGAAATCACAGACCACAAGGTCGGCATAGCCTGTGTCGAACACGATCTTGACGAACATCGCGCCGAAGCCGCGAAGACTCTCAAGAAGAACGGCAAAATCACCTATGTGACTGTCTCTGGCATCGAGTTCCTGATCGAGATCGAAAACATCCATCTTAAGAATGTACCCGCTTCATGGACCAAAATCAGCGGAACCAAGAAAGTGTCTCGCTTCCATACACCAGAAGTCGTCAAGCTGATCCGCGAGCGTGATCAACGTAAAGAAGCTCTTGCCAATGCGTGTGATCTCGCCTTTGCTGAGTTACTTTCTGAGATCGGCTCTAGGTACCAGACTTTCCGTGATTGCATTCAGTCACTAGCAACTCTTGATTGTCTACTCTCGTTGGCGGATATTGCAAGCCAGCCTGGCTATACCAAGCCCGAGTTCATTACCGACAGTGATGAGGTCCGTCTCGAAATCAAAGGAGGTCGTCATCCGATGGTTGAGCAAATGCTTCTCGACTCGTATGTGCCCAATGATATCGAGTTGTCGTCTAAAGAGAGAGCTCTTCTCATCACTGGTCCAAACATGGGCGGCAAGTCATCCTACGTCCGCTCGGTAGCTTTGATCGGTATCATGGCACAGATCGGAAGTTGGGTTCCCGCATCGCACGCAAGACTCACTCCCCTCGATGCTGTGTTTACCCGCATGGGCGCATTCGACAACATGCTCAAAGGCGAGAGTACATTCATGGTCGAACTTTCCGAGACTTCGGACATTCTCAAGCAAGCCACACCTAGATCACTGATCATCTTGGATGAACTTGGTCGCGGCACGAGTACTCATGATGGTGTGGCGATTGCACAGGCAGTCTTGGACTATGTGGTTCGAGAGACCAAAGCACTCACACTGTTCATCACGCATTACCAAGCACTTTCACGAATGGCCGAACGCTATGCAGCGAGGAAGCTCCGTAATGTTCATATGCGCTTTACCGAGGAAGTCGCTGGTGACGATCATACGGATATCACTTTCCTGTATGAAGTTGGCGAAGGCGTCGCACATCGTAGTTATGGCTTGAATGTTGCAAGACTCGCTGGACTGCCGAAGGATGTACTTGATGTGGCAGCAGTCAAGAGTACACAGATGGAAGAAGAGGCGAACCGACGGAAAATGGCGCACTTGTCGCGAGTACTATCTTCTACTCTAGAGGACGAGCAGCCTGCGAACCTTGAGCTACTTGTTGCTGGTCTGGACATGATGTAACGGTATTGTGAATTGATGGGAGTACGATCGGTATGCTAGTGCAAGCTTCGACTACTATTGCTCAGAGAAAAAAAAGTCCTCGCTATGCTGTTGAACGAACACACACTCACTGCACTGAGAGATGGTAGACAACGCGAGAAACAACAATTCAGCGGATTCACAATCGTTAACCAGAAATCACATCAGCTGTTGTCATAATAATACCTCGTATGATTGACTGGTCAAGGGTATCATATATACAAGGGGTCCAAAAGCAAAAAAAAGTATCACCATGGGCAGGAATCGAACCCGCGACCGCCTTGGATCTAGACTGACACGAACGTGGAGTAACAACGAATGACCACGCACGTGTTAAGACCACGGGTTCTTGGACCACTACACCACCACGGCTATTCTGCTTATGAGAGGGACCTTGGGAGCCCGAAGATATAGGTTGCGTGTCAAAGTGGGGCACAGCGGTGGTTGTGACAGGAAACTAGGGGGAATGAGTTAGTTGTGATGGGGATGGAAGCTGAGATGTGCGATTGTGGAGTATTTGAAGCCTGTACACCCTAAGGAGCGTGATGCCAGTATGATCATATGTACATCTTGGTCCTATGTTTGGACTGTGCGTGTAGCGCTTGGATTGGATAATCTCTGCCCAACAACTCGAGCCATCGACTTTGGTTGACACGGAGTTAAGTTCCAACTGTCTCTTGTTGGCGCAGTTCGGATTACCGCGTAAAGGGCAAAGTCGCAGCTCCTTGCCATTGCTGTCGTGTGTGGCTTTCAACGAGGCCTGGGGCGTCTTCCTAATTAAGGCTTTACAACATCCCAGCCTAACATCTGCAGCCTCCGTTTTCGAGTGTAAATCTGGTGATGTTCCTTGTGCATGGCTGATTTACATTCTGAACTTCTTTTCCTCTTCCTCGCGGAGCTGTGCAGTTGCCTCGCGGACCATCCACTCGCGTCTGTCTTCCTTCATGGCGACAAATACCCAGAACCAGTGAAGTGTCTCCATGAACAAGAAGGTGAAGACGAACGAGTTCTTGACGAGGTCGAGAGGGCTAGAGTTGCCCTTCAAGGCTCGCAGGGTGGAGGTAGTGGTGTCGTCGGTCCTTGTGAGGTAGATGTATCCGGTACTGGAGAACAGCATGAAGAGGCGGAAGGGGAGGATGTTGGACCAGTATTCGAGGCACGAGCGTTCGGGAAGGCTTGCTGCGATCAAGTCGCTGACACCGAGGAAGGCTAGGAGGATGGATGCGAGGGCGGTGACTTCGGTGGGCTTGCTAAAAGCTGAGGTAGAGTTCTTTGCAAACCGTCAGTCATAGTAGCAGCAGTTCCAGAGTACAGGTACTGACCACTTGCATCGACTCTCCCAGAATGACAACGACATTCTGCTCAGCGAGGACGTGGGGCCTGTAGAGCAGCAGGTAAGCCGCTGTCAGATGTGCCAGCGACACAGCCTTGATCAGTGTATATGATGAGATTCTGAAACCCATGTCTGACCGTCTTCTTTCAATTGCTTGTTGGTAGATGGTGTTCGCAGAGTTGACAGGATTATTGTCCCCTTGACACGCGCCTGCCCGAATTACTGCCGGCTGGATGACGTTGCCCAAGCGGTCAGGGTCACTTTCCTATCGCGGCAGGCGGTGAAGCATGACGCACTTACCACTGCCTATCTGTCGTCTATCGTACCTGCCTGTTATCCTCTTCCTGAACTTATCAATTGTCCATTGCTCATACGTCTACGATGGAGAAGGAACCTTTGCTTGGTGAGGTGCCCCGCAGGGTCCAGATATCTAAGTCGCGCCGTGTGCTCACGACCATACGCCTACTCGCCTTTACCATTGCTGCGTCATTTGCAGCGTGTTACTCGTACACTGGTTATTGGCCACTTGACTATGTCATGTACACGCCAGCTGAACGAGTGTTGACCCGGAACCCTTTGATCGGTATGTCAAAGTTGATCACCCACATCCAGATCCATGATACAATTCAAATTTTCCCGTCATGTCGTCCAATATCATGGCAACAACGAGTTTAAGTCTGTCCACTAACGTTTCTCTAAGATGGTCATAATGATCTTCTAATCCTCATGCGAGTTCTATACGGTAATAAGATCTATGACCCAAAGTTCACCGACAAGATGGAGAATGGTGGCCTGCCTGGTCAAGTCGACATTCCCCGTATGAATGCGGGAAAACTTGGTGGTGCATTCTGGAGTGCCTTCGTACCATGCCCAGCAAATGGCTCCGACTTTTCTGATGCAGCATATGCTCCTTATGTCAAGACGACACTCGAGCAAATCGACCTTTTCAACCGCCTGTCTGAGATGTATCCTCGCTACTTCACCCTTGCAAAGGACTCTGCTTCGGCCCAACGGGCTTTCGACTCGAACAAATTGATCTCTCCTATGGGCATCGAAGGCCTGCACCAGATTGGCAACTCAATATCTACTTTACGTCTCTATCATAAGCTTGGTGTCCGCTATGCTACTTTGACCTGGAACTGCCACAACGCATATGCTGACGCAGCTCTTGTCACCAACTCGGACAGCCAAACTGTTCTCGCACCTCCACTATGGGGTGGTGTATCACCTGCAGGCAAGAAAATCATCCTAGAGATGAACAGACTAGGTATGCTTGTCGATCTCAGCCACGTGAGCCAAAACACCATGGCCCACGTCTTGGGTCAAGGCGAAGATGGATGGCAGGGCAGCATCGCACCTCCAATCTTCAGTCACTCATCGGCATACTCCATCTGTCCTCACCCTCGCAATGTCCCTGATCACATCCTTCCGCATGTCAAGGCTGCACGAGGTATTGTGATGGTCAACGCCAACCCAGACTTCATCAGCTGTCGGGCCTCGAACAGCTCCTCTGGTCTCCCTGAGTTTGTACCCGAGACTTCGACGCTTGAGCAGGTAGTCAAGCACATCAAACACATTGGAGACATGATTGGCTACGACTACGTTGGTATTGGCACAGACTTTGATGGTATTGAGAGCACACCAAAGGGCTTCGAAGATGTATCCAAGTTCCCCGATCTGGTGACTGAGATGCTGAAGCAGGGCATCAGTGAATCAGATGCTGGCAAAGTTGTCGGCAGGAACATTTTGAGAGTGTGGGCTGATGCCGACGCCGTCGCAACTTGGATGCAGAGAAAGGGGGTCTTGCCTCTTGAAGATGAGGTCAAGCACCCTTGGGAGTAGACTACAGTATCTACACATCACAGGGAAACTCAGATGGAACTTGCATGAGCTATAAAGATTGGCTATCTATAATTCTTCAATCTAAGACAGCGCTTCGTTGATGGAGGATATTTTGAAACCTTGCTCTGGGTATTGCTCGGTCGGGATATTCGAAGTTGGCTGTGATTTTCTACTAGCACAGGAGATCAGACCTTCGCATAATATATAGCGAGGACATAGTTACTCGAGCTATCTTGACTGGACCGTGTCTCGATCTACAGGAGACAAAGGTCGAGATGGTGTATTTGAAGGTCTTACGTTAGAATAACTTGTAGTTTGTACATTATCTAGAGACTTTCCTTTTCATTATTAAGTTCCACATTCAGACACGGTCGCAGTACAGTTGATATCTGCCATTAGACAAGTGCAATCACATAGATCGGCGTGCGAGACGGCAGCGATGCTCCGCGCTGATAAGAGACCTCGTCGCGATGGTCTTTGTATGTTTTCGTCAATGGCTCTCGAGCTGAGCAGTCGGGAGGATGCGACGCCGTGTCGATGCGTAATGTGTTGGCACATGATAAGCGCGTTACAAGGAGTTGAGGATTGAATTCAAAAGTCGTCTGCTGATTGCAGTCGTTTGCAGGAGCGGCAGCGGCTGGCTTGAAGGATTTCTCTTTCTGCCGGCGACCGGTCAGAAAGTCGCGCTCAAGTATGATTGACAAACACGATTTTCTGACTGTCGCTCCTGTGTCCCAAACTTCACATCAAATTGCAAGTCATCATGCCACTTCTAGGTCTCACATCGCGCTCCCCTCTTTTGCGCAACATCGGAGCTGGGTTTGGTATCTTCCAACTCACGCTCGGACTTGGTGGCATCTTTCTGCCTGAGGCGATGATCCAGCAAGTGTGGGGATTTCAGCTCTCTGCCGTACCCAAACAAACACAGATTCTCATTGAAGCTATAATGCAACTCTATGGCACAAGAAACGTCGCACTTGGACTCATGATCTTAGCTGTTAGGAAGTTTTCCGACAGTAGAACACTGGGCTGGGTTCTCATGGCCGAGATTCTTGTCGCAACCAGTGATGGCTTTGTCCAGGAGAGAGTTACTGGTGGGGGCGGATGGCAGCATTGGATGTTCGTTCCTATGGCAGTCGGCATCTGTATGCCTCTGCTAGGTTACTTCGATTGATCGCCAGTTGTAAGTGGGTATTCGGTGTGCATGAGTAACACTGTATTTCGCTGACTTCAGGCAGCACTCTGACGGTCTGACTAAGCGTGATCCTTCTTGCCGTTGACATAGCTGCACATCTTTACTAAAGGAGGAGGAGAATATATTGTTGTGTGAAATGATGATTGGGTTTCACTGGCTGTTCAGCCTTGTCGCTTCATAGTTCCAGAAGAATGCGGGCATGGCATGACATACCCGAGCTTGGCTTCTAGCATATATAAGCTCAAGTCAAACCTTCTGTTTTCTTCAATTGTATACACCGTACCGAAACAATATGCCTTCATTCTCCGAACAAGATCTTGTCTACGAAAATGGCAGCAAGACGCTGCATTACCTCTCCGCTGGTCCCGAAGATGGGGACCTAATCATCTTTATGCACGGCTGGCCCGGCATTGGAAAGACATGGCACGACCAGCTCACCGAGTTCTCAAAAAGAGGCTACAAAGTCGTTGCTCCCGACATGCCAGGATACGGCGGGTCAACCGCCCGCAAAGTGGCCTCCGACTATGCTCAGGAGCAAGTCACCAAAGCCATGTTGGCTCTCCTGAAGCACCTCGGTCGTAGCCAAGCCATCTGGGTAGCCCACGATTGGGGTTGCGGAACCCTCTGGACTCTCGCGCGAACTCGTCCGGAGGTCTTCAAAGCTGCCTGTGCAATGACCGTGCCCTACGGCGTTCTCGAACTTGGTCTAGAAGAAGCGCTCAAATATGTCGATCGCAATGTTTACCCCGAGGACGAGTACCCGTATGGTCAGTGGAGTTATCAAGCTTTCTACGAGCAAGACTTCGAAAAGGCCACCGAGTGGTTTGACAAGGACCCTCGGGGTTTCTTGAGGGCCGCCTTCACAAAGGGCAACCCTGCGGCCGTAGGAAAGCCTGCCCCAATGTCAAACACTGTGAAGGACGGTGGCTGGATGGGTGGTGCTGAGAAGCCCATTCCAGCCAGTGCGATCCCCGACGAATACGCTTGTATCGACAAGGAGACGTTCGAAGAACTTGTGACCGCGATGGAGAAGACCGGTTTCTGGCCTGGTGACGCTTGGTACCTCAACCACGCTGCAAACAGAGCTTTCAACCTGGATAACACCAAGAACGATGCTCGTCTGAAGTTTCCAGTTCTTTTCATCGAAGCTAAATACGACACTGTCTGCGAGACTGTAAACTCAAGCTTAGCTGATCCCATGAAGAGACTTTGCGACGACCTCACATATGTGAGCATCGCCGCGGGTCACTTTGTACCAGTCGAGAAGCCGGAGGAAGTCAACTCGGCAATGGCAGACTGGCTCGAAGCCAAGGTACGTGGATAGAAAGATCAAGCCTACGATGTACGAGCCTCAGCCATTATTCATACGAAGGACACCTTGAATTCTGTGATCGTGTGGAAGCTTTGCAGTGTGACGACGTCCTATATTCCTCTCGTTCGCGGACTAAAGTGGGGCATACAGATAAACAAGCGACAACAAGGAAGAGCGAACATCTGATCACGACTGGACAGCCGTCGTCCAGCAGCTGGAAACTGAGTCAGGATGTAGGTTTCTATATCTATGTTATCGACGCGTTCGGAATCAAACCAATCATTGCTGCTGCAAAATGCCACTGCGAAAGTGTTGACATCTTAACGCGTGGCGTTCCGAACGAAGCTTAAATCGAGGTTCCACAAAGCATATAAGATCAGCGTCATCCCCTTGCGGTTCGACCACTTAGAGGCTGTAGCCCATTTCAAAACCAGCTAGACATGTCCTGATTCCGGAGCGCAATCCTTGCAAAGACGTGCAGTCACTGCGGACTTCCAGGAACATGTCAATCAATGCGCTGAATGACGGGCTAAATATCAATGCGTGAAGATCTTTTCGTACATCCATGCACTCTATCGCAACCCGAGATTATCGTCGACCCAAACGATGGTACAGCTTGATCTTGCATGTGCCCTAGGGCCAGCAGTCGCTCTGATCCATAAAGCAGCGACACCCTTACCATTGCGTTTCCAAAGTCGTCTCATCTGTTCCATTCTGTCGTTCTTTCCATTGTGCTTTTTATAGGCACGTTCATTCGTTTTGCTACAATGCAATTTTTAACACCACTCCTTTTGCTGTGCAGCACCCCATTGCTACTAGCACAACAGTATGCGGGAGACACTATCAGTGCGACTCTACCGACTATCGACAATGCAGAGGTCGCATTTTTCAAGATCGATGACCCAAGTGGCAAGAATGATGCCCTCACCTTAATCAACTACTACTCTCACGGCACCGATGGAAATCGTATCGTAGAAAGCAAAATTCAGAGGGCTGTCATCGTTCTCCATGGTCTCCTGAGAGATCCTTGGAACTATGAGACCGATGTAAGTCTCCTCAAGTCTTCAACCGAGTCTCGAGACTAACGGATATACAGATGCTCAACGCTCTTGCCATGGTTCAAGACACAAACATCAACCGAGACAGTGTCGCCGTGATGGCTCCCTTCTTCCCCAGTGGCAGCGACAAAGGCTTCGCCTATCCTTGGACTGATGGTCTCAAGTCAGGTCGTGGATCCACATCTAATGCATTGGTCTGGTCTGGATCGCAATGGTCAGCTGGCGCCAACAACCAATACCCTCATGATAGCAGAAACACTTCGAGTTATTATGTCCTGGATGAACTAGTTCACTACTTCGACAACAAGACCCTCTTCCCCAACATGAAGCAGATCGTCCTTGCTGGACACTCCTTGGGTGGGCAGATGCTGCAACGGTACGCCGCGGTCGGCGATCAGCTTGAGACTGAGTCGCCCGTCGTTCTGTGGGTTGCAAATGGAAATTCTTGGGCATGGCTCAGTGATTACCGCCCTCTCAATGTGCCGGACTGCCCCACCTATAATGACTACCGCGAAGGCTTCGCTCAATATGTCGAGTATGGCATGACCTATGGTGCCAATCTGGTCGCTCAAGGCATTGACGCCATCAAGGCAAACTTCGACAGCAAGCAAATTGCTTGGGCTCGTGCTCTCCAGGACTTTGGTGATCATGCTTCGAGCTGCGCACCCGAAACCACCGGGCAGGACCGAAATGAGCGTTTCTTCTTCTTCATGAAATGGTTCCAGCCTAGCTGCCCTGACCCTTCTGGTACCAACTGTGACACTGTTGATTTGGTCGATGCACCTCACGACAATGGTCAAATGTTCCACTCTGCTGCAGGTCTTGCTCGTCTGTTCACGGACAATTTCTACGGCGATAAAAGTCGTGCTTATGACTTTGGTTACCCCCGCAAGCAACAGGGTGACGATCCTTTCCCGGACCCTAGCCTTGTCAACACCGCTGGAGCTACCAACTACAACACTTACGCTGGTGGTCTAACCTACCAAGGTTGCTGGACTGACCAAGCTCCGACTACAGCACAGGCCCTCTCCACCCTGCTGTACGACAACGCAACCAACACTATTGAAACTTGCACATCTGGCTGCGTGAACGCAGGCTATAAGGTTGCTGGCATGTCGGATGCAACAAAGTGCTGGTGTGGTAATGAGGTGAGCTCTGCATCTGCTATCCTCACCGTCGATATGCAGTGCAAGTCGGCATGCCCTGGAAATACTGCTCAAATCTGTGGAGGACTTCGTCGCCTTTCCCTGTTCTCGGCTGGATCTCCTTCCTTTGTTTAGTGGCCAATTGCATACGTCTCCTTCATTGATACGCTTTAGCTGGTGGCTGTGAGATTTATAAAACTATTAATGTTACCCCTTAGTCAAGTCAGCAGTGTTCGTGATTTCCAGAGGAATAAAGCATGCTTCCCACGAACGATCAGGGACAATCAGATGTATTGATGACGCTGCGTGTTGGGATGCCCGTCCGGGACTTTCTCGCAGCTTGCAAGTCGCTCTTTCCACATGCGAGTAAAGCGACACAGCTCATTGCGCGTTCTGGGTACTCGGACTTTAGCTGGTGTTCGTCGTCGCATGCTCACCATCGAAGTATTCATACCTCGCCTTCCGACATCGTTCACTATGGCCCCTTTCATCGTCTCTGCATTTTTACTGACCAAGCGCCATGGAGGTGACGGCAGCGTAGGAGCTCCAGGAAGCATCCAAGACTCTGGAGGCAGAAGCCCAGATCCGTCAACAATCGTCGCACTCGTTATCGGAGTTCTAGCTCTTCTGGCAACGCTCGTACAGACTCTACAACAGTACATTGCTACAGCAGATGGCTTCAGACGTTGTGGTCCAGGTGTGATGGGTCCATGGGGCCGCAAGACTCGGTTGCGTTGGCGTTGGAGGGAGTTCCGATTCGAAGTCCTTTACTGTGTCCCTTTCATCGAGTTCGGCCTGCCTAACAAAGGAGAAGGTGGTTCTCGAAGTCTTCGACCTTTCTGCGATCAACCAGAGCTCACCACCTTCGACCCCAACCCACCGGACAAGAAAAGAGACTGGAACGCTGAACTAGCTGGATGGGTCCACCTGCTGCACAATCTAGGCTTACACGACCAGTACGTCAGATCGAGAGTTGTTCCTGTCTTTCTCCGCGACACAGGACGCATGGCCTATTGCAACTGGCTCCGATGTGCACACGTTGAAAAGGCGTATCGCAGCTGGGACTTTGTGCCTGACGACGTTTTGAGACCTTTGGCCATCACAACACTTGCAGGATTAGCAGCAACCACCCGTCGGCTAGGCATGAGCTAGAAGCAATTTGAGCCGAACACTGGCGCGCTGCAAGCTGAGGGCAACCATCAAGTCATCACGTCAACTGTTATTCGAGGCATGGGCATCGTCATCCATTACCTGCGAGACCCTGAGCTGGATGTCGATGTACTTGGTCAGACTCATCTTTACAGCACCTCACCGCTAAGTCAAGCTGACGAATTGCTGTTTGGTCGAATCGGACATACCGACATGTTCAACCTCCACCGAGAGTTGCCTCATTTGATACTACACGTGGGCTCCTTGACCGAAGTCACATCCACATTACCTGCTCTCTTTTCGGACTCGCCAGCTGCCGATACTGTTGTTGCCAGCCTCCGTGCCAGAAGCGACTCAGGAGACAAAGACTGGATGGAGTGCGCTAATGACATGGTTGCCTTTCTCACTCCATTTTTAGGCTTCTGTTCCGAGACTCGACCTATTATACCCTGGCCGAACACGTCCGCTCGTGGGATGACGCATACTATCTTCAAGCCTTTTCGCGACGAACTTACTGCGCTTGTAGAGCGTCGAGGACGCACTGTATCCAGAAACGCTGATAAACTGCTTGATCTTTATCTACGTCTGGAAAGTCGCTTCAATCATCCATCGGCTCAACGAGACAGAAGTTTCAGTTGGGAGACACCCAAGCTCACTTTCAAAAGCGAGCTGGCGGCCTTTGAGGCATACGACACAAGAGCGATCTGGGATGTTCTGAATGAGTGCGAATCAATGCTACATGCGAGCTCAGTGGTCCGCGTTGGCAGATACCATGTTCTGGTGACGCAGCATTTGACCTTCTCGACTCGCACTGAGGCCGCAGCGCCAGATGCGAACAAGATGAAGCGAATGTTTGCTGCCCTTCCAGAGATGGCCCGTGCTATCAGAGCAGAGTGGGATGTCCGAGATGAGGTATTGGAAGCACTTTCAACAATGGCAGGCGAAGAGCTGGGCGAGAAGACGATTTGGATGACACGACCGAGCGAGATTGAGGCCGAGGATGCTTGGTTGGCCATGATGCTCAGAGCAATGTGCTGGCAAAGGCTTCACGTGGTTCAGCCTGGAACACCACTGCCCATAGAGTATTCGAGAAGTATGCTTCCTGTATTTATTACCTGAGGTCAGAAGGGAAAGACGAATTGTCAGGGTGTGGAGGATACTATTATGCACTTCCGAGATTCGAGCTTTTTAGTTCCGACAGTGGAAAGTGACCCTGGCCAAACTTTCGACCTTCTCCGAGCGCCGATGTGAGATGGTCTGTGCTCAACAACTTCTTTGAGAGCAGAAACAGCGACCTTGTCGTCGGTGCAGCAGCCCATATCGTCGCCCACACCACGACATGTCGCTGTCACACACGCTAGAGCGCCTCTGTAGGCCGATAGCCACACGTGCAACGCCCCTCACACAACAATGTCGTCGCTACGCCTCCACAGACATTGGCGACACAATCACAGAACTCGAAGGCGGATCCTCACTGCGGAAATCAAAGGCCGACCTTGAAGGCTACGCCAACGACTTCGACCCCGTCGGCCGCGCCAGCAAGAGAAACCGCCAATTACCCTCTTCACGCTACAAGTTCCGCCCACCCAAGTACTACCGCGGTCCTCTGCACCCTCACCAACCGCCTCCCAACTCGGACCCTGCATCTCGTCTCTTCGAGCCTGGACCGTTCTCTGCTCCTCGTCTTGAGCAAACCTATCAATCTACCCTAGAGCCCGATCTCATGACATTGGCATACACGCATTTCCCACCGGGCTACCGCGCACCACCAAAGGCACCCCGTCTGCGTTCCTGGGAAGGCGCATCCCCATACTACAAAAACCGTCCTCTACGCGGACCCAGAGGTTCAGATGTCCTTCGTCTGTTGCGCAAACCCATAACCTTCCGCAACGTCCCCGCGCTCGAGAAAATCACAATCCACACCATGGTCAAAGGCGCCCTTGACGATTCCGCCCACTTGCACGTCGCAGGCATGATTATGCAAGCCATCAGCAATGTGCGCGTCACCACCCACAAGACGCGTAAAAACGTTGCAGGCTTTGGACTCCGAGCAGGACAGTATGTTTCTGTTACTGCCGAGTTGAGGGGAGAGGATATGCATCATTTCATGGCAAAGGTTATTGATATCGTCATGCCCAAGATCAAGGAGTGGAAGGGTGTCAAGGGAAGTTCGGGAGACTCCAGTGGAAACTTGACGTTTGGATTTAGTGCAGAGGAGACTGCGCTGTTCCCAGAGGTGGAGGTCAATTATGACATGTAAGTTGCCTGCTTATCCTTTGGTGATGAGGAGTATGAAAGACTAATGTGTCGTTGTATAGGTATCCCCCAAAGATGATTCCTGGATTCCACGTCACGGTACATACTACTGCTACCAACGACAGAGATGGCAGACTCTTGCTCAGCTCCCTCGGTATCCCCTTCTACGGCAAGCAGATCAACTAAGAATGCAGTAAAGTTCTGCCTTTCCCCCCCCCCCCCCCCCCAAATATCGATTCGCACCATGCCGAAATCTTTGTACAAATATCCAAGGTGTTTAGGGGGTGTATTTTTTGGGGGGGGACAAAAGAGAAAGAAAAAAAAAAGCTAGGAAAGAGAGAAAATGATGCGTAGTATAGCTCCTTTTTTTTCCCTGCTAAACAGACCAGTTTGTGTAACAATATTTGAATTGTCAATTTTTCTTGGTCTTGTTATGCCTTGGCTGTTTGAGTAGTAAAAACGTCCATGTCTGTCATTCAGGTTGTACGATATCGCTCAAAGATATCAAGTATTCAAATCGAAAATATCCTCCTCTCAATCAGGAAAGTCGAAGGGTCAAACGATTTCGAAAAGATCCATTCCAAACATAAACGCCATGCTTTCATTAGACCATTTCTCCCCAATCATGAGCGAAAAAATCCAGAAGAAGAAAAAAAACAGACTATACACACAAATATTTCATCCACTATACAATCCATCGCCTTTTCCCCCCAGCAAAAAAATCTCCATGTCTTCAACGAACAGCCTCCTCTTCATCAGGAACCTCTTCAAGCGTTCCACTTCTCGATCTCCTGCCTCCATGAAACATGTCACTCAATGTAGCACTAAGACTTCTATCTCTAGCTCTGGAAGATCCAGGTCTTTGTAATGGTGTACTTGTGCTTCTCTGTAATGGTGCACTGGTGCCTTCGTGCAATGCCTCCATGGCTTCTGTGCGTGAGCCTCTGCCAGAAGTCCTGCGACGGCCTCCAAGTGATGGCGAAGTGTCTACAATGCCTTTACGCAGACTATCTGCCACAATGGCTGACAGGGAAGATGAAAGTGGGTTCGTGAGTGGGCCGGGCAGGATTTGCGTCAATGTGTTTAAGCGGCCAGCGGCCTGCGTTGCTTCGCCAATCTCGATGTGGCGGTATCGTTGCTGGGAGGGCGACAAGGTGTTTGGGCTGTCGATAGAAGGACTACTGATGCCTCGGTTCGGTGTAGTGGGTCGTCGCGGGCTCAGCTTTTGGGAGGCGATTGTGGGGAGCACTGGGGCGGATGTTGTGGCATGCATGGGTGGAGGATTTTGTAGTCGTTGCTCGGCAGCCACGCTGGCGTTCGAGCGAGGGTGGATTGAGGAAATGTTGGCGGGCTGAGGCAGCGTCCAGGGGTTGTCATTCAAGGGTGATGAGGCTTCAAAGCTGAAGGGTTGTGTCGGGGCGTCATCAGAGGTGATGACAAAAGACGGTGCCGCTGAGCGGGCAGAGTGAGACGACTTTGGAGGTCGCAGCGAGCCACGACGCGCATCGCTGTCAGGCACTTCGCGGATCTCTGGTTGCTGATGTTCCTCGTCAAGCAGATCGATTGCGTCCCCGTCTTCTGAGCCCTCCTCTTCATCCTGCTGCCTACGCTTTCCACGTCCTGAAGTGATGAGCCAGACACCTGAGAATGTCAAGGCGCATCCTGCGAAGAATTTGATGGCGTCATCGGTGGTGGTTCTTTCGAAGTCGCGGTAGAGGATGGCGCTTCCTACAATGACCGACAGGGTGAAAATGACGAATTGGACAGGGATGACCTGTGTCGAGTCGAAGTGCTGGAGAGCGCGGTTGAGGTACTTGATCTGCAGGATGGCGGTAGACACGAGGACTGCGACCAGGAGATAGGTGATCGGGAAGGTAACGACGTGCCAGATGGTGTTGGAGAGCAGCGAAGCGACGCCTTTCGTGGACAGCGCTGTGTAGCCACCTGTAATTGAACGTTAGTCAGGCGCATCTTGTGCCACAGTCGAGAAGCACTTACCAAACAAACCTACGAGCCCAAGGTCGATGAGAACGGACTTGTGCCCATACTTTGAGCTCAAAGACATCAGGACTAGCATCAAGAAGACAGTTATGCCAAAGTATGTCTTGAACTCCCATGCTGAGATCAACTCCCAGATCTTGTTGGGGCCCAGCTTGGGGTTGTTGTCGCTGGCACTGAGCACGACCGTGACACAACCACCCACAGCCACTATGACACCGAATGCATCTCTTATCCTGAACTGCTCGTGCAGCAACAGAGGCGCGATCAAGCAATTCGACACCAAGGCCACAACACCAAGAGGCGAGACGACGGAGGCTGGCGCAAAGCCGTAGGCGAGAAAGTTTCCAGCCTCGCCGACTGTCATGAGAGCTATGCCGAGCCACCAGATGCGAGACTTGAGATAGGACTTTGGCCGCGTAGCAGACGAGTCCTTGTTCGGGCGAATCGTCGACTCGGATGACGACGATGCAGACGAGGGAAGCAGCGGATCGGACTCTGAAGGCTCGGCATGACTGCCTTTGCCATTCAGATTCTGCCTCAGTCTTTCCTCTGCTATCCGCTCCTGCTGGGAGTCGCGGTTGCTGCTGCGTTTAATCCTTTTCCTCTCTTGCTCGTCTTGCTGGTATTGGCGATTGAGTCGTATATGCGCATATCGTTGTGTGTTCAAAGCGAACGAGATGAGGATGTTTCCAATAATCGCGGTGATTATGCCTATGAGGGACGACCATCCACCGTTGACCTTGTCCAGCGTTCCCAGATGGAGAAAGTCGAGTAGCATGACGGCGTTAAGGTCGGAGAGGCTCCGGACCTGTAAAAAGGAAGAAAGAGGCCTGCGCTTTGTCGTTGTAAATTTTACCGGTCGTCTCTAGCCATGACAGTATGCAGATAACTAGGCTTTCCAAGGCAGGGAGCACACAGTCAACGAGGAGAATATCGAGGACGGCTCCATCTTCACATGCATGCACGATGATGAGAAGGCACAAACTCAATTCACATCGGCGAATCATTTGCCGACCCAGCGCTCGTGCGACTCAAATCTCCGTCCCTGCCGACCACCAGATCAAAACCCTTTCTCCACCTACATCTTGCCTATCCATCACTCATGTACATCCCCTATTCATTCACCGTGGTATGAAGATCATCGTTGATACTGGAGAAATTTGAGAGACTGTGTCTCTTTTTGTTTGAATTATGCTATCTATCAAAGTGGGGTAACCAATTTCCTTGTTGATACAACCTCCTGAACCTCAAAAGCCGCCCCTGATTAGTAGAAGTGGGTATACCTGGACCTGCCAGAAAAGAAGATGACAACAGTGTCCGTCGCTATGCAATATGGTAATCAAAAAAGAGCCTCATCATCTTAGAGGATGAGGTAGGCCATGGCTGCTCCAACAACCGAGAGAAGACCGGTAGCAGCAGTGTTGGAAACACCAGCACCAGTCGACTGCTGGGCGGGTTGGCTCGAGGTGGCCGAAGAAGATGAAGAGGCGGAAGAGCTGTGGGATGAGCTCTTGGAAGCGGATGCAGATGTGGCACTGGCACTGATACTGCTGATGACGGACTTCAGGGTGGAAGCAGTCGAAGTCGAGTTGGAAGTGAGAACAACAGCGGCGCTGCCCTGGGCCTGAGCTTTTCTAACGCTGATGGACGAGGTAGGCGCAATGGTGTTGAGACTGTTCGAGATGACAGCGGTAGACTTGAGGCTGACGGTCTGAGAAGCGCTCTTGGAAGCTGAGCCGCTGCTGCCAGAGGCTGAGGATGATCCAGAGGAACCGGAAGAGGAGGACGAAGAAGAGCCGTCGACCAGCTTGATACTCTCGTAGCTGCCGCTTCTATCGGACCACTGGTACTCCTTGGCTGGGTTGTAGTTGGTGACACTGACGGTCTTGACGTACATGGTGAATGGGACCTTGGAGAAGTCTGTCTCGCCGCCGGCCCACTCGATAGTACCCTTGGCGTTGGTGTCCGGGTCTCCAGCAATCCAGTTGCCGAGCTTCAGACGCATAGGAGTTTGGGGGAAGTTCTTCCCGCCAACAGCGTCGGCGTACTTGAGAGTGCGGACGATCTGGCCATCGATGAGCCAGTCGACCTTGTCCTTGGTCCAGTCGAAGCTGTAGGTGTGCATGACTGTTTGAGGCGACGACACACTCTGGTAAGTGCCGCGGTCGTAAGAGGTAGTGTTGCCCTTGCCGAAGTAGTTGGTTTGAGCCTGGGTAGTATCACCGCCGAGCCATTCCCAGTCAATCTCGTCCAGGTCCTCGGACTGGAGAACCATACTGCTGACAATACCAGTACCAGGAGCTGCCTGCATGGTAACATCTACACGACCAAAGAAGATGTAGAAGTTGGATGAGATGGTGGGTGCCTGGTTCTTGCCGTTGATGACAAACTGGGCACCCTTGGTGCCATCGTAGGACAGTGTGGTTCCGGTGGCAGTGCTCCAGCTAGCAAGCGCTGACTTGCCCTCGGTGAAGTCGCAGGCAAAGCTAGCTGAGTTGAGTCCAACATCGTTAGGGCATGACTTCTCCATAGGGTTGCAGCTGGTGTAGGTCTGGGCGAAGGCAAGGGGAATGACAGCCAGGCCAGCGAGGGCGGAGTTTCTGGCGAAGTACATGTTGTCGGTGGTGTCGAAGTACGTCTCTCGATGGGAGGGTGAGAAGGAGTTCGGCCCGGTCTTTGATCTTTTGAGGTGTGAGGTGTGAATGTGATTGTTTGCAGGTGAGAGGAATGTGGGATGAAATTATGCACAGACAAACAGAATCGATATGTGATATGAGGAATGCTGTAACAAGGGGGAACGGCGTTCTATTATGTACTCGACCTCTGGCCAGCGCTAAAGACCATTCTCTCAGGGTGGACTATTCGTATTATAGCAAAGCACGGATTCTGATACTCACTAGCGTGCCTGCGCCACCTGCTGGCACCGTTTCGTCCGTTCGCTGGGCTGGCGGGTTGGTCGTCACCGTGGAAGATTTGGAGACGCCAGGTAGAGCAGCCCAGTGATTGATTTGGACTATATGCTGTCGCCTGTCTTATTGTGTCTCTCGACGTTATCAAGATGCGACGACTCTAGAGCCACTCAGGGTCGTCAAGGACCTGCAGGAAAGCGCTTGAGGTTTCACAGCAGACTGAGTAAAAGAGGTGGTTGGTCGCCCAGCTGCGCAGAACAGGGTCCCCAGCCCTGCCGTCACCCGGCAAACTGAACTCTAATCTACCGGCCACTCATCCGTAATCGATGTTCGTCGTTGCCCACGAGGCAACGCGCAATCGACATGACGACGAGCTGATAGTTGTTGAATATCTCTCAAGAACTGCCAGTAGTGCTCCTACCTCCCTTCGTGTCTCTCTTGCGTCTGTCTCAAGATTGCCGTTTCTCCAGCAGTTTCCTGTCTCTTTTTTGCTGTTGACCTAGAGATGCGCCCTGAACCGGTCCGGTTACTCGCATCCAGAGCTGGAGCCTCAGCCAAGACGGCAAGCTTTTTCTATTTTGAGCACCACTGACGACCTTGTCGACCTTCACGACTTTTACGAACAAGCTCTCTTGGTCTTCTTTCGCCTCAACTATCCGACTATTTTTGACATCCATGCTGCGGCAGACCGTTCGACCGTGACGTTGACTTTGCTCGTATACCACTCTCTACATCCAGCTCACAGGTGGCCAAGACGAGTAACCGCCCATGCCTCACGCCGAGCTGCCGGCGTCATTTTCTGGCCCCCATCCTAAGACAGCGCCGACACTTGCTGAGATGAACTTCCCGCTTTGAGAAATGAACAAATCATACAGAGCTGACGGCGGTGTGAGTCCGATTCAAGACATAGTGTCTCGTACGGTATACGGTGTCACTGAAGGGTTGCAACTGTAATACCCCTGACCCAGACGCAGCACTTCCAAGCCTATACAGAGGACGCGCAACTCTGCTGGGCTTGGAGAAAGTACCTCTTCCGCTCTTAACCTTGAAGACGCGTGCTATTTCCTCTAGCCCCTGAGAACCGCCGGGTCATCACCTCCCCTAAGCCTTGATCGATTTGACCAGATATCCCGCCGCGGCCCTCTCGAGTCCCCCATCTGGCACATTGGATAAGCGCTTTGAATCCTTTAGTGCCTGGAAGTGCAACAATCTCCACTTTATGACGCAAACAATCACTTCGGACTGCTCTGAATCATGATTGGGCTCCAAGCATGTTTCACTTGATTTGGACTTCCCCAACAGACTATGAACTGGTGTGTCTGTCCTCCCTGTGTGTTAAGCCTGTTCACTCTCAGTGATCAGACTAGAGCGCATAGTCGTATCTTGTGTCGACACATATAACGCAGGGAGTCGTTGAAAATATGTATCTCGGTACCATCGCTTCAGATTTATGAAGGTTCGTGCCTTGAGACGGCTGCAAGTGTGACGGTATTGGGCACACGATATGGCTATGAAACGAACACTTGATATTGAGCCTCGACAACGGAGAAGTCACTTGTCTTAGCCTGAGATCACTCGCCAGCGCGCCACATGGTAGGGACGCATACGCTCAACAGTGGTATATTGGTTCTCGAGTACCACTCTTCGGATTTCATTCTGGTTCAAGCCCTCACGCAACGTAGCTGGATGTTTAGCCAGCGTTCGTTTGCTTATCATCGAGCCACGTGCTTAAGATAGTGAAGGCGATGGATGATACACAAGGTATATGAGGTATTTCACTGCATTTATCTACCCATGCCAGACCCGCAGCTATTGTAGCACTGTCTACTGCCACTAATGTCAGAGAGATGCAGGTTTCAAGCCCCTAATTGTGCTTCACATTTCTGCACCCTCGCTGACAGCAGCTGAAAACGGTGGAGGCAGCAAGACAAGCCGTGCAATGCAGTTCGTTGCAAATCCAGTATGGCGTTTTATGAGCGGTTAGCTGGAGTCCACTCCAAGCGAACACGTCAGTCAGACAAGGATGGACAAGCATGAACGGTGCTGCCTCTGAACGAACTCGATGAAACACAACTCTCCAACATTCGGTGATATGATCTATCATCATGCTCTTCTGGCCTCGCAAGGTATCCTCACTACGCAGATATTTACTACGAGCCCATTATCGCCGACTCAACAAATGAGGTCAGCCTCTCGTTTTCTCGAGAAATAGAAGCACAAATATGACATCGGCAGCCGGAAATGCGCAAGACTTGATATAAGCTCGACAGTCTTGAGCTTGTCCAATGCTTCACTAGGCAAGTAGCTATACCTCTATAATACTAGACTAGATACTCTCGGTAAGGATAAATTCTAGCTAAATCATCTTTACACGTCTGCCTCCAGCAACATGCACAAAGTAATGTATACAGCCATTATATTGACGTAATTTACACTGGTGCAGAACAACAAGGATTAGGTGGGAAACTGTGCAGCTCCCGAGTGGCGCGCGACTATTATTGGCTTGACGAGCTCACGTTTGATCAGCTTGCTTGACACCTCCACCTCACTGCTTCCATGAACTTGCAGACTTATATTCCAACACTTTAATCGTTCGCAGGTCATATTTACTGACACTACTGAGCAGTCAATACAGTGAGCCGATCTCATCAACATGTGTAACCCAGAGCGCATAATCATTAGAGCGTGTGTCACCGACATTCCCGGTGTCTCCGAAGTTCGACCTTGGACGCTTGCAAAGCTGTTCCTCAAACACGAACGTGGACGTTATCTCGACAAGCAAAACGACTTCATTCATGGTTTGCCTGGATTCGATGTTCTAGACGAAAACCGCAAGATCAAGAGATGGTGTATGGTCGATCTCAATATGTCTGGTAGTCCCGATGGCGAAGCGTCTTCTGTGCCTCATGGAGTATATCTGGCGACCAGAACAGATGAAGGATGGTAAGAGTGATGCTGCGGCTCCAGGAAGGTCAGTAGCTGACATGTAAGGGTGTTTGAATTGCACAGCACATGGGAGGACAAAGCCAAAATCTTCACTCGACAGTATAGCTGGAGAGGTACCAAGGAAACATCGCAAGGAAGCGTTTCAATTCTCAGTAAGGAAGGGTGCGAGACTTAGGTGAGAGAAGCAAAAAGAAAGGAAGGACAAAACATACAGCAGCAGGGATTCCCACGTGGTCACCCACCGTAGTACTAATCTGCCGTTCAACTGCTTATGTATGGCAGAGCGGACGGGATGCCCAGTTTTCAGCTGACTGTGGCCGTATGTGCTTGAATTTGCTATTGTATTCCAATATAACCAATCTAGAATTGTAACGATATGCAGCGAGATTTTGCATCACAGCACTTGGTTCAAGTATAAGCCGACTCCCAGTCCTTGAGGTGTGCGCCACCAAGTACAAGACGACTCTCATATCTGAATGATGGGCACGCAACAAAAGCAGACAAGAACCAGGTATCTCGATACACAATGCTCCATCGTCAGCCACCATAACACTCGGTCTCCATAACTTCCGAAATACCAAAGGATACCCTATTTTACCACATCCCTTCCTCTATAGAACCCCTCCATCTCCGCCCTCTGCTCCCTCCAAATCGCTTTGAGCGCTTTATCATGACTCGGATCCGTATCCCAATACTTAGCATGAAAACTCTTGGCTCCCCCTCTCCAATCCTTTTCCGTCGGCCAATTCACATTCCACCCATGCCAAAGCGGTTTCCAGGGCATGTTTCCCTGTCTTCTATGGGCGTAATTGATCAAACTCTGCTCTTGCATACCCATATCAAATCTTCCCGGTACAGCCAGGACGGAGAGATAGTATTTGAATAGAGCGATTGAGGGTGAGAAGACTGCGAAGCCAAAGTTCATATATGTGCCGTCGGTGGGTGGGGGGTAAGGGTGATCGTAGCCCCAGTAGTCAGTGTGAGCGGCCATCATGTAGGTTCTAGGCATTTGTGCTTCGTCTTCGAGTTGGTTGTTCGGATCTTGAAGTGTGTGTTGTATAATCGTGGCCTCGTCATAGAAGATCCCATCCAAGCGATCTGTGACCAGATGATCAGAGTCGATGTAGCAAATCTTTGCATATTGAGTCAATTCGAACAGTCGCAGCTTGGTCATCATGTCTTTCCAGCGCGAGTCGCCTGGTATAGCCCAGCCTGGCGAGATTCGAGAAACCTCGAAGATGATGGCGCCGTCTTTCTCTAGACGGGCGCGTTTGCGTGGGTGGGTTTCGTCTGTTACTACGACGACAAAGGGAATAGATGCATTTGTGCCTGCCGTGGGCGAGTGCATCAACTGATACCCCATTACGCGTGTAGAGACATAGTATCCATCATCATCGTCGTTTTCTGGTTTATTGGGGTCGATGCCACCTGTAAACGCACCAAGGAAGGTAACGAAAGCTACGTTGGGCGTATGTTTCTTGCGATCTGCAAGTGTGTCGTGGTGCTTCTGGTAGGCGTACGAGTTAGAGGGACCAGATCGAAACGAGAGTGTCATGATGCATGAGGCGAGGAAGAGAAGTGCAAACAGGCCGAGCACCTTGGGCGATGTAGCGCTGATTTTCGACATCGCTGGAAACACTCCAGCTCACGACTGACGACGGGAACTTCGAGGAGAGAGAGAGAGAGAGAGAGAGTATTGTTCCGCGTTGGAGGGGTTCGTTGATTGTGAAGCGTGGCCATTTCTGCTCGAAGCAAGGGTCAGTTTAAGCCAAGCTCCAGTGTACACCATCCCTTTGGGCCATCACAGCACAAATTGCTCCTCCTTTGTAAAGCCTACACTCAGCGACGAGAACATGGAAAATCGTAAGACGTAAATTGCAGAAGTGTAAGAAACTGTACAATGCTTATGTTGAACGCCCATGCGGGTATGCTTGAAGACGATGCTTCAACCCGAACCCTCAGGCCCCTTAAACGCCGGAAAAAGCCTTGCCCAATGCTGTTGTTACATGAAGTGTAGGGAGGAAATGCTTATTACACAAGTTGACCGGCGAGTCCGATGAACAGAGCCTGTGCCGCCAACTGGATGGTCCAGAGACCAACTTTCTTCAATCGTCGAGTGCGGGCTCCGTCGTCGACAATATCTCGGGCAAAGGCTTCGTATGTCTATTGCATGTTAGCTTCTAGCAGACCAAAATGACAGGATGATATCACTCACCTCTTTCGATAAATCGCCCAGCAAGCCGCTGTCGAATACAGTCCAGCTTCCATCGAATTCGCTGACTCGCTTGACCACGCGACAATTGATGGGGATGAAAGTTCGTTTGGAGTTGATGTATGCCACAATTGGACGGATCAGGGCGTTGTTGACATATGATAGATCCCTGGTGAAGATAGGAACAGCTGCTCGAACATCGTTCAAGTGAACGCGAAGATCCATGACTATAAAGCGCTTGTCTTCTTCATTCTCTTCGGATGCTTGCTCTGTGAATGCTTGGTTCTCGTCATGATGGTCGCTAGTGTCATGCTGATGTGTGGTGTGGAGGTAGTTGTGCGCGACAGTCGCTTCCATGCGGTCGTAGAAATCGGACATGACCTTCGCTATTGAGCCATCTTGGTCTGCTGGGAACATGATGTCGGCAACAATGTCAACATTTCCTTCATGAATCCAGGAAAAGGGGCCTTCAACACCCCGATTCAAATGGTCGATGTTCAAACCATCTATACGTAACCGACTGTGTTTCTTCCAAGCAGAGTGATCACCATCTTCCTCGCTGATGCTCAGCCCAGTGTGGCTATGCGTTTGACGAGGGTGGATGGTGAAAAGGGAGTCGTCGAAGGATCCGGAAATCATGTTGGCAGACATCAGGTCGTAGAAGAGCCACTGCTTGCGGAAGCGTGGAAGGTCGCAAGAAAATAGCGACACGGAGAAGGGGCGGAAGTCATTTGGCTGATAGACAGTAAGAAGAACATCTGACACCTTGAATGAATCGATCTCAAAGTCTCCAGTGGTGTGTTCGTGTCTGTAAGACTTCGGGTCGATGGTGGGATCACCAGGCAATATTGAAGTACGATCGACTACTCCCCGTACGCCTTTGATTTCAACGTCCCTGAGCAATCCCTTGCCGTTGAACCACTTGGTGAACGATAGAGTGACGTTGACGGTATCTATCGAGACCTCATACTGAGTGTAGTTAGTGTCCTCGTCTTGCTGTTCTTTGCCAACGGGCTTGCCGGTAGATGCGGCGGCTGCAGCGGCTGCGGCAGCACTTGCAGACGAGCCCTTGGTTACGTTTGAACTACCCTGGCCTGGGCGTCTTGACACGAAGACATTCTTGAAAGAGATGACACCATCGTTCCATCGGGGGACAATGGCAGATTCGAAGACAACCTTGACACCAGATGATTGAGTCAAGTAGTTGCCGACCCAGCCGGCCAACGACTCCTGGGCGAAGACTGTGTTCATGAAGAAGATGGCGAGCGAGACGAAAGTGGTCGTACCGAGTATGATCCACAGTATATGGCCGAACAGGATCCACGAGACAAAGGCACTGATATCGTCGGTGTTGAAGGGACGGGCGCTTCTGATGGAAAACCACTTGAAGCGGATACCGAGTCTTTGCCAGAAACTCGTGGCCGCAGCCAAAAGCTCTTCCTTTGTTGGGCGGTGCAAGTGCGGCAGACGATCCATGAGATGGTAGTTGTGCTTCTGGCCTTCGGGAGAGGCGTCTTGTGGTTTCGCAGGTGGGGGCTGCTCGTGTGACTTGTCTTGTTTGGCCTCGTTCGGTGAGTGGGATGAGTGAGCATCATCACTTTTGGACCTGTAGGTAGAGGTAGAGGTATGGAAGGTCTCTTCTAGGTGTCGGTGCCGTAGGGTCGAAGGGAAGGAGTTGTTGCGTGATGTATGTGAGTGTCGCTTCAGTGCTTGCGCACACGTTTGAGAGATGATGCGCGCAGGAGTCGTAGGTCGCACGCAAGGAATAGTAGGGCGGATGCCAACAGAGTGCCCAGTCTCGAGCGACGTGCTATACAATCGCGTCAGAGAGGCTGGACCCGACGGGGCAGAGGTTTCGGCGACGCGCCATAGCCGGCTCGAGTTGGGAGTCGCTGTCGCTATCGCTGTCGACACGGCGCTCGACCGACCTGCAAAGATGGCGGCGAAGGCTTTGCGAGTTACATAGTGACCCATCGTCTACTCGCTGCTACCGACGCAGCATTGTTGAAAGTGCCTCGATCGAATCCAAGAAACAACGGCACACCCAGCCATCGTACGAAAATCGTCATAGAAAATCTTGCTTGGCACTTTCACATGCATGTGAGCACGGACACTATTTGACCTTTGTTGACAGCCCTCTGTTTCCTTGTACAGTCCGAGTCGTGCTATATATATATGTCCTGGACGCTATACGGTGTTGTTAAGCTATGATAGCAGACACTGTATAGGGTGTCCGGCTTTCTGTACATTATCATTGTCGGAGCACGATATTTCTGGCTGTGATGTATTCTGGCATCCGCGGCGTCTTCCACCAGAAGAACATTAGGACAGCAAACACATGCCTATATCGCCACAACAACGACCGTGACCTACTTCGAAGACTACATGGTATCTTCTCTACCATCTTGGGTCTATGCTAACAAGAATTCACAATATCATCTGTACTTTGGGACGCGAATCACCGATTCAAGATCGAGACAGGGTCGTACCATTGACAGAGTCTGGCTTAGTAAGCTGACAAGCACAGGCCAGCTTCACTTTCTCACCTAAATCTCTTCACCATCTCTCGACTCTTCTTTTCTCCTTCATGAACAACGCAAGCGCGAAAAGCGCATAACACTGACGTTAAAAGCATTTTCGATTTGAGACGCCTCTTCGTGATGGCTCCATGAAAACGAAAACCGTCTGTTCAGTGGAGAATAGAGTAGTATAGGGTTATGGGTGACGTTCTCTCCTGCTTTCGGGCTCATGGAGGGAAGGTCAATGACCTTTCGCACATTCTTCCTTTGTAGAAAGGGAAATTTTATCTGTCGATCTCGAATACCTTGTGCCCTATATGCATGACCGTGTCTTGATGGAGATACGGGCAGTGAAAAGTCAAATGGCTCTTCTTGAGACAACTCATTAGTCATGACTCATGACTTTTGGATTGCTTTTGGATTGCACTGGGACGCATGCACGGCGACTCAGCCTCGTAGATCGTGTATTCTTATCACTGATCGGCTGCGGGAGCTGTGAGTTCGGAACACGCTAAACCACGGTCCTCAAATCGATCTAGGAACTCTACGCCGTTCGGCAAGGGTCTGTTCGGCTCAAGAGTTGACGCCGGCATGTTCGCGAACGTGGTAATTACCACTCCGGGCGTTCTCGCAGTGCTCCGCTAGCCACTGTCAAGGTGCATCGCGCCGAAGACGACTCGTCGGTCCCGAGCACAAGCACTTTGGACCTTCAACATGGCTGTGTTCGGACATGAATTCGATGACTATCAACGAATGCTCACAGAACCTGATTCTGCAGGAGATAAGAAATATCACAATGTTCACATAAGGTTTTGATCGAATCTCAATCATACGGCTACACCATATTAGTAATCCGTCGGATGTCTGTATACGAAGTAGCTTTGAAAAGTTCGGAGAGCTCATGGTTAGCCAGCGTAAAATCCTGTAGACTTTTCAGCAAAGAGCATGGCTAAACTCAAATGACGTTTCAGACGCCAACCGTTATTCGAACTTACAGGCGAGTGCAGGCAAGCAGCGGGCTGTGGCACGCAGACCTCAACCAAAAAGACATCTACTCGCAAACAAGCCTTGATGTGTAGAGCCGACCTGGATGCCGCCCTGGATGGCGCTTTCCAGATCTCTACAATGGTCGAAATCATTCATACACTCGGGTCCTTTGCCCTACGACAATCCGTCCGCGGATTGATGCCCTATTGCATGGCTAGATTATTGGTCGACGGTACTTTAGGACCCGTGACTATCTGTGAGCCCTGACCGGCAATCTCCCTCTCGCCATAGCATCCTCCTACTGCCACTGGAACTTTGAGGGTCCCGTCGATCTGGAACCCGGGGTGTGCGCGTGGGTTCTGCCTCGTCGTCATGACCTCTTGCTACAAAGTCTACTCCTCCAATTCGAGCATTTGCAAGTACCCTGGTACCCACGTTTGGAAGCATGATCCTTCAAATCCAGGTACACAACCTTACGTGTTATACGAAACATGCTATTAATCACTCAACAGCTGTCTGTGTTCAGCAACATATCGCTTCGTCGAGCCATCAGTAGTGAGTGATACTGATGTGGAGAGCCTTTGCAAAGTTCCTTAAAAGGAACCGTATAACCCCGGGCCTTCGGGGCAGACGAGATTTTGATCTTGTTCTCTCCGGGCCGAAAACCACACCTTGTTTTACTTTTGGTTATGCCCTACGCGGACGTTTCAGCCTCGTGGATGCGCAAGTCCAGCCCGCAATGGATGAATATGTGCCACGTACAACCAGGGCATAGTTGGTCATGACTTGGGAGGCTTCTTACACCCTAGCACCTCTGTCGAACTCTGTGTCCCGATACTTCGTACGCAAGTAGATCTTCAGTATGATTGGTTCATAGGGCCTCTCATCTGTGTTTTCAGTTTGGACAAAAGGCGAGCATGGTCGCTCTCTTGGCTCGAGGAAATGATGGAACAAACATGTACATATTCTGATACCACCCCAACTTGGCCTGCGCTATTTTGGTTTTCTCTTTGTTAATCGAATCCTGCACAATGAGGACCTTTCTATCGGACGACTTCAAGTTGCAGGAGGTGACTCGAGATGACTTGACTATTGCTAGTCTATGCTGGGGGTAAGCAATGTAGTAACGTGTTGATCATGAATCAATTCTGACTCGTTGACAGCTTCACGCTCGGCTTTGGTTTCTTGACAACATGGAAGGCTTTGAAGCAGTCCTCAGCCATGTACCAGCGTTATGGCCTTGGTAGGCTCAGCAATGCGTATGTGTGGATGATCTGGGCAGAGATCTTGGTTTGCCTCTCCTTCAGCATCATCTGTTGGTTGTACCTCAGAGGAATCGTTGCTCCAAGGTAAGGAGACGAACACGATAGTTAGCCGATCACTATATTGACTCGCTGCTAGTTTTGCGTTCTACTTTAGTGTCTTGACACTATGGGCTCTACAAGTACAGTTTCTCCTACAGATTATCATCAACCGTGTTGGTGTTCTTATGCTGGACCGAAAGAGAGCGAAGAAGCTCAAATACGGCGTTGCCATACTTATCACGCTCATAAACATCTCGGTCTACTGTATCTGGATCCCGGCAAGGCTTCAGAGATCTCACGCATACATCAAGATCAACGACGTCTGGGACCGCTGCGAGAAAGTCATCTACCTCATTGTGGACGCTCTTTTAAATTGGTACTTTGTCCGAGTTGTCCGCCGGAATCTCGTCAAGCCTGGCTTGAAGAAATACGAGAGTCTAGTCAGATTCAATCTGTACATCATTGGGTTCTCTCTAGCCATGGACGTTCTCATCATCGCAATGATGTCTCTTAAGAACTCATTCGTTTACAGTAAGTCAGCTGTCCTCGTAATGTGACAAGACCACGAAAGCTGACAAACACTAGTGCAATTCCATCCATTGGCTTACATTGTGAAGCTCAATATTGAGATGACAATGTCAGAGCTTATTTCTAAGGTTGCGAGAGCTCAGAACAATCCACACGGCGCTGTGATGCCAAGTACAAGCACTGGAGATCGAACAGGAGGAAGATCTCGCATGACCAGAACGGAAGACAAGACCCTGACCCAATCAAAGATTCATGCTTTCACTGGTCGTGCAGAAGACATGGAAATGGGTATCCTCGAGGACTCAGGTCCACCGCACAACAACCTCCATACGCAGATCGAAGCAGACGGTTGCTCGACCGATGGCTCTGAACGTGACGACGACTCCATCAACAAGGCTGCTGGTTTCGGAATCCGAAGAAAGCAAGAGTTCCACGTCCGAGTCGAGCATGCTACGCCGTCACCAGATGCCGATACGGACAGGCGCTTACACGATGCGAATATCGAGTCTTCTGGAGGTGGAGCAGACAAGAAGAATGCACAATGGGGATCGTATTAGAGCCACAGCATAACTTTCATAATTGGGTTCTTGGTAATATTGGTACCAGACCATCTCACACGGGCAGTCAGCATTTTTTTCCTATGTCAGACCCACAGTATACTCAAATCAGGAACATATAGGGAAGTAGACACATGCATCATGGGAATCAACGACGCAAAGTCATCTTCTAATAAATTTTATGCTGAGCTAATGAGCACGCGATCATTTCTCGACACCGCATAAGGATGGCAGCGCTCGAAATCACCCAAAATGGCCGGCCAGATTCTCGGGCCAAGAAACCGACGCCGTGCTGATTATTGGTTGGGATAAACTCCGGTTCCTTCGAGATAAACCAGGTGCTTGAATGTGGCTTGTCACTGGCTGAAGATCTGCTGCACAACGGCACAAATCTGGGGATAAGCTCTCACGGACTCGACCGATGTGTATGTCGTGATTTTGGGAAGCGGGTGGATGTGGATGGAATTGGCCGCCAAACTGCCAGTTTGCCAAAGTTTGGCTCCAGAGCTGGAGAACAACCACCGCGTCGAGACATACCAACTGTTCGTCCGACCTCCCCCACAAACCCTCCCCCTCGATTTCACCCCACCACGAGGCAGCATCATGCCTATCATTGACACTGGCAAAGATCTGTCGGCCCTCTTCACGAAACAGGTGAAGGAGACGCCTGATGCAGTTGCTCTAGAGGACGAGTCAAACACATATTCGTATGCCGAGCTTGACCAAATCGTTGAGGCTCTTTCTCAACGCCTCCGCAACTACGGCGTCAGTCGAGACACACTTGTTGGTGTATTACTTCCTCGCAGTGCTGACTATGTAATTGCCTGTCTTGCTTCGCTGCGTGCTGGAGGAGCTTTCCTTGTACTGGAGCTCGCATACCCTCCGGACCTATTGGCCGACGTCATTGACGACGCTAAGCCGGCTGTTATCATCACCCACACATCTGAGGTCGGCAAGATCCAACAAGGCGTCCCAGTCCTTGTCCTCGACGATGAAGCACAGGAAGTCAATGGCGATCACAAAGAGCCAGCACCGTTACCTGCCGACGATGATCTTGAACGTCTTGCTTTCGTTGCTTACTCCTCAGGTACCACTGGAAAGCCCAAGGGTATCGCAAACCCACATAGAGCACCTGTACTCTCATATGACTTGAGATTCGCTGTCTCGGACCAGCAGCCTGGAGACCGTGTGGCTTGCAACGTCTTTTTCATCTGGGAAATCCTGCGTCCCCTGCTTCGTGGAGCCACTGTCGTTGCTGTCCCTGATGAGGTCAGCTATGATCCCCATGCTCTTGTTGAACTGCTTGCAACCAAGAAGATCACCGAGACTCTCATGACTCCTACTCTTTTGGCTACGATCCTGTCGCGTCACCCTGATATCTCAAAGCGTCTTCCCGATCTTCGTGTCCTGTGGCTCAATGGTGAAGTTGTCACTACCGACCTTGCCCGCAACGCCCTCAAAGCCCTACCCAAAGTACGCCTGCTCAACTGTTACAGTGCTTGTGAAACGCATGAGATTGCCTGTGGCAACATCGGAGAGATGCTTGGACACCTCGATGAGGCAGCCCTTTACTGCCCGGTCGGCCCGTCCCTGGATCCTGAGCATACATACATTGTCGACGATCTTGGCAATAAAGTTGAGGATGGTGTTAGTGGAGAGCTGTTCTTTGGTGGTAAACTTCTGGCTCGTGGTTACCTCAACCTCCCAGAGACTACCGCCAAGGCCTTCCTCAGAGATGAATACGACTCGACTGAAGGTGCCCTAATGTACAGAACTGGAGATCTTGCACGTAAGCTTCCTTCTGGCCTCCTTGAGATTACTGGCCGCGTTGGAGCTATGATCAAGCTCCGTGGTTACTCTGTCGTTCCCGCAAAGGTTGAGAACTCCATCGTCACTCACCTTGCTGTCAGCCAGTGTGCAGTGATTGCTCACGGAGAAGGTCTCGATAGGCAGTTGGTGGCCTATATTGTGCGCGATAAGGAGTCTAAGGATCGCACTTTCCCGGAAATTATTGAATCTGGACACAGTCCTGAAGCTCGTAAGGCGCTCTCGGAATCGTTGGCACAGTACATGCTTCCCTCATTATGGGTTGTGCTCGAGGAGCTGCCATTGCACGAAGTTTCTGGAAAGGTTGACCTCAAGAAGTTGCCAGCACCCGTCACAACCCCACCAAACGGTGCCAATGGAACCAAGGCTGCTCAAGCCCAGGACCCCATCGGCGTCAACGACGTGGCCGAGGTTTGGTCTGCTACGCTTAACATGCCTCGCAGCCTGATCTCTTCGGCAAGCAACTTCTTTGATCTGGGTGGTCATTCACTCTCGCTCGCAGACCTCGCCGCAAAATTCTCAAGATCGTTCGGCTTCCGTGTTCCTGTCGCTCGCCTTGCAGACCCTCCTACTCTTGCTGGTCATGTTGAGACAGTTCGCGCTGTCAGGGATGGACATGCTGCTGCAGTTCAAGCAGATCTTCCTGCTGTGCTGCGCAAGGACTCCACCCTTGACAACGACATCCAGGCCAACGGAGCCAAGTTCTGCCCTCTCAATAAAGCCAACACTGTGCTTTTGACTGGTGCGACTGGTTTCTTGGGTGCTTTCCTCCTGAACGATCTTCTCGAAAACACGTCAGCTCAAATCATCTGTCTGGTTCGCTTCAACAACCCTGAAGGCAGTGACTACTCTGCTGGTATTGCAAGACTGAGAAGACATCTTCTCGACTTGGGTTTGTGGCGTGATTCGATCATGGAACGTGTTGAAATCCTGCCTGGTAACCTCTCGCGCGAACGTCTAGGTCTTGATCAGAATCTCTGGAACGACATGGTCTCTAGAGTTCAAGTCATTGTCCATGCCGGTGCCACTGTCAACTTGATCTACCCTTATGCTTCGCTGCGTGGCGCCAACATTGAAGGTACTAGAGAAATCTTGCGACTGGCTTCTCAGAGCGGTGCTACCGTTCAGTATGTTTCGACAAACGGCGTCTTGCCTCCTTCCAAGCACGGCTGGCCCGAGTTCGCCATGCTTGACGTTGACTCTGTCCAAGACAAGCTCCTCGATGGCTATGGCCAGACGAAGTGGGTCGCGGAACAGCTTGTCCACGAAGCTAGTCGCCGTGGTCTGCCTGTAAAGATCCTGCGTGCTGGTACTATCAGTGGCCACAGTTTGACTGGCTCTGCCAACGCTTGGGATTTGGTATCTGCTCTGATAGTCGAGTCAATCCACCTTGGCTTCCACCCCGATGTCGAGGGCTGGCGTGCTGAGATGACGCCTGTTGACTTTGTTAGCAAGGCCATCATCCATCTGGCCAACCAGTCACAAGCCAAGCAGCTGGTCTTCCATCTTGGCGACCCTACTCCTGTCGACATGAGCTCTGTCTTCCAGGACCTTGAGAAGCTTGGCTATCCCACTAAGCCCCTTGACTGGGAGGAGTGGGTCACCATGTGGACCGAGAAGAGAGGAAACGGTAGAGGCGGTGACGGTAACTTCACAGTGGATATTCTCCGCAGTGGCATGCCTAGCGTTGAGTTCCTCAGAGGTATCGTTGTTCTCAATAACGAAGCCACGAGACCTTTCCGCTCTGTTGTTGAGCGTCCCAAGGTCGATTCTGTCCTGCTCGAGACATACACTCGCCACTGGTTTGCCAGAGGATGGCTGCCTAGCCCTCCTTCGGGCCTCAGCTCTCTTGGTGGTGTCGCACACATGCCTCGAAGAGGTCCCCTGAGTGGGCGTGTCGCTATTGTCACTGGTGCTTCGTCGGGAATCGGTGCTGCTGTTGCCGTTGCCCTCGCAAGAGAAGGTTGCCATATCGCTCTTGCTGCTCGTCGCACGGATGCCCTTGAGGCTCTAAAGCGCAGACTCACTGTCCGTGAGGGCAAAGTCATCGTTCGTCAAACCGATGTCACAAACCGCACGCAGGTAGAAGCCCTGGTGCAGGCCACTGAGGAAGAGCTGGGCCCTGTCGATATCCTCGTCTCATGCGCTGGCGTCATGTACTTCACCATGATGGCTAATGCCAAGGTCGACGAATGGGAGCAAACCGTCGACGTCAACTGCAAGGGTCTGCTGAACTGCCTTTCCTCCACCGTGCCTGGTATGCTTTCCCGCGGCGCAGGCCACATCGTCGCCATCTCCTCCGACGCCGGCCGAAAGTGCTTCCCTGGTCTTGGTGTTTACTCAGCCAGTAAAGTCTTTGTTGAGTTTACACTCCAAGCTCTGCGTCTTGAGACTGCAGGAAAGGGTCTCCGCGTCACTGGCGTTCAGCCTGGAAACACCCAGACCGACCTTCTTACCATGTCTAGTGATAAGGAGGCTGTGGAGAAGTATGGCGAGCCTTCTGGTGCCCAGATCTTGGACCCTGAGGATGTCGCCAATTCGATTGTTTATGCACTCAAGCAGCCCGCCCATGTTGCTGTCAATGAGATTCTGATCGAGCCACGTGATGAGCCCATCTAGAGTCGAACAACGGAGAACTAAAAGAAAAGAGGAAAAGGGTTATTTTGCATCATTTTGTTTGCTCATGCTGGAAGGCAATATTTGTTTTATTACGGTCGCTTCTAAACTACACATATATGGATTTCTGATTGCTTTGCTGTTGCAGGAGCTGGGATGTCTTTTTTCTTTGCTTTCTATTCGAAGTTGTAGCTTATAGTTTAGCAGTAACCAACGACAGTCTGGGGGGTTGCTCTTCTTGTTTTTCTGATCATCAGTGGTTTCACTGTTTCGATGTTTGCGACTAATCATCTGATAGGTTCTGGGCTGTATCCAGCCGCAACAAACAATTATTACTAACAATACTTTCGTGATGAGCTCGAGATTCTGACGGTAACATTTATCGTAAGTTTGCGCTCAATGCCAGAATTTTTCCTTCGAGTGCAATCGTATAGCACGCAAAAGGTGAGCCAAGTTCGATTAGCTAAAAAGCACAAGCAATGCACGAGAACGTCCTCAAATCTCGAAATTCCTTAAAGTCACGCACAGTGATTATGCGCCTCCTCCTTATGACTCTGCTCATGATCTCGTTCGTCGATTCAATATTTTCCTGTATTGTTTTTTTTCGCTATGAAAGGTTATTTGTGTGGAATACCACCAATGGCTCTAGACAAGAATACAGTTGTCCTACGAGACGGTCCTCTACTTACGTGCACGACGACGACTAGGCGTAGCAGGAACAGCAGCAGAAGTAATGGCATCCGTACGACCAGCTCTGGGTCTCAACCGCGACGTCATAATCTCTGGCTCTGCATTCAACACCTTAGCAGCAGCGGCAACAGCAGGGGTAGCATGTTCCTTGGTCTCGACTGCTGACGGGGGAGTGACTGCACGCTTCGAAGCACCCGAGTTTCTAGATCTTCTGGTGCGTTTCTTGGCGGGTTGTGCATCCTCTGTCTTGACTTCTTCGGCCTTGATGCTTGGGACCAGGGCTGCAGCGCCACGAGGTGCTGAGATTTCTTGCTTGATGGTAGTAGGGTCTTCGTTGTGAGGATTCATGGCGACGGGTTCGTCCCAGGTAGCTATACCATCTGAAGCTTCGCGTAAGAGGGATGGAGCAGCTTTATGCTTTTTGCCGGTCAAAGGATCCCATTCCCAACCTTCGCGTAGCCACATCCAGCGTAAGCATGCTCGTAGCTCTTTATCCAAAGGTATCACACGCTTCCACTCTGGCTCAAAGTCTGACTCGTTCGCGGTCTGTGAGGAAGGATTGTAGCCGGGTACACCTTCACCGTTATAGCCGTCAGCGACACCGCGGAACTTGTCGCGGCAGAAGATGCGCCAGCTGTCCCATGCGTAAGGGCCAGAGCCGTAGATATGTGCGATCTCCAGAGCACCTGCTTCAACGCAATCATCGACGTCTTCATCAACAGTGTCTTTGGGCTTGAGATGGCGGCCATTACCCTTGGAGGGATAATCCATGGTACGGAACAGCTTTCCCTTTTGCGGTGGCTGTTCAATCCACGTCTCTGCGATCTTGATGAGTTTTCTTGCCCGCTGGTTCTGGAAGCCCAGACTGTGAATCATCTCGCTAAGGTCACTGACATCAGCAGCAGCGAGATCCTGTGGCGTGGGGTATCTCTCCATGACTTTTTCGAAAATGGGTACGGCCGCTCTACCGGCTGTCTTGTTAAGGAACGTGACGGCGAGGAGCAGACGGTAAGGATCGTTGGCGAGTCTCTCCTGAATCAAGCCAAAGCGAGGTGCCGAGAGCTTGGGGAAGGGGACGGCTGACGTACCGGCAGGAACGCGCTGCTTCTTTGGTGAAGGGGTGAAGTGTTCGGAAGTTGCGCCTGTTGATTTGCGTGGCTTTCGCTTCTTGCTTTCCTTTTCCTTCTTTGCGCTTTCTGTGAGACCTTCGTCGTCGCTTGGTGCCCAGCCGAGAGAGGAAGGTGCGGATTCTGCTGATGATTCCTCGTCTTGGTCGGCCTCGTCGTCGATCTCAGGCTTGGGCTCTGCCTCTTCCTCATGTCCGTCCTTCATCTCGACGTCAACTTCAGGCTTGTCCTTCATCTCGACGTCTGGTTCGCCCAACTCGGGTGATAGTTGACCCAGTTGAGCCCTTGCAGACTCGGCGTTATACTCCTCCCTCAGGTCAGATTTGATCTCTAACAATCGTTGCTCAAAGCTGGCGTCTGCACGATCCAGTACCTCTTCAATCCTTTCACGCGCCAATTGCTCCAGCTCAACGATTGCCTTTCTAGCAGCCGCTGTCTTTGATTTATAGACCTTGTCTTCTCGGTCAACTTCTTTCAACAATTTCTCCAGAATGTCCTTGTTGTCTTCCACGCTACCGTCGCCGTCTTCTACCAAGAGTTGCCGAATTTGCTGAATTCTATGTTCGAAATTGTCGGTTTCTTCTTCCCAGGCGTCGAGGAAATCTTGCATGGAATTTGTAAAGGCTTCAGCAGGCTCTTCGGCGTCTGATACAGATGCAGATGGCTGAGTGGGATCTTCGAGCTCTGCGTCCTTGTTCTCAGACTCCTGAGCCTCCTCAGCCTCCTCGGCCTCCTCAGGCCCTTCAGATTGTTCGATAACCTCTGGAACTTCCTCGTCCTCTGAGTCTTGCTCGTCTTCCGAAGAAGAGCTTGCTTGCTCGTCGGCTTCTGGTAGATTCTCTGACACCTGATAGACTTCTGGTTGCGCTTCTAATTCAATGCTGTTGGATGGCTCCGTAAGTTCGGGACCTTCGTGGTTCTCACGATTGGCAGGCTCACTGGTTTGTTCTTCTTCGTCTCCAGCGGCAGCAGTAGCGGCTTGTTCTCCTCCTTCAGCAGCGACTTGTTCGTTTGTTTCGGTTGGCTGATATCCACCAAAGTCCATCAGCTCCTCAGGGCTGGGAATCTCGGGAAGAGGGCTACGGGCAGGCGCATCACGTGTTGAACTGTTTTCATGAAATGACTGAAACCCTACTGGTTTCTCGTTCTTGACCTCTTCGACCACACTCTCTGCTTCTTGTGCCGAAGGCTGCGAATCGTTGTATGCGATTGGAGAACTAGTATGTTGTTGGTCGTCAGTCATGACGACATCGATCGCCGGTGCGACAGGGTCGCCCTCTTCGTCTACAGCGCCAGACTCAGTGTCTACATCCATAGCAGAAGGCTCAGATTCAGATGCAATTGGTTGACTGATTAACTTTGGCTGCGACTGAGACTGTACAGGGCTCAAGTTGCGAGCCTGAACTGGTGCTGGCATCTCGTTGTCACTGTCGCTACTGCTGCTCGAATCATCATCATCATCATCGCTGCTATCGTCAAGGCCTGGCTTCTTACCAGAAGCGAACGCGGCAAACTCGGCAAAAGAGTCGTTTGCGGACTTCTTGGGCTTCGAGGAAGAAGTTGACCTGCTGGATGCGAAGGAGGACTGTGGCTTGGTGAAAGAATTCGAGAGTAAAGGTTTCGGGAACGAGGGTTGTGCGAGAGCTGATGTGAAAATTGTAGTTGAAGGTGTGGGCCTTGATAGCTCTGTCTTCTTGGTGACTGGACTGCTCTTCTTTTGTTCTTGTTGTTCAGGAGAGCTTGGTGCCTCTTCGGCCGAGGAAACGCTGGTCTCTCTTGTTGTAGGAGAGGGACTTTCTTCGTGAACGGCTTCTGAGGAAGACTCTCTCTGCATAGTATCAAGACCTGTGGGCTTGTTGGCCGCCTCGGAGGTAGGTTCCGCAATAAGATCCTCATCAGCCTGGCCACTCGCAGCCTGGTCTTGGACTGATTCCTCTTGTTCCTCATCGCTGGAAGGGTCCGCAGTTGCTGAAATTGTTGGCTTGCCTAATACAGGCAGAGTGGTGCGACGGACAAAGTCAGACATTGAGTTCTCCTTGGCTAATGATATACCGCCATTGTCGTCCTCATCAGAGGTGGTTGAGGAAGCGTCGTCAACTTGAGCCGAGTCATTCAAAGGAGCTGGGTCGATTACAGAAGTGGGTTTGGTCACGGAAGCAGTCTCGGGTGCGGCCTCAGCAGCCTTGACCTTGCGTCTGCGACTACGAGCCTTCTTGCTGCCCTCAACAGGTGCGACACTGTCGGTATCAGGAAGATTCGTAGATGCCTCCAACGGTTGCTCGGTATCCTCAGACTTCGACTTGGCCTTTGCAGACTTGTGCTTACTTCTCCTAACTTTCTTAGACTTAGGAATGGCCTGCACAGCAATTTCCAGCGGAGCAACTACCTCAGTGACCGAAGCAGCAGGCTCGGGACTCTCCATGTGCACATCCTCTTGCAAAGGTGTGGGCTGTGCCTTGCTATCAATCGTGGCTGGGACAGGCTCGCTCGAGAGGATTGGGTTGGCAGACTTCGAGGCCAATGGCACTTCTCCAGCTGCGACCTTGCTCAATAACATCTTTTGCTTCTCGCGTCGCTTCTGTCTCTTCTTCGAGCCTCCGACCTCCTCTGGCCCAGTCTTTGGCTTCTTGGATGCTTTTGGAGTTTCTTCCTCTCTCTTTCTCTTCTTCTCCTGCTTATCCTTTTGTGCCTTCTCTTTCTGCAACTTGGCTGTCTGCGCGGCGGATGCTTTAGGAGCCGGGGTGGGAGCAACGGGTGCGGTTTGAGCTAGAGGCGATGCGACCTTGACAGGTTGTTGTACGGGTTTGCCCTTCGGCTTTTGCTCCTTGGGCTCGACTTTCTTCTCTGCCTCGCGATATGGTCTTGAAGTAAGAGGAGTGGACGGGAGAGCTGGAGTGGTGGGAGGATTCAAGACCGGGACCTTCTTGACTTGGGCGCAAACATCCTTGAAGCTAAGGCCCTTGGCCTTCAGGTTCAGAGCCTCAAAGTACTTCTTTGTGATCTCGTCATCCAGAGCGTCAGGGTTCTGAGACGGCTTCTCGTTCAAACCAGCCACCTTGTCGAAGAAGGTAGCCTTCTGAGACGCGTCAAGGTCTTCGAGCACATCGTTGTATTCTTCCTGTTCCATATTTTGGAGAATCTCCTTTGTTTCCGAGCGGCTCGTGCCGGGCGTGACCTTCAATATGTGCAAGTATTGACTCGCAGCGGCATGATTGTCATGAATGATGCGTATGACTTTGGCCGCCGCTACAACGGGATCCTCTGGTCGCGAAGCCATGGCGAAAGTGATGTGGGAAATGTTGAATGCTGTAGAAGATATGCGCTCAAATCATGCTGCGTGTTTCGACCGAAAATGAGGTAGTTGGTCGAATGGTCAAAAAAATCTATGGATGAAATAAATCTGGTCGGGAGTTTCGCGTTTCACGCCGCCCCCACACTTGCCAAAGTTTGTCACACACACACAACTCAAGATAGACATGCACATTATATAGTTAGTCCTTTCATTTCCGCTGTCCTTCACAATGAGGGTATATGGTCTGGTTTGTCGGAAAATGCAATCTTTTGTCTAACACAACTCAAACGCCATGTTGCTAAACAAGAACATATTAAAGCATGCATTCAGTGCCTTACGCCTTGTGCAAATGCTTCTCGTACTCTCTATCCATTATCCACAAAGGAGATCCATTGCCGGGAAATCGAACTCGCTTCTCTTGTCGTTCATCATTTACATGAAGTCGCCGCTGTTTCAAGTCAGTGCCTTGTTCAAAGTCGGAAAAGGTATTCAGATAGACTTACTCATCGAGACCATCATCATCGTAGACAGTCGTGTCGGCATCGACGTTTCTACCACCTGCAAGACTGGTCTTGGTCTTGGCTGCCTTTGACTTCTTGCCTCCCTTGAGTGCTTCTTTCTCTTCTCTCATCTTCTCGTTGGAGAGGGTGGTCAATCCACTGGCAATCTTCTTGATCTGTTCGCTGGGAAGCTCCTTGACAATGTCCTTGGCGAACTCCTGCATGAACAGCGTGTACTGAGCCTTCTTGCTGTTTGCTACGAGAAGAGGAGAAAGGATCTCACGGAGCTTGGCAAACTGGTCCTTGGTAGTGGGATTGAACAAAGGCATGGCCGAGAGGTCGATGGCATTTCCGGGCTGCTTCTCGTCGGCAACGGTGATGGCCTTGGGGTTGCTGCGGGTGGCAGGAACACCGATACCCTCGAAGAGATCCTCGGCGTGCTTAAGGTCGGACTCCTTCTGTTCTCTGCGCAGTCTAGCCTTGCGCTCGGCTTCGTCCTCGTCATCCTCGCTGTCGAAGTCGGCGTCTTCCAGTCTCTTGCGCATGTTCTCTTGTCTTCTCTCCTCTATTCTCTGACTCTTGGACTTGTGGTTCTTCTTGGCCTCCTCTTCAGCCTTTGCCTTTGCCTCTGCGACCTTCTTTGCCTTTTCTCTCTCAACTTCCGAGTCTTCGGCGGCATCCCAGGAGTCGAGGACCTGCATGGGGTGTTAGTGATTGTTGGGCAGCAAGCGAGGCTGATGTCGCACTCACATCACCTTCCTCCTCCTCGTCGTCGAACTTGCTGCGACGGGCGATAATTTGAGGAGAGCCGGGAGCAGAGCCGCTAGACTCTTCGTCATCTGGGCAAGCAGTCAGTATCGTTGTACAAGAGTTGATCGGCACGCGCGCGAGATGAGAGCAATAGCATACCCCAAGCGCCTGCCATGATTGCGGGTTGTTAAAGGTAGTGGAGAGGCGACGGTAAGATAGGCTTCAGAAAGAGGCAGGACTTTGTCTCTGTTGCGACGCGAGAATGTGAAAGGTAAATATGAAAGTTGGTGGGATGACGGAGAGGAGGGGTGCCCAATTATTGTTCTCTCGAGAAAAAATATGTGCATTGTTATGACTGGCTTTATGCAAGCAGACGTGCACGAACGATGAGACGCCAAGGCCTGCGGCTCTGGGGAGATCGTAATACGTCGACAACAGCAGCGCCCAGCTTCATGTTGGAGGTCGTCGCAGCAATCAAGAAGCCAATCTCACATTAATTCCACTCCCGACTCTCCCGCTCTCACTCTCTCGCCGCAACTGCTTTCCCTTGCTTGACGTCTTTACGACTTTCTTTGCCTCTACCAGTGAAGCTTTCACCATCTTCAACTCGACGGGCCGTATAGCCCCAAAGGCCTCACGCTCCTACACAAGCTCCTGATCCCGCCAACGGATGAGGTAGCCGCCGGCACATCACCACCATGGCGCCTCTACCTATCAAGTTCACTGAGCTGCTACAGGTATCTCCTCTGCGTCTGTTCAATTGACCTCTGCTGACATTGTACGATAGCTCACATCGCTCAACATTGACGTTAGTCTATCCGCCGCCATCCTGCCCTCACCCATTCACTGACAGCATTCATCTAGCCCAAATCATTTGGTTTCAACTCTTGTGTAAGTCGTTCCCTTAGTGCTGTCATCACCTAGCAATCACTCACACACTGCACAGACATTAGAATCGGATCACTATGTCTGCGTCTGCGACTCTGCCTCGGGAGAGGTTGTTATTGTCAACCTCAAGAACAACAACAGTGTCGTCCGCCGCCCTATCAAGGCTGACAACGCCATCATGCACTGGAACAAGGACATCATCGCCCTACGTGCCCAGCAGCGCACTCTCCAAATCTTCGATCTCGGCGCAAAGGCAAAGCTCAAGTCGGCCACCATGAACGAGGACGTCGTCTTCTGGAAGTGGTACAGCGACAAGAGCTTGGGTCTGGTCACAGAGACTAGCGTCTACCACTGGGACATCTTCGACCCCAGCCAGGCTGCTCCCGTCAAGATGTTCGACCGCAATGCCAACTTGGGTTCCCAGATCATCAACTACAGAGTCAGCGATGACGAGAAGTGGATGGTTGTCGTCTCCATCTCGTCGCAACAAGGTCGCGTCGTCGGAAACATGCAGCTCTACTCGCGCGACCGTGGCATTAGTCAGGCCATCGAGGGTCACGCCGCTGCTTTCGGTACTATCCGCTTGGAGGGCGCTCCCGCAGACACAAAGGTCTTCACCTTCTGCAACCGTACCGCTGCAGGCGCAAAGCTTCACGTTGTCGAGATCGACCACCAGCAAAACAACCCCGTCTTCGCTAAGAAAGCCGTCGATGTCTACTTCCCGCAAGAAGCCGCCAACGACTTCCCTGTCTCGATGCAGGTTTCGGAGAAGTACAAGGTCATTTATTTGGTAACCAAGTACGGTTTCATCCACCTTTACGACCTGGAGACCGGCACTGTCATCTTCATGAACCGCATCTCGAGCGAGACTGTCTTCACCACATGTCCTGATGGCGAGTCTTCTGGTATTGTCGGTATTAACCGCAAGGGTCAAGTCCTGTCCGTCAGCCTTGACGAGAACACCGTTATTCCTTACCTTTTGCAGAGTCCCGAGAACGCCGAACTCGCCTACAAGCTAGCCTCCCGCGGCGGTCTCCCCGGTGCCGACCAGCTCTACCAGCAGCGTTTCGAACAGCTCTTGTCTTCCGGTCAATACGCCGACGCCGCAAAGACTGCTGCCAACTCTCCCAACGGTTTCCTTCGCACATCTCAAACCATCGAGCGCTTCAAGGCACTGCAGGCTCAACCTGGACAACTTTCTGTCATCCTTCAATATTTCGGTATGCTGCTTGACAAGGGCAAGCTCAACGAGCACGAAACTATCGAGTTGGCCAGACCCGTTCTGCAGCAGAACCGCAAGCACCTTCTTGAAAAATGGATGAGCGAGGGCAAGCTAGGATGCTCCGAGAGCCTTGGTGACATGGTCCGTCTGCATGACCTCAACCTGGCCATGCAGATCTACAAGGAAGCTGGATCCTCCCAAAAGGTTATCGCCGCGATGGCCGAGTCCGGCAACTTTGAGCAAATCATCCCATACTCCAAGGAGACCGGATACGCACCGGACTTCAACAATCTTCTTCAACACATCGTCAGAGTCAACCCTCAAAAGGGTGCAGAGTTTGCTACCGCTCTGGCCAAGGAGGATGCCAACCTCATCGACACTTCTCGCGTCCTCGACGTCTTCATGGCCCAGGGTATGATCCAAGAGGCTACAGCATTCGGCCTTGATGTACTGTCGGCAAACAGAGAAGAAGATGGTCCCCTGCAGACACGTCTGATTGAGTTGAACCTTATGAATGCTCCTCAAGTTGCGGACGCCATCCTCGGAAACGAGATGTTCACGCATTACGATCGTCCTCGCATTGCCACTCTCTGTGAGCAGGCTGGCTTGTACACAAGAGCTCTGGAACACTATGAGGATCCTGCTGCCATCAAGCGTGTCATTGTCCAGTCTGACAAGATTCCTGAGGAGTTCTTGATCAACTTCTTTGGCAAACTCACTCTTGAGCTGTCAATGGAGTGCTTGGATGAGATGTTGAAGGTCAACATTCGCCAGAATCTCGCCGCTGTCATAAACATCTCGAAGAAGTACTCTGACCTGTTTGGTCCCCACCGCATCATTGCTCTGCTCGAGAAGTACAGAACTGCCGAGGGTCTCTACTACTATCTCGGCGGTATCGTCAATTTGAGCGAGGATGAGGAGGTCACTTTCAAGTACATCGAAGCTGCTACCACGATGAACCAGATTCAAGAAGTCGAGCGTGTGTGCAGGGAGTCTAACTTTTATAACGCCGAGAAAGTTCGCAACTTCCTCAAGGAGGCCAAGCTGACTGAGCAACTTCCTCTGATCATTGTCTGCGACCGTTTCAACTTCGTCCACGACCTAGTTTTGTACCTTTACAAGAACCAGCACTTCAAGTCGATCGAGGTCTACGTTCAGCGTGTCAACCCTGGCAGAACTCCCGGGGTCATTGGTGGTCTACTTGATGTTGACTGTGATGAGAACATCATCAAGAACTTGTTGTCTTCGGTCGACTCAAGCGCCGTCCCTATCGATGAGCTCGTTAAGGAAGTGGAGAGCAGAAACCGCCTGAAGCTTCTGCTGCCTTTCCTAGAGGCTACCCTCCAGGCTGGCAACCAGCAGCAAGCCGTCTACAACGCCCTTGCCAAAATTTACATCGACAGCAACAACGATCCTGAGAAGTTCCTTAAGGAGAACGACATGTACGACACATTGAGCGTTGGTAAATACTGTGAGAAGCGCGACCCCAACCTCGCCTACATCGCCTACCGCAAGGGCCAGAACGACCTCGAACTTATCGCAATCACCAACGACAACGCTATGTTCAGAGCCCAGGCTCGTTACCTGCTCGAGCGTGAGGACCTGGAGATCTGGAACTACGTCCTTAGCTCGAACAACATTCATCGCCGTTCCCTCGTCGACCAGGTCATCGCTACCGCCGTCCCTGAGTCGCAAGACCCCGAGCGTGTTTCTATCGCCGTCAAGGCGTTCATCGACGCCGACATGCCTACTGAGCTGATCGAGCTCCTTGAGAAGATCATTCTCGAGCCATCTGCCTTCAGCGACAACGCTAACCTGCAGAACCTGCTTATGCTCACTGCTTGCAAGTCTGACCGCGCTCGTGTTGCCAACTACATCCAGAACCTCTCCGAGTACAGCCCCGAGGACATCGCCACTCAATGTATTGAGGTTGGTATGTACGAGGAGGCATTTGAGATCTACAAGAAGCACGGTAACCACACTGCTGCCACTGATGTTCTTGTTGACCATGTAAGTATTGAGACCCTGCCTATGCCCGCTCTTACTTTCTTCCTCCCCGCGCTCTAGAGCCGGCGAATCTAGCTGTCGCAATGCACAAACTATTTCGGAGATTGAGTGTGTACGATGAGAGTAGAGATTTGGTCCTCCTCTCAGTCGACACACTCATGATCTGAATCTGTTTCTGCATTCCGACAGCTTACTGAAGCCCTGATTGCGCTCCATGGAGATCAGCTTTGGGGCTTCCCTGCCATGTCGTTTCCATTCAAGATATTCTTGCTAACATCACTTCCTAGGTTGTCTCCATCGATCGTGCACAAGACTACGCAGACCAGGTCGATACCCCCGAGGTTTGGAGCAAGGTTGCCAAGGCTCAGCTTGACGGTCTTCGTGTCAGCGACTCGGTTGAGTCGTACATCCGCGCTCAGGATCCTTCCAACTACAACGAGGTCATTGAGATTGCTACTCACGCTGGCAAGGACGAGGAGCTCATCAAGTTCCTCCGTATGGCACGCAAGACTCTTCGCGAGGTTCCTATCGACACTGCTCTCGCCTTCTGCTTCGCTCGTACCAACCAGCACAACGAGTTGGAGGACTTCCTTCGCTCGTCCAACGTTGCCGATGTTGAGGCTTCCGGTGACAAGGCATACGAGGAGGGCTTCCACGAGGCTGCCAAGATCTTCTTCAGCAGTATCTCGAACTGGGCCAAGCTTGCCACCACTCTTGTTCATCTTGAGGACTACCAAGCTGCTGTCGAGTGTGCTCGCAAGGCCAACAGCGTCAAGGTCTGGAAGCAGGTCAACGAGGCCTGTGTTGCCAAGAAGGAGTTCCGTCTCGCTCAGATTTGCGGTCTCAACTTGATCGTTCACGCCGAAGAGCTCCAGGATCTCGTCAAGCAATACGAATACAACGGCTACTTCGATGAGCTCATCTCACTCTTGGAGGCTGGTCTTGGTCTCGAGCGCGCTCACATGGGTATGTTCACGGAGCTGGGTATTGCCCTCTCCAAGTACCACCCTGAGCGTGTTATGGAGCACCTCCGCATCTTCTGGGGCCGTATCAACATCCCCAAGATGATTCGTGCTTGCGAGGAGGCTCACTTGTGGCCCGAGCTTGTCTTCCTTTACGCTCATTACGATGAGTGGGACAATGCTGCTCTTGCTATGATGGAGCGTTCTGCCGATGCTTGGGAGCACCACTCTTTCAAGGACACCGTTGTCAAGGTTGCCAACTTGGAGATCTACTACAAGGCTCTCAACTTCTACCTCCAGGAGCAACCTTCTCTCCTCACCGACCTTCTCCAATCATTGACACCTCGCATTGACGTCAACCGCGTTGTGCGCATGTTCGAGAAGTCCGACAACATCCCTCTTATCAAGCCTTTCCTTCTCAACGTTCAGTCGCAGAACAAGCGTGCTGTTAACGATGCTATCAACGACTTGCTCATCGAGGAAGAGGACTACAAGACTCTTCGTGACTCTGTTGAGAACTACGACAACTACGAGGCCGTTGCTCTTGCCCAACGTCTTGAGAAGCACGACTTGGTCTTCTTCAGACAGATCGCTGCCAACATCTACCGCAAGACCAAGAGATGGGACAAATCAATTGCCCTTTCCAAGCAAGATAAGCTCTTCAAGGATGCTATTGAGACTGCCGCCATGTCCAACAAGGGCGAAGTTGTTGAGGAGCTTCTCCGCTACTTTGTCGACATTGGCAGCCGTGAGTGTTTCGTTGGTATGCTTTACGCTTGTTACGACCTCATTCCCCTTCACGTTGTCATGGAGCTCTCATGGCGTCACGGATTGACCGACTTCACAATGCCCTTTATGATCAACTACATGTCACAGCAAGCTATGGCCATTGATCAGCTCAAGAAGGACAACGAAGAGCGCAAGTCGAAGGAGACAAGCCAGAAGACCGAGGAGGACAACACACCCATTTTGGGAGGATCACGACTGATGCTGACTCAGGGCCCGGTTGCAAGCGCGCCGAGCCCGGCACCTTACGCCAACGGCGTGATGGCTCAGCCTACTGGATTCCAACCCACCGGATTCGGAGGCTTCAGATAATTGATTGAGGAGAGGTAATATAGAAGCGGGGAGTGTGACAACGGATGGGGTACATATGCAGGGCAGCGGCGTGCGTTGTAGCCCCAGCGCATTGTTGAGGATGTGGGGTGTGCTCGTAGACCTGCAGACTTGTGGGAGGACAGGAATCGCATTTGCAGCGACTGGACTCTTGCTACAGCAGACAAAAGGCAGTTATGGGAAGGCGTTGTTGCATGTACTCTTAGTTTTCTTCTGCGAATGAAATTCCTTTGGATTGTTTATACCTGATGAAGCAGTTGCCTAAGGCAGACTAAAAGTGATGTGGTGACGGTTGCGAGTACGGTCATAATACGCCGGGCACAGGCCATTGGGTGAGCTTTCACATGCCAATTCGGAGTCGGAGCGCGCACAAGCACAAGCTGAAGCAATCGCCAGCAGCAGCAGCATCATCATCGGCCCACTCTTGCGCATTTGATGCTTGCTTTCCCTCTCGCTCTTGTACTTGCATCTCGCTCCTTCCTTTATTGTTAACTGCCATTGACCGTGCCTTCTTCTTGTCACAGCTACGTTAGCACACGTCTGGCATAAATTCTTCGTCGAGAACAATACATACAGAAACAGCACGTGCGTCTGCAAGAAGCCGTCAATCACTTGACAAGCACACGAGACACTCATCCTTCGAATCCCCCTTGGATACCTCGAGACAACATGTCCGATCAATCACCTCCTCTCCTTCGACCCCGTCCTCGCCGTCCGTTCGAGCTCACCCCCATGTCATCGACTGCTGGGAACTCTCCAGATGGCCGCGACACTCCGGACCCCCAATCTCCCGGTGCCGACGAGTCAGGCCTCCCTCCATCTCGTACTCGCTCGTTCCTCAACCTGACGACATCTACTCTCTTCGGCATCTACTCTCCGGCAGGCTACGCACCCGACCGCGACGAGACGCCTTGGGGCACGGGCGCCCAGACGCCCATCGACAGCAAAGGCATGAACATGGCCGATATTGACGGCAATGTCGATGATGCCCTGATGATGAGAAGCAGAAAGAGAAGAGGCAGCATGCTTCAAGAGTCCACACGGCGTGTTCAAAGACCCAAGAAGAAGACATTCAAGAACTGGTTTCTGCCCATGGTGGGCAAGAATGTCGTCTTGGGTCTTGCTGGCATTGCATATGGACAACTGATTGCACGTTTGCATGATCGTCAGACTTTGGTACCTGTGCAAGTTGAAGGCATGCCTTCGGACTCGTGGGCGTATATTGCCTACTGGTGTTTTAGTGGTATTGCTTTGGGTCAGGCTTTGCCCAGGGTCGACTCTATCTGGATGAGCGATGGCAGTGGTGAGAATGAGGCCGAGAGAGAATACAGGACTTCTGGAAACTTGCGTAGTGCTCAAGACACGCGCAACCGTAGCCAAAGCTGGACTCCTGGCTGGAACGAGGTCGTGAGATTCATTGGTGCCGCTGTGGGCATTGTCTACGCCATTGTGAGTTATCATCCTTTATGCTTACATGCATGTTTACTAATCTGTATACAGCGCCGTCTTCCCTGGCAATCACCCCTTCAACTCAGTCTTACACTCGCTCTTGCGAACCCGGCCATCTGGTACTGCCTCGATCGTACAGGGCCCTGTTTCATTCTCGCTACCACCGTCGCCCTGACTGGTACTGGTCTTCTCCTTTCCATCAACCCTGAGCTGATACCTTCGCCTCATACCGCAAACATTGCATCCTTCTCAAAGCTTGCCAATGCCACGGCAGATGCAACGAAAGGACAAGACCTGGTACTCGGCACTTTCACAATGGAGAGTGTGGGCGTCGCTACTTGGATTGCCAGCGTCTTGTTCGTCAGCGCTGTCGCTTTCGGCAACATCGGTCGAAGATTGTAAGATGCGAGCGGTAACGGGCTCGCGGACGAGTGATATCGTCACAACGTCCCATAGGTCGATGGGTGTGTTTAAGCGCAACATATTGGTCTGCCTTTGCTCTTGAGCGAGCAGATGTTTTGCATGGAGAGGCGTTTACTTACGTGAGCATTCAGACCACTAGGATAGTTTTGAAAGAATGAATTTAGTCAAAGACTCCTCATCTTTTGAGAGATAGCATCATGTTTATACTCGGTCGTGAGTCGAGCTTGAGACTGTGTGTGTCTCGGGTTCCCAGATGAATATGATTTGAATGTTTTGACAAGAGCCGTGCTTTGTGAATGAAGCCTGTCCTCTGTCATGGATGGCATTGCTTACCCGACAAGAACAGCATCGACACCCAAAGTCGTTATATCGCATCGCACGCCTCGCAGAACTCCCCCCCCCATTTGCACATCATAACCTTCACATAACACACTACAACTCCTCTTCAGCAACCCGACACTCAAGTCCAAGTCCACCAATGAGAAGATATGTGTGTTTTTCCAAAAATGATTTCAGAGGGACGTCCGCAGACGTCAAACCCCCTTACTATTTTCTCTCAAAGTCAACCTGTTCAAGATGAAAGAGCAAAAAAAATCCACAGTCGATTTGTAAAAAAAAGAAAAAAGGCTTGAGGAATTTTTTTTCTTTTCAAAAAGATCTGTGGATTTCGCTAACAGGTTTGTCTGAGAATTTGCCGACTGCAAGACACAAGAGTCAGTAAAGAAGGCGAAGAAGGGAGGGAAGGAAAAGGGGGGGGGGGGGGGGGGGGGGGGGGGGGGGGGGGGGGGGGGGGGGGAAAGAGGAGGTGATGGGGACTTAGCTCTGGGAAAGAAAAGCGATCACGGGGGATCCAGGGATCCAGAAGCTGTTCAGAGTTAGTGTGTATGTGTCGCATGGAAGCAAGGAGAGGAAAGGACTTGGCTCTGGATGAAGAAAGTCCGAGACGTAGACACTGTGGGAATGATTTAGTGATTTGAGACTTGCAAAAGACAGGAGAAGGGAAGACTCGGCTGAGATGCAGATGCATGAGAAGGAAAAGGAAAGGAGAAAGAGAAACAGAGGAAACGTAGTAGAAATAGGAAGAGAGGAAGAAGTGCGATTATGTAAGGAAACATGCTCATTTTTGTTCTGCTGCCTGGAGATGAGGGAGTAAAGGATGGTATAAGAGTCATGGGTCGGGGAGTCGCGGGGAGACATGGTAGCAGTGCTTCCGATTGTTTCATAACTACCTTAGTGATGTATGGGAAGGAAGCAATAAGAGTGTTTCTCGAGACATGAAGTCGGTGAGAGAGAGGGCAGGCAAGGACATGGCTTGAGGCTGTCATTCTAATGTTCGGCCGGTGTTGCGGTACCCTATTGCGACTATATCGACTGCTTCCTGAAACATGGAGAAGATGATCCTATGAAGATGTGAGTTATGCTTCGTTATATGCCATTTACCAATGCGATCTATTCATCGCCAGCCAACCTCTGCAACCCTGTCCTACCAGCCAGCCTAGCACCAAGACCCCCACCTTCTCCCATATCAGCCTGGCTTCGTATCTGACCAACAAATTTGCCTTTCTCGCTTCGCTTTCGGTCGTCTTCTTCTTTCTGCTTGCGGTCGCGTTCCTCCAACTCTGCAAGACGCTTCTTACGATCTGTTTCTAGCTCTGTGGCGTTGGACTGCATGGCTGCCAGTTTGGCTAAACGCTCTGCTTCACGGTCTGGGGACGCTGGACGTTCGCGCCTTGTGGGGTCGTCATCTCTGGGTCTAGGACCGCGGTTGTTGTCATTCCTTGAGGATCTGTGGCCACGATCGCTGTATGGTTCGTAATTTGGCGATGCGCGACGTCTAGGCGAGGATGATCTGCGTTCTGTCTTTCGTACGGGAGAGCGAGAGACGCTATTGCGTCGATAGGAGTCGCGTTTGTAAGATGAACGGCGGTCGTCTCTTCTATCATCACGACGGTCGTCCCTTTTACCGTCGCGTCGGTCAGACCTTCTATCGTCGTGCCTGTCGTCTCTTCTCCTACGCTCTGTTGATCGTGATCGGGAGGAACGTCTATCATCCCTTCTGTCATCTCTTCTCCTGCGTTCGGGCGACCGTGATCGGGAGTATGAAGGCGAGCGACGACGATCCGACCGATGTTTGTGGGATGAACGTCTCTCGTCGTCGCTGTAATGGCTGTCGTGACGTCTACGCTTGCTGCGGTGTTCATCGTCTCTGTGTCGGTGTTTGCGATGGCTACGCTTTGTGTCGTCTTCGTCCTTGCCGACAGCCTTGAGTAGAGCTCGGCGTTTTGTTGGATCGCTCATCATGGCTTCCAGAGCAGCTTGTTCTTGTTGTTTGATGGCCAGCATAGGGTCGTTGCGCACCTTGGTCGCTGTGTCCTTCTGCTTATTTGCGATCTCCAGGGCCGAGGGACCAATAGCGGCAGCCTTTTGCATGGCCTCTGTAGCATCCCTCTTGACAAGTCCATCCAGTCTTCTCTTTCCGAGCAAGTACCCCTCCATCTCTTCCGTTGTTCCCTTTTGTCCATCGGCGGGACCACCATACATCCAGTCCACTCTGTCGACGCGTTTCCTGCCGCCAGCGGCCTCTTGCATCTGTTGTAGTTCTTGGATCTGACGTTCTTCGGCGCGCTCCTTGAGCACTTGATCGATCTTCTTGCGCTCATCCAGTGCCTTCTTTTCTTCCTCCCAGACGCGCTTCTGGTTGGACATGAGCACGGGATGCCATGACTTCTTCAAGTTCAAATCGCCACCCATTTTGATGTTGTGGGCGCACTCGCGCTGTTACTGTTTAGTCGGAGAAGGTCGTTTCGTGGGGGTTGGATGAGCGACAGTCAGTGGTTGGCGTAAATTCCAAAATGTTGTTGCGCGGTAAAGACGATGGAAGCGGAAAGGGTCGCCCGAAAGCCGCGATGCAAGACAGTCACACCGAGTTAAGCGCCAAGACACTGTATACAACCGACCCTCGCGACTTCTCTCGACATAATTTATTGGCTCTTCACGATCCGTCACGATTGTATCTGTAACGATGCACGGCACTTATATGGAGAAGTGTGTGGATTCAATCAACATCCACAGCTGACCCCGGGCGCATGAATCTTACTGCGCAGTTTTGCAGCCCGGGCACTTCTCGGTACAGACTGAGAGCAGCTCAAAGGTAACAAATCTCTCGATGGAGAGTCTTTGAACGTGATGTCCTTTGAGTACGTTGCGTACACGAGACTTCGCGAGTCTGCTGCTCGAAAGGTTTCGTACCTGACTATAAAGAACGAAACCCGTAGGACAGTACGCAACCCGAGACCATGCGCTGATACAGCGTTCCGACATCTCCACATGCAGGCCGCAGACCTTGCCCTGTAGCTGATATGATTTGGGTGGTGATATCTACTCAACAGACCTAGTCTGAGCCTCAGCGATAGCGTCAAGCAAAGGCACAACCAGGCCATTCTTCATCTCTGCGGTATGGTGATCTTTGCAAGACAACCTTTCGAATCCGAGGTCGCGGTTCGATCTCGAAGGATGAAGGGGAGACTGAAAGCCTTCCACAGCCAGCGATGACATCCTGCTCGCGCGAATTCGTGGCAGAAGTCGTCACAAGCAAATGTCTCAGCCATGGATAAAGACTTTGTCAATCAAAAGACTGTGGTTATCTCTGACAAACAGCACGTCTTCGATTCCAATCCTCAGTCGAGTCATCCTCCACATCACGAAAGACTTCTTTCACGGCACAGCCGGACAATCACCAAAGTGCTCAAAGCTCGTCATGGAAGAGCCACTTTTACCGGCCGAGAAAGTCGTCAGATCCTCACACCTCGAACAAATGTCCCTTGCATCGGGGCAGGGAGCGCTCTCCGACAAGGATTGTCACTCGACGACAACTTCACGAGGGGACCAGACCATCACCCAACCTTGTCATCGCTCATCTTTAACGCTTTCAAGATGCATGTGCCTCGTTTGACTCGTTTCACGAAGATTTGACATGCGCATATCTTTTTTCGTATCAAAGCACATGCGGATCGTAGGGGCCGGAAGATAAGCTCAGCCCACATCAAGCTCCAAGCGATCTCATCGTGGTGGTCTTGCAGATTCCAACTGATGCCACGACCAATGACAGCTGTAGAATCAGAATCAGATTCAGGGACCAGACCGATGACATCAACAAGCCTTGTTCCCCCGCACTCGATCGTGACGCAGAAGTCTAGCGGCTAGCCTTATCGTGGGGTAACTCGAGCATCCACTTTGGTGGTGGCTTGCAAAAGGCCAGCCCTTTTTGTGAGGAGCAGCAAAAGTCAACGGCCTGGAAGTGATGGCTATTGGGTTGTGCCAAATTGAGTTCAACACCATGACGACGAATTATTTGTCGATGGCTTGACCGGCGCTACGATCCTCAGGAAGAATCACGAGAGCACCACCACCCAGTGGAGTGGTCGTGCAAACAAAGGAAAGGCCTGACGACGATTGTGGACAAAATCTCCGACTCCGATGACATGACAGAGCTCAAAGGTAAGCCCTCCAGAGGTAGCACGAAAGGTATTTAAGACTGTTGCACCCCACCCCATCAGATCTTGGTTCTATCCATCAAGCATATCTTCTCATCAAACCATCTTTCCACACTATAAACATCTCCACTACCAATCAACCACCTTCAAACCAAACAACAAGCATCATGTCTTCTCCCACTGGCACTGCCCCCAAGTCCTCCTTCGACGGTGAGCGTCGTCGCTCCTCCGGCGGTCTCTTCAACAACCTTCTGTCTCAGAAGCGCAGCCCCGACAACGCTGCCTACTCTGCCCGTCGCGCAAGTATCGAGGAGCAGGGCCCCGGAAAGGGCATGCTTGGCAAGATGTGGGACTCGTAAGCATCATCACCAACATCTTCTATAATACTATGACACTAACACCTTCCAACAGAGCCGTCAGAGGTGTCGGTCCCGAGGCCAAGAAGTAAACCAAACACTTCAACAATTTCATGATACCCTTTGCATATTTTGCGACAAGCACTGAGCGATCAAGAACGATGTACGAACGGACGAGGATGAAAGGCTTATCTTCACACCAATTTTCAATCTTTTAGGATTGCTGGCTTGGATATTCGGGTTTAGCTACCGATACTGAGGGAGTTGGGTGCCGGTATTGTCTCATTGCATGTACTACATAACGATCTCATGACCACCATTCAACAATTTCACAATTTCACAATTTCAATAATTAAAGTTTCAACGCAATGCTTTCGTTGTGGCGTGAGTATTGGTTCATGCGTGATAATATGCTTACTCGTAACCAGTCACACGCATCGATTCTTCCAACCTGCCTTCGGTTAGTCTCCATAAGTCGAACGATCCTCCCCTAGAATTGCCCAAAAATCTTCCACAATCTCTCTTTGCCCTCCTGGAGCTCCCCGAACAGCAAGGTATCTCCTGCCGTCAAGCTTGGGTATCCAGTTGCCTGGATGACCGTCCACCATCATGCCTCCGGATTCTTCCAAGATACACCAAGCGGCAGCTACATCCCAAATCCAAGAACCACACTCCCAGAACATGTCTTGTTGGCCCGCGGCCACGCGGCATATGGTTATAGCGGCAGAGCCGGTACAACGCAGGGAGTTGACCATATGGCCACCAGTGGCTTGTGTCGACGCCAATTTCGTAAATACCTTCAAGTTCAAGTCAAAATTAGGTCCCTCACGATCACTTCCCCATTCAATGCCTATGCACGCCGTCTGCATACTCAAACGCTCGGAGTTCGACTTCAAAGGTAGTCTGGATCGCTCGCCATCGAATCCCTTCTGGTAAAAAGCTCCGCTTCCAGTTACGGCTGTCCACAGTTCGTTGTGAAAGGGGTTATACACCACACCAATGGTAGATCGTCTCTTGATCACCAAACCGATAGATATGCAGACATCCGGAAGTCCATGGACATAGTTGGACGTACCGTCCACAGGATCAACCACGAAAGTTGGCGTATCATCAAGTGAGGTACCATGCTTCCATGACTCCTCGCCGATGAGGTTGAAAGAAGGATATTTGGATCTGAGCACGCCGAAGACGGTTCTCTCCACTACTCTGTCGATTTCAGTGACCAAGTCTGCACCTGCAGGTTTCGGTCAGTGCTGTTATGAATTGCTTTGTTAGCCCGACAGTTCTCACTGCTTTTCTTGCTTTCTACGCCTGAGGCGGACGGCACTGATGAACTTATGATCCAGCCGCCCTGACGTGCCACAGCCACAAGATCTTCGAGGATCGCATCCAAGTCCATGTCGTTGTTTTGTAGTCCGCGGAAGTCGTCTCAGGATATTTGTCCAGTCAACAAGGACACAGCTGTTCGAAAAAACCGTAGTCAATTGGGGACTGTTGAGGTCAGCGAAATAGAAAGATTCGCGGAAGAACCCCCCCGCTTTTGTGATGCATACTCTCACTTGCATGCAGACCGGCAATGGGGTGAGATGCTTATCAGCGCTAATTTCGAACCACCAGACTTCTGGCCTCTCGTGTATCGCGAACAAACCTGTCTAGCGACCTAGGCTCGACCCATACGTCTGAAAGCACCCAACGGCTATCAGGTGCAACATAAGTGAAGTTTGCCCCGGACCAAAAACACGTCTGGTCGATAGACCATAACAAAGGCAAAACATCCTGCACTCTAAGAAGACAACGCCGCTTGTCAAGCCACTGTGGGAAGGAGTCACACGTTTCTGTACATTCATGCATGCGACGCTCCAATCGCGGAAGCGTGTGTAATCATGCTGGTGTTGTTGAGCTCTCGATAAGTAGTGTCTTCCGCTCGCTCGGTTCGGTGTCATCCTTTGCCGTTTCGTCAGATACAGGCATTCTTTATGAGCAGCATGTTTCGCAATCTGAGACGTAGATCCAGACAGGCCTCACAAGATGAATACATAAAGCCGTCCTCATCAACACCTAAAGCCGAACCACCTGTCGAAGATTCACAGTCGTATGGCATCTTGGAGTGGGTTCCAAATGACAGAGCAACAGTGGAGTACGGCGAAAATTCAACCGCTCGCCCCGAGAGACTAATTGGATATAGTATTGTATTCGTTCATGGGCTGAATGGTCACCGCGAGCGGACCTGGACTGCGCCAAACGGGATTGTGTGGCCGAAAGACCTCCTCCCAGTGTCATGTCCAGCTGCCCGGATCTTGACTTTTGGTTATGATTCCCGGACTCATGCCGCCAGGGACCTTTCCAAGCAGACTTTCCACGGTCATGCTACAACGTTGCTACAAAGACTCAGTCTACTGCGTCGACGTACCAAGGTATTTGGAGTTCTATCCCAGTCGCTTTGGAAAGAACACTGCACAAGACTCTGCGGAAATCCTCGCCGCTTCTTGTTCACATTGGACTGACGGTTGACTGCCTCACAGACTACGCGTAGACCGATCATCTTCATCGCTCACAGCCTCGGGGGTCTTGTCGTAAAAAGCGTGAGCCTACACCGACTTTGACAGACTTGGTATTTGCTGATCACTCATTAGGCCCTGATCCATGCAAATCAGGCAACAGGTACCAACTTGGAGCACCACCGATCGATCAAACTCAGCACATACGGAATCCTCTTCTTTGGGACGCCCCATCAAGGTGGTAACGGTGTAGCACTTGGAAAAGTCTTAGCCACTATTGCGAGTGCCTTCATTTTTACCAATCCAGAGATCCTGGATCACCTCGAGAAGGGATCTGAGTGGCTTGAACAACAGTTGGACTATTACAAATTCATCGCAGCCGACTTTGATACAAAGTTCTTTTACGAAACAATCCCTACAAGACTCCCTATGGGGAAGACGATGCTGGTTAGTGTGTTTGATCAAAGCGAACGACCACAGCTAAAGCATGAATAGATTGTCGACAAGAATTCTGCGATTGTTCCTGGAGCCAGCAATGTAGAATCAGTTGAAGTGTCCAAGAACCATTCCGACATGGTCAAGATTCACAACAATCAGGAGGAAGAATACAAGAATATTGAGGATTACCTCTTCCTCATGTCCGAAGAAGCATCATTGAAGGTGGAACGCAACTGGGAGGCCGAGAAAATTTCCACGGGTCAGTAGCAAATCAGCCGTCCAGATGGCGATTCGAGCTTTTCAATCATCCAAATCCAATTGTTCGCGTCATGTGTTGACTTATTCGGGAATAGCTACTGCCGGTATCTCAATCATTCAGGACGATTTTCATCTGTCTTTGAGCTTAGGCTATAGGCGAAATCAAATGTTCACTGGCCGGGATGATCACCTACGGACTCTTCATGAACTCCTTTCAGGGCACCAGACAAACTCTACAGTAGTAGTGGTGGGAATAGGTGGACTAGGAAAAACTCAAGTGGTGCGAGAGTATGCGTACCGCTTCAGCCACGAGTATACTTCAATTGTGTGGTTCGACTGCCACAGTCTTGAGACGGTGCAGACTAGTTTTCTCCAATTAGCCCAGCGTTTAGTGCGCCACTACGCTAATCATAACAGCTCGGTTGTACCACCTTACTCCCAACTTGCTCAACATCTGAGCATGGCGGGTGCCATCGACACGAATGGACATGTCAAGCACCCTGTGGACAACAAGAGTCTGGTTGTCGATGCTGTGCACAAGTGGTTTGGGCAAAAGGGAAATGCAGGATGGCTCGTCGTGTTCGACAACTACGACGACGTCAATTCTGAGCAATTTAGTGATGGGAGATTATTCCCCGAGACCTCTGAGAATGGCAAAATCTTGGTGACGACGAGGAGACGAGAATGTGCCCGCTTTGGCCGGTTGCTTGAGATGGACACGATGAGTGAGGAAGAGAGTCTAGAGCTTCTGGAGAAGAGTTGTAGGGCAGGATGCAAGTCAGCAGATTTTGGTAATGCCTTAGTTTACTTGAAGGAACTGACAGGCCCCTTCCGCTAACGCTACTTTATAGATACTGCCGAGGCTTTGGACATAGTCAAGACGCTAGGGCATCTGCCCTTGGCTATAGATCAGGCTGGTGCATACATCTTGACTATGGGAGTTCCGCTCTCGAGTTATCTGCCTCTCTTACGTGGACCATTAATACGACAAACCCTCAGTCGTAAGCCTTCAGTTGGATGGCAATACTCGGAATCTGTCTTTACCACATGGGAGATATCGTTCCAGAGGCTTGAGAAAACGCAGCCAAGGGCTGCAGAGCTCTTGCTATTGTGTGCATATCTCTCCAACGAAGACATTGAGATAGAGCTATTGCGCCGTGGCTTGGAAGCTATCGATCCCAAAGGCGAGTCATCTCTTCTTAACTATGTCTCATATATCCTGGCTAATAGTCTACATAGCTGCCTATGTGTTGCAGGAGAGCATCGGAGAGCTTTCTTCCTTCTCGCTGATCAAGTTGAAGGTGACTGGAGCGGCGTTCTCAATCCATCCTCTTGTTCACGCGTGGGCCCGAGAGCGACTGGACAGTCAAACTCGAAGCGACCTCGTAGGAAGGGCTTCGAGCGTTGTTTCGCGTGCTGTCACTCCATCCGAGATATGGACCACAGGAGTCCGAACATCGCAGGACTGGATCCTCGAACGTTCCATCGTTGCTCATGTCGAAAACCTGTCGCGATGGCTAAATGAAATCTGCAAAGATGACCAGACTTACTTTAAGCATTCTCAACAATGGATGACAATGGCCAACGTCCACTTTTATCAGGGTCGTTATGATCGCGCGAGTCACATTTACAGCCGTATAATCGCCGCTCGAGATTTACAGTTTGAGCCGAGCGACGCAGATACGTTGATGGCTGTACAAGCTTGGGCAACGATCAAACGCTTCCAGGGAGACTGGACCAATTGCGAAGCTCTCTACAACCGCGCGCTGTCTCACAGAACACAGCAAGATCCCAATCATCTTGACACACTGGCCACGGTACAGAGTCTAGCGATATTGTATCGACATCAAGGCCGACTTGAGGAATCTGTAAAACTGTATGAATGGGCGCTGCACGGCAAAGATGGTTGTGGTTACGGTATGGAAGAGCAGCAAGGTCCAACACATCCAAATACGATTCATACTGTATTTGGTCTAGCCATAGTTCTGCAGAAACAAGGAAAACACCACCAAGCTCTGGGACTATACGAAAGAGTCCTCGGGAAACGGACAATCGATTTGGGCGATCTCCATCCCGATACTTTGACCGTCAAACACAACACGGCTACGGTCTTGTGCTGTCTGGGTGAGTTAGCGCACTCTCAGCGCTTGTTTGAGGATGTCCTTCCTCATCGAGAACGGACCTTAGGCCCTGACCATCCAGACACCTTGCGCACTATAGATAGTATGGCAACTTTGTTCCACGAGCAAGGAAACTTTGAACTCGCGGAGAAACACTACATGCTTGCGCTCGAGGGCCGGAGGCAGAAACTCGGCCCAGCACACCCAGACACGCTGGAGTCTTTGCACAACCTTGCCACGAACAATCGAGTGCAAGGAAGACTCAAGGTAGCGAAGTCGATGTATCTAGAAGCCCTGCAGGGAAGACAGGAGCAAAAGAAGTTTGACCCCGAGAACCTGGAGGTCCTACGAACGGTCGAAGGCCTGGGCCTTGTAGCTGAAGCGCAGCGTGAGCATCGCGAAGCTCTTGAACTGTTATCCCGAGCTCTGGATGGCTACACTAAGGCATTGGCACAACACAGTACCGAGGTTACACGGACGACCGACAGTATCGGTAGAGTCTTAGAAAAGGAGGGGCGGAAAGAGGAAGCCAGATCGTATTACCGTCGACTCTCGTCCACAGAGTCCACAGAGTCCACAGAGTCCAGGACAATCCGTGAAGTCTCTATGTAAGCTTCATATAATGCTGGGTGGAATTTGGTCCAATGCACTTAGTAAGGAGGCTCAGCAGTTGAACGCATAGGAGGGCAAGAAAAGATCAGGGCAACGCTTTTCTCGTTCTAGACCCGACTTCCTTAGCGTTCATTCCATTCGTACTTAGCAAACGGTTGGAGGAGAATCGCAGGAATTCTGATCTAGACTGTGGTATAATTAACAACTGACCTGAAAGAGATTTCAAACATCGAAAAGCTGTATATCTCCGCTCACCTCTATCAGTGTACAAAATTTGGTGACAGCTGCTCAAAGAGGTTCGTCGCAAAGAGCAAAAAAAAAGTTCCCTCCAGCGATGCAAAAGAGCTGCCCGAACTCTTACCTAGTAGCGTCAATGTACGAGAGGAATATTCTATGGCACATCCACGCTTCTACTAGGCGTTTAATTTCCTCTTGCCGTCTGTTGAACGGGCTCGAGGTATGTAGGCATGAGTCAGTCTCCGATGTCAGGCCTGATTGGTCGAGGACGCGCTGAGGTAAGGTTCTGCTTCGCGATGCAGTGTCTGAGGAGAGGGGTAACCTGAGTACACATTTTGGTGACTTCTGGGACACTGGAAATTGATGTCGATGCTTGCAGCGCTGTCAACAAGGACTTAAGCATTGAAGCTTAGGCTCCAACTTTGGTGGCATTCTACGTGTAGTCTTTAATAGTATTTAGATCCCATGTGGCAGGAGTTTGGTATGTTGCTTCATCGACAGATCTGTCCAGCGATCGATACAACTTTTACCTCGATATCGTTGCTCGCTTATTGAATGGCCTACATATCATGCGCTTCTTCCACCAAGTCAAGGCACGAAAATCGTTGCATAGCTGATTACTTTGGACCACGGTCCTGCCGCACAAGAATCGAGCATTCCAATGAGTATGACCGAATATCCAATCAGTTACTTGTCGATTGCTCTTCCATGTCTGGAATGTATTGAGCGTATTGCTACAGAAGCAAGGGCTGATGGCATTATCAGGACATAAACGTTGATACTGTGTGACAAACACCCAGAGCCGATCTGCCATATCATAGACTTCCGTTGCTCCTTTATCCCGTCTCATCAGAAGTTGCGATCTCGCGACAAGATCAATGAACCCAATGCCGCGCTCAGAATGACGACTTCGCTGTACCCCCAGCCGTATAGTGATCGACATGATTGATCTACAGTGGTAGATCTTATTCAACATGTGATCATGAGCGTCAATCATGGTCTGCTCCGCGATACTTTGCATACCAAACCTTTCATGGTTCGAGAAAGCTACCAAGTTGCAGGAGACAAGCATATAAGAGTGAAGAAGCACCTAGAGTATCTACATCGGAACAACAGACCCAGCCTTCTTGCGACAGTAAGATGCATGCAGTCGCATTTCTCTCAGTTTCGACCTTGCTCCTTCAATTACCTCTGGAAGCAATCGCCAGCCCACTCTTGGGTCTCGGAAGCGTGAACGATCCCCGCTTCCAACTCTATGAAGTTCCCACACCTCTTTCAGGTCCCTGCGATTTGGAGCACGGTCCCGAAGGCGCCCTGTGGGGCCAGGGCGTTCTGAATAACATCTTCTTCCGTCTCGATCCCAATACAGGAAACATTGAAGAGTATCCTATCCCTTTTACGACGGCGCTCAGTGCAGAGCCTATACGATTGCCCGGAGTCGCTAAATCTCTGACCGACCGTACGGCCTTCTCCTGCGCGATACGCACAGGTGCTGATGGCAATTTGTATGCCGGCAATGGAATCCGCAACCAACTCCTCCGGATCAACCCAACCACGAAGAAGATCGATGTCTTCCAGATCCCACCCACCGATCCTGCTGGCGATTTGTTCTTTTTCAACGACTTGTATTCAGCCAAGGATGGTATCTGGGTGACTTCGACGACCGCGAACACATTCTCTTTCTTCCCCTTCTCGACTGAGAAATTCGAGACTCACTATGCGCCTACTCCGCTGGCGTTGCCGCTGGGCCTTTTCGTCGCTTCGGACGGTGTCATCTACGTTGCCGAGTTCAATGCCAATAAGATCTTGACTTTCGACCCCAAGACCAAGGTGACCAACGAGTATGTCTTGCCAGAGTTGGCACAGTTTCCTACGGTCATCCGTGCTGAGCGTAACGGCTGGGTTTACTTTGCCATGTTTGTCGGAAACGGTATCGGCCGTATTAACATGGCCACGAGAGAGATTCAACTGTTCCACACTGACAAAGTCGGCCTCACTGGCGCGGAAGACACCATCGACAAGTACGGAGGCGTCTGGCTCAGCAGCCTTACCCGCAATCAGCTCTCGCGTCTGGACACCAACACACTCACGTACAGTTACGTCAAGTTCCCTACTTCGGTCACCAACGTAAATCTTCCTGGGATTTTTGGCGAATTGCCCCCTGTGGTTGACGTGGCGATCAACTACGGTCCAGGTGACAATCTCTGGTTCACTAGCATCCTTTCCAACCAGGTTGGAAGATATAACATCACGGGCCTGTACAATTTATAGAGGTTGGGTCGCAAGCCGATTGCGAGCATCTAATTGCAGAAGTAGAGGCCGCCCGATGAGTGCCTCTTTCTACGTCCCTTGCAAAACTCACCGTTGCAAGGGTGCATGTTCCCGCGTGCCAAACATACCAGGATGCTCCCTGCGACCTTTCAGACGACTAAAAGAGCTACGTTCAAGGAAGACTCGATCGCCGGATCAACTAAATCAGATGAATAACTGAACATACCGTTTTATTAGCAGAAGCGGCCAGGCCATTAGCTAGTAGCCGCGTTTACACACCATAATATCATGAAGCGGCAAGCTGCTTGATTCTCTCAACATAGGAGGACACCGTGTTCGCTGCTGACTGCATTGCCAACGTGCGTACACCACTTGCAAACTGTCAGTCAGAGATGCTTTCGAGCGTGAGCCATAAAGGAGTATTGAACTCTTTTCTTGATCGAAAATGCTATGACGATGTGCTGCCAAAACTGCTCCCCCGCAAACTTAGAGCCGAAGAGTAAATCCCTCCCTGTGTGTAATGACTGTTACACCTTGTTCACAACGATAAATGCAGGGCAATGACGAGCTGTAGAGAGGCACAGTCATATCTTATATCGACGCATCTAACGTAGGGAGTCGTTTAAAAGACGTATTCCGGTGCTGTCGCTCCAGATCCAGAGAAGTTCGTGCCTTGAGACAGCTACAAGTGTGACGGTCTTTCGCCAATAGGGAGGTCGTCTTCCATCACGCAGACCTTGATCCGTCCAACATTATTATAGCCGAGGATGGGAAGGTAAAGGCCGTTCTCGATCGGAAATCTACAGGGTACTATCCTCGTCTCTGGGGTGGCACAAAATCCTCGGTCTCGCAAACGTTCAAAGTTCAAGGTCATACGGAGGATGCAAGAGACGGAGGACGCCAAAAGTTTCCAAGCGTACTTCGTTCGCAGAGCTTGGAGCGTGATATAGAAGTACATAAGACCCGGCACGCAAAGTCTCAATCAAAGCGAAACGTCGTCTTCTGGACATATATCAACAGCTTCCGGCCCGAAAAAGCAGGCTCCATCATAGTTTCTAGACTCGTACCACCCCTTTGCTACGCACAGCTGTGTTTGCGCAATTGGGGGAAAGATCTTGATCGTCACCACTGCATGGAAACTTCAACCTTTTGCATTCTTCCCTTTGCCTTCTCAATGATCAGTCAGTCGATACATGCCACGAAGCTAACGAGTAGTCCATGACAATGAGACCTATCATGACAATGGCGTCTACGAAGAAAGAGGCCCAAACAAAACCAGCAGCGACCGATCCTACTTCTGTATCCCAGCCCTCGTCAAAGAAATATTCAACGACAGAGGCACTTGATGTAGCTGCAATATTTTACCAAGTAGCAGCTGTCGGCGAGTATCAAGTTGACAGAATTATGCACACCGCACAGATCCCCGAGACATTTCGAGGAGGAACAGCTTTGAGCTTGATAGAACAATTTCCATTGGAAAATGTCGACTTGGATCTTCTGGGCCAAGCTACAGAGCCCACGACCCTATCCCAACTTTTGCTTCTTGGCAATGCGCTTGTCGAAGTCATCATCATCTGCAGCCACGAGCTTACGAACACTGATGATCAAAGCAGGTAACGACGAGCTATCGAAGGCACAGTCATATCTCGTAACGGTAAATCTAGCGCAAGGAGTCGTCAACACGAACCATCTCGAGGGCATCGTTGCAAGTTGAGAAAGTATCGTGCTTTGAGGCAACTCTAAGTGTGAGAGTATGGCGCACACGGGGAGGTTGTATCAAAAGCTTTGCGGCGTACAAGCATTTGTCTAGACAACTTGCACCAAGCGATAATAATGACAGCCGAACAGCAACACCAAAAGCAAAACGTACAGCAGCAGGGATTCCCACGTGGTCACCCACCGTAGTACTAATCTGCCGTTCAACTGCTTATGTATGGCAGAGCGGACGGGATGCCCAGTTTTCAGCTGACTGTGGCCGTACGTGAAGCGTGGGCTGACATTTGAGGTTATATTCTGTGCTGAGCAAACAGCCTCTGGTTGCGGATGAGAAATCCTCGTATCTCGACACAGGAACGTCTATGTCCATCTATCGAAATTCCGATAGCGATTTGGCAATCTCATTGGTGATGACCTGAGGCCGTGTGTCCCATCTTCTGCTGGGATGTCTCTTTGGCGTGTTGTGTGAGAAGAGGGAAACACCAAGGAAAATACAAGCGTGCTAAGGCTCGCTAAGCAACGAGATCAACATCCGGACTGTTGAGACGCCGTAGCATCTATTTCGGTCCACCAACGACATCCAAAATTGCTATACATTGCTGCATCGCAGGGAGATGGCGCTCTGCAGCATTACTCTTCGGATTGTAGAGTTGAAAGTGCAAAGTTAAAGGTCGGACCGACGACAGAGATGGTATATCGGGCCCGAAGGATGGCCACCCAGGATTCTGTCTCTTGCGGTACTTGGAAATCAAGATCAACAAGGAATCCCCAAGCCTTCGATTCTTCGCTGTTCCGCCAATGGAAATCTCGCAACAAGTGGAATTCGCGGTACGCGGCGACTTGATCTCCGTCAGCCCTGCTTATCAGGGCAAATGAAAAAGCGGGCCTCGGATTAATCATGGGCAGTCGGATATTCATCAAGGGCTGTGCTTGTGCAAAGACAGCACCAGGCTGTTTCAACCTTTGACACAACACGAAGTTCGTCATTACAACACCTTGATCTCGCTACATTCTGTCGCGTACTTTCGTCAATCGCGAAGGCTGGCCTGATCGTACACTCATTTTATACCAATACGTTTTGCCTATCTCTGAATCTATCTCGAGGCTGGCACTCCTCCATTGACTTACTTGCATCCTGGTTTCACCGTCGCTCTTTTGTACTCTTGCATAATTGCCAAACCACCAGATGACACTGTCTCGCTCGTCATGGCTTGTCAGCACACTCTGCTTGACAGCGCAGCTTGGGTCGGCACTGCAGCTCACCATCAGCAGTCCGGGTAGGATCGCAACAATGCCACAAACTGAAGCGAACAGAAGCTAATTCCAAACACAGACTCTATTAGGTCGACGGCTAGTGTCGTCGCATACGACCTTATGTCATACTATACCGGAAATCGGACTGGAGATGTCCCAGGAAACTTGCCAGCCCCGTACTACTGGTGGGAAGCGGGAGCCATGTTCGGCGAGATGGTCGAATACTGGTACTACACTGGTGACACGACATACAATGACGAAGTCAAGCAAGCTCTGTTGCACCAAGTCGGGGATGACAAAGACTACATGCCAAGGAATCAGTCAAAATCATTGGTATGCAACCTGCTGTGATGGACGCATCGGGGTATCACGTCGCGATTGCTTGACTGACACGATGGTGAACAGGGCAATGATGACCAAGTCTTCTGGGCCTTCAGCGCCATGACGGCCGCCGAGTTGAAATTCGAGGATCCGGGAGATGGACAGCCGTCGTGGCTGGCACTGGCGCAGGCCGTATTCAACGAGCAAGCATCAAGATGGGACACGGAGACCTGCGGTGGAGGATTACGCTGGCAGATCTTCACCTTCAATGCCGGATACGACTACAAGAACGCTATCTCGAACGGTGGTTTCTTCCAGCTGGCGGCACGCCTGGCGCGTTACACCCAGAACCAAACATACGTCGACTGGGCCGAGAAAACGTGGAAGTGGTATGCTGGAACCCCGTTGCTCGATATGGAAACCTGGCAAGTCAACGACGGATCGAGTACGCAGAAGAACTGCTCGGATGCCAGTCAGCTGCAGTGGACCTACAACTACGGTGTCTTCATTGCCGGAAACGCATACCTCTACAATTACGTGAGTCTTGTTCTGCACAACGGCAATGGACAATATGTGCTGACAGAGACGTAGACTGGTGATGGAAAGTACTTGGACCGCCTTGACGGTCTTCTAAATACGACACTTCCAAGATTCTTCCCTGACAACATGGGAGGCGTTCTGGTCGAGGTAGCATGTGAGCCCCTGGGCAACTGCAACAATGATCAACCCGCATTCAAGGGGTTCCTCATTCGATGGCTCGCAGTCACAGCACAACTGGTGCCAGAAGTATACGACCGCATTTTCGAATACTTGCGCAAATCGGCGTCTGGGGCTGCAGGACAGTGCTCGGGAGGAGAGCTAGGAAGACACTGCGGTCGCGAGTGGAACTCGACGACGTGGGACGGAGTTTCAGGAGTCGGCGAACAGATGTCAGCACTTGCGGCTATCCAAGCTATGATGATGGATACAACCGATCTCGCTGCACCCGTGGGAGCGACGACTGGAGGAACAAGTAAGAGCAACCCGAGTGCAGGCACAGGCGCCAGTGGCACGACGGGTAGTAATGGTCTCCCGTCGGTGAACAGAGAGACTATTACGACTGGCGACAAGGCTGGAGCCGGGATCTTGACAGCAGTGGCACTGCTACTTACACTCATCACGGGAGGATGTTTGGTCCTCGAATGAGGGCAACATTTCTGTTCAAATACCCATGATGCGAAAGCAAGTTGAGGATGTGGCTGGCTGGCTCCAGGATGGTATGCACAGTACAAACCAATAATTCTCTTCGTTTCTGATCGTTAAGAATATTCCATTTGTGAATTGCACCGAAATGATTTCTTGACGGTATTCGGTATGTACGGCACGTGATTGGTCAAAGCCGTGTTCGACGGGCGTCGCGAAAGTTGGCGGCGTCAAAGGCAGAGGGCGGACGAGAGACAAGAAGATTGTTCGACATATCACACCACACAATCACAATGCCGCCACGACTCAATCTCCTCTCACGGGCATCGTTATGTCGTCCCACGGCGCCCCATGCGAGTGTAGCTTCGCTATTGCAGCCCTTCCTGCGTAGTGCACAACAACCCCAACAGCAAAGAAACGCCTCGATTCTCTCATCGCTCTCGGACAACTCTGGCGCATACAACAAGAAGATCAGAAGAGGAAGAGGTCCTTCGTCGGGCAAGGGAAAGACATCAGGACGTGGTCACAAGGGTCAGAAGGCGCACGGAAAGGTGCCGCGCAACTTCAATGGTGGTCAAACACGCGAAGAGGTTGTCCACGGTGTCAGAGGTTATGAGAACCAGTGAGTTCCTCTTGGTCTAAGCGTGTAGATTGAACAGACGACTCATACGCAAAACACAGACACTCGATTGAAATGACACCGCTCAACATCAACCGCCTCCAAGCATGGATTGACGCCGGTCGTCTGAACCCCAACGAACCCATCACCCTCAAAGAACTCGCAAGATCACGTTGCGTCCACGGCATCAAAGACGGTATCAAGCTCCTTGCCCGCAGCTCCGAAAAGCTCAGCACCCCCGTCGAAATTGTCGTCAGCCGTGCCAGCGCCTCTGCAATCGCCGCCATCGAGTCCGTCGGCGGCAAAGTCATCACTCGCTACTACAGCAAGCCCTCCATCTCGCGCGTCCTCAAGGGCCACACCGACCCCATTTACAGCATCCAAAGCGCTCCTGCAGAAACACCTCGTCCGGAGTTCAAGTACAGATTGCCCGATCCGGCCAGCAGAAAGGACATTGAATACTACAGAGATCCTGCGCACAGAGGTTACTTGAGCCATTTGTTGCAAGAAGGCCAGAATCCCAGTTTGTTCTTCAAGACGCCTGGAATGGGTCGTGTGGACCACAAGAAGTCCGCCTCCAAGGGTGCCAAATCTGCCACAAAGGGCGAGAACAGGGTTTGGTAGTTTGTGTAATTAAGACACCTCATCCCGTGTATCAATATCATTCTTACATGCCTTTCTCTTGTGCCTGTATTGCCGAATAGACAGCATGGGCTTTTTTTTATTGTGGTGCGACGACAAGTTGATCTTTCTGCATTGATGACATTTGTGTCTTGTTCCATGTGGTTGCTCTGACTCTTATGCTTTACTCATTCTGCATGCGACACCGTGTTCTTACCTATGCTCGTGCGACCCTAAGCGATTGCGTGCCACCAAATTGATGACCAGAATTGCTGGTCTGGTCAGCATGAATCAGAAGAGTTCCCCTCCCCTGTACATGACAGCCAAAGACTGGCCAGAGCGGAAACGAAGGTAGTAGAGCAAAGCGTCCTTTCTGGCGGTGACACTTCTGTAGCTGCATGTACTAATTCGTTGAAGCAGGAGGAGGTCTGGAAACAAGCTTGACATGTCACAGACGGCCGTAACAACGAAAAAGATCTTCCTGGCGGTGACCCTTGTATGTACCTTTGCAAACGAGATGCTGACTCTGTGGTCTTGCAGCGGACATGTTACAACTAGTGCGGGAAGTTTTCAGGAGAGAAGGGAAATGAAAAGTCGGTCGCTTACGGGAACAACAAGTTCGATAGGAGAAGAAGAGATGCGCTTGGGTGCATTGCATGCATGTATGCGCGAATGAAGAACCGCTACTTTACTTTCAAAAGTCCAGCTGAGCGGGTATGGCTAGCTGCGCTGACCACGGGTGGGTCTTTTGATAGCAAACCATATGCTTGATTTGCTGTCCGTGAGGTGCTGAGATGGATGAAGAAAGAGACTTACTTTCCTCGAGTAGGTGACTACCACACCGCCACAAGATGATGATGGGAAAGAGAGATGGACCAACACTGCACCCTGCCGTAGCCTTGCTGCTGACTCTTTCTCGCGACTCATGCTGGTTCTCCTTCTCTTGTGTGTGACTTGTGACTAGGGGCATACGACACCTGCGTAGTGTGGCACAAGCTGGGTGGATCAGAATGGTTTGTTGGCAGGCGAAAAAGGATTCAAGGTGTGGGGTGGGTATGTTGTTCTTCGCATCACATTTCTGATATTGAAAGACCGAGGATTGCCTGTTCGCGCCGCCGCCTCCTTCTCCGCCCGCTCTGGAGATCAAATTCACAGAGACATGGACGTCACGAGACATGGTTATCCGTTGCCTTTTCATGCACACCTTATTCTTGTCCTCGCCAATCCGAGTATCTTTCGAGGTGGATGTTGGAATCTAGACGAGGCGTTGATATCGAATCACCGCTGCAATCCTTTTGCCCTGCCCTTGGCTTTGGCTCTGGCTCCGGGTGGACGACAGACGACGCAACTGTTTATGCTTGTTGGTGATACTATTGACCATTGTCGGCACCTGAGCCAATGAATCGATTTTCTTCAACTTGTGATCACGTCTACAGGAAAATGTGGTAGGTGTACAATCTTGGAACACTATGCGTCACTCCGTCTTCGTCCATCGATTTTCTCTGCATCTCCACTCTTGCATGCCACATACCGAGTCGACAGACCAGAGATTACGTCGTCAAGAAGCGCCATCTCGCTTGATTGACTTTTTGTCATTTGCATAATGGTGCCTTTCTGCTCTTCTACCTTTGAGGCGTGAGGGAGCGAGTGAGGGCAAACGCCTCTTTTCTTTTCAGCCCTCAATAATATCTAGGGCGTTGCTGGAATCTGGGTCTGGTGGGAACATGACTTTGCTTGTTTACTCGATAGGCACGACCAAGGGCAGTTTGGGAATGTGGTCATCTTTTTGAGGCTACTTGTCCCGTAGGAACGCGGAAGTTCAAACCTACTCAAACGTAAACGCCTCCATTCTTTTGGGGAAATCGAATTATTTGGTTTTTCCTTGACTTCTCCCAAGGCTCAAAGCTCCCTCTCTCTTCATGGGCAAAGAAGAACACGAACCACTTCCCGCCCGTTTCGCCGGTGCGGCTGCGGTCATGCAGGGTTCATGGACCGAGGAGAGCGGGAGCGACGAGAGACGAGATGGGACAAAGGACAGATGAAGCTCACACGCCACAAGGTTCAAACAAGGTATGAGTCCGGCATCAACTGCGTCGACACATGATACGTGGGTGATATACGTGGTCGATGCTATTTCTCAAAGTACCGCGTCGCACATCGGGATCGCGACCGGCAATATTCAGGGAGCCGGGTTGCGGGAGCAAAGCAAAGGGGAAGGGTTGGCTGACAGCCTTTCGCTGAGTCTGTACAGTATTGACATGGGTGACGGACTATGCCACCTGCCGACCCCGGTCGCGGCGGTCGCCTGCATACCTTTGGGAAAGGAGCAACTTCCGCAACGATGCGATGATGTGTCAGTGTGTTTTGACTTTTGATTTCGATCTTTTGATTGTCAGCTAGAACGTGCCTCGGAGCGATGGAAATGCAAGATGCAAGGCTACAAGCAAGGGGTTAGTTTCCATACAGTTTCCACAGCTGCCGCCGCCGCCGTCCAGAGCTGCGTGGAATCAGATGATGAGACATGCGCGGTGGTTTGAGATTTGGAGCGCGCAAGCTTACTTCTCGACGATGCCCGTCCGGCAAACAAAGTTCCTGCTCCACAGCAGACCTCCTTCCCGCGCAGCGTCGGTCGCGAGAAAAGATGTGGCTGGGCTTTGCTGATCCTACGGGCATGCCGGCTGGTCGACCGCACTCTTCAGGTCTGCGCATGATGCCAGAGAGTCAGGTCTTGTGGCATGTCTATCGATGGCAACTTCTTCTCTGGTGTTCCGGGATCGTGCCTCCTATCTCCAATCCGATAGTGGGCAATCTTCAATATTACAAGCCTGGAGGCTGGCTGGGCTCACGAGGCGCTTCACGCTAGATGTGAAATCCCAAAAGTCGTTTTCGTAAATCCTCTCTTGTGACCTTGTGGACACGGTGGAAAGATGATCATCTAATGGAAAATCACCGAATCCACACCCTCGCATCGAAACGATGCCTAAGTTTTTTTCCTTCGTATGTGCCCCATCCACAACAGGGAGTGCGCGGCACAGAAAGGGGATAGCAACATAGGCAAGGTGGAGAGAGCAATAATAAGATGCAGGAATGGAACAAGCGCATCGCTGGATTACTAGTCCACATGATCTTATCAAAAGGAAAGAAAAGCGGTGGACAACAACTGTACAGCAAAGCAGAAACAGGAGGTCCAGACAAGAGTACGAATTGCTCCGTCTCGAATGCACTAGCGAAGAGCAAAAAAACGGGCAGCAACAAGCGTTGATTGGTCTTTGTATGGACGACTCGCGGCCGTCCTCGGGAGTGGGAGCAAGATTTCAGGATTTGGTGGTGACATTTTGCCTTTTGGGTCCTTGTCTGGTGCGCTCCACCACCGCTCCCCGTCAATCCGTCCCGCTGCGCTTGCCCGTGCGTGTCTCTGTTCCTTTGGTGTGGATCGTATGGAGTCACAGCTGGATGCTGTTGGATGGTCAAACACAGGCGACGGCGGTTATGCGAACAAGGAAGGTTGTCATCACGAGTTGGAAACGAAAGTGAGATCGATCTTTCACGCGTCCAATCATTCGCATGATCCTTGTCCTTGCTCGGTAACGGTTGCACTTGGGGCACAGCTGTCGCTTCTCTTTTGATGACGAATTTGATGATGAAGAGACCTCCTTGTTGCTGCATCTGATCTCACTTTCCCAACCTCAGTTACGAAACAGGAGGTCACATCCATGCATACACAAGAATAGGTCGGGAGCACAGGCACCCTTTCTATCGAGCGTCTCTCATCAACGTCCGACCGCATCCAGGAAAAGCATGTACGGTAGGTCATCAAACGATTCGCCGAGACGATGATGCGAACGCGTTGCGCGAGGGCGACTTTCAGAATCAATCAAACTCGCTCATTTGGAATAGCGCCCTCTCACCCCACACATGTTTCCACACGCTATCCGCCCAGGCTGAGCAAGACCTGTGCTTTTCGCTAGCCCTTCGGATATACGGTCTCGGGGCTTGCTCATTATCATCGTTCATGAATCGCGATATGATGTTCTCGTTACCTCGATAGCAAGGATGGAACACGAAACGGGCGACATGGATGGATGTTATTATCTTTTGATGATGTGGTCCCGCTCCCGTGCTGCATGGCTTATCCACAGACAAGGACAGTCGTGTCAGCTGCTGTCTCGGACATTCCGCCAAGTCGGTACGAGCAGGCATGTTGCAACAACTGTACCTGTAGTGCTGATGGTTACTGCACAGATACCTGCAACGATTTTTTTCGGTGCACCATCCATCGTCCAAACATGCGACTCACGCCGGGAGGTGGCGATAACTCAGCAACATGATCAGGGACATGCCTTGTCTAGTCTATCCACCCGTCAAGGCTGATGCGGCCACCAGTCGTGACTTGCAAACAAGTGCCAACGGCTTTTGATGTTTAGAACTCGCTGATCCTGACTGATACCTACTATTGAAGATCGAAAAATGGTCACGCAAGGCGCCTAAAGTTTTGAGCATGCCGCGCGTGTGTGCTATGCTCGCCTGCTTGCTCGGAATCAAGTAACCAAGGAGTACGCCCTAGCGATGTGATGCAATCTTTGCAAGCAGCCGTTCAATGCTGCTCAAGCCAGCTGGTAGGTACTAAGACATGATGCGACGCCTTCGGCATGGGATACGGACAACGATGGAAGTGATATTTGACTCGTCACCGCTCAATAGACTTTGTGTATCGCTTTGGAGCCAGAAGCAGCGTGCTTGGTAAGGCAGATGAGAACGAGTTATGGTCCCGGGAGATGGATCCAGATTCCTCGCTTGGTTGGGAAAGGTAATGATTAGCATCCAAGCCCTGGCGCGTGGTACAGCCAGCGAACGGTCAGGAGGAAAGTGGAATTGCAATAATTGCGGTGCTGTGCTGTGCTATCTGCACCATGCGTGACAAGACAAAGATAGCGCTCGCTTGCTTGAAGCACAATCAATGCCAGTGCACCATTGAAAGCGAATCGACGCGACAGTGATGAGCCACGGCTCACGGCAGTTACGAATAGGCAAGAGCTGTAAATCCTCCTACGGACGAGTGCCACTTCCTCGGCTTTAGCGAATAGTGAGTTCCAGAATGAGATGATACTGCTGCTTACTCGAGACCTTCTTTTCTAATTAGACATGGTGGGTCATGAGTAGAAGGAAGGGCGGAAGTCTAACGCCGGCGGTAATAACCATTTAGGGAGAAACGCCAAAGACTCATCGGCATGATACCTATAAAAATCATCAAGTCATCAGCATGTTAGAGACAAGTGTGCATAATACGCTGCTCGGGCAAATCGGATATCGTATCGCTTAGTCGCCCAGGCTGCTGCGTGTGGGTCGATGTATGCAAGACGAAGCGCGGGGAGATTTTTGAGATACGGACTGGTCCGATTAAATTAGCTCGCCAGCCGGCAGCAGTTTGGAAGTCTTGAGTATAATTTTGCAGGCTGTCGCGCGCAGGTGGTACCAAGGCCGTGTGAGACGGACTGAGCCAGCCAAGCGTCGTCGTCGGTTTGCGTCGCCAGTCGCAGCTAACGCAACGATGGCTTGGGGGCCGTGATGCTTCCTTTGCAAGGTTTTTTTCTTCTGTCAGAGGAATTTTGATTGCTATTTGCCGGCCCTTTTGTGGCTGCCAAGGTTAGCGTGCGGTTTGACGAATCAAAAGGCAGTGCAAGTGCCCTTGTCTTTGATCATGATGAACAACAAGTCAACAACCTCGAGCCGCACAAGCCGCGGAGGTCATGCACACCCGTGTTCGAGCATATATACGCCGGTTTTGTATGGATCGGAAGCGCGAAGGATGGAAGGTCACTGATGAGTTGTTGCATACATGGTTTTATCCTTGAACTTAATTTTGACGCGTGAGCGGTGGGATCTGGCACATCCAATACTTGATTCGGCCATGGTCAAAATTGTCGATGATGTGGGATGCGAGCGTTCGTTACGTTGCTTGGTCAGGCCGACATCCGTCGGCGCGCATGGTAGCCAGCAGCAGCACAGAAGGAGCAGCAGCAAGCGACATCAGCTCCCGCAGGGAGTAGCGGCAGGCATGGATCCCAAGGCTGGGTGATGATTGACGGTCCATGATCGTATCACAATTTTCTCTTTGCTTGGAGCTTGCGAGGGATTCGTGTTGGTCGGGCCGGGCGGGCTTAAGGGATGTGCTTCTGGCAATCTCGCAGCGACCCAGGGGCTGGCACAGTACGAGCTACGCAGGGCGTGTGGGCAGCTTTGACGAGACACGACGATGATACAGTAGTTAGGTAGAGCCGGCCTAATGCGGACTGCCCTGGAATCGGAGCGCAGGCAGCCGGAGGGGCAGTCGGTTTGGCTTATGAAATGCTAGCCAACAATACAGTATCCGCCGAGCTAGCAGTGCTTGGACCGCAGTTGATGTCAACGTTTCGACCCTCTTTTTCCCTTTCGCATCTGCGCCTCTTTGCGGTCAAGGTCTTGGGTCCATGTCTGGAACCTACCGACCACTGATTCACACTTCACGCCGGGCAATCCTCACGAACGTTGTGGTTTGCCAGGTCCGCCGGGCTTTCCGCCATGATCATCCGAAGGCTCTTTCTTCGTTATTGCTGGCTGCCTGCGTGCATCCGTAATGTACCCTGTGCTGCTGGTGGTGCTTGACGAGCTGGCCTCCACTAAACTCCGCAGTGTCATGGCCACGATGGAATAACGTTTGGTCAGACTCGTCTTGGTCTGCCGTCCGTCGTTGCTGTCATACCTTCTGCCTATTACCCATCTACTTACATGCCTGACCCTCACTCACATCTCCTTCCTATCCCGCTCCTTGCTTGACTGTCCACACCTCCCCACCTGGATAGCACGAGCCTCGACCGTGCCTTGTTGTTACGAACGCACCCTGGGTCATGCAATAATTCTTTGCTCAAACAAGAAGTCCATGACATCCGTCCTGCTCTCTGACTGACAGCAACCCACTCTTGCCCATCACACCTTCCCGTCTGCCTCATGCTGTCCATGTATCCGCCGCCAGGCATTCACTTCCGCAACCCTTTCGTCGACTCTTCGGCCTCGACGTCTCAGAACTTTAGCCACTCTCACTTCAAGCTCGACCTTGACATCCAATCTCCTGCTGGCTCGGCCAAGGTCACATTCCCTACGAATAAGCCCCTCACGCCACCACCGGACATGAACAGCGTTGCCTCCCATGTGCAGCCTCAGCACAGTAGCTACTATGGAGAGAGATCTTCTGCCACTCCGGTCAAATACGAGCACCGCAAGTACGACCAGGCCACATACGACCAAAGCCACAGTCACAGCCAGAACCAAGTGCACCTACCAAAGCCCGATGTCAGCGCTGCGAAACCACCGAGTCCGGTCTACCAACCACACCCCGTACACTTCATCGACCCTCCAACCAACAAGAGAGATTCTCACATGAGCGCAATTGCTCCCTCGCTGCAAATCCCACGATCGGTGAACAGCAGCCAAGGGAGCATTGCTGAGCTGGCAGCACAAGTGAGTGATTGATAGTTGCTCACACAATCTTGGCATCTTGCTGACTCGAACTAGATCACATGCCTTTTCTGGTTCGAGAGCTCTACCACGCTAGACCGTGCCGACGATCCCACGACGACATACAATGTACAATCGCTGGTACCCGAAGCCATCCCTACAACAGGTTTCCGCAAGTGGGTGACAACCATCCTGTCCACTACCCAAGTGACGCAGAATGTCATCATCCTCGCTCTGCTGTTCGTCTACCGCCTGAAGAAGCTCAACCCGAGCGTCAAGGGAAAGCCTGGCAGCGAGTACCGCCTGCTCACAGTAGCACTCATGCTCGGCAACAAGTTTCTGGATGATAACACATACACAAACAAGACCTGGGCCGAAGTGTCTGGCATATCGGTGGCTGAAGTGCACATCATGGAGGTCGAATTCTTGAGCAACATGAAATACGCCCTCTTCACATCTGCCGAAGAGTGGGGACTCTGGCAGAGCAGACTGGGCCGCTTCGCCAGCTTCTTTGACCGCGCTTCAAGACCCATGCCTCAACTGCCACACACCCTTCCTTCGCCTCCTACGTCAAATCACGCCTCGCCTCCCTACTACAGTGCCTCCAACAACCCGCTCACTCAATCCTTCCCTCAGTACCAATCTCCTCTCGCCCAGCTTCCCGATCTCGCCTCACAACTCTCGCGCAAGAGAAGTCTCGACGCCTACACGGAGCCTCCAGCCAAGCGCATGACCCCGGCTTACCCTCCTCCTGCTCAGATCCATTCACAATATGCTCCGAGAGTCACTTTGCCAAGTCTCGCTCTCCCACAGCCTCACTCCCAGCACTCTCAGCACCTTCATCCTCAACTGCCCCCTATCAATTACTCGCACCTCCCCATGAACCAGGTGACCCAGCCCCCTATTTCGTGGACCCCAGCAACTTCCATTCCAGCTCCGATCTCGCACGCCACTACGCCCATTGGCATGACTTCAATGCCACAGTCTGTCGTTCAGTCGAGACATCAGAGTCCATTCCCTACCTCTGCTGCTGGTTCTCCTACCGACGGACACTACCAACCTGCAGGTCAGGCTCACCTCTCTCAGTTGTCGCCATCCTACTTCTTGGCTCAGCGTAACAGCCCTTACCGACCAGTTCGTGGTGTTTCGACTCTGCTGGTACCCCCTCCTTCCCGCGCTATGCAGCAACCCCAGAATGTTCAGCGTGAACAGATGCATTATCAGCCGCTTGGACGTCCCCAGGAGCGTCAACAAGGTCGTCTGCCTTATATCGAGAGCCAGTGGTTCGAGGGAAACCCTACATCCGCCAACCAATGGTACTCGCAGAACCAGCAACACCAGCAATTGCCCCCCACCTCATTTTACAACAGGGTCTAGAAAACTACATGTTGGTCGAGGTCTAGAATGGGCTAAAGCACCTTTCACTTCTTCTGTACCATATTCCTGAAGATGGCCTATACATGGTCGATCTGCTACCCCCTTTTCTCTTTTCTCTCTGTCACGGTTCCTGCATTCCACTCGCATCCAAGCTCGGAGTTAATGATTTTCTGTTTTTGAACGAAACGGGCTGTTCACAGAAAGCGAGCGAATTTGCATTTCCACCCCGTCCTACACATTACAGCGGCGTCTTTTTTCGCGATGGGCACGATACCACCTCTGTTGTAGTTTTGCGCCCCTGATTAGCGAGTCTTTTGACTTTTTTTTTTCGGCATGCAAGTCTTTTGGAAAAGACTTGCCATAGAATTACGGCTCCTTCCTGAATTAGATTGAAATTTGCCAACTTGAACTCGTATCTGTGTCCTTTTTGTGCAAGTTGTTTTGGGATACAATTATGCGTGTTGTTCTGTGGATCTCTGCTATGCTCGCTAGTTTTATGCACGTCTTACGTCACGGTAGTTCGAATTGTGAAGGGAAGGTCAAGTATATCTCAACCACCACTTTTGCTACATTCAGTCTGATCAATTTCTCGTCGTTTCGATCGCCAGCCTTAAGTACCTTTCTTTTGAGATATAAACACATTTGCTTTCCTGACTATAAACGTGGAGCAGGAGCATACGTCTGGTGACTTGTATTAGATCATGGTCAGACCTTGGTGCATCAGCTTTTGGAAACCATAAAATGGGTTATTGACCGCCAACGACATCGGTATGATATGAAACTGATCTATGATGTACAAGTTATACAGAGATATCAGTTCCAGTACATGTGACCGCCACAGTCGGTTGTTGAGGACGCTGAGAGTGCGTTACATCCTTTGAGTTCATGCAAGTGGTATGACCCTGGCTATATTCTGCCTTGACCGCACTTTCCATGTCGAAACACTTTTGGTGAAAATTTGATTTTTCTTATACATGGTTCACGATTAGGAAGGGAGGGGTACAAAAGAAGAGGGATAGAAATGTGGAGTAGAGATATGCCTCACGGCGAGACAGAATACGGGAGTGGGATTCTGAGATAGTGTAGCAGATGAGAGCAATTTATGATGGTCGTTCTCCCATAATGGAGTACCTGGGCGCTCAGTACCTGGTGTGAGCATCTGATCCGATCGCTGTCACTGTCCAATGTTGCTCCACAGTTTCGTCTTTTTTGAGCATGTGATATGTTGTGAAAGTAATGTCCATCTTCGCAGCCCTTGCGAACCTCGACACGACTAGAGGGAAGAGCTAGAGCAGATCAAATCACCTCGCTCTCTTCGTCATTGGTGTTCTCGATGAGCTGCCAGAACTCTGCCAATCCGTAACAGCCATCCCAGAGTATCTCCATGCGCCGAATCCATGAGATACGACATTCTCTAACTGCTTCCCGCGTCTTCCTGAACAGTTGTCAGCGACGGAAATCTTTGGTCCTCACTACAGATCGGGGATCGATCGATGTCACGAAAGAGTGAGGTTCTACTCCCTGCCGTTTAATCTCGAATATACGAGTGACAGTACGGTACATCACAGAGAAGAATTTCGAAATTGGTCTTCGACACAGTGAATGACCTTGTGCCTCGTTATCATTAAGTGGGATTACCTATCCGACAGTTTTTGTTTAGTTAGGCTTCAGACCGTCGTTGTAGTTGTCAAGCGGAGCAACATGCTTAATGGTATCCCACAAGGCATCAATCTTCTCCACAACTTCATCAGCAAGAGGACCATGGTCAAGGCCTTCCAACGTCTCCTTCAACTGCTCGAGACTGCTCGCACCAACGATGATTCCATCACCATGTTCAGGCTTCAATGCGGAATTGTACTTGACCCAGCGATATGCCAGTTCAGCACGCGAAATACCTGCCTCGCTGGCAATCTTCTCCCAATCTACGAGCGAGTCCAGTAGCTGAGGTCTGGCGTACATGTTGGTGTAGATTGCACCGATCATCTCGAGCCCAAATCTACCCTTTCCATCGAGGACTTCTTGCTTTGTCTTGGTTAAGAAGCCGCCAGCCAAGGGGCTGTAGGCGTAGAAGGAGATACCAAGCTTGCGAAGAGTTGGGAGAAGTTCGGTGTCTTGACGACGGGCTACGGGCGAGTAATTGCCTTGATAGACCGAGGGCTTCACGAGGCCGTTCTTCTCGCAGTAGTCGTAAACAGCTTCGACGTCGCTGGCGGTGAAGTTGGATAGGCCGAACCGCTTGAAGACGCCAGCCTTGTAAAGCTCATTGACAGCGGAAAGAACCTCAGCATTGGGCTCGGTTGGAGATGGCGAATGAATGTAAAAGACGTCAAGTGCACCGAGCTTCTTTGAGCTCTCGTGTCCGTTCTCGAGGATGGCATCCTTGGTGTTGGCTTGTGGGTTGAAGCCTCCGGGAGTTTTTGTGTCGACAATGAACTGCTCGCCGGCCTTTGCTTCTCCCAGAACCTGCTCAGAAGCTCCGTAGAGCTGAGCTGTATCGATAGTCTCGACTCCGTAGGCCTTCAGAGTCTTGAAGACTTCGTGACAATCCTCTACAGTTTGGAAGGCGCCCCTACCCACACCCGCTCCACCGAAGATGGTCTTGATTCCTGATCCAGGCATTGTGATTAATTCTGTCGATGTGATGGTTGAGCTGTGTTAGTGAGGAGAACAAGTAGGCCACTCAGTACCTTTAATACCGTCCGCGGCTTGAGATGTTGTCGATCATCACCGATAGTCGGGAAACTGTCACTCCGACCCATATCACAGCGGACAGCCGCCAGCCGTGACATCGCTCCTCCACGCCTAGGACGGTATGCTCATTTGTAAGCAAGTCTCATGAAGATTACAAAGCGAGCCATCTTGATCACACCAGGATCGCAGCGAGTATGTGCCACATCACAAGGCAGCAAGATGTTGCCAGTCATTGGAGACCAACTGTCCGGAAGACGTGATTCTGAGATTACACGGCGAGATTCTTGCGCCCGACCGACTGGCAGAGTCGGGCGGACATCGCGGGGGAATTGCGTGATGTTTTTGAGCATCATTGCGATTAGTGCGTACATGAATGAAGTACATGAAGACGACTTTCTTCTCCCAGCTCAAGATTTCCAAGTCTTCACAGCCCCCAATAGGAAATCCCAACTGGATGTAAAAATGGAAAGGTTCAAAGTCAAAGTGGTATTGACTTTGTTGGCAGCGCCAAGAACAGAACAAAAGCAAATCTAGCATCCTTCGGCGTGGCGTCCAGAAGGACAGCATGCTCGGCGCACATGCCAAAGGTGACAGCCTTCGAACTCCTTTTCGGTCAAACGACAGGATTGCGGGTTCTTGTATCCAGGGGGAATTGCGAGTCTATTGTCGCAATCAAAGGAAGATTGCGCGATTCTCAAGCTGAAGTGCACAGGCACAGTGGGGTGGGTCGTGAAGTACAGAAGATGGAGAGCGATATACTTCCACACCCTTTTCCCCAACTGTCTAGGATTCTGTGAAGTAACAAGCAAGCCGTTGGTGAAAAGCGCAAGTCTCAGCAGAATAGGTCACAGTCAGCAAGGGAGTGTGTCCTTGTGTAGCTCGTATCAGCTTGGCGGGCAACTCCTGGCATCCAAGACCTTGCCTTATCGGTGCTGGCCTTGCGCATAACTCGAGATTGGGAGGCGTAAGTTGGTTGGAGTTGGCCATCGTATCGAGCGTAGAGAATCGCAACCGTCGCCAAAGTTGTATGTTAGCCGCCATGTCATAATTTAGCCCTCCACCCTTGACCCTTTCCCAGCCGCTGGTCAATTTCCTTCGTACGGCAATAATACCATCTGCTTTCCTGCATTCTCTCTTCGTCTCTCGTTTCCCAACCCGACTCTCGTTCAACCACACCCGTTCAAACAGCCTGCTGCGGTGGTGAAAGCACATTAGCTGCCCACTAATCCTCATCACCAACCATGGCACAAGAACATCTCCTCCCTCCCCCTTCGCCGGTGCCCCAACTCCGCCGCAGACCGACGTTTCGCAACACGAAGACTTTCTGGATCCCGCTTGTCACCATTGTCATCTTCTTGTCCATCTTCTTCACTCCTCTTCCTCGCACTTACGATGAACATCGCGACGCCGTCATTCAGTCCATCACGGACACAGCAAAGGATGTTCTACCGCCAGCTCTCTCGCACGACAACTGGCATCCTACCGACTTGGGCAACGTAAAGGCCAAATACGCCTTCGCAACCTTCCTCGCCGGAAACGCTGCCCCCGACGAGAACTGGGAGAACGACCACTACTTTGTTGCGACCCGCATCCTCGCATACCAGTTGCTACATGCACCCGAGACATCCTCTCGCGACAAGTCGATCCCCTTCGTTGTGCTGGTCACCGAGAATGTTTCGGAAGAAAAGAGACAGAGATTGCGCAAGGATGGAGCGGTTGTCGTGGTCGCAGACTTTATCAAGGCCGACTGGGTCAAGACCGAGACTAGCACGTGGCAGGACGTCATGACAAAGCTACGTCTGTGGGAGCTGACGCAATTCGAGCGCATCTGCTTCCTCGACGGCGACACTGTCTTGGTCGAGCCTCTGGACGCCATCTTCGACGATGAAGCAGTAAAGACTCGTGGCACTTTGACCCAGCCCGCTGCGACAAAGTCGGATGAAGGAGTCATGCCCCTGGAGTACAACTTCGCCGGTGTGCCCGAGATGATGCGCGAACACGGCTATCCTCCAACCAACGAGCACCACGACTACCCCAACGTCGGCTACCTCAATGCCGGCTTCTTCGTTTTCCAGCCCTCGCGCGAGATGTTCGATTACTACATGTCGCTACTCAAGCTGAACGGCCGCTTCGATCCTCAATTCCCGGAGCAAAACCTGTTGAACTACGCCCATCGCCAGGACGGCAACATGCCCTGGACCCAACTCGGCAACGAGTGGAACATCCACTACCCAAAGGTCGCCGACCTTCTCGGTGGCGTTAAGAGTCTGCACGAGAAGTGGTGGAATCCCGAAGTCAAAGACCTCAAGCCTTACATGGAGAGCTGGCGCTGGAGAATGGAGGGCCATTTCGAGGCAAGAGATCATATGCTCACGAAAGAGTACCAAAAGCATGGGATTGACCAGACATCATAATTGTCAGCATATTAGAGAGTTCTTGGATTTTGGCGTTTCTTGGCTGGTTTCTGTTTTCTTCACAATATCTTGATTAGAGCACCGCAGGGAAGCATAGGCGTCGACGATGACGATTGGCTCGGTGCCATGGGAGGCAAGGCTGACATACTTCTACTTTTACATCATTAGGCCACACCGGCTGGTTCAAGGCTTGCTTTGCAGCCACTTTTTACTCATACGAACATAATGCATTTATTCATAATCCATATTTCAGATCAGTCCGAATTCTTAGGGGCATCAATGTCCTGTGGAACAGTCCTTGCACTCGACACTTTCAAGACAATATCAATCTGTAGTAGGATCTGTAGTAGGATCTCCCTTCAAAAAGCTCCGTCTCACATGAGAGCCGAGATGACGGTCTATCCTTTCATGCGTATGTTGCTGCTCTTCGGAAGGCTTGCGGACTAGAGATCGGGATCTGAGTATCCATAGGAGTCCTCCGGTGATGGCGAAGAAAGATAGGATGCCGGCATGCTGACGACTTGATGGAAGAATTAGAGAAAAGTAGCCTGTCAGATGTTCACGGTCCGCTCACAGATATCCGATAGTGCCGCGACGAAACATGGGGCTAGGTCCGGCCATTATGGTAGTGCTTGATACAGAGAGACTTTATGGCAATAGTGTTTTATAATACTAGGCTGTTGACAAAGGCTGATAAACAGCGGGATTTGGTGAGCTTCTGAGTGCATCGAAGGTGGCCTTCATTGACTTGGCTATCACTTTACTAATGGCAGGAGCGACGAAGTGCATCGTAGCGACTTCCAAGCAAACCTTGTGACAATTGCGTCTCTTCCACCACATCACTCCTTGATCGACTGTCAGGAGAAGTTCACGCCTATCTCCCCACTGAAGGCTCCGTTGTCGGTAGGATATGCGATTCTCGTCAGCAGGCTCATGTTGCCGGGCACCCGCTCCCATCAACTATACAGGGGAGACCCAGTAGTTGGATCGTAAGGATTGCCCTGCAGTTGAGGACTGCATTCGAAGCAGCATGGTGAAGCCGTCGTGGTCCTCTAAACTTCGGCGGAAAGTCGAGCCGAGAGCGACCAAAACCAACTCGCGACTTTCGATCCTCACAACTTGCAACCTTGTCAGCTTGCATCACGCATGCAGATCCGACGTGGGAGCGCGACAGAAGCAGCAGACACATGATAACGATCCTATGTCAATCTTTCCCCTCATGAAAGGCTTCTCAGCACTTCAAACAATGCTTGTCTTCAGCTTGCAGATCACAGCTATCAGAAGAATCACGTCCATTCAGCCTACGTCTGGGAGAAACGGCGACTACATGATTTCCCCATTGCTCACTATAAAGTAGGCTACACACGGAGTGAGATGTAATCACCGTACGACTACAGGCAATCGATGTATATCACGACTAAGCATGTTCGTATGCAGATAGCCATGTTACTCCTGGACACATCCCATACACCACATTATAATTCCAGACGGCGGTCTGCACGGCGGGAAGATTTCCACCACTCCCATCCCCGCACGAGGTTGCACATCATTAGCTTGGCCAAAAGCTTGAGAACCAGCGATATGGGTCCAATCAGAATCTCTGATATGTGGTTCGATCCTGCGTTATCCTGTTTCTGTTGCTTTCTGGCCCAGGCACGCTCAACACCTCCTCTCGTATAACGCACCTATCTCGCAATCCCCCACGGATGTCCGAAGGAAGAATACAGCTTTCTTCATGCCCTCGGCCAATCTCCGCTCGCTATGATCTGGGTATCGCTGTTGACGTGCTAATGTTGAACACAGATCGTCGCGAGGAATGGCTTCTTGTCGTGACAATCCCGAATTACCCTGGCTGACCTATGCGAGCATGGGTCGCGTGCCACTGTCTCTGGCCGACCCCTCGGCCTGTAGTCATCGATGCCCAGAGATCGAGCTCTATGAATGCATGCTACGATAACGTGCTGCACATTCGTGGTTTGCGCTTGCAAGGGTGAAAGTCCGCAGGCTGTCAGGTAGGAAGATGTTCGGAGTTAAGACTCGTCTGGTCGAGAATTGAAGTTATTGGAGGAGTGTCATAAGTAGTCCTGTGGTGTCCCCAGATCCAGTTCTCATTTTGCCTCTATCATTTCAATCGTACTCAAGATGATTGCTCTCTCTGGCTCACTCGCACTGCTAGGAATAGGCTTTGCGGTGCTTTTCTGGTTGACACAGGTATGTCTAACCATATCAACATCTTCAAAGGCTTTTGCTGACGCTAGCTCGATATTAGGTTATATATATTTCACTCACCTCACCACTGAAAGACGTGCCGGGCCCATGGATTAGTCGCTACACTAATCTAAAGCTGAAGTTCGCTGTCACCGGAGGACGCCGTATCTTCTACATCGACGATTTACACAAGAAACATGGCCCCATTGTCAGGATCTCGCCCACAGAGATCGCCATCTCAGACCCTGCTGCTTTCAAGCAGATCCATGCAGTCTCTTCCAAATTTGCCAAGGACATCTGGTATGAGAAGTTGACGAACTTCCCTCGTCTGAGTGTCTTTACCATGCGCAACCCTCGTGAACATGGTCAACGCAGGAAGCTCTTTGCTCGTGGCTTTAGTAAGACTTATCTTAGAGAACACTGGGAGCCTACTGTGCGTCAGAAGACTTTGCTCGCTGTGGAGAAAATCAAAGTCGACGCTCAGACTGGTGTTGCTGATCTTCTCAAGTGGTGGACCTTCATGGCTACAGACATTGTTGGTGTCCTTGGCTTCGGCGAGTCGTTTGGTATGCTTGAGCTTGGGAAGGTAAGCCGCTTATGTCTTTCAACACTGCCAGTATGTTGACCAAGCTTCACCAGAAAACCGAATACATCCGTGTTCTCGAAGCAGCTCTCATCGGCAACGGCATCGGCGCCGAGATGCCATGGCTTCGTGCCATCGGAAGTCGCATCCCCTTCAAACCATTAAAAGAAGCCTTCAACTCGAGCGCGTATATCCTCGGCTACGGCACAAAAGCCGTCGAGAATGCACGCAAAGGCGGTCAAGACTCCAATCTCATGGCGACCATCATGGCCGAAGCCGAAAAAGGCGAAACCTGCGTCGACGATATGGACGTCCGCACGGAGTCCACCAGTCTCATCTTCGCCGGCTCAGGCACAACTGCCAATACCATGACATTTCTCTCATGGGCAGTCATATCACGACCACAACTTCGTTTGACTCTGGAAGAGGAAGTCGCAAAACTTGGCGAAAACTTTACTGATGCAGACTTGGAACAACTGCCTCTCCTCAACGCCGTCATAAACGAAACATTACGTCTCTACTGCGCAGTCCCTGGTAGTCTTCCTCGCGTGGTACCCGAAAGTGGGGCGACGTTGAATGGCTACTTTATCCCCCAGGGCACCACAGTGAGCACTCAAGCCTACACCCTCCACCGTGACGAAAACCTCTGGCCAAATGCCCTGACGTAGGTTTTTTCCTTCCTTTCCCACCACTCTTTTCTTCTTTCTCTACTAACATATTTCAAGCTACGATCCCACTCGCTGGCTCAACGGCAAAGAACAATCTCCAGCTGCAAAAAGCACATTCTGCGCTTTCGGCGCGGGAGCATACAGTTGTCTAGGCATTAACCTCGCATGGATGGAATTAAGATATGCGACTGCGTTTTTGTTCCGTGAGTGTAGAGGTATGCGTGTTTCTCCGGGTATGGCGAAGGGTTGTATGGACTTGGAGAATTACTTTGTTATTGTGCCCAAGGGGCACAAGTGTGAGGTCACACTTCGTGGCGAGGACTAGATAGAGTTGCAGAGAGCTGGGGCGGAGGGGGTTTCTACAATGTGACGAGGTACAAAATAACAAAGGTCGTCTAGAGCCATGCATCTCGTGGGACACGAAGTTGGGTCTTGTGGTGAATTAACGATTATTTGTTTGATCAGAGTACAAAAAGACTAGTCCATTTTACTAGCAATACCATACCATACCATACCATACCATACCATACCATACCATACCATACCATACCATACCATACCATACCATACCATACCATACCAACCATACCATACCATACCATACCATTCCCTATCTATTGTACCCCATCCACCGAGGTCCGCCTAAGTCAAGAACACTAAACGCCGCAAGTAACAATAGAGACAGCTCTGACAATCTAAGCGTGTAAGGGTGAAGACGGGACGACAAATGAAAGCGTCCAGAAGCTTGCGCTCAACGCACTATGGTCTCGAATACTCGAAAGCTAGTACAAAGTCAACCGACCTGAGTGCTGTCCGTCCAAGCACTGGATTCAAAGCCAGGAAGGAAGTGGCCAGGTTGAGATCTTCTAAGCAGATCATTTATCATTCCGTCGTTCTTAATTCCGTCGATTCGTTGCCAGCTGTCGCGGCATGACTGTTCGGGTGCGTTTGCAATATCTTGGATGGCGAAGCTGTCAAGATGTTCTTGACGCTGTTCTTGTCGATGTCCATTGTCTTTCCATGGGTAGCAGCACTCTGAACTCGATTCGCCGGCGGTCTTGAACGGTCTCCTAATCAGGTCATGCAAATCGCGAGCAGTGTTGACCACGTCAGGTCCAAGTGGGTGTTGACCCATGGCAGTGGTGTGTAGTATAGTGTAGAAGCGGCTCAATGTGGAGTGGAACTGTCCGGCAGCTACATCCTTTTGACTGCAGACACCGAGAAAGTCGAGGCAAGCACGTGCAAGATCTAATTCATAGCCCAGAGCTGTAGCAGACTGAACTCCAGCGTACAGCATTTCTGCTACGTGGTGGAGGATGAGCACACAGCTAGAGTAGGCTTGAAAGCTATCCACGTGTCAGTATTACCATTGTATACAGCACTATTTCCAGACAAGCAGAAACTTACATGCAGATCCAGCATCTTTGAACGATGCCGCCCTCGACATACAGGCGTCTGAACAACTTGGCGGACTCTCTTGCGGCAGTTTTCGCCTGCGCTATCAGATCGTTGAGCACATTTTCGTGCCCTGTAAGCAAATTGTCTTGGTCATGCATACTCTGCAAAACACGACGGAGAAGCATGATCTGAGCTCCGAAATAGAGGAAGTTGACGTAATAGATGGTCCTTCGCAACTCGAATGATATGTCAGGGTTGTTCTCCAGTTCGGTAGAGCGCATCTCGTGCGGCAGATTCTGTTGCCAGTGTTGTAGATCATTGGTAATCGTCTCGACCGTGCGAGAACTCAAGCCTTTGAAGGACAAGCTGAGTCGTAGCATGTCAAACTTGATGACTGCAATCTTGATCATCTCGGTCGTAACCTTTTCTTCAAGATCTTCACCATCGATCTCGAAATCTTTCAGATTCATAATGTCTTTCGACAACTGCAAACCTGAAACATAACCAAGAGTCGAGGACAACCAGGTCTCAAGAAAGACGAGTACTCGCCAGGTTTTTCTGAGCTCCATCCATTGGCTCCGCGCCATGTTAGGTGGACACACATGACCAATTGGCGGTCGTGACAGAAGATTTAACCCCATTTCTATGATCCTTTGTTAGTAAAACACACAAGTATGTCGAAAGACACAATCGATGACTTACCCACAAACGTCATGGCGACTTTCTCCTTGCTCATGATGTTGAACATTCCCAACATAGCACAGACTTTGGCAGCTCGATTGGCATCAACGCTGACCACGTCTTCCAAGAGGTGTTTAGCACAACTGTACATGTTCATCTCAGTTCCCTCTAGAAGAGTTTCTTTGATGTATTGCGAACCGAGTGCGCCTACAGCGCAGAGTTCACAAGCAGCTACGCGCATCGCTTGTTTATCGCCTTGGCTAGACAACATCTCAAACTGTGCGTCGAGATGGCTGGGTAGAAAGACATGAAAGAGTTTACCGGCTTCGATGTAGAAGGCATTGATGCACTTCCGGAGAACGTCCAAACTCGGCAGGGGTCTCTCAAAATCGGAGAATGGTTGGTAGGGTGTTTCAACCGGTAGAATATCATTCTCGAAAGGTGCCGGGGGAATTGGTTTAGTGTTAGACTCAGAACTCCGCGATCGTGAAGTGTACGAAGCTTGAGTTGTGTCGGCGTTGGAGGGAGGTGAGGGAGGTGATGGCGCCGAAGAGATGGAAGAATCGGAGGCCCGATGGTGCAAAGGATGAGGCTGGGATTTGCCCAGGGTCAGCGTGGACAAGAGCTGTTTGGTTCCGTCACAAGTCCGGAGATCATCAAGCATGCCCTGAGCCTGAGACGGGGAAGCGGATCGCAGAGCCTCGATGAATTTCTGCATACGATCGGACTCGGTCACGAGAGATGCATTTTTCCTCTTCAAAGCAGTAAATCGAGTCTCCCCAGGGTTTACAGTGTACTCGCAAGAGTCAATGCCCTTGACGATACAACGCTGGCATCTTGGACGCGTGCCATCACACTGTCAAAATTTAGCAATGGTTCGCGAACCATATCGACAGTTTTCCTGGTTACCTTCAATTTTTTCAGACGGCATTCTTGACATGCAGCATTGATAGTACCGCGTCTTGACCTGGTAGACTTTAAAGGATAATTATTCTGCAGAGGTTGCAAAACAGCGGCAGCATCATTCGGACGAACAGGCTGAGGGGCTAGCGGACGCGAGACAGCCAGCACCGGCGGCGACATGGCTTTGGGAACAGCGATACTGGCATGTAAACATGAAGAAATGAAAAGTAGGCAAGAAGTCGCTGAGATCGGAAACGGAAGGGGCTCCGACACACGAACGAGGGGTCCAACGCCACTCAGGGTCTAGGTCGGGAAAGTGCTAAGCAGTCGGAACGAGAAACGACGAAAGAAAGAGCACGCATGGCGGTAGAAGGAGCAAGTTACGGCGGATTCAAGATCAGTTCTTCCATCCCCCTCGCAACAAAAACCCGATAAGTGGCAAAGAGGCATATCCATGGTGCGTTACAGCGAGCATGGGCCGGTGTCTTTTTACGGCCGACGAGTTGTGCGTGTGTGACGGACTTGTTTCGATGCGGTCAGGGTCACCGCGGGTCTGACGCATCGCCATCTATGACTCTATGCAATGTAATGTGGGGAAAGTTGAAGCTCCAAGCACCTTGATATTTACCTGGTCGCCTGGCGTGCTTCTCAATTCCTTGTCGAAACACAAGCAGATAGCTATATTGTTCCTCAGTAACTTGTAAGCAAGACAATGGCGACACGGAACGACCGTTACAACAAGCTCTCGCCGCAGGAGCGCCGTGCTGGCGAATCGGTATGCGCCTCGCCACCTTGATGCAAACACGGCAACAAAGCAGCTCTAATTTACCATGAGCGTAGGCTCTCAGCGACTTTGCCGACTACGTCCAAAAGCAACAGGCCAAACGTCGCCATCCCCAGGACCAGGAGCCAGCAAACGGCACTCAGCCTGCCGCCGCGACCGAAGAGCATGCTGAGCTCGACATTCTCGACTCTCTCAACCTCAGTGACGAACCCACCAATGCCCGACTAAAACACCTCTTCCTTGACAAGTCTGACGATGTTGACGAGAGTATAAGCACGCTTGCAGGTCTCGTCAACGGCCGTCTGGAGGATGGCCATGGAGAGGCCATGTTCGATCTTGGTCTGGAGGACAACGGCGACTCGATGGGCTTTGACAAGGAAGACTGGGACTTTGCCCTGGCAAGACTACACATCATCACCGAATCATTAGGCGCCGACTACCGTTTACTGATGACCAAAAATGTTGGAGGCGAGGCCGAAGTCGATGTTAGTCCCAAAGAGAAGGCATGCAGTGGAAAGTTGATGATCAGGCGGCGGCCGAGCTCGGTTGATAATGTCATCGAGACGCGAATAGCTGTCGTCGGCAACGTTGATGCTGGAAAGAGCACCATGCTTGGCGTCCTGGTCAAAGGTGGACTTGACGACGGGCGTGGAAAGGCGCGTGTCAACCTGTTCCGTCACAAGCACGAGATTGAAAGTGGAAGGACAAGTTCGGTGGGTATGGAAATCATGGGCTTCGACAGCAAGGGTGAGGTCGTCATGGCTCAAACTGCCGGTCGCAAGTTGTCCTGGGAGGAGATTGGCAACAGATCGGTATGTGCTGCACGTTGTTGCGTCTACTTGGCTCGCTCGACTAACCGTTCTCCTAGGCCAAAGTTATTGGCTTCACCGATCTAGCTGGCCACGAACGCTACTTGCGCACCACCGTCTTCGGTATGCTCAGCAGCGAACCCAACTACTGTCTGCTCATGGTCGCTGCGAACAACGGCCTGATTGGCATGAGCAAAGAGCATCTCGGAATCGCTCTCGCCCTCAACGTACCAGTCATGGTCTGCATCACCAAAATCGACATCTGCCCGCCGCAGATTCTCCAACAAACCATCACCCAGTTGACCAAGATTCTGAAATCGCCCGGTGCTCGGAAAATCCCCATCTTCATCAAGAACAAGGAGGTGAGTATTCTGCACAACCGTAGTATATCAAGAACCGTGCTAACCACTTGCTCCTCTATCAGGAGTGCATCAACACTGCTACTCAGTTCATCAGCCAGCGTATCTGCCCCGTCTTCCAAGTCTCCAACGTGACCGGAGACTCCCTCGACCTCGTCCGCATGTTCCTTAACATCATCCCTCACCACGGCCACTATGATGCCGAGGCCCCCTTCGAGTTCCACATCAACGACACCTTCTCAGTACCCTTCGTCGGCACAGTAGTGTCAGGAGTGGTCAAATCTGGCGTAGTCCACGCAGGCGACACCATACTGGTTGGACCCGACGGACTCGGCAACTTCACAACGACCAGTATCAGAAGCATCGAGCGCAAGCGAATAGGCGTTCCCGCATGTAGCGCGGGTCAAAGTGCTAGTTTCGCGCTGAAAAAGGTGCGCAGAAAGGACGTACGCAAAGGTATGGTATGCCTTCTCAAAAACGACGACCTACCGCCGAAAGTCCATCGCGAATTCGTCGCCGAAGTGCTCATTCTCAGTCACGCGACCACCATCAAGACGAAATACCAGGCTATGCTGCATGTGGGCCCAATCTCTCAAACGTGTGCTATCATCGACATCGATAGAGCGTACATCCGAACTGGCGATCGTGCTACCGTGGCTTTTCGCTTTGTACAGAGACCAGAGTTCCTGTCTGTCGGCGACCGCATACTCTTCAGAGAAGGAAGGACGAAAGGTCTTGGTATTGTCAAGGCTGTTGGCTATGACCCTAGCAAACCGCTCAACCCTGACGCTGGTAAGCAGAAGGCTGTCGCTAGCGCTGCTGTGGATGCTACTCCCGCTGCTGCTCCGCCCACTGCTACTGTGTAAAGATACAATCTTTCACCATGCAGGCTGGGTCGCAACAACATCGTCTAATTTGATGATGCACATATTGGCAGATTTGGCATTGCGGGACTTTCAGGCGCGTAACGGTCGCTTGCAAAGGCGTAGGAGGTGTACATTCTCTATTATCACATCATTGTTCCTAGCTTCTAGATGACATGTGTATATGAATCAAACGATCACTACTTCCCGAGATCATATTCTGGCTAGCAGCTGTCTTTCCTCGTATGATAAATCTCTCGTTATTGATTACGAGTGAATGAATGTCGATCGCCCTACATGGTGAACATATGAGGACTGTAACACGGCTCTCTTCCGACGCGATTGAGTGATTGTCCTTCACGGAGCCCAAGAAAGACTCGACCATCTTGTTCTGCTCAGGTACAGTCGTCACTGAATGCATCGGTTCTGATGATTGAATTCATGGATGGCGTTGTGCGCACAAGAGCAAGCGCGCTCAATATAGAGACAAGGAGATACCTTTGTCATCGAGGCAAAACATCTGCAGTAATATTCGAAGACATCATGGTAGCATCTTATCTTTGTAAAGACACAAAAAAAAAAAGGAAACGCGGCCATTTAGTAAATACCAAAAGGAAACATTGAACAAGTTGCGAGGTGCGAGAAAAAGTGCAAAAAGAAAAGACCTTCAAAGAAAGGTCTGTCAACGGGTGTGCATAGGAATCGAACCAGACCTCTCCCAAGCTACCCTCCTTCTGCGTGAAACACAGGCGGGGAATTACAAACAAGGACGTGCTAACCACTGCACCACCGCACCCAATTGACTGATAGAGGGGCACTGGAATTTAATCGAATATATGTGTTGGAAAGTGAGGTGGTAAAGTGAGGTTGGGTGAGGGTGTTTGAGGAGGTCACGTGCGGTTGGCTGGAGGTGTGAGCCGGCGATGGTGTTGCGATGCTCTTGGTCTGGTCTTCGTACAGGGGATCTGACTTGTAGTGACATCCAGGTCTTCTTCGTCCCTGGGAGATGCTATTGACGTCTAAGCTCTCGAGGACCTTTTGCGTGGATGTGTTGAATCCAGTTCATGACCACATGGTCCAGTCCAGGCCATACGCTGACATGAGTATGTGAATGAGTGGCACGTCGGATAGGGATCGTGGATCATATCGTCGAAGTTCAATCATCCTTTGTTTTCTCTTCGACAATATCTTGTCCTGGAAGCGTCGCTGCTTGTGTAGTACTGTTAAGAGCACGTTTCCTCTGGCTTGACATTGCCTTCTTATGCCTCTTGCTGTTGACGTGTACTGTCCAATCACTCTCCGTGACAGATGTCGTATTGCAGACTTCGCAATGTTTGCGGCTCCAGAGATCAGCTCGGGTGCTAGTATCAGGTTTGGAAGCCGTCAACATTTCAGCTGCGAGAGGCGACAGACTTGAAGGATCCGGAAGTGCTTCTTCTTTGAGGAACGCGTCTACTATCTTGAGTCCAGCTTCCGATACGTTCTGCTGCCAGTTTTCAAGGTCTGAGCCGTCGAGCATGAAGAAAGAACCTTTGGCTCCGGCAGTATCGATGGCATTGTTGAGTTTAATGCGGATCCATCGAATCTGGCGCTTTGAGTACTGTCTTGTGCCAGCTTTAGTCTTCTCGATAGCCTGTAGAAGTAGTTTATTGTATTGTGCAGGGCTAGTGTCGCCTTTCTCCAGCGCGGCTTGGTAGTCGAGGAACTCCTTGTAGCCGATGGCAACCCAGATACCCCTCGTCGTGTCGATCGACTCACCATCAGCGATCCTGCCATTGTAAAAGTTTAGGAGAGCTGAGACTTCGTCCAAGAGTCCTTGTGCAACCATCTTGTCGACGCGGGTGTCGAGACGTTTCGAGAGTGCATCTGATTGGGCACCCACCCATAACACCAGAGTCCTCATGCGTAGAAGAGATGCGTCTTGGGCATCTTCTGAGAGCAAGCTCTGACCAGCAGTCTCGCGGCGTGTTCTTTGCTCCTCGTACATGTCTGAGGCCTTGCGACCGGTTTGGAGCCAAATTTCGAGACTCCTTTGAATCTTGCGGCGATCGTTGGGATGCCATCTATCTGCCATCACCGGATCAACCTCTCTTAGCTTCTCAAGAAGTACTTCGGTGGGTTCTTCGAGGATGGCCGGTTTTTCTGCATTCTTGACCGGCTCTTCGTCGTGAGCCTTGTTCGTAAGTGCATCGTGAAATAGCAAAGACTGTGTGTAGTAATGTGTGCCACCGACTAGAATGGGCAACCGGCCTCTTGCACGAATCTCGCTGATTTTGGCAAGCGCATTCGAAACAAAATTGCCTACAGTCCAAGTTTCTTCGTCCAGGCCTATACAACCAAGGAGATGATGAGGAACGCCTTCACGTTCATTTTCAGGCATCTTGTTTGTAATAATAGGCAAGCCCTCATAGAGCTGCATAGCATCACCGTTGATGATTTCACCATTGTATTTACGTGCAATATTCACGGCCAACTATTTTTTCCAAAAAAATATGAGTAATTTGCTCCTTCTCTTTCGTGATCGCAGCATTTTCGTGGACCTTTGGAAAATATCCAGACTTACCTCAGACTTGCCTGTGCCCGTAGCACCGACTACTGCGACAAGCGGCGCGCGCCCTGTCAAGTTGGACATGCTAGAAAATCGACAAACGGTTCTTCTCAACATCAAACCGATGTTGACATGTTGATTTGCGCTGCGAATCGAGACTGGGAAGATTTGAAAGACGCCATGGAAAGTGTAAAATCACGTGATGGAATCAAGGGCCTGGCCCATGTCGTCTTTCTTCCATTCCTGTTTTACCATAATGATTCATCATACGTCTTGAAAACATACAATTCGGAAAGAAAAATGGCACCTACTGAACGTCTCTCACCGAAGGTTGATGTCAACAACTTGACATTTGCGTTCCCGGATGGCAGTACTGGTCTTCAAAAGGTCGCTTTGGAGCTGCCCGCAAACAGCAGGACCCTGCTGATCGGCGGTATGTGATTCTGTCCATAATGCGCGTTATGATCAAATACTGACAGATGACATAGCCAATGGTGCTGGAAAGACCACTTTGCTTAGACTCTTGTCTGGAAAGCGCATGGCACCGAAAGGAACCGTCAGCATCGCAGGCATTGATCCTTTTGCTGAGGGTCTCGAGGGTGTGACGTATTTGGGCATGGAATGGACATTGAACTCAATCACTCGCACTGATATCGATGTGCCGACACTACTGTCATCAGTAGGCGGTGATGCCTATCCCGAGCGAAGGGATGAGTTGGTCAAGATCCTCGATGTTGATCTGAAATGGCGTCTTCACGCCGTCTCTGACGGTGAGAGAAGACGTGTTCAGCTGTGTATGGGTCTGATCAGGCCATGGACCGTTCTTCTGTTGGACGAGATCACCGTGGATCTGGATCTGCTCTCTCGTTACAACTTTTTGCAATTCCTCAAGAGAGAGACCGAGTCTCGTCCTTGCACCATTGTCTACGCAACACATATTCTGGACAACTTGGCCGACTGGCCTACTCATCTTGTCCACATGTCTCTCGGAAAGGTGAGACAGTGGGGTGCTATGGAGACCTTTGACGTCGAGGGCGCCCAAGGTGGTCGTTCTGGCAACAGTCTTTTGGGAGAGCTTGTCCTGGAGTGGCTACGTGAGGACCTCCAGGAGCGTGGTCCGCGTAACGGCCAGCAGTCAGAGAGCAAGACTTACGATTCTCATGAAGGAAAGGGTGGTTACGGTCAGTTGAAGGCTCCTCCACGTGGCGCTTAGATCGCCTGAACAAGAGCATATTAAAATCGAGCATGGCGTTTACGGAGCAGGGAAATTTATCATGATACAGGTAGTAGCCCATTCAACATAGAGGCATAATTCACTAGACATTGCATGACACGAACATTGGCCAAAAATTTGAATGAGGAGTGAAAGTGCTTTTGATTGTCATTGCGCTGTTGAAGCAATGAATGTGAAAATGTCCGAAATCTAGTTGATTGACCCATAAAACGCCTTGCTGTAATCCTGGTTTATCCCAAACCTCGCTCGACAAGTTTTTCCGAAAACGCCAGATTTGCTTGCTAAATAAAGCTTTGACCATAAACTCGTGCAATTGGGTATAGTGTGCAGAAGAATAAGAGAGAAAGAAAAGAGAACGCCGTTCCGTCGTGCAAGAATAGAAGAAGCGAAAAGTGCTCATGAGAGACGGAGTTGGTCGACATCCTCGTTGAGTTCTGATCCATCGTAGTCGTTAATCTCGATACGGTAGCTAGGGGGGCTGGCCGGGATGTCTTCGTAGAGAGGGGGTTGTTCGTCTTCCCAGGCGATGCCCATACCACTACGTTCGGTAACGTTGATGTTGAATTGGGTGCGCAAAACTCTAGCAGCGCCTGTAGGAGTGGCTTGGTTGGGCTTCTTGTTGGGGGCCCATTCTTCGGCAATGACAAGCTCCAAAACCATGACGTGGTTGATCTTGAGGCCAGAAGGGCTGTCAACGTCGCATTGAGGCTTCAGGCCACTGTCGATGGAAGCGGTGAATTCACCTTCGAGCTGACCGTCTGCGAAGTCGGTCTTCCAGCCAGACTTGAGATCATCGCTGCCAATATCCCTCGTGTGCTCGTGCTGGATGCCTCTGCCCTCACCGCCAACCTTGGCCATGTGCTTTGGGCATGCTGGCGAGACAAATTTCTCTTGCTCTTCAATACGCCACGTCAACTTCCTGAGGCGCCATCTGATTTGTGTGTCCTCTTTCTTGGTGGTAATGCCGGACATACGAGCATACACGGGGAAGTCGCCAATTGGGTGGATGACCGAGGGCAGAGTGACGTTGAGAGTCAAGTTGGTAGGAGGGAAGATTCTGACCGAGTTCTTGTCGTTGCCAGGACGAATGGCACGGTTGATGACGACAGGGCGGATGTACTCTGCGACTTCGCCGTTGACAGTCTCAGCGCGGGCGAACAGCTTGTAGTCAATGCTGCCAATGTGTCCGTGGGCTGTGGTTGGCAGGTGGCCAGGGATAAGGTAGCTGAAGGGGAAATCGTGGTTGCCGGTTGACAATTCGGCATTGTTGTCCAAAAAGTTCCACTCCTTGAGGTCTGTTGTCTTTGAAGCGCAGTCTTTGCAGTGGTCTCCCACTGGTCGCTTGGTCGAGGTGATTGCTCGGAAGATGAGGTTGAACGACTTGATGGCGGCGGGTGCTGCGCCAGTCACGACAAGTTGCATACGACCAGAAAAGAGAGAACCCGAGGAATGTTGGGGGCTATCCAGGAACAAGACTGGGGGAGACTCTACGACCATGTCAAGCTTGATGTGTCTTGCAGCCTGGCGACTGAGACTCGACTCGCGTCTGCCATCCTTGTCCTTCTTGTCGTGTGAGTGGCTCTTGCCAAAGTGAGGGCGTCTGAGGTGCTCCATGCTGTCGGGACGAGAGTCGTCTGATCGTACTGAGGATGCGCTGCGTTTCTTTTCAGGGACGGGTCTAAGAAGAGGTGATGGAAAGTCGAACCCCAGGATACGACCGGGCATGGCTAAGCGTCCAGGAAACTACTGGCTGGCAATGAATTTTCGAGTGACGGTATTCTGATCCGGGGTAGCTGATCGGCGTTGGTGGATTTCACGAGGAATGGACTCCGTTATGGACAAAGGGCGTGAGGGACGAGGAGGGCTGGACGAGGGAAACAATGAGCAGATTATCATTCAGGTGTCCAGGAGCTCCAAGACTTTTAAAAACTGTAAATAGTCGGGGTCGAAAACTCTGCTGTCATAGTGACTTCTCAAAATTGACTAATTTTGAGTTTACGCGATGCTAAGACCTTGTGATCAGACCTGGCATCAAGCCACTTTCCACGCATCTCTCAGTTGGGATGGCAGAATACACGCTTCGGCTCCCCCTTCTTAGATCGGCTGAATACCCAGTCGCCCTGCATTTTACACCAGCAAGCAATAGTCCATATCTCCCTCGCACGCAATGCCCATCGAATGTCCCTATCTATGAAACATCTGAGTAGGAAGGTGCATCCAACGGCCTTCTATGGACCTTCCGAAAGACGCTGTTTCCTTGGCTGCCGTTAGCACAATCGCCCCGAAAGAGGATCAGACCGATCTGGAATTAAAGTGTCTAGCTCAGGAGCATCCGTCCATCACACGTTTCGCGTCTGGTCATGGGGATCATTGCCGCTTTCCAGACAATGTAACACTCAAGACACTTTAACGATTCTTCTGCATCTCCGGCGACATCGCTCTTTGTCTTCACCCGCATCGAGGGAACTCCCTGTACAGCATGGCATCATCAATACCAGCAACAGTTGCCCCTGGTCCATGTATTAGATCCCCGCGTTGGAGGCGCTCTACGTCAGGACGCGGAGCCGCGCGCTTGCATTGCATGTGCATGGTGACATGATTCAAAAATCAAGCCGAACTCGCTCCTCTAAGGGAGACGACCTCGGACCACCGTAGTGGTCAATGTCGATGTCGCAATGCCAACCTATACACGCACCACAGGATGAGTCACTACAAGGCTGCATACCACTTGGATCGAGCTGACGTGGATATACCGATGTATGACGCGACAACTGAGATCCGTGAAGTGTGATACGAAACACATAATCCTGCTGTCTATGGGTCGCCTTCTGTACGCGAGTCGCGACGCCTTGATAATGATACATTCCGTCGCACGTTCCTCTTTTGCGAGAAGAAAATACCACGTGGAAAAAGAAATTTCTTCAAACCAAGATGCAATTTTGAAAAGATCATCGATCTGACAGAACTTCTTCAGGGTAAAGAAACCGTTTACGCCCTAGAAAAGGAGCTTTACTTCACCGCTCATTTCCACTTCTTTGGTATGCTTCGAGGCCGACTCGCATAGTTGAATCGCAGGTCGTGCTCTTGAACTCTGGCGTGATTTGCGCAAAGCTTTACAAACTCTAGAAGCTGGAAATAAAGGGTCAGGAGAGTGCGGAGCTTTTCTGCCGAAGAACTCAAGCATTGAAGAGTTTGAAGATCCGGAAGATGTCGCCATTGGACGCTATTACATAAAATTTAACCCAGCTGCCTATAAACAAGCACCACAAAATCCACCCTGGTGGTTGCTTGGGGACAACCGAAAGCTGAACTGGAGTCAACGGATTCGAAAAGCACGCCATGAGGAAGCAGTTGGGGTAACACGAAGACAGGAACATATTGCCATCTCGCAATGTCGCCTGTGTTGCACTGTACGCAGCTAACGAGATGTTGCATCCGGATTAGGAACCTCAACGCGAGCTTTGTGGACCTAAAAAGGCTCAAGACGGCCTCCGGCGGCCTCCACGTTCTACAAAATGCAAACGCCATTCGAGGAAGGTCGCAACATCGAAGACGTAAAATGGTGTCGATTGACCGAAACTCATGCCATCGATATATGGAAGACGCCTTGATGTGATAATAGGGCGTGATGGCCCCAGAAAAATTCTGCTGCACTCGCCTCATCCCATAGGGCGTATTGGATACACGTGCTGTGGTGCGGGTAAATGTTGGACGTTGCAACGAGCTTGGAAGAGCATCAAGCCAAACACGTGGGTCGATACTGGACACGAACGAACTGCCTGTGTAGCCGTGGACGGCGATGGTATGGTTCTCAGAAGCGCCCTGCGAGTTCTTTCTTTTGTAAAACCACAAGCGACTGCAGAAAAGCAACACGTGGGTTGTTGCTCCCCAGCTGCTGAATCAAAGGTAATTTGCATCATCATGGAGTACATCTCGATGCATCATTGAATGTATCATTCTTGGTCCAGGATCAAATCATGCTTTCCTGCAGCTGATAGGATCCTTGCGACAACCATGAAGTGTATGAAACGGAATCATATGTCAGTCAGGTGTGTACATACGATGCATACCTGTATCTAGTGGTGCCAGCCTGTGAAGCTGAGGTCAATGCTGCACTGATACTGAACAAGTATCAAATCGGGGCCGAGTCGCTGCTCTAATCGCTTGGATGTCTAGTCGACAATGTCTCGGGATTGAAGCTGTCCAATCCCTTCAGACAAACGACCTCGCTGTTTGAAGCTCAGCTGGCAAGATCAGCTTGAGCCAATTTCCCAAGTTCACACATCTGTCTCACAAACCCCAATTCTCTTCTGTACCCATAAACTCCCTCTTCATCAACCAACAGTTTCGTAACATCAAACTTTGGTATCTCTGTTACCGCAGCTTTCCCCTCAGCATCCAAAGCCTTCAACACATCAACCTGGAACGTAATATGCCTTCTAGCATCCTTTCTCATCGGATTCGCAATCTTGATCACCGGCACATTACCAATATGGCAACAGCGAACCATGGCTTCTGTGTCTTTTGCAATCATCGTCGTGGTCGTCAAAATTTTCCTCAGTGTGTCTGAAATGGAGATTTCGGTACTGACATAGTGAGCTGTTGATGCACCGTCAAAATCTCGCAAACCTCTGGGCCAGTATGCGGTGCCCAATTTCTTCCAGTTTCCTGCCCATTTCACTGTATAGAGTTTTCCATTGTGGAGAACTAGTGTATTGAGGCCTGTTTCAGGGGGATGGTTGAGAAGTTGTGTCTGCCAGGGGGTTGTCACGACTTCCGTCTTACTCTGTCTTGTATTAGCAAAAACCCGATTCATTGGTGATGAGAGAGAGCAGAACTGACCTTATGGCGAAAATTGTTATAGATGCTCACTCTCATGCTTCTACAAGCGCATCTTACTGCTTCCTCATCTTCATCAGAGTCTGCGGAGTATGCATCTTTAAACTCGGAGTTGTTGGGCCCGCAATAGTCGTCATCGGATTGATAAGGACCAGAGTATCCGAAATCAGAGAATCCAAAGGCAGAGTATTCGGAGTCGTAGTCAGAATCAGAGTCTTCGGTGTCTGCGGCTGGTGAAGTGGGCATACAGTTTCCACAGATGACTGTTCTGGGAGCGCTGAATCTAGACATGGTTCTGGAGTTTCGTTGTGTGAGGTTTGAGAATTGGCAAGGGAGGAAGATGTGTTGTGTTGAAGGTCATGATAATCTTTGACTGCTTTGACTAAATGGTGGGTGGGAGGTGAGTCAAGTGTATGACTTGTATGCTTGTGTTAAAATATACCATACGAACAAGCCATAGAAACACAAGGAGTCAACTGAGTCCAGTCATAACTACTCAATCCGTGTGACAAGTATAATATGCTGCTGCCAAAGGCGAAGTTCTAGGTGTAGAGACTCATGAAGCCATGTCATTCCGCGATCACCTGCCTCATCAAGATGGTTTCTTGTTTTGTCGCATGCTCCTCCCACCATGACTTACAGAGACATTCTAACCCCTACTTTCGAGGCAGCCGTGAAATGCTCGAACTTTCAATACAGCAATCGCAACATTTGTAGGGCGCTTAGACATACCGATCGCAAATTGTTGGAACCAGCCATTCTTGTTACCGTGGCAGATGAACCATCTCGACATGAAAGCATTTGAGAACTCTTTTCGAATTTCGTTCATAGCAGAAAAAGGTATAAAGACAACGCCATGGCGCCCCGCCATATGCTAGGTAAGTTTACATATAACATCCAAGATGGAAGTCAAGGTATAGATGTACAGATGTGTGATGTTTGCTCTGATCACACCGAGGACGGAAAGAGCCCAGAGTTTTGAGGAAAGGTAACAGAGGTTGACGTCAAGAGGTGCTCTACGCGCGGAGCTCAGCGGCAGACTTGCCCATCAAGCGTTCGTACTCGGCATCGTCAATTTCAATGTCCTCGCCGTCAGATTCCTCGGCAGCGCGGGCACGCTCCTCGCGTAGTTGCGTGTACTTTGAGCTGGTGTTGCGCTCGATCATCTCTTGGACGTAGAAGGCGGGCTCCTTGTCGATAGGGGCAGCGGTGTGGCGAGCGAGACCAGCGGCGTCGTGCCTTACAGCAGCAGGCCACTCGGCGGCGAACTCGGCGTCCAGGGGGTTAGTCCATCGGATGACTACGCCTTCGGCGGTGTATTGTGGTACTTGTTGGGCAGGAGTGCGCCTCTTGTTCTGACGGCTTCCAATGGGCGGGTGGTAAAAGATCTCTGGTGGCTCAACAGTCAAGTCGACAGAGTCTGGTGAAGCGCTACCACGTGCTTCTAGGGCTGCCGACTGCCCGAGAGCGGTGGACTTTGCCAGGTTGATGACCTCGTCGGCAGCAAGCATCTTCTGGTGTCTCAAACGCATGGCCTTCAAGGCGACCAACTTGTCACCAATGACCTTACGCGATGGTGCATCATCACCGCCCTCCTTCTGCAGTTGCTTCATCATCTCGACCGTGGCTTCCTGGTCCTTGAGCGATTGCTCAAGCAAGGGCAGACCGCCGTCCTGAGCCTCCTTGGCCAAAGCCAACAGCTCCTCACGGATGCGATTTTGCTCCCTCTCGTTTTGCTGCTGCTTCTTCACACCCAGCTCTTCTTGGTGGCGCAATACCCAGGCGAGGTCGGCGATCGAGTTTGCCTTTTGGTCCATGATGATGAATCCGCGTTGCTTCTTCTCGGGCAGTTTTTGGGCTTCCGGATTGGGGTGCTCCCAGTTGTGCTCATGCAGCATACGGAGTTCGCGCAGTTTACGGAAGGCGGACAGACCTTGTGATGTCGAGGGGAAGGTGGCTGTGAGCAGCGGACGCCACATGTCCTTACGAAGTGCCGAGGGAAGCGTCTTCTTTCCAGCAAAGGTGAGTTGCTTGAGGCATTGGTTGTTCTGAGCGACCTGGTTAGACTTGTGGTGTGCAGCAAGCAATGGGATCAGCGACGCACGTTCATGGAGCGCTCCAATGAGTAGACGACCTGGTTGGTCCATATCTGGTGATAGACGAAGAGATGGCGACCATGGTCGGCTAGCCGCTTGGCTAACTTGTCCGTCTTTGACGTCGTCATGGTGGTATGCGATGAACGGGCAATAAATCCGTGACGCTTTCATGAATTGAAGATGTGAAATCGTCCCCCGGGTCTTGGCAGCTCTCCGCTTCCCGCTGCAGCTGCAACTGTCCATCATCATCACATGTCGAAAGATATCCATCAACAGTGCAGTCCAATTACGCGTCTGCTTTTCCATGGGATCGTGTAGTCCTTGATGTCTCCTTCCGACTCTGTACAATGCCAGATGTCGACCACAACACGCGTAGAGAGCGTCCATGGCTCATTCCAAGTGTATGCCTCGAGCCCCGCACCATACACCAAGTCGTGCCTGCCCTGCTTCTGACACTACCGAATACAGAACAGAAAGGTCCGCCACCTGCAAGCTATAACCCTGCGCAATCTCGCCTTGTCCAATGAACCAAATCGTCCTCGTCGCGGAACAATTGACGATGATGGCCTTCCTGCAACTAAGAAGTCGCCGGCTAAGATGCTCGCCTTGCGCGATGCCCATACCTCCATGAACCATTCGAAATCCTCCGACGACCTTCGTCCAATTCATGAGTCTACCCTGTCTCTATCACCCACTTCGACCAAAGGACGCACTCCTCCACGTCCATCTTTGGCCAAATTACGGAGAAGAAGCACTCTAGAATGGGCTTCTTCGACCTCGCAACAACGCCAGAGACGTCTCCAAGATGTCTCTGCGCAAAGAATGGCCAATTTATTTTACTCTCTGCATATCCCGAATCAACAAGGTCGGTCAGTGTTGCCATCTATACTCTTTGTATGCTTCAATTGACACGCCCCAAAGATCCCATCTATGTCAGCGAGGTCGCTGAAAAAGCCATGAATCCAAATTTCAGAAACATCCACCTTGATTCTCATGACCCGCAACTTATGAGACTCGACGAACTGACTCTCAGATTCTGGGCTAAGAGCGAGACCATGTCGCAATACTCCTTGCTAGTCAATATGACATTGAGCATGCGATCCCTCCAATTCATCGGCAAAAGCGTGAGTCTCTTGCAAGACTTGCCGATGCGACTTTCTTGCTGACGTTTTGACCCAGCTATCAAGTTTCCATCATCCATTCCCGCCAAATTGTGTCGTATTTCATCTGACTGATGGCTTCTATACTGCCTTTACTGATGCTCGAGTCGAAGAGCCATTGGACCCCTTCCGTGACGGACCCGCGAAGACTACCAATTCTCGCACGTTGCCCACTTCATCTTTTGACGCCCTTCTGCGTCTCTCCAAGCTCGACGATAGCGTCCAGGATGCTCTAACTCTTCGAAAACAGCTTGCCTCGGAACTCGAGCAGACTTTGCAAAATCACAAGACATCTCTGAGCGAGAAGACCCAGCTCGCAGAAACGACTGACTTTCTCAAGACGATTGACTTCGCCACTGCAACCGTAAAGAAGCAGCTGAAAACGTTAGAACAGAAATGCGACCAAAAGCGCAAAGCCCTACAAAATCGCAGAGATTTGCTTGCTCGCGACTCTGCATTACGAAAAGAGATCTTGACCGAAGTAGAAGCCGGAAAGGACATTTTATCGGATCTTTCCTCTCAGCATACTGCCATAAAAGCATCCATCACCCAGCAACGACGACGCGTAACCCACGACCTCTCCAAGATTTATCCTATAAAACCTCTCCCTGACCAAAGTCTGGCTTTCGAGATCCGCGGCATGCACCTTCCAAACTCGGAAGCTTTGGACGCAGCATCACCTGAATCTCTAGCCGCATCTCTCGGCCACGTCAGCCATGTAATCCAACTCCTCTCCCTCTACCTAGGAGCCGTCCTCCCCTACCCCTGCCAACCTCGCAGCAGCACATCAACCATCCTCGACCCAATATCCATCCTTACTTCCCCTGCTACCACCACCTCCAAGTCATCCTCCACATCTTCTCAACACGAAATAGCCGCTCGCACTTTCCCATTGTTCGCAAAAGGCGCTGTACGCTTCCGCTTCGAATACGGTGTCTTCTTGCTGAATAAGAATATCGAGATTTTGTTGAGTACGCACTTTGGGGTCAGAGTCTTGGATATCAGACAGACTTTGCCGAATCTGTTATATGTGTTTTATTGCGCAACGGCGGGGGATGAAGAGTTGCCGGCGAGAAAGGCTGGTGGTGTCAGAGGGTTGATGAGGATGAGAGGGCGTGGAAGTGGTGTTGATTGAGAGGGATGTTAGTGTAGCAGTAGCATGTCTTGTGAGCTTGTTCACTTCAGTCTCTGCGAGGTACATGGCTATAAGAGTCCCACATGAAAATCCAAGGATCAACAAAGATAAGCGTGATATAAGAAGATGATCAAATACGATAAATTTAAAGAAAAAGAATTGAAGAAAGAAGAAAAACAGGATTCAGACATCCATATGTAACGCCCAGTTTTTGTTTGATTTCCAAACATCCTCTGATGTGTCCCCAATGCAAGCGAGTGTGTCGAATGTGAATGTATGTGTGAGACGTATGTTTTTCCATCCCGCTTTCCCCTTTTTCGATATCACAAAGTATTCACAGAGATTTCCTCTTCCTTCTCGTTTTCGTTTTTCTTTTTGCAGAAAATAAACGCCAGTCCCCTTTTTGCATACATTTCCTCCCCTGTGGTGATTACAGTTCTTTCTTTTAAAGACATGATGATGATGAACAATGATGCTGAGCGATTGTAAAGAAGATGAATGATTCGTCGCTTCGTTGGTCGGGATCGTTAGTTGTTCCAAAAATTGATGGGCTATGATTGCCATGCTGTAAGCACTCGAGGAGGTTTATCGTCGGATCGGAACGGGTGTGATTCATGACACTGCGTTGATGGAAGAATCGGCGCGTTGGTCGGCGTGAGATGCTTGCGTTTCCAAAGCACTGGCCATCACATGAGTCACTATTATGGTTATTAGCTTGTGTTCTGTCAATGACATGCCAGGACAGGTCACTTACCAGGCCAGACAGCAGCCTTCTCAAGCATCTGCGCAGTCATGCGCAAGATTCTGCTTCCGAGTCCATACTTTGACAGTCCATTGAGTCTCTCCAGGGGTGATGCAAGGCCCATGCCTCCACTAGGGTCTAGTGAATCCATCTCGTGAGCCAACATCTTGGCTTGCAATGCCATCTTGTCTTCCATAGAAGCGCAGATGCTCTCCATTTTCTTAAGCAGCTCCACGTCCTCAGTATCAAGAAGCATCACGGCAGGCACCTGGCCATAGTCCACGTCGGCTTGGCCGAGGATGCCTACATATCGACCGATGCGTTCCTGAACTGTGGTTTCCCATTCGGCCAATACTTGAGCGCAGTCAAGGAAGCAGATAGCGGACTGGATTGGCAACTCATGAGCGGAAGAGTCTGCAAATGTCAGGTTGCATTTGGATGATATGACCAGAGAATCGGCGGCGTAGAACGCTGCCTTCCTCAAATGACGTTCGCGCTTCGTGCTGTGTCCCGAAATCGAGGATTGGCCGTGACTGTAATTGCCTTGCATGAAATTCGGCGACCCTCCAGATGAGCTGTTCGAATTATGATCAGGAGAGCCGGTTTGTGCGATATCGATTCCACTGGCTAGTTCTTCTGACATCGCTTCGAAATCACGCTGCCAGAAGGCCTCTTTTGAACGTCCCAGATTGACGAAGAGTCTTACGAATGCCAAGTCCAGCAAAGGGATGCTGTCGGCTGCCAAAGGTCCCAAGCCGAAGGGGTTCGGTCGCTGCAGCTTATGACGGTCGTTGGCCTTCCATGCAGCTTGCCATGCGTTCAATGCTGGCTCGATATGAGCTACCATGGATTCTGTCTCTTGTGCTGTCCATTGACGTCCAATGTGTCTACTTCTTGTTTCCCAGATGTAGTTATGAAGGGCGTTGATCAGAACGAGGCACCCAAAAGTACTTGGTCGAAGTTGACCGCTCGCTGCGTGAGAGTCGCCATTGGGACTGTAGACGTTGTAGGCAAACATGTTTTGTTGTCTCTGGTTGGCGGTCAAGAGATTGCTCAATGCTGCAGCGAAGGGTGTGGCACTGGCTTCGGCTGCCTGTGCTCCGCCTCTGGCAGCCCACTCACGAGCACCGTCTGCTGTCCAAAGCTCCTCGTCGCAAGGTAGCGCGAGAAGGATCTCCGAGTTCGTAATGGCCGGTGTTTGATTGTAAGCAATGACAAGCAGACTGGAAAGGATGAAGATCGCAAAGAGAGTTCGCTTCCGTTCCTCTGCCTCCTTCCATTTTAGCCAATGCAAGTGGACATTTGTGTGACCATGGAACGGAGAAGAGCCATCATCCATGTGCACGTCTGTCTTATCATCCTTGACGTCAACAAAGTTGTCCAAGTCTGTAGTTGGCTGTGCCAACTCCGCTGCACGAGCAAGACTGACTAGTGCTGCACAGTGATTGCTCGCAATATCAGCGGCAGTCTTGTCGCCACAGTAATGACCGTATATGACGTTCAATAGCATAGCCTGCACCAACCACAAAGGCGTGTTAGTAGAAGAGCTCTCAGAGCTGAAGTACTGGCCACCGTTGACAGCAGCAGACATGTCGGCTTTGCGGCGCTCTTCGAGGTAGAGCTGGATCATCTTCTTCGCGGAATCGAATAGCTCCTTCGAAGCCTGATGATCGTATTCGTATAGAGCGCCTATCGCAGCCATGGCCAGGATGAGGCAACCTCCACCACCGATGACGCCACTATGATTGACTGATGCCTGAGCGCCTGCGGTTCGCAGATTTGTCATGTACTCGGGTGAGTCGAAAGACAGTGTGGGGATGTGGAGGAATGGAAGGTGAGGATGGAAGAACTGTATGTACGCGTTGATGTAACGCTGTAGATCAGCAGTGGAAGGAAGGCTTGGTCCTTGAGGCCTAGGTGATAGAGGTGAGCTGATGGATGGCTGCGAGAACTTTCTGTGGCTGAACGCAGATGGCTGTGAGAGGCTGAGCAACAAAGCTTGACGAGTTGCGTCTGTGATCGAATCTGTGGATATAGATGTCACGGAACTCTGCCTCGCACTGTCCGGCACTGATGACGAGGATATGCTAGGACTGTCTGAATCAAAGTTGGAAAGAGAGGGCTGCTGAAATTGGTTAAAATGCATGCCGCCCAGAGGATCGGATACGCCGTGCATCATGAGAGCGCCCAGCTTACTATCCGCTGTGGCAGAAGGGTCTTGTAAGTTATGTGGAGAGATGGTATTCATGGGAGGGTCAATAGATGGCAAGCCCGTTCCGAGAATGTCCAGATTCAAAGCTCCGGGAGTCATGAGAGCCTGCATGTCATTGGGGTTCCAACCAGCCTGTGAGACATTGATGTGGAAGGGGCCATCTGTCACAGTTTCCGAGTAACCACTCTGGCTGGTCGTACTGAATTGAGATGGGGATGACTGGTCAATGGCCTCGTTATTGGTGTGGGATTGTAGTTGTGAATCCCAGTCACGCATCCATGCGAAATCGTCCCCTTGGCCAAAAAGATCAAACTGGTTCATATGGAAGCTCTGCAGGTTTACAGGCTGTGGCGCTGTCGATGCAGCGAAATGAAGCTGAGCAGGATTTATCGTGTTCCCTCCTGGCGTGAAGATTTGTTCCAAATCGGAATGCTGCATGCCTGTATAGGCGGGAGCAGTGTGAATATGTGTCAGGGGCTCACCAAAGTCTATGTGAGATGTGTGGGTATCAACGCGGGACAAGTCAAAGCCGTCTTGCTGCCCCATTCCGGAATGTGTCATGTTGTTGATGCTATGGAGATCCAGATTCGATGGGCGCTGCTGGGCGTTGCTCATACTCATACGGTGATGTGCCATACTGGCATGGGATGGTCTTTGTGCTTCGGCAGGGGCAACAACACCCATCAGACCAAGAGAGCCCAGGTCCAAGTGGCCGAGCGTGTTTGCTCGGGGTCTGCCTCCTGCATTTCCGGCGCCTGTACCGGCATTGGCTATCGAGCCCTTCCTTACACGACCACCATTGACGGGGCCACTTGTACTTTCGCGCCTGTTGTTCTTTGGTCGGCTAGAAGGGTTGTTTGTGAAGTGCAGCTTTTGTTGATGGCGCAGAAGCAGGTCTCGACGGGCGAAACATCTTTTACATTCCTGGCATTCGAAGGGCTTCTCCTTGGTGTGCGAGCGTTCGTGTCTCTTGAGGTGCTCCAGACGGGCGAACGATCTACCGCAGGTTCCACATACGTGTGGTCGAGGCTTGTCTGTCTTGGGTGGAGGGAATTTGGCTTGTGTTTTGGCAGGCTGGCTCGGAGGGGCTGCAATTGGGTCAGCAACGTCATACAGAGCAAAGGTGGGCGTTGTACCATTGGCAGCGATGGCAGGGTCGGCGCTCGTAGGCGAGATGCCTTCGGGGGAGTGATCCATCATCGGAAGCTCGGTGAGCATCGAATTACCCAGTCGGCTCTGGTCCTGGATGACTCGGTTCCTCGTTTGGACAGACTATACAGATCCGAAAGATGGGAGAAGGAAGGATGCGCAATGGAAAAAGGGAGCAAGCAACAGGTATGGAGAGCGGTGTGGGGGCCCGGTATAGCCGGGAGTGGGCTTGTATCAGGAAAGAGCACTCGGATGGAGTACGAGCAGAAGCTGGTAGGCAGAAAGAAGGAGGCCTATGTTTGGAATTCAAGCGTGGGGCGCGCCGGGACTTTGGAAGGACAGCAGATCCGGACGTAGGAGGGATAGACTGGTAGATTCGAGCCTGACGCTGCTAGAGTTTGGCCGGCGTAACGGGGGAACGCCTGCCTCAGGGACCTTCCAGAGGCCGCAACAGGAGCAATCTAGCTTCTGCTTCGCTTGCAGTAGAGGGCGATCTGGGCGGTACAGATCAATGCAAAACTCACTGCAATTGTGTCCGAGGTTGATGGAGGGGAAACAAGAAGGGCGGGCGTGGTGAAGGTGGGATGCTCCTCGAAGTTCGAACGAGCAGCGAATTGGGGAAAGCGCGACGGGAAGAAGCTGGGGTCGGCAACTGGGGAAAGACAGGGAAGGAGGTCGCCGGTAATATTGGACTGTGTGCTCGGTCCTTGCAATGTCTCGAATGCTGGGCCACAAAGATCACTGCACATATGACGGGCGATGCTGGTCTGGCAATTGCTCAGGGCAGAACAGGAGGAGCCTTGACGACAACCGATAGAGCAGCAGCATGTACAGTAAGTAGCCCACGAATTCAGCGGCGTAGCATGATGTGCAAGCGCTTGGACCGCCTTGGCTAGTTGTGCCGCCGTGCGAACCGCCATCCCTGTCCGTCGAAACACCTTCTAGCCTCTGCCGGTCTAGTGCGCTCGAACAGATCCGCTGGCGGAGTCTGGCGCTCGATGGGTTCAATGCTGCCGCAATTCTCTTTCTCTTACACTCCCGCGGGGCCTGCAGCATGATTACCCTTTTTGTTTGCGAAACCGCTGCTCGAGCCTGCTCCCTACTTTTTCTCGACTCCACATATCCGATTCCTGCATGCCTATTGATTGCCAGTACATCAGAGGCACGGTCCGGTTCTCATCACGCCGATCCGGGTCACCATCAACGACGTCGGTGATGGTGATGCTAACAAATGCTGATGGTGACGATGTTGTAGGAGTCTGTGGACCAACCTTTTTGTGCTCCATGCCCGGAGCAGCTGACCGCCTCATTGCGTTATATCGCTCGCAGACTAGCAGACTAGACCCCCTGTATTACCTCTACTCTATCCCCTACGTCGACGCCGGACTCGGACTCGGCCTGGCCGAGTGCTTAACAAAGCATAAATACGCGGTTAGTCAAATCCCCAGACCACGCCATATCAGCCGTTGTATTTCTGGCCGAGCCCAGCAAAGCCCTGAACGAATCTTATGCAGGTGGAAAGATACTTGAAAATCTTCTCGTACGTCTATCGCGGTTCGTCTCTGACCGGCCATGCTGTGGAAGATCTGTACCAGTGTACTGAGGTACAAGTTCACAACGTGTACGAACCTCGAAGTGTCCCAATAGGCCCCTCGAACCAGGTCAAGGCGAGCTTCATAACTTGCGCCAAGGTCGCAGCTTGGTCCCATACACAAACGCAGGTGATCCCAAAGCCACGAATACGGAGGCAGGCGCAATTTCTCGCAACGTCATTATTCCACGGAGATATGACCGACTGCCTGTATTCCAGTTGCAGGATGCCGCTCGGTAGCATCCGGACCTACTAAAGGTCTCCGATCTTCTAGGCGTGCTTTGTGTTTTTCCTTAAGCCATAGTCAAGAACTGGTGTCAATCTACGTTATAGATCGTCACGCAGTTCAACCTCTAATACATCATAACTCGCCATGTGTGAGTGCATCAAGGGGAATGTCAGCGAGCTAAGCGGAGCCAATTGAACGCCAAAATATGGAGAATATGGGGCCGCAATGTCACGCGCACGGCTTTGTACGATTCATGCGTCGACACTTGTATCAAATGGGCAAAGAGAAACATTCTCAGCCACGCGATGCCCCGTGTGCCTCGTCATCCCAAGGCACCACCTTCCCCTTCTTATTGCCAGCGAGGCTGCCCTTGTATGCATGGGCCTTGGTTAGGCCGAGACATCTCATTCGTCCGTCGAAGTGTCATTGTACAGATCTCTTGCCAACGTCTCTAGCATGCTGTTGATCCGATCTATGTGGAGGTGGCTGAACGCCTGCTTGATCGAGTTCTCCGAGCAAATTTGACACCTGCGAGTGCAGCATGAGAACGATGCGGTTCGCGGCTAGCAAACCCTCGCACGGCTTGTATGTCGTGCACATCGCAGTTGCTGCTTTCATGTATCCGATTTGTAAAGCTTGGTCATCATCGACAGCGATGTATTTCTCTATACTGACAGACATGTTTGGGACCTGCGCGGGCTTCCTTTCCATGTTTGGGGGCTCTATCGTCCCTGCATATTGTCCCCTGCTGAGGCATAATCAATCATGACTCCAAACACTCGAGGGACGTCTCATCTTAGCGAGCGTGGGTCTAATTTACTCCATGCTACTTGGACCTTTGCGTGAACGGCTCAGGGCCGCTCTACATCGCACTACGTTTGCGCGAAATCGTGATCCACAATCGCATTCTCTCGGCAGAAGTGGCACCCGAATTGAGTATTCCTACGGTATCTGTTCTTTCTCTTTCTGCTTCACGGTCCAATCGCAACAATTCGAGTATATTGGTGTGGCCAGTCATTACACGTCGGCAAACTACTGGCTCAATACCATGTGCATGGGCAAATCCCCAGGAAACAACGCACGAAAGCAGTTGCTCCACTAATGCAATGCATCCCACTTCGCGTTGTACGACCAGTGGATAGTCTGGCAGATCAACGCTCTATTAGCTCTGCAAGGCATCGCCTCTTGCGACTCCATCGGATTTCCTATTCAGGGAACGAATACGCACGTTATGTGGAAGCCTACTCTGCAGCTATACCAAGTATTTATCGTAAGGGGTGCCCATGTTACCACAAGGCCTGTTGCTTTCCCAAGGATGTTGTCATACATGCTCTCTCAGCACTGAGCATACGTCCTGGGGTTCGTGCCATCTTACACCCTGCTTGGATTCAATGATCCGGCAAAGACCTTGGCGCATGAATTTGTACAAGCGGGTGAGAGCGTGCCACTTTTGCACCTGCAGGACTTGGAACTGCTGGCGTTCCCATAATCGCGAGGCAACGTGGTGGGAATATAGGCCGGTGGAGACACATCGAGACGATGAGTAGAGTACCCGACCAAGTGCGCGCCGTCGCTAAAGACCATTGCTTGCATCATAACCGCAGCGAAAGGACCTTTAAGCGGCCAGGTGCTGTCCTGCACGCGCGAAAGATACGACCTCAGGCAACATTTGGTCCCACAGTATGACCGACGTGCCTGCGAATTTGGTCCCGAAAGAAGTTCCAGCCAATTGCTTACGAATCTAGCAGAGCAGCCGCTCTGGATCTCGTGCGAAAAGGTCTGCAGGTATCGGCAGGTCGGTCTTTGCGATGACCAGCTGCATGCGCCTCTCGCGTACCAGAGGCGAGCTCTCTTATTGCCGGGTGTGCAACCTGCTGCCTCGGTCAGCACTATTTGTGATGATTGGGTGCGCCGGTGGCCACAATGTTGTGCCTCCTTGACAGACACTTGTTACACGCATGTAAGGAATTCGGAAGGGGTTTGCCGGAGGACAAATGTGATAACAACGACATGCGTGATATTCTCGACTTCTTGACCAGCCAGGGCGATTCAGGGAGTTTTGCGAACGCAGTTTCTTCTTTGAGCGGCAGAGCGACAGAGCCGTGTTTAGGAAGGTTCAATAGAACTTTCGAGCATCAGATCCTCGTGTTCGCGAACGATGAAGAGCTGGAGCCTGACTCCAGCGCAAAAAAACAAAATATGAAGCTGCTACGCTGGGTCGAACAACGGACCTTAGGATAATTGCAGATCTGCAATCCCACGCTCTACCACTGAGCTACAGCAGCTTATGACACTTTACCCCGTGTGAGGTATATATATTCACACGCAATCACCTCTCAAATCCATGCAATCTTGCTGAAGAATGCCAACATACATCAAGAGGCGTCCTAATCACCGACGTAGCGGTATGCAAGAGCGCACAACGATCACTTCTTACCATTCCCCACAGAAGATACAGCATGGCGCAAGTTTTCTACAATGATCAACCGTCCACGAAAGGCTGTCGATGTGCCCAAGCACCGCGATTACAATAGCACGGAACGTTTACCGAAGGAGGCCAGGGCTTCAAGAGCGCCAACATCGCTGTCACACCGTAGCTCGCTTCGTAGTCGAGGGTTTTCTCAGACCATGACGCAGGATGAATCGAAATGCAGTCTTGTGGTATGCATAGAGCACCCGTCACCCATGTGACATGAATGTGAGCGTCAAGATCAAAACAGCCCACGCACGAGCGGCTGGTTGATCCACATCTGCTGCTACCACGGGAACATTTCCGCATACAAATCGACATGCGTGCGGTATACCTTCCTGTTACAGACTACATGTATGCGCCATGATACAAATCAACAGCGACTGGGAGTGTGCGATTGGATCTGTCAGGGTTGCCTTGCGTTTCGCCGGGCCAAATCAACCCAAGCGTCGATGTCTAAAATTGTCACAAAGATCATCGCGGGGAGAAGAGCGCGGGGGGCAGTGGAGAACCTTTTGACGAAACAGTTTGTCAATTGCTGGACACAGTTGACGGACCCTGCTTTACCTTGCATCGAGCAGTATTTGAACAATACATGCAAATTTCGCCTGAACAACAGCGACGACGGACCATTTTACTGTTAGATGGCTACTGTCGGGGCAAAAGAAAACAACCAAAACCTCCGGACGCGGAGATTGTGCGCACGAATGATGAGAGCGAATGACGCTTATCTCTGGCTTCGAGACGCCTTATCGCGGCCAACAGCAGCGATTCTGCCCATGTGATGCGCTCCTCTGCTGGGCATCGAGACGGTGCTTGTCCACTATCAGCAGGTAGCGTTGAGCTATGGGGGTTCTTTCGGTCTATTTTGTGTGTCGGCCGTCAACGTATTTGGTCTTGTGAGCGTCTATCATTCGTATCTTGTGGGCTTCCTATTGAGTCATCTCCTCACACATGGCTATCGCCTATCTTCACACCTCCTCGTGACCCCTCTTCGTCCTATTTCGCATCTATTCTGTCTTGTTTCCTCTTACATTGCTTGACCCGACTTCCTAGACTCCTAACACCTACAATCGCTGTGTCGAACGTCCTCTGCCGACCATGTCATGGCAGGCTCTCACATTCCAGCCTCAGCTACCGCCTTATTGCACACCGACAAATGACTTCCTATCTCGATTCTCGAGTACCTTCCATACATGCGTACCGACGCCCCTGGCCTTCATATCAACAACATTAGGCGTCCTCTCAATCGTATCGTGGCTGTTTGCCCAGATGCCACAGATTTACAAGAATTACACGATAAAGAGCACATCCGGTCTTTCCATCTTCTTTCTGGTAGAGTGGTGTGCAGGAGACGTCAGCAACCTACTTGGAGCCATCTTTACGAAGCAGGCGACATGGCAGATGATAGTAGCCGGATACTACTGTCTGGTGGATTTCATGCTCGTTGCTCAGTGGGTTTGGTACGAGCGTCTCCGACATGGCTATAGAATCCGCCAGGTATGGCCTGACAGAAATGGTGGCAACAACTCGGGCAGGGACCAAGAGATGATCATTGAGGGCGTGCCGGCTATGAGTCGCGAGAACACCTTTGAGAGTAACGACAGCCCGGAAAGAAAGAGCTCGGCCAAGGATATCAATGCATCTGGCAACGGAAAAGCAGGCATGTGGCGCATGCCAGTCTTTGGAGACGTCAGCGAGAAGTACGGCTCCAAGAGCCCTCGCACCATCAACCGCGTCGTAGCCTCTTCTTCTTTTCAATCGCCATCTCCACGCACTATCCTGCTACTGGCTTGCTTGATCTCTCTCGCTCAGGCATCACCCCTAAAGTCCGCTATCCACCACCCTCACCACCACCACCAACCTGCCAACAAGATCTCAGATCTCGAAGCCGCCGGCACCGTTCTCTCCTGGGTATCAACCCTTCTCTACCTCGGCAGCCGTCTCCCCCAACTCTACAAGAACTGGGCCAGGAAATCGACAGCCGGACTAAGCGCCCACCTCTTCATTGCCGCGTTTTTCGGAAATCTCTTCTACAGCACCAGTATGCTCACGAACCCAAATCTATGGTCTGACGCACCTGCTCATGGCCTTCATGGTTGGGTGGGAAGTGCAGCAAATGTGCGTTATGACTGGCTCATGCGTGCTTTGCCTTTCTGGCTGGGTGCTGCGGGTGTACTCGTCATGGATGCAGCTGTGGGAGTGCAGTTCCTCATGTACGGCGAGAGTGAAGACTCGAAAGTCGTCGTGCTCGAGGAATCGGGTCGTGAAAACTGGCGTTGGCGTAGAGTCAGCGGTTGGATGCGTGGCTGGGTCCCCAGCTTTGGCGAGCCGGTTGGCAGAGCAGGAAGTGAAGAGGAAAGAGATTCTCTGCTTCCTCGCGCACCAACTCGGGATTATGGGGCTGCTTCTAGAGCTTGATAGATGAGTTGTCTGCTTTTGGCTTTCGCTTTCAAGCCAGGATGCATTTGATGAGATATATGATTGCTTCTACACGTAGAGCCGCATCGCAGTTTGGATTGGCGTTTTGGGCATTTACAGGGCGTTTCTTGGGGGCATTTGGCATTTTTTGGTCCTTGAACATGGTGGTCGGAAAGATGGTTGCGGGTTGATGATATTGATCTTGATGATTCGCATATACGGCATGACCTACATAACATTAATGAAGCATGATTCCTACCTATTTCTACTCTTTTTGGCTCTGGTTGATTGTCTAGATAGAGCGTAGAGGCCCCGTTCGATGAACGACAATTGCCGGATATACATTAACTTCTGACCGATTGTAATTCTCAGGTTAGCCCGTGACACTGTTCGAAGTGATCTGAAGAGAGCAGAGTGAGGGTGAAGGAGTGTTGATCTTAGCCTTTACGATGAGGTCTCATATACGATGTCCACGTTCGCGAAATTGATCTGCCGCTGCGAGAGCCAAGCATGCAGTCTATACATGGCAGCATCTAATGTTCAAGATTTGCTCAACCAACTCGATACTCAGATAGGACGTGCAAGAGTCTTTAATAGATTGAAGATGGGAAAGGGGATTTGGTATTCTCATCTTGATAGAGCTGGAGACAGGTTCCTCGCACGAACCACAATTTCAATTCCTCCCTTGCTTTTCGGTCTCCTGGGTTGGGTTTTGACCAGATCCACTATGATGTGAGCATTACCCGTTTGCTACTTACCGTGACACTCTTATCGATCTGCTCTCGTCCTTATTTCTTGTTCTCAGTGCTCGCAGAAGTTGAATTTGTGAGCTGCTCTAGAGTTGATGATCTCTGGAGTGTTGCGACTACGTTCTTGCATCAGTTCCTGACGAATGTTTTTTGCTTCCTCCAAAGACATGGGGAAGTCTGCGTCTTCTTCGATGATCTGGTTTATCAGCTCATCCGGCAAGTCCCTCAATCCTCTGATGTCTCTCGCTCCTGGACCAGCTCCTTGGCCCACCACGTATGTTGCTGCGGGGGGACGTTAGCAATGGAGAGAATCTTGACATGCGGATCGACAAGAAACCAGGCTAGTATCTTGCTATGGCCTGGCTTAGTCGGATCTTCCAGAGCGGATGGCAGCACGCGATGTTGGAGTACATTGGGGCAAGCGACAAGACGACCTGTCTTAGTAAGTACTTCTCCCAATTTCTGTACAGCATAGACCTCGTTGTCGATGCCCATGATGGTTTCCAAGTGCTGGAACTCCGAATGAGCATACGAAAAGCTACTGCCGCCCTCCATCTCAACATTTTGTCGGAAAGCCAGATGGCTCGGTCCAATATTGACCTGGTCATAGTAGAACAAAGCATTGGCGACGATATGCTCGTTCAGTCGACCCTCTACGTGGCAGGATCCACCAGAATAATTGGGATTGTCCGGGCTCAAGTGGATGCCGGCCAATTTCACAATGACTTGAATTTGCTTGTGGTCCCTCATCAAGTCGAACGGTAGCCTTACTGTATCTGACGTGTCTTGCATCTCGAAGCCTCGAGGCTCTGGCTCCATCGAGATTCGCGTGGCCCATTGCCAACGACTACCCTCAAGATGGTGATCTTTTGACTCTCTTCGTTGCCAGCCGGCGACAGAGTCTTCTATAATCTCTTCCTCATCGACGATCAGGGTCTGCTGAAATCGAGCCTCTAGAGCCAGACGTTCTAACACTGCTTCGTTGTCGGCGTTGTGATCGTCGACCCAATCTTCAGGGCTGTTCTCGCCATAAGGCATGTGCCATCCGAAATCGTTGATGTCAATTCTGCTTTTGTCGAGCCCGGACTCAGTATTCTTCAAAAATTGGTTCCAGAGGGGCAGGTATGCCGTGATGAGCTTCTCAATGATGTGATAGAGGTCGATGTGTGTGACAGGGTGAAAATTGTTGATATAACTCACTACTGTGGCAGTCTTCGGATCCTCAATGTCAATCTCGCAGGGTAGCCACTGGAAGTTGCGAGATCACAGATCGTCGCAATAGCTATGAGCGGATCGAAAGAATAGTGGACGAGATTGAGTAAGCGGACTGCAGAAACTTGGAGGTGGGCCGAGGACATCTGGAAGCAGAGAAGGTCGTGGATGTGGAGTAAGACCTTGTGATAGAGGGAACCCTGGGGGCAAGAATCTTGGAGGGTATTGAGGCCCTCCAGGAGGAGGTTCAGTTAGTGCTGAGACAGGAGCAGTAAATTACAGGAGGTCCAAGGTATCCTGGAGGGCGTCCCAGAGGCCAATACTCTTCCAACTTCGGTGGTATCTGACAGATCTCCCCCTCGCCAGAATGTAGTAGACAGTCATGCAAACTCAGGACGGTATCTTTGAGGACTCTTGTCCGGCCAAATACAAGAGGAAATAGCGAGGGATGTACCAGATCTAATGCCTGCCCATTTGAGCCAAGATGCCAGTCTTTGTATGCGCTCAGGTTTTCTTCCAGAGCGGTGACAGCAGAGGTAAGTTGGTTGACAATAAGTTGGGGTACAGAACTATCGGAGTAGGCGACCTGAGAATCGAAGTCAATAGGTAGTGATATACCAGATGCGTTAAACTCGTCAGCTTTGTCGCGTAATTCAGCCAGGCAGTATCTCCACGTGCGCTTGCTGAAGTTGGGTAGAGCACGCGCTTCTTGTTCCCATTTAGTGGCAATTGTAGTATTGAAGACCTTCTTGTGCCAATTAGGCTTTACCATCAAGTGATTCATGACACCCATCATGGCGATCTTCCTTAGAGCAAGAGGATGGCCATGCCAGTTGGCAAAGGATTCTGTGTACACTCGATGTCCAGCCTAACAGCATTTTTTCCGTTCGCGGAACGCTGAAGCAATCTCTGATAATTTCCGTATTGTGCGCCATGACCAGGAGGTAAATACTGGTAGAGAGCTTCGTCTAATAGCATGGTTGAGTCTCGTTGTTGTGTCGAGTGAGCCATGTTGAGAAATTGTCGTAAGTTATCGGTGTTCCGGAGGGGGAATGTTGTCTATTAGAAGAGATGCTACGTTCCTCTGTTGCCTTCTGCCGCTGACCAAACAGAAGTTGCATGTGAATCAAGTGAGCTCTTACCACAGACTACTTGCTCTAGAAACGTATTGACGGAGTCTTTCGGTATCGTTTCCTTCACTTTTGAGACTAAAGGTTCGCGTGACAGACTTAGCGCATGGAAGGCCTGAGGACAAAGGGGCGTAAATATCGATCACATGACAGTCGATCACGCATGTTGTGACACAAAGACTTACGACAAGACGTCCTGTTGTCCGAGTGAACCGATAAACTCTCCAGGGCAAGACGGTAATGCGCAAAAAAACATGACATGAGAAGATGAGAAGTATCGCCGGCTCCTCACAGCAGCATAAGAATCATTCTACCACGGTCCCTTGATCCTGAGTTTCACGGCAGCAAAAAGCAAGTCGAGGCTAGAGTTTCCAGAGCACCTGAGTGGGCACATGCTTATCTATCAGCAAGCTTATCAGCTCTCCGTCGCGCGTTCTTGTTCGGTGACAGCATCAACATGTTGCGCGTAACCTGTCGATAGCGGTGACTCAGACAGTGTTTCCGTAGACAGAGGGAGCAGGTGGGCAATAAGGGACAGAGGGAAAGATCAAAGAGGGGACAAGTCGGTCAGCACATCATCGAGGCAGCAGTCGTCGTGACCAGCATCGTCTTCTGCTTGTGCCAGCCAAAAGCGGGTCGCGCGTGGCGCCGATCAACGTTGCTCTGCTCGCGCTCCAATCTGTATCGCCGAGTTGCATCTCCTACGCACCCTACAACTCTGCTCTCCCAACTCGCCTGCATCTTGTCAATATACACTACTACACTCGTCGCCGCGTCGCTCTCTGTCTCTTTGCATTCTTTCCTCGCCTATCCACCCCCGTGCCGACAAGGAGTGCCCGTTCGCAAAGTCACAATCTAGCACGCTCCGAGACAGGCTTCACTGCCGACTGACTCGACTGCCATCTGACCCTTCCAACCTTCGCCCTCGTCTTTGCCTGTTTCGCCTCTGCTATCATTGTTGTCTATTCTCCTGTACTCGATTGCCAAAGTACCTCTCTGTCCAACACCCGCATCCGTCGCTCTCGAAGAAGCCCATCCGCCAACCCTTCGCCCCACCGTCCCTCCGCCGCATACCGCTCCTCCCCGCGTAGCGACCCCTCGAACCGTCGACCCCGGATCATACAAATGCATTGCTAGCCGCCTTGCTCCAGGCCATTCAGTTCAAACACTGCCCTGCCGAGCTGCTTCAACAACATGGCTTCACATCGTACCTCCTCCGGACATAGTCGTCGTGAGGCCCCAGTCGTCGAGCTCACCGTTGGCGACTTCATTCGCAAGAATGAGATTGGCAAGGGTAGCTTTGCTACTGTCTACCTAGCTTCTCATAGGGTACATGCTTTCCCCACCATCCTCCCATACAACCCTCCTTCTCCATACTGACTTGTCCCACAGAAAAGGAAGTCGTACGCCGCCATCAAGTCCGTCGTTACAGGAAAGCTTACTGGGAAGTTGAGGGAGAATCTCAACTCCGAGATCAACATTCTGAGGAAGCTCCAGCACCCACACATCGTCGCCTTGTTCGAATGTGTCGACACTCCCCAGCACATCCATCTTGTCATGGAGTATTGTCAGATGTCTGACCTGGCTGCTTTCATGAAGGGTAGGGCACGCATCGCCGGACTGCCCGAGACGCGTGATATCTTCGACAGATACCCGAATGCAACAAATGGTGGTCTGAACGAGGTTCTGGCTCGCCACTTCCTCAAACAGATTGCCAGTGCCCTCCAGTACTTGCGCAAGTACAACCTGATCCATCGCGATATCAAGCCGCAGAATCTGTTGCTGAATCCGCCTCCGACATATATGCAGCAGCAAAGACCAGAGGATGTGCCATTGGCAGCAAGCGAGAACTCCCTCATCCCTGCTGTGGGTGTGGCTTCTTTGCCCATGCTGAAGCTTGCCGACTTCGGCTTTGCTCGCCATCTTGCTAGTACTTCGCTGGCCGAGACGCTGTGTGGTTCTCCCCTTTACATGGCTCCCGAGATTCTGGCTTATCAAAAGTACGACGCCAAGGCAGACCTGTGGTCTGTGGGCACTGTGGCCTATGAGATGGTCGCCGGAAGGCCCCCTTTCAAGGCGACAAATCATGTTGAGTTACTTCGTAAGATCGACCAAGCACAAGACGTGATTCAGTTTCCTGCTGGCTTGCTTGTCTCCAAAGAGTTCAAGGAGACTATCAAGTCTTTACTGAAGAGACAACCCACCCAGCGCGTCAGCTTCGATCGCTTCTTCGGCAGTTCTACCATCGTGGGCGACATTCCAGGACTTGTCGACGAAGACAAACCACGTGTCGCTGATGCATCTGAGCCTGACATTGCCATGTCCGCCTTGAGCCTTCGTCTCCAGCAACAGTCGATAAACAGTCCCGAGCAAGAGCTTGACACTGCTGGTATCAGCCATGTTGTCCGTGAGCCTCTGCCCGGTATGGCTAGAAGACCGACACCTGCAGCTGGCCCTGCAAACGTTGAGTCTACGAAGAGACCTGAAATGCCCATGAATCGTCGTCAGACAGAGGCTGCTATTCCTTCGACTTCGGTAGACACCAAACGTTATGCCGGCCACGTAGATCAGAAGAGGCCGCCTTTGATGCCAACTGCAACTGCTCCTTCGCGCCAAGAATTACAGCACATAGCTCCTGCCAGTCCAGGTAGGCCTCATAATCCGCGCTACATTCCATCACCCAGTTCTTCGGCTCCACAGACAACGCCCGTTCTTGACAAGGGATCTCGAGAATCGCGCGATACGAACACGGCTCATGACTTGACGTTTGAGAAGGAGTACGTCATGGTTGAGAAGAAGGCTGTCGAAGTAAACGCATTTGCGGATGAACTTGCGGATCGTAACAGACAACCTGAGAACCTCTCTGGCGGCATGATCCGTCGTGCGACAACTCAGGGTATGCCTGGCTCCAACGTCGTGTCAAACGCGTTGCAAGCAGTATCTGGCAAGCAAACGGGCACTCTTCAGGGTCGACGTACTTCTTTCGAGCAACGTCGACAAGCTCCCACTCCTTCGGAGTACTTGTCAAGAGCTCTGAGTGCGGCCAATACACGCATCCGTCAGGTGATCGGTGGCTCTCCAACATTTCTGCCGGGGCTGTCGCCACCGCAAGGATATGCCGGCTTCCCTATTTCTTCAGCACCTCCTCTACCGTTAATGATCGGTGATGGAAGACGCTCTCCGAGCAACATCGATGAGGATGCCCGCATGCTTCAGCTTGTGGAAGAAGGCGCCACTCGAAGTGATGTTGTCTATGGATTCGCCGAAGTCAAGTACCGACAGTTGCTTCCCGCGACTCCCTCCGCGGAGGACAGAAGTGCCATTCGGCAGATCAGTGCCTTGGAACAGCCACTCAAGATTAGTGACAACGTTGATGATCAGGATCTCACTCAGGTCGCCATTGTTGCTGTGGCAGAGGAAGCTTTCGTCTTGTATGTCAAGGCATTAGCGATTCTCGTAAAGACCATCAACCTTGTGAAATATTGGTGGGACCGCCAACGTAGAGCTGAGACTCCACCTGGATCTCTTCCATCCAGGCTTGGTGACACCAGACAGAGCACTTCTGATATGAGCAAGAAGATGAACAACGTTGTGCAGTGGGCACGTAATCGCTTCAACGAGAGCCTCGAAAAGTCTGAGGTAGTTGGACGTCGACTGATCGAAGCTCAGAAGCAGCTCCCAACTGGCCACCCGGGACATCCTGACAATCGCGGTCAATTGCAAACATCGGGATCCGGCAACACCTTGAGTGCTGCTGTCGACCAGATTCAGTTGACGAGTGGCGTCACAGCCGAGAAGTTAATGTTCGATCGCGCTGTTGAAATGAGTCGCGCTGCTGCTGTCAATGAGCTGGTTGGTGTTGATTTTGGCGGCTGCGAGCTCAGCTATATCACGTCAATCATGCTCTTGGAAGCCGTTCTAGAAAACGATGACGAGCCTCTGCTCTCCAAACCGAGCGCGAACAAAACCAGAGCAGGCAATGCTGTAATCAACGGCATGGAATCTGAAGATCGCGATGCCGTTTTAAAGTGTAAGTACCATGTGCCAGCCGCCTCGGTCTTGTCATGTACTAATTGTCTTCATATAGTGATAGAGGGCACCAGAGGCAGGCTCGATGGTCTGCGTCGTAAGCTCAGGCAACAAATGTTGCCCAGACAGGCAACACCAGCGTCCGCGTCTAGACCCATGGCAAGAACCTCTTCTTCGCCAGGCACAGCAATGGGGACACCACCAAGATAGACATTTGGGATCGATTTCGGAGATCCCACGCGAGACAGTCTCTCTGAACGCAAGCTACGATTGATGGTAGTACATTTAATCTGGTTTTCTTACTTTTCATTTCTTCTTCCTCTTTCTTTTTCTGGGATTTACACATATTTGGGAAGGGCGCATGGCAAGAGGAACATCCGGTCAATGATAACGTAACATGCAGGCGCTCTTTTCGGTCAATCAATTTTCGCGTCAATTTCAGTCGCGCTGGCGTTCAAGGCGGGAGGGCACGAGGAACGTTGGCCAGGAGCACATGGAGCAAACAATCACAGGGTCACACACAGATGGCATGGGCACTCTTTCTTCGCTTCAACGGCAGACAGGCATAAGAGGAGAAGGACTTCTGGTTGACAGATGAAATAAGGCGGTTCGGTTTATCATACTCTAGCAGAAAGACCTAAATACGAATTCGTTAACAACATGATTGAATTGCTTGTCTATGAAGCTTGTGCCGCTGTTATTGGCGCCGGCACCAGGGAGGTCGACGTACGCGGCCAATGCGTGGTTTCTCGTATACGGATTGGGGCGCAAGCTGTTAGGCTCGTGCCCTCCACTTTGTGACGAAGAGGAGGTCGGGCTCTGTGATGGTAAAGGCAATGTGTAGAATCTGGTGTGAACATTTGAATAAAGTCGGAAAATGGCCAAGGTAAGAATGGGGAGCATCATCTGCAGGCACGTCAGAGAAGGAGGCACGATCAGAATTCAGGGTTCATGCCTGCCAAGGGTGCGATACGGATGTTTCAACTTGAACTCTTCGTCGCTCGAGCCTCAGCCGAGCTCAATCTCTTGCTTGTCAACACATCAGAGTCGTTCGGTGGCCTAGTCACTTTGCTTAATAGGCTACTTGTTCCGATCTTTCCTTCGCCTCGCCGGTGCATATTGCTGAACAACACACATCCACTGTGATCGATACCAACCACGACCGTTTCTGGGGAAAGCCCTTGAATTCTAGCGACGCCTTTATCTGTTTCATTCCAGTCGACTAGCTGTGGTCGACAAGCGTCCGCCATGACGAGTTTCGCGAATTCTTTTTGGTCGTCGGACCAGAGTTATGCAGGAGGCATGCTCGACCACTCCGTTTATCTACCCGCGCTAACTCGGCGGCAGGATTGGGAGTCCTCTTTGGCAAGCTCCAGCAGGGCGTGCAAGAGAATCAGCAGGTCCTGACAATCGCGCGTATGCGAGCCGAGGCAGAGGATCTTTATGGTCTTCGTCTGGGCGAGATCGATGCAGCTACCATGAAGGTTGAAGGAGGCTTCCAGAAAGATGACGGTGCCAGTGTCAAGAAGGTGGGTCCATGTGTCTCCCAAACATACGGTCCAGGCAGACGGCTAACACATGTAGGCCTTTGAAGGTATGCGCTCCGAGATGACCGAGGCGGCCAAGAACCACCGCAAGATAGCATCCAACATCCGCGAGCTCGTCGTTAGTCCCTTCGCTCGCTGGTGCGATGCCCACGCCGCTCGTGTGCAGAACTCGCAAGACGATCTTCAAGCACGCATTAAAGCCCACGACCGACAAGCCGATCACGTCCGTACCTACCGCAGTCAATACTACAACAAGTGTCGCCGCGTCGAAGATCTGGACGAAGAAGAGAAGCTGGCCTTCCAGGACCCCCAGAGCGAGGCTGCCCAAAGCCCGAAGCCTGCCTCACACATCCCAGTCGTGAAGTTATCAGAGCCCGCCGACGAGGAAGACGAGCCAGAACCTATCGATATTGGCGATGTGACGTATACCCCTGAGCAAGTTAAAAAGATCCTCAACCACATGCTGGAGACGATTAAGTTGGGTGAAACCAAGGTCCCCATTCTCGGCACGTACCACAACGTATCGACTGGAGCCGACATTACGGATTACATCCAGAAGCATATGAATGGCACCAGCGTCAGCTACGCCGAGCGTATCGGCCAGGACATGGTCGGTCATGGCTTCTTGAGGCTAGTCGGTAATGTAGGAAGCACTTTCGCAAACAGCAGCCGCATGAACTACCAGTGGCGTCCCAAGGTCTTCCAGATTACTGGTCTTCCTGAAAGACGAGGCATGGGTAGATCTGCCACCGTCTCTTCGATGAGCTCGATCCCAGACTCGCCTGTTGGTGCCGTGGGTGAACTCTTCTCCGGCTGGAATCCTCTGAGCAATGCCCATCCTGGCGAAACTCCCGCAGCAAAGTTGCGTAGAGAAGCTCGTGAGGCTGATGAACGCTATAAGTCTGCTGTGAGAAAGCTCGATGCGCTCCGTTGCAACCTGGAGGAGGCCATGGTCGATCATCTCAAATTCATGGAGCGTTGCGAGCTCGACCGTCTAAAGGCCATCAAGAGTGTAATCCTGGACTTTTCCGGAGCCATCAGCAATGTCATTCCCAGCTTGCAGAGTACTGTCGACAACATGATGCTTTTCCAGGAAACTGTTCAGCCGCTAGGCGACTTGCGCTACCTCTTGGAGAATTACAGAATTGGCCCATTTGTGCCAAAGGTCACGATTTACGAGAACTACTACAACAACGTTGATGACCAAACGTTTGGTATTGACATCGAAGCTCGCGCTCGTGCCGACAGGAAGCGCGTCCCTTTGATTGTCACCACTCTGCTCATGTTCCTCGACAACCACTACCCTGAGCTAGAAGGTGATGAGGCTCGTCGCAGCATTTGGCTCGTAGATGTACCACTGGCCGCTACGCACCATTTGCGCAACATCCTTAACACTGGTAAAGAGACAGTCTCTCAAGACACTCTGGACCGCTACGAGATTCCGATTGTTGCCTCCGTCCTGAAGCTCTACCTACTTGAGCTTCCTGACTCTCTGGTCTCGGCACATGTTTACGAGATCATCAAGACGATTTACACTAGCACTGCACCGAACACATCCGAAGGTGCCCGTATTTCAGTCATTCAGAGCACGCTCGGTCAGCTCAGACTTGCCAACATCGCTACTTTGGACGCCATCACAACCCATTTCACACGTCTTATTGAGCTGACATCCGCCGATGAAGGTTATATTTCAGCTCTCTCTACGTCGCTTGCTCCCTGCATTCTTCGACCCAAGCAAGGAAACACTTTGTCACTGAACGAGAAGTTTAACTACAGGCTCGTGCGCGATCTCTTTGCTCACAAGGATACCATCTTTGGAGAGCTCAAACGCCAATCTTCCCTTACACACACCAACTCCGGTGCCTCAAGACCTCGTGCGATTAGTACCGACGAGAGCAGACGCCGTGAGCACATGGAGGAGCGCCAGAGAGCCATCATTGCTGCTGCTGAGACTCGCGGCCGCGCGTCCAGTCCATTCAAATCTACTTTTGGCGGTCCTCTTGGGTCCATGCATAAAAGAGAGCGTAGTTCAGGCGCAGATACACGATTCCCTGTCACCCCCTCAGCAGCAAGCACTCCTACAGACGTTCGTAACATGAACCGAGGTAGTCTTGAGGTGCCTGGCTCTCCCATCCGAGCTCCCGTTCTGCTGCAGTCACCACCCAAGGGAAATGGTAAGACCGAGTCTCTGCCATCTTCCTCTGATTCGGTAGTGTCTGGGGATGCTGCTGCTCCCACCACCCGTCAACGTAGCGACACCACCAATTCAGTCATCATGACTCCTGGTGCCCAGATAGAAGCTCCAGACTACCTTGCACATGCTCAAGAACAGCAGCATGATGAAGAGGCCGGCAGCGATGCTGACTCTATCGGACCTGAGCCGAGCTCTGGTCTCAGCAACAATCGTCAATCTGTCGAGGTTGAGAAGCGCAACTCTTTGAACCGAACAATGGGCCGTGTTGCTCGGAAGGGCACTGCAAGCAGTCTCTCGCGTCAGAGCCTGATCGGTAAGCGGGAGAGTGTCGGTAGCGTCGGCACTTCGTCGTCTGGTGCCGCTGCCGCACCTGCTGCCGACTTTACTGACAGTCCCGTCGACGTCTCTGAGCGTGCTAAGGAAGAGGCTCTGGCTCATCGTGGCGTCGAGCTCGTTGACAAGCCCATGGATGATGATTAGGAATGATCTTCAAGAATCTTGAAACGAACCGAAACGTGCACATGAGCGTGCTGCTGGACCTCTTTCGTTGTCCTTGTTAGAAATGTTGTTTATTCTTTCCTCATCTACCTTTGATGGTCTTGTTACTCTTTCCTCTTTTATTTCATCGCAGGATATCCCAAGCGAACCATCTTCATATCATGAGCATGACTGCGCTTTTGAACAGTCAATTAGATTTGCTGTCTTCTCGAATTATATACTTGATCATGCTTCTATTTTCTGCCTCCAATAAATCGATGACGTAATAGACGCGTGAACTTGGTGTTTTTCGAAGCTGTTGCTCCATTTCTAACAAAACATACTCGATATACTCAACAGCATAAATTATCGCTCTAGCGATCACCTGTCAATCAGCATGGCGACTCAAGCATCATTGCCGCCTGCATTTACGATGACACCTCCAACACCAGAATGCAAGGTTGAAGTTCGTCCATCACCAATATCAGGCAATGGACTCTTCGCGACTAAAGATATACCAGCTGGATCCACGATATTACTCAAAGCACGACCATTAACTGGCGAGCTGGATTTACCGAGACTGCAGGATAGTTGTCACAACTGCTTCATGTGGACGCAGAAGGCTGCTAGAGGGTGTGCTACTCATTCTGCATCGCCTAACAAAGAGCCTGGCTGTGCTGGGTGTCAGAGTGACGGTGCGGGTATTGGTGTCAAAGCTTGTACTGGATGTAAGAAAGTCAAATATTGCAGTAGGGTATGTTCTTGTTTTCATCTTCCGGTTTTGCTTTCCAAGTATGTGGGAGATTGCGTATCGGTCTTGACTTTGCGCATCAATCGTTGAGATGCATTCGCTCATACAATGTTTTTCTCATACAGGTTTGTCAGAAGCAAGCGTGGACTAGAGGTCACAAGAACGAGTGCACGCTCCTCAAAGATCCGAGCCTTCCTCCACTACCTAGTTCGGTGAGAGCGGCTCTACAATTGGCATCTCTCATGAGCAGCACTTCTGCATCTGAGGAAGACAAGGCAGGTATTCTTCGACTCGAAGCTCATGATCGCTCTACAATCGAGCAATACAGTGATATCGAACAGTACGAAGTAACGGTAGCTTCGGCGAGAGACCTTTTTGGTCGTGTCAGTCCCGATGATCCAGAAGCATTCAAGATACGAGACTACGTAGGGAAGGTAGGTCCGCTCACGGTGTTTGTCTCTAACGTTACTAAGCATGTTAGATTCTCCGCAACTCTTTGACCCTAACAACACCAACTCTGGATCCCATGGGCATCGCTCTAGATCCAATAGCTTGCTCGGCTAATCATTCCTGCAACCCGAACGCGAGTGTCCTCTTCGACTGCCCTAGAATCTTGATGCGATCCCTGGTACCTATCAAAAAAGACGAAGAGGTCTTTATCTCGTACATCGACAATACGGATCCTTACTATCGCCGTCAAGCCCAACTGAAGACTCGATACTGTTTCAAGTGCGAGTGTTCCAAATGTCGACTAGGACCCAACCAGAGAGAGGATAAGTGGGCACAATCGCCAGAGACTCTTAATACCAAGCTGTTGAATCTTGCTGCACTTGCAGCAGCCCGCTTCCCAACCGACCCTGCCGATTACATTGGAGATTCTAAGGCTGAAAAAGATCTGTCTGCTGTTCAAGGCAACATCTATCGAAACTACGAGGGATTGCGCAACCTAAAAGACAATGCTCAAGCAATCAAGGAGCTCGAGAACGTCATGCGGATTTGCAAAGACTCTGGCGTATGGCCCATCACCAGACAGCCTTACGCAAATGTACGCGTGGATCTTTCCGCTCGCATGCTGGACGAAGGTCGTCTTGGTCTTGCTCTGTTCCAGATGGCCAAAACATACTTCCTCATCGATCCAATCCTATACCCGCAAGACTTCCATCCCGTCAGAGTTCTTCACACATGGGGACTGGCAAAGACGTTGGTAGCAGCCTATTCTTCTGGCAACGACCCAAGCCAAGAAGTTGATCCTGGTGTGGAAGAGCTTTTCCAAAGAGAATTTGACTTCGTGGTGCCTATCTGGAGGATCTTGAAGAAGTTGAGCGTGGATGTGGTCAAGAGTCATGGTTCGGGCAGTAATCTTACTTTTATGGTTCATTCTCTTACTCAGCAAGTTAGAGAGGGTGTGGGTATGGAGAATCTACGCGAGATTGAAAGAGATCCTCTGCATATGTGGAGGGAGTTTGAGAGATGGGCACATTATTTGCAGTACTAGACGTGTATCAGTTCCGATAGATACGGCGATGAGTCTACTAATTGGTATCTGAAATTGGAGTGAAGCCTTTTTGAGGCTACCAAGCGCAGAGACAGTACTCTGGGAAGGCACAACTTTTCTCAAACACTCGGAGTCGGGAAGTTTGAGAGTGATCTTTCCTCATTCGACACGAATTTTGCACAAGCCAACGCGGTGGTGCATCGACGGCTCCTTCCAACACTCACTACTCTCCATCCGTGACTGAGGCAGCCGCGAGCTCTTCGCTCCATCTGCCACTTCCGTTTTCACTTTCAAATCTGAATTAAACCTGTCGACTCTCCTTCACGGACCTCAATCACTTCCACAACTTGTCACGCTCTTCACCGCCGGACTCATCCCAATTCTACCTATAACTGTCATACTCACCATCACTCACACATCACCAACACCGTCGCATTTCCGACTCCGTCCTCGTTACATCTCAACACTTTGCAAACAACACAACTACTGTCATCATGGCTAAGCCCAAGTCCAAGCCCAGAACCAATTCCAACGCCAAAGTCAAGGTCAGAGCCCCTCCAGGTACAATTTCCCGCACTGTTTCACTTTTGCACAGTACTAACGATATCAATAGCCACCAAAGTAACCCCAAAAGCCACAGTCAGAAGTGCTTCGGTCGATGAACCAGACACTTTCAACACTTCAGACGCCGTTCAGCCACGTTCCCAAGATACACACCAGGCAGTCACTCTTCTTAACTTGCCTCTCGAACTTCTCCACGTGATCTTCGACTATGCGGCTGATCGCGATCATCTCAAACATCACCGCTATACAATTCGAATGCGTGAGAGAGAGACAGCCTCGGCCCCGAATTGGTCATCTACCAGCCTTCCTTGTTGATGGTCAGCTCGGCGCTACGAGCTAGCTTGACTCCCCACTTTTACAGTCGCTATCCCTTCCACCTCAGGATCGACACAAGATTGATGATGAGCAATAGCGTCGGCGGTCCTATGAGGCTACAACACCTTGAAGGTCTGCTGCCGTATCCACTGGGCCTGAGTACCATCAAGTTGACCCTGGTGATCCATGAAATCTCGAGAGACGGTTTCGACTTCTCTTTCCCTGTCGACTTGGGCGTGGAGTTGTTCAAGAGGTATCGTACCAAGAAGCTCGACTCCGAGGGTGAAGTCATGTCTATGCACTTGAGTTGGCGACTGGTGTGTATTGACCCTTTACTGACGCCAAAGTCTGGCGTGCGACGCATATTCGATTGGTATCTCCAAGAGCTGATGGACGAATTACATCAGTGGGCAGCCAGCAGAGCAGTCCATAATTCGTGGAGCTTGGAGAGATTTGTCTTGTGGCTTGAAAGATGGCTGAAGACAGACATCAGCTTCTATAGCACCAAAGGAACGCTTTTGGGGTGTCTACATGCCAAGACGAGATACGACAGGGTTTTGGCTCTCGATCACTACTACGAGGGAGCATATTAGGCGCGTACGAGGATAATTTGGTGGTAGCACACTATTGGTTCTCTGACTTATGCTCACATCGTCTTCGAGATGAATCAATTGCCCTACAACTGACACAAGTCAGCTCCACTGCCAATCCAAGATGATACGGAGTCTTAATCATTGATTCGTTTGTGAAAGTTTCCATTTGAATCGTCCTTTCACTGTCCGTAAAAGATAACACGAGTGTTCATATGCAATGACTTCCTCCGATCCATATTCGAAGATTTCGCATAGCTTGTAGGGAGATGAGGAACAGAAAAAGTGCAAAAAAAGCAAAATGGAATAGTACCTGAATCGTAGATTAAATGTCTCCTTGAACAGGGCAACATCATGGCTGTCAAATGAATCTGTTTCGGTTGCGATCTTGAGATCTGCTCGTCGGAAAAATCATGTCTCGAGAAACAGCTTGACTGACCTCGGCCCCTCTTCCTGAATTTAATAGCCACGTCTGTGATATTGAGTTTGCTTGTCAGGTATCCTGGATATGTGTGTTCAGCGAAGGCCATTAACCATAGAGTCATCCACAGCCTTCTTGGTTAGCATCTCCAGCAATTCATCATTAGTCTGCTTGTTCGTCTTCTTTTTCTTCTTGAGGGGTCTGCCATCTTCATCGCCGTCATGTTTCTTGGAGTGAGTCTTTGTGCTTAGCAGCTGATTGGGTTCTTCGTTAACGCATGTAGTCTCCTTGACGGACTTGTTCTTTGAAGCCACAGATTCTTCTCTGGCAGCTAGCTTGGCGATGGGTTCGCGAACCGTCGAATGCTTCTTTTGCTCTTCGTCACTTTCCTCGGCGTCGTCGACCATGGCCTGATAGAGTCCTTTCTTCACACCTGTGGTCTCTATGGCAGACTTCTTCTTGGAGGTAATGACTTTTGATGAAGAGGGTAATTTTGGTGCTCCTTTGGTGATGGAGTCGTGCTTGCGCTTTTTGGTAGCGGAAGACTTGGTGGCGGCTGAGACGTTCTTGACTTCTTCGTCGCTTTGATCATCTTCATCGTCCTCATCTTCTGAAGTCTGATCTGCTGATTCGGTAGCTTCATCTTCTTCTCCAGCCTCTTCAGCTCTGATCTTCTTTCTGACATTCATGAGTGCGATACCCAGAAGATTCTGTCCCCACTGCTCACGGGACACTCTCTTTGCTCCCGCAGCAGTGAATCCAATCCCCCAGATATTGTCGTTACTAGCAGCCTCAACCAGCTCCCTATCTCCAGTCTCCAGCAGAACTTTCTTGAACTTTTCATTCTGACTGAATTTGAGATAATTGCCTCTTTCGACGATACCACACTTGACCTTATCCCAGACAACATCCGTGAAGTCCTTGATCTTGCGACCTAGGGCTTTCTGAGCTTTGGAAGCTGTGGTAGCCAGAATATTTGCGGCAATGTCCGGGCTGCTGAAGGTTTGGGCTTTGCCATACATCATGTATTGTTCTGCGCAGTTGAACTTGGCAGAAGGGTAGTTTGGGTCGGTGAAGGCGCCCTTTTGAAACTGGGAGAAGATGCCGTAGGGCTTTTCGCTCATGCCGTAGAAGTAGATGGGGTCGGAGGTGACCTTGACCTTTTGCTTCTTGCTGGACGGGGCCATAATTACAATGGCAGTGGGCGATTCAGAGTTGATGTTGTCTGAGGAGACAAGATGGTTGGTGATAAAGTCAGGCAGTGGGTGATGTGGTGGTGATAGTTGTCAAGTGTAAATGAAAGCGAAGGTGAGGATAAGATTGTGTCGAAGTCGCGACTTTGTTGAACGCAGCTCACACAGAGAACGGATGCGTCTACGTGTGAGGCTGTTCAGCTGGCACTGAGTTGAGACTGGTGTGCTTCAATGCCTGGGAAGAAGGACAAGCAGCTGTGAGGAATGGTCGCTTGAATGGTCAAAGACAAAGCTGAGACCTCACAAGTGAAGCAAAGACAAAGTAAGAGTACCCGGCTGTCTGCGATGACTTCCTAGTGATGTGATCGAGAAGGAAAGCCTCTAGCTGAAACAGAGATCCCGGATCAAAGGAAGGAGCGACTGTACTCACCTAAATCAGCAAACGGGTCGGTATGCTTACACTGAGAGCGGGTTAGTGATTCAGCTAGAAAGCTGTCTCTCTCAAGCCAGAGGTGCATGAATCTCAAAAATATTGTGCTACCAGACAGCACCAGCTACGTGAGTCGGTACTGGTGAGATATTTGTACATCTATCTACACATGACTTCCACTTGGAGGAAGTTCCGCGATTCACCACATCACATCACATTCTAGAGGTTGTTAGTATGGGGTTCTTTCCAGTATATCGTTATAAGACATGTTCTGGTTGTGAATGGAAGTTTTGGTGATGGGAAGTTCTGTATGGCAGTCGCAATGGTATTGTGGCCCGTGCACCAGTCTCAAGATGTAGCTCAAGATTCAGTCCACCATCTCTTCGCGCTTCAACAGCCAGTATACCAACCATCTCAACTCGCGCATATCCTGGTTCCACATCCTCACCTTACCGGAGCGACTAGATCAACCTTCTCCCATCGGTCTTTCGACGACCCGACCCACGTAGCGTTACGCGCGCATCCACACATCTAACCCACACATCATGGACTACCAAGTACGTCTACCTCATCCGCCCCACCCAACTCTAACCCCCGACTAAACCTCCGACCTCAGAACAGAGCAGGTTCCAAATTCGGCGGTGGCGGTGTAGCCTCAGCCAGCGCAACAAACGCCGATCGACGCGAACGCCTCCGAAAACTCGCCCTCGAGACAATCGACCTGGACAAAGACCCTTATATTTTCAAAAACCACGTCGGCAGCTTCGAATGTCGCCTCTGCTTGACAGTCCACCAAAATGACGGTTCCTATCTCGCTCACACCCAGGGACGCAAGCATCAGACAAACTTGGCCAGACGTGCTGCCAGAGAGGCGCAGTTGGGAAAGGACAGAGATCAGAATTTGAGTGGGCTGTCGCAGGTGCAGATTAAGAAGAATGTGGTCAAGATTGGTAGACCGGGGTATAAGATTACAAAGACGAGGGATCCGTTGACGAGGCAGTTGGGTTTGCTGTTTCAGTTGCAGTATCCTGAGATTTCGCAGGATGTTGAGCCAAAGGTTAGATTCATGTCTGCCTTTGAGCAGAAAGTCGAGGAGCCTGATAAGCAATTCCAGTATCTGCTGGTCGCTGCTGAGCCTTACGAGACGTGTGCTTTCAAGCTCCAGGCTCGCGAAATCGATCGCTCAGAGGGCAAGTACTGGACTTGGTTCGATGGAGACAGCAAGGAGTTCTGGGTTCAGGTCACCTTCAAGACCGAGAGAGAGGAGAGATACAGCGGTGTGCCTGGTCTGGCTCCTAGGCGCTAAATCTTTCAACACACAACCACACAGTTGATCATTTCACATAGCGATGGAGTTTGGCGTTTTGGAGGAGGTTATTACACGTAGAATGGGGTATTATGACTGACTGAGCTGAGCTGAAAAAACTTGTACCATGAGAGAGCACAAAAAAAGGAACAAGAAATGAAAAACAAAAGCAACCTTTCCCAAAAAATAACAATGACATAGTGTCGTTCCCCATGTCGGACTTCCTAGCAATCATTCCTTCCGTGTTGGTGATGTGGATGCTCGTGGCGTTGGATCAGGATCAGGGTCGCTGTTGTAATGCGGTCGAGGCGTCATGTCCGTATCCACGACTCTGATTCTGCGCGGCAGGAACAACTCTGGCGGCGTCAAGGTTGCTCCCTCCTCTTCGATCGCCGCTTCCTCGTTGCCTGTGAGCGACGCGGTCGCCTTGAGATTATGCGTCGCCATATCTCCTTCGTTCGACACCACGCTTCCCTGACTATTCGTGCGCAACATCTCTGTTCCTAGCTTCGATGCTCCTCGTGTCTTAGACTTGGGCGATCGTGCTCGGATCTGAGCGTTGCCCAGCTCTTCGTCTTCATCGTCTCCTGACTCTGCACACTCGTGCATTCCAACCTCGAAAGACCTCTTCCTCGCTTCGATTGATTCTGACGATCGCTTGCGTGGTGATACTTCTCGTGGACTTTCGAGTTGTCCAGGTGCGGAGATATGTTCTGTCAACGCCGGCATCTTGGTTTCGGGCGGAGGTTTCGTTCTTGCATGCATCACCTCCTCTGGGCTAATGCCAAGCCCGCCGAACTGACGCTCAAGCTCTGACTCTTGCCAATCGTTGGTGTGTCTGCTTATGATCACCGGAATGGAGTCATATTGACTGTCTGTCTCAGGTATTGAATTTGATCCTATTGAGTCCTCCCTGCTCGATCCTCGGAAGCTGTTCGTCAGCATGCCAAAGCCAGATATCGAACTAGTTGTTGGACTCTCTTCTGTTAAGGGAGATTCTCTTCGGAGACTCGAGGACGGCATCATAGGTAGTTGTGCAGGCGTCCATCCTGGAGGAGGAGGTTTCCACTGACAGAGTCGACTCATGACCTCGGTCAATTTGGCCGTATCCGGAGGCTTCTCAATCAACGCATCGAAGTAATGCGGCGCTTGCAGCTCTTTGAGGTATCCGGTGACCGCGACGATTGGAGTATGCGAGTTGGCATTCTTTGTATCGCGGATCATGCGAGCCACGTCTGCTCCATTAATTTGAGGCAACTTGAACTCCATCATGATGATGTCGAACTTGACCTCACTCATAGCATAACGCATTGCTTCAGATCCATCTTGCACTGATATTGTGCGACAACGAAGCTTCTCGAGGAGTCGTTCCATGACAAGGCGCGACACTGGGTGGTCTTCGCATATCAATACATCCAGTGGTCTGAACGCAGGCCCTTCGGCCAGGGTAATTTGTGAGAGTCTGCGAGTGCTCTGCCTCCTGCGTTGAACTCTCAGCAGAGCCTTTGCGCGTTGGTCTTCGTTATCTGATGAAGATGGTGAAGCATCGAAGGCCATGCTTCTTCGCTTATATTGAGAGATCGGCCCAGGTGGCGTATCATCATCTTGAGATCCTATGGTGTGAGAACGCTGCCGTGGTGACGATATGCTACCGCGCCTGCCGTTTGGTAGGGACGACTTTTCTGGCATGTAGCCCTGTTGGCCGTTCAGACTCTTTGGTATTTTGATCGGAGATGAAGCTGCGGACAAAGATTTGAAGCCAGCTGGGAGATTAGGAGCATCCAGCAGGTTACTATTCAACTGCAACGCGCTGATTTGCTGAGCGAGTGACGAAGAAGTAGACGTTTTCCTACGTTCGTGATGTCCTCCAGCGCTGAATGACACTAGCAATGGTGACGATGGCTGGGAGCCTCTGCTTGGTGATGAATTCGTCTTGCTCAAGAGAGAAGGTGAAACGGGTCTATTGTTTCCCTTGTTTGATGATAGCGTACGTTTCAGAGGCGCGGGTCCAACTGGACTGGACTCAACCGACGGAGACGGCGAGACTATCACCGGAGACGGAGAAACAAGGCCTTGAGCGACTTTATTCTGAGCTTGCATTGCTTCAGCTCGAAGCTTCTGAATGACATCTTTATTTGCTTTCTCCAACACAGGAAGATTCTTGAATTGAAAATTGCCAAAATCATCGGTCGCAACTGGCTCGCTTAGTCTTCTGCTACGGCCGTCTCTGACGTGTGCAGGTATATGCAGGGGCATGAGTCCTCGCTTGATCGAATTGACCTGATTTCTAACCCTGGACAAGGCGTCATGGGGCCTTTCGGGATAATCGGCGCCAGGTGTGTTGGGTGATGAAACCTGATCCTCGAACTCGGCTCTGAAGTTTTGTAGCGTGGCCCCTCTGGAGTCGAAATATTCTGTATCCTCGGGATTCGCTGGCGCAGGGATGAAGGACGCCTCCTCTTCTCGAAGAGTGTCCCACTCTACATCAGTGAACCATGGGTGAGCTCTGATCTCATCTCCGCCGTTCGCAAAGTTTTCGTCAGTATTGGACCCTAGTCTCTCCTTGGGATCCGAACACATCAGTTTGTTCATGAGATCTTTTGCTTCCGAGGTCACAGGACACTCCTCATCGTCAGGCCAATCAATTTTACGATCCAGGATGTTCTGGAACACCTGATCGGGAGTCTCTGCATGAAATGGTGGGTAGCCGTATAAGCACTCAAAGAGTATACAACCCAATGACCACCAATCACTCATCTCATCTTGACCACTTCCGTTGATTGTTTCTGGTGCGAGATAGTCAGGCGTGCCGACAAATCTGCGAGAACTGTCGTCGGGATCGAATAATGCCATTGGTGGCGGTAGCATACCAGATTGGCCAGGCGGTGTGCCTAGACCGCTCATGTGACTCATGACAGGGTGAAGAGCGTATGGTTCTGGTGATTCGCCTTCGCTAGCTGTTTCCTCTTCAATCGGTGTTCGTCTCTGATAATTAGAGGGCTCTGTGTCTACGATAGAGAAACGACGGAACATGTTTGCCAGAGCATCACTTTCTCCGCTATCGCTTCGCTGACCAGAGGCTCTTCGTGAAGGCTCGCGAGATTCCCCTCTCGTCAAGCTGAAGTATGATGGCTGACCAAGCTCTCCCGCTAAGGCGGGTGTCAGTCCTGGCGTAGGAACTGGAGATTGACTGCCATTGAAGTCAAAGGAGGTGGAGCGTGACGAAACGATAGATGCTTCGCGTTTTCCGAGCTTAAGTAAATCCGGTGCATCGCCCAGCTTGTTGTTTTGCATTCTCTTTTGACGCCCGATAAGCCCCATCCGCGAAAGACCAAAATCTGTCAGCTTGAGGTGTCCTTTCTGGTCAATCAGGAGATTGTCTGGCTTCAAGTCACGGTGTACAATCTGTCTATCGTGCAGATGTTGTACGCCTAAGACAACTTCGGCCAAGTATTTCTTTGCCCAGTCTTCGGGCAGTCCACCTAGTGTTTTGACTAGAGAGGCGCAATCACCTCCGTTCAGATATTCCATGACAAGATATAGGTAGTCTTTGCTGGCAAAGGTCCAGTAGAGCTTTGCGACAAAATCACTCTCACCCTGCCACATCATGATTGCTCGCTCGGCCTTAACGTTGGTGACTTGGTTCTTGGCGACCATGTCGGCCTTCTTGAGAACTTTGATGGCATAGTAGTCTCCAGTGACCTTTTTCTTGGTGAGGTAAACACTACCGAACGCACCTTTGCTGATAGGCTTGATGATTTCAAAATCTTTGATGGAGGTTTGGACCGCCCGAGGCTGCGGGTTACTGTTCACTGCACTCAACCTGGGAGAAGACGGCGGTCGGTACGACTCAGAGTATTGGGTCGCAGAAGATTGGCGTCGGTGATGGTGATGATGGAGTGACTGAGCTCTTAGGATGGGAGATGCGAAATGGTGGTCGTGAGACAGTAGCGGGGAAGTCAGAGGCGAGGGAATAGATTCTCCACCACTTGGGATCCGAGGCTTTGCGACTCGCAGAGGCGAAGAAGGAGCAATGCTGCGGGTTGGCGATTGCTGTCTACTGGTGTTCGCCAAGCTGGGGAGCACGAGACTCCTTCGCTTGTGTTCACGGTTGCTAGTGACCCGGCTGAGAGCCAGCTCAGGAGCTGGTGAGTCAGTTCGCACTGGCATTGAGGCCAACGAAGAACGGACACTACTATCACTCTCCGCACCTGCATCGCTTTCTGGTGCCAACATCGCCGCTCGCTTCTGGTGGATTAAAGTACTGAGGGCACTTCCATAAGAACGTGGCGTCCTAGCACCATGAGGACTGTTTGACCGCGAAGAACCCGCATTGGATGAAGCCCTGCGATATGAGGACGCTTCAGGAATATTGCGCAGCGCCATGGTCATGGCCGACAGCGCTACAGGTGATCCGTAAGGGTTGATCGAGAAGTCCTCCTGCATACCTTCAGGCAAGCGGGACGATGGGCCATCAATGTCGGACATGGCATCCCCGATTTGGCTGAATTTGTCATGATCTTCGTTGTCCTGTTCTTCCTCGTTCTCTACGTCGGCCGAGGAGGATTCGCTTGAGTCACTGATCTCTCCACTAGCGATACGTGCAGCTCTAGCAACTGCCTCGTCGATACACTCTTGCACCAGGATATGGAACTCGATGCGAAGACGTTCTGAATATTCCAGGATGCGTCGATGACGGAATATAGCGTCTACTTTTGCTTTGCAAAAGCCCGAAGTGTCTTCAGCGAGCAGCGCGAGACCATGTTCGTTATCGACAGTATTTGTGTTTGGTGGTGACCATTGCAACACTTGTGATATCCTACCCTCAGACTGAGGAGATTGAGTCCTGATCTCACCGTCTTGGGAGCTATCTTTGACGGCAGGTTGACTGATCTCTAAAGCAGTGTCACAAAGATCAAGGACGAGTTCGACTATGCGAGCCAGAGGGCGTCTGACGGCGAAGGCTTTGGCTCTCGATTGGCCCAAGCCTGAGCGGGAAGTACTTCGTGCCTTGATCTGAGGACCGGCGGGAGATGCACGGCCGGATGAAGGACCAGATGAAGGCTGAGAAGCGGGTCCGATAGGGAGTCCTTTGTAATCGCATAACGGTGTTGGAAGGGGAGAGCCCGAGTCGGGTGCTCCGGGGCGAGAATGGTGCGTTTGAGCTTCCAAAGCATCCAAAACCTTGACGATGGCAGCGCGGTGCTCGGTCAAGTTTTCTTGGGCGATCTGAACATCCATTTCGGCCTTGTGCTCCTGCATGCATAACTCAGTGTGCTTCTCAAACCACCAAGGCGTGATCTGACGCTCGCAAATACGGCATAGTACTGGAGGCGGGGGTGGATGATCAGCTGGATCATCGCTGCCGATCTCGGCCAGATGGGTCAAATACTGCGCCAAAACATGAGCACCAATTCCCAAAGACTCTACAAGGACGTCAGGAAGGTCTATGGTTATCTCACGGTGAACTGCAGGTTTGATCATCCACATGGTCTGCAAATGGTCAGTAATGCTCTGTGTCAGGGTTCTCGTCACATACATGACTCTCATCTCCAGTGGCTCTCTCATAGACCATGATGCCTTGAGCTTCGAGGTTCACAATGTGTTCGTGATGGTCCTCATCTTCCGGACAAGTGTCGAAGGCTACTGGTTCGGCATGGGGACTTTCGATGGTGAGTTCGGGACTCTCTCCGACAGGTAGCTGGTATTTGATAGCGAAGCGGATGATGCGGCTCTTTGTGTCGTCGTTTTGCATGAGAGCCATGGCATCTGTGAAAATGTTCTTGTGGTCGACAATAATATCGGACATGGTCTTCCCAACTATCGACTCTGGATCGACACCGCTGAGGTCCTTCCATGAGGGACTTGCCCAGCGAATAGATCCGTCGAGATTGAGATCCATGATTGCGTTGAGAGACTGTTCGGCAGCGCGTTTGAGATCATCGCGTTCCTCTCTGATGTCCATGCTGACGGTTCTCTCCATTGTACCTCTGTACTCAGAGTCCTTTGTCGTGGCGGCCTCCTCTTTCAACGCGATAATGGCAGGCGGAGCCAGCAGTGCCGGGTTTGGAGAGTCGGACATGATGTCGTTTGTGTGCGGAGATAGTGAATTGGAACGTTGCAGAGCACCTGCCCGCCAGGGCAGCCCAGTTGAGGCTTCGCTAGATGCGCGATTCGACCATGACCATCGTGACCAGGACCAAGATGGAGGCTCCAGCACTTGTTGACGGCTCCTCGTACTAGTTGGTTGTCGCTATCGGGGGTGATTGAGAGGTCGTTCACTTTTTGGCGGCTGAGACAAGAGCTACGACGAGCGACTGCGAATTGGCGGCGACCGGAAAAGAAATCCTTCGCTGTAGATCGCTCGACCGACAATGGCGTGTGTGGCCGACTAGGGCGATTGACGAAGAGGCGAGGAAATTCCGTACGGCACAGTCAAATTGTGTTGGACGCAGTTGCGGCTTTGAAATGGCAATGGGCTTGACGACGAGGTAGGTCGAGCGATGATGGCCAACCATTCACCCTGCCCCGCTCCTCCCGCCCGCTAGCTTCTTTGGTCAATGCTAAGCCTTTGTTCTATTCGGTCATTCCCGTCCCTATCTCGCGACTCGTGACTTCTCCTAGAGAACATGCTGCAACTTGTGCCCGCCAACAAATTGTTCTATTCCAAGTCGCATCATGCTTTGTGAGTTCATACTCACCGTTGAATGACACGGCTCACTTTGGACTTTGGCGACGCTTCTCCGTTCTTGCTCCCTCCATGATTCCGCTCACCGACCCAATCCAGGGTCTTTTGTGTACCGTACCAAGGCATGTGACGGTGCCGCACACCCAGCCCGCCGTTTGCGAGCCCATCAACGACGTGCTTCGCAATGGAAATTACAACAATTTGCTTACCGCTGCAAATCTGGTACCCTACATCACACACCACACAGAAAGCTAGACGCATGATTATGCAGCAACGCCTTCGGTTGTCCCGTCGAGCTCGTCGAGGCGCGAGGCGGCATCGGAAGGCAAGTAGTCCCGCGCCATATCTTTATAACTATCGCTCTGCTGTCGGATGTCGCGGCAGGAAGCGTGGTACAAGGTACTACTATAAGCAGCTACCTCATACTCCTCCCTTTATGCTTGTTCTCCATGTCATCTTGCTAGGGGTACAACCCTGGCTCGACACTTGAATGTCTTTCTGGCATTTGTCGTTGCCTCCAATTCTTGCTCACTCTAATTCATCTCAATCTAGGACATCATATATAGATATCTACCGGTATTTCTTGCATTTTCTCTGCGAGATAGTACTTCTGGATGACTTTTGCTACTTTCTACATTGATGGCCTGCTTCACAGAAGCTTACCAACTATGGGTCTGACCTCGAACTTGTCACCACTCTGGATTTTCAGCGAAACATGAAGAATCTGGTATCAAATGAGTCGCAACTACCAACTTACTTGGATTCCCCTCATAATCCACGTTGTTTACTACCGACACAAAGCCGCTGTCGAAGAGTTATTAGCACACACAATTCTGAAAAGGCCAGGAGCCCGAGCTTTCAATCGCCAAGCCCTCGTCAGATCGATCAGGGACGCTTCCGCAGATCTCCCAGCCTCCTCAAACCCCATCACGGTTCGTAAAGTTCCACTACATGATGTCACTATATCGAAGCCTCTACCGTCGCGCGATGCTTCAATGAAGTCAATGACGATGGCTTCAATAGACGATGCGCTGGCATGACCGAACTCTGCTTCCTAAGACTCTGTAGGTATATAATCAGGTAAAGAACCATGCTATTAATCAGAGCAACACCAATTGTAAGACACCTCGCCAAATCTACCTGCTTTAGAACAGTATACCCTTTCAGAACCTTTATACCTTCGATTATCGCAAACATGCCGCCAAAGGACAAGTACACCGATCCCAAGCTTCGCGATGAAGTCAAGGAGGAGATTCACAACAGCGACAAAGGCGGTGCACCAGGCCAATGGTCAGCCCGTAAAGCCCAAATGATGGCCGCCGAGTACAAGAAGCGTGGTGGAGGTGTAAGTAACCCCATTTGCACCAGACCTTCTCATCTCTACCAGTCCTGAACATCCACTAACATGGTCTTCTAGTACACAACCGACAAAAAGGACCAGGACGACTCCCAAGAACACCTCTCAAAATGGGGAGAAGAAGACTGGCAAACTAAAGACGGCTCAGGAAGCGCAAAGAAAGAAGACGGAACCCAACAACGCTACCTCCCCAAAAAGGCCTGGGAAAACATGAGCGAAGAAGAGAAAAAGGATACCGACAATAAAAAGCAAGCAGAAAGCAAGCAAGGAAAGCAACACGTCGAAAATACCGACAAGGCAAAGGAAAGCAGAAAGCAAGCTAATGAAGAAGAAGATGAGGAGTTTGAAAAGAAGAAGAATAAGCAAGAGGAGAAGAAGGACGACAAGGAAGAAGAGGCACAAGCTGGTGATAAGCGTACTCGTTCTTCAAAGTCTGCTTCGCCTGCGAAGAAGCAGAAGCAGAATGACGGTGTTGCAAAGGAGACTTCTTCACCTTCAAAGTCAGAGTCCAAGTCCAACGGCAGCAAGAAAGACTCGAAGGATGACAAGGATAACTCCAAGTCCAAGTCCACCTCCAACGACAAGAAAGACAACTCCTCCTCCTCCTCCGACTCCCCCCACGGCACCCCAGCCTCCTCCACCCGCCTCCCAAAAAAGGATCAACAAGTCCAATGGAAAACCCTTGGCAACTGGACAAAAGGCACCGTCCTCGAAGTCGCCCACGAAGAAAAAGAAGTCGACGGCAAAAAAGTAAAAGCAACCAAAGAAGATCCAAGAATCGTGCTCAAGAGTGATTCTTCCGGGAAAGTTGCTGTGCATAAACCTGATGCTGTTTTCTTTTGATTTGGTGACAAGGGCTGAGGAGAGGAGGAGGAGGAGGAGGAGGAGGAGG